TCGGTGTACAAGTCGGCAACGTGGCGATTCTTCATAAGTTTGGAGAGCTCGAGCCCTGCAATGTCATGATCAGTGAAGGACTGATGAAGACTTGCAGATCCAGAAGGCAGAGAGAAGTTAGTAGAGAAATCTGAAAAATTAGAGGGTTGGAATGACATTACTAGGCGGCCAACACAGAGAGCGCCATGTCCGCAAGGTTTGAGTTTTCGAGATTTGTCAGCAATCCAAATTAGGAAATGGACCACGTTGTAACCAGATGGATGCAACACAGCTATTGGCCGTACCGCTCTCTTGTTCTCTGACTCTCACTACATCTCATTACACTTTTCTGACCAGCTCTACACTCCTGAGACTAAAGACAATATGCTTTGCCAGTGCAGTCAATGCCACCCCGGCAAGGAACGCGGTCCCAAAACTATTCGAAAACACCTCTACAAAGATATTGAAGAGCTTGAACATCTGTTTCACACAGAGGAGTTTCGCGACCATCTTCACACCTGTATTTCTTTGAACACTCAGACACTGTGGAACATATCATCAGAAGCTTCCAGTGAAATATTGGCTGCTTGTATGTTTTTTACTTAGTTATTTGTAAATCTTACAGCTAATATAATTATAGACTCAAATGCTAAGGACAGTTTGAATCCTTGCATGTTTTTTACTTAGTTATTTGTAAATCTTACGGCTAATATAATTATAGACTCGGACAGTTTGAATCCTTGTATGTTTTTTACTTGGTTATTGGTAAATCTTACAGCTAATATAATTATAGCCTCCAATGCTAAGGACAGTTTGAATATAAGTGAGGAGAGAGATCTAGTTGATGAAAATATGGAAGAGGTATATGCTATGGAAGTGGATGAAGATATGGAGGATAATGAGAAGGAAGCTGAGGAAAAAGCCAATACAGAAGCTGAGGAAGAAGTCGAGGAAGAGAATGAAAATCTTCTTATATTTCCTCCTCAAATTCAAGAAACTGACTCAAGTGATATAGATTCAGACGATGGTGATACAAGTGGTATATTTCCTCCTCAAATTCAAGAAACTGACTCAAGTAATATAGATTCAGATGATGGTGATACAAGTGGTATCAACTCAAGTGATACTGAGACTCAAGACGATATCGTGGAGCCTGCTCATTTTCAATATCCTCAAGCACGAGTGGATCTTCAGAAAGCTCTCCTGAATAAATATTCCTGTCCCTCGGAGCCTCCTTTCTCTGCATCTCCACCACGGGATTTATCTAGGTCTGAATTTCAATCTCTTCGACATTATATTGCTTGGAAGCTGTCCAATGGAACAGTGAAAGCATATAACTATCATGCAAATGTTTTGGCAGATGCATCCCAAGTGGATATCTTGTCCCTATATTTGGTCCACAAGCTAGCAATAACCTTAACAGACACCACACCACTGCAAATTAATATGTGTCCACGAAGCTGCATTGCTTATACTGGTCAATTCGAAAAGATGGATACCTGTCCATTTCTTCGAGACAACAAACTCTGTGGAAAGCCACGGTACTGAGCTGCAAAAAAGCCCAGAGCACAGATGCTTTATACCCCATTTACTGCAGTTATCAAGGCCATGTTTGCAAATGTGGAGACTTCAAGACTTCTACGATATAGGGATAAATGTTTACAGCAGACCTTAAAATTGCTTGCAGAAGCTTCACAGGTAGGTTTTACTTATATATATATATTTAATATGTTTGAAACTGATTCCAATGTGCACATCCATCATTATACACAGATGGATCTATTTCGGGATTCACGAGATATTGCATTTGCCTTGTCCACAGATGGTGCTCAGCTCACAATGAAGAAACACTTAAACACATGGATCCTTATCCTGATCTTGCTGAATCTCCCTCCAGAACTGCACTATAAATCTCATCGCATTCTCATTCCTATGGCTATTCCAGGCCCACAAAGTCCAGGAGACATTGAATCCTTTTTGCGACCTCTCTTTGAAGATCTAGCTATGGCAAGTGAGGGCATTTGGATGTGGAATGCCATCGATTCCTCGTATTTTGTTCACCATGCTTTTCTTTGCATGGTCCTTGGAGATATGCTGGGCTCTGCAAAAATGAATAGAATGGCAGGACACTCTGGACTTCATGGTGATCGATTTAGTGAAGTACAGGGTGCACGCTCGAGCCTCAAGAAAGGAGCAAAGGCACAGTACTATCCTATATCACCTCCAGATAATGCAAGATATAATCCCAGTCGCACCCCTTTCTATGATCTTGACAATTTACCATTGCGGACTGAAACAAAATATTGGGACACCATTGCAAAGCTTCTGCATGCTACCTCAAAGAGAGAACAAGCTGTGATTACACGAGATACTGGAATTTCTCGTATGCCTCTAGCTGCAGCAAGTCATGCATTCATACATCCATCCTTCTATTCTTTGGATCCATTTCACCTCCAGTATGAAAACCAAATGGCTTTTATATGGGATTTGTGGACTACTTTTAGTTCACCTCAAGATCCAATTCATCTCAGCAAAGAGAAAGCAGCATTATTTGGAACTCTGATCTCAGAAGCAATGTCCTCACTCTCTCCATAATTCTGTGGACCAGTTCGTGATCCTTATTTGAAATGACAAAGCCAGTACAAAATCTACGAATGGATGGCTTTGCTTCATTGGTATATTCTTCCAATTGGATTGGAACTGGGCTTCAATTCTATGGTCCTTTACAATTTTTCCCAATTTGTGGAAATTGTAGAGTTTGCCATGACAATCAGGCCTAGAAGCGATGCCGATATTCACTGGCTTCACAATATGATCAAGACATTTCTGATAGGTTTTCAGACACTATACATTGGAGTCGATCCAGAAAAAATTTCAAGATTTCGGCTATGCATTTTTCAGTTGATTCATGTGCCCATCCACATCAAATGGTATGGCTCTATACGCCTTGGCTCACAAGCAACTATAGAAAGAACTATTGGGGAACTTGGTTCAAAAATTCGTTCCAAGAAGGCACCATTTGCAAATTTGGCCAACCTAATTTTGGAAAGACAACTTGTTGAATCCCTTCTTCTATACTATCCTGCACTCGCACCGACTTCGAAACAACCAGACACCAATAAGCTGTTGCTTTTTTCCAAATTTGCAGTGAACAAAAAGGAGCGTAAACCAGGAACGGTATTCTATCAACAATTACAAGCAATCTCAGAGTCACAGCAGATTGCTTTCAATCTTGATGCAATTGTTACAAGATATGGAAAACTACGTGTAGGCAGTCAAGGTGCTGTCTTGAACAGCCATTTGGGCGAGCTTCACCAAGGCAAAATTCCCTCAAGATCTCATCGCTACTTCGAGGGTCATCTGGCTGGAAGTACAGCCCCAATTTTTGGTGAAGCACTTGCATTCTACCAATTCAATGGAGAGGCAATAGCTGTTTATCATCCAATCAATGATATACAGCATCCATTGAAGACTTGGAAGGGGAAGTGGTCTAATGAGATCAAAGTTGCCCCAATTTCAGAAATTGTGGATGTTGTTGGAGTATGGAACTACAAGTCTGTTGTCTATGTGCTTAGAAAGCATCCAGGACTTGATTGGTTGACCCCGGAAGAAAGGGGAGAGGCCAGGGAGGCAGAGGAAGAGGCAGAGGATCTAGAAGAAGGCTTTAACACATTCTAGCAGATCTCTTGACTATTGCAGACTACTGTATGACAAATTTCTTGGCATTTTTTTCTCAATTTGTAAGCTGACAATTTTTGTGACTAGCAGTAGACTATAATGCGACAACGACTGTATACTGTTTGACTACATATGACTTTGTTGGACTTCCCGTTTTTTACAGAGGGTGAATACGGACAAAATTGGAGCCTTTCTTAGGCCTGATCTGGGAATACGGACATTTCTTCGGTGCACGGATGCCTGGTCCAAAACCCGGACAAATATGACCTCTTAAGGCCTGAGTTTTCGCGGACATTTCAAGCCAAAATATGGCTTCTGCTGACGGACATTTTGGGCCCCTCCAGATCAGGCATCCTCGCCAATTGTCGGGGGTCCTCGTACATGGAACATACAGGGTTTTCATAAAATTTTGCTGTGCACCTTTTTTTGGCGCGACATCTGGCCTCGGAATGCTTGCAGAAGCTGTTATCCCAGGCTTCATCGAGGTGAGGAGGCTTTATCTGATGTTCACCCAAACAATTACTCCTCCAAAGCATATCCACGAGTCATAGGATCTGTGTTCTTGAGTCTTTTGCACCTTTGTTACATCATTCCCCATTTTCTCGTACACATGTTGCAATGAAAATCCTGTTTCCCACCACATTGCCATACGAGGGAGGTTCAGAACTCTCGGATGTGTTCCAGAGCTCATAAGTGTACTAGAAAAAAGGGTGTGATGTCAAGGTTTTATGAAAACCCTGTAATTAGAGACATGTATCACCAATCCAGCATGAAATATGCTCAAAAAGAAATGCCTGCGTGCATGTATCTGACTGAGTACATCTGATAGTCAGACAATATGACCTTGTCCAGGTCGTGACAGCACTGTTTTTGTTCGGTGATCGGAGGATAGTAAAACTATCCTCCGAGTGACAAGTCATTGTAGTTAGACCTTCGTCCACCCGTGCAGTGCAAGGGACAGTTGATTCTCACTAAGACAATTACATCTCTGCAATTTACCTCCATTGATAGATTGTCCGAGGCCATTGCCTGTCGTGACTAGGCTCATAGATACAACCTCTAGTTACCTGCAGAAAGACAGTCGTTCCTTTTGTAATAGTCGTGACTGGTAGTAAATGATGCGATTACACTCGATGACGAAGGAAATGTCCAGATAACACCGCGTATAGCCTTACAGGATGCAGTAGAGTACAACAATGACACACAGGAACACGATACGGACCGAGAGATAAGAAGGGACGGTACATTTCAACGAGCTCACAGTCGCAGAAAGATAAAACAAACAGGGATGAGAATAATGATAATTGCACAAACATTTAACGGCGTTGAACGTTGAACCCCGATCATGAGTAGCCTGACATGCGCGCAGACCCCATCGACATGACACGCTTGGATCTCGCACGCTTGGATCTCCGAAGTTCAGCGCCACCCTGTTGAACCCCCTGTTGAACCACTTGCGGCTCTGGCTCGTACTTTCGTTTCGAGCTCTTGTTTAACGCCGTGGCCTGAATTTTGATAGAGGCCTTCCGACTTCGTGCTTTCGTGCTTTCGCCCGCCTGATTCGCCGCAGCAATCGCCGCAGCGATTGCTGCATTCGCGGGGTCGGCATGGCCAACCTCTTCAGTCTCCACGTAGGGCTTGAAGGGAATCGCACAATCGTCCTCTGGCCAGCCATCCAAACTCAGAGCCGTCTCGAACTTCTCCAATACAGCCTTGTACGTGAGATGCACAGTGGGACCGTTCCTTCTGCATTGACAATCGTCGCACAGAATGGTGAGCTCCTTCAGCAACCATGTCAAAGGTGCATTCCCCGGAACACCGAGGTACTGGTCTCTGCACAGCCACGCACGCTTCACCTCCCCACAGAGGACGTCATCATCGTGGAAGAACAGCAGCGAACATCTTTTCGCGCCTTTCGGATCGTCGTGCGAAGTGTGCCGGAGGACTAGCCAGATGAGGAGCCAATAGAAGGACTCCAAGTCATGATGTGCATCGTGAATTACACGCCTCTTGTTGAGCAACTCGACTGCCATGAAAGCGTATGTTCCCTGGAAGTAGCATTGAGTACAAGATCATCCTTCAAATACAGACAGTGGGACCCACCGTTCGTTCCTTCAGAGAGTCATTCGGATCGGCATCGGGTCTAGTGGGGTCATCATGTCCATCACGGACACCTGGCAGGAAACTGCTATAGTCGAAGTCGCCGATGAATCCCTTATACGGCATGTCATCAATCATATAGACGTTCCCTTCGCTTACGTCACGATGTAACATGCCAGTGCTGTATGCCTGTCGGTGACCTATATCGTGAATGCACATCAACTTAATCAGCCCTGCCTCCTTTTGCTAGAGAACGATGCCTACCTTTGATCGCATCGCACAACGCCTCGACCATCCGCTTCGTCCGACAGAAATTTGACAAAGGTATGCCTAGCGTCTCCTGAATCAATCGTATATGCCTGCTATCGTTCTTCTCCGCATACTTCGGATTTCGGACAAATGCCGACAGAGTTCGATGCCCTTCCCTGATTCGCGCAGTCAAAGAAAGCGGGAGGAGGTGGAGATACAACTGGGTTAAACGGATTCGGCTCGTCTGGTTCCGGAGCGGCCATCGATGTTTGCGTTCGAGGCGGCGATGACAAAGGGGAGGACAAAGGGTCCGCATCATCCGCACCCATCGAGATGGATGAAGGAGCGAGCGGCGTGCTCGACGGATCGGGAAGATCAGACGGCGCATTCCCGGGCACGAGGGGTTCGCGGATTTGATCATCTAGCTTCATTCGTTCCTTATCTTCCAGGTCACCGAGGTCCGCTCCAGCCCGCAGTACAGCCAATCCGAACGGTTCTTCGTTTCGATCCCGCAACGTCTTCATTATATGGGAACAGTATGTCATTTCTGACTCTCGAAGTCCCTGCCGCCACGAGTCCTTGATAACGTACTGCTTGCCACTGATATCGTCCTTATCGATCGCCGACCATACCGTCGTCGAGCGGGAGAACAGACAAGGGTTGATAAAGAGCAGCTTGACCGTTAGTAAATTCATCTTCACCGTCTCACCTTCCTTGGTCACGGCGTCTGCGGAAATCCACCGGTGCATTTCGGCATCGGAGCCTTGAACATCCTCTGGCTCCAGTACGTCCTCCACCCATCGGAGGTGTGACCTTGTGATCTTAGTATCTACCGTCGGGTCGTCGCCAGAAATCCGTGTGTCGCAGAGAGGATTGACGAAATTCCAGAAGAATTGCCGGAAGAGCTCAGGCCGCTCGACGTAGTTGAACCTAGGTGAGACAATACACGACGAGTGGTCGAACCGAAAGATGCGTGCCTCGTGGCCGAATATCCCGAACACGAACGCAAACAGGCCACTGTGGCCCACGAGGAGATTCCGCCCATTCTTGACAAGCTGCCTCATCGTGTTGTCTCCATCCTCGGCCCACCTGCTAATGGGGTCGTCGCTTCTTTCAGGCTTGACTTCGATCGCCAGTGCAACATCTTTCCAATGAGGGTCCTTCAGCGAGGTGGTCGTTCCCGGGTAGGAGGTGATCAGGTCGGGTTTCGTGCGGTGATGATGAAGGTCCCACGACATGTACGGGAACGGGATCATGTGGTTGCTGTTATCATGGAACCTAAGTGACTTTGCCATTGGGAAGTCTTCGGTGAGAGCGAGGAACCCATTGACCTAAAGGCCACACAATCAGACCATCATTAACATGGGCCACAGGAGGGCAACCCACCAGAGGGTTATACATTAACGGTTCGGGGCGGTCTTCAGGAACCTTGTCGAATTTCCTAGAGCAGTCCATCGGAGGGCACACTGCTTCGCTCGCAGGTACGAGAACGTTGATGAACGAGTCGATAGTCCCATGGTATTCATTTATCTTGCCACGATATTCCGACGCCCATGCTTGTTGGTTCTTCTTGTTCGCCTCCCTGCGGTGAGCCTCTTTAGCAATCTGCTTGTAAGACTTAGCAATGAGAGGTGTGGCTGACAACATGCTCGAGCCACTGGAGTCTGCAGAGCAGGCACTCCAGAAGCTGCAGCCAGAGTCGGATACATCGGAAGATGACATCGTAATTTATAATGGTTGAAATGTCGGAGATTTGATTTGGCTTGGCCAAGTTGTGTACGCCCAAACTTGCACGAACAATGGTCTTCTCGCCACCGTAGGCTGTTTTCGTCAGTTTCAACCTCTCGAAGACGAACAATTTCAGATATACTCACTGGGAGAATTTGGGTAGAGCTATCCTCTTTCAATTTGTGAGGAGTAGAGCGCGATGGCTCGAAAGTTCAAGTTTGCAAGCGTTGGAAGGGAGCAAGTTGAACGTTGGCCTGCATAGGCGCTCAGCACAAGGCGTAACTCACGTGAACTTGCAAGACAATCCGCAGCAGCCACGGCCTGGAGATCGACCGCGTTTGGAAGTCGCTTTGTTCCTCGTGCCCTTTCTCTTTGTTCCTACATATTTTGCGAGACAAGTGGCGCAGCCCATGCCGCGAGATCACCTGCAACATATGAGTTAGATCTGTTAGAAAACGGCGCCGTGATCTGAACACATTTATCATTGATACCTTCACTCTGAATGAAGGAAGGGGCTTAGCGAATGTTGGACACAACAGGTTACTTGGATCGGTCCACCGAGGCCCAGATCTTGACACTGGGATTGAAGAACGCGATAACATCCCGTTAACATATCCGGCGAAGACTCACTGGGACTCAAAGAATTCGGTCAATTAGCAATGCGCACCAGACACTGCGACCACTTGAGGCTTCCAGACAATCCACACTAACGGCTCGGTCGACCTGACTTCGCGATCTCAGTCTGAGCCATTCGTGCAAAATCTATCGCCACGCCGAGTTACCGGACTCACCTGTAAGTCGGCAAGAAAAGAAAAACAGGTCATGTTCTGTAAGAGACAGCTTCAGATATGTCGCTCGGTGCGAAGGAGTCCAGCAGACTGGGGCTTCATCGTTGTCACACCGCGAAGTCACCTACATTTACGTGTGTATAAGAACAGATAAGAGGACTATTGGACTATGCTGCTTCTCCGAGCAGTGAGGTTAGAGACGACCATTGACATGATGATGGAAATTTACCATCAATCTCAGCGGAAGGACCGAGAAGTCGTGCCGAGGCGCATCTTTGAGTATGTTTGACTAACCCCCTATCAAGATGTTGACCCAAGATTAACTGGGAAAATAGCAAGGTACTGAATACTTAGAAATTTCGGGTCCCAGTCGCTGAGTCTGTCTTCTTAATCTTGGAGGAGTCAGTGCCAGCAAGTTGCAACCCTGTATTTCCTCATGAAGCCAGCACTCTACTCAACGCCCGGCGTTTGCCGGTGAGATGTTGTCATGCACCTCCACGAAACCAAAGCAGGAGTTTCACGTACAGGACTAGATTTGCTGCGGAAACATCACGAGTTATGAAACTGTATGCAATGGCAGTTTCCAGAAATCCCCGGTATATCCTGGCAGGAACTTGAAGTTTAATCTTGAGAAGTGCACGCCTTGAGTTGATTGTATACAGGTACAGATATGTGTACATGACAATACGTGTTCCATTCAATACACTTGATTACCGTAAAAGTATCGGACACGACGGAAAATTCAAGCCTCACAACCCTTTCGCTCCGACAGCTCAAACGGTAGGTCCCTGCATTCCAGACGGACCATCTCCCGTCACAGAGGCCATTCAAGCAGCGCCTGTGGGCACCCGGGAAGACCCTTCATCGATGATTCTGGTGCTGGAAGCGTGAAGTTGGGACAGCTTCCCTTCGCGCGTTCGCTGCAAATAGAACCCCACCATCAGTAGATCGAATGAGGACGTCAAGGTGTACAACTGACATCGTTAGCATCCCTTTGCTTCCGAAGCTCCTCCATGGTACGTCTGCATTGCAGCACATCTTCCTGGAGCCGCTGCTCATGCTGCTTGCTTAACTGACACCGCGGCTATGTGAGCGAGGACGGCGGGGCGCTGGCAAGAAGTGGCGCACCTCGAGTTCCTTCACGGCGTTCCTATGATCAGCGACGGCAGTATCGTGTTTGTGCTCTGCCTTGTTGAGCTCCATCGCGGTGGCGTGCTCTTCCTTTACCGCTTCGTCCAGTGCATGCTGCGCCTTGTCTACCGCCTGCTCTTGGACGTCAGCACCTCGTGAGCGCTGCAGCTTACGCGCGCACCTTGATGCCCTTCTCGTGCGACTTCTCTGCCTTGTTCAGGTCCTTGACGGCGTGTTCGAGGTTGCGCTGCTCATGGCGCGCCTCGTTCGCCGCGCTCTTCTCCGCCTTCCGGATTTCAGGATCGCTCGGTTTGGAGCCTCCAATTAATGGCATCGTCGTAGACTTTGTTGAAAGTATCGATTAGTTGAGCGAGGGAATAATCACCAGCTGAGTAATTTAGGCCAGATAATCCTGGAAATGCTCAGTGAACTAACTGTACATGAAAGAGAGGGAGATTGCCAACAAAAGCGTGCCGCATATAGTACATGAGGGGACATCTAGTAGGGGTGGGCGTGACCCGGCGGTGAGTATGACGTCACGCGCCCTCGTATCAAATCTATGCCTTAATAGTGTGAATGACAGGGAGTATCGTATCCCAGGGACACAGCTACTACTCAGCTGAGTCTATCCAGTAACGTTATGTTGGGATATTGCACTTCATCGTGCGCGCCCTTCGTGGCGTTCTTGTTCTCATCGGGAAAGGTAATCGAGATTCTAAACAAGATGGACAATAAGTAAAGTAAAGTGACCATTCTACGATTTTCGAATGCTCTTGTATCATACATAACAATAGTGTACTCACTACATAAGTAGCGTACTCGTACTACTTCCCCCTCAGTTCCTTACGGACAAGAGAACTGAGGGTGAGTTTATTAACTGCCGATTACCTTATGATTACTTACTGACTGCATACCTAGCCTACGATTATTCTACATAGGTATGCTTCAATATATTCTCAGTTCCTTACGGACAAGAGAACTGAGGCCTACGATTATTCTACATAGCCCGCAACTCGTAATCTCTACAGGTTATGAGCCCCGGCAGCATGTCGCTCAAAACCGAGACCCCCACTAATACACACCTTAACATTGTTCCGAAGCTCGCCACTGATGGCTCGAACTGGATCACATACAAGGAACGGATCCATACCGTCATGGGCTCTCGCGGTTTGATGCGACATCTCGAGGGCACCGCGCGCCGGCCGCCTGACCCCCTACCATACCCTCAGACAGCGCCAAGTGCCGCTGCAGTAACAGTGCCGAGCGCCACTGCAGCAACGACAACCACTGCCCCGACCCAACCTGCATTGACACCGGAGGAGTATCTTGCAAAGGTTGAGGCCGCTGAGAGCAAGTTGGACGATTTCTTGCAGAAGGAGTTTGCGGCACGGCAGCAGATCTACGGGACGATCAATGATGCGCTGCTTCTGCGCGTGAAGAAGCTCCCGACAGCCGCGGACGTGTGGGGTGCTATCCAGAAGGAGTACGAGGGGAAGTCGGAGATGTACTCCGGCGCGGTGAGGACTCGGCTTCAGAACATGAAGTGTGACGAGGGAGCAAACATCAGGACTCACCTTGATCAAATGCTCAAGTTCCGTGAAGAGCTGTCTTCGATGGGCGCAGCGATGGCGGACGCGGATTTCTCAGCATGCATCTACACGTCGCTTCCATCCTCCTATGGCACACTCCTCACGGCACTCACCACCGCTGCACGTCTATCCAAGAACACACTCACATCCGATGATGTTGTCTTCGCGATCTGCGAGGAATTTGATCGCAGGAGCCAAGGCCAGACTTCAGAGACTGCGCTGTTTGTCAAACCAGCCGGAAAGTTTGCATCGCGAGGAAAGGGGCAGAAAAACTCGAAAGACATCGAGTGCTTCAATTGCGGCCGAAGGGGCCATATGAAATCGGAGTGCTGGCGTGCAGGGGGTGGAAAGGAAGGCCAAGGACCGCGAAACCAGAACCCGAAGAAGGATGGCGATAAGGGCAAGTCGGGCACGAGTGCAAACACAGCTGTCAGCAGCAACACGGACGTGCATGCGTTCACGGCAACCTTCGACAGTGCAGCACTTGCTCATAGCCACACAGCTGATGGAAACATCCGGATCGAGGTCTATGACAGCGGTGCAACACGTCACATTTCCCCATATCGCGACACGTTCACGGCATTTGAGGCAACCCCTCCAAAGCCAATCACAGCAGCTGATGGCCGGGCATTCCACGCAACAGGTCAGGGAACCGTCGCCCTAAAGGTTCCAAATGGTGATCAGTGGACAACTGTCATGCTACAAGATGTGCTGTACGCACCCGATATAGCCTTCGCACTCATTTCCGTTGCGCGTGCCGATGCTGCAGGGTATTCTGCCATCTTTGAGCAAGGAGAGTGTCGTATCATCTCCCGCAGCAAAGGACGAATTGTCGGCCGCATCCCGTCAAACAATGGCCTCTTTCGTGTTGAGCATGCACGTACAACAGCCGGAATAGTTCTATTGCCACCTGGAGATGTTGTTGAGCATGGACTGGTGACGACATCAGTCATGGATTTTCATCGTCGCATGGGCCATATCTCACCTATGATCGCCGAACGCCTAGTGCGCGAAGGAAGAGTCGAAGGTGTCCGTTTGACAGACAGTGCGAAGCCGGGTACGGACCAATGCGAGTCGTGCATCCAGGCAAAAATCACGCGTCACCCAGTGCCGAAGGAGCGCGACGGTGCACGCGCCAAAGAACTAGGCGACAGAGTTCACTCGGACGTATGGGGACCTGCGCGTACTGAGACGATAGGCGGGAAGAAATACTTTACCTCGTTCACAGACGATGCAACACGCTGGACCGAATTGTACCTGCTGCATGCGAAGTCCGGTACCTTCCAGGCCTACAAGTCCTATGAGGCGAAGCTCAGTACACAGGATGGAAAAACTGTAAAGGCCTTGCAGTCCGATCGAGGGGGCGAATATATGAGTGCTGACTTCAAAGCTCACCTTGCTGCGAAAGGCACGGCCTCCCGTCTTACAGTGCATGACACCCCGCAACACAATGGGCTTGCAGAGCGTATCAATCGAACACTTCCGGAGCATGCGCGGGCAATGTTGATTGCCTCAGGCTTGCCGAAGAGTCTCTGGGGCGAGGCAATAATGCACGCAACTTGGTTGAAGAACCGAACGTCAACTCGTGCACTCGAGGGAAAAACACCATACGAGGTGCGCTACAGCAAAGTCCCAGACCTCGGCAACATCCACGAGTTCGGTGCAAAAGTGTGGGTACGCATCGAAGATGCCGGGAAACTTGATTCCAAGGCACGCGAGGGCCGATTCGTCGGTCACAGTGAGGAGAGCAAGGGGTACCGCGTGTACTGGCCGGACAAGCACAGCGTAACCGTGGAACGAAACGTCAAGTTCGTCCATGAAACAGTCATTTCGGACGACACTCAGCCCGAGAGGGCGAGGGCGACAGGCGGTCCGAGCGTGTCCAAAACGCTGTCAGTACCAGCGCCAGAAGAGGAAATGGCGTCACGCACCATCGATCCCCCGACCCCTGCCGCTCCAACTCCTCCGTCGTCACCTCCCGAAGCACCAGCTCCTGAGGCACCAAGCGGCAGAGGACATCGTGTTCGCAAGGCATCCGCATATGTCCAGCGATTGAACGATGGATCTGGTGTCGCCGACGGACGCCCGAGCCAGTCGAAATACCCAAAAGGTCTGCAACCTGGTGACCTGATGGGAGCTGTGGCCGTTGAGGCAGAAAGCGAGGATGAAGTTGAGTCGATCTTCGCGATGCCAGCATTGACGGAGACTCCTAGACAGGATCCGGCTTCTCTGAATGAAGCCATGCAGAGCACAGAATGGCCGAAATGGAAGGAAGCAATAGCGAAGGAGATGCAAAACCTTGATAGTCATGGCACATACACACTGGTCGAGCCACCTAAGAACACTAACATTGTAGGATCCAAATTCGTCTTCCGCATCAAACACAACGCGGAAGGTGAAATCGAGTCCTACAAGGCTCGTCTCGTGGCTCAGGGATTTACACAGGTGCCAGGGATCGACTTCAATGAGACATTTGCCCCAGTGGCCAAGCTCGCGTCGATTCGCCTGATTCTCGCGCTCGCCGCACGCTATGACTGGGAGCTGCACCAGATGGACGTCAAGGGGGCGTACCTGAACGGGGATCTCGAGGAAGAGATTTATATGCGGCAGCCTCCTGGGCAAGCTGAACCTGGGAAAGAGCACCTTGTCTGCAGGCTCAAGCGACCTCTGTATGGGCTAAAGCAGAGCGGTCGTCAGTTCCACAAGAAGATTTCTGGCGAACTTGGCAGCATGGGACTCACCAGGAGCAAGGTCGACCACTGCGTCTTCTGGCTTCGCAATGAAGAAGATGTCCTCATCTTGCTCATCGCGCTTTCCGTTGACGACTCGACCATTGCAGGCACCAAGGCGGCGGTTTTCTGGTTCAAGCGAGAGATCAGCACGCGTTTCGAGATGTCAGATCTCGGAGAGATGCACTGGATCTTAGGGATCGAAGTGCGGCGTGACCGCGACGCGCGCACATTGTCTCTGTCGCAGCGCGCGTATATCGACATGATTCTCACGCGTTTCAACCTCCAGGACGCGAAGTCATTGACTACACCACTTGACCCCGGGACTGTCCTCAGCATCCACCAATGCCCCTCCACTCCTCGTCAGTTTGAAGACATGAAGAACATACCATATCGCGAAGCGATCGGTTCGCTCATGTACGCGGCACTTGGGACGCGCCCCGACATTGCGTACGCCGTAACGGCTCTCTCGCAATTCATGCAGAATCCAGGACGGCCGCACTGGGAAGCAGCAAAGAGGGTTTTTAGGTACCTCGCAGGAACGAGGGAGAGATGGCTGACATTCGGAGAGACAACGGATGGCGTGGAAGGCTTCTCGGACGCGGACTGGGGATCGGCCGAGCACAGGCACTCGATTAGCGGGTATGTGTTCCTCCTTGATGGCGGCGCGGTCTCGTGGTCTGCTAAGAAGCAGAATGTTGTCGCGTTATCAAGCACCGAGGCGGAATACATCGCGATAACTCACGCGACAAAGGAAGCACTCTGGCTTCGTTCCCTCCTCGCCGATGTCCTCCACCCTGACATCCTCCGCTACCCGGTGCGCTTGCACAGCGACAACAAGTCGGCGATTGCCCTTGCTAAGGACGATGCTTACCACGCACGTACCAAACACATCGACATCCGCTTTCATTTCATCCGCGAGACCGTCGAGAATGGCCAGGTCATTCTGCAATACCGCCGTACTGAAGACATGCCGGCAGACATATTCACAAAGGTTCTGCCGCGCATCAAGGTCGAACATCTCTCGCGCCTCATTGGGCTGCACGAGAATTGAGAGGGCGTGTTGGGATATTGCACTTCATCGTGCGCGCCCTTCGTGGCGTTCTTGTTCTCATCGGGAAAGGTAATCGAGATTCTAAACAAGATGGACAATAAGTAAAGTAAAGTGACCATTCTACGATTTTCGAATGCTCTTGTATCATACATAACAATAGTGTACTCACTACATAAGTAGCGTACTCGTACTACTTCCCCCTCAGTTCCTTACGGACAAGAGAACTGAGGGTGAGTTTATTAACTGCCGATTACCTTATGATTACTTACTGACTGCATACCTAGCCTACGATTATTCTACATAGGTATGCTTCAATATATTCTCAGTTCCTTACGGACAAGAGAACTGAGGCCTACGATTATTCTACATAGCCCGCAACTCGTAATCTCTACACGTTACGCGACGTTGTACACTGACCAACAAATTCAACGTCAACGTCAACTACATCACTCCATTTTGGAAACTATTTTTTGAAAGACAAACCGATACAACTTGAAGCTGCGTATCATATTGTTCAAAGGAACTCCATTATTTATGACGTGTCACGGAAGCACGCAGCAATATAAGGATCGGGTGCTGCGATTGCTAGCAGTTTGGAGAAGATGGCAGTACTTAGTATCGGTAACCAAAAAAATGACATTGTGACCACAGGAATGAAACTCCCGATGTTTTCCACTGAGAGCCGAAAAAAATGTACACGGGCTTGTGTCTGATAATCGTAGTAGGACATAGCTGATTACAGGAAATAGTGCAACACGCACCTCGGTTTAGTAGTATGTATTCTGCAAGTGCTTCGGATTCACGCAACAAATCAAACTTCCTCCTTAGAGTCTGAATATAGACGCCGCATAATCTTCCATATGCTATATAAACCACGCCCTATTCCGAAGCCATGTCGATCGAGACGGCATGACACCGACAATTTAGCCGGGCGTTGAGTAGCCAGTGTCTGTAAAAGGGAGCCCTGCTGGCATTACATATGAAATCATGTGACGAGCGCGTCCTACTTCTGCGAGACGCGTCTCTCCTAGTCACCGTACCCACCGACAACGGGCTATGCGTTGCTCTGAAAAACTTTGACGATATAAGGCAGAACATGACCATCTCTCTCTACGACCAGGAACAAACGGATCAGGACTTGTTGTCGTACTTCGACAAGAGCGCGTCGGCCGTTCGTCAGTCGTTCAAGCAGTAAGGAATCCAATTATGAGCGGTACTTACCCTGTGCTGACCGAGTTCGATGGTAGCTTTGAGCAAGAGTATGCAAGGCCTGCACTCAACTACTTTCTGGAGTTTTCTCGATCCCGGCCTATTCTTGCAGTACGTCATGAGGATGGCGTGCGAGGCGAAATTAATGACTCGTAACAGACATTCCTGGGTGTATTCTCTACTTTCAGTGTCCTTCCAGTGCTCTCTTTCTTGTAAGTGCACTTCTGTCATTTATCATAGATTCTAACGCTCTCTCAGAGGATTCTCTCTCTTCGTCTTCGCTTCCTGCATTTTCTTCTCGCTCGCGGGAGCGCTGTTCGTAGCAACTACAATAGTCCTCTTATCAGGTAGGTCATCTCAATTCCATCTTTCGGGGAATCCACTAACACCAAGCAGGCCTGCTCCTCGTGGGCACGCTTACCATTCTCTTCTTTCTCTCCCTGTTCCTCACAGCCTGTGCGATGGGAATATACCTCTCCCTCCGCTTCGCTGTGCTGATCAACAAGGATGGACCACGAACAGGTGTCCCCGAGTGGTATCAAGAGACTAAAAAGAGTCTTCTCGCCTCCCAGCCAGGGGAAGATGCCGATGCCTCGGGACATCAGCCCAATGAATATATGGTCCGCAGCGACTCGGAGACGCTCATCTTTGACTCATTCCCCACTGCGCCAATGGCTCAGGCAGAGGCCGATAAACCTGGAGCAGAGGTACCTGAGGGCGATCTGGGGAAGGACATGGTCGTGGTGGTGAAAGAAGAGTAGTAGCTGCTCTCGTGCACATCGATATCTTGCAAGTTCTCGGTCGCTCTGCCTGTGTACGTTTATTGTTCTGCATCGTTCGGTTTTGGCATCAGTATTCTTACCGTGCTCCTAATATTCGAACGATGAGGCCCATGGGGCGAACGTCAGTGCCTGGATCTTTTTTCATTCGCCGATGCATCCGTTCTTCCGGTACTCCTTTCTAGTCTCCTGAAGACCATGTTGAGATTGCTGTTCCAGTTATGGTCTCCTGTGTAGCAACCGCGCTCCGAGGTGCTGCATCATCATCCACGTTCTTGTACCTAGCTATTTCCCGTCTCAAGATAAGTTCTAGAGATTGAGTAAGTCAACGTGAAACAGTCCCCGAACACCACTGGTCGGGTGCATGAATGCCACGCGCAGTAGCCTGATTAGCGTCCGGGTCGGCGCCAAGTCTCCACGAACCGCGCCAGCAGTTAGGAGCTTATGCGGCAGAGGCATATAAGACATCCTACCCAGCAACTTCGACACCATCTTCGACACTAGAATGTCTTCCCTCCCCGACGTCCCTGCGCCCTTCTCGCCTCTCGTAAAGCTCAATCTCCCGTCGCCGGAGGAGTACAGGAAGCGCAAGGTCGCGCTCATTTCAGGTAACGATGCACGAGACTCCAGCGAAACATTAATGCTGACGATGGGGGACCGATGCAGGCATCACGGGGCAGGATGGCTCGTATTTGTGAGTGTTCATTACTGGGCTTGGGATGGTCCTGGGAGGAATCTTGCCGTCGTGTGACACAAGAATTGATTATTATCGGCGTTGGGCTGTTCACTATCTACGTGGAGAGGCGTAGCATACTCCTGATGTCTGGGAGGCAGAAACAAAGACGATTATGATTCAGGCTTGGTTGGCTATCGGGCTGAACTTCGCCAGAAGGGAGTGAATGTTGTCCAAGGTCGCGAATTTGTGGCCGCAGATGGCGCATTGCACAAGGTCGGCTGGTCCGATATGATTCGTGCATATTGTCCCGGTTCAGGCTGGATTTTTTTTGCTGATGTTCACACTTAAGAATGCAATAACTAATACATGACGCGACAGGACCGAGCTACTCCTTTCGAAAGGCTACGAGGTGCATGGCATCATCCGCCGATCGTCCAGCTTCAACACAAGCCGTCTGCACCACCTGTACGAGGATCAACACGAGCGTATGATGCTCATCCGCGCTACATGCGCCTTTGCTCACGGGGTTCCACAGGGCCAAATAGATTCAAAATGCATTACGGCGATCTCAGCGACAGTACGAACCTCGTGTACATCATCGCGCAGGTGCAGCCGACGGAGGTGTACAACCTTGGTGCGCAGTCGCACGTCAAGGTGTCGTTCGAGATGGCGGAGTACACGGGCAACGTGGACGGTCTGGGCACGCTGCGGCTGTTGGACGCGATCCGGACGTGCGGGCTGACGAACTACGTGCGCTTCTACCAGGCGTCGACGTCCGAGCTGTACGGCAAGGTCGTCGAGACGCCGCAGAGCGAGACGACGCCGTTCTACCCTCGCTCGCCGTACGGCGTCGCGAAGCTGTACGGGTACTGGATCGTCATCAATTATCGCGAGGCGTACGGCATGTACGCGTGCAACGGGATCCTGTTCAACCACGAGAGCCCCCGCCGCGGCCGCACGTTCGTTACGCGCAAGATCTCGCGCGCTGCGGCGGACATCTCGCTTGGAAAGCAGTCATGCCTGTATCTCGGAAACCTCGATGCACAGCGTGACTGGGGTCATGGTGCGTTCCCTTTATGTGCAGTGTCGCGTATATTCAGGCTCATATTCTGTAGCTCGTGACTACGTCGAGGGCATGTGGCGTATGTTGCAGCAACCCCAAGCAGACGATTTCGTCCTCGCGACGGGTGAGACGCACCCCGTCCGCGAGTTCGTGGAGAAGTCCTTCGCCATACTCGGAATGCAGATCCAGTATGTCTCTACATTTTTGCGCCTCACATATATGCATCTAAGCATCGTGCTCAGATGGCGCGGCTCTGGCACTTCCGAGGAGGGCATAGACGCCAAGTCCGGCAAGGTCGTCGTAAAGGTGGATCCTGGGTATTTCCGTCCCGCCGAAGTCGAGTACGTTGCTCGCTCTCTATCCGATCGCGCCCCAATACTGACTGCGTTCTAGTCTCTTGCTGGGTAACCCCGCCAAGGCCGAGCGCCTCCTTGGCTGGAAGCGTAAGGTGGACTTCAACTCACTGGTCAAAGAAATGGTCGAGGCCGACCTCACGGCGGCCAAGTCGCTCATAGAAGACCAGAACTAGAGAGGACATTCCACATGTTGGCCTCGCAGCGTCTGCTTAATACCTTCAATCACCGCAGATGCCGTAGGACTGGTGCTACTTGTACAATATCCTGCACATAGTTCGCGCAGAACGGACTTGTCTCCACGACCCTCTACTTCAACCCGCGTCAGTTTTACGATATTTTGAATTCAAATAAATGGACGGTGTACCAACGATATACTAGGAGTGTCGCACGGTTGAGGACCCTTCCGCAATTCCCGCAAAATGTCAGACTCGGTATGCGCAGACGAGCAATAGTGCTACGGTCAAGCATACTATTACAACACATAAGATCGTCCGCTCGTCCTTAATGGTGTCTCAGTGGTATCTACAATCAAGGAGAACCCCACTCTAGTGTCCCTTACTCGTCCTGGCGTTCTCGAAATTCTTCACGAACCAGCTGACACTCTCGTCCAATGCTGCAAACCCACGGTCAGCTTAAGCAGCGACGCTAACTGGACAGTATGCAAACCTTTTGCGAATGGGGTGAAATGGAAGTCGCCAATGAGCGACAATAGCTTCTTGTTCGACGCGGGCTTGCGGAACTGGCCGTCCGCGCGACTGGTGTCGAAAGTGTACTCGCCCTTGAAGTCCAGCGCCTTCACGATCGCATCCGCAACCTGCTTGATGCTGATCTCCTCGTCTTCCCCGACTGCACTCCGCGCGTCAGTTATGGTACTAAAATTCAAGATATACAGATGAACGCGTACCAGACAGTATTAGCGGCTCGACGTCTTCATATTCCCGCAGCTGCCAGATAAAGAGCTTCGCGAGATCGCGGGAGTAGATGAACTGCCGCAGGGGCTTCCCAGTACCTCCTACTACGAACGGTGTGCCGTTCTCTGGGGACAGAGTTAGTCACGTACATACTGAGATTGGACGAAGTGCCTACTCTTTGCGAGGTAGCACTTGTGAATGAGTCCTGGGATGACGTGCGCGCTCTCAAGATCGCTGAAGCACATATTCACGTAAGAGGGCAGGAACAGGAGACGTGGACGACTCACTAGTTATCGTGCGGGCCAAAGATGTTCGTCGGGATGGCAGACGTAAAGTTGCATCCGTACTGGTCCTTGTACGCACTGCACAATGCGGAAACTAAGACTATGGGCTAGGGTTGGCGATGCGGCACTTACTGGTTCTGAACGTCTACCAGCCGCTTCGCGTGTGCGTAGCCGAAGTTGCTCTCGTGTGGGAGCCCAAGGTGGATCTTCGTCTCGTCCAGCGGGTAGGAAACCTTGTCAGGGTAGACACAGGTCGAGAGGCAAGAGATGACCTTCTTGACGTTGTAAAGGTAGGAGGTGTGCAAGACATTGTCGTTGATCAAGACATTATCCCTGAGGAAAGTGAGCTGCGTGCTCGTGTAAGCCAATATCCCATGGGAAGATGGCAGTACAACCGACCTTGTACTTCATGTTGATGAAGAGCCCCCCGACTGCGGTATGAGGATTAATCCACATTATTCGCAATACAACAGCGAGATACATACCGATGGCAGCGAGATGAATGACATGGGTGGGCTTGTACTTCTCGAAGAGCCTCTTGGTCTGCTCCGGGTCCCTGCCTCCAATTATGTCTACGATAAGAGAATTCAGAGTCGACAACCCTCACCTCAGATCGGCCTCGGAGGAACTGGCAAAGATCCACTTCTCTCCAGGTTTCTTGCCAAATCGGGAACCCTCAGGCTCGTTTTCGATAACGTACCTGATGGCTGAGCCAACAAGGCCAGTGCCTCCGGTAACGAGGATGACAGACATCGTCAAAGGAGTGCTCAAATTGAGAGAACTATAGGAGAGACTGGACGAGCGTGAGCCTGAGGAGATGGCAGACCAAGTATTTTGGCGCCTGCTCACGGCCCGTTCAAGCGCTCGAGCTCTTCCGAGGCTCCTTCACACTTCCTTCACTCAACCCGGCGGCCCTTCACTGGTACATATCTCTCACAATCTCTCTTGTGCGTCAGGCTAATCCCAGAAATACTGATAAGTCAGATTTTTCGATGGAGTTGAATTGACCGTTCGTGAGTTTTTGCTCATGTCCGCAAGCTTCACCTCAAGCTCATGAATAATGTTCATTCATCGCACGCATCTCCTTTATTATCAATTCAAGTAGCCGTCAGCGTGACCGTAAAGCTGAAGAGATGGTGATTCAGCTATCTAGCCGCCTTCTACAATGCCGATAATTTGAAAGACGGCTGACTGTTTAGCATCAACACAGAGGTCTATTTAGCTAGGGTCTCATCCCTGACCATGGCATATCGCTGGACGCAGGGGGTTAGCTGAGTGGAAGTCGGATTCTAGTTTCGGGACTTACCTTGGACGGCTGTTCGGACCCCGCCAAGGACAGGCTGCACAAGTTGGTTCAGGTACGTTTGTGTTACTTGGCAAGGATGTGACCGTACGGACTACTGTAGGTCATACAGTTTCGTTAGACAGCTCTATACGTTTGAGCTGCGTACACGATAGCTGGTTGAAAATGCACAGTCGTGATCCCGTTATCCTCCAGGCCACGAGTGTGCGTGTATTATCCTGTCTTTACAAGGTTTATCTGACTGACAGATCGTCCTGAAAAGTGGCTCGAGGATTCATCAACGAGACGAGTACGGGTGGAAGGTTCCTACAGACCTCTATTTTGATGTTGCAGAGTTCAATGTTGCAAATAGATGCTGGAGGCTCGTGCTGCGACAAAACATCCCAACTGTAATAGAAGGAGGCACTAATACAGTTGGTCATCTCAACCTGAAGTCATTCCTGAACGTCCTGGCTGGTATAGATCTTACAGTCTTTGTGTGGCTGGAACATCGCCAGCCTACTGTCCGCGCACTACAGCAAGATTCGTGGAGAACTAGCGCCTGACGCGCAAGTACTGTGCTCCAAGTTGTTGAGCAAGTCGCTTGGAGAGTACTTACGACATGCTCAGCTCTCGGTACGGTGCTCGCTGTTGTTTGCTATGCTGCTCCGACTACGAAGTTCTGTTGGTGTCGAAACTTGTCGAAGTTACTCATCTGTCGGCATTGGTATAACAAAGTCTGTTGAGATTCGACTTTACGATCCCATGATCTCGCCCGTCTGTCGAATTGTGAGGCTAGACTGATTCTGTCCCGGAGTTGATATGTCCTCTCGTTACAAAGTCTTAGACACGGCTTATGGTAGATAAGCTTGTTTTCATTGTGCACAAAGGCCACTCATCGAGTATTATAACTAGTGGCCTTTGATGGTGTTGCAGTCGACACCGCTCACGATGAAGTATCATTGGGCGCCAGGAGCCAAGAGGGATTCAGACGAAACCACGGACAGCGCAAGTACATGCTGAGGGACGGACGGAGCCTGCATGAAACTCAAAATAAAGACTTGAAGGCTATACGATCGCCGACTTGCAGCGTTTTGAACTTGGGTTAAGGTCCTCCTCAGGCTCGCGCTTTCGTTTGGAGGAAGACATTGGTACCTTGTCCTGAACCGTGTTTACCGTCTGACCTTGCTCCGAGTTTCTCGCGTTGTCTTTTAACCTCGACTGCTTCACCCATTGCTATATTCGCGGGATCGGTATAGCTCACCTCTTCAGAATCCACATTGGGCTTTAACGGTAGTGCACGATCGTCCTCTGACCAGCCGTCCATGTTCAGAGCTGCCTCGAACTTCCCCGTGACAGCGTCATGCGTGAGCAATACGGGGGGACCACGCAGGGTGAAGTTGCCTACGCGGCACAGAATGGTAAACTCCTTCAGCATCCACGTCAGAGATGCGTTCCCCGGAACACTGAGGTACTGGTCCTCGCTTATCAGCCACCCGCGCTTCATGTTGGCACAAAGGTGGTCGTTTTCGTGAAGAAACATTAGTGAATGTGCCTTCATGCCTTCCGGATCGGTATGCACGGTGTGTCGGATGACTAGCCAAATAAAGAGCCAGTAGAAGGATTCCAAGTCGTTGTGTGCATCATGAATGACACCCTTATTATCGAGCAGCTTGATCGCCACGAAAGCGTGCGTTCCCTGGCAGCAGCGTTTAGTACAAGATCATTCTCCAATAGACAGTAAAACCCACCATTCGTTCCTTCACAGAGTCGGTCGGATTGGCATCGGGTCTCGTCAGGTCATCGTGACCGCTCTGGAGAGTCGGTACGAAACTGCTGTAGTCCGAGTCGCCGATGCATCCCTTGTACGGTTTGCCATCAATCATATAGACGTCCCCTTCACTTACGTCTCGGCGCAATACACCACCACTGCAAGCCCGCTGACGTCCTGTATTGGGGTTGCATATAACTCATTGTCAACCTGAGTCGTCGCGCTAGAGAGAAAGATGCATACCTTCGATAGCGTCACACAATGTGTTGACCACCCGTTTTGTGCTAGGGAACCTTGACAGTGGAATCCCCGGTGTCTCTAGGACGACCCGCATATGGCTGCGATCATGATACTCCGCAGTGGCGGGATCACATACGAATGTTGACAGGGTCCGGTGACCTGCCTGCGCATTCGAAGAAAACTTGTGAAAGTTCGGGACTGTTGGTTGGATTGCGGTAGGCTGATTCGGGAACCGTTATCCATAACCGCTTAGATGAAGGAGGCGGAGACAAAGGGGATAACGAGAAATGGTCAACGTTTCCTGTCGTCGCAGGTGATGGAGGAGGTAAAGACAAAGGGGATAACGAAAAAAGGTTGACATTCTTTGTCGGCAGGGGTGAGGAGGGAAGCGCGGACAAAGGGGACAACGAGAAAAGGTCGACATCGCCCGTACGCGAAGATGACGAAGCAAGCGGCGCACTCGACCTATCGAGAGCATGAGATGGTGGTTTCCTAAGAACAGGCTGCTCCGGTGGCGGACCATACGGCTCCATTTGTTCGTTGTCTTCCTTCACACCAAGATCGGTCCCGGCCTGTACCACGGCCAATCCAAATGGGTGTTCGTTTCGCTCCCGTAATGCCTTCAGTATATGGGAGTAGTACACCGTTTCTGACTGGGGATCCTGCGGCTGCCACGAGTCTTTGATAACGTACTGCTCGCCGCTCTCGTCGTCTCTCTCGATCGCGGACCATATCATCGTCGAGTGACAGAACAGGCAGGGATCGATGAAAAGCAACTTCACCGTCAGAAACTCTTTGATCATGATCTCACCGTTCTCTGTCTCTACTTCCGCCCTGATCCAGCTGCTCATGTCAAGATCCAGGCCGGGTAATTTCTCTTTCCCAAACACATTTCGCGCCCAGGCCAGTTCTAGGTTTGTAGGCACAGATACAAGTGGGTCGACACCAGAGATCGCCGTGCCAAGCAGGGGGTTGACAAAGTTCCAGAAGAATTGCTTGAGAAGCTCTGGCCGCTGGACATAGTTGAATTGAGGTGATGCAATGACGGAGGAGTGATCAAAGCGAAAGATGCATGCGCGGTGCCCAAAGATGTTTATAAGAAAGGCAAAGAGGCCCATGTGGCCCATCAGCAGATTGTGCCCACTACTAACAAGCCCCATCACGGTGTTGGCATGCTCTTTGGAAAACTGCCACGTGGGATCGTCGGTCTGACAAGGCTTGACATCAATAGCGAGTGAAATATCACTCCATCGAGGTGCACACAGCGTCTCAGCTGTTCCTGGGTAGGAAACGGTAAGGTCGGTTTTGGCTTGACGATGGTAGGGATCGCGCGACATGTAAGGGAACCGCATCGAGAAGTTGCTGTAGTTCAGGAATGTAAGCGATTTCGCAGCAGGGAAGTCCTCGGTAAGCATGTGGAATGCCTTGACCTAGATACAATAATCGGATCACCTTGATGTGAGCCACAACAGAGCAACTCACTAAAGGTTCATACATCAATTGTTCGTCACAGTCATTGGGAACGCGGTCGAATATCCCAGAGCAGTCCAAGGTCGGGCACGCCACTTCGCTGGGAACTAGAATCTGCACGAATGAGTCAATGGTTCCGTTAAACTGTTTGATCTTGTGAAGATATTGTGATGTCCATTCGTACCGATTCTGCTCATTCGCATCGTGGATTGTAGGAGAAGCCACGGGCACGCCCGAGCAACTAGACTCTGTAGAGCCGCAACTCCAGAAGCTGCAACCACAGTCAGACCTCTCAGAGTCTGCCGTCGAGTTTGACTGTGAGTGAAAATATGACATTGTTTGGGTGACAATCTCGGTGATGGGAGGTGGCCTAAAGGTCGAGGGAGTGTCAAGATAGGTTTCATGTTAATCATCTCATCAATCGAGCCTTTAAGCTCACTATAGATTGTCCGCTTCGAGTTACGCAGCAGCAGTCGTATACAGCAGAGCGCGTTGGTGTAGGAACGGACACAAATGACAGCATACGTCACGTGGTCGTGTTGGGCTTAACGCGACCACATGACGTAGGCCAGGTGGCGAGCTACCTTGACATATCCACGCCGACCATTCATCTGTATTCTTCTGGAGATCTTCGGGAAAAGAGGCCTTTGTTGTCGTAGACCATGCGCACGGACTTCCATGTTTCCGCAATGTCGAACAAATGATTGAGGCGACGTACGGTACAGAGAGCCAGGAGGATTTTCACCATACTGGAATGTTCAGCAGCACAGGAAACGTTTTCGAAGATGAGATTTCATGGAAGGAAGAATTACATCCAGCTCGGTGGACGACCTCGAGTCCGGTGGTTAATGTTGTGGAACACTGGTGAGCGCACCTTGTGGTGACGTAAATAACGAGAGTCCGGGGATAATTTAGGAGGGACAGAGAGGACCAGACTACTACTTCAAGGCATTGGAGTTGTTAGTTGAGAAGGATATCTCTCTTGACGTCCACCACGATGTCGAATCCTTCTTCTCTGGGTGCTCATCTGGCTAGTCGTCGGACAGATGAACCACACTCACCCAAGGGTGTGTCTGTATGTTGGTTCCTGTTGACGCCCGACGCCCGATACCTACTGACTTTGCTGGTCCAGGTCGGTGAAGAGGGCGCTCCTCCTCCACTGGAGTATCAATGCAGATAGTGTGTGTGTTCCTCGCGGAACGTTCAGATGCCGCGGACGGCTTTGAAGGGTTCCTGACCGATTTCGGTCTTACTGCGCTTCCTGACGAATCTGAATGCCCCACCGCTGAAGAGTGCCGAATCGGAAAGGGCGGTATCACGGGTCTATAGCATAGTATGAAAATAAACTCACTTTTTCCAAGGCACTCTGAAATTAACGGCAGACCATCGTAGGGAAAACCGTCCTTCGGGGCATCCATCGTGACCTGGAGTCGTTTGTCCTGATTTTCGTCCACGACTCCACACCGTCTACAGGCACGCGATGCAAAACTGGACAGACAACAGTCAGGACAGAGTCCACCTCGGGCGCGAATTCGACCAATTGTTCGGCACATTTACCATCAAAGATGTCCTCTGGAAATGCAAGGCCGTGCAGACAGCATTCGTGCCCCGCCAGTCTGCATCACACGGACCCGGGATAGCGTTTCTGCTCGCTGCATTCTGAGATGCTGTCAGAATCCAGAATCCCAATGGAGGTAAGGGTAAATCAGAAGCAGTGGTTTGCGACATATTCTTGGCGTGAAAACGTTTTCTTGGGATCGATATCATTTGCTGCCTGTTCTCCTAGTACGATTGTTTGTTTGGTAGCTGGCTTTACTCTTGCATTCTCGTGCAGCCATGCTGGCCGTGTTGCACGGTTTGTTGTTGTCTGTAGCGCTTTGTGTGATAAGTAAGTGACGATCACGCGTTGGTGAGAGTATGCTGCGTCTCGTAGGGTGCAATCGGAACGTGTCGGATTGACAGTATGGAATAGACGACGATGCGAGGTAGCAGCGAAGGGCCTAGACTCCACGTAGGCAGGCAGGAGGGGGTTAGGACGGCCCAGCACCTCGCTCGGCTCTCCAGTCGGGATGTTGTGGAATGTGCTTGCTCGCCCGACCTTCCGGGGCGAAGCCTCCTCCATCATCTCTCCCAGCGAGGGATGGGCGAGGGATGGGACGTTCTGCAAGAGTCCGGCTGAGTTCGGGTGGCGCGGTACCACTGCATACACGGTCTGAGATGGATGAGTAACGGGGCAAGGTCTCGGTGAGAAAACTGCTGACAGCCGAATGACGCGTATGTCCGTGCTTCACATAGCGGTTGCGTAGCATCGTATACGGAAACCTACGGGCCATATATATGAGTACACAACTGCGCCGAGCCGGCGACGTCGTATCGCTAAATGTAGACCGCTTCGTAATGCAGTCTGGACTGGGAAAAACACACCACTTCCGAGTTCACTAGGAGGATATGAAAGAAGACTGGCATACGGTTGCAAGATGCAAGGACTATCAATTGTCGAGGCACATCCCACACGCCTCACACTCCACGAAGGCGCAGGAGAGCACACGGAGAGGATGTTCGGTGCCGGGGAGAGATCTGAGAATCTGTCTATCAGATCTGGGCGGTAGCACGTACAGACGTACCACCGGGAAAGCGGCGGCTACCCCAGTCCCGAATGTCATGAGCGGGTCTGCAGCTGCGAGCGCTGCCCCGCGCTGCCCAGTTCCCGCGCTGTCCCCCGCCGTGCCCGACAGCGATGAAGTTGAAGCGGCGCTCGCAGCGCGCCTTTTCGGGCGCCTGCCCGCCGTGCCGCCGCGTGACGTGACTGTATAGCCCTTTACCCCGTCACGGAGGGTGACGGTTTGAAGAGAGCGTTGGATAGGCCGCCTCGACACGGACACGGTGCAGCGGAAGCTCCATCTCACCCCTTCCGGAATCAGTCGCCATTTGTTCGCTTTCATCCGGGAATCTTCGTTGTTTCGGAAGCTGCGCAGACGAGCATTGGATCGCCGCGGGGCCCCTGTGTCCCTCATCTGCCTGGCATCTGCCCAAGTCTCTCTATACCCTTCAGTCTCCCAGTCTCGGCTCCCAGCCCTGACCACCGCACGTAAGCCCGCCCGCCACCCAGTCTCCCTCCCTTTCTGTCTTCCACTCCCAGTTCACGTCCCGCCCCTCCCCGCCTTTATCTCCCCCGTCCCCGCTCCTGTCCCACGTGCCTCACCGCTGACATGCCGCTCTCCCGCCCCCACAGCTCTCCCAGACTCCAGTCCTCCGCCCGCGCGCGTAACGTGACCGACGCGTCCGTCCTGCGCGCCCATGAACTCCTCCCCGTCCCCCCAGTCCTCCGCCGCCCAGCCCCAGCCGTCCATCAATCCGGCCCTCCTCGGCTCGTTCTTCAACCAGTCCGCACCCGCGAGCATCTCCCAGCAGTACCAGAACCTTTCCCCTCAGCAGCAGCAGCAGCTTCAGCAGCTCTATGCCTCGCGCAACGCCGGAGGCGGCGTCAACCCCCAGATGTTCCACCAGCAGCAGCAGCAGCAGCAGCAGCAGCAGCAGCAGCAGCAGCAGCAGCAGCAGCAGCAGCACCAACAACATCAGCAACAACAGCAACAGCAGTTCCAGAACGCGAACGCTGCTGGTGGTGTTAACTCGGCCGCGCTCATGGGCGCGCGTATCGCCCAAATGCAGCGCCAGCAGCATGGACAAGTCGGGATGGGCGTGAGCCCTGCACAGCTGCTCGCCAATGCTGGTGGTAACATGGGAGCTATGGCGGGTATGAACAACATGGGCATGGGCGGCATGAACGCGATGAATGGGATGGGTGGTATAAACTCGATGGAGATGGGTGATATGGGTGGTATCAACCCGGCTGCGTTGAATATGAGCATGAACATGAACATGGGAGGTGAGTTCAATTTAAATCCTCGCGTGCTGTTCCATTGTTTTGGATCTCTACCTGCCACGCTTTGTCCTATCGTGTGGCGGGATTGCGCTGTCATGGCCTCTGGGGCTCCACGCATATGAACTCGCTTCGTATCGTACTGGTCCGTCTGAGGGGAACATTTGCGAGTTCTCCATATCGTCGACATTGTATAACCACCCATCGCGCGGGGCTGGTGCTTTCCAGCGAGTACTGTCGAGTTTTATTGGCACCGGTTCGCCGTAAGCCGTGAAAGGCCTTGCGCGTCGCCGCATGTTCTTGTTTTCTTCTGATTGTGGGATATTATCGCTCGATGATTTTTCACGGACATTGTATGACTGCTCGTCTTTGCGGAGTGTTCTCTGGCATGGTGGCTGCAGTGGCGTCTCGCCTTCTCCCTTCATTGCTCGAAAGGCTACTGTGTAGCCTGTGCTTCAGCCATGGGATGTGGTACCCCGCCGTCAGTTCGATGTGTCTGGTTTTGTTTTCATCCGGATACGCGTGCGGGCTGACCTGTCGTATCGCGCCTGGCATGCACTCAACGATTTGCACTGGTGTTCACTTTCCCCCCCTCAACTGTACAGCTGATGTGGAATCTTTCCCGTTCTTGCTCTCGTCGATATCACAGCCCCGTCCGATAATTTTCAGATTTTATATTCTCACTCTTGTTCTTTTCTGGAGAGCATAACTGACTCATTTCTACCCGTAGGCTCCCTGACATCACCAACACATTCTACATCCACACACCCCCAGAATTTAAATTCCAACACTCACACGAACGCCCCCGGGAGCCTATCCGGAAGCCCAATCGCGCCCAACGCGGCGCTGCACTCACAACACCCGCAGGCACCGCCGACGCCCGCGCCGTCGGCTACACCGCACCAGCAGCAACACGTGCCGAACCTGTCGCACTACCCGAATGCGATGCTGAACGCGATGCCCACGCCGAACGCGGGCGCGAACGCCGGTACGAATGTGATGGGCATGCAGCTAAACCCGACACAGATGCAGCAGCTGGCGGCGATGGCACCCGCGGAGCGCGAGCGGGCGATGGCGCGGATGCAGGAGCGGGTGGTGCACATGCAGCGGATGGCGCAGATGGGCGCGCAGAACCAGGGTCAAGGCATGGGGGCGTCGGGCATGAGCCAGAACGGGATGCAGGGCGCGCCGTACGGGTTGTCGTACTTCCAGCAGCAACAACAGCAACTGCAGCATCAGCACCAGCAACTGCAGCAACAGCACCAGCAACAGCAGCAGCACCAACAACAACAGCAGCAGCTGCAGCTGCAGCAACAGCAACAGCACCAGCAACAACACCAGCAGCAGCCGTCGACACTACAGCAACAGCAGCTCGAACGCTTCCAGCAGCTCTCGCAGGGCGCGTACGCCCAGGCCCGTCCGTCCTCGGCGTCGTCTGCCACGTCGGGTTCCCATCGCGCACAGGCACAGAACCAGGCGCAGAATCCGCAAATGTCAGGACAGGGACAAATGCAGCAGCAGCAGGCTCACCTCCAGCAGCATCAATTCTACCCCCAGCAGCCACACCGCTCGTCCACTCCGCATGCAGGCCCCTCCGGTGGCCCCCAGATCCAGGGTCAAGGTCAGCACCAGATGATGCCGCCACCGCCCCCGCGGGGGCCCACCTCAAGCGCCAGCCCGCGTCCCCCTTCGCGGCATTCGCAGCGCGCGCTCTCGCAGTCACGCCCGGGCACTGGTGGCGCGGGAGCGAGCCCGCCGCCCCCGAACGTGAACGGCGTGAACGGCCCCATTCCTATACCAATACCGACGCCAGTGCCGATTCAGCCCCGCCCGATGTCGAGTAGCAGCTCGGCAGGCCTGCCGGGGATGCGACCGGGCACGGGCATGTCGATGCATCCAGACGGGATGGGACAGGCGCACGCGCAGGGAGGCGCGCCGAAGGCACCGAGCCGGCCTGCGACTGCTGCAGGATTTCACCACCAGCAGCAACAACAACAGCATGGCGCGAACGGGGCCTCGTTTTATGTCCAGAATGGCGCCCAGCAGCAGCAGAAGGCTCCGTCACCCGGATACGCGCCTATCGCACCTGCGCCCGCTCAGCCGGGCTCGCCCAGTCGTGGCGCGAAGAGGAAAGTGAGCGGAACGCCGGTCTCTGCATCTGTCGCGCTGCCCAGCCAAAATCCGCCCCAGCAGCAAGCTCCGCAGGCTCACCTACAACAGCAGCCGTCCGCTCAGCAAAGCCATCAGCCGCCACAAACCCCGCGTATAACTGGTGCGGATTTGGGTTTACCCATGAACGGATCTGTTAGTGGAACAGGCCTCAGTGGAATGGGTATCACGGGCAACGTCGGTCCCAGAGAAGTTTCCCATGTGGGCGCCGGCGCAGGTATGGGCGTCAACCTACTTGGAGGCGCCGGCGGAGGCATGATGGGGCCCCCCGTCCTTCCAAGGCAGCTTCCAGGAAACGAGGTTCCGATAAACATGGGTATAGGCGCCGGCCCGAATGGCTTCGCTGGACAGGGCAGACAGCTGCCCATGGGCTCCCAACCGCTTCACGTACAGACCAACGCGAACAACTTCCTAGGGTTCCCGAACCAGAGTTTGAGTGCAACCGCTACCTCTCCGTTGAGCCCTTCCCAGAGCCAGATGGTCGATCCCGCCGCGGCTGCGCGCGCGATGGCCAGCCTGACAGGTGGGATGGGCCTCCCTGGACTGGGGATGGGCAATGGAACGGGAAGCATGGGCGGTCTTGATGTTCCTGTCCCGCAGACACCGCGCCAACGGCAAGCATCGCAGCCACCTGCAATGTCCTCATTCCAGTCTGTTTCATCGCCCACCGCCAGCGTAAGTCTCTCTGGACAAGCAGGCCCAGCGCAGCAACACCCTACCGCTTTGGAACGCACCTTGAGTTCGACATCTATGGGTTCCGCGATACTTCCAGCTTCCTTATCGAGAGGCGGCGAATCGGCCTCTTCGAGCACGAGCGCGATCGCACCCGCGGCGGCTGCACCCCAGCAGCATGCATCGGCCGCGATACCCCACTTACCGCCCCTCCCTCCCGGTGTCTCGCTGAACCCGAAGGTCACGCGGGTGACTTTCGTCCCGCTGGTCGAGTCGACCACACACATACCACCACTTACCCCAGACGAGATCGCTGACGTCCAGCGCTGGATGGCGCTGGATAAGGACTACGAGGCGCTCTACCGCCGGATGCGCGAGCGCATGGGACGTGAGCTTCGCGAGACCGTTGCCGCTCCGCACGCATGGTGGGAGAAGGATCCCGCGGACGAGGTGCGCCTGCGGCGGCCCCGGGACAAGTTTGTGCTCACGGGCTTGAAGGAGCGGCCGGGGAAGGAGAAGAAACGCACGGGCAGGAGAGAGGGGTTCAAGCTGTGAGTATGCAGACGCACTGGGTGGCTGCCGCGTGGGCGCATGCTGACGCCTCTTCTTCCAGGCCAAGAAGACTTGCGGAGGAAGATGCCAACCGCCCAGAGCAGCTCGTGCCCATTCGGTTAGAGTTTGATGTAGAACACCATAGGATGCGCGATACCTTTGTGTGGAACCTCAACGGTACGTCGGTGTATGCGCCCCAGCTCTTATATGCAATTAATATGCTGTGCAGATCCGGTCATCACACCGGAGGACTTTGCTCAGTCTGTGGTGGACGACTACGGCCTGGCGCCGAGCTATCATGCGGTCATCACGAAGGCTATACAGGATCAACTGAGCGACTTTAAGGCGCACTCGGACAGTTTTGGGGAGGATGGTATATTGAGCGTTCCTGCGGGTGTCGATGCGATCGTGAAAGGCACACTAGACGACGAGGATGCCGCGTGGTGGGAGGCGTGGAGGAAGGGTGTGCGAACAGAAACCAGGCGCTGGAAAGGAGGCGCTCAGCCAGACAATCTCAGTCGCAAGCGGCGGAAGATTGTGAAGGAAGAGGTCACCGATCATGCCGATTTATCTGCAACTCCTGCGCAGCAGGATGCTCCTATGTCTCTGGACGCAATCGGAGATGACGATAGCTTCATGGAGGATATGCGAATTCTTGTGAAGGTGAGCCCTTTGAATTTGTGTTCTGGTAGCGCGCGTGGCTTATGCTCGTGTGCGATCAGCTGGACATCATCGTGGGCGCTGTGAAACTCGAGGACCAGTTTGAGTGGGATCTAGATAACGCCGACCCGTCGCCCGAGCGTTTCGCCGAAATATATGCTAAAGAGCTCGGACTGGGAGGCGAATTCAAGTGAGTCGATTATAGTATCTGTGGTATTCTCTCACTGATTGACGTGTCACCCATACAGAACTGCTATTGCGCACTCCATCAGAGAACAGGTGCAAATCTACCAGAAGTCACTCTTCCTCGTTGGCCGTCCTCCCGATGGATCGCTCGTGCAAGACGATGACCTCCGCATGTCGCTTCTTTCCTCGGTGTCTTCCGCAGCTCGCCCCATGGATCAAGTGAGCGCGTTTACACCTCTCCTCAACTATCTCAGCGAAAGCGAGATCGAGAGAAACGAGAAGGAGCGCGAGAAGGAACTCAATAGGCGACGGAGGAAGACAACGCGCGGCAGGCGGGGCATTGCCCTTCCCGATAGAGAACCGCCCAAAACCTTTCGCACGCCCGCGATCGGCTTCCCAGAGGTCGACCCGGCGACTCTGGCACTTGTCAATGCGGTTACGGCTCCCACTTCGAGACGTGCGGCCGCGGCCGCTGCGCAGGTCACTATTGCCAATATGGTGGCGTCGGAGAATGGCACAGTCGTGTTACCGCCCAGTGCGCCGCCGCCTATGGCCCCCACGGCCCCTGCTGCGCCAAAGGAGAAGAAGCCAAAGGGTCTCTTCAAGGCTCCCTCATATCCATCCAGTGTACTGCGCCCCCGCGCAAGCGTCAAGGCTCCGACGTCGAACACCGCCGCAGATGCGTCAACCCTGATGCCTCCCATTGAGAATGACCTCCCGCCTTCGAGCAGCAGCGCCGCGCCGGATAGCAGAGTTTCCAGGGTCATCATGACTGCGAAGAGAGCCAAGGAATTGGAGAGGGAAGCCAAAGAGAAAGAGTTTGCCGACGGTCAACACGCCAACATGATCAACGGCGTTTGGCACTGCTCGAACTGTGGTTGCCCTGACAGTATCGCTGTTGGTCGCAGAAAGGGTCCGCTTGGAGACAAGTCTCAGTGCGGCACCTGCGGTAAGCAAACCGCAAGTCGGTGTGGGAATATGGTCACTGATGATATTGCTACTACTCGTAGGCAAGTTCTGGCACAGACACAGGAGGCCACGCCCCGTCGTGTACAACGCCGACGCCGAATACCACATCAACGTCAAGAAGGATGCAGAGCAGGCAAAAGGTGCGGCAAAACGGAGACGCCCTCAGAATACAGTGAACGACGGAGAGTCATCTAAGGCTGCAACGGTCGATGGCGATGTCGAAGAGGAGACACCGGCGCGCGGAAAGGGGGAGGTGTGGGTCGAAGTCCCTCCCGCGCCGCCGAAGTCGCAGCCTGCCGTGCCCGACGAGGCAGATAGACCGATGTCCCCCATTTCCACCGCATCCAGCGCTTCCGAGTCTCCGCTAGCCCAACGGGTGATAAAAGCAAATGGCTCGGGGTACACAAAGTCAGCACCCCCGACTTCCACATCCGCTGATGCAGAGCCATGCCCCCTTAGTACGCCCGCGATGTCGCCCCCGACCGCGTCGCCGCCACCCTCGCGCCCCTCCATGCCACCTAATACCCACTCGAATACGGTAGGTTCGCAATTGACGCGTCGTTCGGCTGCCTAGATCCTCACGCGCGCACAGATGCCGCAGTGGCTAAAGGACGCGATGCTCGCGATGCAAGAGAAGTACCCAGATGATAGATTCGAGGTGATCCTGCGCAAGATGAACCCACCGAACCCACCGGAATGGCGCATCAAATGCCTCGACTGCCCGGGGAAGGTGCGCGTTGCTTTACTGCGTGCGGCGATTATGGATAGCTGATAGCCTGCGTTCCTGCAGCTGTATACGCCCGGGCCGGGTGAGACTCTTACTAACTATGAAGTCCATCTGAAAAATCGCCAGCACCGGCAGAGGGTGAATAGTCGCGTTGCGGGTGCTCCTAACTGAACTGCCTTTTGCTTGTCTTCTGTGCTCTACCTGCTCTCTGGATTATGTTGTCGTGATGCATTGCTGCCGCCCACTGGCGTACTAGATATCTCTGACTGTACATGTATTGTTATTTCCGGAGTTTCAAGTCCAACGAAGTGAGCTTTCCTGTAGATGCTTGCCTTACGGAACAGTGTATGTGAGTTGATTATTTCGCGCGGACACTCCTGGCCGACGACCGTGCTCGAAGTAAAAATGCTAGACATACACACCCACGGCGTAAGTGTATTGCTATGTCACCATGACTATACATGTCGGCCGACGAAGGTACGACCTCAGGCCTCAGAATGTGCTGAGACGCGCATTCCTACTCGCCCTGGCACCTGATAATGAACCTACTGGCCTTGTAGTCATCCCGCTCTCAACATCAGTAAGTACCGCGGTCACAAGGCCCATCGAAGCTCCGGAAGTCAAGAGAATTGATCAGGCATAGACGTTCAGCGAAGCGTAGATGACCTGGAATGTCACGCCGAGCTGGCTCAGAGCAGCGAGAATTTCAGAGACGTTTGTCAGAAAGAGTACGCCGGGTCAGAAGAGCATGTGAGTTAGGAAGAGGAAGAGAGCCAGATGCATGAGCGATGACTGAGAACGGACTGAGCAGGCTGAGAGCAAGTGTCCATAAAGACAGCATACAGGAAGTCCTGCCGTACTTTCTCGAAGCGCCGCTCTGTCGGCCTTACTTGGTGCGCAGCTTTATTTCTCTCCACGTCCCACCCTCCCTTTGCTCGACATGTCGAACGTTGACTACCAGGCGATATCCAAGGAGGTCTATGCCCTGGCATCCTCGTCAGACCAGCTCGCACCACTCGTGAAGGAGTCTCTGGAGGTCATCGACGATGCCTTGGATACATTCGGGTGGGATTCATCTGATGTTTGTCTGTGATTCGCGCAGAGGTTATAACACTTCACCAAGGCAGGAGCATCTTTCGTTGAGCTTCAATGGCGGCAAGGACTGTGAGTGCACTGCGCTGCCTCGCTAGGTGTGGTTCAGCTGATCTATTTCACCGATCATACAGGTACAGTCTTGCTACACCTCTTGGCTGCTGCGGTCGGTGGCAGAAATCCAAACCCCAAACCGTGTTCAGCGGTTTATATACCCATCTCATCACCATTTACGCAGCTGGAGTCCTTTGTAGACGAGTCGGCGAAGAAATATAACCTCGATCTCTTCCATTGCCCGCTCCCACCTTCCAGCGATTCTCACCTTCCAGCGGAGGCTGTGATCGCGGCAGCAACCCCCACATCATCCACGTCGGATACCAGTGGGACAAGCTATGCCTTTGCGGGTGAAGGTGCGAGATCAAGACAGAAAACGAAGGGTGGAGAAGGCATGAAGAGAGCCTTGGAGATCTACAAGGAACGATTCCCCCATGTCGAAGGAATACTCATAGGGACTCGTAAGTCTGATCCGCACGGAGGTACGTGCTCAGCAGCTCGCGTTCGTCAGTAGTGCTCATATACGTGTGCCAGCGACGCTGACGTTCCGAAATTCGACGGATCGAGGATGGCCAAAGTTCGAGCGCGTAAACCCCATCATTAACTGGTCATACACAGACGTATGGACGTATCTGCGGAAGCTGAATATCCCGTATTGCAGCCTGTACGACGAAGGGTATGTTTTAATCAGATGTTCGAATTACGCCTTCAACACTCATCCACGCAATTTTCAACTTTGTGAAGTTATACTTCTCTCGGGTCCTCCTATAACACTTTCCGCAATCCCGCACTTCTCGTACAATCGCCGTGTGCGCGTTGTTCCCGCGCGCAATCATCTGCCTCCGACGTCACTAGCATCTCTCCATCAACGTCGCCCTCATCTCCCGCGACTGATGCGCGGAACGGCGCTCGAAAAGCGGCCCCCGACAAACCCCCAACCTCCACCCCGCCCTACGGGGACCTCATCGTCGTCCCAGGCGACCGCAACGCGATCTGCTTCGCCGAGGGGGTCGGCGACCCGCTCCCGGACAGGCTGGAGGTCCTCCCCGGCGACCCGCAGGCGATGTGCTTCGCGGACGAGTCCGTGCGCGACCCGCTACCAGAGATGTTCGAGATGATCCGCGGCGACCCGCGCGCGACGTGCATAGTGGACGACCGAGGGTGTGACCCCATCCCCAACCGCGCCGCACTCGAGGTCATCACCGGCGACCCTGCCCTCGTCTGCTATGCGGACGCGGACTCGAGCGGCGCGTGCGTGTGCACCGGCGCCGCCACTTGTGCCCCGCGCTATCGCCCCGCGTATGAGCTGCGCGATGGGAACCTTGAGCGCGCAGGTCGCGCAGCAGGCACCGTTGCTGCTGTGCAGGTGCTGTCGTGATTGACGGGTGCGTGGATGTGGGCATTGTATGAAGTTATCGGTTGTATATTTGTTGTACGCTTACTGAGTTAGACAGAGCCCAAGATCGCTCAGAAAGTATATCCCAGCTGGCGTCGCCAGGGACATTGCGGCATGTGGAATTGTATGCGCAGTCACAGGACACTGAACAACAAATTGCAAGACACTGCGGGCATCACGTACGACAAGCAGTAGAAGGTAAATGTCAACAAACGGTTCGCGCCAAGGGAACAAGTGGCGAATCTGAAGTCAAACATACGATGAACGTAGTTCAACTGGGGCATTGACCCGCCTCCCGAGATGTGCTCGCTAGGAAACCATAGAATATGCAGACAATGAGGCTTCTCGGAGATTCCGAAGGTATATGCTAATCATAGAAAATGTTCAAAATTGAGTGTTGCTATTCAAATCAAACATCGTGATCCGAGTTCTTGGCATGCCGATCACAAGGTAGCCTTGCCTTCTTCACTTTTTTCCGATGGTTCACAACCACGCTCGAAGGTAGGTTTGGATCATCGTCACCGTCCGTGCCGCCACCAGTGCGACCATCCGTACCATAATCCGCATCACGGATCGTGTCTCCATCACTGTCATCGTCGGTGGAGTCATTGGCTTCATCTTCGGCCCCTCGGTTTCGTTTCCTAGACTGAGAAAGCATCGCAGGCCGTACAGCTGAGATGGTGTTCTCAGTGTTCTGCAGGTCCCACTTCGCCCGATTCTCTTCGTCCTTCATCGCCCGATAGTATTCCTCGTTGAAGCCGATGTTCTGGAGACAGAAGATGTTGACTTTCGCGATTCCTTGCTGATACAAGTTGCACAGCAACGACTGGATTGCACTGGGTGACAATGCAGCCGCGTTTGTAAATCCAAACATGCTGATCAATTTCTCTTGATCCTAGTAAGGTTTCATGAGCAACTGATTTTCCAAGCGGTAAGTAACAAACTCAACGAGTGGCCATTCCTCAACGTTCACGAGATCAGATACTTGGAGGTCTCTAGGTCCTTCCAAAAATTGATACGTTCCGGCATAGAACGTTGTGTCGTCCGTAGTATAGAAGATTTCGCGCCTGCAGCCAATCAGACGAGTAAACTCGTCGTTTTGGTTCCACGAACGCCCTCTCTTTCTCCCACTTGCCAGGGAGTAGATATGTGTTGGACTTACCACAAACGCATGAGGTCCGCGCCATGATAAGCGACTGAACTCCATAGGACAGTGTTCTCCAGGAAGGTGATGGAGAATCCAGTCTCTACAAAGGTAGTGATATGTTAGTCCGGACAAAACATTCGCGAAACAGACGCACCGCGGATAGCGTGAATTCTTCATAACATTTCATGATCAGACGATGTGTGCGCTCAGACTGGAATTCCTCACCTTCCAATAAGCCTCGACACTATCGACGCCGATTATGCTGCTTACGATCTCATGTCTTCGAGGAAGCGGTCCGGGAAGGGAGGGCAGAAAGACCTGAACGAACGTAGAGAACTTAACGAATGTTGTCGAGTTGAGTGGTTTTAGAAAGGTGAAGAGAAAGTACGATTGAACGCACCTTTTGCGGCCCATCTATTTGTGCCTTCAGGTCCTCTAGTTGCTTCTTCAATTGTGCCATTTCCTGAATGAAGTGCATTAGAGCATCAAGCGGCAGATGAAAGCCGGCACTTACCTCCAATCTCCCATGCTGCTCTGCAGATGTAGTGACAACGGATCCACTTTCGCATAGAGAGTGTTGTCGAGCTCGACGATCATCATCCGTTGATGAAGCATGAGCGCGCGGAAAGCCATCCCTCTGAGTCGATTACATGTTGCGACAGTAAGTCCACTGATAAGAGTCAAAGAAAGAGATACAGACCGAACCGATCCTTGGGTGACCTCGTCTAATTTGTTGCGTCGTCTCCTCGAGAAGTCGAAGTTGTTCTTGAAGTTTGCTTATTCGTTCTTGCTGAGGTCTATTCAGCAATCAATCAAAAACTGCGCCAGTGGAGTTGAAACACACCTGTTCACCGATGAGGGCTCCATTCTTCTGTAGTTCTATCGCTAGCTCCTGATCTCTAACGTTCTTGCTTTGTCCGATATCGACCTTCTTCAACATTTGTTCATTGTGTCTCTGCAATGGCAACAAATATCAGTGCAGTCCTCAGATTCTTAGAAGGCATGTGATAGGACAAACCAGGGCATCAACAGCCTGCTGCGAGACGGCAAGTTCAGCTCCACGTGCCTCATATTGTTGGCGCAAGTTGAACAATTGTTGCGTCTTGAGGCGGGTTACTAGGTCAGCTGTCCAACTCCCAGTGGCACTATTAGCTCGGACTTACTTGGTCACGGATGTGGTTATCCCTCTCGAACAGCGCGCGTTTGATCCCTTGACTCTCCTTTATCAGCTAGCAGTTGATATGTCAACCACGGTGAAAACATGGTATAGTAACGGTGTGGGCCACAAACGCGAATGCAGTACGTACACTGTCAGATTTCTGAATACGGCACGTTGTCATTCTTTGGTCCAGTTCATGACAACAATTGTCGCGAGAACTCACCTCTTCTGCTACCTGTAGCTTAAACCGCGTTTCTTGCAGCTCCTTATTCAAGAGCTGGATGAATTCCCGTGATAAGTCGGGATCTGCAGCGACCTCCATTGTCGCACATTCCAATTCAAACGAAAACGCGTGGACTTCAAGTTTCGCAATATGAGGTCGAGTAGGGTTGTACAAAGCAGTTTGGTATGAAGCAGGCAATTTCGCGTTCCCTCAGTTGTAAGCCTCAATAACACGTTGCTGTCACGCGACATAATGATCACCGGCATTGCCACTGGCGATCTGAGTGCTGACACTGAGATCGTGAAGTTCAATCTCGAAGAAGAGTGCAAACAGACTTACCTCCCATGAGTCCAGTTTGCCCGATTTGTTCTGTGTGAGTAAGTAGGTAATCGGTCAATCCTGGGTGACATGTGTGTGGGTGTTATGCACGAGGGAGGAAACTCGTACATAGCACCGTGAAACACAATTCCTGGAGGAATCATCGAGAAGTGGACTGGTCGAGACACGATATAATTACCATCCTAAAGAGGTTCACGGCGCCTCACATGCAATGTCCAGATTCGCGTGGTCTCATTCAAAGAAGACAACTAGAATACGCGACATACTTTACATCCTGTTACCTATGAACGAGGCTATGCATGCTTCAGCAATTACGTTTTCTGTGCATCTATCTCCCATGGCTTCTTTCTTAGATTTGCTCTGGACTCACTAGGCATAGCACTCTGCGCCATCAACGTCAACTTTCCGCCAACATGGATCCACAAAGAGACGCACATTCAACTCATTTGGAATACTTCGATTGTTCGGTATCTGATCAGTTTTGCCTTGCTCGATCAATTCTTTGAGCTCCACAAAAGTCAAGGTGCGCGTCTCGCCATTGTTGTCCATGTTTGATTGCCCATGTGTCATCGCGGAGGGGTCTGCTATTGCGGGAGGATGCAGTCCCAGCTGTGCTATTTGCTCCCAACGAGTTCGAGCATTATCCACAGCAATAGAATAGCCAGTTATGCTGCATAAAAATCAATGCTGAGAAAGACGGGATGACAGACAAAACAACACTACCGGTTGAAGTAGAAAACTTGCGAGCGAAGTAGAACATCCTTCTTCTCATCGTCCGACTTTCCATCTAAGGCACCAGTTCCCAGAATGCCTGACAGACCTTGCTTGCGAATGTCGTGAAATGAGGTGCACGACGCAGGACGCAGTTACTTCAATCGCACCTGGTACATTGTGTCCGTAGAGAATGGGTACGCCACAAAAAGGTCTAAGGGATCGGCAGCAAGTTGTTCACTCTGACCTCCAGGCTCATCTATCGCTGCCTTGGTATTTTCCATGACATTCAGAAGAGAGTGAATCGCTAGAAGCAGGTCACTGCCGGATTACGATGAGAATTTCGTCTGCTATGTGCAAGTTGTCAATGAAGCTCTGAGTCAGCCCGCCTATAGCTAGTACTAAGTACTGTGGGAGTTAGATTTGCACTTTTCTCACCCCCAAGTGACTTGCCCCGACAAAAACCCGATCGTCGTCGCCTAGACACCAGGTTTGTGGTTTGGACTCTCCATCCACCAATAATTTGTTCTCTCTGTCAGAGGTCTGGAGATTTTGTCAACAAATGTCTCAGAGTCTGAACAAGATCACTGTCGAGCGGAATCAGCGGGCGTTGCTAGCGCTTGTCAGCGAACCAGGAAATGGCGAGCAACCACGGTGAACATGCTCGTTCACCAACTAACTGCATCACTTTTGTAGATATCTGTGCCGACTGCAAAGCCTGGCATCCACGATGGGCATCCCATAACCTTGGGATTTTCATTTGGTGTGTGTCGTCGGTATTGTTCTATTGCAGATCGACTCAGTCGTTCGCGCTCGCAGCATGAATTGTGCGAGTGTTCATCGCAAGATGGGGACACACATATCCAAAGTGTATGTTCTGCTCCATTTTTAATTCAGCAGACTTAATGCGACTTGTGTTAGAAAGAGCATAACGCTGGACTCGTGGACAAAGGAACAAGTAGAGGTCAGCGTTGATCGGGACAAATACTAGTTCCAGGGACCGGCGTGCTAAATACTGCTAAAACAGTTCATGAAGCAACACGGAAATGTGAGATCCAATGCACACTACAACCCAGACGAAACACGCCATCCACCGCCCACGAACATGATCGATTCGGAGAGGGACAGCGATCTGGAAAAATACATCCGAGGCTAGTGCGACTCCTACATCTCGTGCGTGATTTACTGATACTGCTACAGCAAAGTACGAATACAAATCTTTCGTATCTCGCTCAAGTCAAGTCGCTGCACTCCTTGGACCGTCGAGATCGACGTCAAGCAACCTGTCATCTGCACCCACACGCTCGCAAACAGTAACGTTTCAAAAAAACCAGAATATATCGCTGGGTTCGCCTGCACCACCTGCTGTTCCCCCGAAGACACCAATATCGTCGGTGGTGTCGGCAAGCATGATACCATCGAACACAACGGAGGCTAGATCTGCGTCGCAGCCGGTCTTCACTTCAATGCAGCAGCCGTCCCAACCTTCTGTCCAGCCGCCGACATTCACTTCGGGATGGACCAACCCAGTGAATCCTCAACAAACCTTCACCATGCCTTCTTTCCCTTCCTCATTTGCCACGTCGAGCACATTTCCTCCGACGTCTGCGTCGCAGCCGATACCAGTATCGACCCCGAATACCCTTCTGCCACCATCCACCAATCTTTACGGTGCCCTGTCCGTAAATTCCGGCTCCCCCTTCCAGTCACTTATGAACCAACAATCAACGGGGATGCCTTCAAACGGGATAAGCAGGAGCATGAGCCTAAACATGGGTTTGTCGACGAATGTCGGCCTGGATCTGAATCCGAGCCTCAACGGCAGCGGTACGCCATCTTTCCAATCCCCGCACACTGGCTTCGGGTACGGCACTCCTGCTAGCGTGCACAGTCCGAATCCCTTTTTGCATCAGCCGCTTCCTACCGGGCCTTCCACGGGCACCTTCGGCATGAGCGGAATGACTTCTGGGCAGCAGTCGCAGCTGCAGCCATCTCTGACGCCGTTCAACCCCTCCCCCTTCCAACCCAGCCCGAGTCCAAGCTTCCCGCAGAGCGCGACCCCACAGCTCCAACCGTCGCCGATGTTCCAGCCGCAGCCGCTCGGGCAAGCGCCGCCGACATCTGCGAATCCGTTCCTGCAGTCACAGCGTCAGGTGCAGATGCCTATGTCGGCGCCCTCCGCATTCGGGATGGGTTTGCCCTCGCCGTTCGGGCAGCTCCAGGCGCAACAACAGCAGCAGATGTATACGAGGAACCCGTTCAACGGTTGGCAGGAGGGACAACAGGGAAACTACACTGGACAGCAGTGGAACGGGATGTGACGCGGGCGCTACGTACTTATCTTACATTTCTAACTCATACATGTATATCCAGGCTACTCCGCAAGTGCTACAATGGACAATAGGATGGAGACTGTTTACTAGGATGTCAGATCAAGATGGTGAGTCCCTCGACACGATCTCCGCCCATGATGCGCTCGTTCTTCGCCTCGCAAACGACGAGCCTCCGCACTTTCTCCACAACTGTGTGAGGGTCTCCAACACCTAGCGCAATGGCAGCCCGCTCGACGTCTCCCCTGCGCAAGCGTGGCCCCCAGATGCTCTGCCGATATGCGTCCACGAGTCTGATGCGCTCGAGGCTGTCCTGGCCCGGGAGACATACCATAGCGGCGATTGCACCAGGCGGGAGGAGGGTTGCCTGCCCGAGGCATACAGTGCGCAGGCTCGGGATGACGGGCAAGAGCGGCGTATCGTGGGGCATGTGGATCCCGAGCTGATCAGATGGGAAGGAGAGGTTCGCAAGCGTGATGTGCTCGATGTGCGTCCATGTCCGGATCGCGCAGAAGAGGTGGAACGTCGCCGCTGGCACGATCTGCACATGCACATTAACATTATACGGTCAATTTGGGTGAGAGAGAGAGAGAGACTGACTGCGACGAAGTAGTAGAATGGACTGACCGCTGTGGAGAAGTGGTGGTCGGGATCGGGACCCGTCCAGATGAAAGTTTTCGGGCTACGAGAGGTCATGGTTGGACTGCAAACTGCACGATTACACCGCTCACTTTGCCAGGGTCAAAGCATCGTATATGTATTTCTGATGCGGGTTCCTGGTGTGAGAGTGTAGGCACAACGAGAGCAGGTCCAGTGGGACCGGCTTATCCTGCTTTCGCTCCTCGTCATCGATGCTCTGCTTACATCGCAGCAGGGCGTCGGCCAAATGAAGGAACACATCGAAACTAGCCGACCCGCCGGCGAGCGTTATCACCAGGCTTTTAGGCGGGCACACGAGAGGTGTGGTCTCCCGAGCAAACACGGTGAGTTGGCCAATGGAACGGAAATGGAGGTTGGAGTGCAGGATATGTTGGCCGAGCTCTGAGATCGTGTGGTTGACCCGTAGAACATCAGTAGGACATAGATGCTCATCAAGAGCAAGAGTCAAAATCTCCAGGAGGAGCTCTACTGGGATGCGGAAAAGAGACATGATGACATGTATATGATGGGCTCCCAGCACGACACATTGATACTGACAAATACCATTTGACAAATAAGAGTTCGAAGGGAGCCTTATGAGGACACTCGCAGCTCTACTCAGAGTCAATTCAGAGAAAAGTCTTTGCAGAATCGATCGACTTGCAAGCAGATCGTGATTCAATTCACTGAAATTGAAGAAGTTGATATGTCTTAGGCCTTCAACCTTCAAGCTTCAAGCTTCAGATCCTAGGTTGGCACAAGATTCAATTTCCGACCAGTCAGCGGAGGCAAACACTCGAGCAAAGAGCAGTAGCACTGCGACACCATGCCTTCCGGGAAGATAACAAATGGCGTAAGGACGAAGGCAGCCTGATGGTGACTGACAGAGACTGTGTCCGTCAATATTTCAATCGTCGCTGTCCAATTCCACCTGCAAAGTCACTTAAGGTTAGTCCGCGTGTCAGCACGAGGCCTGGAGGGCACTTACTATTTCCGCTGTCTTCCGTGTTGACCTGGCTGCAGCAGCTCGAGTAGAAGTGCGCCCTGAAGGCGCGAAGCTCAGTGTTGCCTGCTTGGCTGTGGAGGCTTTGGTGGCCGTCTTCTTCGCCCGTGCCTTCTTGGTCGTTTGGCTAAATAGGCTGTAAGAAACGTGCACCGGCGTGATCGCAGTACTCACGTAAGTACAGCGGTTCTGTTTGTCCGCTTCGGTTTGGGCGCCTCTTCCTCGATGTCGTCCATATCTTCGTCATCGTCAGATTCAACCTAGAATCAGGGTGGAGGTAGGATGAGTGACTTCCACATAAATATGAAAGCTAAACACACAGCTTTCTTCTTCCCCCTGCCTTTGGCAGGCACCTTCTTCACAGGAGCGGCGGCCTTTTTCCGCGTCGTAGCCTTTTTCTTCGGTGCTTCATCCGACTCGTCAAAATCGGATGGCACGGCGTCGAATTCCATCATCATGGAATCCATTGACTCCGCATCGGATGCGTCATTCGTCGCCTTACCCTTGCCCTGACGAGGGTTTAAGTACGGAAATGGACTACCGTCGTGTGGAGACACACCTTAGACTTCGATGCCTTTCCATTATTCCTCTTGTCCAGATAATCCTGTTCTTGTTGCTCTCTGACTTTACCAACCTGGATAGTGTCAGATCAAGAGAGCTCAGAGAATTTTTCAGAAATCGCGCGCACAATCTCATCCAATTCCTCTTCCTCGAGATCTTCAGTCTTACCAGTAGCCTGCACACCCTTCATTAACGTCTTCAAAGCAGTGCTCACATGACTGAAGACGTAGAGTTTCCGTGAGCAGCGCAGCTGGAGTATGAAGTTGAGACGCGTACCCTTGAATGGCATGGATGTCGTCCTTGTCGACAAACATCTCAATAGCATCCGACATACCCGCCTCGCCGAGTAGCTGCAGCTCCTGCGCAGCGAGATACTCCCGCACGAGCGTTTGAACGCGCACCTTCGAGAGCTTCTCCGAAATGGACAGGTCTGGGTCGTCGATGCTGAGCTCGGGCTGGTCGGCAGTGACCTTTGCGCCACGGCTTGCGGTCTTCTTGGCACGGTGGAACACTAATACGTCTCGCGGGTTCGCGATTCGCCCTTGGAACTCCTGCCCGAAGCGCACCGGGTTCGACATCTCGCTGACGCCGGTTGTGTCGACCTGTCGGGGCAGTACGAGACTGATTAATAGAGCGGGATGCCGACATGTCACTCCGTACTTTTAAGCGGACCAGCGGCAGCATACGAGGGAGCTCGGGTTCACCCTCTGCGACGGCCTTAGCATTTCGCTCGTCCCACAGTGCATCGGCTTGGTCAATCAGCTCATTCACCTAAAAAACCGGTCGTTGAAGTGGACCTAAGAAATGGTTCGTCTGCGTACCTTGGCCTTCAAATACTTAGCTATGGCCATTCGATCGTTGAGGTCTAGTTGCTCGTCCTCGGCTACCTCGCTGAGGATTATCTCGTCAAGGACGAAGGGCCTTACGGTCCGCAGAGGGATGGGTATGAGCTGGAAATCCTTGCCTTGGATCTTCAACAACGCGACATGCCTAAGCACAAGAGCCTTGATTACACGGCGCACGATGGGGTAAACAAGGGACTGACTTTTCCAACGCTTCGCCATCTGCGAGAGATGTGGCCACGGAGGATCCGGGCTGCGTGATGTGGTAGTCCTTTCCAGCAACAGGCTCGGGGACGATCCGGCAATCATGCTCGTGCCCCCACACCACCAAATCAACACTGTCGTCGAACATGCCTTCCGGTACCGACTGCTGTGGGCCATGTGCGACACTGGTACAACGTCAGAACCATGGAGGTGCGCTGGAAAAAAAGCGGGACCTACCGGTTCTGGTGGAGCAACAGGATGTTGAACCAGTCGTCCTTGTCGCGCGGCATGTACATCCGCACGCGGTTGCTCCGCAGCTCGAAGTGCATACGCTGATCCTTGATGTTTCCGATACCGTAGAGGCCCAGGCGAGTGTTGCCCTTGCGTAAGAGCAACGGGCGCACGGCGATCCCGGTGCTCTGTGCTTCCGCGTCTTCCAGTGGGAGGTCGATCTTGCCCATGTAGTTCACCAAACCGCTCACAGAGAGCATGTCAAGCGCACACAGAGCACCTTCCTGCTCAGATTGTCACAAGTCCGTTCGGATCTATGATCGATGAAATGAACTGACGGGTCCTGCACCCTGTGGGTCATCATGGTTGCCGTGTATGGAGAAAACGGGTATGCCGACGTTGAAGTTGGGATCCTCGTAGTTAACCGCCGGAAATCTGGTGATACAACTGAGTGAGATGGCTTTTTCAACAAGTAGGAAAATTCGCACGAGTAGCCGCTCGCTCTGCCTTCATTGGGGTCACTCAAGAGCTCAATTTGTACAGGTCTGTCGCCCATCGTGTACTCGCGCAGAAGAGCCATAACCTGGTACAGACAGTCTCTTGAGGGCCTATTTTCATGAAAGAGATCTCCAGCAAGTAGGATAAAGTCGACCTGTTGAATGGTATGTTGAGTAAGACAAGTGAACATGATGTTATGACGTCGAGCGGATACCGTGCCATGGAAAGAAAGCACAAAGGTGCTCTTCATCAACAAGTGTCATACAGAGCCAACAACGAGGAGGTAAAGTGACGCAAACGTCATCCACGGCAGAACGTTTGCGTCGCATCATCCTCCTGTTATATTATCTCAAGACTATAGGGAAGCAAGTTGATCGCCACAGTCGCGGAAGCAAACACTCACATCGTGTTTCACCGCTAGTTGCAAGATTTCACGAAAGGTGTTGATCGAATCTTGACCTCTTATAGGGTCTCTCTCTAAGTATCCTATGTGGTTGTCTGTCGCGAGCAGTATGCGGAACGTATGCTCCGGAACTATTAACAAAGAATGAGGGTCAGATACTTCCTATTGAACGCCTGAAAGCTACTGACATTCATCACGAATGGTAGGTGGAAGTTCGCCAGAACCTGAGTCATTTTCTGGGTCGCTCATGATGTGGTTTGCGGAAATAGATCAGAAACTTATGTCACGGTAGACCACTTGGTCGTTCAGACGCGTCGCGTCACGCGTATTGTGAGGATTACGTAAGGCACACGCTCATAATGCAGAATGGCCCGCGGCAACGACCCCTTAGCTGCGGCTTCATCAAAAGTTCTCCTATTTTCCTCTACCTCTGAGCTTGAGTCTGGGCATTCCTTTGGTCAGAAACGTTGCTGTAAGGGCGGGGTTTTTTATCTCACATTTGGAACGATTCATCTGCGCTGTGGACTCGAAACGGTCGTCATGTCGCATTCACCCCATGCTCACCACCAGCATGCGCAGTCTCGGGCGCTCGTGGTGAGGAAATAATCGCTGTATTTTTCAGATACACAGGATGACATTATATTTTAGGCCGGAACAGTCCTGTTCTATCTCGTGGCAGCCTTAGCAGTACGTCATTCGTCTTTGCATCCCATTTCGTTGCATTTCGTTGAGACTTATCAGTCTTCTTGTTGCAGATGATCATGGCGTACGTCTCGCACTCGACAAGTTTCTCATGTAATTGACTGAATCTCCAGCAACAAGTGGGTGCTGAATACCACGGACATCCCTCTGTTCTTCTTGTTCACCCAGCTCGTCATCGCTGTCGTCCTATTTCTCGCCGCTCATCTTGTGGGATTACTGCAGTTGCCGTTGGACTTTGATATCCAGGTTTGCAAAGGGCTGGTACCAACGGTCGGATTAAATGTGGTCGGGCTTAGGTGAGTCCAGAATAGAGATTACCGGCGATTCTTAACGTCGCTGCAGCTTCAGCAACTATACCCTGAAGTACGTAGACGCGTCCTTCTACCAAGTCGCGCGAGGCATGGTTCTTCCGTTCACAGTCTGCACGTCCTACTTTCTGCTGCATGCCCGCCCATCCCTGCGTGTGCTGCTCGCATGCTCCATAGTTACGTTCGGCTTCTTCATCGGCGTCTTCCTAGATGGCACGCACGTATCTCTCGTTGGCGTTACGTTCGGTGTCATAAGTTCCATAATTACTGCCCTTCACTCGGTCGTTATCAAGAAGAGCCTGGAAGTTGTCAAGGGCAGCGCGCTGCACCTCTCATGGTACACAAACCTGTTTAGCGCGTGTGCGCTGGCGCCCATTCTCGTCCTCGCTGGGGAGTTGCCAGGCATCACGCAGCTGCTGTTCGGCCCCAATCTATCTCTGCCGGGCGAGATGTCGACCTTGTCGACGTTCGCAATCGGCTCCGCTATCACTGTGAGCATACCTTCCTGTCTCTGGGAACTCATCTGAATTTTGCATGCTGGTGTTAGGGCGCATTCGGCTTTTTGATGAGCATCGCGAGCTTGTTGTCTATCAAAGTGACCTCGCCCATCACCCACATGGTCTCGTCTGCAGTGCGCGGTGTCGCAGCATCGGCATTGGGGGTGTGGCTATTCCATGATATTGTGACGAGGTAGGCTTCCATCTCTCCGACAACTCCTCGGCACTGACTTCAAGTGTGCACAGTGGACGGGCAGCGTCGATAGCAACCATTCTCTTCGGGTCAATATACTACACCTGGATAAAACACGTCGAGTCGCTCCCACCATCTGGTGCGAAGAGTGCTAACGGTGGTGCTTATGAGCAGGTGCCTTTGGAGGACGTTGAGGAGGGAAAACAGAACAAGCCGGAGTGACCGGCGCGTGTAGATGAATGGAAGACATTTGTCAAGTAGCGTATAGAGTGGCTTGTCGACACGGATAATATGGCGTCATTGCTGTGGATTGCTACATGTGGTTCGTGAGGCTGCTCTGCCTCAGTAACTGGCTTTGAGGAACGCCTTTCAAATCGGTTTGGCATATGTACTTAAGGGCAAATTGGTCATTGCAAGGATTTTGCCCGCCGAAGGCGGGCCGGAAAAGCCAAGGACTTATTAATTATGAGCGTGTCTACGGCTGGGCGCTAAACCACGTGATGTCGGCGCGTCCACCTCGGTCACGTTGCTTCGCGTTCAAGGTTGACTTCGTACTTCAACCATCATCTAGTCATAACTGCCGTCCCAGACTCCGTGCTTTCTGAAGATAACAACAAGATAACAAGCACATAAAATGGAGGAAATGTGAGTAAATGATACGTCTATGACAAGTAGAAATCTTGCTTCTTTCTGTCTTTGTTCCGTCGCGTGTGTGGCGGGGTGTTGACTAGTACGTGTCAAACGCGCCAAAACACTGCCCTGTGGTTGGGGGACACTCAGAGTTCATATCATAGTACTGGTAAACTTCGTGCTGACAGAGGGCTTCTAGTCGCCGCAGAATTGCCAGTGATCCCAGTCTATATCCAGAGATAGCAGTGTTAGAGACGACGAAGCCCCCTACGAAGCCTCACCGTCCTCCACCCGCAAATCTGGGGCTCAATAGTCGAATTATCGTTCTGTCAGACTCTGAAGACGAAGTTGAAGCAGTGTACGTATTTACACCCTTTTCACGTAATCTCCCTTCAACCTTGCATGGCATGTAGCGCCCAACCGCTGCGGTCCCAGCCCTCGAATGGTCAACGTGTTCCAAGTACAAGTAAACACACCACGCCCACCATCACTCAACAAGTCGACACTCTCAAAGCGCAGAATGTCGGAGACACATACCCCTCTGCAGGGTCTCTTCTAGGCTCTGGTGGCGAGAAGATCGACATTCCTACGTTCAACGACTACGAAGGGCAGCGATTCAGCAGCGAGGAGTCGCAGAAGGCGCTACGCGATCTCGTTCAGGGCACGTATGCACACAATGATCTTGATGTGTCACAAGAGGACGCGGCGGTAGAAGGCTTGCGGTCGGAACTGTTGCCTCACCAAGTAGTGGGTCGAAAGTGGATGGCAGATCGCGAGTCCGGCAAAAAAACTGGCGGTATTTTGGCCGACGATATGGGGTTTGTGTTTTCTTTCTCAAACATGTTTGTGCAATTGTTGACTAATTACCCTTGCTAGTCTTGGTAAAACGATTCAAGCCATCACGCGAATTGTGGAGGGTCGGGCTACGAAGAAGGATAAGAAGGAAGGCTGGTCCGCAAGTACTCTGTAGGGCCCTGACCTTCCATTCATTGAGATGATCTCATTTCACTTTTCGAAGTGTTGTTTGTCCCGTGGCTGTGGTCTCTCAATGGGCCCAGGAAGTCGAGAAGTTTGCTATCGGACTGAAGGTCATCGAACATCACGGTCCGAATCGCACGCAAAGTAATGCCTCGCAATTACTCTGAATATGGCACGCAGCTGATACCTCCCTCCCTCACGCAGATCCGGCTGATCTCGAGCGCGCTCACGTGGTGATCACATCGTATCCCACCGTGGCTTCGGAATACGCGGCTCACGGCGGTGATGCCAAGGACGAGGGCGATTCGACCAAGTCGAAGAAGAAGAAGAGGCAGGATAACAATTCTGACAACTCGGACGACTCCGTTGGAAAGACGTTGAAGAAGACGAGACAGAAGGCGTCAAGGAAGAAGCAGAAGGCTGCTCTATTCGGTGTCAATTGGTTTCGCATCATTCTTGGTATTCCGCTGCATTCTCGTTCGGTAATCGTCAAAGTATGTTAATCTACGTCTATCAATCGTTTTCAGACGAGGCGCATAATATCAAGAATCGAAAGACGAAGGCTGCTGAGGCGTGTTACGCTCTTGAAGGCAGATATCGGTGGTGTCTCACCGGAACTCCTTTGTGCGTCAGACCCTTCGTCAAGGTCTCTCATACTCATTGGTGTGCATTCCAGGCAAAATGGTGTTGAGGAGCTGTATTCTCTTATCAAGTTCCTGCGTATACGCCCTCTCAACGATTGGGCCGAATTTAACGAGCACATTGCGCAGCCCATTAAGGGAGGCAGAGCCACCGCGGCAATGAAGCGTCTCCAGGTACGCCGTTATATTATTTGAATTACGTATAGTTGGTTAATCAAATTGATCCAGGTCGTGCTCCGCTCTATTATGCTCCGGCGGACGAAGGATACTCTCGTCAATGGCAAACCGCTTCTGCAGCTGCCCGCGCGCTACGTCGAAACCATCGACTGCGAATTCGACGAGGACGAGCGGGCGTTCTACAACTCCGTCAATGAGCGCGTGCAAGCCAGCCTGGCAGAAATGCAAAGAAGCGGTGTCACGAAGAACTACACAAGCATGCTTGTCCTGCTGCTCCGTATGAGGCAGGGTCAGTAAATTGCGTTACGGACGTTAGCTGTTAGCTGTAGCGCTGATTGTTGCTGTAGCTTGCAATCATCCGTCCTTGGTGTCGGAGGACTACAAGAAGGACCAGGAGGCGGTTGAGCCTCAAGCTTCAAAGACTGCTGATGATGAGGACGAAGCTGATGACCTCGTAGACCGCCTTGCCGGAATGGGGCTTTCCGCGACCAATCGTTGCCAGCTGTGTCAGAAAGAGTAGGCTTTTCCCATCTCGGCGACATCCTTCATCTTTTCGGTGCTAAAATGCTGTATTCTAGACTAGTCCCCTCGGACAAGGGCAAAACGTGCGCGGACTGTGCTTTGTTGGTTGTCGAGACTCAGAGCAAGAGCGCGGATTCCGACCTTCCGCCCGATTCGGCCAAAACTCGCAAGATCATGGAGATCTTGAGGGAGATTGATGATCGTTCGAAAGGTGTTGAGAAGACCATTATCTTTTCGCAGTTTACGTCCATGCTTGATCTCATTGAGCCGTTTCTCCGCGCCGAGAAAATTCGTTTCGTCCGATGTACGTCCTTTCTCATATCGTCTGCCGGAGTGTGATAGTCACCTAGTTCTACTTCCTAGACGATGGCAAAATGAGTAAGGTTCACAGAGACGAATCGTTGAAGAAAATCAATGAGAGTAGCGAGACTCGGGTCATTTTGATTTCCTTCAAGGCTGGAAGCACAGGTTCGATGACTTACTATCAGTATTGATGAGTCGCTGATGACTTCCACTCCCTCTGCAGGTCTGAACCTTACATGCTGCAACAACGTCATCCTTGTAGATTTATGGTGGAACCCTGCTCTCGAGGTGAATTATCTGAGAATTCGTCTTGTGGAACCTTTTTCATGTCTTTGCCGCAGGATCAAGCCTTCGACCGCGCCCATCGTCTGGGCCAGACGCGAAAAGTAAACATCAAGAAGCTTTGTGTCCCAGACACCGTGGAGCAGCGCATCCTAGAAGTACAGTCCCATTACTCGTTGTGTGTTATAACTGACTTGTATATTGCCTGAAAACATAGCTGCAAGAAAAGAAAAGAGCACTCGCTCACGCTGCCTTGTCTGGAGACAAACTGAAGAATATGCGGCTTGGCGTGGATGACCTGGTTGCGCTCTTCCGGCCGGGGGTGGGTGATGACGACGACTAGTTTTAGGGGGCCCTCTCTGGATCCGCACTGCACCGATCTACCGTGTTATGACTGATGTTCCCTTCCTATGTTGTTTAGATGTGGAGGTGGTTGTTACTCGCGTTCCAAGTTGCTGTCTCATTGCTATCAGTATGTGCCGTCGCAGTCTACTAGATAAATATTGGCGGACCTGGATGCATGCAATCTCAGTGTTCCCTATTGCCTCGCGACTATTTCAGAGTGAATCGAGTTCGCACTGATAGACGCCAAATATCATGTCCTGTCCCGACTTTCGTCTCTCCTTGTACTAGCATCACCGCTGTTCGTGTCCATGTTCATTCTCCCGTACGTGTGGCAACGAAGAGCTCATGTCAGGCTTTGAAGATTAGCAGATGCTCGTCGATCTGTGCCTTAATGTCGTTCCCGACCGTCCACTGAAGTATCCTAACGATGTGCATGCTGGCAGCAACTTAAAAGAAGACATGAAGTTGGTTTTCAAGAACGCATCGCTCGATCCCGGGATGCTTTGCCAGGACCCGTGCGGGGTCACCGGTCACCGCTTTCAACGTTGGATTGGTTGTTGTGTTGAAAGATACGCCATTCTATCCACGCGATCCTTCAAGGCTTTGTATGGCGAACCTGTGATGCAAAACACGATGGCAACACCTTCCCGAATTTGTGCTCGCCACTGCGGCTGTCCGATCATATTTTCACGGTGGTTTTTATGATCCAATTCTCGAATACGAGGGTGAGGACTGTGCCAAAATGGAGGGCTCGATGGAGCTGCCAATCTGTGAAATTTTTTTACTGCCCACGCTCTCAAGATAGTGGAGGCAACTCCGTCTCAAGGTACAGCGTTATTTAAGAAGACAGAGCTCGACCCAACCGTCTTCACGTAGTAGGGGAATTTTGCCTAGCATGTCGTAGAGGCATACGGGAGCGTGCGAGACCTGCAAGCCAGCCATGCAAAAGTGTTTGATCGGTCTATGGAGAAAACAAAAATTCAGATTGTGGTAACAGGCGCACACGCATGATGCCCGGACAAATTTTGTTGAGTACACTCTGCTCGAAATATCTTGGTCGCTCTGAACTATTGCATTGCATCAAAGTCTCCTCGAGCAGTATCGCCAAGCAGTTATCATGCTTCGAGCAGTGACATGTGACATCTGTTACTTACAGTCGATATATGAGCTTGACATGTGCATGAACAATAATAACACCCCGAACATACATACCGTGAACGCCTCCGCTAGATACAAGGTGTGGGCAATGTACAGCCTCATCAAGCAATCGGTACAACGCGGATGAGAAGACGAGTAGGACACTCATCGCGAACTCGTTCAGAGCTACATCATAGGCGACGAATAGTAAGAAACTACGAAAACAGACAGGAAAAACAACGGAACTGCAGGCGACAAGAGTTTAGGGTTCACACAACACGACGAACAGTGGCTGAGAGGCAATTGTCGAGATAGCAACTTTTCACGCGCTCCGATAGACGCTCAGGACCTAGCGAGAGTGTAGTTGACCGGACGGACGACACCTGGGTCGATAGACAGCGATGTGTCTGGAGCTGAGTGAAGACGGGTGTAGAAGCACCCGAATCCATGATGTGGGGATCTAAACAGGATAGAAACACACGCTTATCCTGTACCGTTCCACGGGTCAAGAATAAACTGGTTATGACCTGCCCTCAAACCAGAGTGATAGCTCAGGTATCCAGGAGGGGACTGCCGATAGTAGGGGCGATTGGATGAGGGAGACGATGCTGGATCCATGTAAGCCGTGGGTGACCCTGTACTATGCAGGAGGGAACTAGAAGGCTGAGCAGCAAGCACATATGACTTAGAGGGATCGTAATATGGCCTTTGATTCGGTATGGATGATTGTAAGCGAGCCATAGAGGAAGCCCTGCGATGCCCACCGATCGGAGATGTCGGGTGGATGGGTGGCGCAAGAAAATGAGTGGCCTCTCGGTTCTGGTTGCTTTGGACGGTGTAAGGAGCTGCAAGACTTGGCACAGGGGTTGTGTAGTAGAGTGAGTTCGAACGATGTGACGAGGACAGATTCGTCCCGGCAGCACCCGGATACCTGGACGAGGAGCTATCGAACGATGGCGACCATATGGACTGTGTTGACGATCCCAAAGCACCAGATCCGAAGAGCATAGGCGGCGGCAGCCCACCACCATTTTGAGGTGGAGGAAGTTCTCCATGATTCGGCTTGCGTGCAAGTCCTTTGAGGAGATCTTCAGCTGTTACGGACAGCAATTTGGAAATCTCCGGCGTAGTCTCAATTCCTATGTGACGAGATAGGGGAGACAGCGGTTGTGCCCTGGGAGGGCTCAACCTAGTAACGGGACTCGAATGCTTAGAGCGATGGGGCGTAGTGGAAACGGTAGACACAGGAGCGACAAGACGTGGCGGCGAATTCATGCTGAACGAACTAAGATCGTTAAATTTATCTGTCGGTGTGGAAATCAGAGGGACTTACTTCCTATCCATTAGAATCACGTCGTCTGAACCATCGTCGGAGTAGCTCAAGGTTTCGCCCGAGTGAGCCAGCGCCTCTCGCATGGCGTCGCTTACTGGATCGTCAGTCGTTCGTGACAGTTCTGTCAGGTTGTCATCGTCAAGGTCGTGGTATTCAGGCTTATCCTGTGACGTCGCCGAGAATACAGGTAGCTCTCCCAATTGCTGTGATTGATCCATGTTTGACTGCGTAACCGTAGGGTGTACCTCATCTGGATTTTGCAACACGAATTGATTATTAGACAAAATCAAGGGTGAATTCTGGTAGTTGGAGAAGGCGTAACCCTCAATAACGGCGAAGCATAGACATAGTGTAGCTCACCTCGTCGCTGACCAGCGAGCGAGCGTCGGCAAGCAAATCCCAGATCCGCATCAACTGCTCCACATTTGGGTGGACCTGCTCCGGCACGGGTACTACCTTTCCTTCGTCTGCCGTCAAGGAATCTGCCCCTGCCGCACCTACTGATTTCACTTCGCCGAACATGAAGTTCTTCAATGGCAGAAAGCCGAGCATCTCGCGATCCTCCTCCAGCGGACTGTTGAGCACGGGCAACTTGTCGAGAGGAAACGCTCGCAGAAGGGTGCTCGAAAATTCCGCATACGCCTGCCAAAAAGCTTGTGGATCAATAGACAGCATAGAGTGCTTCTCTCTCTTCTCAGCGTTCTTGCCGTAGATCGTGCTCTCGATGTGTTTTGAATGTCGCTCTTCCTGTGGCTGTGATGCAGGGAGGCTAACGTACTTGACATTCCCACGAACCCATTTTCCTGCCAAACGCAAGGCAGGAAGCGTCCTGCGAAACGGTGCCGTGATGCGTTGAGCGAGGTCATGCTCTCCGTCATCCTCCGCAGGAGCTTCGGCGAGTTGTGCGATCCCTACTTCCAAGAGAGCGAGATGCAGATCCAAGAGGTGGGTCGCGATCCGAGATTCTATTAGCACGGCACCGGTAGCGCGGGCCCCATGGCTTGTCCCCAACGTAGAACGTGTCATGCGATGTCTCCATAATGCGCCTTGGGCAAGAACCAGGGTTTTCGAGATCATATCGTCGGGAAGAAAACGTTCCGATACCAGGGACTTGAACTCGCTAATGATTTCTCGATTCAAATCCGGCAACATCGGATTTGCCCTGGCAAAATACATGAAGAGCAGTTAGTGGATGTAAGGCAGGGTACGCACTCGTCCGAGGTATGCTGCCATAACGCATGCATAGCGATCAGTTTCCCCTTGAAGGCATTGATTCTCTCACGAGGCGTCAACCCATTCTTCGCCTCGCCACCTGCCTCCTCTTGTTGGACCTGCCTTGACTTCCACTGCTCCAAAGCCTTGCTCAGAACCACGGCCATATTCTCCGAAGCCGTGTCATACGGTCGGCGCACACATAGAGAGCGGTAGTAGTGCACGAGCGAGTTGAATGTATCCTTCTGATACGAGGCCAGGATCGCCAGCTGATGCGATGGATTGCCATCGTAAGGCAGTAGCAATCGAGCCTGTTCGTAACATTCCTGCGCTCTCTTGTAGTCCCGCATACGCGCCATCGTGGGCGGCATCACGGCTGCGGCTCCTCCTCTCCTGTTCCGTCCGCCCCTACCAAGTTGAACAACAGGAGGGCCATCCTCGTGACCAGCTCGAGGGCGGCCACCAGCTTCGTTGTACTGTTCCTTGTACCGCGCGATGTCGCCCAAACAGACCAGTGCCTTGCTGAGCATTGCTATCCTACTCTCCAGTTGATCAGGTGTTGCGGATGCCAATGCCGGAGATACTGAGTCTGCCTCGAGCGGGAAGTCCCGCCTCGACGAGGCGCCCTCCGTCGCGGGAGGTACCACTTCATCCTCTGGCATGACGATACCAAGCGTAACGAGAGCGCGTTGGGCGTCGCTGAGCGCGAATGACTTGTAAATGCGAACGACTAGCTGCGTCCAGAACTTCTCTTCATCTGTCAGGAATTGTCGGAAGCGTTGGAGAAGCTTGCGATACTCGACACCGTGTTGTCGATGCTGCTGCTGGTGGTTTTGACGAGTGGATCCGTGCATTGCACTGTCAAGAGACGAAATGCGCCGCTTGTAGATCGTGATGAACGTGTAGGACGTCTGCATCCACAGATGTGTCTCGGCATCTCTGGATTCTGCAGCGAAGGGATGGACGAAGAGCAAGCGCAGGTATTGCCAACGTAGACTTCCGAGCAGTTGAGTGCACAAGGGATACGGCAAGAGAGTGAAGGAATCTTACTTCTTTCTCTGATATCCAACATCTTTATCCCAAGGGTCGCGGATTTTCAACGACTCCTTCAGACCTTGATGGAGGCCTTTGGCCTCCCTATCAAAGCTTCAGCTAACTTATGGACCTCAGATGGATCAACGCTCACCGTGCTAAGTGTGCGGCCTCTTCAGACATTGTGTGAACATGCGCTCGTGCAATTCGCTACAACTCCGAGATCATTTCGTGTAAGATAGATTAGACATCGTCTATTGGCAATGGCGGTGTGAAGAGTGAGGTGGAGTGTGCCACAGTGATTAGTGTGCACGGTTTTGTGCAGCTAAGTCACGGTCAGTAAGGACTTACGTAAATACATACCGGACTTATTATTTCAGACCACCTCCAGTAGATCTACTTACTAGCGAGACAGCGTCGACAAGAGTAAATGTGGGCTTACATGCCAATGACACCAAGCTCATTCCTCCTTGATAGAGAAACATGCAATATTCACAATTTGCTTGTGTATATTGGGCAGTTCAGCAAAACTCGTACTACTACTAGTATACCATACGTGCAAGATCTGCAATGGCGGACGTCCGAGTCACCCTTGACTCTCTTCACTCCCGTACGCATTGCTTTTGTGTTTCGGTGTGAACGTCCAGGATTCGGGAGCTGGACCAAGGAACATCTCAGAAATCTTGACCCAATCACGGCTGTTGTCACTAGCTAGTAAAGTTTCTGGAGCAAAAACGGTGAGTGGTTAAAACGAACAAGTTTATAAGAAATTACCTAACTCATCCCGTCCATGGAAAGCCGGAGCACGATCATTGATGTGACCTGGAAGATGCTCCAGCAGTCCAATAGGTATATATCGGTACTGGAAAGATAAGGCTTCGCATAGGTACCGACGTGTGGTGTTCACCCCAGCGGTGTCCGAACCAAAATGACTACAATGTCTCGTTAGTCCTTCTAGCTTTCATGGTAATATATAACTTACTTCAAGCCGTATTCTGCATACTAAGAGAAGTTGACGTCACCGAGCAAGAAGGAAGTAATGGCGATATTACACCTACCTTTCGGATCAGCTCCAAGCGTTCTCGAGAGCTAATGTCCCATTCTCTATGCTCCTTCACCTCCGTGAATATCCACGGCTTGATGAGAGCGCCCCGGCCTATCATGATACCATCGACGCCGCTGTTGTTCATCTTCGCCCAGTAGTCTTCGGAGGAGAAGCAGTCCCCGCCACCGAAAATCGGTACAGGTGCCACTATAGGAATGAGGAGTGTTCGCAGCTTGTCAATCATAAACCGAAATTATACTGACGGCCCTCTTCTGCTTCTCGGGCCCTCACGGCATCCACGCATTGCTTGACGTAGTCCCAGTCGGCGAGCTTCGTATATCTCTGCTGCCGGGTGCGGCCATGAAGCTAATAGAGGCAATCCCACGTCAGGTCCTGTATTTCCTAAGGGATAAATATCGTCACACAGTAATAGCAGCTACATTCCACTCTGGAGCGAGACGTGGCATGAGCTTGTGTGCCGTGTTGCGTCCGTCCTTTACGCCAGTACGAAGCTTCACGGTCACCGGGATGTCACCTAGTGCCTTGTTCATGCCGACAATAATTTTCCCTAATTTTCCTGCCGCGTCCAGCACTGCGAAAACCGACGCGTGGAAGTGAGAGGTGTCATGAGGATCTGGGGGTTGACGCACAAGCGGATCCACTCCCTGTCTTGTAGACGAGATCAATAGGACAACCGCAGTTGATATCGACGAAGTCGAGATTGCCTTCACACTCCTTACCGATAGTCTCCGCCGCGGGGACGAGTAGTGAAGGTTTACTGCCCGCAAGCTGCACTCCGAATATGGATTCCGAGGAGTGGCGCCTGACAAGGGACCATTCTTCCTTGGACCCTTGCAGGAATGACATTGCAAGTCCCACTGCAGAGGAATAATTAATTTCTCTATTGGTGGTTGATAGTTCTGCTCACTTTCTCCGCAGGTGATGTCGGCACCATAATCCACACATAGGCGTCGGAACGGCTGGGGTAAATATAACCACCTGTCCACCAAGTCTGCAGGAGTACGCACCAAGTTTCCAACGGTTGTGAGAGGAGCAAGATCTAAACGGAATATATTTGTATGAACAACACGAAGAGAAGAATCGTTACTCACATGTCTTGCCTGTCCAGTGCAATCTTCTTTTCTCTGCGAAGCGCATCGGTACGTCCGGCGTGTCGACTTGTGCCGCCGTCTCGTGGTCGGCTGTTTCATTTGCTGTAGCAGAGGATGGAGTCTGCTTCGCTGGCTGTGATTCGGGAAGAGGCTCGATAGCTGGTTCCGACGGCTTCAAGTCCTTTTCTCCCTTCTCTTCACCCCGTGATGCTTGCAGCTCTTTCAAGTAGACGTCGGAGATAGGGCGAGGATACTACAAAGTTTGCCTGAGCAGTGTGAGACTGAGTCCAAAAACAATGTATTACCTTCTTTGTACGGATCAGTTTCAGCGTACCAGGATCTATAAAATTCAATTCAATGTCCGTGACCGCTGTGTGAGCTTTCTTCTCTTCGTCAGTGACGAGCTCGAGAGCCGCATTTTTGCCTTTTCGGACGTGACCACTGAGGAAGCGGCATTTGAAGCCATGTTTGCACTCCCCTAACCTCCAAAACACAGGACACTTTGTGGAGAAACCTGTGGATTCATTCTCTCCGTCGATCATCTCCTCGTCAGGCACTAGTTTCACGAATGGCGGAGAACATGTAAGATCTTCTGTGGACGGAAAGTGGATGTCTCTTGGCTTTGCCGCTAAGTAAGCACATACGTCGTGACTGAACCGACATCTAGACCGCAGTCAGACAGACCACCGAACAAAAACGCAATCGTGTCACTCACTCCGAACCGAACTCGCAAGCCTTCCCGTTTGCAACCCTCCAGCAGAGCTCCACCTCGTCCCGCACCTTTTGGAATCGCCTGCCCTTGTTCGCACCGCGCTTGTTTTTCCTCTCCTCCTTCGAGAGCTTTCTCCGCTGTGCGCCGGAGAACTTCTTCCCCTCTTCTCCTTGGTTTTGCTCGGTTCCAGCGGCGTCCTGGCGTCCTTTTACGTGACTTGAACTTCCTTCTGCAGCATCATCATCAGGCACATCACGCGTAACGACGGACACGAAGAATCTGAGCGAGTGCAATGCGCAAGGACATCAATTAATGTATCGAACCCTAGTGGAAATTTACGAACTCTGGTTTGATCGGAGCTGTACCTGGTAACAACGAGCTGGACATTTTCAAACTGCTGCAAAAGATTTTGAGAACGAAGAAAGGTTGTGTGACCTGTATCGTCTGAGCTCCAGCTGAGACTCAGCGTGGTTCGTGACAAGAAAGATTTCAACTCAAATTACCCGATCTCAGATCGATCACCTCAATCTCTGAGTGCAAGTCTTCCGCTAATAACGCCAGCAAGTTGCAGAGTACTAGTCTAACGCACTAGGCGGTCGTACGCGTATCTATTGCTGGTATGTAATGTTATGACAAACACTAAGGACGATAAGAAACAGAAAATCCATTGATGTCCAGACACTGCGTGCAGCTTCGATCTAATGAGTCTATTGAATTATCCGGGTGCAATTTTCTATTCGCCGCGTCCGATGACAGTGACCTAGACCCAGAAATGAGGGGGAAAATACAGCACAGACAAGCGGAACGAACTTTGAAACCAATCTTCCTCAGCTTCTCCGCATCCACAAGGAGACGGCCGTCGAACACGAACGCCGGCTTGGCCATATGTACATAGACCGACTCCCAGTCGATGTCGCGGAACTCTTTCCACTCGGTTGCAATGACGACCGCCTCCTTGTTCTTGCACGCCTCCAGCGCAGAGTGCACGAGGGTAACCTGCTTCTTGACTGCAGAACGGATCAGAGACCGCATTTGTGCTCAAGGTGCGAACTCACTGTTTGCAAGCGGCATGAGCGGACACGCCTCCTGAAGATCGGCCCAAATCTGCTCCTCGTCGACCTTCGGGTCGTAGATGGTGACGTAGGCACGCTCCGACAAGAAGTCACGCACGAGCGAGATCGCAGGTGACTCACGCGTGTCGCCAGTGTCCGCCTTGAACGCGAAGCCAAGCAGTGCAATATGCTGTAGAGTGGATTAGCTAAATCGCAACGGAAATATTGTAGAATAGATGTGGACCTTGTTGGTGATGGTGTTGAAGAGTGTGTCGACAACGGTCTTGGAGAACCGGCTCTTCTGGTACTCGTTCATTTCGACCACTTGGCGCCAATACGCGGCCACCTGCGGGAGGTGCAAGCTCTCACTCAGGTACACGAGATTGAGGATGTCCTTTTGGAAGCACGATCCGCCGAAGCCGACAGACGCGCGCAGGAACTTCGGCCCAATGCGCGAGTCGAACCCGACGGCATGCGCGACTTCGTCGATGTTCGCGCCTGTCGCCTCGCAGATTGCGGACAGCGCGTTAATTGACGAGATTCGCTGCGCGAGCATCGCGTTTGCAGCAAGCTTCGTCAGTTCCGATGACCAAAGGCCTACTCTCAAGATGCGCCCCTTCCTGAGTGAGACACAGGGGTCAGAGACGTCGCATGTAAGCTGACTTTACTCACGGCACCCAATTCGCGTAGACGTCTGTCAGAGATTGGCAAGCATCCTTGCCCTCCTGTGTTTGCAGCGACCCAATTAGGACACGATCCGGGCTCAGCAGGTCAGTGACGGCGGTCCCCTCCGCAAGAAACTCGGGATTGGACAGGATGTCGAATCGTGTTCCCGGCTTCGAGTTCGCCTCCAGGATGGTACGCATCGACTCCGCAGTCCTACATGGCACAGTCGACTTCTCAACCACGATCTTGTTCGAGTTCGCTACTGCCGCAATCTGCCGCGTTGCGGACTCGACGTAGCTGTTAGCCAGCACGCATGCGTCAGATTCAGACGCTATCTGTCACGAGGGGGCACGCACTTGAGATCTGCGGCGAATCCTGCTCCGACACCGCTCTTCTTAGTCGGCGTGTTCACACTTACGAATATCAGGTCCGCCTCACGGATGCCCTTGTCGACGTCAGTAGAGAAAAAGAGATTCCGGCCGCGCGCCTGCTTGACCACATCAACGAGGCCGGGCTCGTAGATTGGAATGCTGAAGTCCGCGCTGTTCCACGCATCGATACGTGCCTGGTTGAGGTCAACGATAGTGACAGTGATATGTGGGCATTTGAGCGCAATGACAGCACACGTTGGGCCACCTGCTGGGCGTTTAGACGGCTCCTTTCGGCGATGAAGTCTGCTACTTACCCACGTAGCCGGCGCCGACTGCACATTTCCCACTGTCAGTATATGCAATTTAAAGAAGAACCTGAAGCTCTTGTTAGACATACTGCAGCAGATCTTGGTGACTTTTACGGGTGCCATACTGCGTATAAAGGAGAGATGGCTTTCCGGGAAGGATGGTGGGCGTTCGAGTTTAAGTGCCCTCGCCGGCGTCTTCACTCCGTGCGCGGGTGCTCATCACTTCCAACAATCTCGGCACTGCATCCTCGCGACGTACACGCGTGTTCTGGACAAACGAAATTGTTATATGATAGGGTGACCCCAATAATTCGATTAGCTTGGCTTTTGCCTGGAGACAAGGCCTAGGGTGAGCTGGATAACTGCCCATATGTTCTCTTCGACCCTCGTTCCCATTCTATCCCCTAATGTTCTGTATTTTCAGACGGCATCACCACACCTGAGGCCTGAGCCTGAGGAGCTTCGAAGAACGTCAACTGTAAGGTGTGCACACTTTGAACGTGCCCAGACGTAACTCCCTTTAGTTTCAAACAAATATCACGTGGAATGGAAACTATCCAATTGTCGGGAAAATCTTTCGTGCCTAAGGCAGTTGCGACGAAAAAATTAGGGCATTTTAAGTAATTTTGGCACCATTTTTGTCCCCCAAGGCAGTTACAAGTCCCAAAGGAGTTGTCAGGCAAGGTTCGTTGTACTGAGACATATTTTTTTTTCCTTTTCCGACACACCTCATTGCGAACTTTCTGGTTAGCCAGGTCGCGCGGAGAATCCCGGCATCATAGGATGCGGAAGACTGGTATCTTTAAGACATTTGTTCGAACCTTGTGGTTCACGGTGTCACAGCACGGAGCCTTCGGTAATCGGAGCGTATGGTCTGGTGGACTTGTCTCAGGCCTTGACACAGGAACGAGCGACAGGTTTATATTACTTGGCAGCAATTTCTCTACAAATGGGTTAGAAGACCACTAGCAACCTCCTCCCGCAACATAGTATGCACAGCTAAGTAGCCGCATTAGAAGATGAAGACTTCGCAAGAAACTAAGGTACAGGTATGTTCAAACGAAGGGGACATGTAACGGACAAAGCTGCCGTACACAGAGAACCAAGACGGACGCATCTAATTTAACAAAGTGTCAAGGGCTGCGGTGAAAACCATCCGTTGGACCCATGCAGATTGTTTGCAATTTGATATGATATCTAGGACCGGATTACGCCTCGGGCATGTTCACGAGCTCAACCGCTCGCTCGATAATCTGCTCTAGCGGCCACCGCTCACCGTCGCCCTGCTTGAGGTTCAGCAGGTCGCCCACCTCATCACACGCCATCAATACCGTGTCCACATCCTCCTTTGTGTGCGACGCGCTCAGGCAGAAGCGCACGCGCGATGTGACCAGTGGCGTGGCTGGGTACCCAACGACGACGACGACGATTGGGATGGCACGCGTGCGCATCATCCGACTGAACACAGCCATCTTGCCCGGATTGAACAGCAGCAGCGGCACGACGGGCGAGTCAACCCCGCCATACGTGATGAATCCGAGCTTGCGCAGGCCTCGGTTCAAGTACCGCGCGTTGAATGCCAGCCTGCGCAGGCGCATGCGTCCATCTGAGCCATCAATCATGCTCGGCGAGGGCAGCATCCACGGCGGGAGCGCCGACGAGGGCACCTTGCCCGGGTACTGGCACTCTGAATCCTCTGCAGTCACCGGGGCAGTATCTGACCGGATGAGCGATAACGCAGGAGAGTTGGACTTTTCCGTGGGCACCGAAATGCCCATGATGCTCGCCATGCTCGCGATGACCTGTGTGACAATCGGTGGCGCCATCGCTTCCGCATAAGTCCCGGTGTGTCCGTACATGCGAATGCTGTCGACGAGATCCTTGTTGCCAGCGACGTACCCACCAGCAGCCCCGAACGACTTGGTGAAGGTACCCATGAGGATATCAACGGAGCGCGGGTTGATTCCGAAGTAGTCCGATACACCACGACCGCGGGGTCCAATAGCACCAATGGAATGTGCTTCGTCAACGAACAAGTAGAACTGGCGTGATCTTAAGCTATGCAGATCCAATCGCTTTTCGCGACAAAATACGCACCTTGTACTTTTTCTTGAGCTCCATGATCACGGGTAAGTTCACCATCGTTCCCTCCATACTGTACAGACCCTCGACGATCAGCAGGATCTTCTTCCACGGGCGGTGCGTCTTGGGCTGGCCCTGGCTGATGACCTCGCGCAGGAGCGCCTCTAGTGCCTGCATGTCATTGTGCTTGAACGTCCGGACGTTCGCGCCGCTGAGCCTTACACCAAATCGGATAGAGGCATGGTTATACTCGTCGGAGATCACCAAGCTACCCTTGCCGACCAACGCCGGGATGATGGTCGAGTTCGTCGCGAAACCCATCGAACTGATGAGCGACGATTCCATACCCACAAATCGCGCAACCAATGATTCCGCATGCAAGTGCAAGTCGAGCATACCGCCCTCTAGACGCGTACCGCACGCAGAAACGCCATATCGCGCAACTGACTCTTCAACGGCATCAGCGCACGCGCCTCGTGCTTGCGCAAAGCCGAGGTAGTTGTACGACGATATGTTGAGCGCTCTCGTGCGCGTACCGGTGGGCAGCATCGTCATATTGTAGTCGGTGGAATAACGGTCCAAAAGCATAATCGTACGCCCAGGAACACCCGTCACGGGATGAGAGAAGCAATCATCAATACGCGTTTTAAGACGGCGAGTGTAGAAGGAGTCGAAATCCGAATTCAAGGGGGCATAACCCTAATATCGCATGTCAACATCATACGTCGCAACGTCAGGAGACGACTCACGTCCTGAACCATGAGGTGCTTATAGACAGAGGGTCGAAGTCGCTTGCCAATGAAGTCACGAAGATGACCAAGACATATAACCATGAGGTAGCTCAGGTACGTCGTGACGAGGATGTAGTAAGGCGGATCCTGCTCCTCGTAATTCTTGTACTGAGTGCCAGCGCGATGCTGGGAAGTAAACCTGTACTTCTCGTTCGCACAATGACCGAATTCCGAGTGGACTGTGCTGAAAACCTGCTCCGAGTTTGGGGGAACACTTGGATAGGTGAGCACATCGTTGAAGTCAAACCCAGTTTCGTTCAACACCGTGTCCTCCGACGACACTGTGACAGACGATGACAGCGACAACGCAGGGGTGGATGAGGGAGTCCCTCCGTGAGCACGGGAGCGCGCATCGGCTTCAGAGACAGCAGACAAGTAGGACGCTGCAGTCGGCATGACCGACGACGCCTTCTTCTTAAAGATTGACGGCGTTGGAGCGGCTGGCTGTATAGCCATCGGGGAGGTAGGCATGGTGGGATGCAGAGAAGAAAAGAGATGACTGGTGTGTTATAAGTCGTCCCTCCCCCAGAGAATCACGGTCTATCCTGTGATGGTGCGAAGAGACAACGGCATCAAGGTGGGGAATTCCATTCAATAGGGGTACGCTTACAGACCCAAAACCCCAATGAATTCGCGAGGTTGCGCTTATCCACTACTGACGATTCCTGTCGTACGTCCTCGCTTCCTACGTGAATCGAAAAACAAGCAATGCGAGGATGCCCAGGAACGACGGAAGAAATCGCCAGGGATGATGACGGTAGAAAACAGAGAACAGCAATGTGACCTTGAAGCTGAAACACGTTACATTTGATCGTGTAAGTACTTATCGGATAACGCTTCCCTGAAAATAAGTTTCACAAGTTTCCGTTCTTCTCGTTGCAGGAATTCCTCCGCATGTTTCCCGAATTCTCCATCCACGCAATCTCCACATCCTCTTCCTGACTTTCGACTGTGACCTCTGTATTTTGTGAGGGCAGGGTACATCCTAAACTCCCAGTGCCTGAGAGGCTGAGAAACGCCATTGAACAACACATGACTGATCAAGTTTGAATATTTGAACGCCCGCAGGCCTAGTAAACACCTGGATCGTTCCTGGCATCCAACGTAGTTACTCTGTAGCGAATTTAATTTAGTGGCCACCGAGGCTAGCGCTGCGCTGAACCACTGTTCTTTGGCCAATCTTGAGCCGGACGACTAGGATGGCATGTGCGGTGAGGTCTTCCAAGAACCGCATGTACTACGGTGGTCTGTGATGCGTGTCTGACATCGCTCCACTCACTAGCCATGGGAATTCACTGGTATATTGATGGCAGGCTGTGTGCTCTCTGATGAATCCAAGGCTGTCTACCAAGGCTCCACTCGGGAAATCTGCCTTTCTATGTAGCCCTGCTTGAGCCCTGCCATCTAATATGCAAAGTAGGCACTGTTTCATGGCTTCCTTCCCAATTCTTCCGGTACTTCAGCGTTCTAAAACCTTAGGGCCGGTATATTGTCTGGTGTGTACCCGCGATTTTAGATGCTGCGCCGTGGATTCGACACAGCGGGACCATTATGGACACTCTTGCCGCAGCGTCAGCATGAGACCTGGGCCTGAGCAGTTCGCATTCTCTACACGGTTGCATTCTGCAAGGTAGTCAGAGGTCCCGCAGTCAATTGGCGGAACTACTGTCTTTTCCCCGCCGGCCTAGGGCATGTACAAACGTCGAAATAAGTCAGTTCGTGCCAGTTGGGATCGCTAAATTTGTCCTCCGAGCTAGGTTGTTCTGATTGACAGGAGACTGTGGGCAACACGTTAGAGGCCAGTGCTCTCGATCAAGCTGGGATGCCAGTCGACGATGCTTTATATCGCTCCACTCTGTCGTGCGCAGGAGCTTATTAATTTTTTGGTGTCACAGTCAATCACTTATATTATCCAGCCGACAATCACCGCAGGATGATGCGTTCTCGTTCCGTTACGGCTCAAGTGTCATAACTGAATCAGCAACCAATTGTTACATTGTGGCGACCGTCTCGCTATCTTTCCTCACTGCTCTCTCGGCGAGGCGTCGCCTTTTATGTGGCTCTGTGAATAGGTAATACCACTGCCATCGCTGCCGTTACCGTTCCCATAAAGTCTTCCACATGTTTTCATACCCTCTTCCTTTGTGCCTGGATGGCATGTGCTTCCGTTGGGTCAGATGAGGCCTCATTGTAGTGGAATTCCATTCCATTTGGTCAATGTGGTCTCAGGTAATTAACACCACTCATGAATTTCACCGGGATTCTCATTACTGCCTGCCCTTAGACCATTTCGGAGTTGGTCTAAGGCCCTTCAAACGGATTGGTGTCAATCAAGTGGGCTAACTATTTCTTTTCAATCTATTAACTGTGCCCGTCTACCGCCTTTGCCGCTTGTATGTCGGTTTCGCTTGTTATCTAGGCTTCCCTCTCCACGTCCTCACAAGATCGTCCGTGACTATGGTAAATACTGTATCAGCCATTGAATGTCCGGTGATAGGCCCAGGAAGACGCTGAGAATTCAATAGCTGCTTAGGAGGCTAGAAATGAAATGTTCCATCGCGTTCTACTTCTGTTGCGAAGAAATACACATTGTTAGCATGTTAATCTGGGGCGTGCACGCTGCTGTTTAAAACAAACAGTCCAACAAGCACCGACACTTCGTTCGAACAGCGTGTACACCGTAATAGATAGCTCCCGCATACAATTGCATCAAAAGTAACATTGACGCTCCCAATCTAGTGTCGTGATATAGAATAACAGAACAAGTACAGGTATCAGTACACTGCTACGTGTGGCATCTCGGACGGACACAGTGGCAAGCAAAAGACGGCGAGTAAAGTCCCCGGGAAAATTAGTTATCACTACGAAGAATCTACGCAGCTCTATCTCCAGATCCCGCCTTGCTCTGAGAACCTTTCGGATTCCGGCGAGCCGAGAATCCTCTCGGCTGCTGAGAGCCAGGTGAGCGGGGTTGGGATCCCGCGCCTGGCAATGAACTTGGTCCATGTGGATCGCGAATGATCTTCACGGAAGAAGCACTAGAGGAGTCTCGACCACTGGACGGAGATGAAGCGGAACTTCCTTCTCTTGAGTTGGCGCTGGGTACCCGCGCGGCATTGTTCACAGACCTGCCATTCAGTGTGCTCTCTTGAAAAATACGCTGTCGTGCAGCCTGGTACTCGGCTTCGCGCTCTGCATACGACTTCATTGTCTCAGAGCCTGGTGCTGAGGATGAGGGCAATTGGGAGTTTGTTGGGCGTTTAAGAATGCGCAGTGTTGGCTGAATGGCAGCAGGAGGCGGAGAGACGACGCTGGTGGTGCTCGAGGCAGAAATCACGAGTTCGGGCATGGGTGCCTTGTTATTCCTGCGTTCCGTTGCAAAACAGTCGGTTAGGCGTTCAATCGCCGTTAGCCACGCACATGTGTTGATGTTAGCATACGGATGAATCAATGTGTCCATAAATACTCACGCATTTTCCCATAGCGCCTGCTGGTCCTCTTCTTCATCATCCTCGTCATCCCAAGCCTCCGGGGTCGGTTGCACAGACGCTACTCGCCGTTGTGCACGGGGTGCTGCCTAGCAGTTCTGTCAGCGTTTTTGTAAATCACAGGGTACTAGTACTTACGAATGGGTGCTCCCATAAATCTACGGATGTACTTGTGCTAGCGACGGACATGTTGGTGGAAAACGAGCAAGTGCGTTGAGGGCGCCGAATTTCGTCTACATAGCACGTGTATAACCAGTACTTCCGGATATAGAAGGTATGTATGTTGGAAGGCGAAAGTTTCAGAGTGACGACAATAATACGTATTACTATATAAGCTTCCTAGCAGTGAAAAATTTGATAATTCGACGTGGAAAAATAATGTTGCTACTACTGAGGAGTCCTTGGAGGTGCATTAATTTGTTCAGCAGTTCGTACGTTTGTGGTCCCAATCTCGTGACGATCCATTTCCTTTACCTCTCATCATTCGTGTTCATCGAATCGCTCAGTTCCATTCGCACATGCACCGCATTTGATGTAAGCGCAATTCCTGAGATGACTCACTGCTAGACCCAGTAGTAAGTCTTTGTGCTCCAGAATGGTGTACACTCATAGCTCACATGAATTTGGTCAAGTCATCGTTGGATATTTCAACTTACGGGTCCCACTATACGGACAATTCTTCCTCGCACCGTCTCGGAGCTGTACGTTGACACGGTCGCTGTGCGATGTTCGTTGATGCAAATGCATATATTATCAGGGTCACCGATAGTAATGACCACAGAACGCGTCAACGCGATCTATCTCACCGTGGGCAGCACAGCGCAATCACGTCTGGATCTTGATCAACACGAGAATTTACATGCCGCGGTTGTCGGTGTCTTGACGGACAAACAGAAACTCAGGCTATGCACAGATTCAACGCGGTTGATGACGAAGGAAATCTCGAGACAACACCGAGTACAGGATGTAGTAGAGTACAACAATGACACGCTGGGACACGATACAGATCCGAAAAACAGACAATACAGTTTATACGATCCAAAATAAAAACAAACACAGGTAGAAATAATGATAGCTGCAACAAACACTCAACTTGGTCCACGTTCAACTCTGATCACGACCGCTTGGACCGCGACCGCTTGAGGCTCAACTCCTTGATACGCTTTGACGTCCGGACGCCGTTTTCATCAACATTATCGTGTGGTTCTGGCTCTCGCTTCCGTTTCGAACTGCCGGCCATCACATTGTCGGGAAATCTGACTGAGGCCTTTTGACTCCTAGCCTTCTTGCTCTTGGCCGTCTGATTCGATGCACTGATCGCTGCCGTGATAGTTGCATTCGTCGGGTCGGCATGGCCCTCCTCCTGAGGTTCCACATAGGGCTTGAACGGGATCGCGCCATCGTTCTCTGGCCAGCCGTCCATTTTCAGCGCCATTTCGAGCTTCTCCAACACAGCGTCATATGTGAGCAGCACAGCCGGTCTCTCCGACGTCGACTGACCGCGGTGGCACAATTTCGTGAGCTCCCGCAGTAGCCACGTCACCGGTACATTCCCCGGAACACCGAGGTATTCTTCTCTGCACAGCCACGCACGCTTCAGGGAGGCACAAATCAAGTCATTGTCATGAAAGAACAGCAGTGAACACTGATTCGCGCCTTCTGGATCATCGTGCGTAGTGTGTCGGAGGACTAGCCAGATGAGGAGCCAGTAAAAGGATTCCAAGTCATGATGTGCACCATGGATGACACCCCTCCGAGCTAATAGTTCAATGGCCATGAAAGCGTACGTTCCCTGGCAGCAGCATTGAGTAAGAGATCATATCAAAAATACAATAGAACTCACTGTTCGTTCTTTCAGACCATTGTTCTCATCCGCATCGGGTCTCGTCGAGTCGTCGTGAGCACCCAGGACGCCCGGCATGAAACTACTGTAATCGAAGTCACCGAGAAATCCCTTGTACGGCTTCCCGTCAATCATATAGACGTTCCCTTCGCTCACGTCACGATGTAACACGCCAGTGCTGTACGCCTGTTGATGACCTATGAATGCACATCCGTGAATTTAGTCAACCCCCTCCTTCAGGAGAACGGTGCATACCTTTGATCGCGTCGCACAACGCCTCGACCATCCGTTTCGTCCGACGAAAATCTGACAGAGGTATGCCTAGCGTCTCCATAATCAATCGCATATGCCGGCGATCGTTGTCCTCTGCATGCTTGGGACTACGGATAAATGCAGACAGGGTTCGGTGCCCTTCCTGATTCGCGCAGTCAAAGAAAGCGGGAGGAGGTGGAGATACCACTGGGTTAAATGGATCCTGCTCGTCCGGAGCTGCCATCGATGTTTGCGTCCGAGGCGGCGATGACAAAGGGGAGGACAAAGGGTCCGCATCATCCGCACCCATCGAGATGGATGACGGAACAAGCGGCGTGCTGGACGGATCGGGAAGATCAGAAGGCGGATTCCCGGGCACGAGGGGTGCGCGGATTTGATCATTTGGCTTCATTCGTTCCTTATCCTCCAGGTCACCGAGGTCCGCTCCAGCCCGCAGTACAGCCAATCCGAACGGTTCCTCGTTTCGATCCCGCAACGTCTTCATTATATGGGAATAGTATGTCATTTCTGACTCTCGAAGTCCCTGCCGCCACGAGTCCTTGATAATGTACTGCTTGCCATTGATCTCGTCCTTGTCGATTGCCGACCATACTGTCGTCGAGCGAGAGAACAGACAAGGATTGATGAAGAGCAACTTGACCGTCAGCAATTCCAACGTCACCGTCTCACCTTCCTTGGTCACAGCTTTTGCGGAAATCCACCGGTGCATGCCGGTATCGGAGCCTTGAACATCCTCTGGCTCCAGTACGTCCTCCACCCATCGGAGGTGTGACCTTGTGATCTTAGTATCTACCGTCGGGTCGTCGCCAGAAATCCGTGTGTCGCAGAGAGGATTGACGAAATTCCAGAGGAATTGCCGGAACAGCTCGGGCTGCTCGACGTAGTTGAACCTAGGTGAGACAATACACGACGAGTGATCGAACCGAAAGATGCGTGCCTGGTGGCCGAATATTCCGAACACGAACGCAAACAGGCCACTGTGGCCCACCAGGAGATTCCGCCCATTCTTGACAAGCTGCCTCATCGTGTCGTCCCGAGCTTTAGCCCACACGTTCATGGGGTCATCGCTCCTTTTAGGCTTCACTTCGATCGCCAGTGCAACATCTTTCCAACGAGGGTCCTTCAGCGAGGTGGTCGTTCCCGGGTAGGAGGTGATCAGGTCGGGTTTCATGCGGTGATGATGAAGGTCCCACGACATGTACGGGAACGGGATCAGGTGGGTGCTGTTATCATGGAACCTAAGTGATTTCGCCACTGGGAAGTCCTTGGTGAGAGCGAGGAACCCGTTGACCTAAAGGCCACACAGTCAGACCATCGTTGACATAGGCTACAAGAGGGCAACCTACTAGAGGGTTATACATTAACGGCTCGAGGCAGTCTTCACGGACGTCGTCGAATTTCCCAGAGCAGTCCATCGGAGGGCACACTGCTTCGCTCGCAGGTACGAGAACGTTGATGAACGAGTCGATAGTGCCATGGTATTCATTTATCTTGCCACGATATTCCGACGCCCATGCTTGTTGGTTCTTCTCGTTCGCCTCCCTGCGTTCAGCATCGTTAGCAACCTGCTTGTAAGACTTAGCAATGGCAGGTGTGGCTGACAACATGCTCGAGCCACTGGAGTCTGCAGAGCAGGCACTCCAGAAGCTGCAGCCAGAGTCGGATACATCGGAAGATGACATTGTAATTTATAATGGTTGAAATGTCGGAGATTTGATTTGGCTTGGCCAAGTTGTGTACGCCCAAACTTGCACGAACAATGGTCTTCTCGCCACCGTAGGCCGTCTTCGTCAGTTTCAACCTCTCGAAGACAAAGAATTTCAGATATACTCACAGGGAGAATTTGGGTACAGCTATCCTCTTTCAATTTGCTAGGAGTAGAGCGCGTATGGCTCGAAAGTTCAAGTTTGCAAGCGTTGGAAGGGAGCAAGTTGAACGTTGGCCTGCCTAGGCGCTCAGCACAAAGCATAACTCACGTGAACTTGCAGGACAATCCGCAGCAGCCGCGGCCTGGATATCGACCGCGTTTGGAAGTCGCTTTGTTCCTCGTGCCCTTTCTCATTGTTCCTACATATTTTGCGAGACAAGTGGCGCCAAGGCCGCGAGATCACCTGCAACATATGAGTTAGATCTGTTAGAAAACGGCGCTGTGTCCTCAACACAGTTGGGAGATCCTCATTGATACCTTCACTCTGAATGAAGGAAGGGGCTTAGCGAATGTTGGATACAACAGTTTACTTGGATCAGTCCAACCAGGCCCAGATCTTGACACTGGGATTGAAGAACGCGATAACATCCCGTTAACATATCCGGCGAAGACTCACTGGGACTCAAAGAATTCGGTCAATTAGCAATGTGCACTAGACACTGCGACCACTTGAGGCTTCCAGACAATCCACACTAACAGCGGGGTCGACCTGACTTCGCGATCTCAGTCTCCATTCGTGCAAAATCTATCGCCACGCCGGGTTACCGGACTCACCTGTAAGTCGGCAAGAGAAGAAAAACTGGCCATGTCCTGTAAGAGACAGATTCAGATATGTCGCTCGGTGCGAAGGAGTCCAGCAGACTGGGGCTTCATCGCCGCCACACCGCGAAGTCACCTACATTTACACGTATAAGAAGAGATGACAGAATTATTGGGCTACACTGCTTCTCCGAGCAGTGAGATTCCTGACGACTATTGACATGATGATGGAAATTGACCATCATTATCAGCGGAAGGGCAGAGAAGTCGTGCCGAGGCGCATCTTTCAGTATGTTAGACTAACTCTCTATCTGAGGTTGACCCAAGATTAACTCGGAAAATAGCAAGGTACTGTGATGAATGGAATTTTCGGGTCCCAGTCACTGAGTCTGTCGTCTTGGCGGAGTCAGCCAGTTGCAACCCTTCTACAGCCTGCACTCTACTCAACGTCCGGCGTTTGCCGATAGGATGTTGTCATGCACCTCCACGAAACTAAAGCAGGAGTTTCACATACAAAGCTAACTTAGAAGCGGGAATAGCATGCGTTATCAAACTGCATGCGATTATTCAGAAGATTCCAGAAATCCACGGTATGTCCTGGCAGGAACTTGAGGTTCAATGTTGAGAAGTGCTCGTTGAGTCGATTGTACACAGTTACAGTGTATAAGGCTTTTGCGGCCTTTGGTGGTCCTTAAGTTGCGGGAAATGCACTGAACCGAGTATATTTGGAAGGCAGGTTTTCAGCGAGTAGAGTAAAGACGAAAAACCCATCCACGCGCCGGTTGAGCACGTATTCCGATCGGCTAACTCCGACGTCTTGACTACTCTATTCCTCTAATATCCTTACATACAGGAATGCATGCATGACAATCCTTGTTCCACTGAATATAATCACGAAGGAAAAATCAAGCCTTGCAAGCCTCTCACTCAGGCAGCTCACACAGTGGATCACTGTATTCCAGATGGACTATCTCCTATCGAAAAGGGCATTCAAGCAGCGCCCGCGGGCGCCCCGGGAGGCCCTTCGCGGGTTTGCTGCAAATAGAACGCCAGCATCAGTAGATACAATGCGGACGTCAAGGTGCATGACAATAGGTATTCCACTTAATCAATCACGCCAAAATTATCGGACCAGAAGGAAAATTCAAACTTCGCAATCCTTTTGTTCCTGCAGCTCAAACGGTGGGTCCCTGTATTTTAGACGGACCTTTCCCACTGGCAGAGCCCACGGTTCCAGCAGCGCCTGTGGGCACCTCGGAAGGCCCTTGCTTCTGGTGCGGTTTGGCGAGCTTCCATTCGCGCATTCACTTCAAATAGAACTTCATCAGACACGGATATCCCGAGAAACGAAGGTAGAAGCAGAGTGTCAGTCAGCCTTGTGGGAGATTAACTTTATCAGTAGGTCGCATGCAGACGCCAAAGTCTACGACCGACGTTGTTTGCACCCTTTTGCACCTGCAGCCCCTCCATGGTACTCCTGTGTTGCTGCAGATCTTCCCGGACACGCTGCTCTTGCTACTTGCTTAGCTGACACTGCGGCTAACTGGAGTTCTTTCACGGCGATCATGGACCAGACAGCGACTGACAAAGATTATCCGTTAGGTTGCATTGCATCGTTGGTAGCAAGCGCGGGATCGCAGTTCCCCCTTGATCACAGACATGCAAGATGAAATTGCGGGCTACATACTGGTGCTGACTCTGACTCGACGAGAGTATCATTACAGCTCTCTACTTATTTTCTGAGCACGCACGAGGGATGTAATGACTGCGACGAGGTACTTCATGAAATACAAACGTCCAGTATCTGACCGCGCGTTTGCTGCTGAAATGCACCACGTCTCACACCTGAACTGTGTACTTTTGTCCACTAATATTCGGGGAGTCCTCAAAACATTTCCTGCGATGATCATTGGGAGGATTAGTACTTAGTGGCTATCAACCTCCTACCACCAGCAGAGTGTAACAACTGGTTGCGTCATCGGATACTCCCACATGAGACGGCAAGCCTTTTCACTCACTGCATTCTCTCCGTATATGTGAATAGAGATTATATTTACCCAATTTTCGGTACATTGAATCCGCTACTTATAGTTCTTGGTAATAATGTTGCTTTTTAACTGCTAGGAAGGCCATATGTGAATGATTGATACAGTGAGTGAGACATAGTGGCAAGGAATGAAGATGAGGAGATGCATCCGGTAGTCTATAGAGGCGTCGATGAGCCTGTCATGACGCCGTCGCCGGTCACACGCCTCGTTCGTTCACTGCAAGGAGAACGGAATCAGTACATGTTAGACAGGTCATTGTCAGGCACTTACGAAGTCCCAAAGAGTGCCGAAGCACGGAATTCCAGCCGCCTTGCAACCCTAAATTGCACGCGTGCATAATCAGTACGATCTCACCAGCTATAGTGAGGAAGATCAACCCACCTGCATCATCTCAGAGTTACCGACATAGTTTGAGGTAATGAAAACAACTAGAAGTGCCAGTGTCCAGTGTTGAACAAGATTGATAGAGAGTGGCTCTCACCTTCCGCATTCCAGGAGTGATACACCTCCTTGAGAATTTTCATGGTGTCTGGGCGGCCGCCTCGCTCCCTGCTGTCCCACAAGAGAAGGCGTTCCGGCCCAATGTTGCTGTGAATGAGACCGCTGATAGTAGGACCAAACGTTTTCTCCTGATCAGACCCTGAAAATTTGAAAGTTCAGTGCTTGTGGTCACGGAAGGGTGGGAGGTCAGCGTACCTATCCAGATCAGGAACCTAGATGGCGTGGAGTATCAATTCCATATCTGCGGCCTCACAGCGTGATTGATACTCACCAGTAGGGGGACTGAATGCATGTGGAGAGAGCGGCGCCAATACCGGTACCCGTGCAGATACGAATACCGCGGTGGTAGAGAGTCGAAGTATTAGAGACACCAGCGAGCTGTGTGACGTCAATAAGAAAGCTCGAACTCCCAACACTCGAACTTACCTTCAGTTCCCGGGTCCAGATCTCCTTTGGCGGGTCATTGACGAGACTGTGAGTGAAGTCACCTGAATATCGGGACATCAGTTTGCACCCCTTTCAATACACTGAACAGTATGTGCGAACCTTGCACACCGCAGATCAAATAGTGGTACTTGGCGTGTGTACCCTCTCTTAAACGGACAAAAATGAGGTGGCACTTTCGCCAAAGTGAGGAAGTACTCACGAAATGACACCAAAAGCATGGTACTCCTTGACAGCGCCATGACTGATCCGAGCGAGAAGTCCCTGCTGCATGCCACGTTCAAAGCGCAGAACCGCGACCTTGGGGGACGGCTAGACAGAGAGAGGTATGCTTACGGTTTGTACGCGGCCGACAAGTTGCACATACAAGCTCGATGTCGACCTTGACATGCCTCGTGCAGATCCAGGGAAGGACAATCCAGACTGTCATCCCGATGACATACCAGAAATCCTGCTGCTTCGCGACGTGTCTGCCGTTCATAGCCCACTTCTTGGTCTCGGGGTCCCAGAGATCACCCATGACTGTGAAGATCCCTGACAAAGAGCGGGTGTTAGGTAAAGGCCTTACGATGATGGACGATGCTACTCACAAGTAAGTCCTAGCCCAGTCCAGCCGAAGAAACGGTGGTTGCGCTCGAAGACGCTAGGGACAGAACTCAGTGGTGCGAACTTCTACACAGAAACAGCGGCGTACTTATGGTGAGTGTTGCGGACGATGGGGAGTCCGGCAATGGCAACGATGATGAGAACGACATTGGCAGCCAGACCAAACACCAAAATCGCATCGTGCTCATTGTAATGATTGCGATAAGTGTCGACAATCCTGAAGGTCAACCAGATGATCCCAGAAATTGCGCAGCCGGAATGAATGCCACCAAGATGCTTTCATTACATGTCAGACCACCAAGGTAGTGGAACGACGACAAGTCTTGGACTTACCTGGAGCACTGAAGTGCATCCCAACCGCCACCACAAAGGCGTCCACTGCAGACAGATCTCAATATAAGATAGACATACATAGGGAATAAAATCACGAACCTTGGCAAAGAGCGTGTTGACGGAAAGATACAAGCAACGTCCGAAAACCTCATTGCGAACCAAGAAGGACACGTTGAAATTAGCTACGGCCATAGCGGAACCGTACCTGACCGCGTAAGGCCAATGACCGGAGACAGCGAAGCCGAACATAATTATATTGACAGAAAACGCGATGGTGAATAATTTGCTGGAAAATATCAGTAAGTGTGTGTCGAAAGATCATCGAGGAACGTCCATTACCAACCGGTAAGTGTTGTACCAGAGTTGCCAGATGATCCATTTGGACGTCTTCGGCGGCTTGCTGGGAGTCTTCGGTGGCGCAACCTGCTCTTTCTTGGCTTCGGGCACCGGGAAGACGCTCTCAACGGCGAGCTCCTTCTCGTTGTATATGAGGACCACCGAGGAGGAGTGCACGTCTAACGTGCCCTTCTCGGCGTTGTCGTATGCCGGGGCTGGGAACTTGGGAATCTCAGACGACATCAGAGCAGAGATGCTGTGGGAAGAAAGGCTGCGCAGAGACCTAACACCAACTGTGCAGTGACGAAATGGGATGGGGTTTCTGACTTGAACAGGATGGCTTGCTTGGCCTTTTATGCATCCCAAAAATTCGGAATGGACCTATTCGGGACACTGCGCGCGGATACGCTCTCGGGCATTCCACAAGGCGAAGTAGTGTCAGAAAGTGGAGCAGCCGATCGGGGTGAAGGAACTGCCATCCGGAGAAGAGCTAATCTCGATTCTCAAGGTGGAGATGCTGCACGGGAGCAGAGTGCGGGTGTCCGTGCTGGCTGCGGGACCATGCAGCAGTTCCAGGTAGAGGTTGAGGGCGCTGAACATGGGCGACGCGGGGGTGGCACTGGATGCTGGGAGGCGGTGCTGGATGCAGAACGGTGCTGGGTAGTATCGAGTCGATCTAGTATAGTTCCTAGCACGACTGTATGACGTCGCTCTGTACAAAATATCAGATCCGCGCAGTGACACATACTATTTTGTTGCCGCGCACAGCAAGACTGTCGCGGGAGCTCCCATGCTCTTCCCGTTATTGTCGGACATGTCCCGCCTGGTCCCGCCATGCGCCGCAGATGCCTCCCGCCCTTGCTGTCTAACGTTTCGAAGGCACTGGATGTCACGAATTGGCGATCCCCCCAGAGAACAGTTTCGCCACAATCTGCACGATAAAGGTATATCTATTACCTTATTACTGTCATTAAAATCAGAAATACAAGAAATCTAGCAAAAAAGATGTTGAGTTCGCTGTGCGCAACATCGCCCGAGATGCCCTGCGCGCTGTCGGCGACGGTAGGCGCGAGATGAGTTGGATCTAATTGGATGCCGAGGGTTTCTAGGCCGCCATCGCCGAGGGACCTTGATTTCTCCGAAAAGTGCGGGAGATGTTGCAAGTCGTGCGAGAGGCTTAGTTTTCGTATGCAGTGAGTTGCTTTCCCCGGTCAAAAATTGCGTGCGCGTTAGATCTAGTTTTTGTGCAAACTGACCGTCATAGGATGGATGGTTCTGAACTCAACTTCAATCCAAGCGCGAACGCGACGCGTTGCGCCAATGTCACGTGCCGAGTGAGCCACATCATCTGATCGATCTCCGAGATCTCCATCACGCTGACCGGATTGGGACGCCGAGTTGAGCGGGCTCCTAGTAGCTGTCTACGATGGGCCGGACAAAGTTCGTACTACTACTACTACTACTACGTCCGTCGCAGGATCATCAAGACCGCAAGCTGGGGCTTTCAGTTGGCCTTGGAAACCAATGCTGGAAGGTTTCCACTCTGTTTCTCTTCTGTCGAACTAGTGATCATGGCTGATCAGTTCTGAATCCACAGTCAGTCGTACTCCGAAGAGGCGAGAGATTCGAATACTTTGGTCCCTTAGCGCGTCGAAGTGGTGCATGATCACGATTGTTGTGTCGATCACACTGGTGTGGACGCCAGCTGAGCGAGTTCTCGGGATTACGGCTCAGAAAACGGGCACACCCTTGTCCCGGCCAAGGCGGGATACTCATGCGAAGGTGCTCGTCAGCGAAAACGTGATGTCTGGGTGATCAAGCTGGGCTTGCGCGCCACCGGTTCCCAATACGCGATTGATGTGAGGCTGCGTCCCGGATGGACAGCGGACGAATTGAACTACACATAAAGGTCTGTCAGTTATCCTCAAGCTTCCCCTGGTGTCTCCCTGTAGTTCTTCCACTCGATTTGCCGTGTCTGTCTTCCAGATGCCATCAATAGGTAGATCTCCGGATACGAGGCTTTGTCTCCGAAGGTCTAACCATTAATGGCGTGTTCAGATAGAACCGTTCCTCGTCCCTCGTCACTTTCGATACTTGTTGTTTGGTTGTCTCTCCTGATTATAAGCTGATGTCGATGACATCGCCTTGATCGTCATCTGCGGGGATGTTTTCAGGACTTGTCAGCTCTCGCGGGTGTTCATCGATGCATCTCTGTTGCATTGCTATCATCGAATTGCGATCGGACGCCGAAACGCCTATCGTCATGCTGCTCGTGGAGAGACGATAAAAATAAATGTACAAACGGTACGCCATAAGAGACCAGTTTCTTCGCGAGCAGAATACCATGTTTCGTAGCTAGGGCGTAGCACCTCCAGTCCAAAGAATCCGTATCGATGCTCGTGCCAGCTCAGGTGCGAGACAAGCCCTGTTGTATCAGCTCACCCATCCATTTTTCTTGCACAGAATCCTAACGCAACCATTACTGCAGTAATTATCCTGTCCAGCGCAACAGCGGCAGGATGTCTATCGAAGTGAATAGGAATGATTGTTACCAACTGCCACGCAGTAGGCCTTCCAGACTTCACAACGTGTTTTTTTGCCGATGCGGCGCTACGCATACACATTAACCTCAGTCAATACATATCCGTCGAGTGTTGAACATTGAATATTGAGTAGGAACGACTCTCCGTCAGATCCGTCTGAGTCCCTTCAAGTCATTCAAGCGAGAGTACTTCGTTACAGACCTACGAGGTCGAACTGGTGCTGCCAGTATAATCTATGTAAAAAGATATGCACCACATCCAGGTTACTTTCATGCAAGCGATCCCGAACAACTTACCTTGAATACTATTCTAGCTAACCTTGCGATTTGGGTCAAATATTGATCGCGTCACCATAAGAGGAAGGTGACGTGCATGGAAATTCCGTCCCGCCGCTGTCATCTCGCTGTTCATCGCAGGAAGTGCACCACGATCACTAGTGTGCCCATTTCAAGTGGTATATCTCGACAGATACCTGCAACGAAGGGGCCAAGGTTCTCGCCTTCTTGGAGAACACGATGCGCAAGGCCTCTGACCGAGTAGTACAAGTGTAGCAGCAAGGAAGACACGTGCGTTATCCCAAGTGCCATCGAATGGTGCTAATGCCAACCATGTCATAGTTCACTCGTCGCCCGTCATTGATTCCGGACATTCCTTGAGTGAAGGATACTTATCGAATGTTTATCTGTCGATCACGCCTTTACCGCAGGTACGAAAGAACCTGAACTCTTTCGTGCAGCTGTGATTCGGGCCCGAGCTCGAGCCGGGGTCCTTCGGAGTCGTTGGAAAATGGAAATGAATTCATATGGAGGATTGCAAGAACGGGAGTGTTGCTCGCGTCCTCGCCAGCTTCCTCCCACCACCACCATCTCTCCTTCTTGGAAAAAATAACCGTTGCTCATCCCATCAAAGCATTGGCCGGATTTTTGATCGCGCGAACGGCCTTCTTCTTTCATCACGCTTTCCACTAGCATCGTGAAGAATGACGACGACATTCGCGACCCTCCGCGCGCTCCACGCCCTCATCGGCACCGCCCTCGACGACATCGAGCGTGTCTACACCGACGCCTCTGCCCCCGGCACACCCTTCTCCCCGTTCTCGCCATCTGCTGCGTTCTCCCCGTTCTCCCCGACGCCGTTCTCGCCCAACTCGTTCGCGCCGTATCCCTCCCCCTCTTCGCCCACGTCCTCCCTCACAGATGAGGATTTCCTGGCTACCATGACGTTCCGACCGCGCAGCAGTGCGAGCTCGAGCACGACGAGCACAAGCGCCAGCGAGCGCTCGAGCCCCGTAGCCGACAGCGCGAGCGACGCAGAAGCAGATGACGACGCTAGCGCTCCAGTGGACGTGCCCAGCACCCCCGGCCGCGTCCGCCCCCCGCCCATCCTCACGTCGCTCTCTCCGGCCTCGGCGAGGAACGCCGGTTCACGCTTCCGCTCTGGCAGCACCCATAGCCCCGTCGCCGTGCGCGCCTACCCCATTACGCCTCGTACACCGCACACGGGCCTCGCCTTCTCCGCGATCGGGCCCGTCACTCCCCCCGACTCGGCGTCGTTCCTTGACTTTCCAGATCCAGATGTGCCATTTTACAACACACCGGCGAAAGAGGGTGACCATGAAGTGGAGACCCTGCGGGAGATGCAGATGGACTCTAGGGAACGCGCGGAAGCGCTCATGTCCCACCCCGCGGTCATCTCGGCAACAAACCGCCTCGTCGCGGCATGCGGGCAGCTGACTGCCAGCGTACAAAGGCCTTTTTTGACGCTGAGTGACGCGTCCATGGGAGTGAGTGTTGTCCCTCTCGTGTGTGGTCGTCGGAACGAATGTGCTGATTCGTTTCTGTAGTATCATCTTCCATCGTGCCTGCGGTTCCTTGAGGCGTCACATGCCGTTGAGATACTGCGTGAAGCGGGCCCGCGCGGTCTACACGTCCGAGACCTGGCGAAGCAGATTGACGCTCTACGAAGGCGCAATTCCGATACTGGCCCCTCCGCCAATGAGGGACAAGTCGGCGTGGACACAGCTCAACTGAGTACGTCTTTCTTCATCCCTCTTCCCGCTGATCTTCCTCTCGCATTGAAGCAGCTGATCGTGAACACCAGGCCATATACTCCGTCTACTGGCGACACACCACATAACGCGCGAGGTGCGCCCGGACGTCTTTGCGAATAATCGTGTGTCGGCCGCGCTCGACTCAGGGCGGACGTGCGCCGAGCTTCGCGATACGTGCGTGTCTTCGTTTTGACTTGCTGGTTTCCCACTATATATCCGAGCTGTCGCACTGACGTTCGCACTCGAGCAGGCCGGAAGGGAAGTACGAAGGGACGAATGGGATCGCTGCGTTCATCGGTCTCTGGTGCATATTGTCTCCCTTGCTGCTTCAATTAATATCAGATTTAACGTATGTCATACTTAGCACGGACGAGCTCTTCAAGGCGTCTGCATATCTCACCGATGTCTTCCTCCCGGAGCCGCCAGCGTCCAAACCTTCCGCTCCAGCTGCAGGCCATCCAGACGCCCACCACGATAATTTCCCTCCCGCCGGCGAGATTACCGCCCCGCTGCCCGCAGTGCCATTCAACCTTGCGTTCAGCACGCCGGCGCCATTCTTTGAATGGCTCGAGCGCCAGGACAACGCCGCGCGCCTTCGCCGCTTCGGCGCCGCCATGACCGGTACTGGCTCATGGGAGGTACCTGGAGCGGTCCTTACAGGTGAATGCTGCATATATGCACATATACATGTGTGTGTGGAAGATGCAGGAGTTAGATGCTGATCGTTGTATGCGTAGGATTTCCGTGGCAGACGCTCGCGTCGGGCTCGCTCGTTGTAGACGTTGGAGGAGGGATTGGATCGACGAGCATGCTCCTTGCGCGCGCATTCTCGCATCTGAAGTTCGTCGTTCAGGATAGGCCACAAGTCGTGCAGATGGGAGAGGCGGTACGTGAAGATGAGCTAAATTTGTGTCGTGTACTTGCTGAACATTGTCTGACTCATGCAGGCATGGCGGGCACGTTGCCCTGAATTGCTCGACGGTGGTCGCGCTGCATTTCAAGCACACGATTTCTTTACTCCACAACCACCCTTACCACCTATTATCGAGAAGTCCATTGAGCCAGCTGCATCTCCGCGCACACCAGAAGGCGAGGACGCTCCAGCCGTGTTCCTACTGCGTGTGATCACGCACGATTGGCCAGATGAACTAGTCACCAGGTTAGTGCTGCCTACTCTGCAACCAACAGGTGCTAAATGTGCAGCCAGAATCCTGCTCCACCTTCGCCGCGCTGCTGGCCCTTATACCAGGTTACTACTCGCCGACTACGTGCTGCCCCTCGCTTGTATCGACGAGGACGACGAGGCTGATGTGAACAGTGAACCGCGTGAGGATCTGCCACCCGGCTCAGTGCGCACGCTCGCCCCTGAGGGTTCGCCTCTTCTTGCGAACCTTGGCAAGGCAAATGCCAACGCGTACTGGCTCGACTTGACGGTGGGTGCTTTCCGGTAATATACTGTTGGGTACTCGGCTGACAGAACCTGGACAACAATAGATGCGAGCGACGTTCAACGCGCAGGAACGCACTCTGCGCGAGATAGCGGCGCTTACACTCACCGCCGGTTGGCGCGTTGTGCAGGTGACGCGTGCGGAGGGTTCCGTCTTCGGGCACATAATCGCTGTCCCGGTTGACATATCTCCCGCGGCACTCGTACTCCTCGATACGCCCCTCCCCGGCGTGGCAGACGGGTCATCGCAAGGTCGGTTCTCTGTAGGCCTCATCGTCGTTTAATACGTAGTAACTAACGAGTATGTACAGAGAATACACAGGAGATGGCGCGTTCGCTTGGCAAAGCGCGCGAGACGTTCGGCTCGTACGTCTCCTTGCATTCCGAGGATGTCCTGCGCATGAAGCGTCGGGGCGTGCCTACGACCGGCGGGCGCCGCGCGAACGCCAGCGGGGCAGGCGGAGCTTCCGCAGGGGGAGGAAGGACGTTGCGCAAGCGGCGGTCGACGCTCGTCGGGAGAGACCCGCGTGTGCAACCACAGACGCAGGCAGGCGGCCAGTCCTTGCTGCCTGCGGCGGAGATTGGGCCTGCGGGTGGGCCTGCTACGCGCGGCCTGCGGAGTATGAAGTCGAGGGGAGTTCTGAGGGAGAGGCGGGCACGGTGAGGGAAGACGAAGATCGGAGGCTGGTGCGTTTGGTGAGCGGAGCCACTCTGTGTACGTTAGTGTAATTATTTTGTGGCGGCGGACGGTTTCTATGCAAAATTGACCCGATTATTACTTCACCGTGTGCAAGACGGCTGGACCGTGTTCTCTGTCGATATGGGTTAGATGTCTTGCAATTGCTGTTGCTTGACAAGTTGAAAACCAGCGGTTGCAATGGCGATCACGTGTTGCGAAGGTAGGCTGAGCGCTAACGCTCCAAAACCCCCCGACTTTGTAATCCAACAGGCTTAACCGAGGTCTCGAGGTTTCGATTACGCAGGGTTCCTGCGCAGCTGCAGGAGAGAACAACGGAGCTCTCAAGTCGCTCGCTCGTACCACAGGATCCAGAGCAACGGGTAACAGAGGCCAACTTGGATATTCGGCTCTCGCGAAGGCCGATGACGTTCTCGCAGTTTACCGTGAGCGATAATCAATATTAATATATATTCCATGAGAAACCAACCAACGAGCCAATAAATACATGAACGAACAGGCAATGGGTCAACCATAGGACGTATAGATCTAAGACAAACCGGACGAGATGCATAAATGACTTAAAACGCGGGGGAGAACAAGACCGCATCGAGGAAAGGGATGCCAGAGCCAGGCAAAGAAACCGGAAAGAACAGCCGCGTGGCCTTCATGTGAGTATCGATACGTACGCTGCCCACTTGGGACGCGGGCTCATATCGATGGTGTGTTCGCCCAGCTCGACAAAACGGGACCGCGTGCCCATATCGATGGTGTGGAGGCCCAGCTTGATAAAGCGGGGAGTCGCAGCCTTTCGCCTCCTCGCTACTTTCCTCCTCTGTCGACTGAGCCATTGCGATTTCGCGCCTTCCCGCGAGTGGCCTTCCGTGGCCGGGACGAGGTTGTGACCGTACTGTGGGCCGTGCGCCAGTGTCTTCGCCTGGCGTCTACGTCCCCTGTGGGATCTCCACAGGGAACGTGGTCGCCCGCCGCGTTGACGCGTTGAGTTTCCACCGGGGATTTGGGTCCTGTCGCCTCTTAACGCGGCAGGATTCACTGTACTTACGCTACTGTGGAATCAATGCTGATCAGCCCTGATCATATTTGGACAGAGTCGGGACGTACTGGGAGATTGTACTCTGGTGCTGCCAGTCGTCCTCTCGATACCCACCGGGAGTCACCGTGGCCGCGTCGGAATGGTTCTCCTCGTTCTCGTCCTCTAAGTATGTATCGGGATCGTGCTGGTACATGGTCGGTTCAACACCAGATAAAGTTACTGTGCCAGGTGCAGGTCGTCGTGGGCCCAAATGGATATCGATCTCACTTCGAAGTGTGATAGGACGTGATACAAGGCGGATCGCACTGATATTGATATACCGTCCTGGAGGGATCGTGGAGTTGATCCATCCTTCGTCGTCTCTAAATGCGATAACGTGTGGCCGTCAGCAATGACAATATATGCGACATGTCTCGGGATAGGGCTTACTCGCTGTTGGTGTAGGACCACGGCGGATAGTCAGATGGATCCCTGGAATGCCACATGGCAGCGGGTGAGTATGCAGCACAACTTTACATAGCGAATGTGCCACTCACAGGCTGGGCGCGAGGCTAGGTGCGCGGCTAGTCGACGGTCCAGACAACATTCTTGATACAGAGGCGGATGACTGAGGGACAGAGGATCTGGTGCAGGGCCCCCATTCTTGTACCGTTTCTTCACTCCTCTTATATATGCTTCTACCACCCATGCTTGATGAGATCCGCTGATCTTGCTCAAGCGTCCTTGGCGACTATCCGCAACAGCTGTGCTTGGCCGCCACACAAACACCATGAGGCGACATAGCGACGAAGACAAAGCCAAAACTTGAAGCGGACACAAACTTGATTACGCTATGGATCCGGGGAAGACATTCATTAATACCTGGCGTAAGTAGCCATCCCAAAGTGACAAACAATTGGCGTCCTCCCGCCACGCCGCACACCAAGAATTGTGCCACCTGATAATTAAAGCCAAAGCAGGTTTTCGTTTCCAAAGCACGTCACGTCACTTTAACTGTAGCGCCAAAAGGCTGGCAAATTGCAAGGTCATATTTTGGTGAGATGACTCTCGAACCAAGATCGATTGTCACAAGTAGAATTTTGGAGATCCACGCTACTAAGTTTTTTCACCTATTGCTGTTCCACATCAATGCATCACGCTTTCAAGCGAAAGTCGTCCCGCTGTCCTTTATCAAAGCCTACGGAATACTCGGCGGATGACTGAGCCTCAGACAATGAAATACTGGAAACTTAAGAGCAATCACATAGCCTTCATGTGTAGCTTCAGAATTTCAGAAGGATACGTACCCTTCTGCCCACGGAACGCATACCAAGCAGCTCGACGATCCGGGGCGGTATGCCGACATTAGTGCATTCTCGCCGTCTTCCACTGTCTGACCTTACGTCCACTAAGGCATCGTACTCTCTCGCGCAACCGTCTCCCTTTAGCTTGAAGCTTGAATGAGTGACGCCCTACCGCGTCGATGCGCCGCTGGTCGGTTACCCAGGATCTGGGGTTCATCGCGTCTTAAACGTACGGCAAGATTCACTGTCGGGTTGTTGCTGATTAGCGATGATCACAGTAACGCCGGCGAAGCTTGGGACTCTGGATGAACATCAAGACACCCTCTGCCACCTCGGAGAGGAGCTCCTCAGTCTTCCTTCTCCCCTCTACCCCCCAAGGTTGCATTGTAGGGGTACAGCTGAGGCGCATGGTTACGTGGACACCAGATGGGCTTCCTGGTTAGACGCATGGCGGCGTCAGGAGTCAAGAAGAATCCGAGTGAGTTCACTTTGATCCTTCTCGCATCTGTTTCCGACCCACCCGGGAGGGTGATAGCAGTGCTCTAACAGCCACGTAGAGCACAAACATCTCTGATAGACATCTCTGTGCACAGTAACTTGTTCTCGATCCTCAACATTTGTGCACTCTTGTTCTCAATCTGTGGCCTAATGATGCTCCTGGTGGGAGAAGATATGTGATCCATCAACTATCCGTGCTTCGTCATCTCAGATACGGGGCCGTCTGGACGTCTGCAATGCGGCGAAGACAATATGTGCGCAGCGAGAGACGTACTCGCTGACGGTGTATGTCTATTTGCCACGAACTTCGTCCAACGTGGACAAGCATTGTTATGGAGACATTCACGATGCCATGACGTCTGTATGCGTCACAATAATAACGACGGTGGACGTGTTGCTCAAATTAACGTAAGTTTAGTGATTAGAGTATTATTCAGGTCACCATCATTGAAACAGACGTAGTTAAGGACTATCGCATAATCAGGAGACGTGTATATCATTTTCCTAACTTTGCGACTGTGGTTAAATCCATCAACTGGCCCGTGGTCAAAGCATGGACGCCCTGCGCAAGACCTCGAGTCATTCATTAATGACACGACTGATGCAAGATTGATTGCGCCGACGTAAGTAGTATGTTTTACATTAATGTCACGATTTCCGCGAGGAGAAATCGCCTTGCGGTTTTCATAACATATTCACGGCACGTACTTCGCTAGCTGACAAAAAAACACGTACTGTAGTTGTGCAGGAATTTTGGATCAACAGAGTTGCGCTCAAGCGCCCGCTTACCAGTTCAAAATCGCAGCGCCTCGTGCACTACCCAAGAATAGAAACCGTTGTATTCAATGTAGGCGGGCGAACTATAGAAAGGAACGACCCTTTTTTACTATCTGCTACTAGAGGCTGGTTCACGAGTTGTTCGGGTCGAGCGTGAGTGAAAATCCTCGATTCAAAACGAAGTAGTAAGCACTTGATACAATATATTGCTCCCCGTCGTAACGTTACATCTCAGCAGAAGCTAATACAAGGACGTTGTAGTACTACATAGGCTCCACCACCTCCTCCTCTCTTCGAGAACCACACCTACAATTGAGAAGTTCTCTCGCGGTTCAGAGAGATTCCCTTCCCTTCCTCCGTATTCTTAAGGAGGTATGCGTACTCGCCTTTGTAGCCCTTCTCCCTCATCCACGCCTCGAGCGTCTTCGTGTTCGGATTCAGGTTCCTGATCCACTGCATATCCCTCTTGATCACGTCGTCTCTGAACAGCGACCACCACGCAGAGAAATTCTCCCCCCAGCTGGTCTGCCCTTCCTCCAGCACTTTCTGTTCATTGGCGAGTGGAGCATTGGAGTTGGTTAGGTAGGTAAGCCACTGGTCATAATTCAGGTACACGACGACGGCCTGCTGCCCGGTGACTTTCTTGAAGGTCGCCAAGAGGTATTCCCAGTCGACCATGTCGCTGGCGACTTCGAGCTCGGCGGTAGAGGTGAGCGCGCGGTTATCGAATGTGTAGCGGGCGAAGAACCCCAGGTCGGGAAGTGCGATCATGGGGACGTGGCCGGTGCCAACGGGGGTCGCGAACACGAAAGTGCCATCTACACGCCGGTTCAGAGGTCCGAACGTAGGCTATTCATAATGACCTGGTTAGCTGCGGCCTGCATGACAGCTCATGTGGCTCACCAATTGTAACATGTCCATGTACGGACAGTAGTGACGACAGTCCAAGACATGGCATCGTCGCTGACCACAGATGGCTGAGCCTTCATCCACTCTGCGACGCGCGCCTTGCCGTCATAGTGCTCACACCTATACTTCTGGTCGTAACCCCCTTTCTATAATTAAAGAGTCCGCTATCTCATGCATTGGGAGACTGACGAATACTTACCTTGAGTGAATAATCGAGGCTGCTCCACACGTAGTGGCGCATGGTCTTGCTCTGCTTTGCCAGCTCGAAGATACGAATGCCCGCGAAGATCTCCTTGGCCTCACCGACTGTGAATCCATCAGTATTGACCCACGCTCCATACGCGCCCTCGAGCGCGGTCTTCACAGTGGGGAAGTCGTAGAACGATCCTTAAAGCGACGGAAGGTATTAGCACTCGATAAGCCCCAGCGTCAGCAGATGTGAGTAGTCGGCGAACCTTTCACGATCTCTACGCCTTTCTGAGCGAGTTCCAGTGATCTCTTGCTTTGCGGATCACGAGTGAGGGCGCGGATGGTGTAGGGAGACGGCAGACCATCAGCGCTGGGCTCAAGGAGTTTGTCGATTACGGCGAGGCCTTGTGCGCCGGTCGCGCCAATGACAAGAATAACTTTCTTCATGGTCGAAGACATCTGTCACAACGAATATCCAAAGGAAGAAGTGAGTGGCACTTCAGATGAGTGAAGGGGCCCGAGCGTGCTGGGCTTTAAAAGCTCTTCAAGCTGCCCCTGCGGCTGTTTGTTGATGCTGACGAGATGTACGGCCATCGGCGTTGAATTATTCAGCTATGGACGGTACACTTCTGCTTGGCCGTATCCTGTACTCAGCAAAGTTTGGAGGTCTATGTAGGCTTGAATACACCAACTGCCAGATTTGGTCGTAGCTGAGAGAGGGGTGGAGAGAACGCCGAACCATCACCGAGCCACCAAGGTTACGCTGGATAGAATACAAGCTCTCTGAGTAATGCGCTGACGGGGCCCGAGTTAGTCCATAGAATGTTACTCGACGTGGGATATTTCACGGTGAGAGGTAGGCTCATGGATAAGCCTCTAGACAAGGAAGACAGTCGACGTCGTTCCTTGTCATAGGCAAGTTACAAGGGAGACGCGTCGACCACAAGTAGTGACTAGGGTGTCCGACGGATGAGTTAGACAAAAAATTCAGTAGGGGCCTCGCGGGCAATGGCCGACGCAAGTTCGAATTCACATGATGAATGCACAGAATACCATTCAATCAATCCAATACATATATAGTGTGTGCACGAACACGCAGTGGATCAACCACAGATACATACTGAGGTCAGACAAAAAGAACGAGGGTCGTACTGAAGGTGCAGTGGATAAGTTAGACAGGAGACGAGAGACACGCGACGGGTCGAGAGGACGAACAACACCAGATAGATACCAAGATAGAATAAAATCCCAAAGGTCTTTATGTGGAGTGCCAAAGGGTTGCAGACTGACACCAGCGTGTTTAGCCTCTAGCGCATCTCGGTCTTATGTCTCCCGAGCTTAGCGACGATGACCGGAGTCTTTCCTCGTCTCTTGGCCCTCCTCTTCCTAGTCAACTGCGGCGAACGCTTACATGATCGTTTCTCCTTGGCTAAGACCATGACCCGCTCGGATCTGAAGTGATCAGTGAGGCGCGCTATGGCCATAATCTTCGCTTTGCGAGGAGCACGGGGAATTGCGCTGCCTCCGTCCACAATCCAGTTGGTAGACTCTGGTAGAAAAGCATCAGCCACGACATCGTGCGTTCCGATGGGATCTTCTCGGAGAACGGACTCGTACTCCTCCATCTTCACAACACTGCGCAACAAACGGTGATTAACCATGATCATAATTGAACAAACGAACAAACGTACGTGGGAATCGGGCTCGGGTAGGTGCCTCGACTGTACGGGTCGTCATCGTGATGTCCGTCATCAAAGCAGATATCCTCCAACGCCTCATCGTAAAGGTCATTATAGGAGTCGTGTTGGGACAATGCACCCGGGGTGAAGCGTGTGTCCACCAACTCTTCGTCCTCCTCGTACGGCCCATCAAACAACGAGTTGTAGCTGCTGGCCACACTAGTTGATCGATGGCGATCGATCCTTGTCTGAAGAACAGGCTCTACAGGATTTTCCGACGGAGGATGCCAGCCGAAGGGTTCAAGGAGGAAACCCGTCGCATCCCTGAATGTGAGATCGCCTGGGAGTCAGCAATGTCGCACATAGCGGTTATACAGAAGGGAAGAACCCACTCGCTAAGGTCTATCCATTCGGTGCCCCGTACCCAATAACAGTCTGAAAGCCTGGACAACAACTGAGATAAGAAAAAGCCACACAAAGTGTGGTGCTCACATCGGAAGGATCCGCAGAGGAGGAGGAAATTGTTGAAGAAGGTGATGAGGAAAGAATGGAGCAGTCCTCCTTAAATATCCGTCTGCCGCCCTTGTTTGGGGAGGTTCTGGACGTGACCTTGCTGAAGCATCGTGGCGCTATTCCTTCAATGGTTAAACAGCCGTGGTGCTTTGAAGCCACTGAGGAACACGAGGTAACATAGCGACCGAGACAATACCAAAGCGTATGCAAGATTGATCGCGCTGTATCAACATGTATGCTTACTCTCAAATGATATGAATCCTCTGATACATCTATAACTTGCCAAACGACTGCATCCTTTTTTTCTTTTTTTTGGAGGAGCTCTCGGCCACGGCCAACTAAAAATATCAGCCCCACGTAGCCAGCTAGTTTGTGGGATTCGCACCCAATAACGACTGCATCCTAGTACATTATGTTCAGTGTCCATGTAGGGAGTTTGCTAACGCGTCCATGCTGGGTGCCCCCATCGCGAACGTGGGATTGCCTTCATCAAGTGGCGTTGCGTGTAGCTCGATTGACATGGCACTAATGCAAGACCTTTGGTGTGAATGACAGCATGCAGAGTTGGCCGAGTCGGCCAAGAGTCGACACACTTACGGTTTGCATGTGCAGAGGCCAGAGGAGAGCCCGGAGACTGGCAGCAGATGCGACAGCCGCCTCGCATGTCTCGACACAGGTTTCGCCACATAAGTTATGATTAATCAGATCCGCTACATATAATGTGTACGAACGAATCAACCCTAGACAGACGAAAAGGAGGCCAGATGAAGCGCAGAAGACGAGTTAGACAAGAGACCAGAGAGACATAACCAGCCCAGAGGACGAACACCAAATCTAGAGCTAGCGCTGGAGCAAAAGACAGACAGATAACGAAGAAGAAGGAGAATGTTTGCATCGTCTCCACGTAGATTGGACATTTGGGGCTCTACCTGAGGTTGATTGTATGTCTCCCGAGCTTAACGATGGTGACCGGAACCTTTCGTTTCTTGTGGGATCTCCGATTGCGAGAGAATCGTCTCGAACTCGAGCGTGAGCGTTTCTTCCTCGGCGAGACGACTGCCTGTCTGGATTCGAACTCACGTTGAGGAGCGTTTGGCACAAGAGCATCAGCCACACGATCGTGCGTGCCGATAGGCTCCCACTGGAGAACAGGCTCGTAGTTTTCTTCCATCTTCACCACACTGTACAACGAACGTCAGCCAGCCGAAATCATTTTTGAACTGAAGTGATGACGTACGTGGGCGTTGGACTTAGGGACGGGTGTCGGCTGTGTAGGTCGTCATCGTAGATGACAAGATCGCAGTCGACCTCCTCCATCGCCTCGTCGGAAGTTTCTTCATATGCATAGCGTTGCAACGACATGTCCAGAGTTGATCCTGTCCCCACGAACTCTTCGTCCTCCTGATACGGTCCATCGAAAAGAGAATTAAAAGAACTGGCAACGCTGACAGACCGGTCACGATTGAAGATTGCACGAATAACAGGATTGTCTACCGCAATGACGGGTGGTGGAACCCGCTCCGCACTGAAATTGGCCGAACCCTCTCCGCTCCTAGAGGCGACAGCGCTGGAATGAACGTCAACGGGTAAGGACATCAGAATGACACGTGACTTACTGATCAGCATAACCAGCGTGTTTTCCAGTGAGTCTTGCAAAGATCATAATCAGAAGCCACTGAAGAAGATAGACTTGATAAAGATGTTGAAGGTATCGAGGATAAGAATGGATGGCGAGACGGCCCTCATTATATACCTGTGCTACCCGTGTTTGACGAGGTTTGGACGTAATCTTGCCAGATGTCTGTGGCGCTATTCCTTGAATGGGCTGCAGTGCTTTGACGCCACTCAGGGAAACAAAGCAGCCAGAAGCAAATACATTGATTACGCTGAGCCTGCAACGCACTAGCGTGCATTTCTTACCCTCATATGCAGGCCATAGAAAATTCAAGGAAAGTAGAGCACTCGCCCAATCACGGCACAAAGTAAAGACGTTCACAGTGAGGCTAGACTCACGCGGTTGTCCCGCCGGCTGTTGCAGATCGGCTGGCGATGCACCATCCGAGAATGGAAACCGTAGTATTGCACCGTGTTATCCCGCAGAGCGTAGATTCCAATCAACTAAGATCGTCCCAATGGTTATGCTGAAGTGACCCACTCCGTAGTCGCATCAGATGCTACTGAAAGCATTTCAAGGAAAATTACGGTGCAAATCTCTCCGAGGCTCTGAATTTGTACGTGCTCGCACTGATGCGGCGGAGCGAGGCGTACAGGCTAGTAAGGCGACCAGCGGAACCACCAGAGTGGCAGGCGAATTGCTGCACATAACAATTTCAAGCCTGGCAGTAATAACGTGTGATACGTTCGGCGATGTCGACAGGTTTTGTCCCACTTTCTCGGTTCTCCTGCACTTTCTGCAGTTAGTCTACACCCTCGACGGTGCTGGTTAGGCTTCGCTTTGTGTTTTTAAGTATGGCTCTGATCCGACGGTGTCCGAGTCTTGTGACAAGACGATGGACATGCAGTGCATGGGTTGATGATGTGTATTAGCAGCATGTTGGCACACTCGGAATCAAGAGCGAGAGTCATCATCAACTGCACGAAAGCGACAGATAAGATGTATTCCAGGGTACACAGAAGGGCCATTCTAATGTCTAATACAGACGGATTAATCGCACGGTAGAAATATAAATCGCAAACAGACAGGCGGAAATTCTAGACGTAGAGATGTATGCATAGAAGAGAATCACGAAAAGGAGTACAATGCTGCAGGAGACAAATCACAGAATCAACCAACAGAGGAGAGAAAGACTGCACATGGATCGTCAGATAGGCGCAGTGTGGCATTGCTTCCTTGAATCTATCCCTGGCAACCGGATGCGCGGACGCGTGACCTAGAACGTCCCCTTGCCCGAGCGGGTGCGCTTGGTTTCTGCGCAATAGTCGGAGATGACTTGCCTCGCCTTCATCTTGGCGATGCGGCTGACGCGCTCTCCGCGCGCGCTTGTCTGTCCTTGAGAGGAGGTAATCTGGTCGGATTCGGTCTCCCATGGTGGCTCCGCCTCATCTGTCAGCACATCTGCTCTAATAAAATCGTCCGAATCCATATAGCTACAAAGGACCTCAAAGGCCAGGTCGGAACTTGCACCAATGAAGAAGCCCTCATGGGGCCGGAATTCGGGGCGGACGGGCTCCCTGTGTACCACTAAATAAGTCGTATCCTCTGGCGCGGGAGTTGAGGTATCACATTTAGATTCATCGCTGCACAAGTACCGCCAATTAGCCATAATCGTACTTCAACAAAATAAAAACATACATATACTGGTCCCACATATCTTGCCAGTCACGGACTTGATAATTAAATAGCGCCATTGCAGGCGCGACACGCCGGTCGTGGTTGGCTTCACGAGAAGCGGACCCCTCGCCATCCTCTGGAAGCCTGAGAAGGTCGTGGAGGACCCCCATGTCGCCGGACTGCAAATTGCGCTCTTTGGTCATTCCAGTTGCATTGAATTCGCTACGTGGACGGGTCCACGCGTCAAAAGAGGCTCATCATATACAGGTAGTCGAGAGGGACATACCTGCTGCCCCGCGATGCCGCAAGGCTTGAATAGCAGTAGGTGAGCATGTAGCAGAAACTACGCTCGAGACGAAAGTACTCACCATCTTTCGATATCATACGCAGAGATTGCAGACATTGTTTTGGATAAACGTAGAACGGTAGAATTTCAGTAAGGGGGAAGTTGTCTTATGGGTAGCAGTGAGCTGAAGACGAGGAGAAACCAGCCGCTTATAAGTACTCCTCTGGCCCATGTTCAACCTGCAACAATGAACTTGGCCGAAACCTTGATCATGCTTCTGCGGCACAATGGCATTCATTTCTTCAATAGGTGCACGCTCGGAAGGCCAGTTCGCCATGGCTATGGCCACGGCCGCGCACACCAGAGAAGGTGTTTCGCCTTGGGACCTTTGTTCTCAAAAGGGTAAGTTCCCATAACACGCACACGGCTATTTTGTCAATGCGACTGGACAATAGACGTCCGCACACGAGTGACTGACTATTGGAGGAACTGTACGCAGGGTTTAGGCGCCTAATTCATATAACTTCGTTGAGGCACGGACGTCTCCCGCGAAACAAACCTGTCCTTTGTTCCTGGAATCAGCTTCTACACCACGTTCGGGCCGACACGAAACTGAATAGCGAAGTTTGGTCAGCACTGCTTGGCAAGACAACAATGGACCAACCGCCGCCACTCGCAGCTGCTCACCAACAGAGCACTGTCCGCTGCGCAACGGATCACAAACATGGGGCCATCCGGTAAGGCGCACTGTTCGCTCACCACCAAACAGTCGCAGTGCAAACATATCCGTGGCCAACTCGATGCTGGCTATGTGCGCGGCACCGAAACCAACGCAAAACGAAGGCATTCCTCGGCGTACGGTATGTGGCCAAACCAGTCCTAAATCAGACCCCCATCCACCGGTGAAACTGGCGAAGAGTTTGACTTTGCTTCCACCGTTTCAGGAAGGCTCAGCCCTCGGTACGGTGAGCGCCATCCTGAGCACCTCTTCTGCGCGTGGCAAACCAACGAAGCTGGGTGAGACCGTTTTGGCTGGGGTGGACTGAGGACACCCGGCGGTGGGGCCCAATCTCGAAGGCTGTCCGCTGGCCACCAGGACGTGGAGTGAGGAGATCCATCGTAAACTCCACGATTTTCCGGGCCCCCTGCGGCCCCACTGGGCCACCGCGCTCTCCGCTGGGAGCTCGAAGATATCCCAGGATCTCAACGACCCCATATCAAATAAATGTCTGGCAGAGTCGTTTGATCGCTAATTTCGACTGTCACATCTAGGTCTCAGGACTTCGCGCCCAATCGTCGCCGTATTCGTTCCCATGTAACACGTCACCGTTGCGAGATAGGGACAAACGGACTCAATTCTGGGGTCGCGGTACACGACGGTGAGTAGTCTACGGTACATGCGGTTCACGATGGTGAACTCACCGATCGCGAGTCACTCGCATCTCAGTATCTACGCCGGTCCATTTGTTGCTCAAGGCCACCGGGGTGGATCTGGGCACACCACGGCTGACCTCGAGGACGCATATTCGACAGCTGGTCGTACGAGCCCTGTGGCAACAGATGCACAACAACCAGTCTGCTCCGCGCACAAATCCGAGTACAATCTGTGGACTTGGAACGCGTTACAGGGCGGCGCGCAGCAGCTCGTCGGTACTGTAAGGCGTCGAGTTCAACCCCATCGAGACATGACATGACGTCACCGCCAGACCCGATGTTCAGTAAGAATCAGATGAGATCCGACAGGCAAACCGGCCGAGCCGACCCGCCGGCTGATCGGTGAACTAGCGTCGGCCAAGTGCATCGCGCACAACGACAAATCATATAGCACAACAAACGCGCCTACGGCCCCGATCCGAACCAGAGAGTACGGCATCGTTCCGTCTGGCGAAGCCCAGCACCAGGAATGCGACAAAAACGCAGCACAGGCTGCATAGCAGCCCATCGACATCTAGCGCAGAATGCACGTCTCCACAGTATCGGTGCATTCTGCACAAGCTGAGCCCACGGACCCGCGCCCGCGCCCGCGCAGGGGCTGATGACAACGAGCTGGGAAGGGGGCACCGTGACCGCCGCCAAGGCCACCCCAACACGATGGAGTGGAGAGCTAGGCACTGCGCAGCGGGAGCCCGCGCGGTCGGTGAGCAAAAACGGTGCGCGATGGGCCGCGAGATTGGCGCGGAGCGCGCTCCGTGTACGTACACACATATTGGTCGTCGCGTTCAAGGCGCGGTGCGCACGGCGAGCGGCGGGGGCGTGGATCGGCCAGGAGGCTCGTGTTTGTACGCGTGCCCGCGTCGGTGAAAGAGGTGCCCGGTGCCGTTGCTGGTTTCATCGACATCGCCATCGCAGAGAAGACACGAATCTCGGCGTTGCTGAAAATATCGAATGAGCTTCGAGGGTTGCCAGTGATGGATACGGGGCTAGTGTGCGATGCGGCGTTAGTGTGCGATGCGGCGTGTCGCTAAGCATCGCGCGCAGTCGCAGACAGGAGAAGCCCTGGACACCGTCGCCACCCAGTAGTGCCCAGTCGCCATGAAACGAGGGGAGCGATACCAGCCAGATGATCACGCACGCACACAAACAAACGAGATTCAGATGTGCGCTCGTGCGCCACATCGCATGGGCGCAAGCTGAAACGCCCACAGAAGAAACCTCCCTAGAATTTCGTGCTAAAACTTCCTGTATCGAGGTCGACGCGCAGTCCCGCCAGCAATTCTATTTGCATATAACGATCGGAGCTTGCGGGCCGAAGCTGCGGGGATGACCATCGTCGTCATAAACTTCCGCCAGGATCGGTTCCGCGGCCAGAACTGCCAGGAGTCTGAGCGAGGGAGGCCGAGCCCCGACGAGCTGTGCGAGACCAATATTCTGGCGACAATGATGGCGGGGAGACTGCAGAATTAAGCGAGACATGGCTGCAAGACCCACGCGGTGCACGCCCACGGAAAGGGGGTGGCTGTAGCTGCTGAGGGGGACCGACGGCGACGAGGAGGCGAAAATCGGGGCCGAGGAGAACGCATCGGCCTAGGCGCCATGGAGGCGCGCTGAGCCCAAATGCGGACTTGCCGCACGCTGACTCAGTGACGTATTGGTAGCACGATCACATGACTGGCGTATTTCGCGTTTTGCGCAAGCTGAGCGAGTCTTGGACCAGTATCTCGAGGACGACGTGAATGGCGGCATGGCGGGCTCCGCCTGTGAAGGGGTGTGTGTGTCTTCTGTGAAGTGGCAGGACAATCGTGGAAGTGTGGGATGCGAGAAAGAGGAAAGTTCGGAGATGAGAGAAGGAGACAACGCCAAAGCAGGGCTGTGCAACCTGCTAGCCCAATCATATCGCTCAAATTGCGTGCACGCCAGCGAAAACGCACGAACGACATTCGTGGAAGAGTGTTTCATGTGTCAGGCTTGTCGTGGTAAGCGGGAAGCGGAGCATATGGACGCACAACGGGTAGGACGAATCCGCGGGGCCGCGGGCAGTCAAAAACAATCGGTGTATATTGAAGCCAGCGGAGGCGATTGCGCCGGGAGGGACCGGACAGGCCGAGAATTGGTGAAAAAAGGTACCATATCCGGCCGCCGGAGTTCCGAATGGCCCCGAGATTAAGGGTTAACGCGCCAATCCGGGAAGGTACTGGGGAGGAAGCTGGGGCGGGCGTTGGGCGGTGCAGATGCAAGATATCTTTGTCAGGAACTGCGTCGGAGGCGCGTCAGAGCCTCGTGGGTGAGCACGAACGAAGAAGGCGGTCGCGGATCGCGCGTCGGGAGGATAATGTCGGAGCACACGCCGTGACAGGCGTGCCCGACGCCGAGCGCGTGAGAACGGAGGCAATAGCAGCTTCTGCATTCCCTGGCGTGGCTGACAAAATGGTAGGAGCACGGTAGACCGCGACGACGAGCAGCAGCACCTCTCAGCGTGAGCGACGGCCGCTGAATACGGCGACCTGCGTGACCGACAGTGACTGCGCCGACGAGGAATCCGGGCAGGGCCGCGACGGGATCGACGATCGCGATCACAGCTGCACCGCGCGGGACGAGAGACTCGGCGTGGCCACCGCCGCCGCCTGCAGCGAGGAGAGCTGAGTCGGAGAGGATCAGGTTAGCGTTAGCCGTCTCTTAGACCTCGCGCACTCACAACGTGCTCCCTGCGTGTCTCCCAGTCCTCCGCCGCACTTCCGGGACCAGACTCCGGTCTCCGCAAATTTTCTGAACACCACCGCCCTGTTTGTCATTCGCCTTCTGGTTCGTCGTTTTCTTCATCGAGACCCTCTCCGCTGACTTGCCCGGTTTCTCTTTCATCCTCCCTTCCGCCTGATCGTTGTCCGCCTTCTCGCTGTGCCACCCATGACCTACTCCGCCAACGCGGGCTCGTACTCTATGCGCCATGGCTTCAGCAACGACTCCTACCAGAAGCAGCAGCAGCAGCACTACGCCGCCGCCGCCCATTACTTGCCGTCGCACCCGCCAATCAAGCTCGAAGACTCACCAGAGCTGCCTCCGCTGCACGCCTCCCGGCAACACACCTTCTCGCAGTACGACGACCGCCACCACCACAAGCCCGCCCCGCTCCCCGTCTTCCGATTCGGCTCCGACTTTGCGTCCAACGTCTCTTCGCCCAACCCCGCCTCGACCTTCAGCTTCATGTCGCAGCCCTGGTCGGGATCACCCAACTCGCCGGTGTCCGCCTCGGCATCCTCGTACGGGCACCAGCAGCAGCAATACTCCATGGATCGCAGCCATGGTTACGGCCTCCCTCCCCTGAACGGCCACGGTCACGCAAGCACGATGGCTCTCAACGACGACTACGACGACGCCGAGGGCGACGACCTCGGTGACTTGCCTGGCTCGAGCCTCGGACTCGGCGTCTCGTCGTACTCCCCTGGCAGCGGCCCGGCCTCGAGTGCGAAGAACGAGAAGGCAATCCGGCGTCGGAGCAGCAAGGCCTGCGACCAGTGCAGGAAGTCCAAGTGCAAGTGCGAGCGGAGTGGTCCGCATGAACCCTGTCGCAACTGCGTGATGCTCGGCACCGGTGAGTGTCCCGTCAACCTCCCTTATATGGAGCTACGACGCTCGTTATTCTGGCCTATTTCTCTGACCGTCTTCTATTCTGCTTCGCCCGACGCCACGACGGCGATGCCCCGCTTTCCTAATTTGTGCATGCGCTGTCGCAGCCTGCACCTTCCTCGGCCCATCCCGCAAGCGCGGGCCGCCAAAAGGCTATATCGACGCGATCGAAGCGCGCCTGCACCAGACCGAAGCTCTCATCGGCATCCTGCTCGGCAGCAAGGACAGCCGCGCGCGCACCGTCCTCGAGGATCTTTCAACAGAGGTGAGTCCGGTTTCGGAGTGTCTCTCCGGACGTGTCGCAGCGACGCGAGGCAGGGGGGATGAGAGACATGTGTATGCAATATCCGCGGCGTGTGCTGCGAGATGCGACACGGATGTGTTAGAGACGGAGATGATGGCACCCGCCGTGCTCTGGTCCGTGCGTTTGTCCGTCAACAATTCGTCTCATCGGAGAATGGGAGCCGTCGACACCGTTCAGTTTGTCTCGTTCCCTACCGCATCTTATCATCTGTATTTGCAATCGTGTGCTGTCCATGGACATCTATTCGTCCTGCGCAGACGCAGTGCGGCGGCGGCGGCTGCTCGTGTCGATACGATACACAGTCAACGATAATGACAAAGATAAAGTGTACAGAACTAATGATGCGCCCGTAGGACCCGCTCGCGAAGGAAATCATCGACCGGGTGGACAATTCACCCTATGGCCACAAAGGCCGAAGTCGTGGCGCCGAAGCCACAGGCAGCAGTCGCTCAAGGCCCGCACCATCCGAAGGACGGGACGGCGACAGCACCGTACAGTCCACTCAGTGCGTCCCGATTATTCCTCACCGTCCGGCGTCGACTATAACTCGGACCTTACCTCTCTCGCAGCCCGTCGAACGAATGGCAGGACAAGGTCATCGCGCGTCTCAACACCGTCGCCTCCACGCGCAACACCCTCCTCGCGGCCGAGGACGCTGCCGAGCTTGCGAGCAGCGGTGATCTTCGCTATCCAGAAGACGACACCGTCGCCGACGCGCGAGCGCGCCCACTGTTGGCGCTTAGCCAGCCCGGCTCCGGCGGGAACACTGCCGGCCCTTCTACCGCCACGTCCGATCAGTCCAGCGCCGAGCAGGCCGTGCGGCGGCAACGCCGGCGCGTAGGCGACGAGCCCGCCCGCTCGCCGTCGACGGCGTCGCTCTCCGGGCGCTCGCGTTCGCCCGGGGGCGTCGCATCCAGGCCATACGGCGTGCGGAGCGCGTCTGCGCTCCAGACCCGCGAGTCGATCAGCTCGCTCGTGGAGGCTGCGCAGGGCCGCTCGCCAGAGGCTCGCGATGACGAGGACTACGAGGAGGCCGTGGACGGCGAAGAGGCGAGCGGCGAGGACGAGCTTGCGATCGAGATCGGCCAGCTGAGTCTGAACGAGGACGAGCAGGTGCGGTTCCACGGCAAGGCGAGCGGTCTGCACTTGCTGGGGATGGGCATGAAGGAAGGGCTGGATGGGAGAAATGAGGGCGGCATTTGGTGCGCGTGCAGCGGATTAAACCTCTACGCCGAACTCACGAGCTCTTCAGGCGATTCCCGAAGGCGCGAGTGTGGCCGCCTTTGCCGCCCAACACGCGTACTCGGTCGAAAGTGCTCGAAGATTTCTCGCCCCGTCTGCCTGATGCTGCGACGCAGGAGCTTCTCCTGGAATTGTACTTTACATATGTCCACCCAGCACTTCCCATCGTCCATAAGCGGGCCTTCATGGAGGATTTTCGCAACGGGTACGCTCTCTAACCGCCTGCTGATTGGGAGTACTAATATTGTGCCAATGCAGAAACACCATGTCCGCCGACTCCCCCTACTCCGACCAAGCGTCGGACGCCGCGTCCCCAATATCAGCGTCATCGCTGTGCATCCCCCGGCGGAGACGGACGCCGACGCTCCTGCTGCTCGCGATGTTCTCCATCGCCGCGCGCTACTCCGCCAGGACGGGCGCGGAGGTGCCCCCGCCGCAAGAGGGCTCGATGTGGACCGCGGGCGACTCGTACCTCGAGGACGCGAAGGTGATCCTCGACGCGTCGTACGCGGCGTCGCGGCCCAGCACGTGTCAGGCGCTCCTCCTCATGGGCTACCGCGAGATCGCTATTGGCGCGATGGCGCAGGCGTGGCTCTATGTCGGGATGGCGGTGCGCATGGCGCAGGACCTCGGCCTGCATAAGAGTGCGGACCGCTGGACGAGCACTGGCCGGAACCTGTTCACGACCACGCAGCTCCAGGAGCGGCGCCGCATCTGGTACGGCTGCGTGATCATGGACAAGTACGTCAGTGCGTATATCGGTGAGTATGATTCCTTGTCATGGCTTGCGCGTGTTGTTGATGGTATTGGTTAGGTCGGCCTGTAGCCATCTGCGAGCGCGATTTTGACACGGAACTGCCAAGTACTGCTGAGGTTAGTATCCGAGTTTTCGAGTCTGCTCATCGTTGTAATGTCACGCGCTTTCGCAGACTGACGAACTCGAACTTTGGTCGCCTCATCCATCGCCTCCTCTCGATGACGGTGCTGATGACCCGGCGGTTGCTGATTTCGCGCCTAGTCCAGGACATATTATCTCATGTTTCACCGAGTCCGCGAAGCTCTGTGCGTATCTCTTTCGTTGCGTCTCTTACCGAGTCCTGACACTGCTACGATAAAAAGCTGTCATCCTCAGCGTGATCATGCAGGAGATCTATGCGATCAGGCCACGCTGCGACCGTCAGACAGAGTTCTCAAAGTACGAGAAGCTGCTAACGAAGTGGTACCTCGAGCTGCCCGAGCCTCTCCGGTTTGAGCCCGCCTCGGCAAAGCCCTCAACACCACCACCCCACATCCTGACACTGCACATGCAATACTGGTGCACCGTCCTGTTGTTGCGCCGACCATTGTGAGTCATCGCCCTAGTCTTTCATGGCAGAACGCTGATCGCCGCGCGCAGTATTCGCCATCTGTCGGATTCAAGATCGTGAGTGCCTCCTTGGCGCATGCGGGTATCGTGTGTTGATCGTGCCCGTTTCAGGACATCCACTTCCTCGAAGGATTGCGAGATCCGCGCAAGCTCGAGGAAGAATTACGACCTCTGTGTGCAGGCGGCCAATCACATCACGTCCATTGGTACGTCCTGCTTCGTTCGTTCGCACGAGGTATTTCCGGGCTCATTCTCGCGCAGTATCCGTGTACGCGGAGAGGTTCAACCCAAAGCGGGCCTCGGCGTTCATGTGCTACTACGTCTTCACGGCCGCCATCATGCATGTTGCCGCGCGTACGTGCCGAATGTCCCGTCTCTCGCGGATCGCACACTCACAGCTGCTCTTCTGTCACAGTCACGACGTATCCCTCCGACCCACAGGCGCGCGTAGGCCTCGACAAGTGCATGGACGTTCTCAAGCGGATGCAGATCCTGTGGCCCAGCGCCTTCCGCGCCCTGGAGTTACTCCACGGCGCGAAGCCGAGCTCGCCAGAGCCAGAGATTTCACGGTCGCGGCTGTCCGACAGACCGAAGCGTGCCGCGGAGCAGTCCCTCGACCACGAAGACACGAACGACGGTGCACGGCTGCTCACCAGCGACCAACTCTACCGGCAACAGCAAAGCTACCACAATGTTGCGCCCAGCAGCCCCCCAGCAAGCCAGCAGGGCTTCATCGGCCTCAACCTGCCGCCGGGAGACTCGTCCGCCTACATGCCACAGTATGATCGCTGGGCAGGCGAGACGACGCTGCCGAGCTTTGCCGGTAGCCTGACGACGTCGGTGCTGCCCCAGCAGTACAGCACTGGCCTTGTTGGTGAGCGTCTCCCGCCAAGCATAACTCGGAGCACGGAGAGGCAGGGCCAGCGCTACCCGCAGTACTGGAGCGATTACTCTGCGCTGGGGCAGATGGACACGACTTACGGCGTGCCCGTGATAGGAGAGATGGTGCCCCAGCATGCGAATGCGCCCCAGCCCGACCAGCCGTCGATGTATGTGCCAGACCCACAGTACATGTTCAGTGGGTACCCTCAACCGGCTCTGCGATTCCGCCATGGCTGACGGGTACTGTGCAGGCAACATCCCGCCGAACAGTCGACAGTAACCCGTCTGAGAAAGGAAGGAAGAAGATCTGTTAGTCGTCCGTGCGCCCGCGCGCAGTGCGAACTGTGTATATTCTATTATCTACTTCGTAGGTGTACTAAGTACTTAGTCGCGGTTCTCCCTAATCGCCGCGTTTCGCTTCCGTCTGTTTGTTGTATCGCGTAGCTTTCGCCGCCCGCAGACTCTCGTCTCTCGTCAGTTCTCCCGCCCGGACCCTTCGTTAGAGTTCAGCGCGCATCTGTAAAAGTACCATTGATTATTACATCTATTATCGATGCCTCACGGGGATGTTGTTGCCGTGCGCGATGCGCAATGGCGGGATTAATGGAAACGTTGCATGGTCCAGCCGGTCTACATCCAGTCGCCTTCCATCCCCTTCAGTTCACCATATCCTGACCGGTGTCTTGCTGTCGAACTTTGCTACGCTCTTGGCCTCGCATCAAAGTCCTCCGTGACTTCACGATTTACTACTCTCCAGGGCATTCCAGCGGCGTATCGAGGTCCGTGCCGTTTCGTGCGCCTACTCATCCTCCGGAGCAGTAAGTAGGCCCTGGTCGATCTGGCGGCCGCATCGATGTCATGCTTGGAAGTCTTGAAGACCCCAAATATCGTACTCAAATTAATAAGATTTAACGAGGCATTCTGGCAGGCCTCGATACTCACCTCCGGAACCCCTCATACAGTTGCAATCTTGAAAGTCATCCCCATCGTCGAAATCAACTTTGTCAGTCGGTATGCCATTACCATGAATGTAGTCACCACTTTGGTATCGTGCTCAATCGTCTGATGCGCGAAAGTCCGAGTCCAGGTGATGAATCGAGTCAGACAGGTGAGCAACCGCTGCTCTCCTCTTTGAGCTCATTTAGCCATCGACACGCACATTCGCATGAGTTCCCCTCCCTGGACGAGACAAGGGTGTGCCAGCTTTGTGGGCCACGAGCCCGAGTCTTCACCCAGGTCGTGTCCTCACGAGTGTGATCTCCACAACAATCGTGTTCCCGCACTAGTCGAAGCGCTGAGTGACCAAGTTACTCACATCTGTCGCCTCTTTCGAGCACGACTAAAATTGCCGGCTATGTGGATTCAATGCTTATCAGCCGTTACATACTCCGACATAAGAGAAACGGATTGGGAGCCTTCCAGGTATCGGTCGTGCAGGCACCACCAAGGCCCACTGGAAAGCCCCAGCTGGCGCTGGACGTAAGACTACTACGAACTCCGGCTCGACCGTTACTTCTTCGTGAAGGACCTATTAGGGCTGCTGCTTAAGCTTGAAGGCATATATGTCAAGGTATAAATTTCTGCGTCGCTAACGTTATACAACGATTCAAGAGAAGATCTCAGAGATCGATCAGATGGTGTGGCCCAGCACGTGACCGTTGCACGTTCGCGACGCGCTTTGGATTGACTCCAACTTGAAGTTAAGTTCCGAACCACCCGTTGATCATGTCCTCCCTCGCCTCCGAGGGTTACTCCGTCTATGAACGCGACGAGAACGGAAACCTTATACCGGACGGAGGCACAGGCTACAGGCTGACCCCCGCTGGCTTGGAAGTATTCAACCAGGTTTGTGCTGGCTTATAGCGCGTTGGTGTCTTCTATCGTCGACGTTTGGTACGCAGATGTATCTGGAAAGAGCTAAGAAAAGTATGCCTGCTCCCACGACCGAACTTCCCGACAAATACAACTTCATGTCGCTCCAGGAAGGCAACCCCGATCCGCCCCTGATACAGTTCGGCGTTGCAGTCAATTTCGACAAGTTGTTGTCCTACGCCAAGCAGAAGAATCTCCTCGAGTCCGCCGCGCGTAGGTGTGGTGTATCCGTTAATTCGCTTTCGGACATGCCCATTGTCTGCGAAGTTATCCGGGCCCTCGAAGTAGCGTGCAACGCCCGCCTTCACTGGTCTATTCCGTGGGTTCCCGACTACGACGCAATGGTCGCGCTTTATTCGAACTACTCGATGTTTTGGGATCAGCTCGAGGAGGAGCACGAGAAGGAGGTGATCAAGATCCTGCAGGAGGAACTGGGCGTCACCGAGGAGCCAATGTGGTATTGGGATATTTCCAACCAGTAATGCTTGTTAGTTACGCCTCTGGTATTCAGAAGCTGAGAATTCATAGCATGAATAATCCTGGAGTCTCATTCCCTTTCCTGGATGCGGCGGAAGGGCCACAAAGGAACGGATGCCGAGTGCGCTCTAATTGAAAGTGATTGTATTTCATGAAGGACCTCGTTGCACTCGTTGCATCCCCCTCGTGTGTGCTCAGAAAACAAGTATAAAGCTGTAGTGATACTCCCGTCTCAGCACCACTACGTAGTCTGCACTCCCATCATGTCCGTGCTCGAAGGAGGACTGTGATCCCTCGTGGCGCTGCCGACGATGCAATGCAATCTAATGGAGGATCTTTGTGAGTCGCTGTCTGGTCCATTCATTAGGGCTGGGTTGATACTTTTATAGGTGTAAGAGGTCATTCAGCACATACGGACGACCGCCCGTTTTCAATCGATACGGTCAGGGCGGTATCGTCTATGCACTCTCGCGTCATGTAATCCAAGTGAGAATAAACGTCGCGCAAGTTGTTCGACAGTCCATTGACAAGATGCACGAGTTCAGGTGGACCAAGCCGGGGAGCTTTAACGACGGCGTAGACGAGCTTGTACCTGTGCACGCAATGGCGCGTTACCACGAGCGCGTTCTCGACTATCAGGCGTGAGCTGGTCTAGTGCTAACGCTTGACGATTGATGGATTGATGGAGATTCCTTGACTCAGACCTGATGAACTCGTCTTTTCTCCTGCCGACGGTCGACCTTGTGTGGCACTCTCACCAACTCATGGGCAGTCGCTGTGAGAAAGGCTTTATGTAAGATGTCAAGTGCTATGTGGATCAGTGCGGTAGACGTTTCCTCTATGTGGCGATACAGAAACGTCAGCTGCGCAGTGACGATACAGTCAAAGAGAAGCGGCTGGCCATGTCGCTTGATACGACCCTGCCCTGCATGGCAGGTGAGCAACCACCTCGAAGTAGTGTGCGCATTAATTCTAGACAAAATCAGAGCAGTTAGGTACACTCCAACATCCCCTACGTGTACCGCGGCTGCCCCCTACCTGCGGAGCTCGTTGGGCGGTGCCTCACCCTTCTTTCACAAAACTTCTTTCATCAAAACGATCCCGACGTTTCCGCGAGGCTCTGCCCACTTCGGTGTGCAGACACGTTCTCCGCCACTCATACGAGCGAGCATAACTCCGTCGTTCCTTAGCAGGGGTGCTTCCGGGGTGGTTGCAGAACACCGCAGACGTGTGGAACGGTTCACGCGGCGGCAGATCCTTCATTATCAGTAACCCCCTTTATTGTAACGGCACTTCAGTAGTCCCCAAAGAACATTTGGTCCGCTTTTACGGTAAAGCCAGTAGCAAGGTACTGTACGCTTGCTACCATCAAGACTGGGCAGTTATCCGCATTTTTGCAACTAAGCCAAATAGACCCATGGAGCGCATCGGACAATGATTTGAAGGACCCAGCGGAGACTTTCCCAGACGGATCTCTTCGACCAATCATACTGGAAGGCAAGAAAGCTCGACACGTCTGCCTCTTCCCTGAATCTCCATGCAGGCGATGCTGGCCTCCTTGAAATGGAGCCGTCAAGACAAATCTTATGGATGCGCAGAAGCAGAAACCTATCGGTGCGGAGTTGTCCAAATTTATTAATGTTTACGGTATGTCTCCGCAACAAAAACGTCACGCTGGCATGCTCACCGGCTGTATGACCGAATTTGTTCTTCAAGTTCCGTGTGGACACCCCTGGCAGCGAAACCATGTTTGACTCGCTTGTTGTCATCTCCCTACACCCTACAATCGAGACCGTCTCGTTCTGAGCTGTGATAACCAAGAGTGGACCTTCGACTCAGCAGTGACATTTGTCGTGCAATCCATGTAATGTACGCCGCGTTCTACAGCGATATAGAGCAGAGGTCCTACCGGTGGAATCTGGCTGTCGCGTTAAGCTGGCTGACGATGTCTATTTTGACTCTGAGGACCTTTACCATACCGTTCCGAATGTTCACCCGATTCCTCTGAAGAAGTTCAAGGACAGGTTCAAGGAGCTTCTCGGGAATCCCGCGTTCTTGTCGCTAGGCGGCACTCTCGCCGCAGCGGCTCGGCATCAATATGCTGTGCAGACGAAGTGTGCTCAGCGGTGAGAGAGGAAGGGTGTCCATCTGCTGAAAGACCTGCTCTGGTACATTAAGGCAGTGACACCATGGGTAGACATACCTATGAATCATAACTGTATTCGCAGCATCATCAGTCGTACGTGCATTTGGCGACGGTTACACTTACATTGGTATTTGTAGTAGAAGTATCTTTGTTTGTCGTTGCCTCAGCGAATCGGACTTAAATTATACTGGTGTCAAAGGTAGTACTTCTTAATATTGATAAAATGGCAGGCGACTTGCTCGGGTTCCTCGACTCGGGGGTTTCTTAAATGATAGAAGAATCCCACATACGGATAAAATCAACTTTCACTGGATGGATGGGAATGTCTTTTACATTGCTCTATACGGGAATAATTTTCGTTACAAGGACCCTCTATCGGAACTGAAAATCGCATCAGACAACTGAAGATATCACACTGATGATACACGCACCACAAGTACAATGATCTAACGAGTAGACTCTCTGCCCCGAGTACGTGTCCCATGTGAATATTGCGACACGTTCTCCGCCTCGTCGTCTTCATCGTTCTCTGCCTCATCATCGTTCTCGTCACCCTCATCATCTACGCCTCGGCCAAGATCGAAGTCAAAGTCAAGAGGGATATCATCCTCGATGTTGCTCTGGGCGTTATCATGGGCATCGTCAGTATCCTCGAAGGATGGGACATCCAAGTCTCCCTCAGAGAGTGCATCGTCTCCTCGCGATTGGCTACGTGTCCTTCGATTTGCGCCGGCGTTACTGGGGCGGACACTGCTATAGTAATTACCCGAGGTATCCTCTTCGGAAGAAGCGGTAAAGTCAGCTGCATCACGAAGGTCTTCCACCTGCTCGTCCTGGCGGTCAAGGAAGTCGTCGAGGTCCTGGCGAGCGCTTTCCTATTAAAAAAACAGCAGCAAAGTCAGACATGCAAAAAAATTGTAAATTGGATGAGTGTACCAGAGAGATTTCTGAGGCATGATGGTCACCTGGCGGTGGTGTGAAGAAGGATGGCTGAAAAGGGATATCTATTTCTCTGGAGGTTATAATATCCTATAGAGCCTTTCGGAAAAGGGGACTGAAGGCCTCTCCATCCTCGCTAAGGATAGGCTCGCTATAGTAGAGTGCTGTGGGTTTATTCACGGACAGATTGAGGACCATCCGCTCCATTCCCCGTTTGGCATTTGTCTGCGCCTTCACATCGTCACCCCGTTTCCGCTTTGGCCTTTTCCATGACTGATTGCTATCGGAAGGGGGTTGGTGCAACACCGATGGAGGGAGTGGATGAGTAGGAGGAGGAAGACGAGTGGGCCTCAAGTACTCGAAGACAGAGAAGTATATGCCCAAGATGAGCATTCCGTAGAGCTTGTCACCAGCAAACTGTGTAAATGCAAATGTTGCCTGCTCATTCAATTGCTGTATATTCACCCACATAGCCCTTCGCGCTGCCTGCTGCCCCTCATCCGACATCCACTTCCCCGGGAAGGTGAAGGTTTTAATTTCAACCCAGAAACCAAGTACGGGGTGCCTGTACAGTGGACTGAAGCGATTAAAGACAGCTGGATCATGAAGGAATGTGAGCATGATGGTGAAATCCGGAATGCGACGGTCAAATTCTTTCTCAGTCGGCGTAGAGAAGGATGACTGAGGCTCGCAGCCTAGTGCACGGTCGACCTCCAACGTATCACCACCGGTTTCACAGAATGCTGTCAAGATATGCCCGTAAAGTGTGTACAAAGGGCTTTCCACATCACGCAATGCCCAGGCGTGCCTGATCATGACACGAACTTTGCTGAAAAAACTGGTACTTTGAATGAGAATACTCTGCCAGTAGCAAAGCCCGTTTAGTACTTCGAAGGAATCAGATGCCTGAGGACAAAGTCTCACATTCTGAGAGTCTAGCGGTTCCGCCATGGAAAATGCTAAGACCTTGAGCAGAAGGGTGAAGAAGGTGATGAATGATAGGTAAGTCACGGTCCTCTTGGAAGCGCGATGAGAAATCAAAACAGGTGATTGTGGTGTAAAGATAAATCTATCCGTGTTGCACCCTCGTGAGCTTCGTGAGCGGTAGCGGTTGAACGTCGAACGAACAACAACGAACGAAAGACTCAAAGAGTACGGATGAACGAGATCGATCGATGAACATTCCAGCACGTGACTGGGGCGTTTGAGCGTGACGCTTGAAGTTGCTCGTTTTACTCGTTTGACCAGGTTCATCTTCGTTATCCGTCATGTCCTCTCTCGCCTCAGATCGTTTCTCCGATTATGAACGCGATGTGAATGGGAAACTTATACCAGACGGCGGCACTGGCTACAGGTTGAAACCCGCTGCCTTGGAAAAATACAACCAGGTTTGTGACGCTCACGGCGCGTTGGGGTTGTCTATTGTCGACGGTCTGACTACAGTATTTTTGACACGCAGCTATGGCTGAAAGAAGCCAAGGAACGTTTACCTGCTCCCACTGCCGAACTTCCCGGCAAATACGATTTCATGTCGCTCAAGGACGGTAGCCCGGACCCGCCCCTACTACAGTACGGCATTGCAGTCAACTTCGACAAGTTGCTGTCCTACGCGAAGGAGAAAAACCTCCTAGAGCCCGCCGCGCGCAAGCGCGGCGTATCTCTTAGTTCCCTTTCTGACATGCCCATCATCTCAGAAGTTATCAAGGCCTTGGAAGTAGCGTGCAACGCCCGTCTTCATTATACAGCCCCATGGGTTCCCGATTACGAGGGAATGGTCGCGCTTTATTCAAACTACTCGATGTTTTGGGAGCAGCTCGAGGAGGAGCACGAACAGGAGGTAATCAATATCTTGCAAGAGGAGCTGGGCGTTACGGAGGAACCAATGTGGTATTGGGATGCTGTGAACCAGCGATGAATGGTGAGTTACATGTCTTTGTCTAACTCCTGGCCATCTTAATAAGACGTGCCGCGGTAGAATCGCGGTATACTAAATCGTTCTCAGTACCCCTTCTCCTCCTTCTGTGATGTCGTCTACATCATTCCCATCGCTCGGGTCATTTACATCACTCGCGTCCTCCTTATCATGTGCGTCATCGTGTTTATTCTCGAGGAGGATGCCCATTGTTGCCCATTGTATAGTATACAAGGAATCCTCCACCCAATCCACCCCGTTTTCGTCCACTTTTGCTGTCTGTTCAACATAATCCCTCATACCCTCCCCCATCTGCAGCTGGCCCGCGTTGCTTTGTGTTACTTGTACCAACCATGTACCAACCAATTGACATACCCTAGCTTTGACCCAGGCTTTATATCACAACACCACCGCTCTGGATGTGGTATTCACCATGGCACTATCAAAAAACACCTTCCTGGAGCGCGTTTGCCCATAGACGTCTCCTGGTGTAGCATTGAGTCGGGCCCCATCATCCGTACAAGGTCTGGGCGTTGTCAATGTGGCAACTACAAGAAGTGTGAGATACACATCGGTTGTACACAATCACGGTGAATGGCGGCGGTACACATTGCATAAAAACCGTGGTATTTGCTGATTATTAGCATGGGTGCTGCAGAAGGATGGTTCAGGTACCAAGTTTGAGACAAACATGGTGTCTGCAGCGTCAGTCGACAGCTGAACGCTGAGCACTGAAGAAGGACAAAGGATCCCCTCTCCCTTTTCCCCATTCGTTACTTCTTACATCTACATCTGCCACCTATGTCTGGTGCGGGCATATGATTCCGTCCCTTCCCTGACTCATAGGGATCATTTTGTAGTCTGCCTACGGGAGACTAGGTGCGGGCCCCTGTGATCGCAATCGTAGTTACGCACCACGTCGACACGTTGGGTGACCCGGTCACTCGAATCTGTCGCCTCGTGGGAGCACAGTTGAATTCCTGTCGCAGTGGATTCAAATATACAATGCTGAAGCGCTGATCAGTCATGATTCGACACAAGAGAAACGGACTAGGTGCCTTCCAGATATTTGTGCAGATTCGACCGGCACGACCACAGCCCACTGGAAGCCGAGCTTGCGGTCTTCAAGTTAATGATGATCTCCCGACGAAAGTAAACACCACTGTGAACGTTGTCCCGCCTCGTAGATCGCCCAACGCTACTTACAATTAACTTGAATGTAGGCCTGAGACGGTATACGTCCTCGCCTGTGGAATCGATCCGTTAACGGCGGCGAGCACGTATCGCTATATCAAACCGGGGACATGGTATTTACTGACTACCAGCAGGCTGTCGTGGACGGATGTATCAGATACCAAATTTGACAAAACATGGCAGTGTCTGCCCAGTCAGTCCACAACTGAGCGCTCGGAACTAGGCTCGTTAACCAGCCCCTAGTGGACATGAAGAAGAAAGGCTTCACATCATAAAGAAGATTCGGCGGTTGATATTCTCGATAAACGTTCATACAGATTTGATACTCTGCTGCTACTTGCGTCATAATCATCCCATCACGGACCGCCTCTACAACTGGGAAGCCCTCTCGCGATTTACAGAGATGGATTTGGCGTCCTCCGAATTCTTGAGGAGGAAGGCAGACTCGCCCTTGTAATCTTTCTCCCTCATCCAGGCCTCCAGCGTCGTCGCGTGGGGGTTGACACTCCTGATCCACTGCATATCTCTCTTGATCATATTGTCCCGGAATAGCGACCACCATCCAGAGAAATTCTCTCTCCAGGTCGTCTGTGCCGATTCCAGCACCTTCTGTTCATTCGCGATGGGTGCGTCAGTGTTATTGAGGTTCATGACCCACTCGTCGAAACTCTGGTGCACAATGACTGCCTTCTGACCAGTGACTTTCTTGAAGGTAGCCAAGAGGTACTCCCAGTCGACCATATCGCTGGCCACCTCGAGCTCGGCGGCGGACGTGAGCGCTCGGTGGTCGAACGTGTAGCGGGCGAAGAACCCCAGGTCGGAGAGCGCAATCATGGGGACGTGGCCGGTACCGATAGGGGTCGCGAAGACGAAAGTGCCATCTGCACGCCGGTTCAAGGGTCCGAACATAGGCTATCCATCGTTGATTGGTTAGCCTTGGCCTGGATGGCTGCAGGTACGATTCACCTGGTACAACATGTCCATGTAGGGACCAGACGTGACGACACTCCAAGACATGGAGGTGTCGCTGACCTCGGATGGCTGGGACTTCAACCATTCCGCGACGAGCCCCTTGCCATCAAAGTGCTCACACCTGTACTGTTGGTCGTAGTTGCCTTTCTGCAACCAAAAATGTGTGAGTGGGTCTGTGTTCCCACGCAGTGCGGCGCTGAAATATAACCACCTTGAGTGAATGGTCGAGGCTGCTCCACACGTAGTGACGCATGGTCTTGCTCTGCTTTGCCAGCTCGAAGATGCGCATGCCCGCGAAGATCTCCTTGGCCTCGCCGACGGTAAAGCCGTCCGTGTTGACCCACGCTCCATACGCACCCTCGAGCGCAGCCTTGACAGTGGGAAAGTCATAGAACGATCCTGAGAGCGATCAAGTGTGTCAGATCTCCCTCGACGCGAACAGGAGCAGTCAGCTAACCTCTAACGAGCTCTACACCTTTGTGAGCGAGTTCCTGTGAGCGCCTGCTTTGCGGGTCGCGGGTGAGGGCTCGGATGGTGTAGGGAGACGGCTCGCCGTCCGCGCTCGGTTCAAGCAGTTTGTCGATCACAGCGAGGCCTTGCGCGCCGGTCGCGCCAATGACGAGGATAACTTTCCTCGTAGTCGAAGAAGACATGTTCAGTGCGAAGATCAAAAGAGGATGAATTAGGAGTCAATGTCACTTCAAGTGAGTTAGGAGGCTCGAGCACGGGCTTTAAAGCTCCACTGTGTGCGGTTGCTTGCTGACGGTGAGGGGTGCGGGCATCGGCGTTGACTTACTCATCTACCACCTACGGTGCAATGCTACTCAGCACAGTCTGAATGTTCGTGTAGACCTACGTCAATCGAATACGCAAGATACACCGAGTTAGCGCTGGACAAGAAGGAGGGGTGATGATGCCGAACCATGCCCGAGGGGACAAAGCACTCACCGACACAAAGACAGACCAGCCAAAGTTACTTCGCATGCCATAGACAAGTGCACCGCAGATCCAAAACTCGCTATTATGCTGGCTGAAAGGTCAACATAGAACATCACTTGACATTTCACGACGACGGATACATCACCGCAAGAACATACAAGGAAGCAAGTATGCATCACATCTAGAGCAACAGTATTTCTATGCGAAACAGAGAGGTATACAGTATGTTGATGCAAGAAGAATATAGACGTGATTGCAATAGGACAAATGAACGTACGGGAACCATGCGTGACTATCCAGCTCAGACCGCCGCTCCCTCGGCACGTTGCTGTCGTCTGGCCTTTTTCGCAGCATTCGCCGCAGCGGCTTTCGCCTTTTTGGCTTCTGCACGAGCAGCCTGAGGAAAACAGAAGTCAGTAAAACATCGACGTGCGACCCAACAGAGCGCGCCTTCTCTTCCTCCTCCCTGAGCTTGGCCATCTCCTCCGCCATCTTCTTCTCTTCCTCCTCCTTCTGCTTCTGGCTCACGCCGTTCGCACCTCCCTTGTGCTTCTTCTTGGCCTCCCTCGCCTCCTTCTGTTCCTGCTTAATTCGCTTGATCCGAGGGTCAACGCTGAGTGCGAAGTCTACCAGACTGCGCAAGCGAGCAGTGTCTTCCTTCTTGCGGCGAGCACGCTCCGATTTGTTTTTCTTTTCCGTATACCGTTTATCGTCTCGGCTGGTTACGCAATCAGGCTGTGTCTTCGAAGAGGAGAATATGAGGACGTACTTATCACTGCCCTCATTCACTTCCTTGTCCAGGTACTCAAAGCTCCGCCAGCTGTCGAAATTGTACCAGAAATCGTAGAACCCCTCCACAGCCTCCTGCGAGTTGTCATAAGCACCGAGCAATGGCACAGGCTGCTTCCGGCTGAACCGCGCTTCACGCTCAAAGACAGGTGAGAACGCCTGGAAGAACGTCTGCGGGTCCTTGGCATTTTTCATCTGTGCCGCCGTGGGTACGTCTGCCTCGAGGAGGTCGTAATATGGGTCAACGGAGTCGAATTGTCGCCGGCGCTCCGGATTTGTCAGTACTTCCATCGCTTTCTGGATGCACTTGAAGAAAGCATCGTCGTTAGAGTCACCCGCGAGTCCGGCCTTCTTGTCAGGGTGGTGTTTTAGGACCTTCTTACGGTCTGTTTGCATACTTAGGCCGGGAAAGCAGTAAGAACATCGTCAGACACGTACGCGCAATCTTAATCTGGTCGTCTGTAGCTCGGAACCGCAAATGTGAAAGCCCAAGGACAGCGTAGTGATCTTGTTTCTGGCATAACAAAAGTAGAATATGAGCACAATACATGTGAGACTGGCTTCGGCACGGACCTTCCACTCCTTGGGATCCAACTGCAACAGATCCTCCGTCTCATCCTCATCGCCGATGCCCAGATCATCGTCGCCGTTAGCCCCGGTACCATTGAGTGCTTGCAGCCGCTTCTGCTCATCCTCGGCATGTTTGTCCAGCTCTTCGAATGTAAGGTTATGCACTGCGCGTCGAATATGCGACAGATACGCTGGACCGGCTGGGAGAAGTCTTCGCTCGACAAAAGCTAAACGGTCATGAGGGCGATGGCCGTGCCGCAATTAGCGAATGTGCTCACGAGAAATTGGCTTCGTATCATCCTGCGGGGTCCATGTCGGGGGAAGTGGAGGAGGAACGACAGGAATTTCCGTGACAGCCGCCATGAGGAAACGAGGGTGAAGAAAGAACGGAATTCAATACGCTATGTTCGCAACAATGTTATCTGTCAAAAATTCTAGGCCTGTATACGCATGTTTGCCCATGGTGGCGGAGCGCGTTCAATCATTTCACGTGACTTGTGTTGGGGTCGCGAAGTTCAAGTCGCGTCGTCGAAGTACTTTCCTTAACACGACCATCGCCTTGGAATGGCTCCTGAAATAACTGCAATCAGTGGCATTTATTTTCTCACACATCACTGACTTCTGTAAAACAACGCGCAGCTGCACAATCCGAAGTCGAGATCGACAGTGTCTCGGCCCCTTGTAAGTACATAACGGTAGTGACATCGCTAAAGCACTCACCTTGAGGCTCTCATGATGGCTTTAACAAATTATGATATTTTTTACAGACATTCGGAGGTACAACGTATGTCTTTAGAGTCAGAATGACAGGTGTTCAATTTGTCTCATATTCTCGACGTCAGGGAGCTTCGATGGCCCTGCACGCTCTGAAAGAGTCAAAGATTCCAGGCACTATCTGCCGCCTGAGCCCTCCAAGCTCGCCTTCCAGGAGGGTATCGCAAGCCGTGACCCGACCCGCGTTCAAACCCAAGCTCCTGGCTGCGCTAGATGCGGAACTTTCAACGGTGCTCGGTACTCAGGCTGCGCCTTCGAAACGGAACACAAATGCCAGCAACATGCAAAGCGCGAACGCAAACAGTCGCGCCGTCTCGAAGCCGTACGATGAATCGTAATATTTCGCTCATTCTCGGACTAATGAAATCGCCCGTGATTTTTTTTGCGTAGTATCCACCCATTCTTCATCACCACGGGTGAAGCGTTACCGTCTGAGATCCCAGACTTCGCTCCTACACCCAAGACAACGATTTTGAAGTCTAACGGGAAATCTGTGCCTGCCAAAGCCGCTGCTGCAAGTGAGAAGTTGCAAGACGCCAGCCGATCAGAGGTTTGGGCGAAAACTGTAGCCGCGGCAGAACAAGTGAATCCGGTTCTGCCGCTCTTCTCGTACACCGACTACAACCCTGGTCCTGCTGTTGTTTACACACGCCATGAAGAAGAGGCTAACGATCTAGTACAGACATTGAAAGGGTGAGTTCCCAGACGTTCTATAAGAAATCTTCAAAGCACGACTCTAGTTATTGTGGAGAAGGCGCAACCGGCTTGATCACTTATGCGCGTTGTTCTCTATTCACTAAAACGATTGTTCCTGCTATTGTCAGGCCTCTTGGATTTGATCTCGAATGGCGGGTTTTCATGCGCCGCAATATGCCCATCACGGAACGACGCACTGCTCTTGTGCAGTTGGCCGATGAGCGGATGATTTTGCTGGTCCATGTCAGTGCAATGAATAGTGCGTCGGGCACCTCTGTATGAGCTTGATGCGACTTACTTAACCTGCCACTATTAAGGATTTCCGCAGAAAGTCAAGGTACTACAGAATACTCCACGATTCTGCTGAAGTCGTGAACTGAACTTGAATCAGGAAGTAATCGAATCTCGCACCTTCGTCAAGACTGGAGCCAATATTCGAAGTGAGGCTGATATCCTCGTCTCGTCTGCTGTTCCATTGTGTGCTTACAGCTCTTCACATTTGCGCAGATGATGGTCAGAAATTGTTCCGCGACTTTGGAATAAAGGCCGCTGGACTCGTCGAGCTTGGGGCATTTGCACACCAAGCGGACCCAGCATTCCACACCGTCTACAAGCGTTCCATTGTCAGCCTCATCCGTATGGTGGAAATGTACACAAACAAGACCCTGGATAAGGGCAAGGTGCGTACCGGCAATTGGGAGGCAATACCGTTGACGCAGAACCAGATCACATGTACGTACCCATTGCCTCCCTCGAGGATTGCTATGGTATCTGACGCGGAGGCGCAGATGCGGCGAACGATGCGCATTGTGCATTGATGGTGTACAAGCGCCTCCTTGCCATTGCAGCCGAGAGGAAGATAGATTTGGTCCCTTCCACATATACGTGTTCTGTCACCTGCAACTCCAGCAATAGTACTGTGTCATCCGCAGCCAGCACGGCCGCCGACGTCGCTGTGTCCACCTCAAGCTCCGCGAAGACTTCCAGCACTGCTCAAACTGTAAGCAGGACGTCCTCGTCAAGTTCAACATATAGCTTCTCCCGACCACTCGGCTATGTGACCGACGTGCGCGAGCCCCCACGCCCGCAACACATGAGGGCGTACAACCTCTGGCACAACAGTAACATGCCATTGCAGACGATTTGCGAGACTCTTAGGAGCAAGGAGAACCCCCTTGCACAGAGCACCGTCATGTAAGTGTTGTCTGCCCAACGCGTCTTCATTTCCCGTTTTCATATATCACCGATGTGTGATGTTCCGCTGAACACCTCTTCTAGATCGTACGTTGTGTGGGCGTTGCAGGCTGATCCAGCTCTGCCGTTTTCTTTGGAACGGTTGAAAGCCTTCGTCCAGCTGGAAGCGGGCTCCTGGAGAAGACACCGAGACTGGATTTTGCACGTGGACTCACGCAAACATTGACACTTAAAGACCCTAGGTTCAGAGTGACCCGATTTATCCATATCTATCTGGGTTTATGGTACCCAACAGTGCGAAGTACCTTTCTGTAAAAGCAGACGCGTTGCATATACTGTACTTTGTAGGAACGAACAACTCGAGTCTATGAAACGCAGTGATCGCCCAAGCCCAAAGAGGCAAGTGTTCAAGATCCTTACCGGTAGCAGCGGGAGCCGCGTACGGTCGCGTTATTCTGAATTACAATATAATTTAAAGGGATCAAGCTGTGATATATTCAATGAACTTGCGTGTCGATGGTGCGAAGTGAGTGTTTTCGTGTCCTAAGCCGATTCCTATGACTTCCGACCCGAATTTACTCTTTGGGTTGTTCGCTGTCAGCCTCTTCGGTCAACTTCTTGTCATCCGCAACAGGGGATGTACTTCAACGTCCCCGCTGCTCGCCGCTCGGGCCCTCTGCTCTTTCCTCCGTTCCACATCATCGAGTACTCCCCAGCAGCATGCGGTTCCCTAGACTGAGTCTCCTCTTTCATCGCCGTACCAAATCGGACGGTGCACTGGCCATGCTGCCACCTGTGCCGATGGCGACGCTGGCCTCGCGACCCGTGTCAACTTCATGCATCGATGAACTTACACTTCACGAACCTCCGACTGATGTCTTCGCTCCTTTCGTGACCGCCATTCCCTTGTCGTTCCTAACATCTCACCACAATCTCAGGTCTTCTGCAGAGTCCCAGCCAATCGTACCGCACCTGCCCTCCCCTTATCCCCTTCCCAACACGCGTGCAGATCCAAAGCCCGACCGAGCCGTTCTCGTAGCCCTTGCGGAACGGAATCGCGAGCTTGACACCGCATTGCAGCGTCAGTATCAGGTCAACAAACGCGTCCCCGCTCTGGAAACCGCTCTGTGTGCAGAGCGGGCAGCTCTTCGGACAGCACGGGATACTATCGCTGAGCTCGCCGCATCTGTCGCCGCTCTCCAGGCAGACCTTGCACACTCGCAGTCTCTTCTCAATCGTCAGCTGGACAACGACCATGCACGCGTGCTTGCAGCAGAGAACACTGCGCTGACGACGGAGCGCTTGCGCCACCGGAAGTTCATCGAGCTTATGATCGCAATAGGCGGGCACAAGCCTGTACTTGACCGAGCGTACCGGGACCTCTCGGCTGGAACAGACCCCGAAGCCGCTCTCGTCACCGCGATCAAGGAGGCTACCGCACGTCCAGATAGTGTTTGGGCAACACTACTGGAGCCTCTGATCGGTACTCGTACTCCGGAAGAATACCTGGCGCAGGTGCAGTGCACACTTCGTGCGAGGAAGGAGCTGCGCGATTGGCGGAAGCGTGCCAAATTCTGGAAGAGAGCTGCGAGGGAAGCCGATGCTCATGCGGCGACGGTCACTCCATCCCCGTCGGACGTCTCATCTGTCGTTGAGGTGCTTCCACCAGCGCGTCAGGAGGCAGTGAACACGCTCCTGGAGGGTGTCCGGAACGGCACGCAGCCTCTTAGGGTAAACAAACGGTCCAAGACCACAGAGTTCGCTGTGTCTCCTGCAGCGCTCCCCACGACTTCGTCCGCTGCGAGTGTTCCTCCCCTATCTGTCATGACGACGCGACCGTCCTCGACTGTCCTTCCGGCCTCCCAGACGTCATCCACGGTCCGGCCCTCAACGTCCTCCTCGTCTGCGTACGCAAACCTGGCTCCACTTGCGAGTGAGACATTCCGGGCCAGTCACTCAATACCTAGTGTCACCTCGCGTCGTTCCTCCATAGCCTTGCCCTTCACAATCTCGCCTTCGTTCCCCCGATCACTGTCTGGATCAACAGGATTCGGCTTCGGGTCCATGTTCGGGTTGAACGCGGGCGCAGGTGTGGAGTTGAAGGCCCGCAGGGAGAGCATCACTCCGTCCGCATCGGCGTCCACACAGGCGAGTACCGCGTCAACGAGGTCCAGACGCAGGCGGGCGCACCTCATCGCCCTTGAACAGGCACAGGAGGGGTCGGAGCAGCCAGCAGAGGAAGCACCGCTAACTACGGCAGACCCCGTGGTACCGGAGGAGCCTGAGCCTGTGAACGGGACCGAAAGCATCGTCAACGAGTCTGCCAGTATGGATGAGCGTCCAGAGACCCCCACGGTCTCTGCTTCCGATTCAAGCTCTAGGCCTTCTTGCACTACCCCGACTGCGGCAGCTCCTGCTCCAAGCACGCCCAGCAAGGAGCCCACATCCTGTGACCACACGGGCGAAGTCCCTTCATCTTCGGCAACGCCCTCTTCATTGGGATCATCCAGCGCGAACTCGCTCAGCCCGAGCCCGCAGCGAAAGGACTCCGTCCTCAAGAGTTCGGACTTGGATGAAGCACAGTTCGACGACTCAGACGAGCTGGTAATGGTGATGCATAGCGACCTCCTCGAAACGAATACGCCAGAAGCCTTCTCGCGCTCGCCCAGCCCCAGAGAGAGGCAGACTCCGAGTCCAGAGAAGCGGTCCCGTCTGCCGGTGCCAGTGCTCAGAAACCTGAAGGCGATCCGACGGCTGTCGATCTCGCGGCCCGTCCTCGTCAATACGACCAACGCTGCGACCTTCACTTTTTCGACCAAGGCCGCGGTCGCGAAGATGACTACCAAGCGCGCTAAGGCGGGTGCTGATAGGAAGGGGATGCGGGTAAGGGACGAGAACAACGAGGGGAGTCCACGCGGGAAGGGGGTGCGCGGAGGGGACCGAACGCAGGCAGCAGTGCCGGCGGGATCCCCGTCACGCCCGAGCAAGATCCCCATGGGGCAGCGAATCCAGCAGTTGCATGGGGACTTCGTTGGCAGTGCGCGGCGGGTGGTGCAGGCGAAGACACGCACGAATCGTCAGGTTTGAAATGGAACAATCAAACGTAATCATATTGCCAGTGTAGATTCTGCAGCAATTGTATCAGTAACGATCAATAGACGAATCACGTACCATATTGACAAATTGAAACAGGAAATCGAGATCTTCGCCATCACGCTGGCCACGTCCACGAGACAAGAGAAATGCAAAACTTTGACTCGTTATGCCGACGTATGAGATAAAGTTAAACCAAGAAACGTTATAGATTCCTGCACGGATAAAAGTACAATCATATAGGTCTCAGAAATACACACCTAAAGTTTGGCCGTTACCGATTCTGCCGCACCACCGTCCCGCTGCCGCTCCTTTCGGGCCAAGAGCGCCTTCCCTGCGCGGCTCGCATTCGGCCGGCCAAGCTGAGCAGAAATCCACGCCCCCACCTCCGCAACCGCGTCCAAATTTCCATCTACTTCATGTCCACTATCGCGAAGTGCGTACAACACGTCCTCTGTCGCGACATTGCCTGTCGCTCCTGGGGAATACGGACACCCGCCGAGACCACCGACGGCGGCATCAATAGTCCGTATACCCATGGAAAGCGCAAGGAAAATGTTGATAAGTGAAGTACCGTACGTGTCATGGAAATGGACCTGCATGCAAGGCCTGTGAGGATGTACTCGAATAGCAGCGGAGGAGGAAGCGTACCGCAAGCTTGCTCGGCGGCACACCACGGTCGTCGCCCATGACCGTGGTGAGCAGCTCAGTGATGGCCGCTGGAGTACCCGCGCCGACGGTGTCTCCTAGGCTAACCTCGTAACAGCCCATGTCGAGCAGAGCGCGCGTTATGGCTTTCACCCGCAGCGGGTCCACCTTCCCGGTGTACGGGCACACGGCCACGACACTTACGTATCTGTTACGACGGATGGTCGGCGACGCGCAATGCGACGCAGAGGGCATCCGAAACCTGCACGTACCCTCGTACCCGGAGACCCTGTGACAGGGCCTGTCCTGTAACGTCCTGCAGCCGCTCAAGCGATTCAGCGATGGTGCAGTTCGTGTTCGCCAGACTGAATGCGTCCGTCGCCGCAGTGAACACCGCGATCTCGTCCGTCAGAGGTTCGCTAGACGGGGAAGGAGGATGCTCGGACAGCAGCGAGAGCAGCATATCAAGTCCCTTGACGTTTGGCACGAGCACCGGGTAGTGGTTCCCTTCCAGGCGCTCCATCGATGTAAGCACCTCTGCTGTACCTGCCATCTGTACCAACGACTATGAGCATATATCTACGAATGAAATCAAGCGTCTCACTTGGGGAACCCACTTCGGGCTCACGAAACTGCCCGACTCGATATTCTTCAGGCCTGCCCTGCCTAACCTCGTAACGAGTTCGGCCTTCAGTTGCGGTGGGATAATTGCCTTCTCGTTCTGTAGACCATCTCTCGGACCCACTTCGACAATCCTGACGTGGTTGGGGTTCGCACTGGTCGCGTAGGTGCATCGACCAGTCCTGAATAAGTCTCGGGCGCGTTTCACGGAAGAAAGCAGCGAACTAGCAGCTCCTCGGTGATGCATTACGCGTACTGCTTTCAAAAGTGAAGCGGAGAGGGTGTCGTACACGCTGAGAGCAGACTCAAGGGGAAAGCAGGTGACCCGATGTTACGGGCGCTAAAGTTGTCTTGCTCAGATCACCACCACCACTACTGAGCACTACTTGCCATCATCCATTCATTTTCCCGGCCCTTTCCATTCCGAACTCTCGCCAGCTGAGGCTGAGACAAAATGCCTTCGACTGAGTCCGGAGTGCCTTCGCAAGGCGCAGAGACACAGGCAGCACCGAAACCTCAAGATTGTCTTGCTTGCCGTGTGATTGGTACTGGAGCACTAGGTGGCTTGGGGGTTTATGCCCTCAATCAGTCTCGGGCACATATGCCAGGCTCGATTGCGGGGAAGCGAGTCATGGCTGGCCTTGGTGTCTGTACGCCCTGCATTTCTACAGATATTTCTGTCTAGGAGCTGAATATGATGTCCTACGATACTGCTAGGTTTTTTGGTTGCGAGTGCATTGCGATGGACCAAGTAGCACTCCCTTCAGAGTGACCTTTACAGTGTAGCAATACAAGATGACACACCCTATTCACCAGATACTCACGGACTGTGACTGTGCATGCTCCGTGTTGTCCTCAAGTCACCGTCTTTACTCTAAACATGGTTCCGAATACTTCCCAAACTTAAGCTGTCCGTGTACCTGCCTGGCGGGGAAGACCCAACTCGCCGATGTTGAATATGAATCTCTGTCGAATCTCCGTCGAATCTACACGGCTCGACACCAACATGTACGGAATTTTTTCGGTCCCATAGTCCATTGCAATTAATGGTACACAAATCATCTTAGGCAAAACCAAACAGACGGTTTACTACTTGACATACAGATTAAGGTGCTCAACCAGCCTGCGGAGAACGTCTTCCACATGGATGCGCTCTTCGAACCCATGATCCTCTCTCGGATAGATGACAAGTTGGGGCTTCACACTAGCGTGGCCAGCGCGCTCTACTCCTCGCAGCATGGCGATCGCCTGAGTGACGGGGACCACCTTGTCGTCCTTTCCGTGCAGGAAGAGCAGGGGTGCACGCACGTTCTTCGCGTCCTTCAGCGGACTGCCTCGCAAATAGACCGGTTCGCCCGGTGTCCAGGGACCGGCGCCTCCAAGATGAGCCTCCAAAATATGAATAAAACCTCAGTTACAAATAGGACTTATTCGGACTCACCTCGAAATCCGGCATGTCAGAAGTGGCGGCGAGCAGGCCCCAGTCTGATACCCCCGCACCGACAACGCCAGCCTTGAACGTGTTGTTGGGTCGTGTGCACCCCCACGCGGTGAGGAAACCGCCCTGGCTGTACCCAGCAATGGCGAGCTTGTCAGGGTCGACCATTCCTTGACCAATGCAGTGCTCGACCATCGTCTCAATATCTGTCCACTCCAGTGTCCCCATACCGCCGTTTGCCGCTTTCGCGAAGTTGTCACCCCGGCCTGAACCTGACCGAATACTATGAGGTGAGCGTCTGGCCTTCTGCGTTAATCGCTGCTACTTACTACCGCGGTAGTTCGGTGATAAAACGAGGTAACCATGAGAGGCGAGGAAGATACGCCAAGAACCCATGTCTAGTAAGGTTCAGCGTTACATCAGGGCGAAATTTATCGGCGAGTTTCTCACATAGTGGTAAAGCCAGCGTGTCACGCCTGGAAGTATAGTGTCAAAGTCTCGTCGCCTCATGATTTGTGTTGGGCACTTACGCGTAAGGACCGCCATGGGCGACAACCACAGTAGGGAGCTTCTTGAGTTCAGCACCTCTGGGATAAGAGAATACGCCTTGAATATTTTGACCGTCTGTACTATTCCACTCAAACGGCGTGGTCACCGGAGCTTTTGCGCTTGTAAACCAAGAATTATGCAAGGACAGCTTTTTTGACAGCGTGCCCTTCTTTCCCTTCTCGGTGACCCCGCACCAGACGTCCTCGGGCTTCCCGTGCACGCTGGAACTGACTAGTGCCACGAGGACGAAATGCCCATCCGCGGTCGATCTCATGTCCCAAGCCAAATACGAGACAGCCATGTCATTGTCCGTCTCGAAGGCAGTGAAGGCATTGTGGTCTTCATTGTAGACGTCGAATTTAGTATCAAGCCCAGAAGCGACCGCCACCGCATACTGAGAATCCACGCCGAGATCAGCAACCGTCTCGACATCATCGTCATCGCCGTAGGCGACATATGTAGCTGCAGAGGTGCCGTCTGATGCACGTTTCCAAAGGGCGTTAGACGAACAGTGGTAGGATGGCGATCGGACTTGGATGAAGACTAGCTCGCCATCGTGTCTCCAGATGGTGGGCCTTGCTGGCAATCTGGGGTATTCGAAGGTGCCGTGCACGTCTCCGGAATCGATGGAGACGATTGCCTCCGTTACTGGGAATGCGTGGCTTTCGAGGTCAGGATGGCTGAGCAAGCGATAAATGATGGAAGAGCTATCTGGGCTCCATGCGAAGGACTCTACGTGCGCATCGACGGAGACTAGTGTTCGTATACTGTTGATGGTGCATGACCATTTGCAAAGGCGTAAATCTGCATATGAATAACTTACCTCTTGGTAGAATGGCGTAGATCAATCAAGCAGAGAGAACCGATATCCTTTTTCTCTCTCCAGACCGAGATAGGCTCCTTGGTATCCTTGTAGGATGGTTTATTCTGCTGTATAAAAGCAAGGTAGTTGCCATCGGGTGAGATTACAAACGAATTGACGCCATTGTAACCGTCTAACGACGTGACCGCAGATGGTTCGTCGTCTTCCGTAGCAGAGATCGGGAGGGTGTATATCTGTGCGGGGTCTCCTGCCTTCTGATGATCGGACAGGAAGTAAATATCGGACGAGACTGGGTGGAACGCGGGCGAATAGTCGTTCATTGCGCCCGAGGTAAGCTTTCGCGCACCGTTTTCCTTGGATGTCTTTGCCAGCCATAGCGCAGATGTACGATTATCGCCAGCTTTGTACTTCGGGCCAACACAGTACACCACATGAACTGCGTCTTGAGAGAGCTTCAAGCCCGATATCTGATCTGAGGCAGCCATTTCTTCCGGCGAGAGTTTCTCCTGCTCCGGGAATTTAGACACTGGCGCGGCCATTCTGCGAGACAAACAATACTGGTCTGGGTAATACGTAATTTCAGTGGGTACTACAGATGGAGCTCACCGACCCTGTGCTGTGCTGAGGTTGTTACCGTCGGCGAGTCATGTTACACAGAGTTCGGCTTCGATCGATCGGGATCGATAGAGATAATTAAAGCTGTTTGAAGCCGCAAGTATTGCTCTACTATCGATGACCCGGATGTGCCATAATATGGCACTTCTGGTCCCGCAGCACGACATCTTGCTCAATTGTCTGCGGCATCTCAGATAATGTTTCTGTAGTATACAGAGTACCATACACCATTTTTTCGGATTTTTTTTAGTTGTATTGGACACCTTGGAGAGATGCCGAGGTGTGGCACCAGCCAAATACAGTCTTCCAATCCCGAATTTCTTGGGATCCAAGTGAGCCATCTTTGCTTCCCAAACTTTTACAGTATTAAATTAGAGTATGTATGACTCTCTGTCTATAATTTCGAGGGAATCGGACAGGAGGATCAAACCACAGAAGAAATTATGGCACTTCTGGGTCATATGGCATATCCGGGTCACTGATAGTAGTAGTGAACGTTGAGCATTATGGCGTACCGCTTGTACCTTTATTGTTATCAGCAAAGCGTACCAGCACAGCATAGCATATAGTCAGCATATCTTAGAAACAACCTATCCTAAATTGAATAATTATACTTACATAATACAAGAGGCTCAGATTTAATGTGTTTGCACTTGTTAGGATCCAAAGCCATCGACTTCTTCCTTTTCCGGATGTTCAAACCTTCATGTCGGCCACACCGTTCCCTCACGCCTAGCGGCACTCACGCGTCTACGATGCGCAATATTTCAGACATCATACAACCCACCCTCAGCTCTAACTGGTGCAAAATATCTCCATGCAAGCCTGTGCACACAATATGATCGGACGTGGAAGCGCTCGCAGTTTTAACGTGCAGGTGCATGTTCGCTCCCAGAGTCTCGTTGCTGTACCCTCCCGAGTCCACTGACTATCTCCATGTCCAAAGCCGTGCTTGCCCTTGTCCTAGACCCCTTGCTGTGCTTGCTGCACCAGGTGCATCAGCAAAACCCAACTTTTACTTAAAAGGGTACTTAAATGACTTAAATGGACTTACAATCCTTATTTAAGGGTATAAGGTCAAAAAGGAGCCTAATGCATATTACATGAGTGTCTGAAATCAGACTTATTGACACTTATTTGAAGACTTATTACCTTAAATAAGGGTTGTAAGACCGAAAAGTCAAAATAGCTCTGTAAGAAAAAGTTGGGTTTTGCTGATGTGTGGAAATATATTTCTTGTCCACTCTATCGGATCTGCACTAGGGTCGAAAAATCCAGATATTAGTTCAGACTCGGCGTGAACGTGCTCTGCATGATGAGGTCCGAGCATGCACGGCACATCACCGTATGTTATATTTATCTTTCAATTTCTCGTGCACATAATGATGCTTGACATCAAAATGTTTATGGCATCCAAGACAACAGCAGAATAGAGAAATTGAATCTCGCAGACGTTCACTGACACCAACGAAATCTGAACACGTGGTGAGCTGGGCCACATGATCGTGTAGCAGCTAGCCATGCAAGCTTCAGCTTCCTGCCAGGGTCTCAAGCTCGAGCTCCGAGTCAAGCTTCACTTGTTTATACGTCACTCAGCCCCAGTTCTCTCACAGTGCCCACTTTTTTAAACTTAAAGGGCAAAAGTTTTCATTCAACCCTTCATCATGTCCTGCCAGTGGACATCTGAGCTTAACTGTAGAACTGGCTGGGTGACTTCATCAGGAAAACCAAACTTTTCCTTAAAAGGGCACTTAAATGACTTAAATGGACTTATGATCCTTATTTAAGGGAATAAGGACAAAAAGGGCCTAAGCCATATTCCCTGAGTGTCTGAAATTTGACTTATTGACACTTATTTAAATACTTATGACCTGAAATAAGGGTTGTCAGACCTAAAAGTCTAAATAAGTCCCTAAGAAAAAGTTGGGTTTTCCTGATGGCCTTGGATGGTACGTGCCTGTCATCCGGCTGAAAGCATCTGTATGAATGGTTCTTCTGCTGTTATTTCTACATGATGAAATGTGTACATGCTCTATGAAGCATACTACTACTAGCACAGCATGTACAATAGCGCGCTCCAGTCCTTTCAAGTGTCTCAGTGTCTAGATCATCACTCTAGTGCCCCTTGCTTGTCCTGGCGTCCTTGTAATTCATCACAAACCAGCTAACACTCTCCTCTAATGCTGTGTGAAGCAAGCCACGGTCAGCTTTATTAACGAGGCTAGCGGGAGCAGTCTATGAACCTTCCTTGAACGGCGTGAACTTGAACTCGCCAATGAGTGACAGCAGCTTCTTGTTTGATGCAGGCTTGCAGAACTGGCCGTCAGTGTGGCTGGTATTGAAGGTGTACTCGTCCTTGAACTCCATCGCTTTCACGATCACGTCCACGACTGCTTGATGCTTATCTCCTCATGTTCCTCCGCCGCATGCCACACATCAGGCCAGCCATGGCACAGAAATTTAATATGTGATACGGAAGAGATGTAGATGAATGTGTACTAGAGAGGATGAGTGGCTTGACATCTTTGTATTCCTGCAGCTGCCAGATGAAGAGCTTCGCGAGATCGTGAGAGTAGATGAACTGTCGCAGGGGCTTCCCGGTGTCCTCCACAATGAATGGCGTGCCGTTCTCTGCGGACAGAGTCAGTGGCGTAAAAACGAGATAGGGCAGAGAGCATACTCTTCACGAGGTAGCACTTGTGGATGAGCCCTGGGATGACATGTGCGCTCTCGAGATCACTGAGGCACACATTCAGGTCAGAAAAAAAAATAGGAGATGCGGATGACTGACTAGTTATCGTGTGGGCCAAAGATGTTCATCGGGATAGCGGATGTGATGTTGCATCCGTACTGGTCCTTGTACATGCTGCACAATCCAGGAATTAAGACGATGGACTGGACCTGGTGACTTGGACGTGGCACTCACTGTCCACCAGCCTCTTTGCCTGCATGTAGCTGAAGTTGCTCTCATGTGGGAGGCCGAGGTGGATCTTCGTCTCATTCAGTGGGTATCAAACTTTGTCTGGGAAGACACAGGTCAAGAGACAGGAGATGTCCTTCTTGATGCCAAAGAGGTACAAGGTGTACAAGACATTGTTGTTGATCAAGACATTGTCTCTGAGGAAAGTGAGCTGCGGGTCCGTATAAGCCATTAATCTGTGAGAAGGTGGGAGTACAACTGACTTGTAACTTCATGTCGATGAAGACACACCCAACTACGTGGCATGCAAGCTTCAGCTTCCTGCCAGCAATCCTCATCCCCTGCTCTTCAATCCTCATCCTCAGCTCTTCGACCACCCTGAGGGTTGCTTAGAGACTGTACTGGGTTGAGTAATGGTGAGCCACACCATTACTCAACCCAGTACAGTCTCTTCCGAAGAAATTGTTACTGGTATGCCAGCATAGTCTACACGCTTCTCATGAGGACCCAGAATCCTGCCCCAACCCTACCCGGCAAGGCTAGTGGTAGCACACAGACTCAGATGGCTCCCCAGCCTGATCCCCAGCCAACTCATCATTATCCACCTGACTCCCAGCCAGCTCATCAGCATGAGAACTGGGGCAATTCAGGGTGTTAGGGAATCTTCTCAATCATACCTGCTGAGAAGGCTCGGGAACGTGCAGAGAAGGTTTGCATCTTGTTTGAAGAGGAGAAGGCCCATATTTTGAATGCACGTACAAAGTTGGGAGCAACCCTCGGGATGGTCAAAGAGCTGAGGATGAGGATTGAAGAGCAGGAGATGAGAATTGCTGGCAGGAAGCTGAAGCTTGCATGGCTAGCCACTACACGATCATGTGACCCAGCTCACCACGCGTCTTCGGTTCGGTTTCGAACAATGAAGACTCTTTCTTTGTTCGTCTAGCTCGTACCGCCATGTCTCATAATCCTAAAACACCTTCGAATTCGAGATATCGCTCTCGATCAGAGGCGAAGATGCCACTCACACCCTCCCTCACTGCTGGTCTGAATTCACTCAGTCTCGCCCCGTCGTCGACGAAATCGAGATCAGACTTGTCTATGGCAAATCCTTTCTTGTTGAGTCGCCCAGGATCTCCTACTATGCGGGGAACATCTGGAAGTACTAGTGCTAGCACGAGCAAGGGCAAGAGCAAGAGCAGGCCCGCGTCGCCCATCAAGCGACAAACGAGTGGCGCCCTCCAAGTTTCAGAGAGCCTGCATCGCCAGGCGAGCACTGGAGTCTTGAGGAAGGGCGGTGTAGAGAGCAAACTGGACGTGATCACGCACGACTACGTGCCGCCCAAGTCGGAGAAGAGGTCAAAATCTCAGCCTTCGGTGCGTTCTCACTCGTCGAGCCATGCCATTGTGGAATTAAGCGACAACGTCCAGAGGGACACCCGTGATAGGTTCATTACTGTGCGCGACCCTACAGATGAGGTAGCGGCGACACTCGACTTGATGTCGCTGAACCCGCAATCTGCGTCGCCTGGGCACACGGCACGCCTCGCGGCTGCCACTGGTGTGCCACTGAACCGACGTGTTCTTTCTTACCATGAGCCCCCACCAGCATCGTCCTCGGACCCTCTCCTTGCACAGGCGCGCGAGTTTGCCAGGCCGCTTTACGCACGGCCGGGTGCTCTGCCGAACTCTACATCCTCAACCACCAGCAAGGGCAGGAAGATTGCGACTCAGCCAGAGCGCGTGCTAGACGCGCCCGGCATGGTGGACGATTTCTACCTCAATCTAGTCGCGTGGAGCTCGCTGAACATACTTGCTGTCGCGCTTGCAGAAAATACATACATCTGGCGCGCAGATTCGGGCGAGGTCGTGCACTTGGGCGAGGCCCCAGAGGCGACGTACGTCGCTGCGGTCGACTTTTCGAACGATGGACAGTTTCTGGGTGTCGGACTTGGCTCGGGCGCAGTCGAGCTCTGGGACGTGGAAACGCAGACGAAGTTGCGCACGATGGCAGGGCATGCGAGCCAAGTTGCGTGCCTGTCGTGGTACGAGCACCTGCTGACCTCCGGGTGTGGAGACGGCAGCATTTGGCATCATGATGTGCGTGTTGCACGGCACAAAGTCGGAGAGCTCATGGGACACCAGGGCGAGGTGTGTGGGTTGAAGTGGCGGAGCGATGGCGAGCTCCTCGCCAGTGGTGGAAATGATAACGTAGTGAACGTCTGGGACGGGCGTGTCGGAGACGTCTCGCCGGGAACTCGATCCGCTGCTCGCTGGACGAAGCGAAACCATACTGCTGCTGTCAAGGTATGTGACTTGTGCTGGAGCTATAGGTGCGTCTGACAGCCGACTCTCGCAGGCAGTTGCATGGTGCCCGTGGCAGCCGTCCCTACTGGCGTCAGGCGGTGGTACGTCCGACGCGACGGTGCATATATGGAACACCACCACCGGTGCGCGCCTGCATTCGCTGGTCACGCCGTCGCAGGTCACGTCGATCCAATGGTCTCCGCACAAGAAGGAATTCCTCACAACGCACGGCTACCCGACAAACGCGCTCATGGTGCATTCCTATCCTTCGATGGAACGCGTCGTCGAGATCCGTGACGCGCACGACTCGCGCGTGCTCTGGAGCGCGCTGGGCCCTGCTGGTGACATGGTGTGCACGGGGGCGGGAGATGAAAATCTGAAGTTCTGGCGCATCTGGGATGTGCCTAGGGTCAAGAAGGGCAAAGAGGCGAAGGACACTGGCAGAACCAGCAGCACTAGGAGTGGGATTTTGAGCATCCGGTAGATGTACTGGAATGCGATTTGGAACATCTTTTGACCGAATGTAATGTCGACAGGATCTTTGATGAAATGGAACGACTGACGACTGACCTGTGTGCGCTCCACGGACAAGTAGTACCGATGTATTGCAAGTCGAATGATCATGGGGGCAAATGGATTGATACTTGCATGAGATCGCTCTGCGACCGGTCCACCGTATTCTTGACAATCCCAAACCAGTCTGGAGACTAATTGTACTGAGATGGACCTAGACTCAAAATACGTGCAGGGAAGTGTGAGAACAGAGGCAGAAAGAGGATCAATCTTGTCTCGCACAAAGTACAACAAGCGGGTAAACCACCAACGAAATTTCTCGGCTACAGCTCGACTTCCCGAACACCATCCTTGTCTACCACCTTCACCTTGTATCTCCCTGGCGCCACAATCAGCCGCTTCGCGACCTCGTCGATGCACCTCCGCAAGACAGCGAGACCTTCCTCCAGCGTTGCTTCCGGATTATGATAACTACGATGGATCAGACACCCGACAACAGTGCGAAACGCGCATCGCACACTCACCGATCGAGTAAACTGAGTGCAAAGTAGCTGCCGTAGCCGTGCGCGGCAAACGGGACACTTGCTTGCGTGCCGAGGTAGTCGACCCAGTATAGATGAGGGCTGTGTGTGCTCGTGTCGTACCCGCCGAGAAGGAGGTTGACTGCATACGGTCGGCGTGACCGAGCAGAATCTGCGAGAGCACGGCGTATCCAGGACGCGGCTGAGGGCGGGCGCAGTGCATAGTCGTTGCGGATCTGGTATAGACGGATGTTTCTCTCCACGTATTCGGCGAACTGCACGGTGTCACCTGCATTACATTGGCGTGTCGAGGTCAAATTTTCTAGAAGATATACGCATTTGCGTACCTGGTTCTCCAGAGTAAGCCATGAGAAGGTTGGGACCTAGGACCTTTATTTTGTCCTCGTCCGACTTCATCTTGATGATGGAGCGTGCGGCGGTCATGTCAGCGGCAACTATAACATAGCCCTTGCCCGTCAAAGCAAATGAAATATCCATGATGGGCTCGTCGTCGTGGTCGTCGGAAGAGTTGGCGGAGGAGAGATGCGGACTATACTTGCAAGCAGTACGCGTGTGCTCGACGCGTCACCGTCACGGTCATGCCAGATCGGCATATTCCGAGACTCCGATCTAAGTCTGTTTACAGCGTGTTGCATAATTGCGAAACCCTGTAGCTCGTTGCAACCGTACCGACCGACCACCATCATCGAGACGAGTTCACACTTCTGGCATCTCTGTCAAGAATTTCAACCCGGGAGATTGAAGACCTTTGGAACGACTGCACGCACTACACTCAATCGAGGTTACTTGCGTGCAGTCTCTAAGTCTCAGAAAGCTTTCCTGTCGGAGCGATCCTCTTGTGTTATACCAGCAAACGGAACCGGAATCGCACTGGTTCATGAGTTGATACAAACCTCTTTCGTCAAATTTCCATTTCGCAATATCCTCTAGAGGACAGTCAAAGTGCGTATGTCATCAAAAACGGCCTGAAATACCTAATAATCCACCTAATAATCCACCATTCAAGTCATGACGACCCGTAGTCTGTTGCACAGACACCATCCGCGCGTGTAAAGCGGTGAATTCACAGTCACCGCTCAGCACGCATGCGTGGTCTCAGAAGCTATACCTGCCTTCCAGGCTTCTACCGATGTTTGCATTTCAGCGAATTGACTTGCATATTAGATATTTGCTACAACATCCTTGAAACAACCACTGGTCGGACAGCCGTCTAGTTGCACACCTTACGTACCCCTCCCCGTAGATAGGTTGATATCGGGGCCTCAAAACATTATTCAGACATCCTCGGTGACAGTCGATGATCCGATAGAGATTTCATGCTGCACCATTTTGCATATTTGAACCAACCGGATGCCATCTGCATTCATAAGAACTGCAAATAAACTGGCGCGCTATTTGTCTCGTGCAGATATCGCAAAGGTCCGTCAGTCAATGAAATCCGTCGTTATGTAGACGCAGGCAGGACCCCCGACAATTGCTGAATAGGCCTGATCTGGAGAGGGCAAAAATGTCCGTTGGGAAAAGGCCGTTTCGGGCCCAAAATGTCCGTGAAAAATTAAGCCTCACCACATTTTTTGCCTCCGCGGTCCACGTTTCTCTTCAGGTTTTAACCCTAAAAAGGTAGTTTTGGGCGCTTCTGAGCCGGCGGCTATGCCGCCTCCTCCTCGGCCCTGCCCGCTCTCCCTCGCCGGCCTTCCACAAGCGTTTGTCCGGCCTCGAATCAGGCCGCTGCCTCCCCGATGTCCGCGAAATGGCTCAGGCTATCCGGCGGTCAACCCCCCTGATTTGTCCGTGAATACCAGGCATGAGGCTCTCGAAAGTTCAAAATTTGTCCGTAACTGGTTCAGGGACCTTCCCCAATTGTCGGGGGTCCTACGCAGGCCTGGCGCCGATCACATCGCTTTGGATAAATTCCCATATATGGGAGTCGAGTATGTACGATACACTGAGCTACGACACTCGAACTCTCTTGCATTACTTTGAGCAGCGTCGTGTGCGCTTTTTTGTTTGATTGCTCTTCGTCCAACCTATTGCCTCAGAGTTCCCAGTTCGAACAGACGGATCGACCTGGTCCCTGCGGACAGCGGTGCCTCCTGACTAGTATGAATACAATGTCGATGGCAGGTGAGACAGCGGATGCAAGTTACTAGGGGCAAACTCCTGGCGGCTAGGCCGTAAAATCGTGTGGTACTTAAAGGTAGAGCGGATGGGAATGCCTTTCTTGCGCCTCTTAACACCGTCCATTACTCCCGTCGTCCGCAAGGCAAGCTCATCCTCCAATTGAATAGTGGTGGAGATACAATACTGATTGAAGCTATCTTTAGCCGATCAAACAGCACGACAGTAGATCCATGGCGAACACCAATCCGAGAAATTGGACAACGGCGAACCGTGAGCCGGCAGTTTAACCCTTTTCCTCAGGAGAGTATTAGGACGTAGCACTAACTTGGGTCCTTTTACAGAGCCTATGACCCAGAAGCAAGCTGCCTGCATCGCCAGATTGGCGTTTTACCAACACATCAATATGAACATAGCGCATTTGCGACACAGGATCTCCAAGGCAGATGCGAGCGAGCTAATAACGATGATAAATGCTGGTCGGGTGCCGTCTCAGCAGCATCTGCTTGCGCTTGGACAGCAACAAGTCAGTCACCATGTGCTTGCAATATGGAGGAGACACTGATTCCGTGTGAATAGATTATTCACCCGCAAGATCCATTCACTCTGGGGCATGCGAACAATCTCGCTACCCACGGTCAGAGAACGTACTTGACCGAGTTGTTGACAGAGCGTGGCATGGTTGTCCACATCAGAGATGATCTGACAGTCGCAGAGGCTTCGGTTGTCATCGCAGCGTTGAGGAAGTTTTTTTGAAGAGGCCCCGCGGTCCACCACTGTAAACAGTCCTGTTGGGATCACGAATAGGCCTGCGAGCCCGTCTTGGATGTCTCTACTCACTGTCTTGATCCCGCTCTGTCTCGCGCACGATGCCTTCGCCATACACCGCGCTATCGGCGGTCTTGATCCCGCAATAAAGCTCGCCGCCGACCAATGTTTCTCGAATCAGACTGAGGACTTCCCCGTAGACGTGCTCGGATACGGCGCAGGAAAATGTCCCATCCTCATCAACTGCGTGTTCGACAACCTCAGCGCGGCGAATCAGGCAGGCCTCAGTGCAGGTGCAAGTATCGCAGCGCTGCTGCCTACTATCTTGGCGTTGGCCGGTGAGTATCTTGCGAAGGAAACTTGTAGTATGCACTGTGAGTCTTGACGAGGTATTTGCCATGTTGCGTACAGGTGCAGGACCGGTCGATCTCATCCGACTATCATTCACTTCACCTTTGCGAGCGGTTGCAACCTGCTTGTTCGGCGTAGGGCTTCCCTCAGGTCTCTTCCGCCAACTGCGTCCCTCCTCCATGGAAGTTTCCCACTCGGTCTCCCGCGTCGACGAACGCACGCAATTATGGATAATCCTCACCCCAATCCCAACATCCGCCTTGTTCGTTGCTAAGCGCATTGGTGTGGATCTCACTATTGTGGCGCTCGCCGGTGTCATGCTCTGGCGGTGAGTTGCGATTGCCCCACTTGGCTGAGAGGACTGCTGGCTCACATGTTATATACGTCATACGGTGCTCATCCGTAATAGGAATACTCTCGTCTCGTCAGTGACAATAGTAACCTTTCGCTGCGAATATTCGTGGCTCTTGCTCTGCTGGCCCATGGCGTGTGTCCTCTGGCTTATCCTCGGTGTTGTCAGCCTGCGCGTTCTCGCGAAAGATGTCTCTATCGAGGCAGATGGTCGTCCGACGAATTGGCTATCGGTCCTGTGTATGCCATACGTCTGTGAACCGCCAGCTCCACCGGTCGCTGAGACGCGCGATGTCGAAGAGACGGATGTCTTAGCTCCGGCTGGTGGGCCGACGAAGGAGGACGGAGAGTGGGTGGTGGACACGGAAGGGCAATTGGTATACGGGCTGCATTCCGCAGAAGCATTGCCAGTCCAGGAGATGCAGACGCCAAACTCGACAGCCGGCCTGCTTTCGCCAAAACCGCACCCCTCTAGGCCCGCTTCCTCAGGCACTTGGCGCTCTGCCGCGCGCAGAGGAATTCACTCCGGAGACAGGCACCGCAGCAGGTTGGCGGCCGCGCGGTTGTGCAGAATCACGGTGCGCATCACGATGCGGCATGCTACTCTCTGGGGTTGGTACGAAGCGGGGCTGGAGGTGGTAGTCGTTGGCATCTACCTGTACGCCACGTTCGTGCTTGGCAGTATTCTCTTCCTGACGGGGCAAACGAGTATCGAGTACACTGTGCTACTGGTGCTGAGCTTGAGCGCCATCAGGATCGCGGAAGCAGTTGCCTTATAGCAGAAGGTTCGAAATCAAGGCTTGTCATTCTCATCGTTTGCATCCTCATCGATGACTAGTCGTTGGTGAGTTTCCGTTTCGCAACTGTGAACTCCGGTTGCATTCTTGGAATCAGGCTGCTTCGTTCCCCGCATCTATGCGGCCGCAGCACTGATCGTTGGAAGAAATCAGCTACGACAACCACTTATCCAAGCAGTTTAGATTCCCATTCGTCGGGCGTGGACCGAGAAGTCGACGAGGAGCTCATCTTCTGTGGCGTCCACGCTAAGTGGACCTCGCATCGACTCGAGCGGAACGGCTCATGAGTCGTGAACTAAGAAGCTTGAAGGCAAACAGGTTGACAACAACTGAACATACTAGTTCCAATCCGAGTACGACAATTATGCACTTATCCGGTTCTGATACGGAAGAAAGGCTCAAGCAGTGCTCCGACTCGGTCGAGCTCATGGACTGGAGTCCTTGCCATCCATCCGCATTCCATGATCAGCGGGATCGATGTATGCGCCCGAAGACGGGCTTCCATGAGCCACTCTACCGCTGCCGCGCAATGCAGAACATCGTACGTCGTGTGAGGACTCACCGGAGTAAGCATCCAATGGCTGAACCAACTCCTGTTCGATTCCGTGATCAACACGGTAATGAGATTCAAACGTTCCAGGATCACGGAAAATCGCGATGAATTACCGATGCATATACCACGCAAACACCAGCCAACAGCCCATAGTGAAGTGAGGATCGAGAGGATCATCCACGAGCCTCTACCTCAAGTTCCATTATCACACGCGTGCACTTCCAGAAGGCAAGGTACAACACACCTTCGCGGGAATTAATAACCTCATAACACACTTCTGAGAGATAGAACAGCTGTTCGCCTCCAAAATACAGCAAGCAGTCAGTGTCCATGGGAGGAGCCCAAGATCATTGTCGTCGGGAAGAAAGAAGTGCTACTGTATCGCGTAGATATGGTGATCGGGGTTATCGCTAGTCATGCATCATGCTCTGGTCATGCATCGCAATTATTGCAGACGCTCACTATAAAGCACGAGTCATGACCATCGTCACTGGAAACGGTGCGGACAACCGTGAACGTGCCGTCCACGACTTGGACAGGTGCACCAGAACACTAGGCGAGACCGCAGCGTCAACCCGCAGATGATCAAATTTCCCCGCACAGGCCGTATTTTTACCCCGACTTTCACTGCAGTTCGCCACAGGTCCATCATGCGCCCCCTCACCCCCGCCGACCTCAACCCTGCCATCCTCAACGTCCAGTACGCTGTCCGTGGCGAGCTCGCGATCAAGGCCGACGAGATTCGCGAAAAGCTCGAGAGCAGCGATGACCATGGCCTGCCGTTTAGCAAGGTCATATCCTCGAACATCGGTAATCCACAGCAGAAGGGGCTTGATCAGCCCCCTCTGACCTTCCCTAGGCAGGTGAGTGACCCTCGTCGAAATCCCAGCGAAATTCGAAGTTGTAATTTTTCAATGAATCGACCCGGGGAATGCCCAGGCATGGAATATCTACGCTTGACTTAAGCAATACTTGAGTCGATGATGATGACGAAACGCGCTCAGAATTGCATTGCAGGGTTTCGAAATTTTTGATGAGATTTTCTGACTACCGTTTTCCAGGTAGCGGCTCTGATGGAGTACCCCCCGCTCATGGAGTTGGTGAAGGACAAGTGGACACCCGATGTCATTGCCCGCGCCCAGGAATTACACGACGCGAGCGGCTCCATTGGTGCTTACTCTCATAGCAAGGGTGTGCCACTCATTCGCAAGCATGTCACACAGTTCATCTCAGGTAAATTCCTCATTATCCCCTCTACTCAGGGAATACTTTCTGACGCGCCGCAGAGCGCGACGGCTTCCCCAGCGACCCCGAGGACATTTTCCTCACCACCGGCGCGTCCTCAGGGGTGTCCCTCATTCTGAACACGCTCATCACTCCACCCAATACCGGGATCCTCATCCCAATTCCCCAGTACCCACTCTATACCGCAGTCCTCGCACAGTTCAGCGGCGTGCCCATCCCGTATCATCTTTCCGAGCCCGACGGTTGGTCCACGACGCTGCACGAGATCGAAGGCGCTCTCGTCAAGGCTGTGAAGGACGGCATCAAGCCCAAAGCGCTCGTGATCATCAACCCGGGTAACCCTACCGGCGCGCTGCTCGACAGACACACAATGGAGGCCCTCGTACATATCTGTGAAGATAACAACCTTGTGCTACTCGCAGACGAGGTGTACCAGGCGAACCTGCACCGGCCGGACGAGCACCCATTCCACTCGTTCAAGCAGGTTGTGCGCCGAATGGGCTCGCCCGTACCCCTTTTCTCCTTCCACTCCATTTCCAAGGGCGTCTCTGGCGAGTGTGGGCGCCGTGGCGGGTACTTCGAGTGCTGCAACATCTCGCATGAAGTGCGCGCGCTGTTGTACAAGATGGTCAGCGTCAGCCTCTGCCCGCCACTCGCAGGTCAGGTCGGCGTCGACTGCATGGTGCGTCCGCCCAAGCCCGGCGAGCCGTCGTACGCGCTGTGGAAAAAGGAGACGGACACGATCCACGCAGCGCTTCGCCACCGCACGCAGCTGATGGCCGGGCGCCTGAACAAGCTCCCGGGTGTCTCCTGCGTCAACTCTCCTGGCGCACTGTACCTCTTCCCCCGTCTCGAGCTGCCGCCCACTGCCATCGCCGCCGCGGAGAAGGTGGGTAAGACCGCGGATACGCTCTATGCGCTGGAGTTGCTGGAAGAGACCGGTATTTGCGTCGTGCCCGGGTCTGGGTTCGGGCAGAAGGAGGGCGAGCACCATTATCGTGTGACTTGCCTGTGCCCGGGTGTGGAGGAGTATGTCGGCGCGCTGGAGAACTTCCACATGAAGTTCCTCAAAAAGTACAACGCATTGCCTGTGAAAGATTAGTCGTTTGGCGTGCGTCTGCATCGCTCTCTTAGGTATTGTGTGTGGGACTTTGAATACTGGTACGACTGCGTCTGTAGGGTTAACATACCATTGTCACATATTCAATCAAAACAGTACTATTCGAAGTTCACGAGTACGACGATTCGAATTTGACTTATCAAGTTTTCAAAGCACTGCACGAACGGATATGAATGACACTCCCTGGGTACTACGTAGCGCCTCGCGGTACAACTACTATGAGAGATTTACGCTAGGGAATGAATGGTCGGAACTACGAGTCCAACGTCCGAGGATGCAAAGCAACGATAAGAGCCCCGTTGATCACGCCCTCGCCCTTCTTCTGAATCCATCGCCCGAACCGCATCTCCTGCCCGATCCCGGCGATCATCAAAACGGTGTCCGCCTTCACGCGCCGGTTCCCGTTGACGGTGTCCGAGGACGTGTTTTCGTCTGGAAGTGTGGTGACACGGGATGCCCATTCCATGCGGTCAAGCGTGTCTTTTGGCGGTGTGACGAATTGAAGGGAGTTGATAACACCGGGTGCAGCAATGGTTCCGACGAGGGCGAAAGACCTGAGATTGGAGTCGAGCTTCCAAAGGCATATCTGGCCATCCCAGGAACCTACCGGATGAGAGCCGTCAACATCATATCCGTGTTAGGGATGCAGGGAAGGGGCTCACCCGAAGCAAACAGGTCCGAATATCGAAGACTGCCCAGCGCAGTCACCCAGCGCGGTTTACGGACGATGTCCACATCTTCTGTGTCCACCTGTGATTTGTCTAGCCCATGTGCCAAGCCCTGAGTAAATACAGGCTTCTTCTTTTGTGTCATCCATAAACTGATGGACCTGCATGAGGCGCAGCGGTGTTGGAGCGATCATGAGATAATGATGATGAGAACAGACAGAAGGCTGACCCGCTATCCCCGCCACTAACGAAAGTGTTTTCGTCGACCATCGCCACACACTCTATGCTTCCTTCGACGAACTTCTCCTGCGTCTTCCCGTGGGCTTGATTCGCCTTCTTCCCCCCTACAACCGCGGCTCCATCCTCGTCCTCATCGATGTCCATCCCGTCTAGGTCGTCAACCCATTTGCTGCCTCCACCTCCTCGGAATACCAATTGCGTCTCTTCTGGGATTTTCCAAAAACGCACGGTTTTATCTCTGCCGCCGACACTTACAGCTGTCTCTCCGCGTAAAGCATCCAGTGATAGTACTGGGGCTTGATGTCCAAACAACGTCTCCACATAACCCATGGACGAGAGATCGAACATCTTGAGCGTGCGGTCAAACGACCCGGAGTAAAGCTGTGTTGAGGATGATGCGGACGTCCTTGATGTTTTCCGGAAACCCAACGCCTACAGAGAAAGCATGCCCGTTATGGACGCCGGTTGAGCTCGCCTGAGCCGAAGCACACTCACCGAAATTGAGTCTCTGTGACCTCCAAAGCCCTTCACCCACTCGTTCTTCTCGACGTCCCACACACCTACGCGGCGGTCCTTGCCCCCACTCGCAAGATATCTCCCGTCCTCACTCATCGCCAGAGCCCAAACCTCGTCAGTATGGCCTTGAATCTCCGCAACTGCCTTTCCTTTTTCCTTCTCCTTCACTGGGCGGACCTTGTAGAATGTATATGACTTCCGGCCGGTGTACATGTCCCATTTCACAATAGAACCGTCTTTGCTACCGGTAAACAGCCAACGAGCATCCGTTGAACCAACTGCAGCAGTAGTGGGTAGCCGGTGTCCCCGCAAACGAAGCTTTGGAGCATGCGTAAAATCGTACTGAACTTCACATGAGCTTCGTCTACCTTCAAATTGGTGGAGACCATCGCACCGATTCCGCGACAAATAGATGCACTTTGCCTGCATGCTCCAACGCATCCTTCTGTAGGCGGGCGGATATTAACTCTCTGTCAATCTCCGCAGCGTCGAATTCTCCCTCCGCTAGATTTTCGTGAAGTCAATCCGCATGGTGCAGCTTGGAAGCACAAGGAAAACACACCTGTCGCAAGACCCTGTTTCACGCTCTCCAGGTACAGTTTCGCCAGTCTCAACCTCTTCTCCGCTGGGGTCTCGTCCTCATCCTCCTCTCCACTCTCGTAGGCGTCTGGAAGCACGTCCGGTGCCCGCAGGTCCATTTCGTCGATGCCCTCCCCTTCGCCTTCGTCTGTTTCGTCCGACAGCTCCTCATCTCGCCTCTTCCGTGAGTTGGGCGTCCCACCGCTAGCTCTCCCTCTGCCTTTTGTTGCTGACTTGCCATTCACGCCTTTAGCGAACTTCTTGGATGTGGATGGCCCGCTTTCCTGCGTCACCGACCTTTTCCGTTTGCGAGGTTTAGACGTGACAAAAAATGAATCTGGCATTCTGCGAAGCGTGGAGATTATAGGATAGACTTTGTTGTCAGATAGTCATGGAAATCAGAGGTGGGCACGATGAGCAAGATCCAGATTGCACCGAGAGTACTACACTAGGCAGCAGTCTTCGCGAGACGCGATGGAAAATCTATGCAAATCACGTGCTACGAACTTTGCACGTTTTTGGAACATTTCAGAGACGGTTCGATATAATAATCTATAGATCTACTCAGATTTCGTTGGTGTCGGCGAACGTCTGCGAGATTCAATTTCTCCGTTCCGCTGTCGTCTCGGATGCCACAGAGACGAGAAGCCTGCATTGAGGCTGCTGATGCTTCTAAGCAGTAACTTATATTAGCAGGTTCTGATACGGAGCTTCAGTCCACGGGTAAGCTCCCATTGTTCCGAGTCCACATCGGAATGCATCTCCTCCACTTCGTGATGATCTGCCAGATATGGAGGAGCTGTGCAGCAGTCACTCGTCCTCGAGGACCCAGCTGCAGGTCAGGCCTGATCTGGGAGAAGTCGGCGCAGCGGGATTTCCGCCACTCGAGCATTTCACCGCTAATTTCGTCGTCACAGATTGTCACAGTAACGTGTCCCCTGTTTGCATCTGTTGTGGCTGTGGCGGTATATAGGTGGAGGGGGTAAAAGCCCGCCAACCTTTCATCCTTTTCGACCTCATGGTGATACTCATTGAGCAACATTTACCTTTCGCAGTGTTGCCCGTGTCCCAATAACGCACGCTCGAGCGTCGCGGGCGCACCGGGTGTTCTCACTCGCGTCTGGGGCGTTGTCACCTTCGAAATCTATTGCAACCGAATATCCTATCATCAGCAACACCAATCTCGAAGTTTCCAATATTAATCATGGTGCGTCTTGCACATACATTGTGTTTGCCCCTTTGAGACCAACCCCTGTGCATTTCTTTTGAACTCCAGGTTTTTGTAGGCGATAAGAAATACGCATGGTACGTGACGCGTCATCTTCTGCCTCGTTTCCACGCACTGAGAATAGTACTTCTCAAGTGAAACATGCATAAAAGGTCACCGGTCGTCATCATGCAAACACACCGATCGACCTCTCTACGAAATCAAGAAGAAGGGCCGCCCCGTTACCCAATGCGAACATTGCCGCGAGCTCCGGAAGACCAAGCAAGTGCACGTCAAGTGCATGTGTGGATCGAAGGAGAGGGAGGACGGAGAGGGGGCATCAGCGTCTAGTAAGAAAGGTGACTTCCCGGTACACCGCGCGCGGCCCCCAACTGCGTGCTGACTTTAAAGGCCTTTTTTTCGCTTGCTGTTCTAGGGAGTGTCAAGGTTCCGGCTAACGCCACATTTCCCAGTGGCTTGCCAGAAGAGCTGGAGGCGTCGGTCGCATTTCATCTTGGATCAGACGGCTCGGATTCTGACCACAGTGGTGAGCAACTTCTTCCTTCTGCAGTCTCTGAAAATGTAGCTCATCCTCGTTAGGACATGGTTCGTCAGGCCCGTGCAATTGCAAAGATGGCGCGTCGTGTGATTGTTGCACACCTCGTGTTCCCCGCGGTCAGCGTTTGATCAGAGACCGCGATCGTCGTGAAAGCCGTGGCAGTCTGGAGGGCATCAAGTCTCCGCCCACCGCTGATTCTGAGCCGCAGATCACACAGCCCGCTGGACTCGTCGTCACTGCCAACTCAGGAGAATATCGTCCAGTCCTGCCTCGTCCTGTCCCGCAGCGTCAGTCTTCGCCTCCGAAGGCTGTTGAACACGCTGGATCTGTCGCTATGAAGACGACGATGGTTCGCAATCAGAGTCATGGGCAGATGTTCTATAGCCCTTATGGCCGGGCATACGAATTCACCCGTTCAGCCGACTACGTTTCCGAGCCATCAACCTCTCAGCGAATGTTACAGCAAGAACTCTCAGGCACAAGCTCCCCTTATACCGACCAACAGCCCGCTGTCATGTCAGACTCGATGCCCTCCTGGTTTCCATCGTTTAGTGTCTCCACTCCCGGCGGAACTACCGTGCCCACGACGTTGTGTGGCTGTGGTTCGTCCTGCGCTTGTGCAGGATGCGCCATCCACCGCGGACCAAACGTCGACACCGGTGCTTCGTGCGCCAATCCGGGTGCTTGTATGGGTTGTCTCGACTGTGCCATACTCTCTATACCCGCATCTGTTCCTCCCGATTCCGTGGAGGGTCAGCAGGAAGCTTCGCAGCTTCAAGCCATCGACGACTGGATCCGCCAGGTGTCCTCCATGCTCGGGTCGGCCTCCGCCTCTAGCCAGCCCGAGCCATCCCTCCGTGTCATACCTGACGAGGGTACAGGGCGCACGAACGACGCCGGCCTGCGTTTTGATCCGAGCATGCTGCAGACCTATGCGCTCTGGAACGAGCTACAGAACGGGCAGTTGCAGGGCCAGCCTGCTCAGCGAGCGCCGGAGGAGTGCTGCAGCGGTCGCTGCAAGTGCCCCGCGGGCCTGTGCTCGTGCTCAGCGGACTGCTGCGGTTGCTGCCAGGGCTGCGACTGTGCCGAGTGCCCGCACGAGGAGAATCCCAACAGGATGCTTACGTTCGCCATATCTGGCGAGCGCTCGCCGTGCTGTGGTGGCGCTGACCAGGCGCATCTTACGCCGCGTTCCCCAGTCGCAGTTGTGCCGGGATGGAGCGGTCAGTCGCTTACCGTCCCGCGTACGTCTCTGAGTCGCGCGTCGTCTTCGTCATCGCACTCGTCAAGCCATCAGTCGTACTCGTCTACACCGGGGTCTGTCCATGATGGTGCGGCGTCGCAAAGCGAGGACGTGCATGCCCTCCGTTCGTCATTGCGGATGATGAACACAGACATGGATATGGACATGGATGTCAACATGCATGTGCCTGCGTCACAGATGAACTCTCCGTCGCCAATTCCTATACCATCTACCGATCCTGATCATCGGACTAGTTCTGGTTCTGTAGAGTACGGTGTGGGTCCTGGTATTGTACGGATGTTCTAGTTTGGATGTCCGTTTCTTGGCGCTTGATTCTACCTTCTGTGCATATCATTTCATTGTCCATTGCACTTTTTGTTGTCCTTTCTTGATCCATGTAGATAGGCGTCCGTCAGCCACGCGAGTCTGCTCATTACTGATGATCTTGCCCTTCCCCTCTGGAAGGAACTTGTATTTGTAAAGACTTGTTGAGCTCCATCGTGTCGACGTAGTGGGTGGGCGAGGTGTACGGTATGAAGCAGTAGCAGCATTATATTTGTGTACGCTAATAGCATTCACCGAGAGCCGTGCGTTCCAATTTGTCACAGGTTAAAATTTCCTGCATACTCAATCCTCGATTCTCGAGATGTCAGATAAACGTAGCAAGAACACATCGCGAAGTATACTACAAATCTCCTTACATGCCATTGCAATGCCTTCTATGAGCCGCATTGCAGTTCAAATCAGTGCTAAATCGCGAGAGCAGGGTCGGTATACATCAGAACACACTAGGTGTGATACTTTGTATCCGGTATGTAGTTATGGCCAAACATGATGCTTACAGTTATCATCGCAGAGCACCGCAGTCAACGTAGTTGTTTGTTTGGTTTGGTAAGATCGTTATCTCGGGATTTCCCTATTGCCGCAAATGCGCACGTTCTGGGTGCGTTCTGGTATTCCTCGATGATTTAGTGATCTTGCAGTCTCCACAGCCTTCGTAAATATGTGCGTGCGTCCTTTGTCTATGCCGAAATTTGACATTTCGCAAGGACTCTAGGTACTCTCGCATGCACATACGAACGTCGAAATGTCCAAGGGCATGGTGAACAGCTGTCATGCGCACTTTGAGGGCAGCGGCTCAATGACCTGGACCACGTCACATCTGCTCGCTGCTTGCGTTTACAGCGAGGTATAAATCCCAAGAAATGGAAACAACTTTATTGCAATTGCTACGTCCTAATTTGATTGGATTCCTAACTTGCGGATTGTGAAGTCATACATCAGATGCCCATGTGTTAGCACCGGGGAAAGAAGGCGCGCAAGCTTCAGTGCAATATTATGTGCAGGTAAAATTTCCTGTAGAAAAATCACACTTCTGGCTATAGATACCCTGCAGGTGAGGGAACTGGGTCTTTTCATTCCTGCGGCACTTAAATCTCCTCTCACCGAAGATGCAACGCCTCCCAGCATCGTCCTTCTGGCTACCCCCTTTTACTATTGGTATTAGCAAGCCTTTGTCGCACACGATTCATCTGCACGAGAAAACTGACAGCGGTCCGACAGACTTCACGTTCACTACTAGCACTGACTCACCCGACACGACACTAATTTTGCGCATTGCGCTCGAGCAGAGCGATCCCACATGTCCCGAGAGAGCTCATTTCGATGTCAGCACAGTCCCGCCCCGACTACGGTCTCACCAAAAAGGGGCGTGTACGATTCATCCGTACTTTGCTGGTGATCGTGTTTGGGAGCTTACATGTTATCTCGCTGCCTGAGCTAAGCAATTCGTCGCTCCAGCAGCGAAGACCGTAGCTGTGGTGAATGCTTGCTTGACCGCTCGCGACGTCACAAGTTCGAGTACTGTCGCGTCGGCAACGGACTGGTTGAGCTTTGGCGACCCAGTCAGCAAGGCGAACAGCCTATTCAGCTCCGCTTTCTCGGTCTCAGGCTTTACCCACATTACCCGCACAAATGTTGGAATGCAGTCAATTCGCACGCCTGAGTAGTCCATGCCTACTTAAGATAGCTTCTGTGTGCTCCTGCTCTATGACTTGCAGTACCTCTATAGTAGACCCACTACTCCTACCACGCAGCCGTCCAACCCCTCCTGGTTACGTGCTTTCTCTGTGATTTGCAAACGAAATAGATCTTGAGGTGCGTGGAATAATCACGGTATATCGTCTGCATCAGCAAAACGTCACATTCACCTTATTGGTCTTAGCGAGCTGAAATCAGACCTACCAGACCTCTCAGACCACTAAGTGCTTCAGATGAGTGCGTCTGAATCCATGAGGTTAGCTTCTGAAACCAGACATGTAAGTGGCAATTCAGACAATTCCAGACAAGTCAGAAAGTCTTCCAGACAAACTCAGAGGATCTTCCAGACACTTTAAGACACGAATAAGCTAGAATGGATATATTTAGAACTACAGTAAGGACAGATACTACGTCTCCAAAGTACATAGTACAGTCGGAAACTTACGCAAGAGTCCACAAACAGGGGCACGGGGTGAAGCGGCATCATCATCGTACGACTGTCGACCCACTTCTCAGTGCACTCCTTGGCTGCTGGCGACGGGTACTTGGAGGATGGGTGAGAAAGTGTGGGTGGCATGTACTGGTCGTTCTGTGCTGATTTCGTCTGGTAGAAGCAGCACCCGCGGCCACGGCATTCATCATCCTACAGGACTCGTTCTACTTCACGGTGCGTCCGCCCTCCAAGTTGTGTGCCTGCTCGAGTTAGTACCAACCACCGCATGTAAGCACCGTGCAGAGCCCTGGTCGGAATGCGTACTGCCGTCAGCAGGTGTTCGACGAAGCAGCATGCGGATACTACACTGATTCGGACAGTTGAATACTGCCCAGCTGCTAGTACTGAAAGTCAATGTCGAAGGGACAGCGTGTATCAGTAGTCAATAGGATGAGAGAAGGCTAGAACTCAGCGGTGAAGGCAACAATTCTGTACGCAAATTATTCGTATCAGGATGGCGAGTGCTCGCGGAGGAACAAACACGGTCCTCACGTACCACTGTGCCGGTGCTGCTTCTTTTGATTGCCATTCAACCGGCTTGAGGAGAAGCGAGGGAGAAGTATATTTTCGTAGCCTCACCTCTCGTGTACCCTTGGATGAATGTTTGGGCGAAGTGCGAGCATCTGCCGGCTGTGCAGGGCAGGAAATCGCATGGGCGAGAGATGACGTTGGGCCTCTCGCAGGTATAAAGGTCAGGTCAGTACATCCTGCAGAGCGAGTGCCTCTGCAATATTTCTGATGAGTGACATTTATCATTGATTGGGGGAACAGTGCGGCCGAGGGATGAGCACATCCCTCGGCCGCAGTTCCCATAACAGGCTTCGTGAAGACCTCCGGGATGAATTTCAGGCTGAACGGCGAGCCGTACACCACCATCGGGTAAACTTCCCTCGTCTTGCTGCGTGAGTGGAGGACCACCGTAGCCCCATGGAAAGTAAACATGAGCTGGGAACACAGAAGTAAACTAGCAACAATGACGGCCAAAAACTCGCCGAATGTGATACCATCCTGATCATCAAAATGAAACAGAGTTCTGTTGCTTGCCTTCATCACATTGTTTGTCAAGCCCTACTGCAGTGAAAAAAAGAAAATCAAGGCCTCCTCGAGCATCAGCAGCTACTAGTGCGTTCTCCGCATGCTCGAATCATCCTGTTCACGGCCACTGTACCACTCATTACTCACAAAATCTCCGAACTAGTGAAATCCAAAGAGGAAACTTCAGAGATAATACGGAATAGCGCGACTACTTACATTCGATCACAAACTCATGCTCCGCTTCATGAGTCCGGGGATCCTGAAGCAGGCTCAAGAACGAACTTGCAGAGCAAGGAGGAACGCGGGCCTAGGTGCTTTGTTTGGTCGTGTTTGGCCAAGTTCAACAAAATCACGTGGTTCCCTCTTACAATTTCACACATGGGATCGTTGAACTCGATGAACGTTCTTGTTTCAGTTAAATGTTCACGTTCGAACTCCTGCCTGCAATCGGAACCATCTCAAGAATGCTCACTAGAATGTGAGGCACTGTGAAATTGTTATCATATACCTGCCTTGAAGATCCCGGCTCCAGCTACCTGTGTTGCATGTACTGTATATGGCTAACTCGATACGCCCAGGAATAGGATGGAAGGTATATGTACAAAAGTGAGCATGGTGGCAGAACAGCCAATGGGCATATGTAGATGCTAGAAAAATTGCTCAGTGCTAGGTACTTAGTGACTATATGAACATTAGTCGTAGGCTCGTTAACCAGCCTCTAGTATATAGGAAGAAAGAGTCGTTCCTCTATATAGAGGCTGGATCCTCGTATGAGGGGCTTCTGAGAGGTCCCCCGTGGGAATGGCGGAGTTTGACCATGCCGACGCGGCAAAAATGCGTACAAAACTTGAGATGTGAAGGAGGCAATGTGACATACAATGCATATAAAAAATTTAGCATAGCTTCCAGGAAATGAGTGGCAAAATTTTCAGCACTTTTCGCTGGCTGAACTATTGTGCAATGCATTTATTTTCCTACTGCACAGAGGGAGCTCGGCGTTCACCCGAGCAGAAGCTCGCGTCATGATCATGTGCAAATCATGTGAGGGCAAGCTGCCGTTGCGCCGACGTCAATATTCAAACTCAACGTTTCCCACGGGGGACCTCTCAGAGGCCTCTCATACGAGGTTCGAGACTACATTAGTCGTCCTTTAGAGAAGGCCTTGTAGTAGAGACACTTGCCGTGAAGATGCTTCAGACATTTAAGTGAAATCCAGACATCTCAGACGCATCCAGTGGAATTAAGTCATTATCAGACGCTGACGTTTCCCTGATGTGCTTTGCTGATGACGGACTTTGGTAGACATTATCGCAGGCTTTCCGCAATGTCGTCCCACGTCCGTTGGTCTCGCAACGGATATTTTCACCGTTTGAACAATGACAGCCTCTCAGGCTCTTTGGACATCGTGCATTGGCCCTTTATCTTGGCTAAGTGCGCCTTCAGTGTTTCACGACATCTCGTCGTGCTCATCTTGTGTCCAATTCAATAATCTGAGCAATGCGTATGCACAGCTTGAGGCTCGAGGAGTGTCAATCGTTATCCGGTTCCGGAGATGGCCAAGTGTTTAGTGTTCCGGACTCCACAACAGTGTTGTTGCATGTATCCGCATGCAAAGAACAAAAAGAAATGGTCAAGTGAGCTGGTAGTCCGTCCTCAATGAAATCAGATTGTCAACTGCAGAGTAATCATATCACTTCCGGAGGCTCAAACCGCTCTGCTTGCGAGAACTACTTGTACGTACTGAAACAAGGAGCTTGGGTGGCATGACGAGCAAATTTTGCACCTGTAACAGAATTGCTGAAATGCTTGGCAGAAGTGACCTAGGTATTGGAGATATCTCCGAAGCGATGCGAACGACGTTTGCGATATCAGTTGAGGCCGTAAAAGTTCGGCAAACGGGACTGTAATTTACAGCCTTGAGACGTTGTCTACAGCAGGAAGATGTGCAAGATAAGGACATCAGCGGGCCTGAGCCAGTGGAAACGAGAATTCATGGAGCAAATGGAGGTGTTCCGCCGAGTCCAAGTGTTGGGCAAGGAAGGCAGCGGGCACATACATTTCCTAGGATGCGGTGTACTAGATGGATACCGAGTGCTGACCTGTATCTTCTGTACAGTGCGCCGAAGAGGAGAAAGGAGATATGCCATATCGTTACGAGGACTCTATTCTCATGTCCGGGAGTCCAGAGCGGGGCCGTACAGACTTCCTGAGAAAGCCGGGCCGTATAAGCTTCTTGAGACCACCAGTGGAAAGCTAGAGTTCACAGCCTCTTCCATATGGATGCGGAATCGTGCGAAACGAGAAGCTAAACAGTGCTGAGATCTGAGGCCGTTTGGGATTTTTTGCGATTCTGTAACAATATGAAAGGGCTGTAAACCGCATCAACTGCCAGTGAACGTCTTGCAGCGGTCCGTACTGCCTTGCAAAGGACAGGTAACAGAAAATGCGCACGTCGCTCCAGTCAATTCCCAGAGCGAGATAAACGCCCGCCTGTACATCATCATCATCCGTGACATAGATGTAAGATCGCAGTTGACAGCTGCTCCACAGCCTATCAACGTCTGCAGCTTTGGGACTCCCACAGTAAGAAATATCAGGTTGCGCAATCGCCTACTCAGTCGGTCTCCGAACACTGATAAGTAGTTCGTGGAACATCAGAGCCAGTAGACGGCGCCAATCCATAGGTCGCATGGGTAATGTCCGAGTAACGAAGCCTCTGGACAGCGTGAACCCCCCCCCCCCCCCAGGTAGTACATTTCCCACTAGCGGGGCATACCTGTGCAAAGCTAGTAATAACAGAAACCATTAATGTCTTCAAGTGCTGGCTGACCAACCTCGTTGACTCGCAATTCATGTTTCGAATACTAGATGGTATATGTACTACTTTTTGGAACTGTTGTTAGTACTTTGTGGCTCACATGCCGAAGAACTCTTGCACTCACATATCTGGTAATTCATGTTCCAACACGTCGGTGACGTTGTGGGGGCGATTTGCAAATAGCACGGTAAGATTGCGATCTCCAATTGTGAGGCTGCCAGTGGCGTAAGGTCGGTAAAAAGGTGGACCAAATTTGACCACCCGAGCTCCAGTCAAATCTGTTCAGATTACGAGGGGACACTGAATTCCCAATGAATAACGAGAACAGTACCCGTGTCTGTGACTATACACGACAAACGATTCTTCGTTATCATAATTGAGAAGCGAAGAGTTCATGACGCCCTATGTGATCCGTCGTTCGAGCCGCCGAGAGTCCTCGATTCGACGTCGGCATCACTATTTCCCCCTCTGCCATGAACACTGGGAGGGTAATTCACATTTGTGGTGCGTAGTGAGAAACATATTGCCTCTTCAGTGCGCGTGTTGAATCCTAGTACCGTACATTTACGAAAAATCTCAGAAAGTCTCAAAAATCGAGAGAAATTTCCTGGCGAGGTCTCTGAGAATCTCTGTGACGCGCCGGGTGAGTCATCCATCTTCTATCATAATCGCTCAGGCTCTACTTATAAGTTAGTCACAGTAGTACACCCTAACGCTGGCCGAGGTGCGTAGCATCGCAATACTCGTAGGCAATCCAGAATGCGCAGTGCTACATCTGTGGGGATTGGGCAATCTGGACACGGGAAGCATGATGATTGTCATGTGCCAAACTGCAAGAAACGGCTTCAGGACTTCTGGCAGCTATCTTTGACCTGAGGGCTTCAGCCATCCGTACCGTCACATGCAGGACCCGCATGCTTGTCATTCAGCCTGCACAAATAGCAGGTGAGCATTGCATATCTCTATCTCAATCTATGCTTCTGGCCCAAGGACAGCAAGCAATTGATCCGATGAACGTATGCCACAAGGCTATGAGCTTCATACAAGGGTTTCTTTGTGCAATTCCTGGTCGCCTTCATTTGAGATCGGTGACCCCTCAGCTATAAATTGCCCCTTAGGATGTCGAGCCTTCCGCTCCTGTGGCTTGCACCCCCCTTAACGCGAAATGATCTCTGCTATCCTACGCGTCGTTTCGCTCTTCACGCTTACACTGGGAAAGCATGTCTCGCGCATGCATTTGCGCGAGAAACGAGAGAGCATCCCGACAGGCTTTACGTTTACTGGTTCTCCCTCATCCGACACTCTGCTTGACCTCCGCATCGCGCTCGTGCAGAGCAATCCCGCGGGTCTTGTAGACGCGCTCTATGATGTTAGCACTCCCTCTAGCCAGAACTACGGGAAGTATCTGACCAAGGAAGAGGTTTGTGCTGTGTCCTGGATATTAGGATTATAGTGAGAACTGACCAACTTTCCACCCAGGCCGCGCAATTTGTCTCTCCGACTTCGGAAACCGCAGCCGCCGTGAACTCCTGGTTGCAAGCGAACGATATCACTGCGACTGCGATTACCCCGGCTGCCGACTGGCTGAGCTTCAGCATCCCGGTCAGCAAGGCGAACGATATCTTTGCTACTGAATTCTCGGTCTTTACCCACTCCAGCACCGGGAAGCAGACGATTCGCACGCTCGAGTACTCCATTCCTGCAGAGCTGCAGAGGCATCTGGACATCGTGTACCCAGGTACTACGTATGTGCAGCGTTAATAATCCCCATTGTGTTTGCATGCTGATTGAAGTCTCGACTAAAGCTTCCCGGTCTACACGAACAAAGGCCGGATTTCTTCCACGAGGTCGCGCGTGCCCAAGCGCTCTGTTTCTGCGAGGCAAGACTGCTCGTCAACCATCACTCCGTCCTGCCTGCAGTCTATTTACGGTATCCCCGCCACTCCTGCGACACAGTCGACCAATCAGCTGCTTGTGACTGGCTTCATTGGTCAGTACGCGAATCAGGCAGACTTGCAGGTCCGTGAAATGTTGTCGCAAGGATCATACTGAATTTATTCGACCACCAGACATTTTTGGAGGATTTTCGCCCAAATATGAGTTCGTCCACGACGTTCGTCCTCCAGCTCCTCGATGGCGGTTCTGATCCTCAGGGTGGTAGTGACGCTGGTGTTGAAGCTGTGAGCTGTATCGTTCTGCTTTCGTACTATCCTTCTTCATACAATATTGTATCACAGAACCTTGACACGCAGTACACCACTGGCATCGCGACCGATGTTCCCATCACTTTCCTGTCGGTCGGTTCCAACAACAATGATGGTTATCTCTCAGGATTCTTGGACGTGGCAAACTACCTTCTTGCAGAGAACTCCCCGCCGCAGGCGATGTCCACCAGTTACAGCTTCAATGAACCTGGAATGCCCAGCGACTTGGCGAAGTATGTCGCCTTGCAGCGTGATCGCAGTCTCTGGTTGTGGCTAACTTGGCTCTGACCACAGCAACCTGTGCAACGCGTACGCTCAGCTCGGTGCGCGTGGCGTGTCCATCATGTTCGCCTCTGGAGACGGTGGCGTTTCTGGAGGTCAGTCTCAAGGCTGTTCTACGTTCATTCCCACGTTCCCCTCTACCTGCCCTTAGTATGTTTTCTGCCATAAGACGACTACAATTTCTAACACTGTCTATGCTTTAATTCACAGCGTGACTTCTGTTGGCGCCACGAGCGGCGTCCCGGAGACTGCTGCGTACTTCTCCAGCGGCGGTTTCTCCAACTACTTTCCGGTCCCTTCATTCCAGCAGGGGGTGGTGGACTCCTACATCGCCGGCCTCGGTAGCACCTACAGCGGGCTCTACAATGCGTCTGGGCGCGGGTTTCCCGACGTGTCCGCACAGGGAGTCAATTTCGAAATCATCGTAGATGGATCTCAGGAGAGCGTGGACGGCACGAGCTGCTCGAGCCCGACGTTCACGAGCATCATCGCGCTGCTGAACGATCAGCTCATCGCGGCGGGAAAGCCTCCGCTTGGCTGGCTGAATCCGTTCTTGTACTCATCGAAGGGTGCGTCGGCATTCAATGATATCCCTTCCGGAACGAACCCAGGATGCGGCACCAACGGTTTCTCTGCGGGCACTGGATGGGATCCTGTGAGTTTTTGTCTGCCCTCCGCCCTTGGATGTTCATGATCGTTGTTCGCAGATCACCGGTCTTGGCACTCCGAACTTTGCCAAACTCTTGACTGCGGTCGGTCTTTAGGAGAACGTAATGACGGAACTGCACATTAGCTGATGAAGAAGATTATGGCCATGAAGTGACCTCTCTGATGTTCCGGCAAAGCCTAAGCACAGTTGTTCGTCTGTAAATGTAGGCGCTCACGAGAATGACGACATTGATGAATTTTATGTGATGAGCGTCAGTATCGCTCAATTGTGAAATAAATGAAACCTTTGACACAAGAACTTTTCGCGGAAAGTCTTTTCGCTCCCGCGTAAGTTGAATCCAGAGACCATCGGGGACCATCCACAACGTAATGTTTGTGAGATATCAATTACTTGCCATTGTTATATGTATCGGCCATCGCCCTCACTGTAATGCCCAGCGCCACCAGCACGAAGTACTTAGAATATCAACACTTCCTCCGCAGAAGCTCCACCCCATTGAACCCGGATGGCCGATTCGGAAGGTCGCACACCAACCGGCGGGTACTTCGCCAGCCGGCGAGCCACCAGCTTTGCAAATGGGCTGTAGGTCTGTAGGACGTGTTCGACGGGATACTACGGCATATCTGTTCCACATCAGCATCCTTCAAGGAATCAAGTTGTCAGCTGCAGAATAATCATACAAGTTCCGGTGGCAGACCCCGGTACTTAGAAGATAGTACAGTATGAATTACGCGTACATACTGTGACCTTAGTTCACCAAGCAGCTTGAGCGACATCACCGGTGCTGATGTCGAAGGATTTATGAGTGAATTTTGCGATTCCTGAGAAATCGCCGAGGTCGCAGAACTGAGCCGAGTAAGGAGGACATCTTCGAAGTAATGCATAAGATATATTCTTGACCTCAGTTGAGGCTATCGATGCTCGGCGAACAGGAACGTGATGAACAGCATCGAGACATTGTCTAGAGCAGGAACAAGACCTTAAAGCGCGTGGAGGTGTTCCGCCGAGTGGATGCGTTGTACAAGGAAAACAGCAATCATATGCATTTCCAAGTGATTTACCAGATTCATACAGGCTGTTGGCCTGTAAGAAGCAGATATGCAATGTCGTTAGGAGGACCCCATTCTCATGTCGGGGAGTCGAGAGCGGAGCCGTATAAGTTTCTTGAGACTACCGGTGGGAAGCCAGAACTTAAAATGCGTCAACCGAACGTCTTGCGGTGGTCCGTACTGCCTCATCAAGGACAGGTGACAGAAAACGCACAGTCGGGGCCCCAAGTTAATTAGAGCCAGGCGAAACACCTATACATCAGCGACATATGAGATTCTGAGCGGTCAGCACTCGTCAGCAATCAGCTGGGAGATATAAATCCCTGGTGAGTTTCCCCCCTGCGGTACATTGCTCTCGTTAATGCGTGAGGGGCTCACCTGTACATGTGCAAAGCATTCGAAGTCATCACTGTCGAATTCTGGCTGACCAACTTCGAAGTTGATTTATGATCACAACTTCCTGTGTCTAGATGAACAGCCATTTGTGACTCCGAGTCGCATGCCGGAGAACTCTCGCCCACATGTCTCGTAACGTTCTGACAGTGACACGTCAGTCGTGACGGTGAACGTTGCGGAGACGATTTGCAAATAGTACTGTAAGATTGGGATCTCCGATTGTCCAGACTGGAAACTTTGGCAGCCTGCAGCGTAGAATCACGATTATCATCATGTTGCCACCGGTGTCGAGGCATACGAGGACCTTCCGGTGCGTACCATGCACGACAACGACTATGTGTGCAAGATAGAGAATTACCATATCGTGATTAAGAAGCAAAGAGTCCGCCGGGAGGCCGTGAGTCTCCGATCCACGTGCTCGCATCCTTCAAGTTGTTGAAACTGTTCTCCCCTCTTCCACGGAGAATGGGAGCGCAATGATTTGACAGTTGACATTCGTGGTGGGTAGTGAGAATCGTATTCTCTCTTCAGTATGCACAAGCAATTCTATGTCCACTGGCAAGTGAGTCATCCATTTTCTAAGCTACAATCTACCAAGTTACACTCTTTAGAAATACTTGCCAAGGCGCGTAGCACGACAATATTATCGTCGGCAATCCAGAATACGCATGTGGAGTGGTACACCCGTGGAAATTGGACAATGTGGTCACGAAGCACCACGATTGTCATGTGCAACTGCAAGAACTCCGGCTTGAGGACTTCTGCCATCTCCGGCGTGAGGCCTGAGGGCTTCTGTCATCCACGCCGTCGCCTCTCCTGCTTATTATTCAGCGCCCGTAAAGAGCGTACGTCGAGGCTCTATCGCAGGTACAGTACCAGTAGGCATTGCGTATCTCAATCTATGCTTCTAGCGCAAGGACAGCAGGAAATTGATCCGACGAGCATGTGCCACAAGGTTACGCGAGCTTCATACGATGGTTCTGCGCGTTGTGCAGTTCTTTGTCGCCCTTATTCAAGATCGGTGACTCCCCGGTATAAATTGTCCCTCAAGATGTCGAGCTTTCTTCAGGGTGTTTGCTCCTGTGGCACTTGCGGTCCCCTTCAAGGATTAGGGCGAAATGGTCTCTGCTATCCTGCTCGTCGTTTCGCTCTTCACACTTACACTGGGCAAGCCCATCTCGCGCATGCACTTGCGCGAGAAACGAGACAGCATCCCGACAGGCTTTACGTTCACTGGCTCGCCGTCACTGGACACCATACTCGACCTCCGGATTGCGCTTGTGCAGAGCAATCCCGCGGGTCTCGTAGAGGCGCTCTACGATGTCAGCACTCCCTCTAGCCAGAACTACGGGAAGTATCTGACCAAGGAAGAGGTCTGCACTCTGTCCCAGATGTTACAATGATGCCGAGAGCTGAACAAAGTTTCCTGCATACAGGCCGCGCAGTTCGTCGCTCCGACTTCGGAAACCACAGCCGCCGTGAACTCCTGGTTGCAAGCGAACGATATCACTGCGACTGCGATTACCCCGGCTGCCGACTGGCTGAGCTTCAGCATCCCGGTCAGCAAGGCGAACGATATATTTGCTGCCGATTTCTCGGTCTTTACCCACTCCAGCACCGGGAAGCAGACGATCCGCACGCTCGAGTACTCTATTCCTGCAGAGCTGCAGGGACATCTGGACATCGTGTACCCGGGTACTACGTATGTGCAACGTTAATTATCCCTATTGCGTCTGCATGCTGATTGAAGTCTCGACTAAAGCTTCCCGGTCTACACGAACAAAGGCCGGATTTCTTCAACAACGTCGCGCGTGCCCAAGCGCTCTGTTTCAGCGAGGCAAGACTGCTCGTCAACCATCACTCCGTCCTGCCTGCAGTCTATTTACGGTATTCCCGCGACCCCTGCGACACAGTCGACCAATCAGCTGCTTGTGACTGGCTACATTGGTGAGTACGCGAATCAGGCGGACTTGCAGGTCCGTGAATGAAATATTGCCGCAAGGATCATACTGAATTTGTTCGACCACCAGACATTTTTGGGGGATTTCCGTCCAGATATGAGTTCGTCCACGACGTTCGCCATCCAGCTCCTCGATGGCGGTTCTGATCCTCAGAGTGGTAGCGATGCTGGTACCGAAGCCGTGAGTTGCGTCGTTCTACTCTCGTACTATCCTTCTTCATACAATATTGTATCACAGAACCTTGACACGCAGTACACCACTGGCATCGCGACCGATGTTCCCATCACTTTCCTGTCGGTCGGTTCCAACAACAATGACGGTGATCTCTCAGGATTCTTGGACGTGGCAAACTACCTTCTTGCAGAGAACTCCCCACCGCAGGCGATGTCTACCAGTTACAGCTTCAATGAACCCGAGATGCCCAGTGACTTGGCGAAGTATGTCGCCTGCAGCGTGATCGCAGTCTCTGGTTGTGGCTGACTTGGCTCTGACGACAGCAACCTGTGCAATGCGTACGCTCAGCTCGGTGCGCGTGGCGTGTCCATCATGTACTCCTCTGGAGACGGTGGCGTTTCTGGGGGTCAGTCTCAAAGCTGTACCACCTTCATTCCCACGTTCCCCTCTACCTGCCCTTAGTATGTTATCTGCCATAAGACGATTACTGCAATTTCTGACACAGTCTATACTTTAATTCACAGCGTGACTTCCGTCGGCGCCACAAGCGGCGTCCCGGAGACTGCTGCGTACTTCTCCAGCGGCGGTTTCTCCAACTACTTTCCCATCCCCTCATTCCAACAAGGAGTGGTGGACTCCTTCATTGCCGGTCTGGGTAGCACCTATAGTGGGCTTTATAACGCATCTGGGCGCGGGTTCCCCGACGTGTCCGCGCAGGGAGTCAACTTCGAAATCATCGTAGACGGATCTGAAGAGGGCGTGGACGGCACGAGCTGCTCGAGCCCGACGTTCACGAGCATCATCGCGCTGCTGAACGACCAGCTCATCGCGGCGGGCAAGTCTCCGCTTGGGTTCCTCAATCCGTTCTTGTACTCGTCGACGGGTACCTCTGCGTTGAACGATATCACTTCCGGAACGAACCCCGGATGCAGCACTAACGGTTTCTCCGCGGGCACTGGCTGGGATCCTGTGAGTTTTTTCTTCTGCCTGTTCTGCGCCTTCGGCGGGGTCATGACCGTCGTCTGCAGGTCACCGGTCTTGGCACCCCGGACTTTGCCAAACTCTTGACCGCCGTCGGTCTTTAGTTTAGCGAGACATGATCATGAAACTGCATGAAGAAGACTATGGACATGAAGTGATGTCTCTGATGTATCGGAAAAGAAGTTTTGTCCGTCTGTAAATATAGGGACTCTCATGGAGGTTTTGGCGTTGGTTTTTACGAGAATGATGACATTGATGATTCGCATTTCGTCGTGATGAGCATCCAGTTGTACTAGGTATCGCTGAATGGAAGGTATCGGGTCACGGCGGCTAAAGGCTCGCAGCTTCAATGATACTACGCTAGCGATCATCAGGGAGGGAGAGTTTGTCACTGAAAACCTAAGGTCAGGATAAATAGCAAATGGTCACGTAGGGACATACATGTACTGACGCCCCCCGCACATCATTTTTTCTACCCAATACCAAGAACCACAAAGCATCACCTTGACCGCGTTGAGGAATACTGCTTTGAACTTCCGAGCAATATGTGCTGCGGTAGGAAGTTGTTACAATTGACATCCACACGATACATTACAATGATCCCAAATGGGAACTATATGTTTTCATGCCTGCAGCAGCATCATCTGTTGTGTCCTACGAGTGGGACCAAGTTGGCTTCCTCTTCTCCGCGAACGCACCCATACCTAGCACAAGCAAGCATCAGCATTCGCCCACACATTGTCACAACAAAGTCAGCCGCAAAACAAGCAGACGCACCCTCCTTCTGGTCCTTGGTCGCAAACAGCGCATGGAATAGCCTGCGCTCGGTCTTAAGGCCCTCGTGGAGTGTGCCCTCATACGCAGCGTTGACGGACTCCTTGCCCGCCTGCACCGCGATCGCGCTCTTGCTCGCGATCTGCTCCGCGAGCTTCACCGCGGCGCCGACGACGTCCTCCTCGATGCGCGAGACCACGCCCCATGCGGCGGCCTCCTCCGCGGAGAAGTTGCGGCCCGTGAGGGTAAGCTCCATCGTGCGCGACTTACCGATGGCGCGGGCGAGGCGCTGGAGAGGAGGGCTACACAGGTTAGAGGAAGGCGTTGCGGAAAGAGAAGGGAGAGGGATAGACGTGCCTGCGTGCCTCCACCACCAGGGATGACCCCGAGGTTGATCTCGGGCTGGCCGAAGACGGCTGTGGGGGACGCGAGGATGATGTCACACATCAGCGCGAGCTCACAGCCTCCGCCGAGCTGCGCGGGCCGCACGGTCAGTTCATCGTGCTGCGGGAGGAGGGGAACGCGTACCGCGTAGCCGCTGACGGCGGCGATAACGGGCTTGCGGATGGAAGTCATGTCGGACCAGTTCTCGAGGAACTTGTTTTTGTACACATTAGCGTCTGTCGTGAACCATGAGCGAGCGCTGTCGAAGAGTCCATGAACGCGAGAGCGATTGGCGATTTGTAGACGACACCGTCTTCTACTTTAGTCACTGGTCGCCGACAGCTAAACTTCATACGGCTTGGACACCACCACAGCAGTCCCGCTCCCTTGCTCAGTGCATCTTGCACACGACCGCATTGGTTTAACAGCCCGAACTGCGACCACACTCACAGTCCTTGTCCTTCATCTCCTTGATATCCGCGCCGGCCGCGAACGCACGCTCGCTCCCAGTGAGCACGAGCGCGCGAACGTCGTCGTCGCCATCAAACTTCTCGAGCGCAGCATTCAGTTCGAGGAAGAGGGCTGAGGAGAGCGCGTTGAGAGCCTTCGGGCGGTTGAGGGTGATCTGGCCGACGCCGGAGGCGGGCCGCGAGATGAGGATGTGCTCGTACTGGGTCTCGGTAGACATGAGCCGGATGACTTGCAGGCGGGGCGCAGCGAAGCGCACGGCGGTGGTAGGGCTGGCGCGAAGGGCGGTGGCGGTGAGGCGGAGAAGAGACATTTCGCTGCAAGTGTTGGGCTCGTCGCCGAGCGTCTCATTCTTATATCGCTGAGCAATGCGTCCGGGCCCGGCTGCTACTTCTCCCGTATACATTCCACGCCTTTAGTTTGCGCTCTCGGCGAACGCGTTTCGTTGTGTGTATTCATTTTCTGTTCTGCGAAAGCAGTGGTAACCCACTATTAGTATTTCGAGTTGGAGAGACAGATCGTCTACGGGTCGGTCTCACAGCAAAGGTGCTACAATGGTTTGAGTATCCTATACTAATGGGTGTCCAGCCTGAAGAACACGCACAGGCTTTCCGCACAACAGTAGACTGTCAGTAGACTCATCGAGGACGAGGAAAGACGCGCTTTGTGGGGCCCCAAACAACACGTGTGTACGGTACACACAGTTGCGATCGCACGGTACGAGCCGAGAGACACTGCCAGGTGTCCTCGAACTTCAAACATATCGTGATGTTAGAATACAATTCAGTACAGGTACAAGAAAATTCGACTTCGGCATCATTCGATAAGTATGTCATTCACACTCGCTAGAAAATCAAGGAATCGTATCTTCTTACATCATGCACCCGTGGTGCTGCTCATGATATGTGCCAATATTGGCCAACGATATGTACCGTTCGTCACAAGTGCAATATGTATGTAGCTGCCTTGAAATTAATCTGTCGAGTGGAACTTACATGAAACACACTTTAGTCCATCAAATACCTCAAATATCGCATAACGGCCGAAGAAATTTTGTGTCGCTTACTCGCGGGCCCTGCTCCCTCCCATGTCGAAACTCAGGCGCGAAGTGCAATGAAGGAAGACCGTTGAAAATTTAAAGCGAATTCGTCGGTGAGCGGACGACGGACGCACACGGCGAAGATGGAGCAATACTCACCATCTCAATCTCTGTGTGACGGCAAATGTGCGGGAGACGTGGTGTGATACCATACACTCAAATTCACAAGTCCGCATACATATGCGATCTACACAGCAGCTTCTAGCGGGCAGAAACACAGGTCAGAGGCTCAACGAGAATCAGATCACAGCCATTACGACGGTCACATTCATGACCACAAGAGTGTATCACATACAGCGAAGAGTTCGGGGATGTCCTTGTCTCACTCAGAGTCACTCTCCCCTCTCTAAAAACCCTATTCCCGTATTCCGGACCTTGTTCACGAAAGACTCATACCACCGCGCGATGACGGCCAAGGGCACCATGCTCTCCGGGGCGAGTGCCGCGCTCCCGCCCGAGCCCGCGACGAAGCTCGCGATGTAGTTGAAGAGGTGCTTCACGATCCGCTCCGCGAGGAACGTCGAGTCTGGTGACTGCGCGGGCCTTGCGAGTGCCGAGGGGAGGTTGGCGACCTCCTGCATGATGACGGAGAGTGGCTCGATTGCGATCCCGAGGATGGCTGTGACATCTGCGGATGCGTTGTCGGCTAGTGGCCGCCCTGTGAAGGCGTCGTGCGCTAGGGACGAGGATGCGGAGAAGGTGCCCCGCAGACGGAAGATGGCCGATGGTTTGTCGTTGGACAACCTGGGGAGCGTTGAGCGTTCTTACGCACGCAAAGAGAGGACTGCTCACATTCCCAGAAGCTGGAACCCTCTCCCTGGCCAATGGAAGTGTACTGTCGCTCCATAGCCTTCAGGAAAGGGCACTGCGTCGAAACACACGCGAGTCAACGAATAACGTGGAGATCGTTCGCCAGCCACCGACCATTTCCAAGGAGGAACACGCAAATGTGGTTGATGGTGCTGGCGGCTGGTAGCTCAAAAATTGCATGCGTGTCATCGACCTGTTGAAGATTTGTTTGGAGAAGGCGGCCAGCGACCAAGCAGCCGAACATTGTGGAGAGTATGAAGATGAAAGATTTGGCCGAGTGTGGAGAATCTTGAACACTGCCAGGATAATGTTCAGGTTATATAGTACCGACTCCAACTTTATATTATGGCGACGTAGCCATGAACGTGAGCAGAACATTCGAGCATCTTCAGCAGGTCAACGAGGCCTATACTGTACGGTCGTCGATTGAACCAACTTGAGAAACGTGCTGCTGACGTCGGCTGCCACAGTCATGGTCTTGTGTCGTCCCTTCACCACCATCGCCACCCTCTACTTACGCGTCTGGGAAAAGATGAGACGGAAGTATTAGAAGAGTCAGATCGCTCAGTCTCCGACTCTCCGGAGCCGACGAGAGGCGGATTACTCAGGTGGAGGCGGGGGCGAAACGCTCATTTGCACCTTGTCACCAACCGCCATGGACCATGACGAACTTATGAACTGCAAATTCTCCCCTCTTCCAAAGCCTGGGTCACTTTTGAGACATCTCTCAATGTCGGACGTGAGTTACATGATACAGATATCTGCAAGCCGGGCGGGCTAATCGTTGTGTGGACGGTTCGCCGTGTTCTGAAGGACAAACCGGTGTATATGCCGTTACAAACCCTGCCCGCAGATATTCTTTTCGAAGTTGCAAGATACCTTGCCAACACTGATGTCCTTCACCTGAGCGTCACGGTGAGCCCCGCAGCCAACGCTCCGGCCCAACACGCTGACCGCACACAGTCATGGACGGTCTACGCGAAGCTGATCCCAGCCATCTACGCTGTCGTGGACCTGCGTGGTGCCGGGCAGTGCAATCACACGCTGTCCATGCTCCAGCGTTACCCCCACGTCGCCCGCCACGTCCGGCGCCTGGTCGTCCGCCCCGAGCGCAGGAACCGGCACGACTCCCTACCGCACGTCCGCGAGTGGGACAAGGCCGGCATGGTCTCGCGCCTCGTCGTCACCACCGCGCGGTACATGGATGTGCTGCAGGCCTTTGAGTGGGACGGCGAGGACATGCTCCCCGACGACAGGATGTGGGTCGAGCTGCGCCTCCGGTGAGTTCCCGGGTCCTGTTCCCGTGTTCTGAAGGCCCGTGCGCGATCTCTGTCTACGTGCAAAAGCCTATCGGTATCGCTGCACTAGGTTAGAGTTTCGACGTGCAGCTCTGCCGAGGTGGATCCGTGCCGCCCAGAGCGCGCCTGTGTAGCGTCCAGTGTACTCATACCCGCCCTGTGGTAGTTGTCCGCTTCTGAAAAGCATTGGTGTCTCTCTCGGGTGTTTCCTGCCTCGTCCCACCAGCAATGTACGTCATTTATCCCTCTTGTTTGCATAATCCTAACGATCATACAGTTGTTCCAATTCAACGGTCTCGTTAGTTTCTCATTGACTATGAAAGATGGATTCTATGCGCACCAACTACACGTTCCTTCTCGAGGTCGGTAGTTTAGTTCAATCACGTATTCCCCCGAATAACGCGTCATTTCGCGTACAGAAAGCGAACCGTTATTCACCCGGCTTTTGGACATGCTCACACGACGCTGTCCTGACCTGGAGTCCCTGTCGATTGCGGGGACGTCGAACGAAATTGCAGACGCAAGCCTCTTCTGGTCCGCGCGTTGGCCCCGCCTGCGTCTCCTCGAGCTCGGAGACGTTATTTCTGCCCCAGAGCCTTTCCTTGCATTCCTCGAAGCCCACCCTACACTCGAGGGCCTGTACTTACTTGGTCGTCCGAGAGCCTTGCCCGACTTCGTGACGCTCAATAGAGAGACCTTACCGTCCCTGTGCGACTTTGCCGGCTCTCTAGATACCCTTCGCGCGCTACTGGAGCGTGGCCAGACTGGACCGACTTCGCCGCCTTCGCCGCTCGCCAAGAACCTTCACCGACTATGCGTTCCGGACCCCATGCAGCTCCGCGAGCTCACTCCGCTCACGATATCGCATGTGCTCGTTGACCTGCAAGGGCTCACGTCTCTGGAGCTTACCTTCGCGCCTCACAGCGGACACGACAGCAACAGCGCATTCCGCACCATCGTAGCTGCGTGTCCGCAGCTGCTCGACCTTAAGCTCACTTGCGTGTGCAAGCCATCTTTCTACCTGGTGGGTATTCCTATTCACGTCGCCATCTTTTGCTCAATATTTCCTCTGCAGGAATCCTTCTCCCGCTCTCTTCGCAACCTCACGCGCCTGCGCACATTCGCGCTCACGATAGTCCCCTTCGCGGGCGAGGAACCGATGTATGCCGGCGCGGCGCGCATGGCGTTGGCGAACCCGCGGCTGCACTCATTCTCCATCGCCTACATCCCGTACCACACAACGCCGCGCCCGCTGCCCCGCACACTCGAGCGCGCCAACTTCGAGCTCCTCGTTGACACGTACGGCATACCCGTTGGGCTGCGCATATGCGAGTGGCGAGCGCGCCTGCCGCCCTGGAAGGCGGTCGCGCTCGTGTGGGACGCTGGAGGGCGGGGGAGGCTCGCGGGTTGGCGCAGCAGCAAGCGGGGGTGGACCCGCCAGTGGGTGAATGACCTTCGTCAGAGCGGCCATCCTGATGCGACGGGCAGGGGCTGGGCGGAGCTTCTGCTGGAGCGCAGTCCTGCCGGCGAGGAGGCGCGGATGCTGATGTTCTGCTTTATCCTGGTCGTGCTAATAGCGCTCAGCATTACGGGAAGGGTGATAGACGATACTTACAATAATAGCAGGTAATTGAAATTTCATGACCATATTTATTCGATATTTCCTGGATTCCACACACTCCGTACTTAGCGTCTGATATGTATTCCATCTTTATGATAACGCCGTAGATTTAATGCATTTTACGATCCACCGGCAGCACAGGAGGGCGCACAGGCGGCCAAAGTGGAGCTAGCTATTCGACCTGAAGTGACATTTCTGGGACGTTTTTGGACTCGTCTTGGGTGCACGCTGGAATACTTAATGCAACCTCCCTAAATACGAAGCAAGGCAAGTGACTATGCGGACGACGGTGAGTCTTATTCAGCACTCATTCGGTTAAGATGCAAATGGCTGGAGATACCCTATCTTGCGAGATATCTCAACGGACAAGGACTTATCCTACCCCTACTGGAAGAAAGAACGCACATATGCAACGTACTCCTGGTCATTCTTTGACCCGTACCTCACCTTGATAAAGCTATGCTCATAATCTCCCACAAAATACCGCAGTCGATCCGTACCGTCTGTCGCCGCTTCGAATATCGCCTGCGCAACGTCCTTGGCCTCGGTCCCCTTCGCCACACTCAACTTTCCAATCGCCTCCATGGACTTCTCCATGAACGCGCCGTAGTCTGGCATGAGCGCGGCGTCCAAGGCAGCGGACGACCTCGCGCGGGCGCTGAAGCTCGTCTCGCCGATCCCGTCATGCGGAACAACCAACTTGACGAACACGCCCTGGCTCGCGAGCTCGATCGCGAGAGCCTCCGTGAAGCCCTCCAGTGCGAACTTGCTCGCGGCGTACGTCGACATCATCGGCATGCCAGAGTACCCCACGCCAGAGCTGACGTTGATGATCCCGCCTTTCTTGTGCTTGCGGAAGTGCGGGAGCACAGCGCGCGTCACGTCCATCAGGCCTGCACGGTATCAGCCACTGTTCCCCCAAATCGGAGGCGACGTGCGCGTATACTCACCAAATAGGTTAACGCCGAACTGCTCCTGTATCTTCTCGCGCGGCGTCATCTCGAAGAGCCCGAGCTGGCCGTACCCTGCGTTGTTCAGGAGCACGTCAATCGAGCCAAACTTGGCGAGAGCAGCGTCAACGGCAGGCGCGATGCTGGCCAGGTCCTGCACGTCGAGGCGGAGGATGAGCATACGGCCCGAGGCGAGCTCCTTGAGCTCAGTGTCCTTCTCTGGGGTGCGCATCGTCGCGACGACGTTCCAGCCCTTCTCGAAGAAGAGCCTGGCAGAAGCGAGCCCGATGCCAGAGCTGGCACCTGTGATGAAGATGGTGTTGACCATGTCTGATGCTGTGTTACCCGGCGAAGATTCTGAATTCGCGTGCGATCACTCACCGATATCTGTTCAATTGAGAGAGGACGTGATTGGATTCTATGATCAAGTGAGTGGGAATGTATTCATTCTCTGTAGTCTCCGGGCTTATATGCTGGAATAGCTCAGCAAATTCTGCGACTATTACAAAGGAACGACTGTCTTCCTGCAGGTAACTAGCCTGAGGCTGTATCTATGAGCCTAGTTCTACGATGGCGGCCGCGGATGCGTCAGCACGAGCCGTAGCGCTATCGGGTGCCCTGGACAAGCCCTGGACACGAAGTAGTCCAGGTGTTGTCCGCGATATTGAGCAGTTCGGCAAAGCCCGCGAATTGATCATAGCAGGGGATGGCTGAAGCTACAGGCAATGCGATTTTATTTATTTGAGCCCATCTCTACCGTACCGCTATCGAGCCGTAAGCTGCTGACAAGAAAAATCTACTTCCGTGGGCGAGGGCTCGGGTGTGAAGATGTCGCAGAGAACTGGGTAACTTGCATGTCACGAGGTGGTCAGACTGCATGTGTCTGCACGTTTACTACAGTGTTAATACCACTTTCAATTCATTGCGCTGGGCAGGGTTTTTTTTCCCGGTTTGGTGACATAAGGATTGTAGGGATGTTGAACTCACAGAAATTTAACTGACTTGATTAACTATTACATAGGAACTTGATTAATGCAGACTATGATATGCGGAGATGGAGAAGAGACTCCAGAGTCGGTGAAGACTCCCGATGATGCTAAATAGGAAGAAAACAACGCCATGCTGGGTGTAAAAGCTGCCTTACGGTACTCTCGACAAATGCATTCTCTGTCAGACGGAAAAGTGGTTCGATGCGCTCCAAGGGGACATCGCTACGGAGCCCAAGAGATGTCCAACACTCCCCAATCCTCCTCCATCAATGACATCGCCTCCACCTTGGAGACTCTCCGACATCCGCTGATGTGAACAGAGATGATACTGGAGGGCTTCGCAACCCCGAACGAATTCCAACCTGGCATGAAGCTACCATTGGGAGATGCGGGAGTAGGCAACGATAGGACAGGACTGTTGGGGTTTTGGAGGGCCCTCCGCTTGAGTGGCTTCATCAGCCTAGCAGGAGTAGTAGAGGCACTGCTCTCTGGGGTTGAGGCAGCCATCATCGACTGCGCCTTCCTGGCCTGCACGACCGCACTCAGACAACTGAATTTGACATCCGCACAAAAGGTTAGAATCAGATGCGTGAGGCGGGGGCAGGTCCAGCTCCTCTGCGTCTTAACATGAGAATTCCTACACGAGCCGCCGGACAAGTGGCACAGAACTTCTCCAGCTCCGTGGCACGATTCGATGTAGAGCAGCGTCAGCGATGGCATGTATCTGAGCATGGAGATGGTGTTCTCGGCATCTAGATCAAACCAGATGAGCTTCAAGCTAGTGAGATGCGGCAGGCGCGGATCGTGGAAAATAGATTCGAGGCGAGGGAGTTGAGGAGATGAAGATTCGATCAGCGAGAACACGTCGCGGGACATATTCAGCTTCCTGAGTGCAGGTAACTGTATCTTCTTTAGAGCAGCTAGGCTCTCAGCATCACGACAGTTTACAAAAAGCTCCTCGAGCTTCGCCAACGTGATGACCGGCGAGGTCTGCAGACCAGATATCGGGGGAGAGTTGGAGGGCAAGAGGACTTGCTCGAACATCTGTGTCCACTGCTTTCTACGATTGCCGAGAAAGAGGTGGAGCTCTTGGAGAGATGGCATCTCAATGTAGATAAAGAGTAACCACATGTCACCTGGAGGCACGAGTCGCCACTTGAAAGAACGAAGATGAGGAAGCACGATGGGTTTCACTTGCAGTTTCGCGAAACGGCTTCCAGGAGGGATATCACAGTCGCCAGAGGCACCAGATCCTACTTCGACGTAGACATCTATGAGCGGAACAGCTTCCATAAACAGTTGTTCAAGGTTCTGCGAGCGGTGGAGCAGAGGCAGGAGATTCGATAGACGTAGGCCTCTATGCCCAAAATGCCAGCTTTCCTTCGAGAAGTCTAAATTAATGGTACACAGAGCGGGGAAGTACACGGGGGGCAACTCGGAGGGCGCTACACCGTGCAGGTGAAGATATGACAGGCGAGAAAGTGCATCTATCGTGGGCCGCACAAGAGATTGGGCATCTGGAATACCCCTGGCTGTCCCATCCCGAGCAAGGCTGAGGGTTTCTAGGTGAGGAAACGGAGATTCGTGGTTGATGAGTTCTAGGAGAAACTCCAGAAAGTTCGTTCCCGACCAAATAACAGATCGCCAACGAGAGGACGACTTTCGGATGTCAGATCGAGCACTGGCAAGTGGAAACGCGCCTTCAGACAAGGGGAAAGGCTCTGTACCGATGATGTCAATGGGTACCTGGTTGGAGCGAGTGAAGAAAGCCCTCGCTGGTTCGGATTTTCTCACACAAATGAGAGACCAAAGGGCAGATGTCGACAGGGCAAGTTCCCGCCACTGGTGGCAGACGTGCGACAGAATGACTGGTCCTTTGTGGAACACCAGATTACGCGGGGGATGGATAACTTCCTCTTCTGACCAGTTAACGAAGTGGAGAAAGATTTCAGTGAGCAACTCCGGGGGCAACCATTTGATAGGATATCTCCTATACTTGAGCGCGCTGAGCTCTCTTTCCACCGTGTTCTTCTGCTCTAGCACAAAGCCGAGAAGCCTCCTTGCCTCGGTCTCGCGGCACTGGAGGTCCATAAACTTGGATTCAAGAGCGAGAATCTCCGCGTCTAATGCAGCCGTGTCGCACGACATCCTGGCCTCGCGGCTACTGAGAAAGGAAAATGTACCACCGTCAGCACACGAGACTTACAATTCGCTGCCTATCACGCACCTAGTACTTCCTCGTCTTTACCTATGAACGCTCACGCAAAAGTATTGAGAACAAGTGACGTGTCACGGTACCCTACGAGCGTCGACGCGTCAACAACGGGAAGCTGAACTTAGTTCTTGTCCAGATACGGAAGAACACCGCTCGGTTACAGTAAGTCACGCAGTACTCAGTTCTGCGATGAGTATAATGTTGACCAGGACAGAGCCGAAAGAATGGACGCTGTCATCACCTGAGACGTGTTATGCTACGTTGGCAGTTCACGAGTAGCAGTTCACGAGTTGCTCGCTCTTGCGCGAACGCGGCACAGCACGCGAATACAGTAAAACATTCGAGACAGGTACAACATGCATAGACAATAAATAGCACTATATCGGCATAATGGGGGCGCTGCCCTTCTCTACTGCAGTGCGGAGGCTACAGGCAAGACATTAGTGAGAACGAATAGTAAAGGGAAGACAGCGTGTACCTGTAGTCATCGCCATTCTGCGTAATGTACCGCACCCATGGTAGTGCCTGATACCCACTCTTCTCAACGATCTTCAAGTAGCGCACCTGGATGCCGGAGACAGTGAAGTATGGGATCTCGAACTTAACCGTGATCGGTGCACGCTTGTCCAACTCTTGTTCTGCGCACCACAACAATAATTCACAGGAGAAAGAGAACAATGAACGAAGACGCATGCATCAGCGGTTGCAACAGGTGTCGAGCACAGCAAAAGCGTACCTCCTCGCACACTGGGTAACCCAAAGTGCGCCCGCATGAGGAATTCTCGCCCACCGCCTAGCTGCTTGATTTTCCACACGAAAGCCGACTTATCCGGGGCGTACTGCACGCTACCCGTCGATGCCTGAGCGGGCGGCGTCAAACGCGGACAGTCTTCCGGAAGTGGAAACGTGGCTCACCCGGAACTTGGGCGTATCCGCGTCGTCGGGCACGGGCACGTAGATTTCCACGTTGTTTGCGGTGCTCCGGCGCTTGAACTGCGCCTTCACTTTCACCATGTATTCCACCCTGCTTCCTTTGTGGTGCTCGACCTGCCACGATGAGTCAGATCGCATGATAAGCTAGGGCAGCTTGAGGAGTAAGGTGGGACGTACCGCAGCTTCGACCCATACCAGTGGCTTCACGGCCGTCGAAAGACGATAGGACATGAGCTCGAACTCCCCATCCGGCGGAATGAATGATATTGTCCTGTCGTTCTCAAAACGTGACAGTCGGACGCATTGGTGGAACTTGACGTCCTCCATTTCGATCGCCTTGCCCCGTGCCGCTAGAGCACAGAACACGCTCGAGTCAGTCAACCACGACAAGGGACTCCGACATTGGCTGTGAGGAATGGACAATGCGAAGTGCTACCGGACTTACTTCTCCCCGTAGCCTCGAACATTACCTTGTCATTGAGACCTAGTCGGAGCTCGGGCATGCCAGACAAGTAACATTTCATCTTAACAGCGCCTAGGATCTCCGACCGGACCACATTACCGTTAGCATTAACCTGAGCAAAGCAAAGAGGAGTCAGAAGCGTGACAACATAACTATTGTTGAGCGTCAATAACACGGTGGTGACCAAGCGTATGGATCGAAAGTTTGTCGATCATGTTACAGCCTCGGGAAAATCCACAGAGCATCCATACAACACAATGCGTGCGGACTTATCCGCCATGAAGCGCGGTTAAGCTTCTTAGGGTCACAAGGAACAGTGTCTCGGAAGAAGCACAGACACATACCAGGAGGTTAACACTTTCAATGACATCCAGGAACACTTCGTTCTTGCGGTACCGGATGCCTTCCGACCGCCAGGACACAGCGTTTGTCACGGCTATTGGTGGCCGCACCTGTACCTCCAGCTTGTATGACTCTTGTGTTATGTATCTGCGTAATCCGAACACACGTCAAGTTAAACGCTGCAGCCCAAGGCGCTCGTAGCTGGACGCACTCTTGAAGAATCTTGCTCTCCGTGGTCTGCGGATACCCAAAATCCATCATCTCGTCCATAAGCTCGTAGATGATGACAAAATTGTCCCGAATTGACTCTTCCTCCAGTTCCTTGAAGTATTCCACTAGTACTTGGACGAAGCGGTGCAGGAAGAGAATAATCTCGGCAGCATTGCTATTGCGCTTTGACAAAGCAAGCACTGCACTCACGGGTTAATAGCAACAATAGAAGTTAAAAACGCGCGTTAACGAAGTGCATGCCTGAGTACGGCCGTGTACCCAAGTAACGCGAGATGAAACTCACGGTAAAGATTCGAGTGTCGGATATGCATGTAATTGATGCTATCTCTCGTAAAGCATGGTGTAACCTGTTGCCCCTCTTCCTCCAAATCAAGCACAATTGGTAAAAACCGCTCCACGTAGGATGGAGGCACGTCGTCGCGATATGAACGCTGGATTAGCGGTTTGCCCTTTAGGTCGAGGATAGCTATCAAGCTAGCCATGATAGTAGACTACTGGCCGGGATGCCACAGCGTGGTACAGCGCAGTCCGAAGCAGTAGAATAGCCACGAATAACTGAGGAACCCGAGAACCAGACGCACAGCTCGACTCCCAAGATGGTACACTTCGGTAAAGATCACGGTAAGAAACTTTCTAACGTGTTGGCACTAATGATCACTAATCTGGTAAGTAGAGCTGGTACGGCGCCTATCCTGATAACGCTGGCAAGCGCCAATCCCTGCTGTGCACGACGAGGCGGTGCCACCGTGGGCTGTGTTTCCATACCATTCGCTTTGTGCCCTGCAGCATGCTGGCTTTGTCCGTGACACTTGTTATAAAGACACCTCCTGTGCCCGACCACCACTGCTTCTGTCTCAAACCGTCATCACCGTACCTGTCTCATCGCTTCTGCTCTTCTTAAAATCGTGCCCGTCGCTGGTTTTCTGTAAAAACACCCATCGCTAGTTCAGTTTTCCAATGGGCAAACTAGACAGCCACTACGACCATCGCAACTCGAGACCCAGGCAGGCAGCAGCCTCGCGCGCTCATACCCCCGCTCCGGCCGCTCCTCCAGACATTATCACGTACCGTCTGGAGGGCAAAATGGTGTACGTGACGCCCGCGGAGACATACGAAGTACGTCTATTTCTCGCAATGATAACACAGGTGCCACATCTCAACTTCCACACAACTTATCAGGAAGGCGTCACGTTCGCGAAGGCCGTCTTCGAGGAGCTCAGCGGCGTCCACCCCGAGCGCATCACCTTCTCCGTCAGTGTGAACATGCCAGGTGGCGGCCGCACCGTGCAGATCAGTCCGATGGCCTGGAGGGCGGTCGTGTCTACCCTCGCGCAGTACGAGATCGTTGACCTGGTGGTCCTGCCAGAGGTCGTCGTAGACTTCGCGGACGCGGAGTTGCCGCAATACGCTGATATCGATAACAAGGAGTCGAGGGAGCACCTGTCGCGATCACCTTCCCCTCAGGAAAAATCACGACCGTCTTCTCGCTCGGCTTCTCGCGTGGCTTCGCGCTCTCCGTCGCGCAACCCTGGTAGCCCCAGTAGGACGGAACGGGCTCTGAACTGGTTTGAAAAGGTTATTAATTGATGGTCCGCGCCTACCGTTACTTCGGACAGTGATATGGACAGATACACTTTCAATACCCTTCTGTATTACCGCCTTCACTTCCGAGTTCCCTGTATTATCCATATCTTCTGGTCTCTGGTCTCCGGTCTCCTGAATTAACCCATGGCACCTATACTGTACACCATTTAGTAGTTCATACTGCGAGAGGCATGTCTACGAAATGCTGGCCATCCGGACAGTGGACAGCCAATCTATTATAGTATCTGACAGCAATTATTGTCCTGTATATAGATGCGAATAAATACCCTCCGCGTAGACCTGAACATCCGAACAAGACGTGTACAGAGAAGCATAGTGAGCTTCACTAACGGAATCCTGGTGGCACAACACTGATCCATAGTGGCTTTCAACGGGTCCTCCTCAACCACTCGAACCACCGACTGCCACTCTGCTCCTCCTCGCCCTCACTCTGGCTCTTCCTCGCGAGAAGCGGCGTCATCTCACTCGCACCCTCGACGGCGACCGCCTCCACGAGATCGTCCCGGAGGTCGGCCTCCACGGCCACGTCGACCGCAACTTCAAGGGGCATCCCCCCGTCCGGTCCTCTCGTGACGTCCGCCGGGGAGTCAGTATCCAGGGACGCCAGTGGGTTCCCGAAGTCATCGATCCCGAGCCTGCGCTGGCGCACACGCCAGCAGATGCACATGATCAGCAGTGCGCCCTGCAGGATACCGGCTACGGCGTAGACGAGCCATGCTGCGGAGGGAAGATGTTAGTCAAAGCCGGAAGGTCACGGCGAATAGAAGGGAATACACACTGGTCCAGTTTGTGTCGGGTCTGTACGGTACCGGTATCAGTGTCAGCATGTCTCGGGCGTATCACACAGCGGTGAGCGCTCACCTCAGCGCGACGCTGAGCACCATCAGCACTGCACCGGGACTCTGCATGAGCATCGATTTGATGCTCAGCGCACCCACGAGTTTCAGGCGGTAGGTCTTCGTGAGTTGCGGGAGGTATTGCAGTGTCGCCAGGGCTGCCGAGGTGACCCCGAGGAAGGTCGCCCATAGGGAGATCTGTGTGGAGCGGCGACTCGGATCTGGAGAAGGCTTCGTCGAGAGGAGGAGGAAGGTCACGAATGTGATGAATAAGCTGCGTGGGAACGGCGTGAGTTGTCATCCGCTGCGCGAGAGGAATGACACATACATGTGCAGGAAGACCACCCAGGAGAGGATGATCGACAGCCTCCACTCGTCATTCGGGACGGGAGTCTTTATGTGGTGGGGAGGCCGATTGTCGTGCATGTCGACATCTAGCTCGGCGTACTTGAGGTGTCGAGGATAGTATATCATGTATAGTACAAGGCTAGTCGTATAGATACGTGAGACAAGCCCAGCATGTTACGAAGAACCACTTACATTAGCACGAAGAGGAACCACGTCAAGAACACTTGGAATATTCCGGCAACCGATTCGACACAGTTGCCAAAACTCTAAGGGTGCGGAGTACTCTATTAGCAGCCGCAACAAATGAGGCGTCCTGACCGAATACAGTGTGAGTACTCACGAGGACTCTACAGCATTTCACAATACCCCACTGCATGACGATTCTGCAGCCATGTTCATCTAAGATTTATGAAGATGAACTGAAGATGAACTTACATATTCAGCATCGCCGAGGCAGACGACGTGCTTCCTAACAACAGAAACCATGGGCTGAAGCCTTCGGATGACTTCGTCAAGATAATTCTAAGGTGCTGAGTGAGGTTGTTTCAGTATATCATGCGCAGCAATTCGACAATTAACAGAGATTGGCAGACGACAAGCCGAAGCTCGGAAACTCCACAATCTAATAAATTTACAACCACGGGCTACCTCACAACCCTCCCAGATAACATTACATCTCAGACGACGGTAAACTCACCTGGGGTAAATAGGAGATCGTGATACCAATACAAAGGAAACCTGTGAGGAGGTTGGCCGCGTAATCATGATGCTAACGGCAAACATAGTCAGTTGATGAGAACGGGACACGGTATATCGAGAACATACGGGGACACACGTCTCAGACATGGTAGTCAACAGCCTAGAGTGAATAAAACGAGTAAAACGAGTAAATTTAGCTGACGCCGATTACACAGCCAAGCGTGGGTGCATGTAACGGTATGGACTGGCGTCCCCCCAGCGTCCTTAGTCAGACTGCCTTACTAGTACCGGTTCACGTTCTCTCTCTTTTTCTTACCCTGTTTTCACCACCCCTCAGTTCCTCTCCCTTCGTCTCGGTCTGGGGACCTCCATTACCGGGGCCTCTCGACGTATAAAAGAACCCGCTGTTCGTAGAGTAGAGGGCAGCGTACTTGTAAATCGAATCCCAGCCTTCAACGCTGTGACACTCGTGTGTGCGCTTCCCGTGTGACGTGACCTCCCATTCGTGGTAGCCAACGTCACAGTGCACGCCGCCGTGTCGCGCCCAAATGTGGTAAAAGATCACGCGTGCCGCGTTTCCCTCGCGTTGAATACCCAAGCCAAGCGACGCGGAGCATCATTGAATACATGCTCACTGTGGGTGTCGGAGTCTCACTCCTGTAGAAGGGCTTTGTCCAAAAAAATGCCACCTGATGTAATTTCTGAATAAAATACTTATGCCCTCAGCCTACCATCCTCACAAGTCAGAAATAACGCGTTATGTCACGGTCGAATGGTGACGAAGCATGATTTTTTCGTCGAAAACAGCCAGTACTCAACCGTTCGCAGTCGTTAAAGGATAATTCTATTGGGAAACCCTCAGAAACCCGGAAACCCCAAGAAACCCCGGGTTTCTGAGGCTGCTCGGAGAAACCCCTCAATTTGGAAACTTGTGGGGTTTCCCTCTCCAGAGGAAGTTTCGGACTCCGGCCGGACGCCCTCCTGGGGCGGCCATGTTGGCATCATCGTTTGTGCGGGAAGGCAGGGCAGACTCACTCCTCAGCTTCTCATGGCAGTTGACGAGAGATCGAGAGACCTTGCCTGCATGCACTCTCCATATTCTTAAAGTAAAATTTCACAAGAATGGGAGAGGGAGAGGGAAAATTGGCACCCGCCGTAAGCCTTGTCAGTCCCGCCCGACGCGTCCTGTTCACGTACATAGAGTGTACCAAGCTCCTGTGTGATCGGTAAGCCCCGAATCAATTTCGCAGCGAGGCCTCTGCTACGGGGAGGCCGCACTTTACTCACTTTCAGAAAGAGACTGCAAGCGCGGCTCCCCATCAAAACCGGCCGGCTGTCAACGGTCTCCCTTGCACAGAAACCAGGTTGCTGAGCAACTTAAGGGGGTTTCTGGGGTTTCCGGGTTTCTGGGGGTTTCTCAATAGAATTATCCGTCGTTAAAGCCCACAAAAGCTTGAGATTTGCTGGTACTAACATATACAAGAATATAAGAAGTGAGACCTTAGACGGGGGAGTGTATGCCAAAGTGCCAACTCGTAAGGGGGGATTGGCGATGTGACGGTCACAGAGTATAGTACGGGGACAAAAATTGTGATAAGCCTGCGTCAAGTCCACGCCATCATGCTCGCCTTAGGCTTGCCATAGGCATCCTAAATATGCGCGGATTGGGATGTAAGATTCCAAATACTCGCAGTTCCAGAGCTACCACAGACTGAATATTGAATGCAGGTATCTTGTACAGGAGATATATACATCGACATGGTTTGGACCCGACGTGAATGTGTGGAGTGCGTATACGTTCTACCGAGAGACTATAAAAATTGCTACGACAACGAACCCAACTGATTAGTGCAACAAAATGACTGATCCCCAACAAGAAAGTTCTACAGCCACGTACATACAGTGTACCAGCGCGAGGTATCCAAGTCCTGGAAAGTTCGACGAGGAAGGAGGACCTGCGGGGGGCCAGAGCTCGACAAATCGGCGTCCACACGACGAGATGGCACGGCTCAATAAAGTTTGTCACTCCCGCCAAGTCGAGCGAGCATGCGGCGAACGTGGTCATGGGAGCTGCTAGCGTGACGACGCGACCCGAGCCACTGAAAAGTCAGGCTCAGCTGCGTACGCTCTGCACGACCCGCCTCCACATCCTCCTGATGCCCCCGTCGTGCTGCTGCTGCTGCTGCTTCCCGCTGCTCGCGACTCCCTTCACCAGCTTCCGTTGCGGCGCCAGCGCCGTCGTCTCGTCGCCCCCTTTCGCCTCCTTCCCAGAATGCACGCGCACCCGTACGAGCAGGGTCTTCCGCGAGCGCCTGCTATGCGTCGACTTCGTATCGGCGTCCTTCATCTTGGTCTCATCCCCCACATACACAGGAGGGCGAATCACCGCGGGCCGGACTTTTTCTCCGTGCTCCCCTATACGCACTCCGATGTCCAGGCGTTGCAGCCCTATATCTCCCCTCTCACCTTCCGCTTCGTCCACTACACGCACCTCCGCGCCCTCCTCGGCCACGACGCCCAGCGAGAGGCTCGCCTCGCTTCCAGTCCTGCTCCCGCCCGACGTGAACGCGAGACTGGGCGTGTCGGCAGACGCGAGAGAGCACAGCGAGCCGGTGTCGTCCTGCACGAATGGCGCCAGGGGCGGGCGGAGAGTGCCCAGGTCTGCACTGTCGAGTGCCATGTGCAGGGACTCAGTGGAGGACGCCGGGGAGAGGGTGGACGCCGCGGAGTGCGTCCGCGCGTGCAGTGGGCGCGGGTGCGCGGAGCGCAGGCTTGGGGAACGCGAGGACACCGGATCCGGTTGGGAAGGCGTGGGGCAGGGAAGCGAGCCGAGTGAGTTGAGGCTGGTGCGCGACGGGGTGCGTATGGGGGCGCGCGCTGGGGCGGTTGCTGGCCGCTCGCGGGCGGTCTCTTCCTTCTTCACTCCTCCCTGCTCCTTCGTCTTCGCGTTTGAGCTCCCGACCTCGCCGTTCTGATACTGCGCGAGGAGCTGGTTCATACTGCGGCTGCGGTTCGTCGTGTGCAAGGCCTGCGTTGGAATCGGCACGCCCGCGCTGACAATCATGGATGCAGGCCTGCCCGGTACGCCCTTGCCCTTGCGGTCTTCCATAATCACAGACACAGGACGCGCCCCGGGGCGCGTAGTGCTAGCGCTCGACAGCGCACGCTGGCGTGCGCGCATGCCCTCCTCCGAGTTCGCGGCGACGGGCAGAATGACGCCCTCGGCCTTGAGGCCCGCACGCGAGAAGCGCGGGGCCGCGGACATGGTGAGCCAGTTGTGCTCGGGGTCGGTCGCCGAGTTGGAGTGCGCCGACGGGCTGAGGTACGAGCGTCGGTGCGGATGTGCAGAGCTTGTGGGCATGGTGGGCGCGGATGTGGACCCTGGCTGGCCATACATGGATGTCGGGCGCGGATGCCTCGGCGAGGCTGCACGCAAGCGAGCGGGGGGCGACGGCTCGGGCGGTATCGCGTCGGCCATCGAGTGCGCTGGGGGAAGGAGGATCGACCGGGGCCTGGTGGACGTCGGCGGGTTCTTCACCGTCGGGTTGCGGTGCACTGCAGTGGCACTCGGCGGTACAGGCGGGACGGGTGGGGGTGCGGTGGCGTGTCCGAGGATGGGCGTGGACCGAAGTTTCGTGAAGCCGACTGAGAGCCGTCGCTTTATTGATGTCGACTTCCTGGGCTTGGGTGGCTGTTCGCTCGGTTCCGTGCTCGGGGTCACGTCCGCGCTATGCTCCGAGGACGAGGACGCGGGATATGCTGGCTTCGAACTCGGCAGCGTGAACAGTACATTTGGGGCCGCTCGAAAGCGCGTGCCGTGCTCGCAGCTGCTCGCGCTCCAGGTCGAAGCAGCGCTCGCGGACACGGATGCACTGTATGACAGCAGCGAGCCTGATTCGTCGCTGCCGGTGAGTGTGCCGTCGTGCGATAACGCGAGGGACGGGCCTGCCAGCGGGGAGGAGCGCCGCGGCCGCGCACGGGAGGGCGCGCTGAGGTACGTGGTATGTCGCCGTGAAAATTCTAGGCGAGCGGTCTGAGGAGACAGGTCCAGGAAAGACGAGGAGGATGCGGGAGAAGGAGCGTCTGGAGAAGCAGCGTCGAACATAACCATGCTGCGAGGGCGAGGCTTTGGCAGGAGCGTCAGCTCAACGAGTTCGAGATAGAAGAGAGTTAAGGTGGGCAGGTGTGACTTGTGGGTCCGCAGGCCATTTTACTTGGGAGCGAAGGGGATGGACATGAAATACACAGAAGACTGACTCACCGGTCTTGGTATGTCGTCTGCTGGAGCTGCGACAGACGACGTGGTTACCAGGGCCATGGCCACCTACTGATGAGCTGTTCTATCAGTGATGCGTCGTTCAGACTCGGGCGGAAGCCGACCTTGGCGGTGTCGGTGCTGGGGTAGACGTCGAGGAAAATGGGTGAGAAAAGGCTGTACACGAAGCTGACTGATTTTTACGGCAGGTTAGGCGGCGGCGAGAGATAAGAGACGCCACTATGACAATCCGGGCTTGTTCTCAGGTTCGGGAGCTAATGTTGGACGCTATTATTCTACAGGTGAGTTGCAGGTTTGGATGCGAGCCCAAGTAGTTTGGCGGAGAGACAGCACCGTTCGTGTGTGAGGCTCGGAGAGGGCATGTCGGTTTAGTGTGGTGATACATGAGCCTTTTTCTGCACGTTCCATGTTGATCATTGCGTGACCCGAAACAAGCAAGGATGCTTGCATATTGGCGCCTCCAGACGCCCATTCTATCAGCGTCGGGTTCTTCTCCATCTTCCTTATCCAGATTGAGAAGAACTCCATCGATATGAACCCACTCGTCGACGCTCGCACTTGTTCATCTCGTCTCTCACTCGAATGTCCTCTCTCGCGAAGAGCTCACCTCGACTGACCGTGCACAGTGTGGCCCCATGTCCTCGGCATCCGAATCTCACCCAGGCACGTCTCACGACGGGCGCTTTCTCCCGCAGACTCTAGGCGGTCCTTCCCACCCCGGATGACTCGGACGCGCGCGAGCATATCCTCGGGCGCTGCATGGTATGTCCGTCTCTTCCATGCCAGCACCCTTATTTCTGGACAGCGGAACGTCGACATTAATGTTGGACTGCCGTCTCACCGCTGCTTGCAAGGCCCACCATGCGGTACTCGTCGCAGAAGAATGAAGCTTCGGAGCCGTCCACTTTCGAGGTCGTCACCTTCGATCGCAAATATTGACAGCTGCACGTAAGTAACTTCGAGATCTATGCGAGATCGATGACATGCCCGTGCCTTTCCCACACCTATAATTCAATTCCCTCAATTGACATCCCCCCCGCGTCATCCTTGCTGCCTCACCCAAGTCGACGTTCCTGGCTCTCCGAGTGGCGAAGTCGATGACAAGAGGCTTGGGCGACGTCTACTTCATCCCCATGGGGTTAGCTCAAGCTTTCGTAACGCTGTATACATTACATCGCACCGCCAAGATATGCATTTTTTGTTCGTATCAGAAACGCCACAGACTGCTGCAGGCTGCACGCATCTTATCACGTACGCATCGTATTTATCCCCTCTCAGCGTGCGCTCGGCAGGCCGCCCGCCATGACACTCCAAACAACGCACCCATTCGACTTCTCAGGTCCAAACGTTCATATGCGTGGTGTCAGCACCGTGTCACGAAAGCGCAGGCTCGCCCATTGGAGGCTCGCCCGAAATTACTGTGGTCGGAATCGTCCGCCATAGCGCGCGGGTGCGGTCCTACACGTTCATGCAAGACGATCCCGACCAGGACGAGACGAAGCCTGCACACGCACACGCACACGCACAGAGACAGGGTGGGTGCACGCGTGAGATATCAACAAGGGGAAGTGCTCACATGCGTGCCGCCTCGGTTTCTGGCGCAGCGCCGAGAGCCGCTCTCGAAGGGAGCTCTAAGCGATGGTGACAGCAGCAAGTACGGCATACCGGGGCGTTGCTGCGAACACAAGTCTACAGGCCATGGCAGTCGCGAGAATTAATAAGCTCCAGGAGGAGAGGAAGATCAACAGCAGTGGGGCGGGCGCCCCCAGACGAGCGTGGCGCCAAGGAAAGTGCGTCCGAGGTAGTAGCATCAATAGGATATCACTGTCCAGTGCTCAGTGAAACCGACATCAAGCGGAGCGGACGGACTCAGGACGCGCCTGGGATTGATTAACCTGACGCCGGCGAGGTGCACGATAGACTGCAAGTCCAGGAGCTGCGATCCACGCCTCACACTCACGTCGTGCAGCTCCAGCAGTAGCACTGCCACTACTGCCAGAGGACTCCCGGCTGTTGAGTCAATTGCGCGAACTTCCAGAAAATACGATGCTAAATGAACGTGCAGCGCAGTGTTTTCTTGTCTTCTTGAATTCGGGAAGCCACGGGCAGGAAGGATACCTAAAAATTGGCTCAAGTCCCCGGTGCTAATCCGAACAGAATTTCAGGCGCAACCCGGCCAATCGATACTTGTCTGGCTTGACTTGGCCTTCGACTGCGGTGAAAAACTCTAAACAATGGGCCACAACCTAGACGAAAGGTCGAGAAATCTACGGCGCCTGGATTTTTTGGGCTCAGGCTGGATTTCCCCACCTAGTGTCCTGGGCAGGAGGATCCCAGTGCTCGTAACTGGCGCCCTTCTTGCCCTTCAGGGGCTCTAATGCGAGCACGGCTTGTGGTTTATGTGTATAGCACGGCGACATCACCGCGCTGTCTAGCGCTGTGTCTTGGAGGTGGTGCTGCTCTTTTGAAACTATTCCTCGGCCGGGACGTACGTCGGCCTCATCGAGCCATATACGCGCACTTAGACTCAATCGGAGGGCCATGCGACGAAGTGACATTACCGGCCGGCCTGCGTACCAGACGGCGCGAGAATGTGTAGGCTCCTAGTTCACGGTGAACAGGTGCGGAGGTGCCAGCATAGCCTCCGATGTATGTGCTTCCAGTGTTCATGATCGTCCAGTCCCAGGTTTTGCGCGGCCGTGAGCGCGCGAGGCTAAGCAGTACTAGTAATGTTTGGACGCAGACGCGGCGTTCTCACCTTATCAGACGCGTTGTTCTCTTGGGCGCGGGTGGCACTACATACTGGGACCCCTGCTTCACAAGCATAACGCGACTTGAAGGCGAGAGCGAGTCTCTACGGGCGAGGTACCATCTGAGGGTGACCGCACTTTGTCTGCTGTCCGCAGCTGGATGAGAACGCGGACAACGAGGCTATTGACGCGCAGCCACCACCTGCACTTCGTGTATAGTGCATGTACATGCGTGGGTCATTCGTAACGTTTGCGATTGGCCTTCAGACTGAGCGGGCGTCTGCGTACTCGTGAGGCTCTCGAGGCAGCGAAGACCCGCGGAGTGAAGGGTTCCACTCAGTGGTTTGACCTGGCTTCGATCGGAGGAATATAAAGATGCACCCTCTCGCATGCGCGAATGAAGCCTCGATGCACGGAGGTAGGGTACACTCACCTTTGAATCAGCATCAAACACCCCCAACACGGCGAAATCCAGGTGAAGAATACATGGATGCCAAGGCTCCTGGTGGTCAGCATTTGGAATGAATTGCACACCGTGACTGAGGCGGTCGCAGATTAATTGCTGGCAGTGGTCCGCAGTCTCGGTATGACAGGTCAGGAAGTCCTACCACTCCTAGATGTCGGCCGCACTATACTTACAGTTTACGGCAGAATATACGCAGGAGCGCAAGGGTGCTATGCCCGCGCGAAGTAAGGTTGAACTCCTTGTCGAGAGGTCGGACAATTTCTGCTTTCGAGAGACTACGTTGACTCAATCATCATAATGTTGAACGAGGAATCGGTCGGCGTTCAACGTGACCGCGCGAGTCACGGGCCGTTGGGAATCTTATCTTATCTCGCCCGTATGCCTACTTCCCGTCATGATCGTTTCGCCACTGTTTCGCCGGCCATGATGTCGAAGGAACAGCAATGGGTCAGCGTCGTTCTCTTTGCCGCCTCTCCTTCAATTTCTCTTCGACATCCGGAGCACCACCATGACCCCTCACAGAGCCTTGCGTTTTGACGACGTGTTCGCGAGATATTTCCCCACCTCCTCCCGGACGTCGACACGGTGGGCAGACAGAGCCTTGCCCATTCTGCGCGCGTCTGCAGGGCGTTCTCCGAGTCAGCACTTGATGTGCTGTGGCAGCGGTTACGGAGTCTGGCACCGCTCATGGCCCTCATACCTCCGAGAGCTGAAGATGGTAGGAGCTGTGCGGATGTACGTGCAACCATCTATATTTTGGACTGCAACCTTCATCCACTGATGCGTCATAGGTTGTTCAGGAACATGTACTATTGCAGGGACGGTCGAGATTCCAGTACTATGCTCGTCGCGTGCGTTTCCTGAAGGTCCCCTGCTCATACCAATATAGCAGCACCGACTCGCGCGGACATACGATTGACATCGTTTCGCGACTAGCCTCCCTGTGCTCATCTGTCGAGGTGTTATTCCCCTCCCTTATCTCTTTGGAGTGGGAACAGAGCTCTCCTCACGGCAACGAGCTCTTCGCTTTCTTGTCTCCCACACTCTCCCATCTGAATTTCTGGGTTGGCAGTCGTTATCGCGGTGAACTCGAACCGTTAGCGGGTACGCAGGACAATTCCACTCTCGAGCAGCTCACAGGTGCTCTTAGCTCTGTTGCTCCCTTCTTGAGGACTCTCAGACTGAGTGGCTCGTCTCCGCGCCGCCCATTGGCTTTTGGTCCAGCCTTTTCTCAGCTCCGTGCTCTCGTGCTGAATGGCACTACGACTTCTACCACGCTCAGTTCATGTGCTGCACTGGAGAGCCTTTCAGAATTGACCATCGGACTTCTCGACACAGATCTCGATGCCCTTACGCCGTGCGTTGGGTTTCCGGCGTTGGAGACCCTCGCGGTGACGGGATCGTTCTCCAGCATCTCCCACCTCCTGTGCACAATCTCGTCCACAAGTCTGCGTTCCTTTGTGATGCCAGATTTGTACCCGACGCCGGAAAGCTGGAGAGACTGCTCGGGCTGCTTCGCGGCCTTGGCTGCACAGTTTGCGCCGTCATTGCGCCTCATCAAGATCAACTGCTACCTAGAGGGCGACGGGATCGGCGAAAACGACAGCACTGCGCTCGGGCTGATGGACGTGCTCAATCCACTGCTCGCCCTCCACCTGCTGGAAGATTTCACCATCGAGCTGCGCGGCGTTCCACTCTCGTCGAGCGACCAGGACGTCCGCGAGATGGCCGTCGCCTGGCCGCGGCTTGTGAATTTTGCGCTCGGGTATACACCCGGGTCCGCGTCGCCGTCCGTCTACTCGCTGTCTGAGTTCGCGAGACACTGTCCCGATCTCGTCGTGCTGCATCTTCTCCGCATGGAGATTCCCGCGCACCCGCCTGTGGAGCCCGAGACACAGCAGTCCTCGAAGCACGGCTTGCAGAGCATGCTGTTTGCAGGCCGGCATGACCCCATTTGGGAGCCGCAGGCGTCGCAGCTGGCAAAGTTTCTTGATCATACATTTCCGGGTCTGCAACCAGATTGTCTGCATGCGTCCGGGTGGGCGCATGTGGTCGCTGCTCTTGGTCGCCTGCGTTCCTCGCGGATGGAGGTCGCGGCGACGTCTGTGGCTGATGGTGGGTCCTTTGATGTGCATGGTATTACTTCCCTGACGTTTTAATTTTGAAGATGCTCCCTGAGGGCTGTTGGCAGAAACTGACACTGAGTGCGTATGATTATAGATTTGTGAGTTTTTTCTCGTGTGGTAGTACCCCTGCTGCTTAACAGAGCCTCTGTCAGGTTCTTCCTCCGCGTTCTGCGCGACTTGTTGATCTTCTGGGTGGCTGTCCTGGTAATGCTGGAATGATAGATGGTACCACATATTTGAACGTTGCTAGGTTCTGAATTTGCGTTAATTTGTCTTACACATAGCATATATCACCAAAGTTCTGTTCCAAGATCCCAGTGGAGCTAATAATTATCCCTCAATGATTACTCTAATATGAGTCCTGAATGTGCCATACGATACGACAGGGTGACAAAATATCGAAAACTCGGTACTCTACGATCTATCACCAGGAATTTGAGCGGGACCTTGTCGGTCTTGGCGGATATCGTACACTCGATTTTCGGTCTATGCATTAGGAGTGCCTCTGCTTCACCGCTTCAAATAACTTGGTGAGCGTACTGGCGGAACGGCGGATCACAGGAGCAGACCCTGAGCAATGACACTGCGTGGACACGCGTGCCTGGGGCTCCTCCGATCCCTCCCAAGCTTCATCGTCGGCCTTGCCTCCCCAACAGCCCAGTCCACCGGAAATCCTATCCAGCCAATCGGCCCTCGCGTCCGCGTACTCGTACCGCCTCACGCGATGCAGGGGGATGAAAAGGAAGCGTCCGCCTGCCTCCCTCTCGATTGCCTTCAAGATATTGATCGCATAGAGACTTTGGAATACGTTCGAGAGGCCCTCATCAGGTGGCGGCGGTGACTGCACGGCGAGCAGCTGGAGGGAGCGGGGGAGCATCGACGGCCAGGTCACCGCGCCAGCCACACTGACCGTCTCGTCCAGCGCCAGCCAGTTCAGCGCGAGCTGCCAGTCGACGATGCCCCGCGCTGCGAGCTCCGAGTGGAGCAGCCTCGCTATCTCCCGCCCAGGCCCGCGGTTGAGGATGGATATCCGCAGATGCGTGAGCACGGGCGAGATCGTGCAGATGAGATCGTTCATCAGGTCTGAGTACAGCGACTGCCGGCACGCGACGTGCAGGCGGCGGAGCTGGGGGCGGTTGGCCGCGGCGGACAGGACGCCGATATCCGGAGTGCCCACGGCGAACTTCAACGCCTCACCAGTGTCCGTGATGCTGTGGATGGGCACCCATTGGCCGCGGATGGTGAGCTCGACGAGCTCGGGGAAGGGTATCGCAAGGAGCTTGATGATGTAGAGCGCACCGGCATAGGGAGCGTCGAAGGATACGAATGTGAGAGTCTGCAGTGTCGGTGCGGCGAAGCGCAAGACCATGTCCTGCAACTCGCCCCATCGCAGAAATTCAGCGTTGTTGTCTATCGCACTGCATGCACAACGCGTGGAGAGGAATAGATGATGAATAGGTGGTGTTACGTCGTTTTTGAGCTTCCTGAACTGTCGGACGAATTTCCACGACTGCTTGGGCCCAGAAAGGGAGAGACACTGCCATTTGTAGGGAGCGGACGCGCGACGAACGGCTCGAGAAACGAGAGACAAGGCATAACCAGTTGTACCATCGTCCGTGCAAGCCAAAGAGAAGATCTTAGAATATAATTCTGGCGGAAGTGTCTCCATCTCTCTGGCAAAAGCGTGGTTAGCGACGAGGTTTCATTTCACCGCACTTAAGCACTCTGCGATCCTTACCAGGCGTAAGTCGTAGTGGAAGCTATGGAGACCATGCAGGTTTCATCCAATAGGGCTCTCTACACAAGTCAGAGTGACACATTGCATGAAAGGATTCCTTTAGGATATGCTGTTGGTGAGAACTCACAACTCAATACGTTGCCGTCTACGGGAAATGGTGGTGTTAAGACCTGCTATAATGCTTAAGTAGAGGTGGAGGAGGTACATGCATCTTGTCAAGAACATACGTGGGTCGCCTACGCGCACACAGTGCCACGTTTTTCTTTGCCGGAGTATACGAACGAGAATGCAGACTTGCGGCGCTCGTGGACAGCCACCCGCTACGTGAAACGTGACGACCTAATGCTATACTTGAGCGGGACCAGGTATGCACACGACGAATCACGGTGTTTCTAGTCTTCGAAACACAAACACCCCCTCATAAGTTGTGTCTAGAGCGTGCGTGACGCAGCTAACCATCTTGAAGAACCGCCACAAACGCCACGTATGGTAACCAGCGCTAATTACAGAAAGTACAACGTGATGTGCAGAACTCAGATCTCAGAGTGATGGTTCAACAACATATTGCTAAATTTCAAAGCTTCGGTACCTCAGTAGCCAGGCAGTTCACGCATGTCAGGATAGAGCATCCATAGTTCTCACACCAGAGATGAGCAGATGCCAGCAATGATTTGCGAATGGCGACGATGAACTCTAAGCAGAGGGTGGCGAAGAAGCATGAAGCACTAGCACCAGATCCTAGGTGAGGAACAGGCCTCTTGTTCTCCATTAACATTGATGTAGGGATTGACACCCAGTGCAATCAATGAGGCGTCGAGGGTCAAAACGCGAAGGACGCGTCATGCATGCCGCGTTCAAGTCGGTCACCGGCCTCAGACCGCACCAACGCGCAACTATCTGGTGGTTGGAATGCCGATGAGCATCGGTGATGCGCACGATCAAAGAGTGAAGGCGCCGGAAACCCAAGCCAGCAATGACGCGTCCCGGTGGCCGAACGGCATAACAGCCCAAGGTATCGCCGTAGGAGATACTATGCATGCCGATGCAAAGATCGTTTCTTGGATACTGCTGTGTATGTAGAATTGCGCACCCGATAGCTTACACTGATGCAGCCGCGGCACCATTGCAGGAGTTGCCGAGAAGTATTGTAGCATATAAGCACGGAGACTGCAGCGAATGGGCATAACACTCACTCCTGGAAACCTTTCACATCCTCTCCCAATCGAACAGAGATCAGTGAGTGAGCACACGCGAATTCAGCATCGTCTCCGGGTCACTAACATATCATCAGACATGACCAACACCATGTTCATCACAGGCGCCAGCTCTGGCATCGGGCTCGCTTCTGCCAAGCTCTTCTTCGAGAAGGGCTGGAACGTCGTCGCGACGATGCGCACCCCGGAGAAGGACACCGAGCTCAAGCAGCTCGACTCGAGCCGCATGCTCGTCCTCCGCCTCGACGTGCAGGACCTGGCCAGCATCGCGCCCGCTGTTGACGCTGCCCTCGCCAAGTTTGGCACGTTTGACGTGCTCCTGAACAACGCGGGATACGGCCAGGTCGGGCCCTTCGAGATGACGCCGCGCGAGAAGATACAGGAGCAGTTCGACGTCAACCTCTTTGGTGAGTGCGCGCGCACGTCGCCTCCAACTTGGAAGACTGGTGGTTGATACCGTGCGGTGTGCAGGTCTGATGGACGTCACGCGCGCCGTGCTCCCGCACTTCCGCAAGCACAAGAAAGGCGGGATCATCAACGTCAGCTCCGGAGCGGGACATTCCGCCCCGCCGATGATGTCGATGTACGTCGCGAGCAAGTTCGCGCTCGAGGGCTTCACGGAGGCTGTCGCGTTCGAGCTTGCGAGCCAGGGCGTGTTCGTCAAGACGGTCGTCCCGCTGGACGGAATCGGCGCGACGAGCTTCACCGCCCGCGCCACGGCATCTGCCGCCTTGGACGCCGCGTTAATGCCAGACTACGGCGCCTTCGTCGACAAGTCCGTGGAGGCGCTTGGGAAGTTGGGAGCGGGCAACGGGATCGAGTCCAAGGACATTGCGCAGGCGATATTCGAAGCGGCGACGGACGGTACGGATCAGCTGCGGTATTTTGTGGGGGATTATGAGCGGAGCCTTGTCAAGGTGCGGTATGGGTCTAATGACCAGGAGTATGTTGCACATGTGCGTTCTTTCTTCCAGTAGGGGTGCAGGGTGCGTAGCAATAAGTCTTTGTATGTCGATATATCTTTCAGGATGGAATATTTCAGCCGACTGAGCTCCGAAAAGGACTCACCATCGACCACACTTGTCTCTTGGTTCATATTTAGGTAAATTGCGCTGCATTCCAAGGTACACCCGAGACGCGTCCTGGAACGTCCCATAAATATGATTGCAGGTCCAATATATTAATGAACGCCCGTCCTGGATCAAAATCACAAAGCTGTGGGACGCGAGAACAAAACACCCTAGGATGAGCAGTCTACAACCCGCCCAACGTCCGGATGGCGGCGCTCCGCACCGTCCGCCCTCCGGCCTCAATCCCGCTCGCCGCGGTAAGGGCTGCCCCATCGCCCGTCGCAAGGTCGACGAGGACCCGCCCGAGCGTCCCGACCGGCGTGACCAGTCCGGGGAGCAGAGTTCTCAGAGTTGACACGATGACTGAGTCGACCACGCAATTCCTGAGGGCGCTTGTGGGACGGTTAGGGTTGGGAGGATCAACGTAGCCTGGGCGGACGTTGAATATCCGGAGGGCGCTGTAGGCGGGTGTCGAAGGGAGCGCAAGGAGGGCCAACTCGGCGCGGCCTTTGATCTTGCCATAGAAGGTGAGGGTCTTCTCGGTGGGGTCTGCACTAGCGGGTGGCGAGGATCAGTGTGGAGTTCTGCATTATTTGTACAGGTGTGACTGACCCCTCGCCTGAGACGTAAACGAAGTTAAACTTGTCTGTCGGGGAGAGAGATGCAAAGGACTTGGCGGCTGCAAGGGGAAAGTCGTAGGTGATGTGTATGTATTCACTGCGACCATCGAGTCCACTTGTAAGTCAGTCGTCATACGCAATGTACTCCAAGCACTTACTCCTTGTTCACGTCGTTCTGGCTGACGCCCTGTGCCCAGATGCACCCTTCAGCACCCTTCAGTTTTGCCAGTAACTCATCTGGGTATGCCGCGTAATCCTCATGGACAATTATCTGGGCCTTGTTCACGTCGAGGTCATTGCCTGAGGGAAGCGGGAACTGTCGTCGCGACAGGATGGAGAGCTGTGTGACGGTGGGAGAGACGAGACATTGGCGGAGAGCGGCGGCTCCGACTGTGCCTGTTGCGCCGGTGAGTATGATGTGCATCACGGTGAATGAAGAAATAGACAAGTGGTATGCTCACCGGGTTTTACGTCGTGGCTGAGATGTGCCGCGCCATGACGCGACCGTCGCGCTCAGGCTCGGCCCGCCCGATGCCGCTTTCCCGCCCGACGCCGCACTGACGCCGCACTCTTCTTCTTTCTATCATCCCACCGTCGTATGCACCGGCACGAAGCCTGAGGCCATACTCAAAAAATGCCGCACACTGACGCGTCCATTGCCGTGTTATTCTCGCTGAGCAATCCAAGTACTGGCCCGGGTATATAAGCTCGTCGACAGTCGCAACAATGAGCAGATAGTGTCTCAGTTGTTATACACTTTGCGTTCAAAGACGCATCGGTGCGTGGTCAATATTTCAATGGCGGGTATGAGATTGTTTGTGTATCACTCACATGCGCGATCATAGTATTCAGAATGGCCAACACTGTCTTGATCACGGGCGCCAGCTCTGGCATCGGGCTCGCCTCTGCTAAGCTCTTCTTCGAGAAGGGCTGGAACATCGTCGCCACGATGCGGGCCCCAGAGAAGGACACAGAACTCAAGCAGCTCGACCCGGCACGCATGCTCGTCCTCCGTCTCGATGTGCAGGACCTGGCCAGCATCGCGCCCGCCGTTGATGCCGCCCTCGCCAAGTTTGGCACGATCGATGTCCTGCTGAACAACGCTGGGTATGGACAATTCGGTGTTTTCGAGATGACGTCACGCGAGAAGGTGCAAGAGCAGTTCGATGTCAATATCTTCGGTGCGGCCCCTTTCCTTCTCGTCTTTTCATCTTTCAGGACATGACCGATGCTGTGCGGTGTGCAGGCTTGATGGATGTCACGCGCGCCGTACTTCCGCACTTCCGCAAGAATAAGAAAGGCGGAATTATCAACGTCAGCTCCGGCGCAGGCCATTTCGCCCTGCCGATGACGACGATGTACTGTGCGAGCAAGTTCGCGCTAGAGGGATTCACGGAGGCGCTCGCGTTCGAGCTCGCGTCCCAGAACGTGTTCGTCAAGTCTATCGTTCCCCATGGCGGCGTCACCTCGACGAATTTCAGCGAGCGCTTGATGGCGTCAGCGGCCAACGACCCGCGCTTCGACCAGGATTACGACGCGTTTGTGCAGAAGACAGTGGAGTACCTTAAGAAGATGGGTACCGCCCAGACGATGGACTCCATCGATGTGGCGCAGGTGATTTTTGAGGCGGCCACGGATGGCTCGGATAGGTTGAGGTATATGGTGGGTGATGACAAGCGGGGATTTATCAAGGCGCGATATCCGAAGGATGACCAGGAGTATGTCGCGTTCATGCGCGAGTTCTTCTAGTAGGTAGGGAAGTGTCGATGTAAGATATCCAGGGAAGATCTGTATGTGGAATGGTGCACCAATTGTTGTTCTTGATCAATCACCATTTTTGGAGAGCCGTGTCTGTGCATATGGGTCCCAGAACCTATTCACTTGCTGCATCTGGATAGTCGTGTCGAGACATGTGCAATGCAGAAGCGTCGCGCCACTCGCGGCCCGACTCATCCCACCATGCATCCGTCCCACACATGGCACCCTGCAATACGCATGCACGAGTAATATCTCCCCAAGTTTTCGCTGAATGACAGCCTAAACGAACCTGAACATTGGGCCTTACAGTCGAGACATCCAGACCCAACTGCAATCTGATCGGCACCGGCATAACAAAAGTGCTGTATCTCAGGCTGGCGTGGACCAGTGGTTTGTGTTCATGAAAAGCACTCAATTATTCAACCACGTACGGGACTGACCAGTACGGCGTGTGGAGCGCACGGACTCAACACGCAAAGGTACAGACCTTGAATCCCGACCGAAAGAGGTCCATTGTAAGCTTCACGTCTCCTGCATGTGCGTATGGACAGCAGATGCCCGTTGGAGGTGTGAAACTCCCTAGTGAGTGTTTAGCTTCTCGTTCAATCCACTCGCGGATGGAATACGCCATGGCACGAGATAACTGAGCTGTCACATATACGAGGCAGGCGCTCCGCCAGATTTTACCGGTTGACTTGGTCTCGTACCCAGACGGTTATCTCATCGCACCCTACCACCGCAGATAACACGTCTGGGGCAGTTTGATAGAGCCCTCCTACCTTACAGTTAGCGCCTGTTAGCCGCTCGAGAAGCCTCGCTTACGTGCTTCTTAATTATGTGCCTGCACACTCATCGAGCGCGACTTTTGATCTCTATGCCCACTTTACATGTATTTTTTGAGGAGATTTGATGGGAGTGAGTTCCCGAGAACCTCTGAAGCTTTTCTGAGATGGCCCGGATACTCTGAGCTCGCGCTGACACATCGGAGCACCGGAAATGCATTAAGCCAGCTACTTTGAGTGAAAATGTCAAGGAATCTGGCTGAAAATATGCTCGGGCTCTTCCTGTGGTGCTAAAATGTTTCTAGAGGCATTTACAGCATTACTATACAGTGTTCGTGCTAGTTCTGAGATGTGCATGCCTATGATAGCTTGATCTTCAATGAAGGAGGACATTCAAGCTTCGCAACAGTTGCCTGATTCGGCACAGACCTAGCCCATGGTCTATCGCTTATCTGGCGCTTAACGGGCGCTAACTGTAAGGTAGGAGGGCTCTATCAAACTGCCCCAGACGTGTTATCTGCGGTGGTAGGGTGCGATGAGATAACCGTCTGGGTACGAGACCACGGTTGACTATACATGGGGACAACTTTCGCATTATAAAAGGTTGGACCAGGTGAGCGAGTGCCTCGTCCCGCTTTCCCACTGTATAGTAGACTGACAGAACTTGTTTGGCAGAGGATCAAGCGACGAGAGGGCCCCCGCTCCCGCACGCCCACGTGCGATGATATCAGCCTAAAGAGACATGCCGTGGATGCCGTTAATCGCACCGTGTTCATGACAATGACAAGAGGGGTACTCTAGTCTTCTCGTCCAGGGATCAAATCTGAAGGATTACCTGCCACTCACATGGGGACTAATTCACGCTCGCTGTCTTGCTCTTTTTCACGTCCTATCAATGTTTCCCCGTTTGTGTCCATCTCATCTTCCACCGGAGCAACGGACACTGCGGCGAATACCCTCCTCTTCATCAATCTCTTGCAGCGCTTCCACGTGGTTTCAGGTTGCACTGGGTCAGGGTCTACATTTGTGTGAAAGCTCTGGTGCTCAGCACCAGTTGCTTCATCCAAGCTTCCATTCTGTACGTCTTCCATTCCATTACTTCCGGCGTCCGCAAAGCCAGCTTATTTTTCCCTCTGCGTGCGTATCTCTTGCATTGCTCATGAGGGCGCTGCGATCCGGTGACTTCACTGAGCGCGCTATGCGCATTGTGATGATTGTCATGAAATATCGTACGTTATCCCGCATGCCTTGGGTGCAAATACATTGCTCGACAACCCGTATGCACATTGATAGATGCGGACGTAACAGATGGACCGGACCAGCAATATTGAGCTTCGCGAGGGCCGCATGCACTCAGAATCTTCAGAGCCAAGTCGCCGGACTCTTGCTCGTAACGGATATGAAGTTGGCTTGCTCTGTCCAATGGGTTTGGGCATGGAAGTCTGGAGATCTATCCGTATCTCCGCGATGGCAGTGTCAGACCTCCGTCACTGCGGCGCTTCGACAATCGAAGCTAATGTCGTAAGTTATGGTTTTCTTTTTTTGGACGGACTGTGACACCAACACGGAATACTGAGGTATAGAAAACAACTGCCCTTCCTCATGTCGGCGAGCTCATGTCCTAGATGTTCCAGGATTTCCTCAGCGGTTACAATGTCAGTGAACAAGAACAATTCACGCTGAAGTATCCCGCTGTGATGCACGAGTCGATTCAATAACGAATGAATGTTAATGCAGATATCTAAGCTATCTCCGCCAACTGTACCCAAGATGATTTCGCGAACCAAAACCAATGCCTAGCTACACTCCGACACTCAGAGGGAGATGGGCACGCAGCCAATGGAGATGAGGTTGCCCTACGCGGAAGGTGGTCAGAACTGCGCAAATGCGACAGCGAAGTGAACGTGCTCACGTAGGAGTTGTCCGTGCAGCATACCGGGTTGGCATCGCAGGAGCTGCCTGAGCCGACACCCACCACGGTGAGCGGGGAGCAATCGCTACCGAGCAGGAGGTTGACGTCGTCGAGCACGATGCTGAGCAGACCGAGGAGGGCTGAGCCTGCCGCTGAGTTGGCCTGTATAGTCAAGTTCAGTGCATTGTCGTTCGCGAGGGTCTAACTATCTGACGTACAGACTCAACCGACTGGCAGCACTGGATGGAGCCCGTGTTGCACTGGCTGACAGTGGTGACAGTCGGTGCTGGGGCCGTAACCGTGAGGGTCACCGTGGAGGTAGCCGTCTCGGTGGGGACGCCCCAGGGGGTAGCAACCGCAAGGAGAGCGAGGGAAGACGCTACGACGAAGCGAGAGAACATTTTTGGCTGGTGTTGAGAGAGTGTGTTCGGAGTGCTGAACAGCTGGATTAGAACCCTTGGAACTGGAGAATTGGGAGAGGTGCGTCCCCCTCTTTATATGTTCTCCGTGCGAACGCAATTGCTGCCAATATACTTTTTATTCAGTAATTTTGTGATTATTTTCAGGCTCGGGATTTGAGTGGATGGTACGACGGAGACCGTACCGCGCCTGGCACCTGAGCTAGGATCAGCATCTTTGACAAAGTCGCGGTCACTGGATTCCAATGGGCGCATGCCAGTCGACGTAAGTGCCTGAATGGTAGGCTTCTTCCGTTCATGAATCACTCGCGTATGTCGTTGACTTGCCATTATGGCCGATTCTTCTCCGTCATGTTGTACAGGGAAGCTGAGCGGCGAAGTTGCGGAACATACTGTGAAAGGCTCCTGTAACCAAGTGACGCAGCGAAAGAAGAATATATTCACCTTTGTTAGGAAGCCACACAGCAACATTCCGGGTTTCAAAGCTTTTCAAGGGCTGTGAGAGAACCCCAGGTACTTCGGCGACACCGCCGCCGCCAGGGACTGGCTCGGTAATGCCCGACTAACTTTCCCGTGTACACTTACGTACCCCAATAATTGCTCTCAGCTCGGTCACAACCCCGACACAAGAAATGCACATACCGGTTTTGGTCTGTGAAATACCCGGACGGCGTCAAAGCCACGACCCTGCGGTTTCAGCTTGCCTCCCGTGTTCGTCGTCGAACCCAAGCAGCATCTGGACATACCTAGCTTTGGTTCGGGAACGTCTCGTATATGTCTCATGCCCGTCGTTTCCCGCGCACTGTCGGAACATGTCCTCTATGAGGTTCTTCTTTGCGTGTTGACACATGCATATGAAGGAAGTTCATAATGGTAGCCGGGCCACGGAGCGATCTGGTTGACTCATCGTGGGCGAGTCGAGACAAAAGCTAAATCTCGCCTGATTGGTCCAGGTGTCGAAGCAGATGGTCGCTGATTCGTTCCGTTCTCTTGTCTGGATAGTGCCGCCCATTGGCTCAGGCTGTCGGGTATGCTGGCCAATGAACTCGCTGTATTTGGGGGTCGCAGCCTCTAATCAGAGCGTTGCAGCTCACCTTTGTGTGTCGCCTTTGGGTCTCTTGAATTCCCCGTGTTCACCATGGTCTTCCCGCGCTGCATTGACAAGCCGTTCGTCATTACCAGGACAGGCTGCAATTTGCTTGAAGTGTTGATTCCCATCCATCTTCAGTCAAGGTAAAAGGAAAACCCTCCCCATTCATCCCCGACACAATGTATTTCTTTCTGCTGCAGTTCCTTGCTGTGCTTGTGGTATAAATACTAGTCTGGTCCTGGGAACCTGCATGTCGGCAGTGACTGCTTGTGCCCCTGCACTTGAAGAGTTCCCTTCAGGCTTGGACAGAAAGAATGATGGCGCTGTCGTTACTCTTGGACAGAGACCAGTGAGTACACTCAGTTATACCGGAAGCATGTTTTCCTCGTGGATATTATGTGCGTACCATGCAGTTTGCGGCAGTATTTTACTGTGATTAATGTTGGCAGGGCTATATAATAAGACCACTCGGTCGCGGATAAGACTCAGCCTAGGGTTAGGGTCACTGCTGCTATGATGTTCTTTGCTGTAAATATTCAAGTCCGTCCCATTGGCTTCATACCGTCCATCAGTAACCAGTGATGCACAAGCAGCTTCAGCTGTATCATACGCCGCAGGTGTCTGTATGCCGGGTAGCTCTTTGTCAGTAACACGTCGCGCACCCTGGGATTTTCTGCGAGGACTGTCTTCATCATACTGACCTGTTCTGTGTATTCATTTAATCGTTGAATCGAGCTATGCACACCACGGAGTCCGTCCGCTCCTCCACTTTTCCAGGTTGTGGCCAAAGAGTGTTATTAATCAGCCGACACAGTGATCGCCACGCTCGACGGCTCCTGCACCTTCCGCTTTCCTTCAGAAACACGGCGGCGGGTTTTCGTGTTGCGACGTTTTAGCATCAGAAGCTTGACTTGCTCATGGCTCCCCGGATCTCCTAGCGCAGGCTCGCACTGCGCTTCCGCTCACTTCCGCCCATTTCACTAGAGTCCGGAGCGTTCTGGCACTGCTCTTTCAGGAGACTTACTACACACCGCATGATCCGCACTATTCACGACGCCGAGAAATTTTCACACCGATTCTCGTAGAGTCTCCGTCCGGGAGTTTGCGGACCTCTTGAAAAGCGTTGGCGAGGAGAAGGAAGCTCGTTTAGTCCAGACTTTACCGCATTTATGGTAACTGTGGGCGCCTCTCGCCAGACGCTGTTTCTGACTTGGTGCAACGGTTGTGTAAGAATTGCGGAAATTTTGACTTCTTCTGTCACTGTTTGTGCGGCTGGGCGCAGGAGTTGCGCTCGTCTCCGCACGAGGCGATGTCGGCAGCACGAAACGCTTCGTTCTTGTTTAGCAAGTTTACCTCCAAATAAGTATCTGAATTTGATATTAACGCGGGTCTGTATTTTGCAATACGGTTCTGTTTGTCTTGGGGTTCTTGTTGTCTTCTGATCCTCTCGTCTCTGATCTTTCATTGCAGGCTCGCGTGTATCTATCTGTATTTCCCTCGTCTAGCATTTTTCTCGCAGCTAAATTACGTCTAGAATGCGCGTGTGCGATGTGCGTTCGGCCATCTCTCCATGCAGGTTGATGACTGTTCCTGGCGGTATGTGTGAACGTCGGCCGTTGGGAACGAAGACCAGGCTCGCAGTGCACGCGTGTTGGCGAGCGGGCGCAACCGGCGGCTTCCCTCTAACCTCCGTCCGGAGGGCATGCTTCTAAGTCAGCTATGTGTAATAGATCTGTGGCAAAATGTCTGGCTTTGGCAGGTATCACCATTGCCTCGTGGAGCTGGCGCGAGACAGCGGAGGTCAGTAGAGCACTTCGACCCAAGTCTTGAACTGTGAGTGCGGATCTCTATGATTTACTTATCGCCGCAGGATTTAGACTTACTTTCATGCATAAGACATTGTGAGACAGTACCAGCTCAGAATTCCGTGAGCTGTGCTATAGGTGCGGTACATAGACTTCGAAGGAGCTTGTGGGCGAGATCTTATCAGTGTGGCCCGAATTCGTCTGACCACCAATCCAAATCTTATCAATGGGGTGGGCGGTGAGAGTGGTATTCGGGGTCTGCAGTTTCACTTTTGAGGGTTGATGTCAAAAATCCTCGATGTGGGTGCCCTTGGCTAGGCCTTTTGACCGGACATCCGTCGAACTGAGACAACTGTAGTAAACGGACCAAATCGGTGTGTCACGTCACACGCGATTTTTTCTGACCCTGCCAATAATTTTCTCTCGATTTTGGTGATTTTCTGAGAATTTTCGAAAATCCAAAAATTTGTCCCCGGGTTATGTTTTTCCTACGGTAGCTGGAGTCCATGTGAGGCGGAATCAAGCAAGGGGAGTCTCTTGTCTCAATGGTGACAATCAAAAGGCGAAACTTTTTAACTTTCTACAGACCCACAGATGTGAGGTTTCTCCGAAGTGGCAGAGGATATAGAAGGTTAACCTGGCTAAGTGGTGGCAGAAGCTTGGGAAGGATCTGAAAGGTTATTAGTCACGGCGGAAGGATACCGTATACTGTAGCGAAACGACCTTAGGTTCATGGGGTGTGACCCGTGACATGCTGGCTCGACCACAGTTCACAAGTCAGTGTGACATGGGACACTAGTTCAGTTCACGGGTGCTGCAGGCGCCCGTGGAGGTTGGCAGTCGGATTTCCCTCAAGCTTGATGGCGCATTATACAACCAGACTGTATGGTAGTACAAGCCACATTGAGTCTGTGCATGCAATATATTGCATGTAAAGACTCACACATTCAGATCAGCCGTGTCAAAGTCACTCAGAAAGGCACGCATACAGGCTACAGATAAGCGCCCGCAGGCGAATATTTAGCGCTCGTGACCATTCTGTTGGGCCAGTTCATAATTTCCTGTGACCCGTGACAAGCGCCCAAATAGGTTCAGTTCACAAGGGCTGTGACCCGTGACTGAACCTAAGGTCGTTTCGCTGCAGTACTTCTCGGCGCCTATGCTAGGTCGACGCGAAGTTGGGCGCAAGGAGCCTCGTGTTAGCTTCACCACATTAATTCACGGTATTGCTTGTTCAGAAGCCTCTCCATACTCCAAGTACTTTTCAATCTCTTCGCTGAGGAGCTATACAACGTATGAGCAATGATGCATAAACCTTAGATCGAAGAATTTTCACATTGACAGATATTATGAAGGACGCCATAAAGCAGGACAGGCCGAACGTCGAGCCACGTACCGGTACGTTTCCTTCTCAGTAGCCCATACTACTGTCTGGTGTCCTCTGATTGCGATTATGATTGTTGAACCGACAGCTTTCGCCCGTTGCAGAAAATAAAATCCGAGTCATCAGCTTGTTTTTTTTCACTTCGTGATGTCTGCATATCTCGCAGAACCATGTCCAAGCTCCAGTCATTCCGCACTCGCAGAGAACAACGGCGAGCTAGAGCAGGATGCAGACTTCTGGTTTGCAGATGGCTCGATCATTCTTATCGCGAAAAACACTGCATTTCAATCGTGTCCACCAAGGCGTGCTATCTAGACACTCCGAAGTATTCCGCGATCTCTTCACAGTTCCTCAGCCCGAGGGCCAGCAGTACGTGTACGACTGTCCCGTTGTTCGCCTCTACGATTCTCCCATCGACTTTCGATATTTGTTGCGTGTCTTGTACGATGGTCGAAAGTGCGCTTGCATCGTTCGTGTGATGCCAGCATATGTTTCTGATCACGCTCTGTAAAAACCGGAAGTCAAGTGAAGTCTAAATATTGTCAGGCTGCAGTCAGCGAGTTTCAGAAATTTGGCACCATAGTCACAGAGAAGTCAGGATAAGTCCGATTTCAGTCGCCAAAGTGATCCTGCCAAGAAATTATGTCATCAAATGCAGTCAAATCCTAGTCTGCGAAAGTCTGACACCACAGTTGATTGTCTCATAATACATGGCATTCCGGTGCTCATATGTTGGTTCTTTTGCACTCAGAGGTTGGAATATAGCTGTAGAGACATGATCTAAACCATATGAGGTTATGTACTACAAGAAAATTATACAAATAGTCATGAATAGTCAAATTTGCCAGAATTTCGAATTTGGCTGACTACACTTTGACTTCCCGTTTTTACTGAGTGTGACCCGTGACACTCTGTAAAAATGGGAAGTCCAACAAAGTCATATGTAGTCAAACAGTATACAGTCATTGTCGCATTATAGTCTACTGCTAGTCACAAAAATTGTCAGCTTACAAATTGAGAAAAAAATGCCAAGAAATTTGTCATACAGTAGTCTGCAATAGTCAAGAGATCTGCTAGAATGTATTAAAGCCTTCTTCTAGATCCTCTGCCTCTTCCTCTGCCTCCCTGGCCTCTCCCCTTTCTTCCGGGGTCAACCAATCAAGTCCTGGATGCTTTCTAAGCACATAGACAACAGACTTGTAGTTCCATACTCCAACAACATCCACAATTTCTGAAATTGGGGCAACTTTGATCTCATTAGACCACTTCCCCTTCCAAGTCTTCAATGGATGCTGTATATCATTGATTGGATGATAAACAGCTATTGCCTCTCCATTGAATTGGTAGAATGCAAGTGCTTCACCAAAAATTGGGGCTGTACTTCCAGCCAGATGACCCTCGAAGTAGCGATGAGATCTTGAGGGAATTTTGCCTTGGTGAAGCTCGCCCAAATGGCTGTTCAAGACAGCACCTTGACTGCCTACACGTAGTTTTCCATATCTTGTAACAATTGCATCAAGATTGAAAGCAATCTGCTGTGACTCTGAGATTGCTTGTAATTGTTGATAGAATACCATTCCTGGTTTACGCTCCTTTCTGTTCACTGCAAATTTGGAAAAAAGCAATGGCTTATTGGTGTCTGGTTGTTTCGAAGTCGGTGCGAGTGCAGGATAGTATAGAAGAAGGGATTCAACAAGTTGTCTTTCCAAAATTAGGTTGGCCAAATTTGCAAATGGTGCCTTCTTGGAACGAATTTTTGAACCAAGTTCCCCAATGGTTCTTTCCATAGTTGCTTGTGAGCCAAGGCGTATAGAGCCATACCATTTGATGTGGATGGGCACATGAATTAACTGAAAAATGCATAGCCGAAATCTTGAAATTTTTTCTGGATCGACTCCAATGTATAGTGTCTGAAAACCTATCAGAAATGTCTTGATCATATTGTGAAGCCAGTGAATATCGGCATCGCTTCTAGGCCTGATTGTCATGGCAAACTCTACAATTTCCACAAATTGGGAAAAATTGTAAAGGACCATAGAATTGAAGCCCAGTTCCAATCCAATTGGAAGAATATACCAATGAAGCAAAGCCATCCATTCGTAGATTTTGTACTGGCTTTGTCGTTTCAAATAAGGATCACGAACTGGTCCACAGAATGATGGAGGGAGTGAGGACATTGTTTCTGAGATCAGAGTTCCAAATAATGCTGCTTTCTCTTTGCTGAGATGAATTGGATCTTGAGGTGAACTAAAAGTAGTCCACAAATCCCATATAAAAGCCATTTGGTTTTCATACTGGAGGTGAAATGGATCCAAAGGATAGAAGGATGGATGTATGAATGCATGACTTGCTGCAGCTAGAGGCATACGAGAAATTCCAGTATCTCGTGTAATCGCAGCTTGTTCTCTCTTTGAGGTAGCATGCAGAAGCTTTGCAATGGTGTCCCAATATTTTGTTTCAGTCCGCAATGGCAAATTGTCAAGATCATAGAAAGGGGTGCGACTGGGATTATATCTTGCATTATCTGGAGGTGATATAGGATAGTACTGTGCCTTTGCTCCTTTCTTGAGGCTCGAGCGTGCACCCTGTACTTCACTAAATCGATCACCATGAAGTCCAGAGTGTCCTGCCATTCCATTCATTTTTGCAGAGCCCAGCATATCTCCAAGGACCATGCAAAGAAAAGCATGGTGAACAAAATACGAGGAATCGATGGCATCCCACATCCAAATGCCCTCACTTGCCATAGCTAGATCTTCAAAGAGAGGTCGCAAAAAGGATTCAATGTCTCCTGGACTTTGTGGGCCTGGAATAGCCATAGGAATGAGAATGCGATGAGATTTATAGCGCAGTTCTGGAGGGAGATTCAGCAAGATCAGGATAAGGATCCATGTGTTTGAGTGTTTCTTCATTGTGAGCTGAGCACCATCTGTGGACAAGGCAAATGCAATATCTCGTGAATCCCGAAATAGATCCATCTGTGTATAATGATGGATGTGCACATTGGAATCTGCAAAATCTGAATAGAGCCTTTGAGACTAGAAAATTCTAAATCAGTTTCAAACATATTAAATATATATATATAAGTAAAACCTACCTGTGAAGCTTCTGCAAGCAATTTTAAGGTCTGCTGTAAACATTTATCCCTATATCGTAGAAGTCTTGAAGTCTCCACATTTGCAAACATGGCCTTGATAACTGCAGTAAATGGGGTATAAAGCATCTGTGCTCTGGGCTTTTTCGCAGCTCGGTACCGTGGCTTTCCACAGAGTTTGTTGTCTCGAAGAAATGGACAGGTATCCATCTTTTCGAATTGACCAGTATAAGCAATGCAGCTTCGTGGACACATATCAATTTGCAGTGGTGTGGTGTCTGTTAAGGTCACTGCTAGCTTGCGGACCAAATATAGGGACAAGATATCCACTTGGGATGCATCTGCCAAAACATTTGCATGATAGTTATATGCTTTCACTGTTCCATTAGACAGCTTCCAAGCAATATAATGTCGAAGAGATTGAAATTCAGACCTAGATAAATCCCGTGGTGGAGATGCAGAGAAAGGAGGCTCCGAGGGACAGGAATATTTATTCAGGAGAGCTTTCTGAAGATCCACTCGTGCTTGAGGATATTGAAAATGAGCAGGCTCCGCGATATCGTCTTGAGTCTCAGTATCACTTGAGTTGATACCACTTGTATCACCATCATCTGAATCTATATTACTTGAGTCAGTTTCTTGAATTTGAGGAGGAAATATACCACTTGTATCACCATCGTCTGAATCTATATCACTTGAGTCAGTTTCTTGAATTTGAGGAGGAAATATAAGAAGATTTTCATTCTCTTCCTCGACTTCTTCCTCAGCTTCTGTATTGGCTTCTTCCTCAGCTTCCTTCTCATCATCCTCCATATCTTCATCCACTTCCATAGCATATACCTCTTCCATATTTTCATCAACTAGATCTCTCTCCTCACTTATATTCAAACTGTCCTTAGCATTGGAGGCTATAATTATATTAGCTGTAAGATTTACCAATAACTAAGTAAAAAACATACAAGGATTCAAACTGTCTGAGTCTATAATTATATTAGCTGTAAGATTTACAAATAACTAAGTAAAAAACATACAAGGATTCAAACTGTCCTTAGCATTTGATTCTATAATTATATTAGCTGTAAGATTTACAAATAACTAAGTAAAAAATATACAAGCAGCCAATATTTCACTGGAAGCTTCTGATGATATGTTCCACAGTGTCTGAGTGTTCAAAGAAATACAGGTGTGAAGATGGTCGCGAAACTCCTCTGTGTGAAACAGATGTTCAAGCTCTTCAATATCTTTGTAGAGGTGTTTTCGAATAGTTTTGGGACCGCGTTCCTTGCCGGGGTGGCATTGACTGCACTGGCAAAGCATATTGTCTTTAGTCTCAGGAGTGTAGAGCTGGTCAGAAAAGTGTAATGAGATGTAGTGAGAGTCAGAGAACAAGAGAGCGGTACAGCCAATAGCCGCGTTGCATCCGTCTGGTTACAACGTGGTCCATTTCCTAATTTGGATTGCTGACAAATCTCGAAAACTCAAACCTTGCGGACATGGCGCTCTCTGTGTTGGCCGCCTAGTAATGTCGTTCCAACTCTCTAATTTTTCAGATTTCTCTACTAACTTCTCTCTGCCTTCTGGATCTGCAAGTCTTCATCAGTCCTTCACTGATCATGACATTGCAGGGCTCGAGCTCTCCGAACTTATGAAGAATCGCCACGTTGCCGACTTGTACACCGAGCTGCGCAGAACAAGTGCTCAGGTGGTCAAGTTATCTGATGTACAGACTGAATTGATGCAGGTTATGCAAGAAAATAAGCAGTTGACACAAGAGCTGCAGGCCTTAAAGTCCGAGAAGAGCCGATCCCCAAGTTTTGTCAGGTAAGCTTTTCCCCTCATGTTCGATCCGATTAACCTATATACTACACAGTACTTCGACACTCATGCCAAGCGACTCTGTTTCGCATCGCGGTGGCACGATCTCACAAGATAGCAGCATCGTCTCTCCTCCTGTGCCGAAAAAGACATATTCATTCACGGTCCTCTGGAACAAAGAGGATTGTAAGAAGGACGACGATGTCCACATCACGGTAGCTAATCCTGAATGGATTCCTATGGATCAGGCCGTTCGACACGAGAACGGTGACCTCATCTCAAGCGCAGAGTGGCACGCGATTCAGACGACTGCACGCGTAGTCAAGAACGAGCTTCTCTCTCTTCCACCTCCTCGAGACCGTCAGTATCGCAACATAAAGCGAACAAAAAAGGTATTCAAGGCTGCATATCCACACGAATGGGAAGCAGCCATGCTGAAGATGGAGAAGCAACAACCGTTGCTCGCCCTTTGCTCAGACCATTGGAAGGCAGAGTACATCATTGGTCCTATGCTGCTCCAGCAGCACAAACCCGACTCCGAACTCGACAATGATGATGACGACGTTAGTCACATCAGCACTTCCGCCACCAACACTCATGCATCTGAGCACGGTGAAATCTCCGCCTCGATGGCCTCGCAGGTCTCTGTTGCCAACAAGAGGCGCCGTGTCCACTCCACTTCTTCAAGCAAGCCAAAGAAGAAGCCTGTCGCGGGTGTGGTATCGCAACATGCAGAGGGTCGAACATCTGGCCCAGTGGCCACACCTGCATTGGAACCGCAGCTGAGTCTAACGTCTGTCCCAGTGACCATGCCTGTGGAGCCACAGCTGAGTGCAATCGGTAATATTCTCGGTAAGTAAATTTACATGGTCCTTTTGCGTTATTGAACCTCATTGTAAATAGCCCAAGTGCCTTCCGCGCCTCCCTCTGTCGTTGCCTCTGTCATCTCTCCTTCGGTATCTGGCCTAACGGTGAAAAGCGCCATTGACATCAGCTTCATCAATGTCGATCCGTCAATCGAGAATTTGATAGGTACGCTTCATTCATCATTATTGTTTGTTTATTTATTTGCTTGCAGATGCCTTGTCCAGTAGCCATCCGGATTTAATAAGTGGTTTGGAGCTGCTCAATTCCATGAAGCTCACACCTGTATTCGACATCGGAAGTCATCACATTCATCGAGCGCATCGAGAACGCTGATCCTAACTCACCCGACCTCTCGGAAGACGATCTTGGAACGGCGTGGGGCCATTACCAGTTTACAGCAGGCTCGATGACCTCCAGCTCCACGCTTGTCTCATGGGATGGCATTGGGAGTGAGGCCGCGCGAAGATTAATTGCCGCCAGCATCAAGACGTGCAAGGTTGCAAGACATGTGTGTTTTGTCAGCGGGATCAAAATGAACGCGTATCTTAGTGATGCATACTTGGAGACGACAGTTGAAATCCTTTGGAGGCTCTGGAAAGCCGCAGGAGGAGTAAGTGCTATATTATCTTGGCGGGTGTTGCTTCTAAATATGTTCACTACAGCCTGTTGTGAAGGGGAAGGGCAAAGCTTTCACATCATCGGACTCACGCACCATGTCCACTGCTGACGCCATCGCCAGTATTCCTGACTCCTCTGCCGCCACTCTTACCCCCTCTGCCACCACTTTGGTCAATGTCTCTCAGCCCTCTGCCAACATCGGTTTGTCCATGAACTCTGATTCGTGCCCTTCCAACTCGTCTGGTAGTGGAAAACCTATGGCCAACAGCAATTCTGACCCGCGTGCATATATCACTGTACGTACATTTAGCCTTTACCGTTTATTTCCACTGACGTGCGCCACCGGATAGTCGCTCAACAGAGACGAATTGTTTGAATGGATCATCGATCGGAAGTTGGCGGTCAATATGAAGCTTGGAAAGAAGAGTTCCTCCGTTAAGAAAGGTAAGAATTCTCCATTTTTTTTACCTTCTGTATGACTTGGTGCACTCATTTTCGTGTTTACAGACAAGCTCGTATCAATCATTCTGTCCGCCGAAGTGACCGCCCAGCCGTCTAAGGCAGAAGTCGACGTCATCGTGCAGCAGGTATGATACTAGTCCCATTCTTCGCATCTACTTCTGACACTTCGGTTTGCAGTGCAAGCTTAAGAAGATGGCCACTTCAAGAGTTTGAGCCTCATCGCGAGGAGGGGAGGGGCGTGTCGCTGCTGTGTCGCTAGTGCCAAATTGTTCTCATTTGTAGTAACTCTGCGTGATGAATTCATGACTTTTGATGACCTTTGATGACTATTTCGATGAAAGAGAGTGACTGGAGTTTGACTACTTTATGACTGAAATTTGACTATGGATGACTATGACGGACTATTGTTTGACTTTACTTGGTGGCTGCGGTGTCGTTACTGCTCCCCAACTCCAGACTAATTCTCGACTTTTTGTAGACTAAACCTGACAAAAATAGTCACAGGCTGGTAACTAAAACACAAAATTCTGGCCAAATTGACTAGTACACGACTATTTAATGACTCTACATGACTTAGTTGGACTTCTCATATTTACAGAGGATCACGTAAGACATTCACAGGCATTCTGTGAAGTACGAGCCGAGGCTCGAGTCGAAGCTCTGGTCAGGCTCGCACACAAGTATCAACTTGATGAGCTGCGAGCGGAGGCTCTGGAACGACTCAAAGCTGTTTTCACCGACAACTTCACGATATATTCCACACGGGATGAACGACCTCTTCTTCTACGCCCCTCAGACGCCATTTCGGTGGTGAAATTAGCCCATCTCACGCCAGAGCCCACCTTACTGCCTCTAGCGCTGTACCAATGCACTAGGCTGGACGCGACGCAGCTCCTGGAGGGCATACCTCTGGCCAATGGCATGATTGACAATCTTTCTCATGAAGACCTGGTAAGGTGCATAAATGGCAAGGCCATCCTGGCACACAAATGCGCGATGGCGTTCTCGCGCGTTTTCGCTCTTGCGAGCTCCGAGTGCATCAGCAGATCGCTCTGCACAAGCACGCTCTCTGCTGTGCAGCTCCGCGTCCTTAAAATGCTCTCCTTACGGCGTCATATGCATGCGCTAATTTGCCAGTGTATGTGCGAAGAGCTTGACAAACTTCGCGAGCTGGGCCATCTGTGTGAGAAGTGCCATCAGTTTATGTACGTGACACACCTCGAGGGAAGACAGCAGGTGTGGATGGAGTTGCCCTCCGATTTTGGCTTAGGTGATTGGTCGCAGCTCCGCGATGCAGGAGTGGCAATGTGAGGTGAGCCATAGCCCTTCACGAAGAGATTTCGCGTTGATATTGTACAAGCTGTCTTTCAATGTTTCGATTTGCGATCCATAGTCACCACACCATCCGTCGACTGCAGCTGAGGATTGTAAGCACATTGCTGCCACCATAGAATTCCCCTCCTTTCACCTTACGGTCCTGCATTGCGTGTCTCATCTTCATGCCTGTGCCGCTATTGTTCTATGGGACTTTGACAGATTGAACTCCATATGCGCCTTCTTCAAGTTAACGATCGGATCGTCGTTGACAGATTTTGCATCCAAAGGATGGACGCTGAAATAGATGTATCTACATAGGATCTTTATAGGATCAGAAGAAGGATCAGTGTATCTTCGGCTTGCAATAGTTTGTAATGGTACTTGCTTGCATTTTATATTATACGCCTTTGCGTGGTCTGTGGAATGGAATACACAATCACTTACCGCCGTGGATGTCGACACTCTTACACTAATGCTCAAGAGGAGAGCCGGAGGTATCTCAGCAGCTTGCCGTTAAAGGAGTCGACTAGAGGAAGCTTTGAAAGTTTATCGTACAAATTCTGTACATATATTGCTTCAACCTCGAGCTTTTCAGAGAGAGCTGGATTGGAGCAATACCGTGAATTCAAATACGATTCAAATAGAGTTTAGTCCTAGCCGCCCTTCTCGGCCGCGGACCTGCATCAATATCCATCCTGCCTGTGTGCAATCTCCAACTTACGCTGAATATGGTTAGACTCTATGTCGTCTACGCAGCCCGCAGTAATAAAGTCGATGGGGGGTATGTCCTGGTCTCCTACGGCGACTTAATGGAAGTTACGGGATGGTGCTTATGATTGTCAATACGTTCAATAGGTCCGTTCTCCGCCACTGGGCTTTGCTCATCAGCGACAATGGCACCATTGGCCGCCGTTGTCACGTCTTCAATAGAGGGCCTGCCGGTGGAGAAATGGTGTATGAAATGACGGAGAACTTCAGCATCCTGGACGACCGTGCCTATTCTACCGACCGAGTTGCATTGGGTGTGGAACTAGTTGGAGAGATGTCATCGATTTTAGCCACCATTGAGGCCGTCGATCGCCCCAACCAGCAATTCGAGAATTTCGAGTTTTTTCCTCACTGCCAGGATTGGTGCCATGATGTCGTTAAAGCATTGATTGGGAAGGGAATGGTTCCTGCGGAATCCCTCGACATGTTGAAGCTCATACCCTCTCGCGATTAAAAGATATACTATGTGAGTAGTCGCCAGAGTTGTTTTGGAAACTGAAGCAACTCCCGTTCATAACAACTCACAGATCTATTCTTCAGTAGAAGCAGCACGCCGAGGGAGAAACACGCCTTAGCTCATCACTGCCGACACGGCTTCTGCAGCCAGAAGCCGCGCCCGATCCCCCAAACCGAGGAGAGAAGGAAGTTTTTCCCAAATATCACGTCGTCTTTCGAAGTCGCGGCTCCTCACTGGCAGGAATTCTGTGCAGTGGTAGCGCAGACGAACTCTTTTTGCAGATGGCTTCGAGGAAGCTGTTTGAATTCTGCAGACTGTGGTAGGGCATTATTATGTTTCGGGAGAACAATTCTAGGGTGCTTAATACATCAGCAAACTCGCACGAGTCTGGTGAGTCTGGTGCCAGACGCACCATACGCGCCACGCTGCCACAAACGCTCGTGGCACTACATTTGACCTACGTATTTCCACGATGCATTCTGTGGCACCATACACTTACCAGACAGAGAAGTCCGGTGCCATACTTGAGCCATACTCAAGCTATACTCGGGCCATACTCGAGCCATCCACGATGGTCCAATTTTTGATAATTGAATATATGAAATATATTAGGACACTACTAGCTAATACTACAGGGACGGTATGGCAACTGAAGACACCGGCAACCAAGCTCAATCACAGAGTGATGGCACAACTGTGAGCGTGCTCGAGTGTGGCGGTGGTGCTCCATGCGCGCGGCGTGCTGGCCCCCGCCGGCCGCAATCGCGTTGTGCTCACTCGCGTGCGTCGCGGAGAGCGCGTCGGCGCGCGGGGGCTGGCGTAGTGCCAAGGGCATCTGAGTTGGCCTTGTGGAAGAGGTTCTGTGAGAGGCGACTGACGGTGCATTGTATCTTCTGAGTGTTGCGCGACTTCAGTGACTGACCATGAGATGCAACGGAGCATGGCGACCAAGGTCTTTCGCCCCCCGTCCGAGCTGGAGAAAGAACGCGTGATTGTGCTTTAGGAGACCTGATCTGAGGAAAATGTTAGCTCCCCGTCGCTCATTGCAATTCATCACGTACCCGATTTGCCCGATTTGCACCAGCGTCGGCAACAGACTGCGCCTTGGTAGAGATAGGTCGCGTGTGAACAGAGGGCGACGCCACAGATGCTGGCAGTGGGACTCCTGCGGCCGTAGCTGGTGTCATCCCGAATTGCTGACAGAATTTTAGCAACTGGATACGCAGCACAACACAGGCCTTCCTACCTGGAACAGGTTGAGATGGCTAGACGTAAATGAAGCTGTGTCGATAGGAAAAAGGGGAGCGTTCGTCTTCAATAGTGTTAATTATTACGGCTCGTTGATAGTGGTTGCTTTGGAGACCTACCTGACCATTGTTCCAAGGAGCAGGGCCAGGGGGCAAAGGTCCGAAGTTGCCGAACGACGATCCATAGGATTCGAAGTGGGGACCAGGGGGATTAGGTTAGAATAAAGACGAACAAGTCTCAGAGGACATCGCTGAGCGTCAATGTATTGTGACTTATTTGGTTTGTTCAACAAAGTCACATGCTTTGTGGACTTAGCACACCGGATGCTTCAAAGTTCGAACATGAAACAAGCTCGACAGAATGTGGAGTCAAGTCAGTTGCCCTGTGGCCAGTAGCACATTCTCTACATGTACAGTAGTCAATATCATGCAATAAATTACAGTATATCTTATTTGTGTTGTACTGTGGCAGGGAATCAGAATGTATGGTAGAGTATAGCTCAGTGTGGTGCCACACTAACCATAGCAACCATACGCACCAGATCAAACCATACTTGTGTGAGTTTGCTGATGCATCTTGAAGAACCGCCACTACGCGGAGCGGTATGCATTAAGGTCGCACAAACAGAACTGGTCGGGCAGTGGGACTGGTATCAGTGTTGGGATTGACCGTCCCAACCACGGCATTGGTAGTGAGATGTATCAGCCCCTCCATACACGCCGCCAGGTCTTCAGCCGACAGTCGTTCGACTGTACTATGTATCTTGGTGAGTCGCACCTTGGTTGAGCTTAGAAGGGGTCAGCGTACTGCAGAGGTAGAAAGCTACGCGTAGCATGGAGAGTGCGCCGGTGAACCTCGCCGCTGGGTTGATCGCCACAGTGCCATAGTATTTCTGCTTGATGACCATCCTCGATGCTGGTTCCAGAAAATTGGCATTCCACGCGCGAAGTCGTGGGTAAATACCTTCTTCAGTTTTGCCAAGGCCCGTTCGCGACGTCCGCCGGCGTGACCTGGCCTGCGATTGAGTCTCTTGAAGGCAGAGTGTAGACACTCTGCTTCAACCTTCGTGCCTCAGGATATCTGACTACGATGTTCTCACCAGGATCTATGTTCATTGCCTTGTCTTGACTTAGATCAGGAGAACAGTAGGTGCGTTTACTGATTCAGAGTTTATTCGTCAGGCTAAAACATCAGGCCTCAGGGAGCAGACTCAGCGATGTGACCAAACAACAGTCGTGCGCGAGTTGTTGTTATTTAGACTCCCCGCAATCGGCACATGGACACCAAGGGGCCGCCAGTGGTGATCGGTCAACTTGACTACAACCAGCCCTATGCCTCCCACGTCCACCGCATTCTAGTGTTGCTCTGCCTGTCCTCCATCGTGGGCGAGCACGACGGCTCATAAAACAATGCATCTCCTTGTAACCTTGCCAACTCCAGTCGCTCACTCGCCGGTGCTTTCTCCTCGGTGCGAGCTCTGCCCTACACGGATATCCTGAGATACGAAGGTCGAAGCAGACTGTCTGTCTGCCTGAGGGATGCTAATCTCCACTCGCGCAGAGCGTGGGTAATTACTGCTTGTCGTTCCCTGGAAATTCACCTTGTATGACCTGTAGGTCCGTCTGCGCATCGTTCTGCACTTTTGTTCTGTCTGACAATAGCTGGATGCAGGTGTACGAGTGAGTTACGACTGATGCGTTACCACGAGGATGTGTTCCGCTGAACTACAAACCTTAAGAGGTGGCGACACAACTTTGCAATTAACTTCAATACTTCGACGACTCATGCGCGTGATGATCAAATAGCAGGTAACGGTGTCGAGGGTTCCGGATTCTGCAGCTCTGCCGCGTTGTGCTCATTCTTCGCCCTATAAGTGTCCCGTGCAGGGTTGCATGCCCCTCGAGGACTTTGCGCCGGTGACGGCCATGATGGAACGTCTGGCAAATTGCGTGGCGCTCGGCGAGGGCTCGATCCTCGATGTACCATTAATCCGATGACGCTTGCTGCGTACGATGCGTGCCAGTGGTAACTTTCCATGCTGAATTTGTCTTGTACGATTTATCGCAGATTACACTGATTTGAATATCATTTAGTATCACTCTTCATCTCCTCCGGCTGCGACATGGTCCAGTTCGAAGAAACACGACGAGACTTCCGCAGACCTATTCACCCCATCAATACCGACGATGTCACCGCGACTCCCGTTAAGGAGAAAAATACGGTCGGGGAAAGAAGTTGCGAACGAGAAACAGACGCTACCGGGCACGTTCCAGGAAATGAGATGACTGGTGATGTTCCGCCGATCAGGTGGGAATTGAGGTTCTCTTGCAACTGACCTATATTTGGCCTGGTTCAGTAGGACCCCCCAGTTCCAGAAGAGTGTCTTCTGACGCTTTACGCTGCGGACAGTGGAAAGAACCACTTGTTTTCTACCTGATATTGTTGTTCGGTCGGTCTGCATGCGATATTTCATACCGCCGTCGTTCCTGGATTATATAACTCGGCATTCAATCGCCCTTGTCTATCGACTGTTGGAATTCTTGTCTGTCCTTATTCACCCGCTTCTCATGGTTGAGCGGCGGCACACCAAATACCGTGTGGACTTCACGTTTCGAGGCGAAGGGGTTGCTGTACATCGCCTTTCGCAGAAACGTGTGCAGATAGGTCAAAAATAGATACAAATATATCTTACCACTAGCTTGGCACCGGCCCCTCTACTGACTCTGACGCAGGTATTGGAGCTTCATTCTGTCCATCTGAATTTCTCTGAAGCTGGTGAATTATATCTCGTTTCGTCGCCCTTGAGGCCTGAGGCCTGAGGCGCCTTGATCAGGTGGCTATGCTTCGTACTACACAACCACCTCTCGGATGTCTCCGTGATGTTCGCGCTCTCTGCGGTCGGTAGCGTGGACGAAATAGAGGTTCGTTTCCCACTGAGCCCTCATTACGCCATGCTGCTGTGAGAAAGTGCCATGAGACTCAGCGAGACTTGAATTTGGATATGGGGTGAATTTTTGGTCAGCGATCGGCCCAGTGGTGAGTTCATGCTGTCTGGGCTTCTTCACGCTCGTCATGCTCCAGGTATTTTGTTGGACAGGGTGCAATTACCTACGGGGGTGTACGTCTTCTGCTGTAACTTAGAGCCGTGAGTGAGTATATATCGTGTGTATCACTGTGGCACCTTAGGAGCTTCTCACGACTGTCTCGGCGTTGTCGGTATTCAGAATCGAGGAGTCATGCGTTCGTGGGTCGGACACGGATATCCTGAGGAAGGTGAAGCAGAGTGTATACTCTACCTGGGGAGGCTAAGTTATGATGTTATGGGTCGCTGATTGCGGTCATCATTGCGTGCATAACCGCTCAACGCTACCGGTACCTCTTTGTGCTCACCACGTCGGGAGCGTGATTCCGCGTCGTACAGACTCTCAGCCGTGGGCGAGACGCTCCGCCTCGTGCGTCCCGGGACCCATTAATGATAGCTGTCACCCAGCCGGAGATGGATCGCATGCGTTGAATATGTCCGTCTTGATTTCCTGGCATTCCCCGAGTCTTCTCAGATGGCAGACCTTTTCGAGGCTGGGGAGAGGAGTGATCCGCTAGGTGCTAGTCGGTGTCGAGCTTTCCATCGAACACAGTTTTATCTCTCACAATCTACTTTCATCTCACGAAGCCCGCTACATATTCCCCAGCTTCTCCCCATGGCCCGTCGTATCTCTCCCCGCCCCTCCAACTCCTTATGGACGCTGGTGTGAAGTCGTACTGGGCACCGCTCATCCACGACAGCCCCGAGTACCAAGCTCGTAGGGCCCGTCCGTTCCAGCCTCCCAACCTCTCCATCAAGGACATTCACGCCGCGGTCCCTCGCCATCTCTTCGAGAAGAGCACACTCAAGAGCCTCATCTATGTCGGACGTCATGTTGCCCTCACCATTGGGTTCTATGTATTTGCTACCCATATTGGATCGCTGGCGGGTCAGTTGTGTGCGGTTGTCGGGTGTGTGGGTAGGATCGGGCCTTTGCTGGAGCTTTGCTTGTGGGCCGCGTATTGGTTCTGGCAGAGCGTCCTCTTCACTGGCCTGTGGACGTTGGGTGAGTGTTTTCCCTTCCGTTCCAGTTTCATTCCTGATTGCAGTTTACAGGACATGAGGTACGCAGCTCTCTCGGTCGATGGTAACCTCACTCAGAATGCACCCAGTGCGGACATGGCGCGCTCTTCCCCGCTGGCTGGGTGAACACCGTGCTCGGCCTTACTCTGCACACCACCGTACTCACGCCGTACTTCGCCTGGCGCGTCACCCACCGCTCTCACCATGTCAGTCTCCTTCCTGGCACCCCCGGGATCTAATGCCTGACTATCTGCACTCCCAGAAAGGCACGAACCACCTCGCGCGCGACGAGACGTACCACCCGCCGACTCGTACGGACCTGCGTCTCCCGTCCGAGAGCGAGGCACGAGCGATCGACTACAAGACGATGATCGAGGAGACTCCCGCGTTTACGCTGTTCAAGATGGTGATCCGGCAGTTCTTGTGAGTGGCTGATCAGTGTTTTGAGAGACGGGCCATTGAAGTTTGCCAGAGGCTTCCAGTTGTACCTGATGTAAGTTCGCGTCTTGCGCGAGAGCGAGGTAGTCTCATGATGGGCACAGACATAATCGCAAGGGCAACCCGAAATACCCCAAGTGGACGAGCGTGAGTCGCTGCACCCATTTTTGTCCGAAGATCGACGTCCCGCTTACTTGGAGCGACAGCACTACAACCCCTCCGCGAAGCTCTTCAAGCCTGAGGACCGTGAGTCAGCCCTCATCGTGTGTCTTACGCTCGCTGACTCTGGAGTCGAAAAGGCGATGCGATCATTGTATCGGACATGACGATCGGCGCGATGCTGGTCTTTATCGGCATGTGGGCGTATACGACGAGCTGGGGAAACGTATGGAGGCTGTACTTCGTGCCGTGGCTGGTGAGTGCTTCGAGCATTCATCAAGTCATCGCGCGAGCGCACCTCGAACCTCACATTTGAAACGGCAGTGGGCGCATAACTGGATCGTCATGTTCACGTACTTGCAGCACAGCGACCCGACAGTCCCTTACTATCGCGAGGTGTGTCTTCTCCACCGTCGCCTTACGTGCGCATCTACTCACTCGTTCCCGTCTGTTGTAGAATCAATGGACGTTCCTCCGCGGCGCGCTCGCCACCGTCGACAGGCCTGTCTTCGGGTGGATCGGACGCGTCTTCTGGCACGGGGTGCGCATGCCTCTTCCGCTTCTTCTCCTGGAACGGTGCTGATGTGTCCACTGTAGATCGCGCACGACCATATTGCTCACCACCTCTTCGTCTCTGTCCCGTTCTGTGCGTCTCGGACATACCTCGGCCTGGATCGCCCTATCCAAGTTGGCGCTGACGCGTGTTGCAGATAACCTCCCTCAGGTGACCCAGGCAATCCGCCCCGTGCTTGGGGCGCACTACAACTACGACTCCACGGTGAGTCGTCATCCTGTGCCTTGTCTCATGCTCATGCTGAATGGGGTGTGTCCCAGCCCACGATCTACGCTCTCTGGCGCTCGTTCACGCAGTGCACGTTCGTGGAGCCGGACGGCGATATTGTTTTCTTCAAGAACCAGCAGGGGAAGGTGGGGCGTGAGTGCGTGTGGGATGCGGTGGAGAAGACTGCAGAGGGAGAGGCTGAGATGGACTGAGTGGCGTGCAGAATTTTGAGGGTTTCGCGGGAACAGGTGAGTCATGAGCTGCTTTGACCAGTTTCGTCTTCTGAACCGCATATATTCGATTTGGTCTGCAGGTGTGGATCACGTTTAGATGCCGCGGACAAGCCTTGGCCAAGAATTGCTGGTTGTCGGTGCTCTGACGCATGTACTGATCTACTGGGCACTTGCTGCAAATTTACTTTTGTGCCGATGGGTCGAGTGCGTTATCATCTAGACGAAAGCTGGAAGCAGTTGTTGAACATGGCGTACTACCCGTCCCGGGTGCGCCAACAAGACTCAATCGCATTCCGTTCACCAGCGTCAACGTCGAGCTGGGAGAAGTTTCGGAGCCCAAGAGCATGAAGCATCGAGCCGAGCTTATCCTCTAAACCTCCGTCAGGACACTCGACTGGTCAATTTGGATAGTTTTTTCGCCTCGTTTTCTTGGAACAGCGTAGTAGCAACCTGAGCTCGTAAGAGGCTTGTCGGAAATTCGGTGTCTGCAAGACATCAATGCGTCATCGATATCATCGGAGATGTGCCAAGTCTTTGCGCAAACTTGGCGCAAACAGCCAGCAAACATGTACCCACCCACCGATCATGATCGTCCACTGCCTGTGCACACTACCACCACCTAGTCTCCGTTGCTCACTATATATGGCTATGGATGACAGTCAATCCATATCTAGTATATATACCACCACCCACCGTGGCACTGACCCCTACGTTCTTGTTTTGGTGCGACAGAGCCGCTCTTTGTGCGATGCTACAGTGATGCTAATGTTTGTCGTTGTGCAGCACATCGTTTGTCTCAGATTCCACGAAAACAAACAACGGCGGTCGCAGTTTTGATCGCGTATATCTGCGGTCCTGTTCGTCAGATCGGTCCTGTTACCGCGATCGGGTCTATGTACTCACTCAACTCCATTGTGATTTGTACAGACCAGCGCCTTAAGTATGACTGCACCCATGCCTCCGGGCTTCCAAAACCATAAGATACCAAGATTTGCGAGATATACCTGACTCAAATGTCATATACAGACCTCCAAGCCCTATGAGTCAGAACCGGCCCCAATGTCCTGATCAAGTACGGTGGCGACCTCGCAGAAGAAGTCCACTGCATCTTCCGCCTGGAACAAGATTCGCCTAACCCGTAGCGCCGTACCCCGCAATATCCACTATCCAGGATTTGCGCGCCGCCCACTCGGTCCCTAGTTCACCCCTTCTGACTAGCCCTCAAGCATCTGGTACAGCTGCATGGAGCACGCGCCGGGTGCCTCCGCTCGACAAAGTCATCGAGACGCTCACGCACGACGAACTCGACCATATAGCGTCGGCAACTAAGGGCACTCCTCACAGGCATGCGCCCTTTCAAACCGACGACCTTGGTCCGTCAGCGGCGGACTGTACCGCAACAGCTTCTTTCACCGGGGATCGCCCAGAAGTATGTATTCCCGGCAGTCAGGGAGTTCGTCGACCATTATCACCAGTTACTGACATTCATCGGGAAAGGCTGCTTGAGCGCGGAGAGCGCACAGTATGTGGAAGCTCTCCTTGGAAAGCTGCCTTAGTAATCCATCTTTCCCGGGGAGACGTGTCAAAGCGAGGTAGGTTGCATTGTCCGAGGTATTGGATGTCATAACGTATAACTTGCAGTGAGGGCCTGGCCATTCATGCCATGTGCATTCTTTCTTGAATCTCGAGCATCTCGGATTCCGTGTGTACCCACAAATTTCTGATTCACCATTCAGTCTGCATATCTGAATACTTAGTCTATCATACATGAATAACAGGCTCGCGCATCCAATTTCCTGCCATCGCTACCGCTCTTCAAAGCTTCACCGCCACCACTCTCACATTTATCTCGAGCCTGGCGGAGACAAGTACTTACACGTAGCCCCCAGTCCTCCGCGACTGGAAGTCCTTGCCTCTCGCTTCCTGGTTGCACAGCTATGCCATTTTCCATTCCCATTTGCATGCTGATATTGGGTTACCAATTGAGCCATGAGAGGACAAGTAAGGCCAAGTACTACTGGAAAATGTCCTTCCAATATTTGCGTCACGCTAACTTGCACGTGATGCGTGACAGACGCGAAGTGGTGCATCCCCATTGTCACGCGGTCAGCACCCAACATTAATCAACTCTTCCGTGCCCGACATTTCTGATCGATGGCATGAAGTTATTTAGAGCTCTTCAAGCGTACCACCTTGAGTCAGGATGGGACCGGATCCGTGCGTCGATGCTTGCAATTGCATAGCAAGATTCTTCTGTCCGGGGCTCGGACTGTGCCTCCGGGCCCGGTATGCCGCTTTCGTCGCTCTGAATACCTGAATCTGACTGGGCACCGGGTCAGATACCTAACTCACTGTGTCTTCTGTCGTGCATTCTCATATCTAAACAAGATATCGTCCAGTTGCTTTCGCGCATATTCGCTGAGCATCTCCCGAGGACTTCCTCAAGGAGGATCCGAGTGTCTTGTGGTCTTCTGTGAGTTTTACGTGGTATTTCTTTTTATCATGATTTCATTGCTTGTCAGTACTGCTATTGGCAAGTCCATATCTCTCAACGTGAAGCCGCGCGAGCTGGGCGCTTGAAGGACATATTTTAACGAGACAAATGCCCGTTGGTCAACGTGCGCCAGCATAGTTGCGACAGAAGACTCTCCTTTTTAATACCGGCCTCGTGTCGCCATCCTCGTTACTGTTGAGTTTGGTGCCACCGCTACTTCAACGTGTCATATAGAAGACCAAGTCGGTCGGCGGTTAGACATATGACTCGAAGTTCGCTGATGCCACGGTTTAGTCAGTGAGTAGCATCTTCACCTCCTCTACTATCTCAGGCCTCTAAAGTCTTCAAATTTACATACGAAGCTCATGGGTATGTCGAGACAGGCGCCAACGCGATTTTGGCACCTTCGACTCCGCCTTGTGAGTGTCCGTTTACTGTCAGCCTTATTCGAAGCAATAGTGATGTGGGTCTGCTGATGCCACTGTTGTGGCGCATCTCCGGGTCAAGGACTTAATATCGTCCAACCTCAGCCCTTTTCCGTCAGAGGTTGACATGCTCGCCCTCAGAATCCGTCATGTGTGTCGGCGCACAACTTCTGCGGCCCCATATCGAGTGGTATCTTGTCCGTCCAAGCAGTGAACTGCTCAGGATTGAGATACCGTTTCCTCTATTGTTCCGTGCTTGCGACACATGACTTGTAGTGGCTGTCAAGACAGTGTGCCCTAGACTTTTCACTCCTTCAGTTACCGTTTTCACGCCATGACCTATTGACATCCCATGCACCCTCCTGAATAGCAGCCCTATAAAGTCTGCTAGACCTTGCCCTTTGGATCTCATCGTCTAGAACATCCTCCCGTTCTCGTCGTTTCCAAGATGGTCTTCGCTTATGTCCTCCTCGTCGCATCCCTCGCTCTTCTTACTTTGTGCAATCCCATGTCTCGCAACATGAAGCTGCATGAAAAGCGCGATGGCGTTCCCACAGGCTTCGCTCTCGTCGGTCCAGCTCCGCCGGCCACGGTCCTCGATTTGCGCCTCGCGCTCGTGCAGAGTAATCCCGCAGGCCTTGAGCAAGCCCTGTACGATGTCAGTACGCCGTCAAGTGTCAACTACCGCAAGTACCTGACCAAGGAGGAGGTCCGTACGATTCATCTCGAGAGCTCGACGGACTGATCTTCATTGGTATGCGTTGGAAAGGCTGCGCAATTTGTCTCGCCTGCCGCAGAAAGCCTCGCCGCCGTGAATAATTGGTTGAAAGCCAATAACATCGATACCACTGTGCTCACTCCGGCGGGCGACTGGATGGGCTTCAGCATTTCTGTCAGTCAGGCTAATAAGCTCTTCGACACTGAGTTCTCCACTTTCGAACACTCGGCCTCATGCGAACAGAGCATTCGGACGCTCGCGTACTCTATCCCTGCAGAATTACAGGGTCACCTCGACTTCGTTCATCCCACTATCACGTTCGTCGCTGCTACCCTAAAACAGTAGCCTGTCTCTGACAATCTTATTGTTAGCTTCCCCATCTATTTAGCGAGCTCCTCTCCCTTCTCTGTGTCTACCAAGTCGACTCGTGCTACAGTACACGAAAGGCAGGACTCCTGCGCGAACGCTGTCACCCCTGCGTGCTTGCAGGCTCTCTATGGTATACCTTCAACCCCTGCTACTGAGATGTCCAATCAGTTGGCTGTCACTGGCTTTATCAATGAATATGCAAATTTAGCTGACCTCGCAGTGCGTTATCTTGCAAACTAGGAGTATGCTGTGCTCATCTTCGTGTATCAGACCTTTCTGGAGGACTACAGACCAGATATGTCGAGCGCCACGACTTTCTCGCTGGAGACTCTCGACGGTGGCTCAAACCCACAGAACTTCGGAAGTGCCGGTCTAGAAGCTGTACGTCATGCTCTCAACGCAGTCAAAATCGCATCCACTCATACCTTTTGCGTAATAGAATTTGGATACCCAGTATACTGTGGGCATTGCGTCATATGTCCCCATTACTTTCCTCTCCGTTGGCTCGGAATACCATGATGGTCTGGGGGGTTTCCTTGATGCAGCAGACTTCTTCCTTGCAGCAGATGAACCTCCAAAAACCGTGACAACTAGTTATGGATTTGATGAAGGTTATATCTCTTCAGGTCTTGCGAAGTGAGCTCGTTCAGCTTGATATGGCAGCGGGTCATGCGCAGCACTAACGTGTTTCAGCAACCTCTGCAATGCATATGCCCAGCTCGGAGCTCGCGGTGTGTCTCTTCTATTCTCTTCCGGAGATGGCGGTGTTGCCGGGACCAGATACGGGGGGGAGCCCTGCAATCGCTTCTTGCCTACATTTCCATCCGGCTGCCCTTTGTGCGTTACGTTTGCAACTCCTTCTAGAACACAACCTTTTTACACATTCCACCAGTGTTACCGCCGTAGGCGCAACCGAAGGAGTTGGCCCTGAGATCGCTGCGCCGTACTCAAGTGGTGGCTTCTCCAACATCTTCGTTGGGCCGTCGTACCAGGAAGTAGCGAAACTTGGTTACGTCTCGCAGATCGGTAACACTTACGGGGGTCTTTACAATGGAACTGGGCGCGGATATCCAGACGTGTCCGCTCAGGGCACAAACTACCAAATTGTGCTGAATGGCGTTGTCAACAGTGTTCTAGGCACGAGCGCGTCGACCCCCACATTCGCCAGCATCATCGCCTTGTTGAATAATGAACTGGCGCTTGCAGGAGAGGATCCGCTCGGCTTCTTGAACCCGTGGCTGTATGGGCCTGCCGCTTCAGCATTCAACGACATCACCTCAGGCTCCAATCCCGGGTGTGGCACAGACGGGTTTCCCGCGATGGCTGGCTGGAATCCGGTATGTTGTTCATGTGAGACTACTGCGCACTTGCTGAGATTTGTGTACTACAGGTCACTGGCCTTGGAACACCGAACTATGAGAAATTGAGAGCGGCAGCCGGTCTGTAGGCGAGTAGGGTGCTTGGGTCTGGGCTTACTGGGTGGAATTTTGGAGATGTAGCTATGACAGCACAGGATTTTCGGTGTATGTCGCACAAGCAATCGAGATGTGCTGAGATCATCAATAGTCATCTAGATTTTACCATCAAGCTGTGATTTGGAAGAGCAAACAACAGCCCAACATCTTAAGGAACACTGCAGCATTAGGTTTGTAAAAGTCAAGGTCGTAACATACGCGATATCACAGCCAATCTACCAGCAATCAGTAGAGATACTCGGGCAGACTCGTCAGATCGATCGGCGCGGCAGCAGAAGGGCTCTTCGCGAGCGACTCTCGCGGTGGAGCACAGGCCTCTTCGTCAGGTTCGACGCCAAGGTCGAAAGGCCGAACACAGTTGTTGTCGGCATAGAACCAGTCGGCATCGGTTAGCCAGACGTCCGCGTTCGCGAGGTCCTTCTCCCTGCTCGCGATCGCTGGAGACGGCGCGCCAGAGACGGGTAAGGAGAGACAGAAGGCCTCTCCGGTGTCGACATCGAGGGTCTTGAATTGCGCCAACGCGGCGTTCTCGTTGCTCGATGAATATGCGGCGACGGGAGACCCTTGCAGCGACGTCAAACCGGCGTCATCCGAGAGCGCGCACGGCGTCGACCTGTCGAGCGAGGGGGAAAGGGGGGCGACTGAATTGAACTTGGGAGGACGAGCTGAGACACCACCGTGCCCAGTGAATGGAGCAGAAGACCCGTCGGGTTTGTGCAAGAGCTGCCACTCGTGCTCGTGTGGAGAGAGCGGGGGACTCGACTGTGCGTGGATGCTGGCCTCACGGTGGGCGTTCTCGTCCCGCCGTGCATCAGCCTCGCGGAGGGCGGTACCGCCGAGCTGCACACGAGTGCGGGAGCCTGAAGACTGAGGTGAAATTCCACTGGCAGGGCCGACGAGAGGCGGGTTGATCATATGGAAATGGATACCGCGAACGCTCGTGATACAGTCGGGACAGTTGCATCGCCTGATGCTGTCGATATCTCGGGTGCAAATTGTGCTAGGAGGACGCATGAGAGCCATAGATGAGCGGAAGTGGACGAGTTCCACGGCGCTTGCAGGGAGCGCTCGCAAAGATTTCTCTCTTTCGCTGTCGCCTTGGAGGCTTAACGCCTGCGCGTCCTTCATCCTGCGTGCATATCGACGCTTGCGGTATCTCATCGTGAACACGGTTGCGAGTATCAGGAAGATTGCAAGCAGGACGACGCAAATTGATACTGCATATGTAACGGCGGATGTGGGACCAAAGGGAGATGGGGACTGTGGAGCAAAGCCCGGGACGGAAGTAGGAGCACCGGTAGTCACTGCAGATGCTGTTACAGAATCAGAGGTTTCGCTGACAGGAGTGGACGAGACGAGAGGGGATAAAGCCATAACCAGAAGCGGAATGACGACATCAAGGCGATAGAAACGACGGGAGAGCTTGACCATCTTGCGTACCGGGAAGAACTAAGAAAACGTCGAAAAGCGAAGTACGCGGCAACTCGAAGCAGCCAAGTGGGCACCGTAGCGACCACGCACGCGTCGTTTTGGGCCCTGGGGCTGGCATTGCAGATGGGACTGTCGGCTGGCGTGATCGGTATACAGCAGTCCATATGCAAATGCAGTACACACGTAAATAAGGAATCAATCACTAGACTCGTTTTTAGCAAGACATCATGGGTGCTGTCTATAAGCGATAGCAAGAAAAGCTCGCGCACCTCATCGGGTTTGGGGACTCCTGGACTGGGTCACAATGAGTAAGGTAAATAAAGAATTAAGATAAGAATTAAGATACGCTGTGGCCCGCCATGGGCAGACGAGGATGTTTTGGTGGTGTCATACCTCACTGGCATACAGTCAGTTATAATTGTATGTTGCGAAGAACGAACATCATAACGACTTGCCAATTGGAGCCACGTACGTGCGCGCGTCGTGTTCGCGTGACGCGTCATTACTACAACTTAGTAACTAGGCCTTTTAGCCATCCTGGAAGGTGATTCAAGTGAGTAGAAGTCAACTGGGATTCACCTAAGCTGCTGTATAACATTATGTGAAGCGTGGAAGAGAGGCAATCTTTCTAGCGACGAGTTTAGACTCCCGGCCGTAGATAACTTGTACGCAAAACATGGGCCAGTCAGAACTTGTCACGTCATCAGGTTCCTTGCAGATTCTACGTCTACCGTATCAAACTGGAGCCGTCCGGACTTCTGACGTTTTGTCAAAAGACACAGATAATGGTGAGTGTGCATGTAAGCCCGTATCCGCAAAAAAAATCTTATCTACAATATCTCTGCCTACGGCGGCCCCGACAGTTCTCGGGCTCTGCACCGCAGCAATCGACGAGAGCACCGTCGTCGCACGTCAGAGTGCACCAGCCTCTCTATCTCTCGCTCGACGTGTAGCACGAGGAGAGTCCTGTCCTTCCCGACCAAGTCCACCGGAGTCGCAAGACCAGAGCAGTTGAGTCGCGTTCTACGGTGGTCTGGACTTCCACCTCCCGCGACAGTCATCCTACTCATTCCGATCCTTGTATCACTATGGTGCAAGATGCGATAAGGTACGGATCTTCCTCGCCGTTATCTCAAAGTACGCGTAAGGTCGTTGCCCCGCCGTCCCTCGCCGTCCGCGGACCGGACGCAGGACATGGCGGAGCCGCGGAGGCCAGGCGGGCCCCCCCGATCCATGTGGACGCCGATCGGGCGCACCGGTCGCTAGGCGCCCCCGCCCCGACTGCGGTGCCGGTGAATCGGCGCCCCGCCGGCACAGATTGGGCGGCGGGCGGGCGACCATGTGCAGCACTGGCCTGCTGGTCGTTTTGCCTGTGATTTAATTGACCGTCTGTCAGCGGTCGACGAGTCTCGTGGTGGGTCGACTTGGGGGTCATTATCGGCTAGGTAAGATGTGGAGCTCGAGAAGTATACACGTCTTTGTGAACTCAGTGTATGCCATTATGTAGACACTGAAGAAATTTCGCAGAGGTCGTGGAGGGGCCGCGGTGGAAGCATTAATAATTTGGGTTTATTACTTAGCCTTCCCAAAGGTCCCCGCACATATGTTGATCCGTGCCAACGCAATAATGGACAATTACCGCGTGATTTCTTGCATATTCAACGCCAGAGTATTCGCCTTGTCCTCGGACACGATGTTTCAAGGACTGGAAATTCGAATTTGCGTTACTCATCGGATAAAACGAAAAGTACATGTTCAGGTAGGATACATGATAGTCAGGTGAGGAATATGTGCGGCATTATGACATGCCCTGATCAGTCAGGTCGTCACGATGCGCTGTTGGGGAGGGCTTGAGCGGAGCAAGTAAGGTCGATCGGGGTGGACAATGGTGAGACCGCTCTACGCAAACGAGGACATGCGCGCTGGGTAGAACGGATCTTAGCTAGGTCGAGGGGACGATAACATGCTGGAGTGTTGCACCTGACTGCGGCGGGAACGAGAGCGCCGATGAAGCTATCAGTGCGCTTGTACGGTACATGTAAAGATAGCGTGCACTGACCGTGGAAGGTATCTGCGGCGTAGCTCGCAGAGCCTGTGAACAATGCAGCGGCCGAACAGCGTGTCCTCATATCAGAGCGACCGCCACAGACATTTTGGAGCCGAACGATCAATCAATTCTGGCAACGAACGGGTCAAGAAGAATGAGCAATTAAAGGCGTTGAACTGCCGCATTGTCAAAGTAGACGTCTGATTTGCCTCTACTAGGTATTTTGCCAACTGTGACAGGTAGGCGCATGTATGGTCGCGATGAAGCTTAAAGTCGTCTGGCCAAGGCAACCACGTTGCATTTCCGGAAACCAGCTGCGGTGCTGAACTGAATGAAAAGCTGTGGCCGTCCCATAGCTCCCGTATCTAGGTTGCGGAGCGAGAGAAGCAATTCTGGTGCTGCTTTGAATAACCGCGAAATGATGTTTATTCAAATCTTTATGCAATGTTTTCCGTAGTATTCACAGCGTCAGAGGTGGACGAACCCACACTTACCTGACATCCGAATTGCATTCGAGCTGACAGAACTCGTTGGAGGTCAGCATGGAGTCACGAACGATGCATTCGAACCGAGATGCCGGTCAGGTCCGACCACTGGTCAGACGGGGTGAGTCGGCGACGAGCCATCATCGCGACGGACAACCCAGTCTGCTCCACAAACTGGAACGAACCAGAACACGCGAGAGACTGCAGAGTATGACCAGCCATCGACTGAGACCCAGCTGCGGTCGCGAGTGTACGTAGAGAATGTTCTGAGGTCGTACAGATTCACAGAATGCGTTCCGGATTTTCATGAAGTCGTCGAGAGCACGTGAAGTTGTACTAAGATTTGTCAGTGTCTTCAAGGAGCAGGCCGGCTTTGTCTGGAGATCACAGCAGAATGGCTGGATGATGACGCAAGCGGACGTGAAAAAAAAGGAATCTGCGATCAAAGTTAGTGCCGCCGGCTGTTTCCGAGTTTTCCTCTTCCTTGCACAGCTTCGAGCAGCGACAGTCGCCATCTGTCTTCTCTCATGCGCGCGCATCCGTTGGCGACGAGCACGCTGTTGGCACCAAGGGGGCCACGTGGGCGCCATGGCGTGCTCATCGTGATGCTCGGTGAGCAATGCAGCTCATTTGAGTTTTAGGATTTCGTGAATCGTGCGACGTTAGTTTTCCGGGTTTTCTGAACAGACAGAATTGATGCCGACCCTCTCCACAAAAGCGGCATTTTTTGATGAATGATGCTCCCGCGACAGCTGCTCCGCACGCGTGATAAGCAGGCGATACGTGCAATATGCTGCCTGCGTACGCTGGAGCAAGCGTTGTGGGGTGTCGTTCGCTGGCGTTCCTGAGCGACAAAGCCTCAAGGACGGAAAAAATGAAAAACCACATCCGGGGCAGGGCGGGCCTGAGATGGTAGCGAGATCCCTGCGCTCGGAGAGATCTGGCATCCCGGTTTACTGGTGAGCACCATATGGTCGGTGGGAGCACATGCACCACTCCCTGATATCCTACAACTTATGGGTCTAGGCGCCCTCTGATAAGAACCCGCTACTTCTCCCGGACGCTTTTCTTTTTCTCCCAGTTCCACACTCCGTCCCTGCAACACACCATGGCCACCAGCATTGCCAACTTGGAGGGCGACCCTCGCATCGTCGACAAACAAGAGGACGGTCATGACTTTTTGGAACCCACACATCCGCGTATGGGTTCCCTCCTCCCGAGGTTTCGTCACCGTCTCACCCCTACACTAGATGCCAAGGTGACCCTCGAGGAGTATTGCGCTCATGCCGACCGTCAACGGAAATTCGAGATGGAGGGTCCCTCTACTCTGTCCCCCAGCTCATCCAACATCGGGTAAGTGTTGCCTTCAGGCGTCTTATGTCGTCTGATCCCCCATCCAGAGAGAAGAATGAAAAGTTTCCCGACATTTCTGTGGAGGCCAACCTCACTGAAGATGAGAAGGAGAGGATCAATGCTCGGCGCGCACTGCGCACAGCATCGGTGAGTGTGTTCTTGCAGTGTGACTCACCAAGCCTCTGACGTCGCTCCAGTGGGCAGCTGTCTTTTACCTCATCACCACTGATATTCTTGGTCGTACGTGATCGCGCTCAACGCTCTCATGTTATGCGCCTCTGACCTTTTCCGCTTAGCGTTCAACGCGCCATTCGCCATCAGCCAGGTCGGCTATGTGCCCGGTGTCATTCTCTACTTCTTTGTAAATTTCCTTCCAATTTCGTGCGAGACTGCGAGATGCTGAGCGATATTGACACGTTATCCAGATGGGAGCGATCGCGTGCTACACCGGACTCTTACTCTGGTGGCTGTTCCTTAAACTCGACTCCGATATATTTCCTGTCAAGACCTACTCTGACATCGCAGAACGTATTTTCGGCAAAGCCGCAAAACATATCTGCACGATCCTTCAGACGATCCAGCTCATCATCAATGTCGGTACCATTTGTCTCAGTAATGGCCAGTCGTTGAGTCAAATGTCAAAAGGCAGAGTGAGTACCGTCTCGCGCGCACAGTTTATTGATACTGAGCGCGTTTGTTAGCTCTGCTTCGCCGTCTGCATCGTGATCTGGGCTATAGTAGGTATGTTGATTGGCCAGATCAGGACGCTCAAGAACTTCGGGTGGCTGGCCAATTGTGCTGTCTGGCTCAACTTGCTGTATGTTTGCGTGCCCTCTTGTCTGAGAAGATTCCATTTGATGACGGTCGCATCCAAGTATCATTTTCACTTCGATGGGCTTCGTCGCGCACTCCCCGCCAAACTATGCAGCTGCCTTGTCCTCTCTCGGTGTTCCAGAAGGCCCCATTGTCCACGCCACCTTCGTCAGCGCTCCCCTGTACAATAAAGTGAACGGTATCATGCAGATGGTGTTCGGTGAGCGCAATCCGATTCTCCACACCGGGCTTGAACTCTGACTGGTTCTGAAAATAGCATACGGTGGTGCTATGATTGTATGTCGAGCCGGCACGCTTGTTCAGCATGATATATTTATTCCTTCTGTGATGCGATAGTTCCCCGAGATGCTCGCGGAGATGCGCCGTCCGTGGGACTTTTGGAAAGGCATGTGCTGCGCCCAGCTGTTGATTTTCGCAGCGTACTTGATGTATGGTGCGTTGTACTGGTCTGGCACTGCAAGCAGTTCTTCTAACCTTGATGTATAGGCGTGTTCGTCTACGCCTATCAGGGACAGTTCACCCTACCCCTCGCGTATCAGGGTGTCAGCAAATACTCGTGGCAGACACTCAACAACACGTTCGGGTTGATCACTGGTATCATTGCTGTGAGTGTGCACGCGTCGTTCACTCCCGCATAACCTCATTCATACATCCCATTGTACACAGGCCGGCCTATACGGTAACATTGGTATCAAGGTGGCCTACTACAACATCGTCGAGGGTATGCTGCACGGACCCCAGCTGATGAGCCGCACCGGTCGGTTCATCTGGACCGGTACGCATGATGAATTATCGGTTCTCGTTCCCCTCACTGACCTATATCGTTCAGGCATGGTACTTCTCTATTGGGCTCTGGCGTTCATCGTCGGTGCCGCCATTCCCCAAGTGGCGACTATCTCCGCCCTAGTTGCCGCCGTCTGCATTATGCAGTTCACCTACTCCTTCCCGCCAGCCCTCATTTGCGGCTTCTACTTCCTAAAAGATGCCCGAGGTGAGACGGGTCGCATGTGGTGGTACCGCGTACGTCGCACCTTTTCCGCCATCTTCTCGCCAGTCACTCACACGTATTCTTCTTGCAGGGCTTGTTCAGTGGCTATTGGTGGTTCAAGTGGTTCAACCTCATCCTTTCGCTCGCCAGCTTCTCAATGGCTGGTCTCGGAATGTACGGCAGCGGCCTGGCCATCAAGGCCACGTTCAAGCTCGGTGCGGCTACGAGCTTCGGGTGCACTCCCCCGGTGTAGAATACTGAGTCGCATAGCGATGAACTGCCTACGTGTATTAATTTTGTTATCTGCCGCAAGCTGTGGACTGGGGGAGTGTTGTACGCGGATCTAACGGTAGCAGCGCTGTAAGCGTCGACACGATATAAGATACGTCTCCTCATGATCTCGTGTGGAATGTGTTGCAATATAAATAATGAAGTACTTGCCATGTCTTACTGTGCATCGGTTCACTTGTTAGACTTGGCGTTGGCGTTGGGTAACCACATTGTGGCGTCTCGGGAATCGCGATCGACGTCCCAAATGAGACAATTACTAATTAGAGCCTGATGAGATCAAGTTCGTCCGATGCCGTCTGTCATGTTGAAGGAATATATACCAAAGTAGTAATAGTAAAAGTCGCCCCAACTATTACTGGCTTATGTAATGCATTTCTTCGTGCGCGCGAATAGGCCCGCCATTCGCGCTCCCTCCCCTCCCTCGCAAGCTCGGGGGGTCCCCCGAACCGGGAGCGCTCAGGCGGGCACTCTAAAGCCTAGTTCGCGCATTTTTTACCAGTCAGGGGAGGGCACAAACCACCCAACCAGAACTTTCTAACCCTAACTGAACCTTAACTTCCTAACCCTAACCGAACCCTAACTGCCTAAACAGGGAATGGTTGCCTGCCGAATAGGGTATCCTGGTAATAGTGGGCGACTTTTACTATTACTACTTTGGTCATACCTCATGTTGAAGCCACCACACACCCCATCATTGAGAACTTAATATTACGAAATGAATTAAAGGTTTGTACGCGACAATCTAGCAGCCTGTTTGACGGTACGTTTGTTGTTTAGATCTCGTCCTTGGGCATTGGCTCTTGTTGATATGATCATAGAGGTTGTAAGTGTGAATAGTACGTGCTCGGGTATTGCTACGCCGCGGCAATGCATCCACGCAACCCGTATCGTACTCCACCAGATTTTTCGTATCTGGCCAAACAATATCCTGCTCTCAAACCATAGTCGGTCATCTTATCCCAGCGCTTTTTCTTACTCTTAACTTAACGCGACGTGTCCTAGCCTCATCAGTAAGGCCACAGGTACAACGATCAACTTCAAGGACAACGAAGGACAGAGGTCCGTCGTTTTTCCAGCCATCCAGCCGACATGAAACTGATTGTTCTGCGGTTGAAGAGCAGACGACTCACGGAGGCACTTCTTCACCGCGATTTCCAATTATCTGTAACAATCCCGGACGACAGGCTTTGTCCCCCTGTACGTATCTATAGGTGAAGGGAGTTTAATACATCCTGAGCTTATAACAGGTACCGAACAGGTGAGTGTATCTTCATCCTGCAATAATACAAGTTATACACGGTACCTTCAGGCTCAACTACATTTTATGGATGCAAGACATCGTGCATGCGACCTCCATCGCGGAACCTGAAATATCGAAGAGAATTATCAAGGGAGTTGATATGTATGTTCTTCGGCATTCTCTTGCACTCCTGGATATCGATCGCTCCGAATAGCGGCACGGGAGCTTCTGCAATTTATCCTCTGCTGGGCTGCCAAATTAATCCTCAATGGAGGTTTACTGCCACGGGTCAGTAGTTTGCTCGGTTCTTTCCTTCTGAAAAATGGCATATTCCATAATGGCTAACTCACGCCGTAGACGTCGATGACCATTCACTTCAATGTGCTCGTCTCAACGTGCAACAAAATAATTTGCAGGACCGCATTACCGTGGTCCAGTCGGATCCTGCTGGCCCAGTCATTCTATCGCTCTTTCCAAATTGCACGCCGGAAAAGGTTGAATCAACCGAAACCTCAGAGTAAGTCATGTTAGTTGTGCTGAACAATGTTTGTTAAGTTGCTATGGTTAGCATGGACTTCGAATTCATTATGTGCAATCCCCCCTTCTATAGCAGTCGTGAAGACATTCTGCACTCCGCCGAGGCCAAGGAGTTCGAGCCTACCTCTGTACGTTTACTTCAATCTAGTCTTCTATAATTCATAGCCGCTCTGGCCTGTGCATCTGCGACCGACATCTTCTGCGGCAGGTATGCACCGGCGCCGATGTCGAGATGATCACCCCAGGTGGCGAAGCTGCGTTTGTCCGGAAGATAGTGAACGAGAGTCTGACCTTGAAAACGCGCTGCAGGTATGGCGTTGTTCATACCGCTGGCTCCATTCGCAGACATCATCATTCTACACAGATGGTACACTTCGATGCTAGGCAAGATGTCGTCTCTGACAGATGTCGTTGCGCTGCTGCGCGAGAAAAATGTGATGTGATACCAATGTATACCGGCACCCCACAGTTATGCTGACGTCCCACTCCCTCCGTGTAGATCGCAAATTACGCATGCACTGAGTTCGTCCAGGGACAGACCCGGCGATGGGCAATCGCATGGTCATTCGGGGACGTCCACCTTCCTGATGTATGTCATTCCGTTATTCAATCGTCAAACATTGTTACACCAGCATTGTCCAGAGTCTAGGCCGGGTCGCTAATCCCGCACTGCAGCGCCTCATGCCTCCCCGAAATACTCTGCGGCAATCGTATCCAGGCACAATTCCAAACCGTTTTGCGTCTGTTACGGTGTCCATACTTTCTAGCATAGATAGTGTCTCAGTCCAGCCGTGTGCAGAAGCTGCTCGACGTCCGCTCGACTTGTTGGTGACGGCGCATCGGGATACGTGGTCGAGGGCTAGCAGACGGAGGAAGGCAGACCCTGGCACCATTCAGACGGACGTCGATTCTCGGCCGACCTTCTTGTGTCGAATTCGAAATATAGGGGATAATGCAGGCGTACCGCAAACGACACAAGGAGGAGACGGGTCGGCGCTCGTGTTCGACTGGGTACGTGGAATTGACAGAGCACTGTTTGAGAGCTTTGCGAGTCATGTGGGGAGGAAAGTATCCGCGATGTTGATATCGGACGTTAGCTAGTAAACACCTTGTGTTTCCCAATGCATGTGCAGTGCTCGACTTCATCCTTTCAACAGTGATCTCCTGCCAACCGTGGCAACTTTGAAATTTAATGCTCTGCCTCAGAAACAGTATAGGAATGAGCATGTTTGTCCAGCCATAATGGTAAAATGCTGATACTAATGGTGGATATCACAGATGATCAGCGATAAAAACGATGACGGTAAATGTCTGAATCACTTTAGCTCCGATAAATATATCTAAAAAAACAAAATCTGCGGGAAGGTCAATAAACCGATCATGACACGACATCGCAAGCATAAAGCTCCTGACCATACCTGGTGCTTCGCCAAGCCTATACAGTTGAGTGATAAGAGACCTCGCTAAACGTTCATAGCGACATGTTGTCCTTGAATATTTGACCAAACAGTGACCTCACCTTGTTGTAAGTCGCATTATCTCTTCAGCGCCGGGGGTGGGGGATGGCTGGATGATAAGAAGAGTGTTTTCAACTTGAAAGTAGGGCCGTGGGAAGCCAACATACAGATGCTACAGTCTAGAGGTCGGTCCATAACCCGAGGCGAGCAACTTGGAGAGACCTCTGCGTGTTTGATCAGCCATGGGTGCGCTCTTCCTGCTCTCGCTATCTACAAAGACGTGCGTATATCCCCCGACCGCACTGGGCACATCCTCGCCTTCCTGAAACACACCGACTTCATAGGTGACGGAGCTGGACCCGAGCTTGGAGACTCGGAGGCCAAGGTCCAGAACGTCGGGAAAGGACGACGGGGAGAAGAAGTAACAGAAGGAAGAGACGACAAGGCCAATCAAAGGGGATGCGGTAGGTGAGAGGTCGCAGTGAGTGATGAGGTATGTGTTGACTATGGAGTCGAAGAGGTGGTAGTAGACGGAGTTGTTGATATGGGCATACTGGTCGTTGTCGCTCCTTGATAGAGGTAAGATGTAGTAGGCGATAGGAAAGAAAAAAAGCTAACCAGCGAGAACGATAAGTGAGGAAGTACCTGTAGTCTGCCCGTCGGCGCGCCTTTAGGTCAGCAGCGGCCGCGCTCATCGTTGCGAACAGCAGTGACCACGAGCGTTTCCCGTGAGCGCGGAAGAAGCGCCTATTCACGTGATCGCGACGTTGAGTTTTCGTGGAGAGCCTCTCTGTTAGGCTCATAGATACAGCCTCTAGTTACCTGCAGGAAGACAGTCGTTCCTTTGTAATAGAGGCTGAGATCATTACCGATGACCCGCTGAGAAGTCCCCCGTGGGAAACCGGACTTTGAACGATGCCGACGGCAATTCGACGCACGAATCTTTAGCGCTCAAGTCGCGTGCAGCCACAGGCGCGTCTTACCTGTGTACAAGCTTCGCGTGCTGTAAAAAGTTCTCATGGCGACGGTTCCACCTACTGACGACATCCAGGATGATGGCGACATATTCGGATCTGTACATATGGGCCCTCAGGTACTCAGCCGATCCTTCAGTCTTCCGCAGATATCCCAGCCTGCCAGTGGCTATCCGTATCATTTTATTCATCGTGAGAATGTCACCACACTAACATCGGATGATTCTCATAAGCCTTATGTATAGATTAATCTCCTGGTGTAAATACTCAGGATGATAGTGAGTTCGGGATGCACTCGAGGTCACGGAGCTTAGCGGAATCGGAGTCAGGGACTCAGGACAACTCGGAAATTTCACGAGGTCGCGCGCATGTGCACAATGGCCTGCAAGATGTTCACTATGCACGACGGGAAATGCACGGAGGTTACACAGCATCACTTTACCCCCCGCTACGATCTAGTCCAGTTTCGCCGACGCGTTCGCGCGCGCCTTTGAATCTGCTCATCTCGCAAGTGTCTACATATGCAGTTCAGCACCACTCAAATGGTCCTGTACGAAGTGTTGTCGGTACGTCGCAGGCATCAATGAGTTGTAGAGTTTAATGATCTTGTTGCGATAAGGTACTGCTTCAGGGATAAGGCGATCGAGAAAAGACATGATTTTGTAGCCGAGCTCGATAGTCTGGCAAAAGATCAGAGTTGTCGTGATATCGGTGGGGGAAGCCATCTCCAGGGGTATCAGGAAGCTGATGTCGAGGAAGTCCGTGCCAGAGACAGCATGCTCGAAGAACCGCGGGATATATTTGATGTTGGAGCAGTCAACCGAGTACCGAGCATTGACATAGTGCCCAGGTTGGAAGCCCAGATTTTCAGCCAGAACCAGAGTCCGAGATGGAGTCGCCATGCCAGTGAACGCTGCCCAAACTGTCCGAGCTGACAAGATAGCGCGCATAGTCTTGATGGACTTGAAGATCTCGATCCACTCGCCACTCTGTTCGTCGACGAGGTGGGCTTCGTCAACGAAGAACCAGCAGACAAGACTCTTGACAGCTTGCTGCGACAGCAGGCTACGAACGCGTTTTGACCGGAGCATTTGAGGGCTCATGATGGCGAGACGAATGTCCTCTCCGCTGACAAGCTCGGCCAGAAGATCGCGATTGTTGTGGTATGCTTCTCTCATAGTGTCTTCGTTGATAGCCAGTGCACGAATTCCGTGGCTATTGGCCACAGTTTCCTATACTCAAGGTCAGAATGAAACTACTGTCGGTGTGCTTGTCAGCACGACAGTACCTGCTGCAATGCTAGCAATTTAGTAGGCACAATCATGAGAGCTATTCCTATCTTCATCTGGGCTTGTGCAGCCAGTAGCGGAGCATGCATAACCATCGTCTTCCCCTGGCCCGGCGCGATGACGAGGAACAGATCCTTGCCGCGGATGAGGTCCATGCCATGGCGTAGCTGGAAATCGCGAACCGAGGGAACTCCGCACTTCTGAACGATCAGCGACTCGAGCCATCCTGAAGAGCCTTCTGCAGGTATGATGGACATAGAGAACGGCGTGGATTACAGCTACGTAGCATACATACAGAGTTGACGCGACTGACATCTCTGCCACCGACGCGTTTTGGGAATTATAGTTTAGTGCCGATGACGCAGCCGTCCCTTCCGCTGTCTGGCACGTAGCTCAAAAACTCCCACGGGGGACTTCTCAGTGGGCTCCCGGATAATGATCCTAGACTACCTCTCTGTCCTCGTCGGTCTTGTCGCTCCCTTCCTTGTTCTTCCTGTTGCTCTTTCTGTTGTGCCACTGCGTCCAAGTTTTTACCATGAGTGCTCGTACACCGTTCATTCCTCAACGCACTACTTCGCGACCTGCTCCTGCCGATCAGAGCAAGCCCTCTTCCAATTCCGCTGCACACTCTGACGCATTTCGTCCCAACGGTCTCCTTCACCCATCTTCAGGTTCGCCTCCCAGTGCAGACGATTCCGCCTACCAACAGAAACAGCCTGATCCTCCCTCTCTCCTCAATGGCATAAACAAACCTCTCAATCTCTCCGGACTATCTAAGAAGAAGTCATCCCAACCGCACAAAAATACCAACTCCATCAAGTCGGGCAAGCATTTGGATGATTCTCATACGCGTTCTCCTAAAGATCAGCAAGCACTACGTGTCACGGTTCCGCGTCCTTCTTCTCCCTTCTTTCCCAATTCTTCTGGCTTCATTGCGACCAACTCTTTCCGATCGACGTCTCTTGCCCATACTCAGAATACGCCTTCTCTTATCTCAGGTGACGATTTCAGCTCCAACAACGCGCATATATCCACCTCTGCTAGTCCCGCTTCCGACGGTCCTCTTGCGGCAACCCAGGGCTCTGATAGAATTCAGTATTCGCAGGCTTTTGACTCGTCTGCACTGATGAGAGCTAGTGCACGTTCATCCTCTCGCCCGTCGCTTGAGAAGATACACGAGGTCGCCGAGGAAGATTTACCTCTAGAATCGTATGAAGCAGCAACCCGCGAAGATGAGAGGCGCGAGTTCTCTGTCCCCGCCGTAGAGGACCTTGACAATTATCCTGGCCGATTTGCCACAAGCTCAGGCCGTGGCAACGAGGACGATGCTCAGCAGACCTTGAGACGGACCAGCAAGCGCATACAGCGACCCGAGGACCACGAAGAACTCGAATATGGAAATGTGACCAAGAAATATAAGATGGACACGGCTACGGTAAGAGCGTGCATCCATTGTCTTGCATACAATGCTGGTCGAATGCCAATGTATGCGTACAGAATGACTTCAAGGCGCCGCCATATTCCCGCAATTCTCCTGCAGCGTCATATCTCCACGACCAGGGCGCAATCACAGAACATCAACGCCGCCGCTCCCATTCCCATGTCAATAGCCAGTTCGAACCGCCTCATGCCGATCTAGTCGCAAGTCAGGCTCAACCCGATAAACAACAGGTTGTACAGGGACTGGCGCTGCATCGCCTTCTGGGACAAGATTTGGACATTTATGTGGAGGCGCATGTCGAGGCGTACGAACAGGCGAAGAAGAAGTGGTCCGAATGCTCGATGGACGAATGGAAGACTGGGGCTGATGGTGCGCTGCTTCTATGTACGTACATGGATGGCTTTCACATATGGATCGCCCTCAGAGCTGGCAAGCAAGTTCACGGAGATGCTGGATTTTGTGCGTGTCCCCCTCCTCATCTTGCGAGTACCATTGTTAACTGGGCAATAGGTGAAAGCGCACATGATGTGCGTGAGTTTCGACCCCATGTGAGCGTGACTCACCTTCACTTCCAGCTCGAAACTCGCTTTGTACGCTTCGCTCCAGTCCACCGTCTCTGCCCACCGCGACGTGCTCTCAGAGCGCGAGAAAGTACTCAAGGAGGCTCGGGAAAGCCTGGTTCGGGAAGGCGGTAACGTGGTTTCGGGCAAGGGTGCTGTCATGTGTGCGACTGGACAGCGATAAGGTCTTGCCTACGTTCGCCGAGGAAAGCGAGAGAGTGAGCCAGAACTCATTACCATCAAGTCGTACGCAACATTGTCCTTCGGTTTCATATACGATTACCTGCTCTGATTGAACTCTAGTGTTATCAGTATGCTACGTGATCCGCGTGACTTCGTACAGTACAAAATATGGTATGTCAAGACGCTTCGTCGACCAGGGTATTGACAATCTCGACAGCCCTCTTGAACTTCGCCATCTCCTCCGCCGTAGGCTGCACACTGCTAGTGCCCCCTCCGCACCCTTGCGGACCGCCGTTCATCCACTGATAATTCCCGCACATGTACGCGATACTCGTGTCCATGCCATAAATGTCCTCGCTCCCAGGAGGAGACTCCGTCGGTAGCGCGTGCAGAATCCCGTTGAGCTCTTCCAATAATGTGGCTGTCTTGGTGTCGGAAGCGGAAAGAGACTTGGGTACCGCGGACTGCAAAGACGGTGTGCCGTCCAAGCGCACAGTTGCACTGATCTTCAGGAGTGATTGTGCAGGTGCGGCATCGATGGTGTAGATCGCACTGGGAGTAGGTGGTGCGAAGCCTCCAGCAATGCCTGCAGAACAGTCAGAGTATTATAGCGGTTCATGGAGAGACAAAGTATTGATACTTACCTTGCTGCAAACGCAGAGAAAAGTTCGGAGGTGACATAGCGATAGATTCAGAAATACGGTTAACTTACGTGGATCTGAAGGCAATGTATGCATGCATGCAGCTGCTGTCAATATTAACTGTTAGAGGCCAATTTCTATGGCCCAATGGTCTAGAGGTAAGATACTTGCTTTGGGTTTCTCAGTTGCAAGGGATCCCGGGTTCGACTCCCGGTTGGGCCCCTTTTTTCTCTTTGCTCGTTTCAAGACACGAAAATGTACTCTATGTGCAGCGTATATGAGAAACAATGTGAAATTCATGTGACGGTAATAAATCAGGAAGTACAAGGCAATAGTTTGTAGAGGTTACTGATGCCGCAGTTGCCGAGCAAGTCTCACGGTAAGCACGAACGCGATCGCTGCAGCAATCCCTCCCAATCTTCGAAGGGGTGCATTAGTTGTATTCACTACTGACGTCGTATTCGTACAGTATATCACGTACCGAAAAACAATTGCGTAGGAATTTGGCCTTGCCGCTGCATTGACCTCATCCCTGAAATCCAGGGCAAATAGTTCCGCCTCGGTATTGTTTCCTGTTGAGTTCGTCGCCGGTAGTGTACTATTTCGGAACCCACCACGGTGTCCACTCAGTACGGACTTGCCGGGCTCAAGGATAGCGAAGATGATTGAGGCTAGGGCCGTCATAATAAACTGCGGCATCACGATAAAGATATTGTGTATCCCCTGCGTGCGAGGGTCACATAGCTGCGGGTGAGATTGCGTGAGACGCGACGCACGAGGATGATGCCGGCTTTGTCGGCGAGTCCACCTTCACCGTGGTGCTTCTGCGATACCTCGTCGTCTTCCTCATCCCCACCATCAATGCTAGAGGGAAGTTGCAGGTGGCTCGCGCGTGCGGCTGGGTTTCCCATGAGCGGATTTTCATGCACGTGCACGCCGTCTGCAGAACGGCGGTCATCGTTGAGGTCTATTTCCATCGATGCTGACGAACGGAATGAGTGGACGTCGTCTTCGAGTGTGGAATCATCGTCCACGTCATCGTCCGCGGCGACGAGAAACTGTCGCTCGTTCGCGTCGCTGCCAAACGTAATGTCGCCAGAGCGGCGCTGCGTGCGCGTGTCGTGCAGAATGATGGAGTTGGCGTCCTCGTTGGCGGGTAGTGGGTTGGTGAGAATCGCCTCTGCGAGCTGTCGAATGTGGAAGAATGGATGCGGACGATAACACGTGAAACGTGACAATGAGTATCGTATCACCACGATGTCAAAGGTGTAGCACGCACGAGAGAGAAGGGTGCCCATTGTGTTATGGCCCACGAAAAGCCGGTTAACGTCGTAAAGAACGTCGCACCGGCCACGCTCGAGTAGAAGCTGCGTGGAGATATGTTAATACATCCGCTCAAAGTAGAGGCGTATCACTACTCAAGGCTCACAATGTTGCAGCCATACAGATGGCGAATACCAGATGCGAAATCGCCCACAAAGTCGCTAGATGAACCTTCATCCGGTGATACCACTGCGCCCATATGTTCTTGGTGGAGCTTAGCTTGCGTTCGAGCATCTCACGACTGGTTGCAGCTTCGGAGACAAAAAAAGGAAGCACGATATTGCAGCTCAGGCTAAGAATGGAGCTGTAGAAGAGGGCACGGGAGCCGAGGCGTATTGCCTCAGCATCGAGCACCGGGTCATCCTGAGCGACGTCAGGGTATGCGCGCTTGTGCAGGTCGCCTATGAAAGCGGTAGTGTAAAAGAGATTTGGGAACCAGCCTAACCATGCGCTGAAGCACGTTGGGCGCTATAACAGCGGGAGGAATGAATGGGACTCACCAAAATTGGATGATGCACTGCAACGAATGGTCCGTTTAGCGGGACACCGCGGCATAAGCATCGAGACGCACGATTTGTCGGATTACGGACGGGAGATTGCGCGCATTGTACCAAACGGTCTTAAGTTCCTTGATGAAGCTACCGCTGGAGAGTCTGCATAAGCCATAAAAATAGATGAGCAATCTGGTTACGAGCGTCTGAACCGTGCTAACGTACGCACTTATTGGCAACAACCACCTTTTCTTTAGTGCAGATTGCGGTGATGAGGTGCATGGAGACAAGAAAGAAGGACCCAACGATGGAAAGAACTTCCAGTTCTGTATCTCCAAGGAATGGGAACACTGTAGTCATGTCGACATTGCCGCTGGAAAAGTCAAGATGAGAAAGCGACAGTCGCCGATGAGTTTGATGAACTCACACGAAATATCCCGCGACACTTCCAATACCCAGCATACGTGCAGCCCACGCGTTCCCTTCGGCTTGGTCTGACGGAGGTAGGATGTCTACTACGAGAGCACGATCCACGGCTTGCACTGTCCGGTTCACGGTGATTCCGGACGTCAGCACATGCGTGATGTCCGCAGGTTAGCAGGGAACGACTGACCTGCATTTATGGAGAAATCGACGGAGAAGAGGGCAATTATTGCTAGCCATATGGTCAGCAGATGGTTCTGCGATGTGTCAAGGTTAGTATGGACATCTCCGGACGGCAGAAAACATACCGCTATGGAACCGGAGGGAACAAATAAGGAAGCGAAGGGTCTTGTGAAGCCCAGGAGGAGCATGGCAGTGATACATATGCATGTGCCTGCGAGCATGTAGGGTCTCCGACGACCGAAACGCGACTTGGAGTTGTCGGTAAGTAGACCTGTGGATATAGATTATGGTATACAACGATTTGTGCCAAGTGATGGACAACGCACCAATAACAGGCTGAACAACGAGTCCTGAGACAGGACCGGCAAGGAACACTACGGCGACAGCGGACTTGGAGAGCCCCAAGGAAATGAGGTATGGTGTCGCTTAAGATATACAATGAGAAGCTGGAGGATAACGGGGGTAGAAATGGGGAAGCGTACCGTAAGACATCTCGATCGACCAGAAGACCTGCACGCCTAGGAGGCCAACCGTAAGGGTGGGGAGTTGGAGCCATCGTGGACCTGGGTGGATGATGAGATGGAAGTGCACACGCACGAGAAACGCGAGCAGCGGGCACCTAGTACTTTGGAAACACCAGTGAGACGACTGTCCTCTCCGCCCTCCTCTGCGATGGGAACCGCTGCAAAGCCCGTCATGAACTTGTACGCCTAAGCTATACTGAGCGCGCAGGTTTGGGAGTCGACGCAGAGATCTTGGCTATCCGGCAGCAAGAACGTCAGGAATGTTGTATGTGTCCAAGGAAGGAGAGAAACGATGTTGTCGGCGAACGCGGGCGCGTTGCGCGCAGCGGTGTGAGATGCAGACGCCAGGGGTGATCGAAGGACGGAGCCACCAGTAATGGGGGACTCCGGAAACTCCGGGGTTAATCCCCGCATATCACGTGCACCTTCCTGTACAGAAGTCTCCGGCGAACTCTGAACCGTACCGCTCCCTATTCAAGTACTCCTTCCCACATCCTAGCGAGTCCAGTCAGCCAAGAACGCGCACATCCATGTTGCGCTGTCGCCGGGCTAGCGCTGCCCTGCGATGCGTACGCTCCTTCTATTCCACTCCTCTTCGACGGCGGGAACTCTTCAATCCGAGCGATGTCGAGCGAGCAACGGACGAAGTCGATGTCTGTATCGTCGGCGCTGGTCCTGCAGGCCTCAGTGCTGCTATCCGTCTTAAGCAGCTTGAGCAGCAAAATGGCCGCGAAATACGCGTCGTCGTCTTAGAAAAGGGCGCTGAAGTCGGTGAGTTACTATCTACCTCGGATGAGTTTGGTTTCGGGTCGACGTGCACTGGTATTTAAGGCACAATCTGTGTTCAGCCCTTTATTCTACAATACATCCTTCCATGTCACGGTTTCCTCTCGGTTCTTGCCGTTGTTTCTGTTATGCGTGAACCCCCTTCGTCAATCACGTCTGCGAACTCTCTAAATGGCAGCGGGAAACTACACTTTCCCAAACAACGCGTCTACGCTCAACTTACCACGCGCTGTTTTTATAATTCACTGTATCTGCGGCACGTAGCTCACTCTTTCCACCCACCCCAGGCTCACATATCCTCTCCGGCGCCGTCATCGAACCACGAGCCCTGAACGAGTTACTTCCGGAATGGAAGGATCGCTCCGACCACCCCCTCACGCAGCCAACGCAGCACACCTCCATGCGCTTCTTCACTAAATCCATGTCCATCCGGATCCCGCAACCACCGCAGATGGCGAAGACGGGAACTTACATTGTATCGCTCTCCCGTTTCACCGCCTGGCTGGGCGCGATTGCTGAAGAGCTCGGCGTCGAGGTCTACCCCGGGTTTGCAGGCGCGGGACTCGTGTACAGCGAGGACGGGCGCCGCGTGCTTGGCGTGCGCACGAATGAAGTCGGGCTCGACCGCGCAGGACGAATGAAAGAGACGTTTGAGCCGGGTATGGAGTTCCGTGCGCGCACAACGCTCCTCGCGGAGGGTGCACACGGTTCGCTCTCCAAAGAGGCAATCCGTCGCTTCCGCCTACGCGAGGGCCGCGATCCACAAACGTATGGGATCGGCTTGAAGGAAGTTTGGCGCGTCGACCCATCCAAATACCGCCCTGGACAAGTCGTACACACGATGGGGTGGCCCATCGACTGGAAAACGTACGGCGGAGGCTGGGTGTACCATATGGCTGATGGCCTTGTCAGCTTGGGACTCGTTGTCGGGTTGGACTACGCGAATCCTTATTTGAGCCCATACAGAGAGTTGCAGGTAGGTCCAGTCGTCCTCACTTAGTTTATGCTGTTCTCGCTTAATGTGCGCCGGGTATAGCGTATGAAGCACCATCCATACTTTACTGACCTTCTTTCTGGCGACTCGACACGCATCGCGTACGGCGCGCGCACGCTGAACGAAGGCGGGCTGCAGTCCATCCCAAAATTGCATTTTCCTGGCGGCGCCCTGATCGGCTGCTCCGCGGGCTTCGTCAACGTTGCGAAGATCAAGGGCACACACAACGCGATGAAGAGCGGCATGCTTGCCGCTGAAGCCGCCTTCAATGCGATCACCGCGCAGGATTCCGACGCGTCCGCCTCGGAGGGCGAGAACGCGACCGTAGATATGAGCAAGTACGAAGAGTCACTGCGCGAGAGCTGGGTATGGTCCGACCTGTACGAAGTGCGTAACGTGCGGCCATCGTTCAACACGCCGCTGCGGATGTGGGGTGGCATTGCGTATTCGGGGGTGGACACGCTGCTGCTCAAGGGCCGCACACCATGGACGTTCCGCAACACGACCGGCAAGAGTGATGCGGCGCATACGCAGCGTGCCGCGTCGTGCAAGCCGATCGAGTATCCGCCGTTCCAGCCGCCGCTGTCGACGGATTTACTTACAAGCCTTGCGCTCACCGGCACGAACCACGCCGAGGACCAGCCCGTGCACCTGCGTGTGCGGCAGTACACGCCCGCCGCAAGCTCTGTCGGCGCCGAGGGTGCAAAGGTGGGCGCGGCAGAGACGGAGACGTGGGAGGAGGACGGCGCGGTGCGCAGACACCATGTCCAGGCGAACGTCGGCGAGTTTGCCGAATTACTGGGCCGGGCATGTCCAGCGCAGGTGTACGAATACGTGGACGACGAGGGTGGCACGAAAGCGTCCGAGGAGGCTGAAGGTGAGGGGAAGAACGTAGAGGCTGAGGGATGGGGTGGTAAGAAGCTCGTGATCAACTCTCAAGTGAGTCTTGCCTACGTCGGGAATGAGTTTCCCATACTAATTCAACCACCTGCCAAGAATTGCATTCACTGCAAGCTGTGCGACATCAAGGTGCCGACACAGGACATCACCTGGACAGTGCCTGAGGGCGGCGGGGGACCGAAGTACAGTGAGCACATTGATTGTCGATCGTCTTCGCCTTGCTTACTACGAAATGCAGCCATCACATGAGTTCTCCTGAAGAGGTAAGCATCACATCATAGCATTCACAGCACAGAGCAGACTACATGCGAAATGGAATGTTTCCGGTCCCAAACTACTCATTGCGGGCGGGTATGCAAGCGGTTCCTCTGAGCCTCCGAACGTAAACTAGGCCATAAGATAGATGGAGTGAACATCGAACATATATAGTGTTCGAGCTCTTTGCGAAATGCGCAACGCAACCGGTACAGGACGGTTCAAGGCAAAACCACTCGAGCGTCCGACGCGACGTGAATCAGGTATTCACAAGTAACGGTCTATTGAGGTGCTAGTGATGTGTGGACTTCTTGCCTATGGTCGGAGTGAGTACTAAATTGTACTTATTGCAAACCATGGGGACGCACCGTCCACGAACATATTCCGTGTCGCGCTCGGCAGCGTTGCCGTCATTCCATTGAGTTCGCGCGTTATTTTCACCTGACAGCCTAAGCGCGAGGTGTCTGTGAGGCCAAATGCCATATCGAGCATGTCATTCTCGTCGTCCTGAGAGGATGGAGAGACGGATTGAAGAGCGGATGCACGCAAAGTTCGTGAGACAATGGTCCTACCCAGAGTCGTGCAGAAGGGGACAAACCTCTGGTTCAGGGAGCAGGTCATAGTGTTCTTGGCTGAGGATCACATGGCATGTCGAGCACGCAACTGAGCCTTCGCAGGCACCTACAAGGAGCGATGCCGGCATCGAAGTGAGACGGAGATAACAGCGTCTAGCGCAACCTATCCCTGGAGGACGATAAGTCAGCACACACCTTCTAGGTCGATGTCATGTTCGTGGGCAATGCTCAGGATGTCGTCGCCCTCGTTCACCTCGACGGTCTTGATGGGAGCCCCCTTTGAATCCTTAAAGTGGAGCTTGATCCTACGCAGAATGCATGCTTCTGAATATTGAGCTATACTAGAGGACGAGTTGAGGACGAACCCTGTACCCGGTTTTGGTCGTGTTATGCTCCCGTGTCGGGGGACTAGCCAAAGGAATAAGCATGAACGTCCATGTAACCCTACACCACTATCACTTACCCGCAGTTGAATGTATGCTACGTATGCAGCTCGAAGAACTAGCGGTGGTACATGGAGCCATGTAGCGGAGAATACTGGATGGTAGACGCGCTAAGGTGGAAGGTGCAGGAGAGCTGGGGTAGTGATACGCTCGACACCGGGATAAGGGCCACATCGGACGTGCGGACCACAACGGAGAAGATGAAGAGGGCAAGGATGGGGCGCTCGGAGAAAGGTGACCCGTCCTCGACACGCGGGAGACAGACGAGAGTGCGCGACTGCAAATGTTGTGCATGAAGGGATGAATGAAAAGTCCACGTGCAGCAACAGATAGGACTTTAGGCAGAGCGGAGCAAAGAAGCTACACCGGATGGCTGAACGAAGAGAACAGCTGGAGGTGGAATGGAAGGAGCAGTTCGCAGTCGTGGTCGACGATGAGAGAGCAAGTGCGGGGCCGAGCGCTAGCGGCCCAAACTTACGCGACGTCGATCACTGGTCACGTGGTGTACTACGAAGCCGTTGGCCGTCGGCTCCACTTGGGCACTTGCGCTCAATCATCACCGCTCATCTTTCTTAATCTCTGGTATCATGTCTGGATGCACGCCGAGCCCTGTATTCAGGCTGCATGTGGCCGAACAGATAGTACTCGCGATATGAACCTCATATCCGCTGCGTCAGCGCAGACACACTGGCATCGCACCCAATCGACGTGATCAAAGCTGGGCATACAGCAAATGGTGTCAAGGCTGAAGTACATGATTACCTGGTAGACCATCAGGCTTCCGGTATTATTATCATGGATACTTGCTCCCCTCTCTGGCCACGTTCCTGCGCAACAAATCTTTGTTCTCTAACATTAGAACCTTCCAGAAATGGCAGTTTTGATACCTTCTTAGGACATATCGTTCTCATTGTTGGCCCCGCCGCGGCCGCATGAACCATTCGTTTGAAATGGAGAACCTATATACACGTAAAGGAGACACAGCAATATCCATATATGATGTGCATATGGGTAGCGTGCTATTTCCTTTTGTTTTTCTTCGGAGGCGAACATTTTGTCTTCCAACATCCTACTAAGTCCCGCACGCTGGGACCGCCCTGGCGTTCCGCAGGGCCAAAAGGAGACTATCCAACCCATACCTTTTGACCCTGTCGGACTACCCCCAGGAAGTGGTATTCCGCTGGATATCGTCTATCATATTCCGATGCGGAACTCGAACGAAGCCGTTTTGGAGCACACTGGTCACAACAAGATGTTTCTGAGCATCCTGGTGCGTAGTTTCCATATCCTTGTGAAGACTCTAGATTTCACTCAGAACGACAGTGGCCTGGGTATATCGGACCACCGTATAAGAGAAGCCTTGAGCTCATGTCTGGAGATCAACCTATCACACGGTACCAACTAGCTATGCTGATTGCCGAGCAATACGGAAATTTTCTGGATGGGAATCGTTTTCACACTTTCTTTCACAAGTTTTAATTGACCCATCAACTTGCAGAAACTTAGGTTGGGCCCTGAATCATGGTTTACTGACGAGCGATGGAGGGTAGGACATGGATCCATCACCATGGACATGCTTCTCCTTCTCTCTGTCTACCAAGCCACGGCCGGTGGACTAGATCTCAAGACTGAGCTGCGTTTGAACTTCCCTGATCAGTGATACTATTCTTTTCTGCTGCTCGGTTGTTGACATGGCGCTCTGTCTACTTCTCCAGCTTGTAACTTCACTGCTTTAAAGTATGACAATATTAATACAAGCTGATAATTCCTGTGTAAAATGCCCAGTCTCACTTATCTTTCCAGCCGCATTCGCTACGATTGGATCCTGTCACATCCAAATTCAAGAAGGTCGTGGACGTTGTGGAGGCCGCTCGACCTCCCATAAATTTTGTCTTGGACAGCTCCCCAGTCCACATAATCTTCGCTTTATTCTATATCGCTGTTCCACCCCTGGATATCTTGCACGCACCTGCAGAGCCAGGCGACCAGATTGAGCATCACGTTGGAATGCTACTTCTTTTTCTGCACCCTTATGAGGTATGTCAGCAGCACCGCGCGTTCATAGATCACGCATTCCGTCGATTGCACCGTCTGGGTCATCCGCTGAACCACAGGAAACGAGTGTATCGACGAAAGATAGGAAGATATTGTCGAGTGGTGGAGCACTCGTGTACGTCATCCTTGGTCTCGTAAGTGGCGGAATGAAAAGCTTCAAGTTGAGGGAGTGGCGGCTAGAGCTCGACATACAGACAGGATGCGAAGTAGTCGAGGTTGTCGGAAGTGGAGTCGAAATCTGCAGGCTCAGTGGACATATAGCAAGAGAGGCAATCCCGGAAGGTGGAGAACTGCAAAGTCGATGGCACCCGTTCCGACATCGCAGCGAACGAGGTTCGACGCACACGGTAAACAGAACTGCCGAGACATAGTCCCATAGGGAGCACGTATGTTTCTCTCTTGAATAATCAAAATCGACATCGGTGTTCTACAAGTCACTGTGGTGAAGAATGGGATCGAGGGTGCAGTGAGGAGATCCACGTAGTATCCCGTAGGCAGACTGTTCACCTTCGTGTCTCAGGATATCCGCGTCGCAGTATACTGATGTGCTATCGACTTCTCCAGGCTGCATTCGGTCTGCATCAACTGCGTCTTCCAAGCCAGCTCTGTATGCACATCCAGCGGGGTGCAAGATTGGTGTTATGATGGCAGAGCACTAGATGCAATCAGATTTGAAGCGGAATGTTGACAATGGAGGATAGCAGACTCAACTGAGGTTCAGAGGCGACCTCTGGCAAATCCGAGTCACCAGTACTTTGCGGCCAATAGTACCACCACGAGCTTATTCAATGTGACATTTTATCTACATTGTGGTATCAGGATCAGAGACGGGAAATCTTTGCCCTGGAGTAGGTTGGGAGTAGGGCACCTAAACGGGCAGGCGACCTGCCAAGTACGGCAACTCCGAGGCCTTGTTATGTCACAGCATTTCCATCAAGGTAGTTCAGTTTTATGAAGAAGTATTACAATATAAATACAGAGGGACATAAGTTATAGTCGATGGTGATCGATCCTGGCTATGAACCTGGTCCAACAGCGACCTGCTATAAAAATATGTTGAGCAAGAGAAAATATATACCCTCAGTTTTTTTCCCCTTGGATCAAGACCAAACCTACGCCTTCGTATACCGCGCAGGTACCTGCGCATGGGGCACCCACACTTGTTCGGGTGCTAATGTCCACTCTGTGTGCGACGGAAAGATAATATGCCGAAGTGCGGTGCAGCTGCGCGCCCATGTCGTACATAATGTGGACTCCTCGAGTGCATTACTGGAACCGACACCTTCAATGACGCTCGTTGGGGAAAGGTCAAGCTGTCGCAGTAAAGGGAATGCACCGAGCACGGGAGTGAGGCCCGCGAGGATGCTCTGGAACGACGAAACGTGAACACATGACAACCACCAAGGACGAGAAAGTGTAACTCACAATACCTGAAAGGGAATGGTGTAGGGTATGCCGCAGCGCGAGCCTGACTTTCAAGAACTCCATGCTAGTGAGGTGCCTCGAGATGTCGCGTAGGAGGATGGGTGTAACTGACATGCCGCTGAGGTCGAGCCATCGGATGCGCACAGCAGACTGCGCTATATGCTCAAGGTCCGGCTCCGTGACGAACTGGTGGCCGACGAGGGCGAGCGAGTGCACAGGGCGCCCGGGAATGACAGATGCAGCAGCGATGGGCGATCCGCGGAAGGTAGCGAGGAAGGGGAGATCCGCGGGCGCGAGTGTGACGCGCTCGTGGAGGTCAGGTAGACGAAGGTGCTGGATAGAGGGCGTGTCTGCGAGAAACCACGCAATGGGCGGCGATGGCGCGTGGAACTTGGGCGGAAGGGTGCCGCGACCGATCCCGCTCAAAGCAAACAGACGGAGCGCCGGGAAGGTGCAGTGAGTCAGAACGTCATGCAGCGAAAGAGGGGCACCGGTGAGTCCGAACGCAAGTTCGAGGGATTCAAGGTGGATGAGCGAGCATAGCGCTTGATTGAGAGTGGAGACGGCAGGGATGACCGAAGTGAGATATGGCTCGCGTGGGCCAGGGTCTGTATGCCAGCGGACGGCGAGCTTCCTGACGACGTCTGCGAGGTGTGGATGGGCGACGAGCGTTTCACAGCAATTGATGGTGTGGACAGGGCTTAGTGACGCGGCGGAGAGGCTCTCTGCGACAACAATATTGGCATACAGGATGCGCTCAGTGACGGCTCGAAGGCGATGCGATGCACGCATTACTTCAGCTAGCACGCCAGGCTGCAAATTCTCAAAGATAATGGTGAGCGTCTCATTCGGGAGCTGGCTGTACATTGCCGGTGATCGCGCGTCGGAGGTTGCTACGCTAGAGCACGGGATACTTTTGCTACTAGAGCGCAAGCACCGACACGATGACTCCTGTTCCAAGGTGACGACGAGAGAGGGGATCTTCGTGACCGCGCGGAAAAGGGTACGTATGGTGGTCGAGCGAAAGAAAGACGAAGGTCACGGACATGTATGGCGAACTCCTGGTGTGCGCCTCGGAACAAGTGGAGACGGTGAGGCGACGGGAGCGGTGCGAGAGTTGACTGGGATGCGGATAAATCGCGGGACGGTGAATTGGAGAAAATTGCCAACCTGGGCCGTAATCTCCTCGAGCTCTCCCCTACATCAGCTTCCAGGTAGACATGGAGCGAAGATACCCGCCTTTGGGCCCCTCGCCTTAATGCAGAATCTACAATATTTCTGCATCGCCGCCGCAACCTAATGAACAGCGTCGCCGAAAGATGGTCTGAGTGGAAGACATTAAGGATGAAAGCCACGCGGCATACACAGCAGACCAGAAGGGTGACGCACCGTGCTCAGACAATCACTACCACACAATGCGGACACCTGGAGGCACCCTTCGACAGCCAGAAAAAGCTCACCACAAGCATCGTGACATCAAGAGCAGACGGAAGACTTGGCAATTCTCATCACAAGCTGTAAAATGATACAGACGGAGGTGATCAGATAGATAGATAGGATAATAACTGTTATACAGTAGGTACTCGTACACCGACAAAAGCCCGGACAAAGACACGACTTCTCACGCTCCAAAGCCATAGAGCGTACGCCCTGACCGCTTGAGCGCATACACCACGTCCAGTGCCGTCACCGTCTTCCGCTTCGCATGCTCCGTGTATGTTACCGAGTCGCGAATTACCTGCAAAAGTGTCAGAAACATGTCGAGGGGCGGAGGCAGGGTATAACTTACATTCTCCAAGAAAATTTTCAACACTCCTCGTGTCTCCTCGTAGATCAACCCCGAGATACGCTTCACACCCCCACGGCGCGCTAGGCGGCGAATGGCAGGCTTCGTGATACCTGGGGTCAAGTCAGTTGCTGTCGACTAACTACCGGCGGCTTACGCTTACCCTGAATGTTGTCGCGCAAAATCTTGCGGTGACGTTTGGCGCCACCCTTTCCGAGACCCTACACGCTATGTAAGCCACTGCGCAATAGAATGGACAATAAAGCCAAAGTCAAAGTCTCACCTTTCCACCCTTCCCGCGGCCAGACATGATTATCGAGTAGTAAAAGCCGAAGGCAGTGGGTGTAAAACTATGGTGGAAGTCGAGCGCAAACAATAAAACGAATTCTCAGAACGTCGAGGCGGCTTTATATAGAGCGGGCCTAGGGAAGCTCTGCACGTGGAGGAAACTCTAATTTGTTGAATCCTCGTCAACGGGCACGTGACCATGCGTTTGTTGACGCGACGCGTCTCGGCGCCTAGCCCTATATAAGCCTCCTTCCCACCGGTGCCTCTGCCGTTACTTCACGCCGCGTCGTTGCCTTACGTCCTTGTGTATTCATATTTCAATAACTCTTATCAATGGCTCGTACTAAGCAAACTGCACGCAAGTCTACCGGGGGTCAGTGGGCTACAACCTTTGTTACATTCATTGCCCTTGACGTGACTGACTGGCATCTACAGGCAAGGCCCCACGCAAACAACTTGCGGCGAAATCCCAAGCGCGCAAAACTGCGACCGTAGGTTTTGACATTAGCCTTGGTGCAGCGTATTATTTCTTTATTCACGCTTTCGACTACTAGACTGCCACCGGTGGCGTGAAGAAGCCTCACCGCTTCCGTCCTGGCACTGTCGCACTGCGCGAGATCCGACGGTACCAGAAATCCACCGAACTTCTCATCCGGAAGCTGCCCTTCCAGCGACTTGTCCGCGAAATCGCACAAGATTTCAAGGTGAGTCAGGGCCTCTTTCTAATGCCAATGTGCTAACGTGCGTGTAGACCGACCTCCGCTTCCAGTCCTCCGCCGTCATGGCACTGCAAGAGGCCTCGGAGGCATACCTTGTCTCGCTCTTCGAGGATACCAACCTCGCTGCCATCCATGCAAAGCGTGTCACCATCCAGCCGAAAGACCTCGCGCTCGCACGGCGATTGCGGGGAGAGCGGTCATAGACTGAATGTATTGCGCAGTTGTATTGTACCCACTGTATTTATTTATCTTCCTCTATTAATTTCTTGATTGCACATCCTTGTGGGTTTGAAGCAAGTAGGTCCGCCTGCAGAATTGCTCATTGGGTTTGGATGTCGACAGAAGACTATGTCCAGTACACTTAATACGTCTGTCACGCGTGTTCGGTCCATGTGAGTCTGATGAAGCCACCGAAGACGCAGTCCCATAGTTACTGTACAGAGTGGGGAGACTATCTAATATCTAAGGAATGTGAGCAAGCAGTGAGTACGAGGCGGGTATATCTATTGTACAACCAGTATTTGATCCAAGAGCGAGTGGTGCACCCGCATACACCCACTCAAGCTAGAATGACAACTACGGGGAATCCATACCGACGAGTAGATAGGAACCAACGAGGCACTCATGCGAAGTCGCTCGCCTCGCCGCCATACCGCTTCGGGAGTTCCGTCGCGTCGATGTAGGGAAGTAGGGCCGCTCCAATGGTCTGCGCCCCGGTGCCCACGGGCGTGAATTTGGCAAGAGTTGCGGCGGAGATGAGAGGTTTGAAGAGCCAAAAGATCCACGTGAGCAACGCGGGGATATTCACGAAGAACTTGCGTGACTGTTATGAGCGGACATCAGTATGCTTTGGTGCATGCCAACAAAGGCGTGGTGGCTAGAGAGAGGAAGGAGAAGAGCACGAGCTTACTAGGAACTCTGGGTAGTAGTCTTGGAAGATCGCCGTGGCTTGTGCAGCGGCGGCCTTCTCGCTTGGCGTCCGGCGCAGGCTCACGCCTTCGTAGTCTACACGCAAGAAATCAGTGCAGAGAATTACATGACACGCGGAGGCTTACCGTGTACTTGCACCATCTGGTCTATGTTCTCAAAGTCAAGCAAATTGATGCTCTTCTCCATAAAAGCGATACGCCATCTATGGATTATTCATCAGCATAATGAATGGTAACCGCAAGTGTACAGGCGTACCTGATGAAGCGGTCTACGTCTGAAAATGCTTCCTTGCTTGTGCCGTACAGGTTATACCTGCGCGATGCTTAGTCGGACCAACGATATGAGTGCAGTGTGATACTCACGTCACAGGCCGCTCCTCCTTGTCCTTCCCGAACACACGGCCAACTGGACCGAATATTTTCTCGTCGTATTGCTCTTTCACGACGTCATCGATCTTGAAGTCAGCACGCCAGCGCAGCGTCTTCACGAGCATCTGCTGCGCGTCCGTGACGCTTAGGTCCCTGTCAGTCGTGTGAGCGCCAGCATATGACAACGAGCAGCGAAAAAATTCAACGAATGGCGTACCTCGCACGGAGGAATTTTATGAGCACAACGCTGACACGAGCGTCGTGCGGTCCGTTCGCAGTGATGGACACTCCCCAGAGCGTGATGGGCACGTTTTGGTCCATCTTCGGGAATGCCTCCTTCAATACCTCAGGAAGCTTCGCCTGCGTAGATACCCATGTGGTCAGACATGCTATAGTCTAACTTCAGCGGCGCGAAACGAAAATTTCGTACCCGCAGAGCCTTCACGGCCGCCCACTCCTCCGCAGTGAATTTCTGCGTCAGTGCATTCTGCGACTCTTGGCTCTCTTGCTCTGGGGTAGGCTCAGAAGAGGAATTCACTTCGGCCGCAACTGGAATAGGCTCCGGCTCTACTGCAGTAGAATCGAGCGCTGCTGCGGGACCATGGTTATCCAGCGTCTCCGTCACCTTGGAGTCAGGAGAGACGTCTTGCACCTCGTTGAGGGACACGGACATGTCGGAGACGTCGGGAGTAGATTCTGCAGCAGTTGTGGCCGCTGTGGGCTCAGACATGGCGTGCTCGTGTTGGGTGAGAGGCAGTAGAATCTAAGAGAAACGCGACGAACTCCGAGTCGTCCTTTCGCAACTTCGCCGGCGCTACCTGGGTGCTACTACTACAAGTATACTTGCCCGCTATCTGATAAGATTGTACTTGGGCAATTTGAAGTCCGCCGTGGACTTGAAGATCGCCGCGGAACCACACTGCGACAATGCGTTCTAGCTGCTTCCGGCGTGGTTTTCTGTACGTGGCTCTACCGGATACCGGATCTCTGTTCCCAACGAATACTTTGAAGACTGCCGACCGGTCATGGAAGGCGACATTCTGTACTACCTGCTTCCCATTCGGAAAGCCTTCAAGTTGGGAATCACTAGCCCGCTGAATAGAGGATCTTCCTGAGATGCATTATCCTCATCTCCGTTGGCAAGTGCGCAGTGATGTGCTTCTTCACGATACCGTCTGTTTGCCAATTTTTGTCTCGGCTTTTCCTCTGTACTCTGCTTCTTATTAATATATTCACCGGTACGTATCGCAACCTTTCACAGCCCGACCAAGAATTTGACGCACCCTATCTCGCTGTTTGTAGAGTGTTGTCCCCTCTCTCAATGTCTCAGTCATCTTAGCGGTCTCCTTGAGTCCCGCTCCAAATACTTCAACCATTCCCAGTGCTCCCATCTCCCGTCTCTGCTAGATAGTTCTTGATGTTCACCCTGTATACCTGGCGAAATAAGAGCAGTGCGGGAGGCTAGGTGCAGCAATAGAAGCCACAAGAACCCAAAATAAGAGAGCGGGTGTGGTTTTTAGCGCGATATCTTCACTCCGTGGCGCGCCGTACATACTGATACATCTAGCCTTGTCTCGCTAGACCCCAGGGTTGACTGCTGAAGACCTCGCTCGGTTTCCGGGGTAGCCATGCAGGTATTCGAGCGGTGCTCGAGATGGCCGACCCGTTGCTGTTGGATGGTTTTGCAACCTGTAGCTGGTGGCGTTTGAGTTGCCTTGCGTTGACGAAGACTCGAACTTCCTCCGCAGACTTGAGCCTGCGAGGAACAGCGACTTTCACGCTTAGCGGTGTCGACAGATTTTGAAGCCCGACATTGATATCGGGGGCATCTACGATGAGCCATTCAGTGGCTTGTATCGTTCCTTTCCCTTGTTCAATCTGGCCAAGAAGATACGACTCTCAGTAGAACGTGGTTAGTAAAGGGCTGACATTTCTGCCATGCAGGTGATCAACACAACGCTTTCACAGGAAGACACGAAGCCGCGATTGCTACGGACCCTTTAATCCCAGAATTTTGACAGGACAACGTAAATTGTTGTCATTGCCCATGCTCAACTACGCTAAACGGTCGATGCCGCAGTCGAATAAATTTTGGCCGTGCATCAGCATGTTTCTAACAATAGGCATTCAAGGCTCAGGGATCTGGGCATGTCTCCGTGGGATGGAGGACGCATACTTTGTGCGTTTACTCCATTGAACAATCTCAGGTGCCTCGTTGCTAATTGTGGTATTTGTGTTCGGAAGGAGTAGAGCACCAAGCGTCCAGTCCCGACCCGTGTACGGTTGATTCGTTGGACGAATTTCGATGTGCTTTGACTTCGACGCTTCTGTGTCCGCACCAACCGCGTCACCGTCACGAAGCTTGAAGCCTTGTCACAGTAAATGGCCTAAATGCTGCAGCTATGAAGACATCTGTAATACGGTACGTATTGCTCACTCCTTTCATACTGCGTATTTTCGCTGACGATTACACTCACCAATCTAAGCTTGAGCACTAGCTTCAAGGTCGAATGCAAAATCTCTCCGTATTCCCTGCGCTCCGGACTGAAGCCCTACGTTCGTGAGCCGATTTTGCGGCGTCGTCGACGTTTATCTCGGTCGCCCCATGCTTCGTAACTTGCTAACCTAACTTAGGACTATTTCAGTACTTCTTCTGCACTTTTCCTCGTCTACATTCCCTGACGATGTACGTCGTCGAATACAACAGCAGTCTGCTGATCGATTCCTCCTCCGTGTCTCATTCACACACGCGTTTCGCAGTAGGATCGAACCTCGTGTCTTTGGCTGTATACAAAACGCATCCTAGTCAAACTACAGCGGCTCATCCGGACGCTGTACCTGAAGAACTGATTTAACCTTTGACACGCATCAACCTTTCGAAGGTATGCCGATCTGCTGCTGTCCGCTACATCCATTCTGACTTCGCGCCAGTGTTCGCAACGAAGCGGTGCCTTGAACGAGATTGAACGAGATTGAGCGAGATTGAGCGAGATTTCGTTACTGCAGCATATTCAACTGCGGCAACCCACCCGAGCTTGGTGTACAGCTCCCGCCGCTTCTCGCATCCCTCCCGTCCACCAAATCACCGGCAGAAGCTATGCATCATGTTCACTGTTAAGCTCGAGACGGACACGATCGATTTGCGATCGATTATGCGCATCTGAAACGCAGCAGCGAACTTCTCGCGCACTCACGTTTCCACTGTGCGTATACGCGTACGTACCCGTTGTTGGAGAGCGTTAATGAGCATGAGGCGAGAGCGACGTTTTTCGAGGTACTTCGACGAGGAGTCGAGGTGGCGACGTTCGGGAAAGATCTGTGTCGCGCGTATTGAGTGCAGGAAGTCCACCGAGTTCGGCGCATCATTGCAAACATGTGAGCCAATGTTATTATCCGACGGAAACGGTCAAACGTTGACTGCTGTCTCATCAGTGGTTCGCCCATTCCTCCACTTTACTCCTGATACTGCGCAAGGCCTTACGACAGTCGGCGTGGCACCAGCGATCCAGGTTAACACCGCCGACAACTCGGACGAATCTGCCGCGGTAATCGCACACAGGATCCATGAACTTCCCGTATCACATATTTCGTCACTCATTTCCAAGCAATTATTGTTCGCGTTTTATTCCTAGGCCACGACCTCGGCAGTCAACGGCTCGCTCGTCGCGCTCAGGACAACACGTTGACATTGAATATTGAAAATTTGACAGCCCACTACCATCCGGAGGGACTTCTCCACATTCTCACCATTTTTTTCTCTCCTCAGTCAAATAAAGCGATTACGCCTTCTCTGTTTGAACCTCAGGTGGCCGACAGACATCACATATACTGCAGCATACCGATATCGCATCCTGCGATACTCGTAACGATTGTATTCTAGTAGTGTACAATCTATCCACAAGCTCCTCCACCTCCGGAATAATGTGTAAGCTATGCATCCTCGTGAATCCGAAGTGTCGAAGTGTGGGGTATACAGTATCATGACATGCAACATGGTATGTGAACGGGAGCAACAATGCTATCTTAACGAGAAGCCTCCGGCGGAGGGATAAACGAGCGACGACGGGAAATGCAGTCAATCCAGATTCCAGACAGTCATCCTCGGGAGGGTATGTAGTGGTGATGTACACGTAACGGCGCAAGGGAGAGGCAAGAAAGGAAAGTAATAGAATGCGGTACCATAAAAAGGACCGCTATAAGACTATAGATCGAAGCGAACTTACACGAGATGTACAAGGCCGCGCCACGTTCCCTCCCACGCCGACGCCCTACGACGTCCTGATCATGGGCGAGCTCGGCATGCGCATTAAACTCGGGCGGAGGTCTTTATTTGACGTCGTGCGATACACCATGCCGGTGCCTGTGCGCGGTTTCGGCTTGATCGCCTGCGAAACGAGCTCGGGCTTCGCGGGCGATAAACGCGGAGATGCAGAAGGCTGAGCGACCAGCCCTCTTTGTGCATAGGAGAGAGCCGACTGAGGGGGGGATCGCGGTGTCGAGGGTGTCCGAGGAGGCTGGAGTCCGCCCGAGTAGGTGCGCGGTCGCTCGGTGCTCTGCGCGCTGCCGAGGCTACCTGTGTGACCACGGGTGCTGGACGACAAGGATGAACGTGTGCCTCCGTCCTGCGATGACTGAGCCGAATTATGGACCTGCGGGAGCCGCAGAGGGCGAGGCACTGCCTTCTGGTTTGTGAAAGACGATGGGGGGTTCGGTGTCCTCGAACCCGATTGTGTACGTATGCGGACGTCTGAGAGCGACTTGCGCGGCGTCTGCGTTCCGTCCTCGGAGCCTACGGGCGTGACAGGCAGAGGCGAGCTGGCGTTGGATGACGACGACATGTCGATGTTCGACTCTTCCCGCTCGTTAATGTGGTCCAGTGGGACAGGAACCTTGATCCGGCCTAACGACGGGGCGGACCGCAGCGAGGACATCGACGTGCGCGACTGCATACCGAACGCCGAGGATGCACTTGACGCGGAGCTACTTGTGCTTATCCGGCGATCGACGCCGTAAGGTTCTCTCCGCTGGAGCGACGTCGAGGGCGAACGCGGCTTAACGGGCAGCGGTTCAGAGACCGGATCGTATGTCGAGCGAGGTTCTGATATGGGGGCACTGACGGAACGCGCGAGGTGCGAGGAAGGGCGAGATGGAATAGTAAAGGACTTTGGGAGCGACTTCCTCGAGTGCGCACTTGACAGGAGCTGACTGGTCAGCGGCGACGGTGCATCCTCATCCTCGCTGCAGGAAAAAGTTAGGGCGCGATGTACACGAAAGTCACCGCACGTACCTATCGCTCCAGCCGAGTCCTGTCGTGAGCCCGATACCGCCGCGGAGCAGCCTACCGTCGCGATGTCGAATGCGCCGTTGTACAGTGTCGCGTTGGTCCTTGTACAGACCAGATTTTGTCATCACTGACGCGTCTGTGGAATATATTAAACCACGAGAAGATAAGGAGAGAGCAAGTGATGTATGTGCTTACCGCTGACTACGCTGAACCGACTGCCAGGCCGCCCACCGGGCACCGGAGACGACGCGCGGGACGATTGCGGCAGGAGTTTCGAGTTGGGCGACAAGAGACCATCTCTTAGCATCAGATTCCTGCGAGATAGCTGAGTGGATGAACCCGACGGTGTGCGACAAAAACTTACGGTAGCGGTGTGTGGACGTCCAAGCTGGAATCCGTATCGCTCCCATCCCCGTCAAGTTCCCTGTCCAACCGTTCCTCCTCATTCCTGTCCAACATATCCAACGGAGTGCCCGTGGCATCTAGCTGTACTCCGTAATCCGACACGAAGGAATCGTCATTCCGCGCATAGTCCGCTGCATCGCGTAGATACGCGAGCTCAGTGGGAGACGCAGGACGCGAGCGCTGGGCGAGGGATGTCCGGCTGGTCCTGGAGCTGCCAGAGCTCCTGTGGAACGCGGAGATGCCGTCGCTACCGCATCGCTTGAGGGCGGCGTGCGACCTGGAGCGTGAGCGGAGACTGGCGGATGCGGACTTGCGTCGCGGGCGAGGGGTGGCGGCGATGATGTCGCCGATATCGGGGCTGTCTGAACGCTTTGCACGTGAAGGGAACGCTGGGGCGGATCGTGGTGGGTCGAAAGACGGCAGAGGCGGAAGGTCTTTGTCGAGATGATGCTTCCGGAGGTCGGGACACGGCTGACGATACGTGGCGAGGGTAGCGGGAGCGGATACCGGCGGTTCGAGGTCGCGATCAGTGTTGAGCCTGGATTGTGAGAGGCGACGCGATGGGAGCACGCCAAACTCGAGAAGCTTTTCGTTATCGCTGAGGTCGGGATCTGGAATCGAGGCTGGGATGGAGATCTCGTCGAGGGACAAGCGAGTGAGCTCTGCGGGATCCTCCTCACATATGCGAGGTTGTATTACGGGGGAGATATCGGCAAACCTAGAAGTACTGGGTATACAGAGGGAGCCACTGGAGGGGAAGGAGCGGAGGGAGCGGGAGGAGTCATGGGGAGTGATGCTGACGGAGGGAGAGAGAGAAGGAAGGCTGCAGTTGCTGCCGCTGGCGTTGCTCGCGATAGTAGCGGTCGAATCGCGAAGGGAATAGGTTGAGGACGCGAGGGAGAGCTTAGAGGTGCGACGTGAACGAGCAGCGGAGATGAAGCTAAGCGTTTCCTGCTCTGTGATGGGGGAAGGACCGGGAACAGGTGGGAGTGGGGAAGAAGGGGGTAGACTTGGTGGAGGGTTGACATTAGTGATGGGTGGAAATGGGTGGGCAGGAATATGGGACGGTGGGACAGGGAAGGACGAGAGCAAGAGGGGAACGGGGTTACGCCTCTCGCGCAGGCGTGCTTCTGTCGCAGTCTGAGCCATGGCTGGCCCTATAGCTTCCAGGACAGGTGAGTGATGTCAGACGCGAGGGATGGGGAAGAGAGTAAGAACACACCTGGGAGAGGAAGAAAGTAGACGGATGCCGTGAAGAGAGGCTACAGCACGTCCAGCCTGGGAACGGTAGAGGACGCCCAACGTAACGGTGGCAATTAAGAGAGTGCTGGCGCTCGGCCAGTGTGGTTCTAGAGCAGAAAAAAGCGGGGCAGATGTCAGAGATAGGTCAGACTTGCACAAGAAGGTAGTTGAGACACTTTGGGTATAGTGAAAAGGACCTAGCGGTGGCCAGAACAGGAAGTGCAATTGTCCTGCCGCGTGGCTCCGAACTGAGGCTGCGTGTCGGCCCGCCCAGCGTCCCGCGAAGAAAGAAAAAAAAGAGACTGTATGGTAGATGTAGACGTCGGCGAGAGAGAGAGAGTCCGCGCACTCGTCGCCCTCGCTGCTCGCGTCGTCGTCAGGTTCGACACCATGCCCTTATACGGCAGGTGCCATCTGTTGCGCCACTGCCCGAGATCGATTTCCTTCTATTGCTCAGGCCCGCCAACACCTTCCCGTCCATCTGTCCCGTCCTCTGATCCCGCCATCGTCGTGGCGTTTGGCTCGCGCGTTCAAGTACTGAGCTTCGTTGTCACTTGAAGGCACCAAAACGATTATTTTCTCTTGCCCGCCGTTGCTCATGGCGACAGCATCAACTATTCAAGTCCGCAAGGGGAAATCACTGCGCCCTCCCGTAGCCCTCCCTCCTTTCGTACTAGCGTGCCATCCTGTTGGCAGAACTTAGACGCGTTCAGAACATCTGACGACGACTGAACGGCGCGTAAGTATATACCCTCCTTGCGATCCCCGCCCTTGCACCAAGGATGTACGCGATTTATCGTGAGCCACAGCGAGGTACACTGCCCGGAAACTAGAGATCACTCCCAATTCCGCATGCAAGATATCCGCCTATTCAACCACACGGAGCCGGTACGCAGAGACACAGGCTGTCACCAATAGCCTCACCTCGAAGGTCTGATACGCCCGCCATCCAGGTGAGAAATCGAAGCACGGCCAGCAGATGCAGCGAATGTGACGACCACGAAGAAGATCTAAGTACCGGACCAATAACGAGCAGTTGCAGGAACGCGTCGTTCACGCGTCCCGGGCGGACCGTTTATTCCTTGAAGGCCTGACCTTTCGCTCCTCCAACCTTCACCGCCGCGGCACACAGGTATTGTGAGCTCGAGTTTAACAAGGTTCAACAGCAGTTACAAGTTACCTTTAGCGCGTGTAAGATGACTCCGTCTATATATGTACCTGCGACACGATTTCCTGAACGATTGATCCAGATCCCGATATCATGTCTCCCTGTATACACGACGGTGAGCACGAAAGATGGTGTCTGCAACGACTCCCGATGTCCTGATCGTATCAGATCCGCACGTCGACTCCGAGCGCGCCCACAACGACACCTCGCCAGCGTGCCTTCCTATCGAGCTCCAACTCGATATCATCGAGCAGCGCATCCTCGACGGACCAGATGCTGCCCACCAGATCTCTCAAGTGTGCCAGCTCTTCCGCCATATCGCGTTGCCGTTTTTCGTTCGGACGCTTTCGCCTGTAGAGCAAGCGAGGCAGCTCGTCAGTCTTCCCGAGCACCTGCTGCCATATGTCCAAAACGTCTGGATGGAGGACGGCCGCAAGTCGGCCTACCCCCTCCTCAGCACATCCTGGATCTGGGAATCCGTCCCCAACCTTGCCATACGCACGTCGAGCCTGTACGCGAGGATGCGACTGGATCCCATGCGGCCCATTCTGTGTACGAAGCTCACGCTACTGCCGTCAGACGAGAACCATTACAGGGGATTACAAATTGCGATATCTCACTGCTTCTTAACACAACCCTTCTACCTGACCAACCTCACCCATCTGCAATGGTGTGCGACAAGGCACACGCCGGCGTTGCCGCGGCTTCTGCTTGCTGCCCCGTGCCTTACTCACGTCGCGCTGCCTTTCAGACCGTCGCTCCCTTATGCGACGCATATTGTCTTGAGGTCAGCGTTGGTGCTTGTCCCAAAGAAACAACTGATGGTCGTCATCGTGCTTGAACTGTCTTTGCTGATGGCAAGAGGTCTCGGAGGGCTGATCGCTGAAGTTGAGAACTGTAGGAAACTGGACGAGCGGCTGTATCTCGCGCCCGGCGCGGTGGAATGCGACCACATGCGCAAGGAGTGGGAGCAGCTTATCGACGGCGGGGAGGATGTTTGGCAGAGGGCCGCGAGGCTCCGGAAGGCGGTATTGGCTGGGGATGTGGAACAGCTTAGACGAGAGTAGTGCGTCCCTTTCTGGTGGATTATAGTGTGCTGCTCACTGATGGATTTTCAGCCCCTTCTCACAGGAGAACACAGCCTGATTCATTTTCTGGGGACTCCGCCTCCGTTTCGCTTTCACTAAAAAATTTGTTTCTGTATGCAGATTGGTGATTTTTCTTTATCCCCCACCTCCACCCAAATTTCTGCGAGATGCTCGCACTGTACTCGGCAAACATCCTCCTGTCCCCCGTGTATCCGTACGTTGCTCTCTGGACCCATGTACAGTAGTATGACTCGCAATTTGAAGTGACGATTTGCTCTCGACCACTTCCCTGTGCCATTGAATTTACCGGCGGTGACCGCTTCTGATCTGACCATACTAAGTGTCCTATTCTATGAAGTTTGAGTATCGTAGTGTTGCTGTCACGTCCGTCATTCTACTTATGAACACTTGCCGGTCCCCACCTTTGCCTCAGCCACCCCTTCATTCCCAGTGAAAACATTGGATTTTGAGGTCGAATGGCATCAAATGAGCCTGTGGGATCATCCTACGAGCGAGGTGGAATTAGCTCGAATGAGTCTTGGGTATGGAATGCTACGCCGATGCGGCGGCCGAGTCTAGGATGTGGGATACAGTCATACATGGGCCGACAGGAGAACTCTAGGTACACGCCTGACGGTGGGCCGAGTCTAATGTATCGAATACAGCCAGGGATGGGCCGGCATGAACATCTTGGGTATGGAATGCTACGCCGATGCGGCGGCCGAGTCTAAAATGTGGGATACAGTCACACATGGGCCGACAGGAGAACTCTAGGTACATGCCTGATGGTGGGCCGAGTCTATCGAATACAGCCAAGGATCGGCCGACACAAAAACTCGAGGTACACGCCTGACGGTGGGCCGAGTCTAATGCATTGAAGCGAGTCTAATGTATTGAATACAGCCAGGGATGGGCTAACATGAAAATCATGGGTACAGAATGCTACGGCCGTGTGTAAAGTATAAGACACAGCCAAGGATCGGCTGACATGAAAACTCAACATACATGCTTGACGGTGGGCCCAGAGTAAAGTACCGAATACAGCCAAGGATCGGCCGACATGAGAACACTCGATCATTTGCCTTGTCCGTGGGCCGAGTCAAGTATGTCAATGTGCAACTTTGCCTACAGGCATGCATGCCTGTATCAACTGTCGGCCAAGTAGAAGATCTGAGGCCTTACTTCTGCAGGCCTCTGAGTGGGCCGAACCGAAAGTTTTCTAATGATGCTGCCTGGGCCCATCCAACCTTCTTGTGTATGTGCAAACAGAGTCAATAAATGGGCCGACCAGAGGTAAAGATGTACAGCACAGACAGCCCATCCAAGCAATGGGCATATGAGGGTCTCATCGGCTCACGTTGGCTTGTGGAGAATCTGGGCACGCGTCACTGGTCGGCTTGTCCAGATTCAGGGAGATTTTTGCTGAATGGGGTCCAGCAGGAGGATTGCATCAGCGCGTTGCTGCCCCCAGCGCATCTTGAGAGGGTGTAAATGGTGAGAACTGAATGCCCGGAATCAACTCCATTATTAAAGTGAATTGTTTCCGGGATAGCACATCGGCAATGACATTGTCCTTGCCCAAGATATGGGTGACACGTAGCTGCATATCATCCCGGATGAGGACATCAACTGCACTCTTCGCAATGCTGTTGTATGCTGGGAGTGCTCGCAGTGTATCGAACAAGGCAACCGTGTTGGTGTTGTCAGAGTAAATAGCCATATGGTGAACTCGCTCCACACTCATTGCTGTCATCTCGTGGATTGTGGAGCAGACTGCCAAAGCTTCGAAAAAGAAGGTTGTGTCCTTGAGTGCCTGGCAAGGTAAGTCTGAGTACAGACCCGCACACTCTAAGGGGAAGCACAGGCCGAGTCCAACTCCCGACGCATCCACGAAGGCAAGTGCATACCACGGATTGTCCCTTTGGAGGTCATCAGATTCGCAGTGTGTCACGCTGTCATGCACCAAAAGTGTTTGGCTTGTGAACATGTAACCACCGGTGAAGCGCTCAACAAAGAAGTCACGTGACTAACACGGAATCCAAGAATGTTTGGCCGAGCATGTCACCTGATGCTCACATTATGCTATTGGATGGGAAAAACTCGGAGAGTGCTTTCTCCCTATTTCTCCCTGCTCACTTTATGCTATTGGACATGGAGGTCCCAAGAGTTTTGTCTTCCCTGTTTCTCCCTGCTCACTTTATGCTATTGGACACGAAGGTCCTAAGACATTTTTTCTTCCTACTTTTCCCTTTGATCACATGATGCTCTTATTTTGCTATTGGCCAATTTGCCATGTAACACTACTATGTAACGGTCACAACAGGTGACACCCGAGGGGTATAAAAGGACCCCTGAGGTGCCCCGACCCTTAGTCTTCTCTCTCCACTTGTAGCCCCCTATAAGTGAAGAGTTCTCCCTCCACTTGTAGCTTACCCTACAAGTGATAAACTAAAAGAATAGGAGTTCATTTCACTCTTCCCAGTAACATTTTTTTTCTTTTTTGGAGTAAGCGTAACGACACAAGGGAGCGACTGTACTCGGACAGCCCTCCCGAGGTCTGCTTTGCGGCGGGGCTTTCACCCGACGATCCTCCAAAGAGGAAAAATGTGTTTTACGCACGCCCGCTTTACAGCAGGCACTGTATTGCCAGTCGGACGTGGGCAAGTGTGTTGCGGGTGGATTTCCGGGATGGACTTGGTGATTGGATGAGGATACCTTTGTAGGCCGTCCTTTGTGAGATGGTCGTGAGTCACGCGCCGGAAGGGCAGAAGGTGTGTGTGTCGGATACGTCTAGTGGGTCAGGGAGGATGCGTCGTGCGCTGTTTCTGGCCAGGTGATCAGCTTCTTCGTTTCCTTCGATGTGGTCGTGTCCTTTGACCCATTGGAACATAGTGGTGGCTACCCGTCTATGTAGATTTGCAGCTGCAGCGCGGAAGAGGTCTGCGTTTGCCACGTCGATTCATCTGCGATCTTCCTAGTGGGGAAGGTGAATGGTGAGGCCATTGATTGTGTACTTCGAGTTGCTGAGGATATGGAGGGGAGTGAAAGGGGGGACAATTTGTGATGCCTGGAGGATGGCAGCCACCTCACCGGCCTGGTTGGTGTTGTGGGGTGAGGGGAGGCGCAGGCTTGTGTTACGGGGATCATTGTGTGTGAACCAGATACCGGCACCTGCTTGCGTGTTTTGGTCTCTGTTGTTGATGCACGAGCTGTCGGTGTACACTGTTGTGCTCTCTTCCAGAACGGGTCTACCAGAGCGGTGAGAGACGGTTAAGGAGGATGATAGGTGGTTAGAGAATATGCGGAAGCCTTCTTTTAAGTGGCCGGTGGTAGTGATTGACGGGTTGAAGAGTATTTGTTGGTCTGTCATGATGGCCGTGTGGTTGGCCCGCCGTCTATGTTTAGTGAGTGTGAGGGCATCATCTTGGGGTTGTGTCATTGGGTCCCAACGTTTCCCGATGAGGATGAGGAGATGTATGGCGGCGATATAGCAGCGGAACGGGTTCTCGCAGCCCCTTGTTTGGCGGTCCCTCGAGCAATACTTGCAAGTGCAGGCTTTATTGCTTATGTGCGGGGGGGCAAGGTTCGGTACACCGTCTCATTTGGTGGTTTTGAGGAGGTCGCCGATGGTGGCTACATTGTGGTTATCGCGGAGGCATTTACCGGAAGGGGAATTGTTTAGAGAGCGGAAACGTTCACCGGCTCCAAAGTGGTACCATATTGGTAGTTTTGACTGGAGGTTTTTGGATGGTTTTAGGGTTCCGAAGGTTACCTTATATTTTGTGCCAGTCTTGAGGAGCTTCTTGAGGAATATGGGAAGGTGAGATGATGGCTGGATGTTCACCTTCCAGGTTTGGAGGAAGATATTGGTTTGTGCATTTACGGGGACGTTGCCGGAGGCGCGGGTGATGTTTTCGAGGATGAGGAAGTCCACGATGAAGGCCCAGGTTGGTCTGTCAGGGCCGATGTCTAGGAAAGATTGTAGGTCCTTGATGATGATCACATCATTTCTGGCTGCGAGGTGGAGAACTCCGAGGCCTCCATTTGTCAGAGGTTGGCAGAGCATGTCCAGGCTGACTGTTGGGCCCCGATGGTCATCCCACATGAAGTTCCGGATAATCTTGGTGAGGCTTTCTTCGATGTGTTTGGGCATACCTTGGACGCGAGTTAGATATTGGGTCATGCCTCCAATCACCATTTGGATGATAAGGCGACGTCCCTTAAGGGTCGGGTGGCCTTGGGACCATCGTAGAAGGGAGGCTTTGATTTTGTCCATTATTGTTGACCAGGGAGATGCATTGTCGACATTGTTTCCAATCCAGGCACTGAGAGAGCGGATGGCATCACCGTCGCATGTTATGTGCACTTGGGCAGGGAAAGCAAGGCTCTGGGGCCCGAGGCAGTGTTTTGTGATGACTTGCTCTCGGTACTCAGTGGAGCCGATCGGGATAATCTCGGTTTTGTCGACATTGAAGCGGGCAGTGGAAGCGAGGCACCAGGTATTCAGAATATCTGAGAGAACGGCAAAATCATCCCGTTCAGACAAGTAGGTCATGGTGTCATCTGCGAATAGGGTGGTGATGATTCGTTCAGGTACACCAGGGATGTAGAAGCCTTCGAGTTGGGAATTTCGGAGCATGCATGCAAGCAGTTCAATAGCAAGGTTGAATAGAAGGCAGGACATTGGGTCTCCTTGGCGTACTCCTTGGGTGATGCGAAAGGGGGAGCTGGTCTCACCGTTTATGATGACCACTGTTGTGGCATGTTCATAGAGGGATTGGACCGTTGCGGTGAAACTAGGGGGGAAGTGGAAGGCATCCAGTGTTCTCCACAGGTAGTCATGTGCAACTCTGTCGTAGGCTTTTTCTTGGTCGAGTGCAATGATAACTCCATTTTCTTCGGTCACCTTGGCATAGTGTATCATCATCTGGGAGAGGCGTACCTGGTCAAAGATGTTTCATCCTGGGATGAATCCTGCCTGGTTCGTGTGGATAACTGATGGTGCAGACTTCGCTAGTTTGAGTGAGAGGGCCTTGGTGAAGATTTTGTAGTCTGAGTTGAGCAAGGTAATGGGACGATAGTTGGATATCTCTCTTTTGTCTTTCTTCTTGTAAAGTGGGCAGAGCCAGCCAGTTGCGAATTCTGTGGAGGGAGAGACACCGTTTAGTTCGATGTCATTGTAGATCCAGGTGAGTGTTTGGATGATGTTAAAGGCTGGTTTGTGGTTTGATGTGTGGTTCAGGAAACGGGACTGAAGCGCCTTCCAGAGTTCATATATTAGTCCATTTATGCCAGCTGCTCGTCCTGACTGGCAGAGCGCAAGTGCATCAGCTACGTCTGTTTCGGTGATTTGTAATTGGAGGTTAGTGTGTAGTCTGGCAGGGAGCGGTGTGTGGATGTTGTCTAGAGCTTCGATTGTTGTGTGTTCGCGCTCCTCGGGGGTGCATGCAGGAACATCCTGTTGAATAGACTCGTGGTAGTCTCTGGTTAGTTTTGCCATTTTGTCCGATTGGCTTTCATAGGAGGGTGGGTCAGATCCGGGGCATCTTAGGGAGTAGACCGTGTCTCTGGGCTTGCGGGGGTTGCACAGGGACGACCAGTACGATCCGATCTCCTCCGCTTGGGCGTGGAATTTGGCTTTTGTCGTGAGTCGAGTCTGCTTATTCCGAAGGAGTTCTAATTCTAGTATGCATTTCTGAATTAGGTGGGCCTCAAGATGTAGGTCGGCAGATTTTTCGTAGTCTGGTAGATTGTGAACGTCGCGCAGCTTTTGTTGCAGGGAGTCAGAGGAGTGTTTCAGTTTTGGCTGGGTTTTCCGTGCGATGCCTCTAGCGAGGGAGACCACTGTGTCTTTAAAAGTTTTGAAGAGAGTCTGTGAGTTATTGTCATGTGTGCGGGCATCGGCTAGGTCTAGGATTTTTTGTGAGAGGATTCTTCCTTCTAGGTCGATTGCTTTCATAAATTCATGGTTTTGCAGGAGTATTGTCAGGATTGATCAGCAGCCTTTCCCGATGAAGGGGGCCTTGAGATTGAAGATTCGGATGAAGGTGAGTTTGTGGTCTGTGCATACCGCGGTGTCTTTAATTGACCAGTCTAGGGATGTGGGAAATAGTTCTTCTGAGATGTAGATGCGGTCTATGCGGGATCTGCTGCTGGTTCCCAAGACGGGGTAGGTAAAGTTCTGGTCTTCTGGGTTGGTGAGGCGCCATCCATCTTGTGTGCCAAAGAATGTGCGAAGATCTTGAAGGGCGGTGGTCACTGCTAATGCATCACCATGACAGGGTGAGTGGTCGAGTTGGTCTTCTACAAGGTTGAAGTCTCCGAGGAAGAGGTCCGGGGTTGGTAGGCCCATTTCTGACCACTTTGTTTGCAGGTTCTGCCAGAATTTACAGTTTGGTGTTGACTGGTTTGGTGCATAAACCACGAGGATATGGAGAGTGAGTGTGCCGTGCCATGGGAGAGTGACCAGGAGGGCACGACTGGGGATTACTTCTGTAGATCGGACGTTCGCGGTGTTTGTGATGTCTTTGTTGAGAACAAGGGCGACTCCTCGAGTGCTGATGCTCAGCGGGTCGGGGGAGGAGATGATGTGGAGATGCTTGCCAAAGATTTGGAGGAGGCGAGCTGTATCTTCGGGTGCAAGATGCGTTTCTTGCAAGGCTAAAGCGCCAATACGCTTGTCTTTGATTAGTTGATGTATGTCGCCCCATTTGCTAGTGGGATTTGTCGGGTCGGTGACGCCTCTGCTGTTCATATTGAGGGAGGCTATTTTGATGGACACCTTCATTTTCTTTTTGATCTTGTTTTTGCAGCGGCTGTGTTTTGACTTGTTTTGGGGTCGAGGTGGATTCAGCACTTGCGGTAGGTCGACAGGTGAGGGGGGTTGAGGACTGCCATCATACTCTCCAGGACCTTCCTCAAGATGGGCCCTGGCAGGTGAGGGAGTCATCCCTCGGGTCTCGGGGAGGCGCTCTACCATGCCAGTGTTTGACCGAATAGGGGTTTGGTTTGTGTGTAAATTTGTCGCCGTTGGTTTACCTACTCCAGCATACAACGATTTACGAGGTAGGGGAACTCTTCCTGAGCTTCCACAGGTGACTCTGTCATGCTTACTAGTTTATGAAGGTTGCGGAACCAGCACAGACGTTGAGCGAGACTTCAGCCTCTCAGCCCGGCACATCAAGACCTAAATAGGTCGCTGTTGTTGTAGTTGCAGAGAGAACACAGCTAGTATGGATGGTTGTGGGTGGGTGCCAGCTTTCCTGTCCCATAGTGGTCAGTATATTTGGGCGGGCACCGTTTTGTTGGTCAAAGGTTCTCTCATTTGACCGACACAGCTTCATTTCCCAGTGGAGTGCAGTTGCATTCCACTATGGCCTGTCCGCACAGGGTAGAGAGGACAGTCATGTTAGTGATAGTGGTATGTAGTAATGACAGTAAAGCATGTGAGGCTACGTGAAGGTGGGCATATGATCAATAGACATATAATGTGTGTGTTCCGATGGAGGTAATGCAGAGTACACCACGGCTAGTAGTGGTAGAAGCGGTCACCCGGAGTCGCAAACCCTCGTTCTCTCACATTTCCCCGATGTTGCTCGTAGGCCCGACCATGGTCATAGGCCCCACAGTTGTGGTCATAGGGGAAGTCTCGCTCGCGCTCCCTATCGCTCTCTCTGTCTCATTGGTACTCGCAGTCCCGGTCATACATGTAGTCGCATTCCCTATTGAAGCCGTGTGTGCGCTCGTAGTCCCAGTAGTCGGCATAGCGAGGTGGGGGTGAACGTGGGCCTGAGTCAGTAGCATGGGGATCGCGATGTCGCAGCGGTCCGGGCAAGGTGTCCAGGAAGTAGTTGGGGCGGCGGTTGCGGTCATCGTCGAGGAGCGGGCGGCGGTCATAGGGGGTGTCTCGGTTACAGAGGTCACTGTTCCCGTTGCAGCCACATTGGTCTCGGGGGGCGTCACGGTTGTGTTGGTCCATGTTATTCCACTGTGAGGGGCCATTTCAGCCCGGGATTTTGGGATATGGGCATAGGCCACGTGGGTGGTCCACCGAGTGACATCCAGAGCAACGAGAGATGGTGGCGAGCTCGCTGTGTCTCGTGTATGGATTGGTGAAGGATAGCCCCCAGATATGAGTTCGCCAGATGTTCCATTCCGTAAGGGTGTCCGCTGGACAGTTGATAAAGATGTTTGCTCTGGGCGCAGGGATCGCCCCTTCATCGTGCATGTTGATGATGGTGACCTCCAAGGAGTTGAGAATCATATCGACAATAGTGTCATCGTCCGTGTTTGCAAAGTGATCATTTTGTTGGGCAAGACTGAGAATCATGACTTTGGTCGAGGGCGAGCTGAGGATGGAAAGAATACCTGTGTGGATGGTCTTCAGCTTGGGGTCCGCGAAATGCATTAGCGTGCATATGAAACGAGGGATTTCCCATGTGAGGGCATAGCAGAAGAAGGAGATTGCCGGGCAGGACCAGCAGAACCTGTCAAGGAGAAGGGAGACCTCCGCTAGGGTGAGCCCACGAGCTAGGAACGATCACGGAGGTTAATTCGGGTCCTTCAATCTCTCGTTAACTTCGGGCACGGGGATCTCCACCTCGATTCCGGTATGGTGGAAGAGTGAGCACAGGGTGCGCTGGAGGGTCTCTTGTTTCAAGATGTTAACCTTCTTGTCCGAGGCGCAGCACTCGTATACTTGGATGGCTACCCGCGGATCAGAGTCAGCGTTGCGGATCCAGAGGTTTCGCTGTGACATCTCTTGTCTGAAAAGGGTGTCCACTGGCTTCTCGCCATGAACCTTAGGGAACACGGATGATGGCTTAGGAGTGAACGTGATGTCCGCGGTGTCGGCAGTCGACGATTGGGGGGGACGAGAGGAGGCTGATCCAGAGTCCGTGCCATCCAGCTGTGCCAGCATTTTGCGGCGGCTGTGCTGAAGGGCAGTTGCCGTTAATGTGCGCTGTTTATGGCTGTGTGGTGGCCTTGTGGGCACGGGAGCATCTTCGTCCATGGGGACAGGCTGTGGGTTAGGAATGGCCTTCGACTCCTTCAGCAGATCGACCTTGCACATCATGGGCAGGCTCGGGAGGCTGGTGGCAGGGCGCGGTGTAGGAACTAGTGCCATCGATGAAGGGGGTTCCTGTCATTCTGGGTATCAAAGAATGAGGGCGGAGTGTAGAGGTTGGGAGTGGGGGGGGCAGGATCATTGGACCAGAAGCTGGGGGGGAGTGATACCATGGGGAAGTCTTCGGGGAGGTGCTGTCCATTGAATGAGGCATAGTTGCGATACTCAGGGCCACCGATCTGGTGGTGGTAGGTGAGGCCTGTCTGGGGAGCGAGCGCAGCAGTTTTGGCCGCGGTGATCGCATTGGGACTGTAGTTGGATCCTGGCGAGGGGTAAAAGTCCAGGCTCTGGGACGCATGGCGAAGAGCTTGCGCGCTCGTCAGCGTGAGCGCGCAACCTCCATGTAAGAGGCCAAAATGGCGGGACGGGCCGCTCGCAGAGAGGTTCCATCTGGGGGGGATCCGCTCCTCGGGCTCAGTGGCGTGGCGGACTCTGGTGTCTGGTGAGACAGTTCAGAGACGTTTGCGATCGGTCGCTCTGGGCGTCTCTGGGAGAGGAGGCGCGGCGTTGAGGTTGGACTTGATAGCCTCTGTTTCCGAGGTTCCCGGGACCGCCTCCTGGGCAGTAGTGGTGCTCACATTCAGTTGCGCACTTGGTTGCGCACTCGGGATCTCTGCGGTGAGAGGTTTCCCTATCTCTGATACCGGGCTGAGTGTACTCATGGGAAAGCCGTCTGGCTCCTCTATCAAGGGGGCCGTCAGGGCCTGCCCATTTTCGGGGTGTGTGTGGGGGGGAGGAGTCCCGACGAGGTCCCCAGTTAGCATGGAGTTGTTCACTGAGGGTATGAGGACCGCAAGGGCTGCATGTGACATTTCTGGGGGAGTTAGATTTTGGGGGATTTCACAGTTAAGGTAGTACCTTTTACTTCGGGAGTGGGGTTTCCTGGAAGGATAGGTTCTTCCTGGGTTTTAGGAGTGTTCTGTTGAGACATTTTGCACGATAGAACAGTTCTCTGAGCAGAGGGTGTGGGACGCACGGGCTCTGGGAAGTGTGCGCTGGTGCTTAGTCAGCAGGGCTTGTCACCGGCGCGGGTCAGGGATGGATGCTGTGATTCGCCCGTGTCAGCAGGTGATGACTGGCGGTTAGGGGAGGTACATTTGGGTATATAACGTATCTAGGGTAAGGAATGTGAGGGATAATATAAATAAATGAAAGGGGAGGAATATGGCCCGTGATATGGACTGATAATAGGTGGAGACAGGGGGCATAGGTTCCATGACGTGTTTAGGACTAGTCGGGCAGAGTCCTAAGTTCACGGCAAAGGGAATGATCACGATGACGAAGATACCATGTACGAGAAGAGATTTATGTTGACCCACTTCCTGCGTGTCGATAAGTAGATCCTCTGTCTGCCTGACTTCTCTATGATCTCCAGCAGGACGTACTCGCTGTCCGCATAGCATATCTTTGTAACACGTCCTTCCGTGTCTCCGATGCGCACACGAGTGCGGATGGAGAGACGTGATTGGGCCTTCCTTGTCATGTACCATGGGCTGGCAATGGAAGGAGGTGCTCTGGGTCGGGAGATAATGATCGTGAGGGAGGTGTGGTATCATGTCGCATCTAGTGCATTGAGGGGAATATCTTCATGGGGGAGGGGTGCCGTGTGGTATGAGGATGGGAGGGGGAGGACGATGTCATCTCTGGCCAGTGTAGGCTCAGTTGTGGGTTGGGGGGGCTCTACCAATTCAGCTGGGATGTAAAAGGGGAGGACGATTGTCATAAATATTGTGGGTGAGGGAGTGACTTTAGTGGGGTGTGGGCAAGTCTCATTCAGCCAGATTTAATGTGCGTAGGATGCTAGGCGATTGGTTTGCTTATTTTATGGGTCTAGGTTGTTGATGAACAGGGCCAGGCCTGTGTTTGATAACTGAGAATTGAGAGTAATGTGATGGTCGCAGGGGTTAACAAGTGGCAAGTCATTTATTTGAGATTACAGGGAGTATGAGTACGTTAAGGAATCTGTTGGCGGTGGGCTTAAGGGTTTCATTTCGTGGTCACATGGTCCAGATGTATGAGAGTCCTCGGAGTGTCCCAGTGTCCGCGGCTTATGTAAGCATGGCGTCGGTCGGTGGGTACAGGCTGGAGGTATGGTGGTAGGGTCCAGAGGAAGACCTGTTAGGTGGTGGTGTGTCCAGGGAGATTTTGGGGGCTTAGTGCGTGTGGTGCTGATCGAAGGATTTCGGGAAGGTCTCGTTGTCGTCATGTTTTGCACATAGAGTGATTAGGCATCCCTTATGGATGTGGAGTCCAGGATGACCTGGATGGTGGGGGGGGTTGCTGGGTCGTGGGGGGTGATGCGCAATTGGTGACCTGACAGGCAGGCGACGAGAGGCGTTCCCGAGGGGGACGTCGACTGCGAGGTAGAAGGAGATTCATCATTTTTCAGTACTCACTGACGTTTTACTTCCCCCTTGCCCGCTTCCTCTTCCTCGACCCTGACGCCCATTAGCTTCCCTCCAGCGATCCCCACTGAAGGTACTGGTCCCCTGGGCCACAGAGAGGCCGGCATCGTGCCAGGGGTCCCAGTAACATTGTTACTCGTAATCAAAAGGATCCTGATGAAGTCAGTTCAGCGCAGGCAGTGAGTTGTTACAAACACAACTACTGCACTCTCATATCATTTCTTTCGGGTAGTCTAGCACACGGTTGCTAGATACTCAAACCGTTTCTCGGAAAGTTCTCGGACAACACGTAGGAAAGTTATCAGCCAGGCACATTGTATTAGGACACATGCACTTGGTAAAGCCCTGCACATGGTTGTAGGCACCCGGATAAGAAGATAAAGAAGACTTGGAAAGCCCTGCACTGGTTGTAGGCCTCGTATAAGAAAACCCATTAAGCCCTGCACTGGTTGTAGGCATCATATCAGAAGACAGAAAGCAAGCCCTTGCACATGGTTGTTAGGCATCCCCCCCACATTTCCCCATCTGCATTGTGCAGACTCCTCATCTTGACTTCAAACAACAAATCACACGTATAGCTCAGGCGTCCCTAACCCACTATCATAAATTTGATATCAACGAACAACTGTGATAGCCTGGCGTACTTTCCCTTTTGCCATGCCCGGTGAACCACAGCAAAGTACCACTCACTTGACCTGGAGTCAAAAGCTCCTCCAGCCAAGGCCCGTGCGTACCTCGAGTCGACATCTGGAGCCCACCGCGAGGGGTTAGGACCCTTGTTTCCCAAAGCTATATCAATCACACCTCTGAAGCCTGTTAACACGGCAGTTTATCCCACACTACAGCTCTACCCAATCAACACTTCGCAGCCCAATATGGTGACCGACATTGCTGGATTACCGGTTCTGAGAATGAAGGGTTCTCCGAAGAAGTTTAAAGGAAGTTATGCAGAAGTTGCGAGGTTCCTGCAGCATTATGAATGGCTGTGCACTCAGCTTAACATTGTGACTGCAGAGGACCAAGTGGAAAACATCATGCAGTATTGCACACGAAGTGTGTGCCAGTTTATGGAATCACTCCCAGCCTACATCACGCCAGACTGGAATGCTTTCAAGAGAGACGTGCTCACATTTTATGATGCGGACCGAGACAAGAGGTGATACAAAGTCAAGGACCTAGAAGCCTTGGTCAAAGAATCACGTCGGAAACCTACTATCAAGAACCTAGGTGCATGGCGGGAATACTCAAGGAACTTCCTCACAGTTGCTGGATGGCTAGTGAATCGTGGTCGCATTTTGGAAGTCGAACAGTCCCTTTATTTCTGGAAAGGGATTCCCTATGCCTTCTGTCAGGACCTGGAACCACACTTGCTTGCTGCAGACCCCAACCATGACATGTCTATCCCGTTCAGCATGAGCAGCATACACATGAAAGCAGAAACCATTCTGCAGTGCAATCGATTCAACCAGGACCGACTGTCCTCAGAAGATGCAGACTCGAGTGATGACTTAGACAATTCGGATTCAGATGACAATTCAAGTGACTCAAAGGACTCATCTAGTGCCAAAGAAACACATTGAAGGAAGTGCAAGGATAAGAAGAAGTGAAGCATGAAGAAACGATCATCAAAGCGAGTGAATGATTTATCAGTGATGAACCAGAAGTTAAGAAGCCAAAAACGAAGTTATCACAGAAACGACCAGCAGTATGCGAAAAGGAAGAAGTGGAAGACTTGGTCAAGCAATTGAATCGCATGTCGCAGCATTGCCATCATGGCATTCAGGTCAACGTCAATGCCAATGTAAGGATGCGAGGAGCCATTTGTCTGTTTGGAAAGCTTGTAAGGTAGCCAAATTTCATCCCACAGCAGTAGCAACTTGGTCTGTCCTGTGGGGAAGAAGGCATTGTATAGTTCATACCACATAACGTCCTCTTCGCAGTTGAAAGCTGAATTGTCATTAACAAAATTGACGTGAGGATTAGCGTGCTCGAACCAAGCAATCCACAGCACAAGGCTAATAAATGCTGAGAACACCATGAGTGAGCTGCAATTTCTGATAACATTGCAATGGTCGACATGATAATGACCATCAACCGAGATGACCTGCTTAATTTGCCAATATGGAGACATGGGAATTTGTCAGTATGCTTGAGACACGTCCAATTTTCACATGACCAGGGGCACATTTCCATACGTGGTACGATAGTTCTGAAGCATGCATCCCAAGGCCGATATTTCATCCATTACCACCTTGTGTGGGTCCTCACATTGAATTATAGAATTTAGCGAAAACTGTCCAGCACTGTGGTCTGTTATTAGGCACGTCTTGTCGCTGTTGGGTTTCGGGATTGCATGTATTGGCATACAGTACATTCTGAGGAGCAATTGTTAACCAAAGCTCTCAGACCACTGGCCAGCAGCCACTTCCTCATCGTGGAGATCACGGAGGAACTGTGTGGCTTGCTCCCCAATAGAATGTGAACAAGTGTTGCCATTCCAGGTGACTGGATATGTCTCGGCTGATGTGTCCACCCAGGGCCAAAATCCTTCGTGGAGGCCTCAGCAAACTGATTTCACAAACAGCTGATTGGGGTGATTTCTGAGCAAATATTCAAAGTGGTCCACCTTTATTGGCGTAACAACTCCAAATAAATGTAAATGAGATGCAAGTGTGGCATTCACTGACAGATTCAGTTTCTTGTGTTCTGGGACATCAGGGACTGATTATCGGGTAAGGGAGACATATGCACTGCATTGTGCCAGCGGTTCAGTTCCTGACCACACCATGTCTCGCATATATCTTGGTGTGAAAAAAAGGGTCTCAACAGTGATGTCAGTTATGAAAGATAATCTTTTCTATCAATAAGTAGCAAATTTTCATGAGAATTGCTACTTTTAAGTAGACTTATCTGTAGGTGCATAGGTTAATTCAGGATAATCTTAATATAATTTTCCAGATAATCTGAGGATAATCTTCTGAATAATCTGAGAATAATCTGAAGATTAGCAACAAAATACAATTTTAACTTTGACACCAGCCAGAATTGAACCCTGGACCTTAGGTTGATTTTATAGAATATAATTCAAGTGACACTTTAAACCACTTGACCATTAGATCATACATCACAACTATCTTATATTAAATTAGACATCTTTTTCTTGAAAAAGACTTAGCCAAATTCTGTCTATTAGAAAAGAGTAAGTAAAAGACACTTGACTTTTATCATAGATAAACAAGACTTATAGACAAACAGTACTCTGCATCTTATTATAGTCTTGTTCTACAGCTTACAGTTTTTGTAAACTATCATGCAGTACTATAGAGTATCTTAATATAGTCATCTATAATATATAACAAGTTATTGAGAGACAGTATTTTATTTGTTCATTTTAGGCTTATACTCTAGAGTCTATTATATTATAGACTGAGCACTTATATATACAAGATCTTTATAGCTATCTTCTAATTGTATAGCAAAGTTCTGTTTTGCTGAAGTAACTGTAGAAACATATATTCTATTAATTACATATTGTACTACATTATATGAAGGCTGCAAGCATTAGAAAAGACTATAAGACTCAGAGTAATGTTTGTTTATAAGTCTTGTCTATCTATGATAAAAATCAAGTGTCTTTTACTTACTCTTTTGTAATAGACAGAATTTGGCTAAGTCTTTTTCAATAAAAGATATCTAATTTAATATAAGATAGTTGTGATGTATGGCCTAATGGTCAAGTGGTCTAAAGTGTCAATTAGAATTATATTCTATAAAATCAACCTAAGGTCCAGGGTTCAATCCTGGCTGGTGTCAAAGTTAAAATTGTATTTTGTTGCTAATCTTCAGATTATCCAGAAAATTATCTGGAAGATTATCTGGAAGATTATATTAAGATTATCCTGAGTTAATTTATGCACCTACAAATAAGTCTACTTAAAAGTAGCAATTCTTATGAAAATTTGCTACTTATTGATAGAAAAGATTATCTTTCATAACTGACAAAGATGGTCTCAATCCTTTCTTTGGCAGTCTTTGACTGTGTGAGTGGCTGAGGAGCACTTCGAGCAGGCATGCCGATACTGGCAGGTAGCATCGGAGCTGCTGCATCAGCCCTCATTCCAGTGTCTGCACAGCTCTGCCTTATGGCATCGCACAGTGCCTTCAGCTCCTGCACTTCCTCCAGATTTCTTGGTCTCACGGTCCAGTGACCCGGCTCTGCCATGACCAAGGAACTGGTGTCGGAGGTCGGCAAGTCGTTCAAAGTCTGTAAGGAGGAGATCACGGCACTCTCTAACTCGGCGTCTAACTGCACAATCATACTCGAGGACTTGATCATGAAATGTGGGTGCTGTCACTCCAAACAGATCCAAGATGTAGGACCCATACTCTGAAGGCTCCTCTCATCTGTGAGAGAAAGTGAACGTGATCACTGCAGAGGCGCTGTTCCAAGTAATGATCCAATCTCTGGCAGATCCCACCTTCTTTGCAGGCATGATCTCTCAGTGGAGGATTTCATATTCTCTGATGGTCTCTTTATATTTGTTGTCATGTCTAGTGGTGAAGCGTCCTGTGAAGACATGGTCGAGGTCAACTGCTCGCCCTCAAAGAACATTGTTCCACTCCCCATGTGGGAACTGGGGGATTCATACACAGGTGAGAAGATCATTCTTGGTTGACTTGACATCGAGGATGTAGATGCGGATGAGGTTAAGAGTTCGACAGAGTTCAGGTCGGACATCAGCAGATTGAAGTAGGTCGCGCACAGCCCAGTCATACTGCACCAGATTGGGCCATCATCATCCTGCTCACCATCCTCACTTTCATCCTGAGACACTCCAGGAGCGTGAGTGTCCTCCTCCTCTTGTTCTGGTGTAACAGATGTTCGTTGCTGCACCTGTCCTCTGTCCATCCCCATTTGGACACCGGGATTTTTGGATGGATTCTGTGCATCAAGGAGTCAGAGGTAGGAGTCGAGATTTTCATTGAGGGTGCTCGGGGAGTCATTCTGTCCATTATAGAGGTCGCTCTCGAGGAGTATTCCAGTGATCTCTCGGATAGCCTGTGTTCGAGTAGTTGACTGTGCTTTGTACTCTTCAATGACTTCCATGATATGCTTGATAGTCCAATTCTGGAGAGTAGGGACAGTTTGGACTGTTCTGGGCCCCTTGGCTGATCCTTGTAAGAAGCCATGAGTGAACATTGATTCTCAAGATGGGAAATATGAAAATAATAGCTTAAAACACAACTAGTAACCACGAGTTTCATCAGAATGAGAAAAGGCCAGTGGTCGCATGGTCCGCTGAAGTGTACTCACCTAGTAGACAATGGAGAGTTGAGAGAGAAGAGGTCTGGTGGGCCCCTATCTCTCGCTGCCTACTAGGTCAGTGCACCCCTCCTGTCTCACTTCCAAGTTTTGCTGCTCCATGCGGGGAGCAGGTATCACTGTTTCCGAATATGGATACAGGGCATGAGAAGTACTCGGCCACCTCGAGGACTAGTATCCGCACTTCATCGATTAGACTGGTGAAATCAACATTTTATTAAACACCGATTAAGAGAACGTTGGGTTTTTCTGATGCCAAGAATTCCAGCAAATTCTGATATGTCACTCCATTAGCACTAGGACTTGCAATTGTATCATATATATGTGTGTTTTCCAGTTTGTATACAGATATGGCTGTATCATTTATGCCCGGCAAGATTCAGAAATAATATGATATGATATGGGAAATTGGGAATGACCAGTACATTTATGCTGTATATGCATTTACAGGCACATTTCTGAGGCTTTCGACAATACTAAGCTTGTATTGTCTTGATTGTGGTATCACTATGTAATTCTGAACAACAGAATGCTTATTTAATCATACACTTTTCTCTAGAGCCTGCAGAATGTGTGCATGAACTAAGTCAAAAGATATGTTTGAAAACTTGTGCGCAGGTGCTTCAGCCGGGAGGAAGCACCCAGAATATTAGGCGACGGAATGTATCAGCCAGCAGCAGCTGATTGGTTCCTGCATCATCACGTGGGCATTCCCGTAAATGCGCGTACATACTGATTATGCCAGTTAGGGCTCTAAGCTGTACCGTATGTATGGAAATATGGCTCCGCGTATTCTGAGCTGTACCATACCTTATACGATACGGCCAAATACTGTAAAGATACGGCAACGATACGGCGTGTCTCCGTAACAGGCCATATCAATCCGTAATTATGGCCGTAATACGCTATACGGAGAAGTACCGGTGCTCAGTGCTCATGCCAGTTGGTTTCAAGCTTATCTCTAACTTACTGCCTTGCTGAATGTCAAGAAGGATGTAAATTAATCTCAGTGTGTCCCAGGAGTCCAGGACTCAGCACACCAGTCACTCAGATGCTCCACCTCTTCCCCGACTGTAGCCATCATCATCACTCAGCGCTCCCGGTCTGCCGAAATGCCGCACTCAACAGAAACCAAACATTCCCGTTCGATTCAGGTGTTGCGACCCATAAACGTCCCCGGGCATCTACCCGCTGCCACCGCCGGACATATGGGGCTATATGTCAGGATTGGAGTTGTGCAATATATCAGAGTGAGAGAGTAGCGGATTATGTTTTTAGTTGGAAGGTACACCGGAGTGCAAGTTTGATGACCATCCCCGGTTGACTGGTCAAGCTTTCAAGTGGCTAAGCTCGAGCAGCCCGATAGCTAACTAAACTCATAAGTATCGGATAGCAGTACTAGTGTAGCCGAATATAAATATTTCCGTATCATCAGAAAAACCCCACTTTTCCTTAGAGACCTTTCGCTCTGACAACCCTTATTTAAGGCCGTAAGTTCTCGAATAAGTCTCAATAAGTTGGATTTCAGACACTTAATGTAATATGGCTTATGCCCTTTTTGTCCTTATTTCCTTAAATAAGAACTATAAGTCCATTTAAGGCAGTTAAGTGTTCTCTTAAGAAAAAGTTGGGTTTTCCTGATGATGCCGTATTGTACGGCGAGAGCCGTATGAACCCCGTACCGTATCTCGACGGTACGGATGACACCCGTATACTTGACTTTACGGAAAAGCCGTATGCTGTTTTTGCCGTACGGAGTACGGCCGTATGCGTATACGGTACGCTTAGAGCCCTAACACCAGTACAGTATACGGGAAGATCCGTAAAACAGCTCCACAAAATACAATTCGTACAGTATTTCCCACGTAATTTTACGACCGTAATCGTATACAGTACGTTGCGAGCCCTAATTAGCACGGGAGGTTTTTCCTGATACCGATGCGCGTGGTCACGATAGGCTAAGTGACTACCCCTTCACAACCCGGTTGGGGTCTCCTTGTTCTCCCACTTTCAACAGAAACCGGATAATCGAAGGAATGGTCAAAAATCTAGAGGAACGTCCTATTCTTAATGTCCTTCACATAAGACTCATAGTGAATATTCGACTGGATCTTGTGATCCGCTGAAACCGCTCCTACGGATCCGCCGAGAATTGTTCTTGTACCTGAGCTCCCGAATGTGGGCGCATTCATTCTTTGCCCTCCTCTCCTCAGTGATCCCATCACATGCCATTGTCATCGTCCTCGTAATCAGCTAGCTGACGACAGGTCACCCGCACTGTCGAGAGTCCTGTTATCATCCCCTTGCGGACAGCGTTCATCCCATGATGACGGTCTACGCCAGAATATCAGCACACTAATTAAGCAGGTTCAGTGCACTGCGAACTCACTTTATGTAGGAGAATATGATATTGGGTTCCATGCCTACTCCACGACCAAATATCCCTGACATTGCACTCTTTACTCCTTGTAGGACTTGAGATCTTGTCGACAACGGTGGACTGTTGCATTTCAGAAACAACTCGAAGTCCACCTCGCGGAGATTGCGGAAGGTTTCCTGTGCCAGGATTGCATCGATGTCCCTCAGGTGATTGTAATCGATCATATCTCCCTGCAGAGAAAGCCTCGTGGAAAACATTAGGTGTCGAAGATGGTTTCTGGGAGAGATCTGCGACAGGAGTAAGGGTAGGTGAACATAGGGGTCCATCAAATCATTTTTGACCGGTAATATGAGCCCTAATGTTTCGACGTTTACGCAGAGTGACAGACAACAGCTCCTGGAAAAAACTGATAAAGTGTTACGGCTTGCTTGGTATGTCATCGCATGCTACTCACTTTCCACCTGCTTCTCGGAGAAGAAAGCTAGATAGATGTCCTTGAGTCGCTCTCCCATAACTCTGATAAGCCGCTCGCTCGCTTCACACTCCCCCTTGACCGAGATCGAGTAGAAACGGAAGGAAGTGAATGTCTCCACAGACGGTGATCCTCGCAGCCAATCGTACAAGGCCGGACAAGTATCAATGGTATATAAATTTTGCAACCTCGGTCTTGACAAACTAGATGTACGTGCGTGGTACTCTGGCGGAGAGTCAGACGACGGAGAAGTCTCGAATTCTGGATGGTACAGTCGGAGGTGATGCAGGCTCGAAAATGCACAAATCAGTCGCTGGAGTAGGCCAAATGAGCGAAAGTGGCAATGATCCAAACGCAACTCCGTAACACCCGTGAAAAGTGGGAATCCTACTGTCATGACGGTGGGGTGAACAGGGAGTCTCCTCCAGTCAATGCCTGACATTGTAAGAGATTCGACACTCGCAAGATGATGTCCTAGAATAAGGGGAAGAATGTGCGGCCACGAGTATTTGTCTGCGGAGTAGCTTGTTCCGGCCATCGTCAAGACGCGGGTGAATGCAAAGAATGGCTGCAAGTGAGAGGATTGAGATGCTCCAACGATTACGTCGTAATCCTTGCGCGTTCGTATCGAAACCGTTCCAAATAAATTGAATCGGCTGCGTGGGACCCACGCACGGCAGACCAGAGCACAGCTGTAGAGCGTCGGTCGATGACCCCATAGAAGATCGATAATACGATCTGTCACCTCGTGTGGAAGTAGAGGTACTACGAATTCCGATAGCCATTCGCATTCAGACAGTGGCATCTGGGATTTTACTGCGCAGAAAAGCAGCTGATCAGATATAGAGCAAAGACAAAGGTTATACCGTTTGACCAAAAGACGAAGTCCAGGACGCCGATGGTTACCAGTGTTGTTCAGATATGGGATGGCGACACCGTTGAAATAGTGGACTGCACACGCCTTTGGCGGTGCTGAGTCAACTCGAACAGTTGTTAGAGTAAGGCAGTACTGCGTGAGAAGAGAGAAGGGCACATTGCGAGCGCGCTTCCATGCTGGGTAATCGGCTCCTCCAGCCTTGCAAAATGGCACGAGCTGGCTTCACCTCCCTGACCAACACGACAGCGAACGCGTGCCTACGATTTGGAGAAACGCATCTGAGCCTCTGAGGTGCAACATCAACTTTCCTGGTATAGTCGCACCGCTCGCGTCGATCGGAGGTCTCTATAAGAACCGACTCTCCTTGAAATCGATCACTGAAGCAATCCCCGCGACAATTTGAACGTCAAAATATATTTCTTTCACAAAATATTGTTGATTCGGAAGTGCAATCTGCACCAGGATTGCACCGCGATCATGATGATCTGACTGGTACACTCTCTGCAATTAGAGTGATAGTACTAAAAGACGCATTCACTGATTCGCGCGCCAGATGCATCACAGATAAGTACTCGGAAAGACCAAGGTAGATAAGTGTAGACCATCGGTCGCGTTTTACTGGAACACTTTCCGCTACCTGCACGCTAGTGGATCGAATCAACGCAATGGGCGTGGCAGCCTTCGAGATTTGACTACGTAGTAGTTGAACCAACTACTACTGTTCATTAGCTTCAGGTCCATGCGAGGCTGGCCGAAACAATCGCTACTCAGGGCATCTCAGACCTAGTACTACAATGCCCGCAGTCAGACAGAAACTGATAACTGAGGAGTGGCACCGAGGAATGAAGTTGCATGGCAGCAAGTCACCTCGTACTTTAAACCTCAAACTAGGGTTAGGGCATGGATGGCGAACCAAGCGGGGGCACGATCCGGAGATCTGACCCTATGTATCCCCCATAGTCATAATCAAGTGCCCGGGGTCTCTGATTTGAACTTTTTGGCTGACTTTTCGGCATGCTTGGAACCTTGACCCCATTATTATCTGGAGACATTCCTTTGCTACTATAAAGTACAACTGTGTCATAATACAGGGTTAAATGGGAGTAGGGTATAACATGGGTCGCAGGTCACACCATGGTATATCATGTAATGTATGCTTGGATTTGGGTTTGGGTCATGTTGATGCATGCACCACACACACCATGCACCTGCACCATGGTGTGCACTATAGCTGATGGGTTTCTACACTGTGACGAGCCAGGTTCTCACTATAATACCAGTTACTAATACTACTACATTCTATATTCTGTACGTGACCGAACCATGAGCTTCTGTCTCATCCATCTCTGCAAATTCCAAATTGTAGCGCTCCCAGTAGGTGCATGATGTCTGGTAGAAAATATTCAATTGGCTTGCTATCACCAAACAGGCTGGTCAGCCGGTAATAGTGCAGCACACTGTGCTCGAATCTTCAAGAGCTGTCAAGTCCAATATATCAAAAGAATATGAAATGTGGAAAGTATCTGATAACTGATTGATACCACAGGTCCTTAACCATTGCAGGTGAGATGAGTAAGTTGTGTGATGCAGAGGTAGACAACTATTGAGACTTTTTGAAGCATAACCTTGAGTTCAAGTGCCAGCATTCTGAAAAAGACCAAACAATAGGTTGTGGCAGAGCGATGATGTGTGGATACTCAACACAAACACCTAAACCCAAACAACAATGGACCTGAGTGAGAGAGAAGGGCAACACAATGATAAAATGATGCAAGTGGGTCCCAGAACCTTGACCAAAGTGGTGCAGAGCAGGGGTATGGATAACCCTCAAGGGTAAGGGGGAAGGGTATTGGAGGGTAAGGGTAGGGGTATGAACTTTCAGACCTTTGTACGCCTGGAGGGTATCACTGTATATAGTATATATAATGTAAGCAGTAATTGTATGGTGACTAAAGCATAAGTACAGCCTAGATACAGCCTTAAACTATGTCTACAGAAGCTTCAAAGAGAAAAGAAGGCTATTATAAGCTTTAAACTTAATGTCTATGATGTTATTTCCTCAAGTAAGACAGATATTGAGGGGTATACCCTCGGGGTTTGGTACCCTTACCCATACTCTTACCCCCAGTCAAGAGTATGTACCCTTAGAGAGTAAGGGTAGGGGTACACCTCAAAGTACCCAGAGGTATACCCCTGCTCTGCACTAGTTATGCTTTCGTTCAGTGTTTGATTATTCTTGTTACAAGGTTTCTTTAACGTCGAGAGCCCCTTTTGATGATACAGGGCTTAGAACTCCTGGAGTTGCCTGTCATCCAGCTTCACAGATTTGTTTGTCATTGGCTAAACAGCCCATTGCTTGTCTCGAAGTGTCGCCGCCACACGTACTATGTCATTGTACAACTAAGTGGTGCGAGGCTTTGTTGGTGTTCATCATTCATTGTAGAATCATCAGTGGTCGTGATCAAGACATAAGAGTGAGAGCACATAGCGTAGATCCTGCTACTGCTCATCTATCTCTCTGCCATTCTTATTGATGAGCTATTCAGCTCATCGTCATGTTTATCATCATCGACATCATTCATCGAAGTCCAATCCTGGATTGGTTGTGGTCGATAAGTCGGCATCGTCAATATCGTCGAGTGTCTCCAGATACAATGAGTGCCTTAGATTGTAAGAGATCAGGTGATCAAGGGAAATCTGAACCTTTTGTTATGGGAAAACCCACTGGGTGACCAGCCCAGTGCCAGCCTTTCAGAGGCTCAAGTTATCAATGCTAACTGTCCCCACTGTACAGGACCAGCGCAAGACTCAAGTGTAGGGCTCGCAACGTACAGTATACTGATACTGTCGTAAGCATACATGGGAAATACTGGTACGACCAATACGATTATGGCAGTGATACGATGATATCCGTATACGAAACGAGCATATGCCACCATATCTGTTTTAGGATCGTAGGTACGCTCTAATGTTATAACAACACACGTACTAGCTACTTAAAAACTGTGGCTTCTGCCAGTGCATGCTCGGCCTCACAGCAAGCCAACATCAATTTGTACTTAACCAACATAAGTTTGTGAATTGTCTCTGGTTTGAGGCTTGAACGGTGTAGGGAAACAGTGTCTCGTCCGGATGAGAATGCTCTCTCAACTGCAATGGCTGAACCTGATGTGTGACAGAGTAAGATGTGAGCTCTTCAACACACTTACCGGTGACTAGGACAATAACGTACCGGGGATGGTTAGAATGTTGCGTGCAAGTAGTGCCAAATTTGAGAATTGGCATTGATGCTCCTTTCACCATTTCAGTGGATGGGAGGCCCGAGGAGAGAATCCAAGTGGCTTCATCTTCAAGTATTCATCAAGCTCTTCCGTGGGTGAACGTTCAGCTTCAGAAGCGTACACTGTGAGGAAATCAGAGGCGACTGGAGTGCGCATTGCGCCGGTGTTTGGCAAATGGCTACCTGATGAGATGTCCTGATTGACAACGGAATCATGTGAGTCCAGCAGATAATAATCAAGATACTGCTCCTTGAGCTTGGACTTCGCAGTGTCGATATGACTGAGGTACTCTTCGTGGTTGTGTACATTTTTGTCCTTTGAAGCTTCGACCCTCAGGCCTTCATAGTTGATGCAAGGATCAAGAACTATCAGTAAAAATGATCAGTACTGCAACGCGACACCATATAACCATCCAACACGTACGACATGCCCATATGTAATATGGACTCTCATCAAAAAATGTATGGTAATCCGACAATTTCTTGTATGCATTGAGCAGGCCTGCCTTCAGCTGTGGTGGCACCCCTGATGGAAGACTACGCAGAGCTTTCTTGATGTGGTCCTGCAGAGCATGGAATATACTGTGTACAGATGATAGGGTCACATCTTTCGAAGATGACATCTGCTCCGTGGCAGATCGGAACAAGAATAGCCAATCCGTGATGAGTTTGATTGCATCTCATTCCTTTTCGTCAAGTTCCAGATGGCGAAGATCAATGCGTTTGGCAAGAAATGAGCGGATTTGCTCCTTGTACTTGAGTGCACAGCCTGAACAATATTCGCTTGCAGTTAGCACACGGATGGTGATATATAAATCAGTAGCACTGACGAAGCATCTGATGAGTGGACGACCAACGTGTCTTCACATCAAGAATTAACATCAAAGCTTCTTCCACAGCGTCCAATGTGTCACCGAAACCGCGCAGTGACAGATTAATCTCTTTCAACCACTGTCGCTTCCTCTGTGGGCTTGAACGTACAACATGTACAACCTTGCGAAGCTATGTACATGTCATTCATGAGCCACACTGCAAAGCGTGCAAATAAGGAGTAAAAATGCCTGTACAGTACCTTGTCCAGTGCGACCAGCATGTGCAGTGATGTCTCTTCGTTTTCACTAGCAGAACGTGCTGGATTCGTTGCAGAATCATTTGCTTGTGAAAGGAGATTGTCCATTTCCGATGATAGAGGCTCCTTTACAGACTCTTGATAGTTGTCAGGAGTAGCTTGATACTTGGTACGTGAGTGCGGGTTGGCTGCGTTCGGAGTTTTTGATGCACCAATGGCATCTAGTAGCTGCCAATAATGACGGGCATCAGCGATCAGTCACAATATTCAGGCTGTTGATTTACCTCTAATGCAGCTAAATGAACTGTATGTGGCATACATCGCAGCTGTGCAAGCTTCTCACGGAAAGGTATGCCTTTAGCAGTGAAATGTCTCTCGAGGGAGACAAGGAGTGTATCATTATTTGTAGCATTGTCGGCAATGACCGCTTGAATCTGCGACACACATGGTGATGAGATATAGCATGCGCGTATCATCAAATAATGTGGCGTACCCTGCCCTTCAGCCCATACATCTTGATTGTTTGCCATACTACCTCCACAAGATTCTCACCTGAATGTTCACCGATGACTTCACGAAAATCAATCATAACTTCCTCTGATGCATGCAAAGAGATTGGATCAGTAAACAGCTGCAATAGGATGTGTAGAAATGTACCGAGATCCCAATTATCTGTCACAAATGTCAAAATTATACACATGAAAGCCCATTGATTACTTGATGTCCAGCAGTCAAGTGCAAGTGAGAACTTTCCAGATGTGGTCTAAGTATCCAAATCAGCATGCTTGCAAAATTGCCATGTGGACAAGACATACCGCAAGCATTGTTTTTATATCGGAGATGACATCATCATCAATGTCCATAATCTTGGACTTGATGGTATTCGTGCTCGGAATAGTGACACTGGGATGGCTGCTATACTGCATCATTCGCTTGAACTCCGGCTTCTCAACTTCACTGAAAGGCTGATCACATGCAGCAACCCACTCAGCAACAATGCGCTCGTAAGTTCCTTGATCAAAAGACTGCTGCTAAAGAGAGAAAGATTAATAACTTGAAACTTTGCAGGTTAACTGTACTGCGGCACTCACGTCAGGTGCAGTCTTAGCGCTCGAATTGTGCACATCATAGCCAAGAGCTGTGATGCCTACTTCACCGCGGGCAACACGAAGCTCTTGCACTGATGGTTTTTCACCATGCTTGTGCTTCCATTCCAAGATCTCCAGCAGTAAAAATAGGTCCTCATTGACACGCTTGATGTGAGCCTTCAATCCTGTTGTTGAACCATTCATGCTCTTGGTGACACGGAGGACTTTACTATCATGGCCATGTCGGCATTGAAACAACCTATCTCCAGGCTTCCAATTCATGTGGTGTCTCTGGTGATTGTCGAGGATCTCCGTGTAAAACAAGTGAATGGGGGCAAGAGGCCTCTGCATGGTAGACATCAATTTTGGTTGTATCCACACAATGAACCACTGCTACGTACCTTGGTCTTTCCATTAGTTGATGATCCGCCACTAGCACCATCAACAGATGGTCCAGACAGCACAGAAGGCGGAAGCTGCTGTGAAGACATTTCGGGCCGTGGCATCGCTTCCGCACGAGGGACAGCACTAGCGGGAGATACTTCATCATGTGCATCAACATTTTCTGCCCTTCGTCTTTTCGAATTGCGACCCCTCTGTGATGTCTTCTGAGTCTCTGATTTTCGACGTCGTTTCCTAGGATTCTGGTTGTCGATGATCTCCTGAGCCTTCAGTGCTGCTGGCTGTTTCCCTCGCCTCGAAGATGTCATTCTCGGAAGGTGATAGGCAAGCTGTATTGACAAGTCATGAGCATGTAGACGACGGTCAAAGTGGACTACACACCTCGTCATTGTCTATAGGTTCAAGGGTCTCACCACAGCTACTACTACACTCACTACCATTATCTTCATATTCTGATTCACTCTCATCATCATCGGCATCAGCATTGTCCTAAAAGATCAGTGCGTAACGATTGCTGTCGGGCACAAAGGGTGCACGATCGAGCATTGTAGCTCCAGGGTTGCCAGCAGTATCTTCTCCAGCACTGAATGTCATGCTCGAAGCTGGCAGTCCCATCCCATGTTGTACAACCATCCAACCATGGGCTTCTTGTTGAGATGCAATGTCGCCAAAGCTCAGATAATTGGTAGCATTGAACGAGTGCGACTGGGGATGATTCGGAGGGGGGAAAGAATAAACAATGTGAGATTCCGGGGTGTGGGTCATGGCCGATGGTTGTGTATACCTCTGAGAGAAGATGCCATGCAACGTTGTAGGTCCATGATGGTCTTGAGTCGAAGAACTTGGATTTTGTCCCTGTGGTATACAGTGACCGCTCGCTCCGGAATCGTCTTCAAAGCTGGTGATGAGAAGCATCACGATGACAGGATGTAAAAAGTGCTTACAAGACCCAAGAGAGGAGAGATTTCTGCTATTGCTCATGGCAGGAGATTCGACAACAGTGAGCTGACAGACCTACGAGCCTCCTCATATTTGCTTCAGCATTTAACCGCAATAAATGGAGCGTGTTCGCGGGAGCGACTTGAGATCCATCCAGAATTCAGTTGGTGTCGGGCGTGACACTGAGCCATTGCGATTCGTTGTGGCTGCACCTCGTGTCTCGATGATCATTGCTCCGTCTTGTTTCAGGTTACAGACATGCTCTCAGCCACTTCTTCAGTCAATAGAAAACACTGTTGGATTTGTCAACATTGCCAGCTTCAAGTGACGAGCCTCACGGAGTGGTCAGTACTGCAGACCACCCTCAGCCAGTACCATCGAAGCTCTAAGGAGGATGTCTTGTACTCACAAGCACAGAGCCCATTCTCTGGTCATGTCAATACTTCTTGCTGAAGGAGAAGTATACTGGCACTCTTGAGTTCCCAGAGAGGACATATAGATAGCATACTTACGACCGTAAATGCGCACCGATACTGATACGCAACTGGTTACCTCGTACAGTTCCCGTAACGTATCCGGCATCTGCCGAGCAGTTTAAGATACAGACATTTCTGTACACGGACTGGCTGTATTTCATAAATATGGTACGGTTGCAAGCCCTACTCAAGTGTTTGCCCTCAAGAAGACGCAAGGCCATATAGGTCTAGGAATGGGTAGGTTCAGATTAGGGAATCTGATTACTACATGCCATGTATATATGTGTGTACATATAAGTAATACAATGGCTGTCATTGGTCCATCTTATCAGTCAAGGGCAAAGAGTTGTAAGACCCGGCCCGAGTTTGTAAGCGTGATGAGTCAGTAATGACTCATCATAGAAGGCGTCCATATGGCTCCAGTACATGGGGACGCCATCAACATCAGAAAAACCCAACTTTTTCTTAGGGACTTATTTAGACTTTGGGGTCTGGCAACTCTTATTTAAGTCCATAAGTATTGAAATAAGTCTCAATAAGTCGAATTTCAGACACTCAGGGAATATGCCTTAGGCCCTTTTTGTCCTTACGTCCTTAAATAAGGACTATAAGTCCATTTAAGTTATATAAGTGTTCTCTTAAGAAAAAGTGGGGTTTTCCTGATGAAAGATCCAGGTGCACACTATGAGATGTAGGTGTGTCGTCGATAAGTATCATAATGTAGCCATGAGGCCACGCTGACTATACGTACCAAGGTCTAGGGTCAGCTGTACCTAGACTGGGTCCAGAACCATAATGTCATGGTCATGTGATACACAAAAGGTTCAGCCTCCAGGCGAGGCTTTGACATTGCAGTCATGGGCTGTGAGAATGTTCTAACGCGGACTGGAGTCCATTCACGTGGTCCGTGCTCGGGACCATTGTAACAGTGGAGGAAAAATCTTACTGTATTTGAATGCCAACTAATCAATCAGTATCTGGTATCAGTAACACTGCATCGGAAGACTCTTAGCACTCATACAATGTCATGGTTTAATGTCACAATTTCATCAAATATCCTTGAGTTACCAATTCTGTTGCCTTTTAAGGCCATTGAGGCCATTGTAAGGTTTTGTCCCATGCAAAAATGCCAAAAAATGGCCAACATCAGGAAAAGTCAACTATTGGTTAGCTCCTTTATTACCTTGATCAAGGAGGTCTGCTTCCTTATTTGGCCAATTAAGGTGAATAAGGAAGAATAATGATAAGGATCTCCTTAAAATTTCCTTAATCAAGGGAATAACCTGAGTAAGCAAGAGTTGGCTTTTGCTGATGAAGATAGTACTCAATGAAAGTGTCACTTTTTGTAATTGTCACTTTTTGTAAGTGTCACTTTTTGTAAGTCTCACAAGTGTCACTTTTTTGTCACACACTTATTGAGTACCATTTTGACCATTTTTTTTTGGCATTTTCACATGGGACAAAACCTTACAATGGCCCTAAAAGGCAACAGAATGGGTAACTCAAGGGTACTCAATGAAATTGTGACAAACTGTGACATTGTATGGGCGCTAAAGTTTTTCCGACTAATATTTATTTTTATCTATTTAATTATTTGTCTGTCTGTCTGCCCTCAGCTTTTCAGAGTGCGCTCTGCTGGGAAATTATGAACTCTTGCATTTCAATACTACAGATGCTATAGAATACATAGACAAAAGTACGAAGCAAGGCAATGAAGTGGTGAGCAACAGCGATGATGTTTGCAAAAGTTTGCATTTCAGGGTTACCGATAGTACTCGAAAGGCCACCAGGCGGCGGCGGAACTTGCTCGGGAGCGGACAGAATTGCCACAAAACAAATAATGCACAACAACTGTGTAAAAAAGGACACTTTCACTTTTGGGTCGGGAGAGCTTGCTCTCCGAGCAAGAATTTGAGTCTCGACAACGCATTTACATAAGTCACATGATCCGGCTAACTCCGAAAGTGGCAGGCCCTACAGTGACCCCGCGAGTTGAACAAGACTGGGCTCGACTAGACAATGTAAATAGAGGTAGAAGTGAGGGAATGTCGAAGAGCGAACTGGGGATTAAGTGACAGATTAAAAGGAGAAACGGAGGCATGTAATTTTGAATGGCTACACCGCGAAAGACAAAATCTCTCCTAAAGAGTCTGCCCCAGAAAGTTATGCAGTCTCTTGACCAGATCTTTGTAGGATGTCAAATCCTGTAGGATCAGCTCGGTAATATCAACCGTGCGAACGTCACAGTCGTTGAGGACCCGAGATCGAGCACAGTACACACTGCCTAGCTGAAGTCGTCCGAGAGCCGGAAAACCCCGAAGAAAACTTGTGAGGAGGTTGAATGACTCGAAGCTGCAAGAGGATATCTCCAAGTCAACCACAGAAGCAAATTGAATCTTCAGGTCTGTGGAATCGATCTCACATCGGATCCAGTCAAGGCCTTCCAGTCTCATAGCTACCACGTTCCTTTTATAATCGCTCTTGCTCGACAGAAGTTGATATGCCCAGTAGCGAGAGACGGGGTCCGACGTATCTTCTCGTAGAACTAGACGAGACGCGTAAGGGACAGCGGGGAAGGGCGAACCAAGAGAATAAGTTGTATATTCGAAGGTCTTCATGGCTGCAATGCTGCTGGAAAGCAATGCCTTAGCACTAATCTCACAACTACAACGCATGCAGACTGACGAACCACTAAGATATCCACGCAACGTAGGTGGCCCGAATGTTTTTGCACAGCGGAGCGACAGATCAAACGCGACGAAAGTAGCCTCAAAGTTCCGCGTAACCGAAGATTTGCCAGGGTTGCAAGTGGCCTAAAGATTCTGCGCAGCGGAGGGCTTCGTAGAACGCAAGATATGTGGCCCGAACGTTCCGCACGGCGAGTAGGTCGGCGGAGCGCAAGGAAGGTGGCCTAAACGTTCCGCGTAGCGAGAGTGTCGATGGAGAGTAGCCCGGAGGTCCCACGCAACTAAAAGACTGATATAGGGCTACGGTGGCCCGAAGGTTCTACGCAGCGAACGGATTGACGGCGTGCGACGATGGGAGCCTGAAGGTTGTGCGAAGTAGAGGGTTTGATGGAAGTGGTCTGAAGGTAAATCAATAAGAGAGTAGACAGAGCAATGAAGGCGGCCTACGTGAGAAATGAGTCTGAACGGCGAAGAGTTTGCGAAGGTATGAGCGATTTCGGCGGATTGTCAATGTAGAAACGACGCACCTGGTTCCCATTTTATGCACTTCAGCAAGTGGCGCAGCTTCCATGACGATGAAGAGAACGACAAAGCGAGAGGCAGCAGACAAAGCCGAAGCACAGACGGACGCAGACAGATGCGTAAGCGTGGACAGCTGAAGACCCAGATCTGTACTGCCGAGATATATTGAGCTCCGCATCGTATGCTAAACCAATCAGAACAGTCCTGATTGAAGAACAATCGTTGGAGAGGGCTTCAAAAAATGGACGCAACATAATATTAGCGCCCATTGTTGAGCCACCGCGGGTTGAACTCAAGCAACTTCGACAACGACGGCTTGGGCTACCAAACGTTTGCATATCCCACTCTGTAGCCAGTAAAAACTCGGGAAGCGGTCCTGCTTGAGTCGGGAAGTCGTTAAAGCGTCCGCCTGGACGGGAATAGGAAATCAGCAGTGACGGTAAATGTGGCATGCTCACGACTGAATGTACGCGCTTCTCCCTCTACGGTGTCAGAATGCGTATGCTAATCACTCACACACATTAAAGCAACACGATATTCATCCTGGTCCGCATCAATACGCGTCCATCGTATCAACATATCTCTCATGTCGTCGAAGTCGCAGCCGGAGGCCACACTTGAGAACTTGCAATCTGGTACAGAAAAGAGGCGAGTGCATGTCAATCTGAGTAGATACAGTAGCTGACTCACAGCGACAGATGACTGTCTGGCTGTAGTAAACGTCGCCGCCCATCAGAGGAGCGTTATCGACGAAGGTACATCTCATCTGCACAGGAGCTACGAGGACCAGGTTGGCGTGCAGTTTGGGCACGGATCGGGGCATAAAGCACCAAGAACTCCAGCAGCAGTGAATATTGAATACGTGAATGGGTGTGGACGCCGCCAGAGCGCGACATCGTCAACGATGGCGAAACCCTTGTGGCGCCCGCCGTAGAACTGGGCACGTGGCCTTCATCTTCCTCGCATTTGCGCGAGAAGTCCTGAGAAGTCCTCAGTGCGGTCGACAGCCTCCTGGTAGCTACGATAAGTATTCAGTAAAAACACTACATCTCACATTGTTAGGGTACGATATATTCTACAGTAGTAAGACAACTCCGATTCAAGTATATGACATTCCAATTGAAGTCCTCCTCGCCGGCAAGTAAAATCAAAGGGCCGTTCCGCAGTATCTAAGGTGCTCGGAAAGTGGAGGTCTGCATATATGTACAGAAACCGAGCCATTGAACGCGCATTGAAGCCCGAGATCGTGCAGATCGTCACGGAAGCATCGCGAGATCAAGATGCCCCGCGCCGACGTCACATTAAGTGCTTCCACGACCGACTTGACGAGGGTCAGCGCAGGAGCGCAGCATGTTCAGTCGGGGCGGGCAAAGCTGGAATATCTGCTATCATCCCGAGACAAATATGATGTCAGGCGGATGATGAAAATTGTAATCAGCGCTTCGCCTTGGCACACACAAAGGAAAACGTGCTGCGCAGTTTTGCGCGCAGAACCTAGCCCCGGGATGACGGCTCCCATGGTGCACAGACTTCCTGCAACAAAGGCTTTCGTCATCCAATGATCGGATGCAAAAATTTTCGTTCCGTCAGCCTGAGGACAATAATCGGTCACTTGAATTGAGGGATTGGAATGGCATACCATACTATCGTTGACCCGGATATGCCAAAAGTTTGGCACTTCTGGTCCCGCCGCGCAACACCTGGCGCGATAGTCTCCGGCACCCCATATGATGTTGATATGGCACGTAGAATACAACAGGTGGTTTTTCTGTATTTTTTAGAGCAATGTTGACCATCGTAGAGAGATGCCGCTGTGTGGCACCAGCCAAGTACAGTCCTGTGATTGCGAATTTTTTGGGATCCGAGCGGGCCACACATACTTACCAAAAATTTAGAGCATCAAGAGTAGACACACAGGCTTCTACCTCTGCAATATTGAAGTGATCAGGTAAGAGAATAGAGCCGCAGGAAAAAATTTGGCACTTCTGGGACATTTGGCATATCCGGGTCCACGATAGTAGTGAACATTGCATTTTCCCCGGCACTTGAGCTTCACTTATTCACCGATCCCCTCGCCCACCTCAGACTCTCCAATCCACATCGCCGCCGAACCAGTGCCCATCTGTGTTGGTATCGTAGACGTCCAGTCGGTGGGTCATGCACCCAGTGAAAGTCCTCAGATGTCGAGTGCGCTCGATGTTGAGGCCACGTGTACCGGAGTATTGGTGAACGGGACTGTGTATGCACAGCGCCAAGCGCAATCCCGAAAACCCACATTCTGTGACGGCGACATGACGTTAACGCGAACAGTTAGCGTGCAGATAGTCGACGGCGAACATACCGCCACGGTGGACGGCATGGACGTGAAGTGAGTGAGCAGCATTGCGCGCCGCGGCATGCTAAGAACTCGAGCTCACTCTACAACCACAACATATGCTCACGAAGGAAGGCTGGCCATCACAGGCGCGATCTGATCCGCTGCTGCGTCATTCCAACGTCCTGTCGACCCAACGTCCATCGCCCTGACCTAGCGAGCAGCCAAGCACGAGCCACAGTGGTACCACCACAAAGCTGCTCAGAAGTCACTTGACAGTCTTGGAAAGACGTGTGGCCAGTAGAGCCACCACCTTCAAACTTGGATACGCTCTGCGGGTGAACGTTTGAACGTTTGAACGATCGTAGCTTGTACATCAAGGCCACGGTGTTAGCAGCAATATTCGCAGATAAAATAGCAGAGGAGCTAGCGCACCTAAGCACAGTACATACGCTTTTCCTGACGACAAGATCGTCTACTCATCTCCGCATCTCGAAACCATCTCGCGCTTTGGAGGACCGTAGCTTCGTCGCATAACGTTCGTTCAGGATCGTTCCGCCTGCAGGCCTAGCACGTCAAGTGTGCGAAACAGCAGAGAGATCGACAAGGATGACGAATGTTGGCGGAGAGCCTGAATCCATCGCCTCAGACAAGAGACTTGGGGGAAACAGTTGGCGCGTCGACGAAAGGGGAAGCCGAGTTTCTTGATGTGGCAACCTCGGTGAGCGTCCTCCCTGGCCGTCGACTCTCATCTCATACCTGCACAAGTTTGGAGTATGGGACTCGGTAAGTCGTAGCTAGGGAATAGAACGCATGTATTCCGCATGCATTCAATTGCATAGCAAGCACAAGGTTGCTGTATTACGGAGTGGATAGAACATACAAGGACCATACAGCTGGTGAGTAGTACTCTATGCGCCCCCGCTCACTTCGATAAAACCACCCGCCTTCCAACATCTCACACAAAAACAGTGGTTCTCTCCTAGCATCCCATGGTCAAAGAGGCTACCCAGACTGCGCTTGCTGTGGGCACCGGCGCTCGGTCTCACGTCGAATATAGTTGGGAGGAGTTGATGGGGTTGTGTGCGGTATCCATCACATTTATTGGTTCGAGGTGTATGGCTCAAGTAGGGAGGAACCACAGTCACGCACTGCATGGTGCATCGCGTAGATGCAGGCCGACAATGACCAGGGACCCACATGTGCAGTGCGGATGTCCATTCAGCCGTTGGTCAACTGCGTTTGAGATGATGCAGGCTAACGACGGGCGAGTACCCACGTGAATGATGCGGCTGTGGAGGCTCAGCGATTCGTTGATTGGAGTGTGACCTCTTACGCGGCGAATAGAGAAGAGCACCCAAGCTAAATCTTGCCTTCACAGTCGCAATCCAAGTGGATGAGCTGTCCGCAGGCTGAGACTCGTCGCGCAGATATGAAGGGACCGCGCGCGTGGTGGAGAAAGATGCGCAAGCGGACAGAGGATGTGCGCAGATAGACGAACGTGAGCGGACAGACGAGGTATTGCCTAGATGGATAAACTCGAAGAGACCGGGTGCATAGCAGATGCGAGTCAGACAGATTGTAAGACAGGTCATCAACACCACGTGCATGCACTCGCCATGGTCAAGCGACTCGCAATCAGCACAGTCCCACAGAACAGGGCTCGCGCAATCTCATGCTAGCACTACAGGACTGCGCCTCAAGATTATAGCGCTGCGACGGACGAGCACCCACATGCGCGGGGAAGTGCGTCACGGTCGAGCTACCCGTCGACTGCATGTTTGGTAAGTGATGACTGCCGTCCCAATGCGATGAGTAGGCATTGATCGGCTGATGGTCGTCATCGAGAGCCTCCTAAGGTAGCTTGCCAATGCCATCTGACGCTGTATACTTGTCATACAAATAGGTAAACAGGGCCATCCTTACCGTTCTGCAGACGTACTGGGTAGGGGGGTCGCATCTTTGGAAAGCCAATAAAGCCGCGTACCAGCGGATGCACCAGGTTCGAACACGCACTGACGACATCGCGAAACCTCAAACTCAAGGCGAGCACGACTCTTCAGGTGCGATCCGTATGAGCTTCCGCAGGGGACGTAGAGAGGACATACAACGAGAATGAATTTGAACTGCAGAAGTCTCGGGGGCATGGGTGGTTTAGCAGGTGGACTGTCCACATCGCAACTTTCATGTGTGATTATGTAATTTGTAATCACTTTGTGAGCTCGTTTGTACTGAAAGCGTAGTGAATGTCTGATTTACATTGTTTTATAACACACGCAAGGGTTGTGGAGCGTTTACGTGCCGTCGTAACTTTGCAAGGTGGAATATAATGTCTGTAATTACCGCGAGGTCATCTATGCGTCGAGGGGTAACCGCGAGCCTGAAGATGCAATATACTCAGCGGAGTTATGGAGATTGCCAAGGTCCAAAACTATCACCATTCAATGTGAACACAGCATAGAATATAGACATATTCCCTTACAACGCGGCAAAGCCCTCGAGTCCGTCCGAGTCCTCCCACAAGTCCTCTTGAATATCCTCGACATCTTCTTCGTCTCCGTCATAATCTTCACTGTCCTCTGATTCGGAGTCTTCACCATCGTCCTCCACACTCTCGCGCTCGTCGCCTTCCACACTGGCACCGCACTCATCGCCTTCCACCCCGCGCTCGTCTACTTGCATTCCAGATGTCCAGATGAGGAGCTGGAATTGGCAGGGGACCATTCACCTGCATGGAACGATAACGGCCTGGCAGCCTCAGTCAATGGCTGTTGCATAGTTTCTGCCTTCGGCACATCTTCCGGCATACTCGAACCACCAAACTCTGCCTCCAAACCACTATCCTGCTCCTCCGTCTGAGTACTCGGAATCTGCATAAGTGAGCACATTGTATTCCAGCGTCGGGACCATTTGAAGACTTACCTGTGTTTGTCGGCTAATTTCTTTCTCTCGCTGAGCTGCTTGTATCCTCAGCCTCTTGTGAATATCTTGATGGATCTTGATTTGTTCTTCCACGTGCTTCCGGTAAAGACTACACTTTGACTGGTGCCGCGAAAGCCCTCGTGTATGGGTGAACTGACGTTTGCACCCACTGCAGAATACCGCCATTGTTGTAACCACCAGCAATATCGAAAACTACAAGTGTGAATGCATGAGCGGAAAGCTTGCGTGCAGTAACATTGTAAGCGCATACTAGACCTCGAGCCTCACCACTGTGAACCGCTTAGTAATGTCTTGTTGATCCACCCGACGTGATAAACATACCTGCACGAGGAACATCGGTCCAGGTGCTTTGAGCACCCTCCAGTTAATAGCGCGGCACGTTCTGGCCTTCACGAAACAGGACCTCTGGCGCCGTACGTTCGGATTTTGTGGAAAATATAAAGATCCTCCTGCACTGCTAGACGGCCATCCCTGAAAATGCCTCCAAATCATAATCTTCCCCTGCAGCCTCATACACAGATTCAGAGTCCAAGTCGAAGTAGCTCACCCCTTCCAGAGGCTGATGGTCCAGTGGCCACTTTTTGCGGAAGGTCATCTGAAGCGCCGAATCACTGCGCTCCAGAAGGAGAATGACCGCCTGTGAAGGAGCGCTTGCTGCCAGGCAAGAAAGCGTGAGTCCATCTTCATTCAAGTTATCAATCATTTGTCAATTACTCAGCCATATAACACATTACAAAAGTTCACGCAACATTTACAGTGTTTACAACAATTACCTCGAGTATAATGCATTATGACAGATTCCCGAATTCAGCGATGGCCAGGTGACACGTTGAATCGCGTCGCATCACGGTGTCACGTCATGGGTATACTCCGAATCCCACCAAAACCACTTGCCACTTTAGCTGTTAGGCTTCTTGCCTGTCACTTCGGATCTCTTGGCCTGTCGAGTCCATCTTTCAGACGCCCTGGGCCGGGAAAGCTGAAAACCTGATGTTTATTTCTGGAGATGAGAACAAGTTGAGGTACTTAGATGAACTTTAGGACTGTAGAGGTATACCTTTTCTTGCCGTTCCACGCCGATCTCACTGACATTGAACAGTTCACTGTAGTCTCGCTTGCGTGTTTTTGTCCATCAAATTCATCATAGTCAACATAGCATAAGTTACCACATCTGCGTTGCAGAATGTTAGGCACGTACAGCCCGGGTTTCCGCGTAGATTCGCTGATTCCAAGACCTAACCTCACTTCTCTTGATCAAGCGTGGGCTCAAGACGAGTGTGTGAATTCTTCTCTAGTATTGCGTTCCCACAGCCTGAACGAGGATGCGCTGCCATTACTACTGACTCTCGTAACTTCTGAGTTCAACGGCTCATCTCATGACTGCATCCTCGTTCTCACCCCGTGATACTTCGAATCTCACAATGGACTCGCGTGGTAGGCTTGCGCAGCGCATAAAAACTTTAACCGTCGTCATAGCTGCACGACATGTTCAGAAATCCAACTCATTTTGTCCGCCTCACTCTGCATCGGTACGTGTGCCTTCTGCATTTGCAGGGACTGACACTGACGTATGCTCCCGAATGTCTCGGGTGTATAAGCCGTAGACAGGGCACCCACGCCGTTGCGAGAGAAAAAAGCCGTTAGATGTGGCATCACCATGGAGTATCTTGGTGATTATTCCAGCCTGAGAGCTGTGCAGACTGAAGGCACCGAGAACTGAGCCTGGCCTCAAGGAGCCCTGCTGATGCTGCAGCGCGACGGCCATACATGGTTTCACGACGCTTGCCTTTGAGCCATGTTACAAAAGACGTGAGTCATATCTAAAGAAATGACAAGCTCACTATTTCATCCAGAACCAGTCGAAAGTGATATGAACGGCCGGACACGTCCTCTTCCATCGGTGGTCCGGGAATTTGATTGCACGGGCGGTGAGTTAAGATTTCTTTATCTCACCGGAATGTTTCTGGACAATTCCCTGGAGGATTGGATTCACCAACGCCATGACAGGGACTATCATTGCCTACGGTCATGACACGTATACAGAGCCCCTACGGACAGATACCACTGATTATTACCAGAACCCACTCGACATGGACGGCGTGTCACATTGTTCACGTGATGTGACCATGACGCGTGCGACTATCGAACGTGACCCTGACTTGGTAATCCAATGCCTATTGGGTCCCAGATCGAGGTTGTTTCCACGTATAAAGCATGCATCTGCTGACCATGTGCATATGCTCTAGTATCGACACCGCAGCATGTCCAACGTCATCACCCTCTACGATATTCCCTCCCGAGATATTAAGGATAATGCCTGGTCGCCCAATACCTGGAAGACGAGGTAAGATACGAAGCCGTAGCTCGAGATCCTCATACGATAAGCTGTCTGTGTAGATTTTCCCTGAACTACAAGGGTTTGCCATACAAGACGGTATGGGTCGAGTACCCTGACATTGCCCGAGTGTGTCAAGAAATCGGTGCTGAACCGACCAGTACGTCTGAGTACGACACCCCCAAGTACACCCTCCCAGTGATCTACGACCCGTCCACGAAGACGGTCCTCGCCGAATCCGCGAAGATTGCGCGTTATCTCGACGAGACCTACCCAGACACGCCTGTGCTTATTCCCCGCGGAAGCAGCGCCCTGCACGCCGCATTCCAGTATGCCTTCGCGCAAATGGTGTCGCAACCGGCGTTGCCGCTGATGCTTCCCGCGACGAACAATATCCTCAACCCGTCGAGCGAGGCGTTTTACCGGCGGACGAGAGAGAGCTGGTTCGGGAAACTGGAGGATTGGTCACCTCCTGGGCCAATCCGTGAGAAGCACTGGGAGGAGCTGCGTGCCGCGCTCGCTAGGGTCGCTGGCTGGATGGCATTGGACGACGAGGACAAACCGTTCTTCATGGGCGACACTATTTGTTATGCCGATATCACCATCGCGAGCATTCTGGTTTGGATGAAGAGGGTGTTAGGTCCCAAGTCACAGGAGTGGGCGAGAGTCAAGACGTGGGATGGCGGGAAGTGGGGGAGTTTCATGCAAGCATTTGATAAGTACGAGATGGTATTGTAGGATACTTATTAGCTGAACAGCCTGAACGTTGAACGTTGAACATTGAACATGTAGGCGTGATTTGACGCACAATCTTTCGAGTAACCACGTATGATAAGTACTGTAGTCACAAACTTATTTAAGTTTACACTGAACGTTGTTACGGTGACCCGATGACTTCTATAGCTAAATTCTGTCTGGTTAAGTCTGAGATGCATGACAAAAATACATTGTGGATGAATGGTTACAAAGATAAGTTAGCCGAAGGAGAGTAGACATAAACGGAGTGATACTGAACTTTCAGACTCGTCAGAGGCTACGACACCGCCGCCATTGACTCTGTGTCGAGTAATTGGGCAGCTGCAGTGCCGTTGGTTCCCAACAGACTATTTCTAATGCGAGCCGTCTCGCTCAAAGTCTCCAAAGACGCGGGGAAACAACGCAGTGAGTAGTGTCCCCGCCGCAGGCAAATGAAGATGGACTCGCGAGAGAGATGGGTAAGATTCCGCGCGAACGATGCAGCGCGCGCGGAGGTCAGGGGCGAGCCGGTGAAATTGATCGTCTAAGTATCAGCGATGTATGCGTGATGACTGAGGCAGCGATACATCTCGAAGTTGGGGACGCACCTCGGAGTTGTGGTCACCCCTGACGTTGAAGCACGCCGGGTACGCGAGCATGTAGCCGTGCCTGAATGACGAGCTGCGCCACCAGGTGCCCTCAAAGCCACAGAGTTCGCTGGGAACGCTCTTCAAGTCGATGCGAGTCCGCATATCTTCTGAAGCAGCTCCTGCAGCTCCTGTAGGACACGACATGGTAACCGGCGTGGCAGAGTAAAGAGGTCCGCTGGAGAATTGCAATGAACGGCTAGACGTTCAAACCTTCGCATGCAGACACCGAAGACGCACTGAGTAGACATCGCTCATTGAGCATATGGGAACCCATTCCAGCGCATCTTGAATGGCGCCGCTGGTGCCTACTTACTTGTAGATGCCGAAATTATATATACGACAATGGAAGATAATTGGGACAGAACAGAATGTACGTCTCGCCGCTGGAAAAGACATAGGCCGTCACTCCCAAAAGAAATGCAGACCGAGTGATTTAATGAACATTCTTGGCCATGAATGGAATGAGGATGACTTAACGTACCTGACACTGAAATGAGCATATGACCGCAGGTGGCTCTGATGGAAGGTGCGTGAATACACGGCATCGAGTCCGGAGCGGCTTCATGGTGAACTCCTCGCACACGTGTTTCTCGAAATTTCATGGTTTCCCCTAGTAGGCAGTGTACGGCAAAGAGACAGCTGTCGCTCCCGCTCCTACAGAAGGAGCCTTAGTACACAATTCAACGTACGTATAGGCATATCCACCGCGATCGATCGCAAGAGAAAATGTCGCACCAGCATCCGTCGACATTGTGTTGTGAGGGACCGATGCAGTTCAAGTTTGGCGAGTCATGTATGCATACCAGAAGTGTGCACCTACATAACTTCCCAGAAGAGACAGCTAGTGGAACCACGCCAGGATTTCACAGGAAGCACGATCGAGCTCCCCGCAAAACTTTGAGTGCACTCTGCGGCTGATGTGGGCGTCCGGTCAATGTGGATGGTGTGGACGATCGGAGATGCTGTGGTGGGAGGTCGGTTCACCGCAGTAGCGACGTGACAGTCAGAGCTCGACCTTCAATTTATGTCACGACGTCACTGCCATGATTGGTATGATCGGTGCTCTGTGATATCGTACTCGGAGACGATGAGTGATGATATATCAGATATGTACTAAGTATGATAAGTCCAACTTGAAGTGGGACCCGAGTCACTCGACGAGTCCTCGACCACTGCCAGCAAAATTCAAATCTGCTTAACCTCCTTATATTTAAGGCAAAGGCCTCTAGTTCCTAACTAAGTGGATCTCGAGCATCCAGCTATGGTGAAGCGACACAGTAATAAAATGCAAGCCGTCCTCTCGGGACAGACCCTTCGTGATATGCAGATCATCCAGGAGAGTTCGTCACAACTGTCCAATGTTCAAGACATAGGCCTTTGGTTTTGCAGACGCACGCTCGACTTATAATTGGGATACAGAGGGACGCTTATGCTCGCCAAATGCACCGTGAAGACCCACTACTCTGAGTCATCACCCCAAGCCCAGCCACGCATCCAAATCCCTCCAGATCCGCTCCCTCGCCTCGGTCCATGTCTTCCGCTGGCGTCCAACACAGCTCTTGCAGTAACAGAGCTCGCACCAGTCGATGTCAATCAGTGTTTGAAGCGCACCCAGCGGGTCCAGCATTCCCTCCTTGAACACAGGCTTCTGAACCACCATCTTGTGCCACAGCTGCGCACTTTCACCGCTCTGGTAAGGTCGTACATCTGCAGGTTCGGATCCAAGAGGCAACGCGCGCGGGGGACAGTCGGAACCAAAGGGGACCAACGCGATCTGCAGCCACGCATCCTGCAGCTTCGAGCGCGCAGCGACGAGGCGCTCATAGTCGAGCACCCCGAGGGTAGACGGCGCGCTTGGATCATCGCGCATGTTGCCGTCGTCACCGTCGACCGACTGTCTAAATCGTGGCGTGCGGAGAAGCTCATAGTACGCACGCTTGAATACCTCTGGGACGTCGCACATCACCGCGAGATCGATAGTGTCAGCAGCATACGGCTTGCGTTCGGAAGTCACGAGCATCAGATCGGGCGACCACATTTCGTGCAGAACCTGGACCGCAAACTCTGTGAATTTGTGGAAGGAGAGCGCACGTGAGGCACGGAGGAGTGCAGCGGCGACAGGGAATGGTGGGGGGCTCCGTGCGTACGTTCTATTAAGAATGTCAGAAATAAGAGCGATAATGGAGAACTCGGGTACTTACATGGCCCCTTCCATCGTCTCTACGAGAACTGTGAAATCGGCCGCAGACACACCGTGGACAATGTAGACTGGGCAGCCTTCCATCGTCTCCTGCGGCGGATCACCGCGAAACAAATCTGCGAAGTACTTTGATTCTCGTTCTAGGCGTGATGCGTGCAACTTGAAGAGCATGTCCTCCAAGACAAGCACGACGGAGCCATCGTGATACCAGAAAACAGTATGTCTCGCGTTGTGGGCGTACTTGAACATAGATGCAGATGACAAAGTGGGTGGCCTAACTGGCACACGCGTCGCAGACCCATCCGTGGAGACGTTCGCCCCAGAAGAAAGAGCAAGATCGGTGGTTGAGATGTCACTAACTGATGGGATCGATCAGAGCCCGAACGTGGCAGCAGCTGCTCAAAGAAGGCGCTCAGAACATCTTGTGCACGGCTCAAGTCAGAAGGGGAAGGGCCTTCCGCCACGGTGCTAGGAGGTACACGTCGTCGGGCAGAGAGATCAGAGTAAAAACGTACAGAGTCCGGGCATCGAATCCTAGGCGTGCCCGTGTGCTGTTCGTCGAGAGAAGGTATGTCCGTGCTCATGGTAGCCAGCAGAGTTGCACCTACCACGCGGGAGAAAGCTTGTCTCTACACAGGGAGATGTCAAGATGCAACTGTGACTGTGTCACGATGACCGCGTCCTAACTTGAAGTTGAAGCCAGCAGCTATAACGGGTATGCCAAATGCCCTACAAGGCAACTTCTTAGGAACCCCTTGGAGTCTCTCTCAGTGAAACAGCACGTCAGGCATATTTATACAAGGCCGCCTCGATTTCCGCTGGATCTGCAGGTCTCCGTTATTTGAACGATACGTAGCTGAATTTTCGAGGTCAGGTCCCATTAATTGCACTTAAGTTTGAGGCATCGCTGTGAAATGCTTTGTCTACTCACAGCATTAGTACCATATGCATGCTCTATTAGATGATGTCAGACGACAGCGGCAACACAACAACCTCACTTCAAGTCGAGACACCCATCCAACTCCTCCCTCCATGTCCTCCTCCAATGGTTCACACAGCGCAAACAGAACCCTCGTGCATGCCAATCCAGTGCGGCAAGGTTCGAAAGCGCATCTAGTGGGTCGAGCATCCCCTCCTTGAACAACGGCACTTGTACCACCATTTCCGCCCACACCTCCACATCCTTTGTGCGCGTCTGTGAGCAGACGCGCTGACGTTCGACGTCTGAGTCAGAAGGTGAGGGAAGGAAAGGGAGCCGGCACAACAAAACTTCTGGAGCGGAGGCGATCTGAATCCACATTTCCTGCAGCTTCTCGCGTGTAACAACGAGACGCATGTACTCCGCCAGGCCGAGGCTGGGTTTGGCGCACGTATCGACGTGATTGTCGTCGGTCTGCTTGAATCCTGGGGAACGCAGCAGCTCGTAATACGCGCGCTTGAGCACCTCTGGTACACCGCATGTCCTCGCGAGGGTAATTGTCTCGGCAGCGTGCGGTATTCGCACAGAGGAGACGTGTGCTACGTCGGGGGGCCACATCGTGCGGAGGACATGCTTCGCGAAGTCGAGGATTTTCGGGAACCCGAGAGCGTGTGCTGCGCGCAGGAGGGACGCCAGGGCAGGGAATGGTGGGGGGTTCAGCGCGTACATGCTGAGAAGAAAACATGAGAATGTCGAAGTAAATGGTCGCCATGGCGGCACGCACATTCCGCCATCCATTGCCTCCATCAACACGGAGAAATCCGCCGCAGACACGCTGTTGACAGCATAGACGGGGCAGCCGTCCATCACGTCCCCCTCCAGAGGCGGATTACTGCTGCGCTTGAATAAATCGGCAAAGTACGTCGATTCATGTTCGAGCCGTGACCTGTGCAACTTGAAGAGCGTGTCCTGCACGAGGAGTACGATAGGGTTTTCGTGCCAGAAGACGGGGTGGCGCGTACAGAGGGCAAACTTCGCCGAAGATGAGGGAGCAGACGCAGTGGACAAAGCTGTCAATTCCGCAGGTCCGGATTTCGGTGACACCTGTTCTACTTTCACGGTCGACAACGCGAATGGCAGAGGCTCAGAATCCAAAAGTGTTTGTTCTCCTGCTGATGGTGACGTTTCGAGCCTACGACGCTTCGCGGATATACGGTCAGGCTCAGTTAGAGCAGCGCGCTTCTCCGGCGTACGCGCAGCGCTACCAGCCTGAGCTTGAGCGGTACGACTCGCCGCACCTGCAGCGGCGGATGCTGATGATGAGCCCGTACGCGTCCGGCTCGCAGGGGACGCAGGAAAGGGTTCAGCTCCGCCATCGGGCACCTTAGTAATGGCACCTTTTTTCATGGCTGAGCTCTTCGCCGCACCAGCGACAGCGGCTGTTCAACGTCAACGTTCAGTGGCGTGCGTGAGGCGAGAAGTCCAAGATGCGGCGCTTGCGGTTCTGTCCTTAAGGAGCTTTCGCTTGGGGACAGGAATGACCCGGACCATAACGACGAGGACGGCCTTCCACCCTAACCCTAACTGCGAGCGACCGGTCGGGCGCTTCATGACCAGATAGATATTCCTCGAGAACAACTTCGACACTAGTGCCAGGCTATGTGCGCGCTCTGTTCACTAGTTCTCGTCTTGCATGCGCATGCTGTATTCCTGGTAACGGTGACCCACTCCAGTCGGAAGGGAGGAAGGTATATGTGTCCCAATCGTGAACGCCCAGCAAACAACGTCCATAACGAGAAGGCGACATGCCCCATAAGGTAACTTCTCATGAACGGCAGTCAAGTTTTCCACTGTGAGCTACACATTGTACGTTTCGCGACGTGACACAGCGTTCCCAGGTGGCGGATGATTCGAGATATCTCCACTTCTGCAGTACGATTTAGCAGAGCTCAACATCAGGTTTAGAATGTTTCACGGGCTCGAATCTATTATACCGTGTCGTGTCATCTTCCCGCCACTCCATGACATTGACCTCGATGGCGGCCATCAGCTCAAACACAACCACGCGTCCAAATCCCCCCAGATCCGCTCCTTCGCATCCTTCCATGCCGTCCTCCTCTGCTCTACACAGCCCGTGCAAAGGCCCCGCGCCCCCCAATCCATACCGATGATGTTCTCGAGCGCACCTAGCGGGTCGAGCATCCCTTCCTTGAACACGGGTGCTCGCCCAACCATCTCTGCCCACAGCTCCGCACCCTTTGCGTGGGCCTGTTCACAGGCGCGCCGAGGCTCAGCGTCCGCTGGCTGAGAAAAAGAGATGAGTGGGCAAGATGTGTCCGGGGGCGTGGATGCGATTTGTATCCACACTTCTTGCAGCTTCTCGCGAGCGGCAAGGAGGAGAGCGTATTCCGCCGCTTCGAGCGCCGCTTTACGCTGGATTGCGTCGTCGATATCATCATTTGACTGGTGAAATCCTGGTGAACGCAGCAACTCGTAATACGCGCGTTTGAGCACCTCCGGGATGTTGCACGTCCGTGCGAGGACGATGGTCTCCGCTGCGTTCGGTGTTCGTACCGAGGTGAGGCACGCGAGGTCGGGGGCCCACGTCGTCCGCATGACATGCGATGCGAAGTTAAGAATCCTGGGAAAGGCGAGCGCGTGCGCGGCGCGTAACAGGGAGGCGAGAGCCGGGAAAGGCAGGGGATTCAACGCGTACGTACTGTGAAGAAAAGTGATAAGGTCAAAGTCACGGTCGGAATAAATAACAGGGTGCACGCACATCCCGCCATCCATGGCCTCCATTAGAACCGCGAAGTCCGCTGCGGACGTGCCGTCCACAAGGTAGACCGGGCAGCCATCCACCGTGTCTCTATCCGCCGGTCGTTCAGTGTCGCGTTTGAAAAGATCCGCGAAGAACGTCGATTCCTGTTCCAACCGAGACCTGTGCAGCTTGAAGAGCGTATTCTGAACGCGGAGCACGACGAAATCATCGCGCTGCCAGAACATAGAGTGGCGAGTGCAGTCGGCGTGTTTGAACGCGAGTGCGGACGTAGAAGAAGTAGACGCAGACGCAGACGCTGCTGGTCCGACATCTGTGTGATTTTGGCCACCGTGTCCTACATCGCGATGTGTCGTGTCTGACACGGACACAGACGGCAAGGGCTTAGAACTAGAAGCAGGGGTTAGTGGTGGCGCGTCCGTATGCTCCACGTTAGATGCGGACTTGGGCACAGAGGTAGACGAAAACGCGGTGGATTCGGTTCCAGGGCAAATTGGCTCTTCTGCTTTGATGCATGTTGCATCTGACAACGAAGGCGTAGACGCCGTAGGAACAGCTTCCTGGGGTTTTTCCTCAGTCTTGAAGTGTGTCACGGCGGATGGAGATGTAGACATCACAGGATCGGGTTTCTGGAGAACCTTTGGTGAAGTGGGAAGTATCGCTGCTGTAGCGGTTGACGACACTGCAGGTCCAGGCTTACTTTGTGGCGTGGCGAGTTTGGGGCGCTTCGCAGATTTGTCGGCAGGTGTGGCGGGTGCAGGACGCTTCTCAGATGTACCGCCACTGCGAGTCTGAGCGGTTAGGCTAGCTGCAACTGCGGCGCCGGACGTCGAAGGTGTTCCTGTATAGGTGTTTGCCGCCATCCGCGCAGATGTCACCGCGTTCAGGCCCTTGCTAGCTGGGTAACGAATAGATCGGCCTAGGCGATATGGTTGGTCGATCCAAGGGCGTGCTCTCCTTCAGATAGCGAATAGGTGTGAGCACGCGGGAAAGCCCGATACGGTTGCGCGTCTGCCACATCAGGCATTCTCGATACCAGCTACATCCCGACTAGCTCAGTAGTTCATCATATGTTCGGCACCTCTAAATACATCAAATTTTTACCTGTCAAAAAGTTACTGATTCATGCGCGAAGTTGCTCGACTTCTGAGGTGGGGACTTACGTGGCTTCAATCTCGAGTGAGTACTAGTACTTTGACCTTTCCCGTCAATCAACCACCTCCTCGCTGCGCATTTGGGACTTCACACAACACTCACGTTGGAACTGCAATACACCCACATACGAAGTAGCCGTGCATATACGTACGCCGTGTAGTGACGCGAAGGAACAGGTCGCGCATTACGCTTAAGGCTATGTCGCACGCGAGACCGGTATGTCACTAGCCTGCACAGCGACATTTAGCTCACATGATTATAGAACACAGGCCGGTACAGGCTTGTCATGTGCGATTGCATCCGTTGTGGTGGATTGGAGGTACCGTACTACCTGTGGCAACAGCACAAGGAGCAAGATGCATTTGCGACCACAGCCTTTGCTGCGCGTGGACGTGCAAACGTAGCTTCCGCGTCATCGCATGTCGTAACAGGTGTAACCATGGCCTCTCGTGGTCGAGGACAAAGGTACGGACCCACTGCGGCACTACGCGGACGAGGGGTATCACTTCGAAGTCAAGGTGTGGGCCGAGGCAGCACCCTCCCGAGCATTCCACGCAAGCGATCGAGTTCACCTTCATTTCATTCGGGTCCGCTTCCACACCCTACAGCTCGTGCAGCACAAGCAGCATCTTTCCCGCTCATGGGTGATGTTCCTATGGAGCCTCTTGGATCAGATATTCCCGATGATTCCAGCCCTTTATTCGACATGCGCACCCCTTCACCAGTCGCGTTCGCGGCATCAGTTGACCCAGATGCAGTTGGAATATCCCCCGCTTTGCATTCCCACACTCCTGTTCACATGTCGCGAAGTCCTAGTCCCCTCCTTCAGGAACGCGAACTGGGATATTATGAGGACCCCGATGACGAAGAAGTCCAGCGTGTCCTTAGGATGTCTGGTCTGGACCCGGAGAGTGTCCCTGTCATGGGCAATGCTGACATGTCAACTCCAGAACGACAAGAGAGCGTCACAGCAGCCGGTGCAGAAATACGCGCGACCTGTGTCGCACAGCCTCCAGAGCATGAGCTCGACGATCCGGATTCATTCATAGATACAAGGAAGTTACCGCCGCTCGGAACGCGGCTATCTGATGAACGCGCATATCTCGAATCCCATCCGAAATGGTTCGTACGTGCAATATTGATGGTTGTGGGTATCCTACACACAAAGTACCATGTTACCTTTCGAGCGTCGTCGTTGATTCTTTACGCAATCCGCGCGATTTTCATCGCACTCCGCCTGTTAAACAAGGACGACTCGATGCCTGCAACGCTCACCACTCTCCTGAAACGCCTCGATTTGAAAGATCGCTTCCATGTTCTACCTGTTTGCAAGGCATGCAAATCTCTCTTCGAGCCGACGATCAACCGCAAGTCAGCATGCCCTAAATGCGGGGAGAAGTTGTTTCCTCCTAGCGAACATGCAGCGGTTCGCGAGCTTCGACGTCTTCTTGGCAGAGATCCACCCAAACCTCCCCCCATTCTCGCGGCTCCGTATGCACCACTCTCAGCTGAGATCGCCGACTTCTTAAGTCGCCCTGGTATGGACAAGGAGGTGGTGGCATGGGAGACAGAACCTTCACTTCCAGGCAGGTACTCGCGCATCATGGATGGTGATGTTTGGAAGACGCTCCCGGGTCCTGACAAGAAGCCATTCTTCAGTAAGGACGAAAGTAGGCTTCCGGAGATTCGGATTGGTGTGTCTATGAGTCTGGATTGGTACGTTGTTCTCTGCGACATGTGTACATAATAATGGGGCTCATGGTAATCATCATCAGGTTCTCCTGCTCACGTACATCTTTCGCGCCATCGCATTCTTCAGGCCCGATGGCCTTTTGCGTACAGAACCTACGCGAAAGTGTCAAGTTAGTCCCGTTTATTTGGTGTAACTTGCATTTGTACTTACTGATTTCTCGCCAGATATCGACCACAAAATATCCTCGTTTGTGCGATGACACCGGGTCCTACAGAACCAACAGCGGAGCAAGTACAAAATTATCTCAAGCTTGTTGTTGACGACTTGTTGAATCTGTACGAGAACGGTGTTATCATGAAGACGCCTTCACATCCAGATGGTGAGTCCACTCTATTTGTACGAAAATATTACCAACTAACATGGACTCAAGGTATCTGTGTTCGTGTTGCCCTCGTAGCTGTTGTCTGCGATCATCCTGCGATGTGCAAGGTCAGTGGGTTCGCCGACAAGAATCATGCTGAGGTACCGTGCACGAAGTGTCATGTGAAGCAGAACCAGATGTTCTCGGACGAAGGGTTATCCAATGGTACTTAGTCATTTCCAACTTGGCATGCTTGGCTGACACACCTCAATAGGTTTTCCACTGCGCAATGGTGAGGATCACAAGCGGTTAGCACGAGAGTGGAAAACGCTGTCATCAGAGGCAGAGCGTGCTGAGTTCTTCAAGGCTCACGGTGTCCGCTGGACGGAGCTTGCTCGCCTACCGTATTTCGACCCAGTTCGCATGACCGTGATAGACCCCATGCACAACTTTCTACTTGGTGAGCAGGGAACAAGCCTGCGTGATTATATGCTTATCAGACTTCACAGGTGTTGTTAAAAATCAGTGGTACGGGCGATGGATAAAGTATAATGCTCTCCGTGCAAACACTCCAAAGACGAAGCGTGAACTCGCTATCATGCATGAGTTTCTCGAGACGGTGAGTGCAAAACGATGTATACGAATCAACCCTTCTGATATAAATTATCAGTTTGAGTCACCTCCATGGGTGGGACGGCTTCCGCTCCATGTCGGTGAACCTGCCGGTGGATCGCTTTCTGCAGATGAATACAAGGCTCTAGCTATTACCGTTGGCCCCCTGATTGTAAGTCTCTTTTACTAGTGCTTCGTGAATAAAGAAGCATTATTTATTATTCTGTAACAATGTAGCTACCGGTGATATGGGAAGAGTTCTGTCCAGAAGCGAAGGAGGACCATCAGAAAGCACTGAAGAAATGGAGAAAGGCAAAGAAGAAATGGGAGAAGGATACGCAGGAATGGGAACGCATCCAGCATGCACAGGAGACATCGGCCAAGACGACAAGGGGTGATGTCACTGCATCATCATCGACAGCAGAACAAGTACCCCAAAGCGAAATCGGCCAGGAACAGACATCAGGAAGAGTTCCGGAGGTGCCTAGTCCTACGGCAACTCGAGAGGGAGCTTCTTCAAGTACGGTTGCATCCACGAAAAAGGGCAAGAAGGTCAAGGACCCTGGTCCGGCGCCCGAAGAGCCTCGTCCACGCCTGCAGCCTGAGGAGATGCAAGCTTACATGAAGCTTGCAACGGCTTTAAAGATCCTTCTCAGCGGTTCAATCTTCGCGACACAGATTGACCGCGGTGAAAGTCTTCTCTTCGATTACTTGCGCGATTTCAAAAGGGTACGCACGCACATCACATATGAATGTCTGTGTGACTGAACTCAAATTTCTAGCTGTATGGTGGTGACGGGCTGATGCCAAACCATCATTTCGCGGTTCATATAGCCGCACAGATACGAGATTATGGACCAGTCTACAGTTTCTGGTCCTTCCTACCTGAACGACTCAACAAACTTCTGAAAGGTTTTCATTTGAACAATTGGGGTGGCGGGCAACTGGAGATCAGCATGTTGCGTGCCTTCAAACGAGACGCACAGATTCACTCTATGGTAATTTACTTGTTTTAATCTGTCCTTTTGATATGAACCTCGCTGCAGGTTCATTATGTATCGCAATCTAAAGGTACATCAGACGGTGATATATCTGCTCACATTGCACAGCATCTCCTGCACGAAAATCGTGAGGCCCGTGGAACGGTTGAGTCCATTGCGCAGGAATTGGCATATGTCGCAGATGATGGTAAGATTCACCGTTATGTAGTCAGCGACACTCACTAGCGTTCTTCATTAACAGTGCTATCTCTCTTGCCAATATCGCTTGGCCCTCCTTCAAATCAAGGTGTCAAGCTGTCAGACCGCACTAGAGCTTCCCTCTATAAGCTCTATAACCATGATCACAAGCAAGTCTACTATCCGACAGAGGCAAATGTGCCTCGCAGCGCACACTTTCTGCAACAGTATGGTCAGGTGCATGACTATGCACTGGTTGATGGTCGACGAATTACGCCTGTGACACACTCTAGCAAATTGTCTGCTGCGTCTGCCATCGTCAAAGTAGACCTCAATGGGAATATCCTGGCTGGTGAAGTGATGTCTGTCTTCGAGCACTTTCAAGGTGGCGTTACTGGCGATACGGTCTTCGCTGAGATGCGATGGATGAAGCGACTTGATCGGGTTCCCATTTCGGATGACATCTGGAGTGATTAGTGCGTTATTATCCCTGCATTTCGGTGGCTAACTAATTTAATAATCCCGAGTCCCGAGCTTGAGACTGAATTCTGGGAGTATCAAAAATACCATGCAGATGCTGATGGCCCACCTGCGGTCATACCACTCAGGATGATTCGTTGCCAGCTTGCACGTGGAAAATTTCATTCGCCCAAAATGTGGATGACAACGTCCCTGGAGCGCGTAGGTCGTGTTTGTTATTTAATTGCACTTGTATTAATCATGTTCTATAGCATGCTGTCTCATTCACGACAGAGGATTAAGCAGAGACTTAGAACCCTTCATCAGCATCGGCATCAACAGCGAGGATATACACAAGCCGCCCTCCTCTTGGCTAGAACAGAACGGCGTCAAAACAGCGCCCTCACTGCTCATTGGCCCAAGTATTTCAGTACGTGTTCTGTATACTTCAGCCTATGCACCGTTCAAATTTGGTAACATTTGATTTCCCTACAGTACTTATTACATCGATGTAGGAGACATGGACAATGCGAAAACACGATCAGGAGTGCTACTAGAATCTCGAATGGATGCAGAAGTGGCAAAGCAGGAGAAAAGTGGCAAAGCAGGAGAAAAGCGGCAAAGCAGGAGAAAAGCGGCAAAGCAGGAGAAACTAAGTGCTCATCTCGGAGTCATTGCGAGATGACGATGACCTGGATCGAGATAGAGAGTGCGACGAAGAACGACGTGAAGAGCTTGAATGTACATCCGACCCAGGGATCAGCTCTTCCTCAGCATCAGGACTGACGTCTACTCCCTGCCGAGTTTCGTTTGCACGTGTTCCGAAGCCGATGGGGTCGCCGAACGAGAACCAGTCATGCAGCATGATTGAATGTGGGTACTTATCCTTGTGTTGCTCGTACCAGTCGCGATTGATCCCAAAGTCAAATGGAGCAATAGAAGGAGGATCGTCACTAGACCTATTCTCCGAGTGCACCCGTTGCTTGAACTCCTGCCGGTCCTTGGGAGGCAGGTCCTCCCAGAAGTAATCCCACAGCTTGTGTAGAATATCAGAGTACTGACGTGGTGTGTACGTCATTCAAGTTTATCACTAAATTCTTGATGCTATTGACGCACCTCCACAGAACGCCAGTTTGGCCTGATTATCTCGAAGAAGCCAAGTTTGTCAAGAACGGTATCAGGCAAGTCTCTCATCCCGGCTTCTGCTGCCAGTCGCCTCTTCCAATCCTCTTTCAGCTCGCCTGCATCTGTATCAGGTCCAGATGCCTCGTCAGACATCATCTCATGGGTAATCAATTCCGTAGGATCAACGCCATGGCGTTGGATGTAACTGGTAACGCCAAGTGCAAGCTTCTTCGACTTCTACTCATGATCATCAATAAATGTTTGCATGAGGTAAAATGTTCATTACCTGCTTGCGGCGCTGCATTCTCCTCGTCTTTTGCTGATTGTGTCGCAGTAACACACGCTTCCCATCCTCGACCTGTCCACGGTAGGCCTCCTTGTACCCATTCCATGATACCTTCGCAAGCTCATACACGGTGTCAGCCGTAATTCGCATCGTTGTGTTGTTCATAAAGTCCGGGCGTGTCTTCTCATCCTGCGTACAGTGGTAAGTCAATTCCTTGATCAATGTTCTCTGGCGTTGATAAATTCTTACTGAGAGTTCAGCGTAGATGATGTCGCGCACTCGTACCAGCAATCTCCGATTATCTGTATGTTTAACATCTCTGTGGAATGCGGGATTAATGTATGTTTCGCCTGTTTGCTCATTTTGTCTCTCGGGCAGGATACCGTCAACTGGAATGGGCCACTTGTCCTTGACTCCAACCCCAGTGACATTGCGGATGCATGACGAGGTAAGTTTCTGCAAGATCAGTGAGCATTACTCATCGCTATGAAGTGCATATAGCCTACCAGAATAAATGTTCTAGCTTTGCGTTGCTCTCCAGTCAGGTCGGATACCTTTCCCTTCGTTATGTCTACGCATGGCTCATTCACGATGTTTGCAGTGTGGTCTTCAATGTTCTCATCCGTAGGATTAGGATGGCGACGAAGGAAGCTGCGTTTAGCCACGGCGGAGGCGCCTCGCGAGGCAGAGTGAGAACCACGTGCGAAGGATGTAGCAGCAGGATCAGTGATACTCATGGTATGTCCCTGGTGTATGCTCTGCCCTAGCTGAGCCTGACTGACACCTGGCACTGCTGGTGGGATGAACCCCGCAGCATTTTGCTGAAGCAGGGTGGTTATATGCGCAATGTTAATTCCTGGAAGAAGCTGTAGAAGTGCGGGATTGATAGCATCTCCAGGCGGGGGGGCAAATGCCGGTGGAATAGCCCCCTGGTTAGCTGGATTCGAAGGTATGTCTGTCTCGTCCTGAGTTCGTCTGCGAGATGGAGATCTAGAGCGCGAGAGCCGTCGGCGTCGACTCCTGCCACAGCTAGTGTGAGTGCAGTCACATCAATTGAACTATTTACTCACCTTTCTTTGCTTTTCTTTTTCTTCCTATTGCGTGGCTGTGTCTGGTCTTCCACATGTCGCTGCCTGTCTTGCCTCCCGCGGGTAGGTCCACTGTCTCCTCTCTGGTTGTGTGATGTGGCTGATGACTCTACAGTGGAAGTGTGTTCGAAGGGCATCCCCTGTGGTCCTCCGGCAGGTTGATTTCTTTGCCATTCTGCCGTGCGTTGCTGACGGATCTGCATCAGGTACTTCTCTTGAATCGCAGCCGGCATGGTTGGCCAAAGTGCTTGCATTACGGGATCTAGGATATTGGCTGGAATTGAGCTCATGGTGAGTGATATGCAGTTCCGTGTCTGTTTGTCTGTGCGCTAAGCATCCGGCGAGTGTAGGGTGAATATTAATTGTGAGGCCTGGGGGACGCGACGCTGTACGGTCACATGATCGTATATTATCTTATCTTATCTGTACCTATATACAGAAATGGATGACGTTCTCACAATTGGTCTAGACGTGAATCCGTAGTTACTTCGAGAGGTAGTACACAAACTGTATATACATGCTGATGATTCAAACAGGTGAGGGAAGATTGGCTGGGGACATCTATTTGGATGCTAAATGCTCAGGCTGCCGGGAGTGCAACAAGTTGAATAATCTGGACCTAACGGCAGGTAGACAGACACATTTACGCCACGAATAGATGGGCTTATCGCGCACTAATTAAACGGAAAATTTGCGTGTGTTCAGACCTGTACACGGCGCAAGCACACGGGTCTTGAACGCGGTGTGTTGGAGGGGAGGGTAGTGGAGGGAGTCGTCCACCGTCGCGCATCCACTGGAACGTTCTCTCCATGTCTGAGAGCTTCTCCGCAGCATTTGGAGCCACGGCTGGGGTACGCGGCTGTGCAGGGGCGCGTGGATGCCGCGAGCTCTGTGACGGCGGGCTGGGGGTTTGGCCTGTGGATTGGCTATGTTCGGGGACAGGGGCCGCTGTGCGCGGAGGAGCATGCCTCATTGATGGGGCAGGATGGAATTGTAGGGTGGCTGGCAGCCAGAAGGGATTGAAATATGTCCTCCCGGGCGCGGTCGATGGAGCAGACGTGGATGGAGTAGCAAGGTCGGCAGCGAGGCGCCTGAGTCGCCGACTGAGAGCACCGCGGTCTACCTCTTCGCCATACCGTATGCGGCGCGGGGGCAGAGGAAGTACCGTGCGCCGATGTTGGTCGTCGGACATCTTGACTTTCGAGCTCGTCGCGGTCAATAACAAGGCTTGTTGAGTCGGGCGCTTGCGTGTAGACGCTGAACTCGATCTCCCAAAAGTGGCTCCGCTTCAATTTTCGTATCCCGGATTCCTGGACTGCGGCGTGGACGTGCACTCAGCTGCATCCTGTACCACCACGTCTTGCAGTGCAGGAAACTCACCGTACTATCAATGACTCACTTTACTCTCCATGAACATGGGGTGCAAAGTGAGTCAGGAGCACGAAGCGACCGGCATCGTCTCCGTCTTCTATCAGCTACTTACTCATCTCACTCGTCACCTAAGTTCTTATTTATCCGGCTGTCTCACCGATAAGTACACCCTAAGCAGGCGCCGCATGGCCTGCAGTCTCCTTCGTTCTGCGTACTGCCATCCGTCCAATATTTGTCGACAATGCCTAACACATTCACCGGCGTATAAGGGAACTGTCACCTTCCCGCTTGGGCTGTACATCAACGGCGAGTTTGTGGACCCTGTTGAAGGGGGAACAATCGAGTGAGTACCGTGCTGATTTGCGAAACAGCCTTTCTTATGAGACCGTGACAGTGTTATGAATCCACGTAAGTTTACTTATCAGTCAGACTTGTATCTTCTGTTGGATTGAAGCTTGGTTTTGTTCGCAGCCACTGGGAAATTTATTACGTCCATTGCAGCGGGGACAAAGGCAGACATCGACCTCGCAGCTCGTGCGGCGAAGGCCGCCTTCAAGGCGTCCTGGGGATTCAAGACGCCTGGCGTGGAGCGCGGTAAGATGCTCTTCAAGCTCGCGGACCTCGTGGAGCAACGTATCGACGAATTTGCTGCTCTTGACACGCTTACCAATGGTACCTGTGGCCCCGAGCGTGTTCATCGCCTGTCTGAACAACTTTCATTGGTGTTGCCATGTCACTTACAGGAAAGACGTTCAAGACGACAGCCCATGGCGACTGCACTAGCGCCATCGCAATCCTCCGCTACTACGCTGGTTGGGCTGATAAAATCACTGGCAAGACTATCGAAGTGACGTGCACTGTCCTCAGATTGTCACTGACATCTGACCATTGGTCTCGGACAATGGCAGACAAACGATAACAAAATGACGTACACGCGGCACGAGCCTATTGGTGTAGTGGTGAGTAGCACCCTCTCAAAATTTACTCGTTCTTAATTTGCGCCGAATTTAGGGCCAAATCATTCCCTGGAACGTGCCCAGTAGCGTCTGTTTCTTTCTCGCAACTTCTTTCGCTGATCCTGCGTTCTCTCGTTAGTGTACTCTGTCGCGGTCAAATCTGGACCTGCTCTCGCTACCGGGAACACTGTCGTGCTCAAGCCGTCTGAACTAACGCCACTCTCGGTGCTGCTCTTCTGCACGCTACTCGCTGACGCTGGTTTCCCGCGTGGCGTGGTGAATGTAGTGAATGGATATGGCCCTACCGCAGGCCAGGCGATCAGTGAGCACCCGCTCATCGGCAAGGTTGCCTTCACGGGCAGTACCCTCACTGGACGCAAAATTATGGAAGCTGCAGCTAAGAGTAACTTGAAGCCGGTCACGCTCGAGCTCGGTGGGAAGAGTCCAGTCATGATCTTCGAGGACGCGGCTTCGAGTACGCGCACCTCGCCATGTGCGGTGGTAGACGGGCGCGGGCGAGCGCGCCCTGGGCTCGATCCTGGGGCACGAGCTCGTCCCCAGCGAGCAGACGTGAACACTGGCATGCAAGCATCCACAGTTGATGGATCGGTGTCCCTTCCTTCTTATCCCGCATATGTTGGACACCGAGTGTGCCATGCTATTGCCTTTCTCGGCTCTCTGCACGCTTACTGAGTGTGTTCGACGTCGGGGGCTCAGGCTTCAAGATTCGAGGGTATGACTCGCGGAGACCAGCCTCGTCCTTCGTGAGCGCGCTACTTTGCATAGCGACGAGCATGACGCGATCGGACAGTTGTTGACTTTCGTTTGTCCCCTCGTCGTTTGTGTTATGCGTGTATGCGGTCGCTAACGGTGCCCCTATTTTCGCGTTCGGCGAGGAGTGCATACAGCGAAAGTCGGCGGGCACTGCATGCGCTGTGTGGCTGCAGTCCGCCCGGCCATCTTGCTGCATCGAGGATGCGCTTGACACTTGCATGAGCAGGGTTATGGCCGTTGTGATCGTCCTGTGGAACGAAAGCTGTGCCGAGATACCGTGCGCGCCGGGCGAAACCGAATCGAACACGGTGTGCTTGCGAGCGACATCATTGATTCCTCCGTCGGTGGCGATCCGCGCTGGCTAAGGTCAGGGGCGTGCTGCTTGAGGCGAAAAAGAGTGTCGGGGCGTGCATGCACGGTACCCAAGAGAAGATGGACCGGCCTAGGTGCGCGAGCGTGCCCTGCGAACACGGGCGAGGATCTTGAAGGAACCTAGCGGGGCTGGGGCGAGGATAGGGAGGCGAAGAGCTACTAGTGGGGGATGGGCAAGACGCGCCCCAGTGCGTGACGGACCGTGACGGATCGCGTTCGATCGCGCCCGATCGCGTCCAATTTAGATGCATATTTATACTAGGAAAGCGCCGACTGGCGTTGGCCCTGACCTTGCTTGCCAAGTGGTAATGCATTTGTTAGATATGCATGTAGTCTAGACAATTTGAAGGGTATTAGTAAACAATAATTTCCGCCCAACAGAGCTCGGTTGTCAAGATCGAAGGGGAAGTTCACAATTCAATTTCGGTACTTCAGATGTCAGAGCCATCATTAAATGAATGGGTGATGAACACCACAGATTCACTTCTAGTGAATTTTCTTTATAGACTACATGCATGTGCTGTGACAGGGAAAAAGTCGAATTAATGGCGGAAAAAAACCTGTGTGATAGTTGTAGTGAAGTGTTGAATGGACAAGTACAAGCATACAGCAACCGGGCTGGTTTTCGAAAGAGAACAGACAACTGGATAATGTTTGTTAGTGATTGAATAAGCAACGCCGCGCAACAGATTGTACGCAACGCTCGCCGATGGTTCTATATATTCAACAACAGACTGTACAGGGTGAACGATGCGACGACACCGGGAGTCGAACATAAAGGCCTTAACCGGAGACACTCGGGAGAGAAGTCGGGCAGGTACGGGGCACGGAAAAGTGGTGCAATTAAGGGGGGCGAGGAGACCTTGGCAAGCAAGGTGATTCCTCTGGCACAGTGTCTAGCTTGTATGGCACTCTCTTTGATCACCTGCATCTGCTCACTTCGAGACAGATGTCACCTCTTCCTCCCGACTTTTTCGCCTGGGACAAGGCCTTCGTACCCTGCTGTCCTATGTCCCTGCCGTCCTCGCCTTTCTCCTCATGGCTGCTCTCGCGGTCTCTGGAAACCTCGTGTCCTCTGGTTCAGCAGCGACGAGCGGCTCGAGAGGTGGAGAGGCGCCCGGGCGAATGGTTGGGAACACTAGCGTGCGCTTCGTCGCCGCTGCCTGCTCCAGCAACAGCTCCGAGAATGCTTCGCAGAACAGTTACAGGTGGCGAGTTACCTTCTAGCTCTCCAGTTTCTGATTCTCAAAATTTCCTCCATTGGCTGGATGTGTTGTGTATTCTTGTATGCAGCGATGGATTCGGCGTTTGCTGTATAGAGCTACTCTGGTATGTTTCTCATATCTCATTCTTCGCTACCTCCAGTTTGGTCATCGCCATCGTTATTGTTTCCGACTCCTTTTACTTCTAATCCACAAACTTTGCTTCCACCTTCACGCTACTTCCTTGCGGAATTATTCAGGTGTTGTTGACGTAGGGTGCACGTCCGTTCCACCGCCCAACTCAGACCCTCGGTCTCTCTCCGATACACCTAGCGTTTCTTCCAGCCGTGCGGCGAACGCGTAAGCGTTTCATGGGTCGTTCGAGCAGCGCCAGTGACTCACGGTGTCGTTGTGGCCATCGTCCACTCTCCACATCCGTGTTTGTTCTTTGTATCGGTATCACGTCTAGGTTTGGTGCAGATTTGCTCACATCACACTCCTTCTGACAAGTCTTGTCGCGCTTATCGTAGCTCGTGAGCTGTCCTTTGTGGTATGGGTATATTTTACATACAGTAATCCTTAGCTTATCGGGTCGTAACGCACACTGTGCGGGTGGTCCACAGTTCATTAGATAATCGTGTTCAAACTTTCCATTATCAATTCAGGCCGGCAAAATATGTATTGACCTTATTTAATTGTACGGTCGTTCAACCGATACCCGTATTACGGCTGCAGTCGAAAGAGTCCTCGTAAATGGAATCGTATACGGCGGGATCCGGATAGGCTAGTAATTCTCCTCAGTAGGATAGTGGAATGCGCTGAATCATAGTTGTTTTAGGAAAGCTGCCAGTGAAGCCATCGACAGTCTGACATCGCATGGAGAGAAGTGTGATGCATGTGGTGTGGCAGGTGTTCTAGCTGTATTGTTTCCTTGAGGGCCAGGCCGATAAGTAGTCAACATCGGCTGCAGTGGAGCTGAGAACAATCGCTTGCAGCATTCGAACGCACAGGTGATGTATGACATACGCTCAATTGTCGACAGCGAGACTACTCTGTCAGGATGACTGACCGCCATTTCATGACCAGTTCGATGGTTTCGCCTTCCTATTTTAGCGTAGGTGTTGCCTCTGTGAGTGCCGCTGACCACAAACATCTCCCGTAGATGTCGCACTACGTGGAAATGTGACTGCATGAATTTGGTGGCCTTCCAAGCACTCGGCGCTAGGTAAGTGCGCGCATACTGTATATAAGACCGTCAGCAAGGCCGCGTCGCTGCAAGTAGCTAAACCGCTCAAATGTCTGCAAAAGTGTGGCTCATAACTGGCACGAGCTCCGGAATAGGCCTTGCCCTTGTTCAGCATGTCCTTGCCCAAGGGGACAAGGTGGGAACGTCTGATATGTCTTGAAAGAGGAGCCTGATATATTCTGCCCTAGGTCATTGCCACTGTCAGGTCAATGTCCAAATATCCCGAGGAGCTGAAGGGTGCGGAGCCCCTCGTCCTCGATCTCGGCGCTCCCGACTCTGAGATCCGTAAGGTTGGCGAGGCTGCATTGAAGGTATATGGTCAGATCGACGTCTTGGTCAATAATGCTGGCTATGGCCTCTCCGGGCCAGTAGAGGAGTTAGAGTAAGCAACCAGCTCGAGATCCACAGGCTATCACTCACCGCTAGTTGCAAATAGTATGGAAGGTGTACGAGCACAGTTCCAGACGAACGTGTTCGGGACAATTGTCCTGACGCAGTCCCTGCTGCCCCATTTCCGAGCACGGAAGACGGGTCACATCTTCAATCTGTCCTCGGCCGGGGCTTATTGGAACTACCCGGGCTTAGGAGCGTATGCCGCTTCCAAGGCTGCGCTCGACGCGTTCTCCGAGTCGCTCAGTCGGGAGGTCGAGCCGTATAACATCCGCGTCATCGTCATCCTCCCTGGATACTTTCCCACTAACATCTTCGCCAAGGCACGGTCGACCGAGCGGCTGAGCACAGTATACACGGACCCGAAGCAAGGATATAAATTCATCGAGACGTTGCAGCAGAGGCGCCAAGAGAGTGGACAGTTCGGCGACTTGGTCAAGTTCGCGCAGCGGACGTATGAGATCGTGCACGGCGTAGGGATGGGGGAGGGTTTGGTGGAGAGCCAGGGTGGGAAGCGGGAGTGGATGCGTCTGCCGCTGGGCACTGACTGCGGTGAACTGATGCTTGCTAAGATTAATACCGTGAAGGAGAACGTTGAGATGTTTGAGGCGATATGGAGGTCGACGGATGTAGATTTGGAGAGACTGAAGGATTTCGCCCAAGCTTGAGGCTGAAGTTCGTTTCAACAAAATTAACAATTTCAATTTCTAGCCATCATCACACTTCCTTGGGCCCTGGGGTGGATGTCGTGCTGGCCCTGAGTATGTACAATTTGGTTGTAAGAGAAGAACACAGCACTAGATTGTGTTGCGTACCGCTGACCAGACAATCCGAGTCAGAGGTAGAACTTTCTGAACAATTTCGACCGAATAATGTGCTCACGTGCATATGTCGGTCCCGTCACTCAACGGAAAGGAACTTCAGTTGAATATCAGAGAAGTGTCGACTACTTGCCGGTGCAGTGCTTCGCACAGCACGAGGCGACAATATATACATTGCACACTGGCATGCAAGCAGTTAACTGACCCTTTCAAGGTAGGCCATTCTGTAGCCATACGGCCCTTTAGACAATGAGACGAGGAAGTCGTTCACTTCAATACCAATTACACAATGATGCCTAAAGTCTGGGTGATCACATGTGCAAATTGCATCACCAGCGTCTCCCTGCAAGGCGACAAGACGGAAATCGTGGACATAGTACGTGTTGTGGTAGCCTTGTAGCCTTGAAACTCTTGACTGCCACATCGTAGATCGCCACAGCCAACTTGAAGTTCACTGAGCGCCTGAAAGCCACTGAGCTGTCCATCCTTGACCTCCACGGTCCCTACGGATAAGTCGACATCTTCGTCAACAACGCCGAATTTGGCGTTATCGGTCAGCCCGTAGAAGAACTAGAGCAAGAGCGTCTGGTGTTCAGCGATGGCCCGATGCGCACTGCTTGGGACGCGGTGACGCGGCGCGCGGCAGGCGTGTCTGTCACGCCAGAATGTCACAACTGCCGCCCCCGACTCCCTCTCTCAGCCAATATTATGGGTGCAGTGGTCTTGCCACTCCGGGACCTTTCTCTCGGCCGGTGTGAATCACATTTATCTGGCTCCAGCGCTAACTTCATTTGCTTAGCATTCAAACAGATCGGCGAATTCCAAGTGCCTACAGACGATGCCAAATGGAAAAGACGATCTGGGTCCATGCGGGGAGTTGAGTGCCATTGAAAATGTGATAGATGTAGCGGAACTGCTGGGTGCACTTTAGATGCTATGAACTGACCTTTTGTGCAGGGAAAATGGAAGATTACTGAAGGCTCATGGCAGTGTCGACCAGCAAGTATCAAGCCGGGAATACCAAGCATTCTGTTCTTTCTTGTTCATCTAAGGTTCAGTTTAGCACATTCAAGTAGCAGATGCGCCATCTAATGCAATCACCGAAATTTCCCCGATCCCCTCGCTTTACTCGGCGTAGCTCCAGTTACGCTGCGGAAGGGAGTCCTTCCGGTATAATTCGTGAAGCTTATCTGGATGGTCGAACACAGCATTAATGCTGTTCTCTATCCTCACAGCTCTATGGATATGCTGATGGGATGACAGATCAATGGATCACTCTTCGAAGTGGAAGGGTTGAGTCCACTTCGGTGGTGATATCCACCCGATGCATTATGAGCGTTCACCACCTGGCAAACAGGTCCAAGGGTGCGGTACTCTCTTTCGGTGCCCAGTTAAGTACTGCTTTGAGGTTTTTCCCTCCAACTTCCCTCCTCTGTTGTCTTTTCTCGGAGTGAATGGATTGGCGCTGTACGTAGAGTCCTGAGCTCCCAGTACTGGTCATTGCTATCATTTGTAACCTGATCACAGTGTCTACTAAACCTTTTAATTGAGGCTAATTCGACATTCAGATTGACAACTTCCCTGAAAGTGTGACTCGGTATGTCATGAATATTCTGTCTTTGTTAGCATGCAATATTGACCATTGTTCTGCACGATGCTCAGTGCCCTTACAATTGCTCAGTAAGAGCTGCAGTCAATGGTGCCGAGGCTGCCACCTGAGTTGATGGATTACATCATTGGCTTCTTATATGACGATAAGCTAACACTATACCGATGCGCCCTCACTTGTCGCGCGTGGCTCCCAGCTAGCTGTTACCATCTTTACAGTGGCAATTTAGATCTGCGGTCCCATAGGCGTTTCTCAAATCTTGTGCAAGCGTCCAGGATTCCCCATGTAGCATTCTCTTTGCGCTCGGTGTACTCAGTGCAGCTGTTCGACTCAAAACTGGCGTGGGTACATCACTTCCCCTTTACCCTCGGACACATTTTCTCAGCCGTCCGGAAGTTGCGACTTTGCGACACACATTGGGATGTGGTCATCATGCATCCCCATACACTACTCGTCGGGTTCGCGCAGTTCGAATTTGTCACCGAGCTGGTGCTGTCGTACTGCAGGTTCCGGAATTTCCGGCAATTCCAGCATCTCATCTGCGCTCTACCTCGACTGCAGGTCCTCACGATAGGCGGGCTGTCGTCGAGGAAGGCACCGCTCCCACACAATGTTATGGCTTCGCAAATCCCTCCACTCACCCATATCTTGTTTTACAACTCTGACGATCTGCCGACAGCGTCGACCCTTCTCAAATGGCTGTCATGCATATCGTCGAACCCGACTCTACGCTCGCTGTACTTCGATCTGCGACAGGGGTCGATTAGCCATATGGGCGATGTTCTGTCGGCCGTGGGGTCCAGCTTGGAGCATCTGGACCTCATCTTAGATGACTCTGGTTCTGCGCTCGATTGTAGGTGCCATAACCCGCATCCATATGATGGGGTAGTAACTCACGCTACTGGCAGTGCAACAATTGAATGTGCATGGATGTACGGCGCTGCGCAAACTCACCCTCAGACATACGCGAGGAATCTCTCTAGCAGGTATTCTGCGTGCTATTCCGTCAGATACTCGAATTCACGAGATCGTGATCTTCATGACGCTGGGGAATGCCAAAGGAGAGTGGGAGTGCGCCAGTGATATCCTTGAGGAGGAGCAGTTTCGTGCTCTGAGCACGTTTATGCTAACCATCAACGACCGGTCCCTGACCGAGCAGGAGAAGTGCCACGTTTCGGACGTGTTTGACGTCTTGCGTCGTCGAGGCGTCACGCGTCAGGGTTGGCGTGTACTTCGATCGGCTCCTACTCTGACTATCAACTCCCTTTTGCCCAGTACCGCCGGGCTGAACACCATGACGCGGTTGCGTGGCCAGTAACGACTTCTTCAAATTAGCCTTGTCTGGTTCTCTATCTCCCTCTTTATAACCACGCTCAACGCTCTGAAAGACATGGGCAAAAACTGAGTAATGTGTGTACTATGTTCTCGAAAAGAATCCCTGCTTGCTCGATTCCACACTAGGGAGCACTGCTCGGGCGACAAGCTGGGCGAGTTGCTTTTCGATGATTGTATGCCTGCGCAGCTCGGTGGGTACCTAGCGACTCCTTTCCTTCCACAATTTAAGAGCAACGTACAGAACAAGATCAGTTTCGCATGGAAAGATACTGATTCTTCGACAGGTCTTCCCACTTTGGCGCTCGGACCTCCCCGCAGAACTGTTGGTCCTCATATTTGAGGCAATAGAAGATATGACGGACACCATTTGTCTTGCGATCATTTTCTCCATCGGTCGGATGCGTTGTGCATTCTTGTATGCAGTAATGGATTTGACGTTTGCCGTATGCCAGTGTATAGAGCTATTTTTCGTATGTTTCTCATATCTCATTCTTCGCCCTTTACTCTCTTCAGTTCGGTCATCACCATTATTATCCTTTCCGAGTTCATCTGCTTTGAACCCACAAACTCTGCTTACACTTGCGCGCTACTTCTGTGCTGAATTATCCAGGTGTAGGGTGTCCGTCCGTCCCACAGCCCTGTCCAGATCCTCGACCTCTTCCCGACACACTAGTGTTTCCTCCAGCCATCCGGCGAATGCGTAGGTATCTCGCGGGTCGTTCGAGCAGCGCCAGTGACTAGTGACTCACGGTGTCGTCTCGCATCACACTCCGTCCGACTAGTCTTGTCGCACTTACCGTAGATTATGTGCTATTTTTTGTGGTATTGGTGTACTTTACATACAGGGTTTATTAATCAACACCGATTCTTTTCAACCTGTTAGCCATACCCGCGCCGTTTTGCACAACTCGTACATGACGCAAAGACCAACGAGATTTACAGCTCCGCAAGCGTCCACCTTACGTGGACAGCAGAACCCTTGAAGCTTGATCGCCAATTCGAGTCACGCAGTACAAATGCGAGTAAGAGTTATTCGGGATACTCGTTGCATTTTCCCGCTAGCGTCACGCCGTGATGAGCGCACGCTACTCCGAGGATAGGAGACAATACACCATAAGTTATAACGTACAAGTATAAGGTACAGTTGTATACCACTCACCGGTTTACGCTCTCAACTCCCGCACTTCCACTGCGGACATCCTCATCGGCCGCACCGCCAATCCATTCCGTCTCTCGCGCCCTAGGCTCGACCGTGGGTGGTGCACCGTCGGCGGCAGGGTCGAGGACGACCGCACTGCAGTGAGTTAGGCAATCTACCCAACCATCTCCATCCCGCTGAAGATATCAAGCCAATCGCTCAGCCTTTCGTTTCGAATTTCTCCAAATCCCATTCTTTCCCCAGCTCTACCATCTCCGGCTGGCCAGCCCACACATATGCATCAGCCTCAATTTCCTTCCCCTCCCCGTCATCGTCACCAACCGAGCGAACCCGCACTGCTGTCACTCTATACGTCTCGCCCTCAAAATCATCGACTTTCCGCCTCTGCGATGTGCTCTGCAGCCTCAGGAGCAGTCCCTGCACCTCCCTGCCAGAGGCAGGGACGAGTGCGGGATAGTCACACCCACGTAAGGGGGTGCGGACGAAGTCCCGAAGGCGCGCCGGCGCGGTAACGTCTTCGATGAGCGAGGTACGATGCGGATCGCCGGTGAGGAGCCAGGCGAGGAGGGGCCTGCAGAGGAGGGTGCCATAGAGAAAGAGCGGGCGTGGCGCGGGTTCGCCTTGCGGCAGGATTGATGGTGCGGGCATGGTGCTGCTTGTCTAGTGTGATCAGTACGCACGAGGCCCCCACCTCGTAAGGAGCAGATGGGACTTACTGGGGACAATTCCTCGGGCATGGCTCAACTCGACCAGCTCTGGAATATCACGGTGGGATGCTACGCGATCTCGGAGGCAGCATTCAAGCCGGTGAACGAGCACCGCCGCACAAAGGCCGATACTGCTGCAGTGCGCGCCGGCGCTGCAGACTTTGTTGAAGAGTGCTCCAGCTGTTGGATGATGAGGTCCAGCTAAACCGGCGCAGTACTGGCGCTCCAGCGCTGAGAGCGCCCACCCAAAGAGGCAACTCTGCAAGAACAACTTGTACACCTTTGTTACGCATGGGATATGTTTGCACGGCAGTCTGTGTGGGCGTATCACCTCGTCCCTTCTGTATGGTAGTGATATCTTCAGGGGTGAGGAGGGAGGGAAGTATATTCCGGCTTGGGTCCCACTCTAGTTCTCATCATCGCCGTGCTTTCGTCAAGCAGCATCCGCAGGCCCTTATTCGTTCTTTTATTTTCCATTCTTTGCGCCCGCCAGCTACCCTAATTGTGCCGAGCACACGTAGAGGTCGGCGCAGGGCTCACTGTAGTGGGCGCCCGCAGTGGATGATGTGACACAGCAATGACATTCAACGCATATCATAGTAAAAATGAATGTCAGCGACAACAAGAGCAAAACGTGGATTAAAGGTAACGAGTGTCGATATACGCGATCAGCGAATCCATTCCAAATTCAAACGGTCCAGTAAAATACCAGGGAATATAACGCAGCATAAGGTATCCATTCAAGCCAACCATATTTACGCGTACCCACGTCGAAAATCCCGCCCTGACAAGTATGTCCGTCATAGATCCGATCCTACAGCGTCGACCACATACAGCACCTGCTGCGGCCGCACGAACAGCCCTCTCGATTCCGACGTCGACATGTCCGACACCGCAGGCGACGCGCTTCGCAGTCTTTTCGCTCGTTCGATGCTTAGCTGTTCGCCCTCCCGCTTCAGGCTGGTCTTCGGATCCCTGCCTAGGTTATTGACCCAGTCGATCCGCCGTCGGCGCGCAGCGCGCTCCTCGCCGAACTCCCACTCGGACTGACTCCCGCCGATATCGAAATACCGGATGCCGCCCCACGACCCGTCATTCCACTGCCGGCCATCCAGTTTCTCGCCCGGCCAGGTATCGTTCATCGGCACTTCCACCCCAACCCACGGCCCTGCCTCGCCCTCTACTTCACCGATGTAGCGGGCATATGCACGGAACCGTGCCTTCTTCGATGAGATGATGCATGGGATGCCAATATCCAACGTCGCACCACGAGGGACACCCATCGCTTCTCTTGCAAGAGCATCACCCACCGAGGACTCCTTAATAGTGTCCGACGAACTCTTGCGTTTTAGCGATCCTCTGGCCGTAGACTGGCTGCTGGAAGAGACGACGCTGGCTTGCTTCTCGTGGGAGGCGAGCGTAGTAGAGCGCGTCTTGCCCTTGATAGTCCCCATGCCCTCGTCCACGTCACCAGAAACCGAACGGCTGATGCTTTTCGGGGAGGAGGAAGTACTAGACGGTTTTTTGAGAAGGACCTTCTTTGCCGGGAAGGACGTTGTGGAGGTAGTGGATCGAACGGAAGCTGCGGATGACGTCCGTCTTGCTGCCGGGGCTAACTTCGTACGGTCAACAGGAGAAGAGGGAGGGCGCTTGCTCCTAACAGAGGGAGTAATTGACTTGGTGATCGACGGTGGGCGTGGCTTAGCGACCCTGGGCGTTGAAGTGGCCGTCGTCCTCACACTAGCCGTGGACAACATTGATGTAGCAGAACCACGGCGAGGACGTGAGACGGAACTTGGCGTCACCTCCGACTTGGCGGTTTCAAACGTTGTCGATCCCTCGCTTGTGGCAGAGTGTGTGGACGAGGGACGAGAGAGACCTGATGGCGGGCGCAGTGTCGAAGGCCCAGCAACAGTCTTGCGAATGGTGGACACGGTGGAATGAGCCGACCTGACAGACGCAGTCGACTTCGGTCTAAAGATGTTGTCATGAGTAGAGGTGCTGCTGGAGATATTGCGCCGCCCAATAATTGAGGGTACGGTTGATTTGGGCGGCGGAGTTGGCGCCTTCACAGCATCGGAGTCCGCGGTGCTTGAGCGTGCAGATGAGAGCGCGATCGAAGTTGTGGGAGTGAGCTTGGAGTCCGGTCGATGCCCGTGAGCGCGTCGCATTGCCACGGCAGTGCTAGTCCGGGATATGGTAGAATGCGTGCTTCGTGCCAAGGATCTGACTGAGGCAGCAGATGGTTTGACGTCGCCATTCTTTCTAATGATCGCCGTGCGCAGCGAGTGCATACTCCCGGTATCGTTCTCGTCTCCGCGAATCATGCTAGGTCGGAGGCCGCCTTTAGGTGTAGGTCCTCGTGGCGGCACCGAAGTAGATACGGGACTGAAGAGCTCCTCGACGTCGACTTCAATTTCTGTGGTTCACATGTCAGTATACATGTCACAGGTACAAACACGAAACACACGGACCCTCAGCAATCTCCTTCGCCGCCCAGCTCTCCAAGGCATCGAATCCTCCCTCCTGCTTAACGCCGAGCCAGCGGCGGCGAAGCCAACGTAAAACATCCATCCGTACTTCGTCCACTTGCCTGCGGATGGGCGACGTCATCGGGAGCATGGTATTTTCCGGTCCGGTAGGGTCTGTTCGGAGGAGAATAGATGACACGAGTGTCTAGAGAGTAACATCAGACGAAGGCGGTATACTCAACAGAAACGGACTACAAACCTGATAGAGCATTGCGGCATTCTTCTCATTCATCCCTCGCCGTAGAGACTGCATGATGAGCTCCACCTGCTCCGCATGGTCGAAATTTGTGCCATTCGCCTCCATGATCTCGAGCCACTCCGGTTGCTCGAAACATTGGTCGGCCTGTGCACACAACACCTGGTCGACGTGTTTGCGTGCAGCGATGATCATATCCCGTGAAACCTCTGCCCACGATTCGATGGTCGAGTTCAACTTGTTCAGGGCGACCTGCGCCGCGAACAAAAGGGGGAAGATGTTGATCGGCGTCGTCCGCTTCTCGAGGCCCTTGACAAGGCTGTCTCGCGTCTTCTGAGAGAGTCCCGCGAACTCAGACGTGCACCACCCCTCGCCAAATAGCCCCACAAGTGCGCGACGCGCGCCGCGCTCCAAATAAGCGTTCTTGACGTCATCGGTAACCGCAAATTCTAGCACTCGTGGCGCGCGTCGTGCGCACTGACGGCAGCGGCACCCGCCGGTGCCCCACTTCCCCCCCGTTATGCACTCGTACTCCGAGAACTCGAGGAAGGCATGGAAGAGCCCGTGCATCATCTCCTGGACGATGCGAGCCTGGATTTCGTCGTACAAAGTGTCCAAGGATAAATACGACGCAGATCGCATGATATGAAACGCCGTGTCGAGATCAAATGTCCGATGTGAAAATACCAGTGTGCCGGTGTAAATGAACCCCAGAGTGAAATGCAGAGATGCGGGAGTGAAAGGCGGAGAGGGAAGTGTGAGAGTCAGTGGCTCGCCGGGCGTGGACTGAACCCCCCATGACAGTAATTGGGTATGGAAGTACGGAGACCGGGATACCAGAATGAATCGATGAGAGGAAAAGATAGCGGTCGCATTCTCGTGGTTCGACGAGGAGAAATTACCTGTCAAGGTAATTCGCACATCCGAGTACAAACGTGAGCGCCACATGAACACCAGGTCCTTGCGCAGCTTGTCAATCCGAGCATCCTCCCCGTCACCCTTTTCAAGGATCTCCGCGCTATCAAATAAAAACTCGAACGCTGCACCGAGACCTTTACCGGTATACAGGTACTCGAGTTCGTTGGAAAACAGCGTCGGATTGATCGGGGTGGGCAAGCGAAGGAGAGCACCGGTGTTGGTCGATGGTGCAGGCGAGACGGCGCGAAACGGAGATGGAGAGCGGGAATGAGTAGAACGAAAGTCAAGTCCGAGACTAAGAGACAGAGCAGATTGCGCTGGAAGTGTGCCGGTGGGCGAAGAAGAATAAGGAAGCGGCGATGTCGCCGGAGGCGGTTTGAAGGAGAAGTAGCGTGCCTGAAAGGTAGGTGGTGCTCGTGCGTAGACGACAGCTGCAGTAACCGATGGTCAGTTCTTTGCACATGGACGCGAGAGTAAAATGGCATCGATTGTGTGGTCACCCGAGATTAATGTAAGAGGGTTATACGATGTCAGGATGGACACATATGCACTCAGTGGTGATCAGGGCAAGTCGGAAAGCGTCGCGAGAGACGCCATGATGCCCTGGTCCTCAGCGAATAGGGTCTCGTTTTAATATGCAAGACGTCTTGAAGCAGATCATCTGTCCTGCGACAGGGCTGCCGACTGTTGAAAGGAACTGGCCCTGCGACGCGTACCCTTCGAGATATAACACTGCAAGCACCACAAAGCCGCAGTGAATGAAGTAGACTCCTCTGAGACGAACCTTTGTGGCCCCAGATCTCTTCTACGCCTTTCGCTTTGTCCTTCTCATCAGCGAGCTCCCAGACGACGTCGGCGAAGCGATCCTTAGCGTGGACGAAGAGCGACTTGAGGTCATCCTGCCAGGTGACGGTTGAGTTGCGGGTAGCTTCTTGCAGCGCTGGGGGGGTCGTGCTGGATGGGGACATGGCGGAAAGGGAGAAGAGGGGAAGCGGCGAGGAGGAGGAGAACGGTGAGGATATCAGGCAGCGAGCGACTCAAAAACGAGTCAACACATCCATGAGGCTCTCTTACATAGACGCCCATAACCAATATTCGCCGCCGACGCTCAACGCATATAATTCGCGGTGAACTGCTTAAACCATATAACATTTCTGCGTTGTGAATGCCTCCCATGTAGGTGAAACTCATGTCTCGCATGTCTGTCTGGGAACTGAGATTATTCCAGTCGCGATAAGTTCACAATCCATTCCAAGGCCGTCGTCTGCCAGGACGTCGAGCTCAAGGGCGACATCACTGTCGGTGCAGGTGCGCATACCGCCCAATCTTCTGGCATCTCGGACGTGTACCGAGCACACTGGCATCCTATAGGCACCATAGTCCACCCAAAGGCCACCATATTCGCTATAGCCGGTCCTATCGTTATTGGTTCTGGATGCATCATCGAGGAAGGCGCCATTATTGTCAATCGGTGAGCTATTAGTCGAGCAGCCGTGTGTTCTTTCGACAGCTCACTTCTTTCCTGAAGACGAAAAGAAGTCATGCGCATTGGGGACGACAATCTCTTTGAGATCGGCTGTCGTGAGCATCATCCAATTGTATTCTTGGCAGAACAGCTTCTCACTTGTGCATGTAGGTGTCGAGTCTCCCACCATTGGCAATTTCAATACCATATCTGCCCGAGCGCGTGTGCACCACACTGTGCGCATTTCTTCCTACTGCGTCATTGGAGCCGCCTGTCTGGTCGTCCCAACAGAGGACGAAATATTGGACGAGTACACCGTGATATACGGACCCGCAGCCGAACGCAGGACATGGAGTGGCAGAGGCAAGGTGCAAGAGGCGGACTTGCGTCGAAAACACGCTGATTATTTAAAAGAGATGCTACCCAAGTTCAATCGCTTGAGGAGGGGTGATGGCACGTAGCTCCCATTGTCGTTGTGCCCTTCGTCTTGTTCTCTCGGTTCGTTCATTTGCTTTCCATCCAAATGTCTCTTTTACCGTGGATGAATCGGATATCCCTTGTTCTCCTGCAGACCCAATTGTCTAGTGTCCTACGATTTCATTGGAATAGTCATCTCGCTCCTGAATTTTGGTTTCAAGCGTAGGTTTTCTCTTTCAGCTGCCCACGGCGTGCTCGATGCCTCCCCATATGTTTGTTGCATACCCAAAGCCGATTCGTTGTCACTCCCCAATGAATATATTTTTTCCTGAGTCTTGCCGTTTGCTGCGCTTCCTGCAGTACATGGCAATAAAGCTCTAGCTTGAAGTGCTTGACGGATTTCATCGTATCGTTCCTGCAGGGCTGGTCACGTGCTCTTCGCCGCTCGCACTTACAATATCTACTCCCCGCTACACAGTATGCAGCATGGATTCCCCCAATCAAGGCTCGGCGTCCTCATCCTCGTCCTCACCATCTCCCCCGCCAGACGACATATTCATCAGTCGAATAGACGACGAGCCCACCCCAATTGCCACGGGTAGCAGCAAGCGCCGCCTTATGACCGCTTCCACCTCATCCTACAGCCTGCGCAACCCGAAAACGCGCCGGCGGGAGGGGCGAGAAGAATTCATACGGCGGCCACCATATGAGTCGCGGCTCGGCAGAGATGACGTTGTCGATGTCGCGCTCATGGAGCAATTGTGTACTCGTACGTTTCCTTTTCTCATGTATACGACACATTGATGCGCTTATTGCTACACTGGGCGTGTAGAGTTTGGGGATCCGTTTGATGATAGTGTCATAAAGAGCTAGGAGATTTCAGGCGCGCGTTCATGTTCATCCTGCGGGCTTGTAAACTTAATACATTGCTCAGAACTGTTTTTTGGTGGTCAGGTAGAGTGCATCCTTGTCCGTCACCTGCAGTGTCGCTCTGCCATCCATACTTGTTCCAGTAAATTACAACTAATGGAAATGCATCACGATCCCTCCTTTCTGTTGCTAACGCAATGAACAAGACCCGTGTCCATTCCTCCACCGACCGTCGCAGCGATTTACTTTGCGGAGACTGAGCATTCATTGGTAGCACAGGTGTCGCTCAATGGTATCTATGAATAATCTACAGTGAGTCTCAATTGCCCATTGAACGTGATGCACTGCTCTCTCTGAATAGCTTCTCAGCCAAGTCCACATCGTATAAATATTCAAAGTTGAGCCGGTATCAGCACAATATGCTGTGGAACCAACGCCTGACACTAGATGGTTGCACGGACGATAAACCGGTTTACTGTCCAGGCGAGTAACCGTTTGACAACGAGGATGCTATCATGATCGTACACATGCGGACAGCTCTGCTACGCTGCGCGAGCTAATATGATAAGCAAAGTGCTGCATATGCGAGGTGACCTTCGAAATCCTACTTTTGGCTCGCGTGCGAACATCGACTCGTTTGCTGACACTAAGTCTTCAGGTACGTCGCAAGCCATTGAAGGCAGGCCTGAATCGACCGTGTGCAAACCAGTCGAATGCAAGGCTGGTCAGCAAGCCATGAGTTTACCCGACGTACTCTGCTCGATAAGTTCTCGAGGGTTACAACACAAGTTGGACTTCATTGCTGAGCTTGGAATGGCCTTCAAACGAAGACAGAGCGCTCATTTGCAAGCTGTGGATACAATTTTGAGTGTGCGTGTGATGCTCGTATAGACCAAACACAAGTACTGTCATTGCTCAAATCGATATCTCCGGATATTCGCCGTGAGTCTTGAGATAGCCATACATTCGAAGCTTATCTTCGACTATTTCCAGATATTCGATCTCCGTGCAGCTCTCGATAGCTACGCCACGACAACTTGCGAGCAAGTATGGCCTTCGTCGGAGCTTCTTGGCACTCCCACCACGCAGTACAACTTCGGACTGTTTCTTCTATGGTCTCTCACCAGCTGCATGCGCTAGAGCTCATGGACATGTTCACGTGGTCAAATTTCTAAGTCACAGTCTGGTGCTGTAGCCGGGGACGTCGTGAAAACCCTCAAGAAGCGGCGGCATCCCGATGATAAATATTACACTGCACCTGTCGTCCAGCCGCTGCAATAGGTGTCTTCTCCCCCGCAATGTTCCTCGTCCGTCGTCTCCTGACGGCTCTCGCACTTGGCCTTGCCGTCAGTGGCACCTCCGCATTGCTCTCGTCTCGTGTGGTCCACGAATCACGCCGGGGTGTCCCCAGCGGTTGGCGTGCCGTGCGACGTGCTGAATCCAGCGTGGTGCTGCCTCTGCGAATCGGACTCGCTCAATCCAACTTGGATAACCTTGAGACGTTCGTGTTGGACGTATCTCACCCTGACTCCCCCAACTACGGCAAGCACTGGAGTGCGAAGCAGGTCGCGGACACGTTCCGCCCTTCCATGCAGACCGTCGACACCGTCCGTGGGTGGTTGCTCGACAGCGGGCTCGAACCGGAGCGCGTCAAGCTCGTCAAGGGGGGCTCATGGATCCAGGCCAACGTGACTATCGAGCAGGCGGAGCGGTTGCTTGGCACGGAGTACTATGTATACCAGTTCGGCGAGGAGGGTGAGGGAGGGCGCGAGCATATAGCGTGCATGGAGAAGTACTACCTGCCAGAACACGTCTCCAAGCACGTAGAGCTCATCACACCAACATTGCACTTCGATGTCAAGAACAAGCGTGAGATACATCAGTTTGAGAAGAGGACTGCGCCCGCGAAAAACATCGGCCAGCCCGGTTTGGGAGTGACCTATCCGAAGACTACAGGAACCGTTCAGGTAGGGCTGCATTGTGCTATCTCGTTCTCTTGAAGCTCATCTTTGTGCAGGAGCTCCTTACCGAACTCGAGGAATGCGACGAGCAAATCACGCCGGTATGCTTGCGCGCTCTGTATAGTTTCTCCTATACCCCCGTCGCCGTTGATAAGAATACCATCGCCATCGGTGAGTGCCAACATATCTGATCTGTTCAGACTACAGACGTTCTTATACCATTAGTCGAGTACACCCCTCAGGCATACGTTCCGAGTGATCTAGACCTCTTCTTCAGCAACTTCTCTCCCAGCCAAATTGGCGAGCGACCGTATTTGTATTCTATTGACGGCGGTGTGTCTTCGTCTTCCATGCGGTTCATAGATGATGCATCTGATGCTTCCGCCATCAGGCTACATCCAGACTGAAGGGACAGGATTTAACTACAATGGCGAGTCGAATTTGGACTTGCAGTATTCGATGGCTCTTGTAGGGCCACGGCAGACCGTCTCGCTTTACCAAGCTGGAGACGATGTTGAGGGTCAGCATTCGTTTCCCTGACTCCCGGTCTCTCACGCTCGATTCCACCTCACAGGAGCATCCTTTAACAACCTTCTTGATGCACTCGACGCGTCATATTGCACATTTGAAGGAGGTGACGACCCGACTCAAGACGCCGCCTATCCTGATCCGTATGGAGGCTATGAAGGTCAGCTACACTCCAATCCTACTCGAAGATCTGCGCTGAATGCCATGTAGGCCCCGAGGCGTGCGGTACTGTCACTCCTGCCTACGTGATGTCTACCTCGTACGGGTACAACGAGGCGGATCTCACACCGTTCTACATGGAGCGCCAGTGCGCCGAGTACGCAAAGGTTGGCTCTGCGGCACCCGTTCTTGTCCGCATTGCTCACGCGGTTATGTCGTCGTGCACAGCTGGGCCTGCTCGGCATGACAATCTTGTACTCCTCCGGTGATGACGGTGTTGCAGGTAACAGTGGCGCTTGCCTGTACCCCAACGGTACTCAAGCAGTCGGCGCACCGATGTTCAGTCCCAGTTTCCCGGCAACTTGCCCCTACGTAACGAGTGTCGGCGCGACGCAAGTTAATCCTGGGGCAACTGTTCGTCGACGTCTTCGTTTTTTTTTTCAAGTGGCGGTGCTGATGCATAACTTTGGGGCAGGTGTATGAAGCAGAGAGTGCGTGCGAGCAAGTGATCTACTCCGGCGGGGGTTGGTCGAACGTGTTCGCGATGCCGTCTTACCAGAAGACTGCTGTGGAGAGTTACCTATACAATTACCCTCCGCCGTATTCAGCGACGATCTGGAACTCCACTGGCACGTCCCGGGCCTTCCCGGACATCGCTGCGAACGGGTGAGCAGCACAGCGTGAACATGGGATATTGATATTGAGTGCCAATTGATGTGGTTATTGGCAGAGCGAACTACGTTGTTGCAGTTCAAGGCGAATACTACCTCGTATACGGCACATCTTGCTCCTCGCCTGTCTCCGCATCTATCCTGTCGGCGGTCAATGATGCGCGCCTCGCTGCTGGAAAGGGTCCGATAGGGTTCATCAACCCCACCGTGCGTGTTGGTAATTTCCCCCTCGCCGTTACATGGCTAATAAGTACACTATTATGGATAGATCTACACAACGGCAGGAATGGCGGCGTTCAATGACATCACAAACGGTACGAATCCTGGCTGCGATACTGTCGGGTTCTACGCGGAGCCTGGATGGGATCCCGTCACTGGTGTGGGCACGCCCAACTTCACTAAGTTGGTTTCACTCTTCCTTTCGCTGCCGTAGCCGAAACCGACTTCAGAGACACGCGAGCGTTTCATTTTACATGGATTTATGATGACAGGGTCATAATTCAAATTTGTGTTTATACCGCGAGCAGATGCGCCAAGGCACAGCTTGTCTTCTCGACACTCACGGTTGCGCGGAACGTTCAGAGCGTCGAACTCATCAATATCTGAGGAGACTTAGGTCTCGGCTAAAAAGGAAAATAGCGCCCGAATCTGGGCCTCTGGTTCCTTCGCAGGACCTAGTAATGCCAATACCTCACACGGCGTCGCTGTTGGCCTTCAGATTGCCACTTGCAGTGTAGGCTGCTGGAACATTCCCCATCCAGGCAACAGCCCCAGACATTACAACCAACTATGATAGAGTTGACTTCTGAGCGCCCGCAAATTGAATCCGAATAATCGAGGCTACACCGTTCGGAGTTGTGTCTGCATCAAAGTCCAAAAGGCCAAGCGTTGTCAATCCTAACCAGCCTAACTTATGATGGACCTGGATACAGTGGCTGTGCATCCGCCAAACGCCTCATTGGTCCAGCACCGTAAGTACGCCGTCCAACGCTCTCAGCCCATGTATACTTAGAAGATCTCCCAATGCCTCATCCTTGGGTTTCTCTGAACTTTCAGCTTTCATATCCCGTCACGAGGGTGCGTACATCCTCTGGCATGAACTTCCGTTTCATCCCATTCCATGCTCATCTTTAGCCTTTCAGGTCTACCCCCTGGCACTACTTCACCTCCATTACAGCAGGGATATCCTTCGTGGTGCTCACAATAAACACCCTACTTAACGGTTAGTGTAGCCAGTATCAGTCCAATTATACTTATTTATTATTCAGTACCGATCTTCTAGTCGTCGTGAGTGGATACGATAATGTCACTGTCCTTAGTCAGGACTATGATTTTGAACCTCATTACTGGTGGTGAGTGTGCACATATCATCTCTCTGGTGGCTGGCGCGAATACGGAAGGAGGGATCCTGATGAGAGCTCCTGCGACACTGATGGTTCATACCGATTGGTACGCACCGAGGACAGTCGAGCTGCCCTGGACGAATGTACTAGATGACGCGTAGCTTCATTCTATTTCCCTGAGGCGCTGGCCGGTGCACATACCTTGCTCACCGACTTCTTTTGCAGGTCGCCATTTATCACAACCCACAACCCACACTGTCAGAGTCACCAATTCCTCGTTGGTGACACTTTCAACACAAATGTCTCGCTGTTCCAGTATTCGTTGTTGGCTCTTGAGCAATCCGGCCAGTCGCCCTTACCAGCCTATGGCTTCGCCTACACAGGCACACCATTGAATGCAATTTGCAATCACCCACTGGAAACGAATACGTTTGGCGTCCTCGTCAATAGGTTGCAGAAAACGGTACAGAGCAAGGTCGGCTTCGCTATCGGATGACAGTGAATCGTGTATTTATGATCTCTCAGGCTCTGATCGTCTGCTTCGATGTCAGCCAAGATATCCAGGTCCTTGCACTTCAGATGAGTTGGTCGATGGGCTTACTCTCAGCCGACAGGAACTTTCTCTCGTACAATCCAAGTAATATGACCTTTATAGACATACTCAGCGCCCTTGCCGTAGACCTACTCGTAGGCGTCGTCGCTGCGTCTGCGAACACAACGGTCGGGATCGACAGCTTCGTCGCAAGTGGACACATGTATTGTCCTGAGTATGAGGCGGCGAACGGCAGCTGGGCTATAACACCGAACGACGCTGAGGTACAGCAATGTCAGAATTCGTCGACGGCACTGTACACCAATCCTGTCCAGTTCTCATATTCGAACGATACCGTGCTATCATCAAGCGACGTGCCGGCAGTGCTCGACCAGTCCATTGCGAATTATCTGCAGGCGTTGAATGCGGCTGTTCTCGCGGATATCGGGCTGTGGTATCCGAACAACATCTTCGCCTCCCCTGGGATGTTCAACGCGACCATCGCCCCGAACGACGCGGTCGACGCTGCTCTCACGCGAACCCCTGCACTCAGTTCTTTTTATACGTTCGAAAATCAGACGACGTCGGCCGCGTCGCTGATGCGGAAGACAGGCATGATACCCGGGTCACTCGATACTTCGCTCGTCATTCCGTCCTCCGGCCAGAAGCCAGCGACGATCGCCCTGAGCTACCTCTGCCAAGTCCAGCGAATTAAGAGCCCACTTAACCTCATTATCTGTGGGTCTCGTACCTTTCGTGTAGTGCGTATCTAACATCAGTTGTCCAGCCGTCATTGTTGCCGATGCATCCATGTTTACCGCGTTCTACGCGTTCTGGATACTCGCAGCTTCGGTGTTTGCTCGACGCAAATCTAGAGAAGGTGAGGTTTCAACTAAGTATTCCGCCGTTCGTGTTCTGTGTGGTGACGTCTGTTGGGCCAGCCAACGTGTGTGAGGGGCACATGCTGTGCCGAGACTCGTTCGTCATGAAGAATCGAACCTCTGAGGATGATCCTGGCAGCGGCGTGTCGCTGGTAACACCTGCATATAAGGACGAGTGGGAGCAAGAAGGTTAGGTTGTGTGTTTTCGTGCTGAGGTAGGGTGCGCGGGGCCGTAGGACCTATCTACATGCAAAAATGTTGATCTGCAAGTTTCTGCCTGATTTGCTAGGATATTCGCGAACCTTGGGATTCCCGTTACTACTCTGCAACTCGTGACCCTTGAGATGCACCTGCAGGGCCCACCTATTCTCCCAAAGGTAGTTGTAGACACTCTGCTTCAACCTTCGTGCCTCGGATACACTCTCCCGTACATGCTTGCATAGGTCGGAGTGAACAGCTGAACGCGCTCGACATATTCTGAAACTTGTGCCATCCTTGAACCAACAGCCTTGTTTCCTGATACTGTATGTACTGCATATAGATTCTGTCCTTCATCGCAGAGTTCGTGTATTCTACCCCGTCCGATCCGTGGCAGCTTGAACAAAGCACAGACAATAAGTATTACGGATGAATTGCAACATAAATTATGCTAAAAAATTGGGAGCAAGCCTGCAGAACAGACTGCCAATGCGCAATGGCAGTGCATCACATAATCCTACACTCCTTGTCCTCCAGCTTATGGCTCGTGAATCCCATCTCCTCAAACGTCTGCGGCCCCTTCGTGGTCTGACGCGGTGGAGGCGCCAGTTTTGGCTCAGGTTCATCACCTGCCGGCGAGCCCGATGGACCCGGCCGAGTAGCCGCACCAACACCAGCCATGTTCTGATTCTGCCTCTGCGGCCGAGGCACGGGCGACGATGGGAGACCTAGGCGGGGAGAAGGCGACGTCTCTGAGGCAGACGAGGAGCCAGGGTCGACAAGGCTATAGCGCGGGGCGTTCGCGAAGGGCCGCTGACCACCAGCGGGAGACAAAGGGTGTACGTTCGGTACTATGTTCGGGTTGGCAGGCTGATACGGGACGGGGCTGGGGATCGGCGATGCATTGGCCGGAGACCGTGATGGCTGGTACGAATTTTGGACCCCAGGAGGGATGGCAGCGGCGCTCGGTTGTGAGGGCTGGTAAGGCATTACACTGTGGTGTGGGGAAGAAGAGGCAGCGTTGGGTCCGTTGGGTCCTGATGCGATCGGTCTTCCCCGCATCGGTTGCTGCTCGTTCACAGCAGGTAGGCGCATACCTCCCATACTGGGAGAGCTGCCCTGTGTTGGTGCACCATACGCAGCTGCCCCGGCGACCACACCGGTACCGGCCCTAGCTCCAGCACCTACAGTATTGGCAGCAGCGTACGCAGCACCTGCACCCGCGACTGCCGCAGATCCAGCAGCGAGTCGTGCGCTCATGAGCGAGCTTTTGCGTACGTGATTGAGCGATTGGGGGTTCTGACCGTTTGCGCGGGGGGCACCTGGACGCGCGTCAGAACGTTGCTTCGCCTGCGTACGCTTGCGCACGAGGGTACTGTCGGTGAGATTATCGTGCTCCGCGCGCGAGAGCGCCTGTGGTGAGGGTTGCGAGAGCGCCTTGAGGCGATCCGTTGCGTCTGTATTCCCATCCTCTGAAGCCTACCACAAGAGAGAAAATCAGATGCATGAAAACGGTCTAAGATGGACGCGCGCACTTTGGTGTACCATTTCAAGGCAGTATCGATGTCCTTGGACCCGCCCACACCAACCTCGGCGTAGTAGCCCATTGCGAACTCCGCGCTTGGGAGACCCTTGCGAGCCGCCTTTTCCGCGAATGTCCACGCGAGCCCTTCGTCCTTATCGAACGCGCCTTCGGCCCCGCACAAGAACCACTTGCTCAGCGCCATATCCGCTTCGATCTCTCCCTGCTGACTCGCGAGCGAGTAGTATTGTACGCTGAGGAGGGCATCAAATGGGAAGGGCGGCTGCGCAAATTCGTACGCATGTCCGAGCTTGTATTGCGCTGGCGCAAAGTTTAGAAACGCTGCACGCTCGAGGTGCCGACGTGCCTCCGCCCCCGGGGTCGAGCCTGTAGGTACGTACGGCGCAAAGAGTGCAGGTTGTAGCTGTATATGAGTGAATTCGCCGAGCAGCAGTAACCCGAAGACGTATGCGGGCTGCGGGGACTCAACTGACGCGAGCGTCGCTGCGCGGTGCAATAGCGGTAAGGCTGCGTCATAGTTCGCTGGTAGCCCGAGCTGACCCATCAGATGCGCCATGCCCATGCGCTGAGCACAGCCTGGTCAGCCAATCCGGTCAATCAAAGGCTGCAGGCAGGCACTCACATAGAGACAGCTCTCGTCGCCGAGCTTGGCGCCACGCTCGAAGCACTGCTTAGCGTGTGCGGCATCTCCGAACGTCTCGTAATCGCGACCGAGTCGAAACCATGCCGCGTAAAAGCCACCCTTTGCGGCCTGCTCGAAGTGTCGGAATGCCGACCGAGGGTTATGCGGGACAAACTGCCCGTGCGCGCCTGACGACTCGCACGTTGCAAGCAGGTACAGCGCCTCCGCCATCGGGGGATCGCGTTCCGACAGTTGGAGCAGTATAGGCAGTGCTGCGTTCACCAGTCGTTGTAGCTCTGGTGACGGCTCGCTTGACCGCTCGAAGAGGGAGAGCACATCCCTGAGCCAGGCTATCTTGCGCACTGGATCGTACGTCGGCTGCTGCACCGCCGGCAGTTGTGCGCCGAGATTCGATGCCGTGGGTATCGGCGCCGTCAGCGACGGAGACACGTTCGTCGGTGCGGGCGACGACTGCAGTGGTCGCTGGGGAGTATAGTTGGAGGAAATAGATGAATGGCGTATTCGCTGTCCCGGCGCGAGCGGTGGGTAGGCGGATGGGGAAGACGGCTGATGGGCTTGTTGCACCGCTGGCTGAGGCATCGCACCCGCCCACGGACTCCAGTCGGAGCCTACAGGAGGAGGAAGCGGGCTCACCGTGCGGGGATCGGTCCCTGGAGGTACGGCGAAGCCTGGTGGACGAGGAGATCTACCCCGATACGGGCCCTGGACAGCCTGCTGGTCGAGGGTACGGGCCATCTGGTCGAACATCAGGAGGACTAGAGGATGATGTGGACGAAACAGCACGCACGTTCGCAGGAAGATCGGGCTGAAATTTATGCGGGCGCGGAGCTACGAGCGGATCGTCGAAATGGGGAGCAAGTCGGTCGTCTGGATGGAAGTCAGGGGGCAAGGGTGGAACGGCAGGAGGAAGAGAGTCGGATCGGTGACGGTAGTCGTCGTAGTCGTCAAAGGGGCGCGGAGGAACAGGAGGTGCAGCCATTTTGTGGCAGCAAACACTACCTCGGCGTTAAAGCGGGAAGGGTGCGATGGATACGATAGATGTTGCGGGGACGAACGACGGCGGCAGATATTGAATCGATTGCACAGCAGGAGCACTGCCACCGGAACCTGCTTTGAGGCTTAGCAGCTAGGTTCAAACCGGTACGAGGAGAAGGCAGAGTAGAGGACTGTGTATAGCTATCGTGAACATGATGGATCATTGCCTGGTATGAGATAGAGACGAGCACGCACGGGCACGCACCTGTGCAAAGACCAACGATCAGGTAGGTGGGAGATGGGTATGAAACAGCAGCACGTAGAATGTGGCGGATGAGGTTGTCCAAACGCTGCCTCAGGTGGTCAGTACGTGAGTGAGAGAGGACTTACTCGTATGTACCTTCTACACTTGTACCATGCTGGACATGGGCGTACGTTGGAAAGACGATGCCAGCGCACCGGTTGGGAAGTCGGACGTCGGCCGGGACTCGCCGTTCTGCATGGCGAACAAAAAAATCTTTACGCGAGGTAATTATATGCATCCACGCCGACGCACCGTAGATCTTCTGTTTCTACGTAAGTATCCTGCAACGCTCAAGCGCGCGTGGGCATGCGCAGCTTCCGCGCCCAATGCCATGACTAGCAATATTATCCGTTTCACTCTCAGTCGATGCACCCATGCCCGGTGCATGCCTGCGCATCACTTGTCTACACCTTGCAGCAAAAAGCCTTGCAGACACTGCTCCTGACCCGGGATATATCGACCTACGCCCCAAACGCATCCTCCGAACCGTGATGATATTCGAACGAGGCATCGCGCAGCGACTCGTCAACGTTCTTTCAAATAAGCTAGCACAGCCTGGACATTTGGATTGCGACTGCTCTCCACCGTCGCGCGCGAGAGCAAATCTGCGAAAGATATGAGGTTATTCGGTCAAGGTGGAAAAAATTATACCGACCACTGTCCGTGCCGGTTGGAGCTATTGTGAAGTAGTGTGGTGCCCAACCATTCAGTGTTAGACTCAAGCCTTCGGGACCGCCGTTAGCCTTCCATCCAAGAGCTTCTGCTAGCTCCTGGTCAACGTAAAGTGTTTGATTATCTAGAAGCACCTTGAACTCTTTGGGAGGGATCGTGGAGAGGTCACAACTGCTCGAATTGTGTCGCAAGGAACTTCGGAACATGAGCGAACAGCGACAACGACATGCACTGTGCACGAGCCGATGGAACATCTTCCACGAATTTAGATTGGCGCGAAGGGCTCTTCAGGAGAATGATTCAAGTTGCACTCGACTCATTCGAGAGCCGCGGCTGCAGGAGGCGGCCGAGCAAACTATAGTTGGAGCACCAGGAAGCGCCCATCATCACGTGTATTTCCCCCTCTTTCACTTTGGATAAGCGTACGTATTCACGAGCAAGCAGAACAAGTCGAAATGTCGCCATGCAGTCGGTAATAATCATTCCAACGTCTTCACACCGTGCGGACGACGCGGACGATTAGGTTAGGCATATATATGGCTAAGCTCATGAATTTTGACCTCGTTTCCAGCTTCCTTAAGCTGAAAGCGAGACCGTCGTCTACACGAGAGTGCGACGGTAATATTATAATTTCAACAATGCCAATCTGCATACAAGTACATTCGTCACTTAGGCTCTTTGCCTTCTGTCCTACAACGGAGAGGCGGCTGACCGGTTGAAAGAACAATCCCAGTTTGTGGGGGAACGTAGTGTAGGTGATATATGAGAGGATGGGGGACGAGCGAGACTGAGCCTCACCATCTCGCTCGTCGCTTCCCGCGTTGTGAGTAATTCCAAATTTGTCATTGAATCGGCTGAGTTTTGGGAATGTCCAGGATACCCATGACGTTTACAGTTACAGTTGCGGACAATCAAACGCGGTAACTATTTTAGTCCAATTATGTAGAGTCCGGACAGTGCCGGAAGCTTTCGGAAACTGCACAAATGTGATGCTTATGACTCAGAGACTCGATTTGCACGAGCCGATTTCACTAATTCTTATTATTTCCTGTTTTGGACCCAAAATTTTGGCCAACCCCATAATTAATTAGATAAAAATACGAAAAAATATGCAATCGACTCCTTTCAATGAGTAGGGCATAATGCCACAAACAGATGAAAAATATACATCCAAAAATATGGCTATAGAAAATGCACAAAGTATACCTAGAATATGGAATTTGTCATTTAAAGTTACTGTCTTAGATAGCATTCTGACCATTGCCAATCTAGCTATGATGAGCGGGTTCGTGCCAGAGGCAGTTTCAGCTGAAATCTGCGCGAACATGTGAGAACACCTCAAACGTGTGGCGTGAGAACAAATGCGTAAGTAGCAGTAGGATCCCTTACGGAAGCTGGTTGGGTGAATTTTGGGTGGATTCGCAACATTTGAATGAATCAGAGGTTGCGGGTGACTAGCAGGTGGCCAATAGTACCAGTGTTCGCATTCACCGGTCGACTGACCTGTCATGACGGGTCATTGACTTTTCACCCACGGTTCCTGACCAGTCAAGGGATGGTCAGCTTACGTGATATGATCAAGAAACTAACTAATGTACTCCAGTACTCAATGTATATACAGTACGTTACAATGAAAAGAAATTTACTAGATACTAGTGTTAACCTCACTACATTCGTCATTCACACGAAGACTCATAGCTCCACCATGCCAACAGAAGCCGAGCAAGTCCGGGTAAACATGTTCTTGAGTAGGATGGCCTCCGAAAATATTAGGATCTTGTCGCAAGGTGCCTGCAAATGAGGCACCAAGGGCATGAAGATTGACTGAGGGGCACCTCGTCGATCACAACTGGTGGTGCGGGAACAATAGCATTGGCGTCGGCATCCACGAAGAGCGAGGTTTACAATGGATGCGAAACACCCGTCCGTGAGTAGGTCCGAGATGTCTGAGTCATCCAACTCGCAGTACTTAATAGCAATCCATCCATATAGAGTAATACACGTGTGTATATCTTTGTCATCTGTCCAGTTGTTGACCGGTCAGTGACCGTTGAAAATGGAAAATTGAGAAATCGTCAATGACCCCAGTCATGACCGTGACTTGTCTTTGCGAACACTGAATAGTACTCACTACGACCGCAAAGTGGCCTATAAGTGTCGAAAAAATCGCCCAAAAATTTGGCCATCCAAAAACCTCGTGGGAAAAACTATCTGAGTGCATTTTTGGGGGTTTTAAACCTCCCTGAGTCTGAATCTGAAGTCCATTTGTCTCAGAAAAATCTAGTTCAGGCGCTATCAAATTTACCGTGTTTGATTGTCCGCAACTGTACCTTCGCTCGAGACCTGAACAAGTTACTCACGGGCAACTCCATCCTCGTCAAGCCTGGCGAGCTCGAATCTGCGCTTCATAGACCTCGGATGAGAATTCATTATACTCCCGAATCCACTGCCTTCCAGCTCGCCGCATCTCTCGCCTACAGCTTCATCCAGAACCACCCCTTCCTCGACGGCAGCAAATGAACAGCATTTTGGATCGCTAACGAATACCTCAAGGAGATTCGTCACGAGCCTCTCACGACCCACGCACCGGGAGCGGACGATGACGAGCAGATAATGCGGGTCATAGGAAAGGCTCATGAGACGGTGGCGAGGAGTGAGTTGAGAGAGGAGGAACTTGCTTCTGTCCACGCCCGGGCCCTTGGAGTGATCGAATTAGGTGAGTAACTATTGCAGTCTATCTGCGAACCATATGTCCTTGGTAAAGATTGCCTGCCCTTGATGCTTTTCCTACCGATGACTCTGTTCACCTTGTTGTGGCTCTTCATCATGTTAGCATACGATGATTGATACTTGGCAAGTAAACAAGATCTATTCCTCTCACTGAAACGATCGGAAGATAATCACGCAAGCTCATCTCCGTGGACCTTCCTCCAACCCGTCCACGTCTATTTCTCCACTAGCTACTCTGATGTAACGGTCTGCCACGGCGGTAAGGTCCTTGTGAACTTCACCGCTGTCCGCTAAGCCTGGCTTGCCCTGCGCGCGCAAATACTCGTTGGCAAGAAAGAAAGCTGTAATATACGGTCAAAATCTACCGCAGGTGGAACGTTGATAGACACTCACCAGTCCGCTTATTGCCATCTAGAAAAGGATGTCCTACGAGACATGCATCCATAAGTGATGGATACGCGTGTTACAGCTAGGGGACAACCTTTGATCATGCCATAGGAAAGACTGGCAGCCAAGTAAGACGCAGGCTTGTGCGGCTCGTACATTGCTACGTGCAGCGGCCTGGCCAGGGCTGACTGCAGTTCGTTGCGCTTCACGAGTTGTGATACGGCCGGGTGCACAATTTGTGCATTGATCATCCTAGCATATGTTGGCGTGAAGAGCCGAGCCAGGCGCGGGGCCGCGCTCGACATGGTGGAAAAGAACAAGTTGTATTGCCCTATCTGAACCCTATCTACGCGTAAGTTGACCTACTATGGTTTGCTCGTTCCGTCCTGACTGAACCACGACAGCTAGACCGAAGCACAGAGAGTAGTGATTATACCGACAAGCCGCAACACAAGTTCTGTAATAAAGAATAGCTAGTGAAGAAACACCGCAGCCAGCACGTTAGCGAGCGAGCGGACGGAGAACACACTACATGATCGTGGACTCCTCCAATTTTGTAGCTCTTGAAAATCAAACATCTGCAACCCATTTATTCTCGAGAGGCACGTCAGGGCGAGAAGGCGACACCATGGGCCATAGCAAGGGGCCTGAATCACTGGGGAACACGCTGGGGCAAGGGCGCTCGCGTCGTCAAGGGTGAGATGGCAGCACCGTCGGCGTTGGGAATTAAAACCACGATTGGGTGTGAGGGCTGGTATGGTACATAGCAGTGTGTATAAACGGACGATGCCGCAGGAGGTGCGTTCTGTCCTGGACAAGCGGCCGTTATTGGTACGCGGCTACCCTCTGTTAAGCAATCAATAGCCGGTGCATGGTACGACCGTTCAGCCTCGCCGGCGGCCATGAAGGGCTCCTTGTGCGCCTGATTGGTTTCGGGGCTCGCTAGTCGCGTGCGGTAGACTGTCAAGGCGGTGGACTTCAAGCATGGCGCGTTAGCCGGCCGCCATCGACAGTATAATCATGACATACCAGGACTTACTCTTGTCATCCTTACGGTGAGCCCTCCCACACATAATAACCTGGGGGAACAGAGGAGATATTGCCCAACGAACGCTGCCCGAAAGCACAATAATTCGGCTCTCGGAGCGTGGCTCGAACAGCCGGATTTGCGCTGATAGGACTGATTTCTACCTGCGCTAGAACGGCATCTCAGTGTAGAAAAGTGAGTTCATGTTCCATAGTTGCGACGAGGCCTCGAGCAAATCCGAAGGTTGAGCTATTCCCGACAACACCAATGGAAGAAAGATAGTTCAAACGCACGCAGGTAACATGGTGGGCTGTCCTGGCAGCAGGAAGACAGCAAATCAAGCAGTGTAAGGATAGACAACGGCTTTGAGACCAATGCAGCCTTACCCCTACTTGATCCTCATTCGGTTTCCTCGCAGCCTTCATCGTCCTCGTCGTTCAAGCCATCGCCCCCCTCTTCCAACGCCGCTTCCGCCTCCGCCTGAGCTTGCGCTGCCGAAGCAGCCTGAGCTATTGCTTGCTCCAGCATCTTCGTCTGTTCGTGTGAAAGCCATGAGAGAGAAAGCGACGGAAGAGTCGTCGATGACGATGCTATTCGCATAAAGCGGTCAGAAGTGGATGCGCGAGCGAATGGCGGAGACGCACCGGACGTAGAAACCGGGGCCTGCGCCGTCGCTGACGGACGTGCACCGGCCATGACGCTTGCAAGTGTGGCGGGAGGAACGTTCGCGGTGAAACCTGAAGGACCAGGAGGAACCACAGCAGGTCCCTGTCCTCTCCCGACGTACGAGCGTAGCAACCCTAGCAGCTGCAGCACCAGATCTTGCGCCTCCTCCATAACCCTGGGATCCACTTCGCCCTCCTCGAAGGAGCCTTCCTCGGATATTGCAGTTCTAAAATCCTGCGCGTCCGCGATCCCGTTCCACAGCTTTGCTCTGCGGCTCGCTTCCTCTTCCCCTTCCGGCTTCTCTACCTCAACCTCTTCGATCTCTGCATACGCACACACGCCGTCCCCCTCACTCTTCCCGACTCCTCTTCCCCGACTGTCCTTGTGCCGCTTGATCGCGTCTCGGCGCGAAAACACCTTCCCGCACCCGTTGCACAGCCATGCTTTCTTTTCGTGAAGACGTGCGTGCCGTTTCAGGTCGTGATTCCGGACAAATGACGCAGGACAATGCTTGCATCGAAATGGCCGCTCGATGAGCGTGTGTAGGCGCTGATGCGCGCGGAGCGAGTACAATCGGTGGAACGTCTTCGTGCATGCAGAGGCCGTGCATGGGTACACAGCAGTGCCAAGGTCAGGGGGTGCTCCGAATCCGGGAGAGTACATAGCAGGATGAGTGGGTGCGGGCCCTGTTCCGATGGGGACACCTGTGAGCACGCCGAGCATCTGGATGAGAGATCCGAGCTCTTGCAGAGCAGGAGATCTCCCCCCATGGCCGCGAGGAGATGACGTGACGGCGAACAGGAACACTTGGTGTAATGGGACTTGTATGGAGGCCACGAGCCCAGGGTCGGGGAACTGAAGTCCTGAAGATGATGTTGTGGAAGAAAGTGAGCGAGAAATAGCCTGTACAGCTTCTGCGATCCGATACTTTAGATCGGGCTGGTCTATCGCAATACGCTTGTGCGCCCGACTGTCTCCAGTCTCCGCTGTATCCAATTCTTCCCGTTGCCGCTTACCCTTACTGAGCTGTAATGCAGATGCGTCCGAGTTGCGGAGAGATGCAAAGAGTACATCCGACTTGGCGAGCGAGACGACGACGGCACTGAGTGGTTTCGCCAGTTTCTTGGAGAGGGTGCCGGACGCGACGCAGTAGTCGAACATGTCCAAGACACTAGTGTCGCCTGCAGCAGAAACGGCGGAAGCAGAGAGAGAGGCGTGCACGAGCGGGTCCTTCGCCCCGAATGCTAGGATCGTCTTCATCGTCACTATAGCGGCCTCCTTCTTTTTTGTCATCGAATGAGGTGAAGATTTCGCCGAATGAAGCGCAGGCAGTGTGGGCCGGAGGACAGCTGGAGTGGTGGAATGAGCAGCATTGGCAGCTGCAGCTTCAAGCTGAGCTTTTGCGATATCTGCGCGAAGCTGTTCCTGGAGACGGCGAGCCATCTCCTCCTCTGCCTCGGCGTCGAAGTCATCGCCATCGTCGTACTCCTCGTCACCTTCTCCGTATTCCTCGTCGTAATCTTCTTCGTCGTAAGCCCCCTCTTCTATTTCTCCTTCCACATGCGAAGGAGTAGCTGCACTTGTCAGAGAGACCATGCAAACAAATACCGTATGAGGATCGTCAGTCACAATCAAGAAAGTGGTGAAAACAGGCGTGACGTCCGCGTTGTAGCCAACGATAACAAGGCTCGTGACATGGTCACACGCGATCCGAGTCAGCAAGTACTCGACCATTTTTCCGTCTGCACGCCCTCGGGCACAAGTATATACAACTCTGTAAGACTGTGACGCTAACCGACTGGGTGAAAGGTACCTCGTACGCAGCCCCTGACTCAACGAATCCTCAATAACCCTCTCGCGAAAGTCGTAGGAAGCATTCTCTCCAGGGCATCTCGACAAGCCAGGAAAAGGGACGGACCATCGGCAGGTCGACTCGAGCTGTGGAATGCGTGTGCCATCTGCATGGAATACCAAGAGAACTCGAATGTCACGGTCTCCAGATTCTCGAATATGTTCAACGCCTGGTCCATCACGACGGTATCTAGTCTCTTCAGCACAGCAAGGAAGTTCAACTCGGAAAACAGATACAACACGGTGACGCGGAAGGTGATGTCGCGCAGCGGCGTGTTGGTCGTATGGCGGAGGGCCTCCGCGACGACCGTCCATGCATAGTTGTCGCTTGACGTCAGGTTCAACCCGAGAACGAGAGACCGAACGGACGTGCAGTCAGACAGGTCAAAACCCGGGTATGTTTCATTTTTTCGAGCTGTATCAAAGCCGATCAGTGAAGACCAAATGTCACTCTGCGATTTTCTTACCAGACACAAGTACATCGAGCTCCACAGAGAGAACGCAGTGACCGACCTCGTCCAGCAAATCTCTGAACGCTTCTATCTCGTCCCACGCGAGGCAGGTCGCTCCGACAGAACCCAGAGTTTGTGATGAGGACGACCGGATCAGGGTGCGCCAATAGTATACCATGTCGTAGATGGATCGAAAGGTGAGGCTGTAGACTTGAGGTTTCCGCGAGCGTGATAACTCGCCATCGACTCGGAGCTCTCTTGTGTGGTCATTCTGCGGGCCCAAGAGCCGCGAGCTGTCTTGCAAGCAGAGTCTCCGGACCTCGGTGAACAGAGAGAGGACTCCAAGCGTCTTGAATGTACACTCGCGCTCCTTGTGGGTCTGCTGCACAATGAGCTCCTCCAGCGCGAATGCTGTCTGCGGGGGGCTGGACTGGCAACCATTTGTGAAGGTGAGCTGTATCAGGCGCAACTTCCGCAAGTGCGGCAGGGACGACAGAACAGCGGCGAGCACATGCAGGTCAAGAGGAACACTGGACTCGCCGGACATCAGATTCTTCGACGACCATGCCATCACGTCCAGCGTGCATATGCGTGTATGCACTAGTCTGCTTTCTGACGCGGGGGGTTAATCGAGAGGTCGGAAAATTTAGACGGAGCCTGAAATTTACTAAGGATTCGATACACCGGCAGTTCAAATCAATAAGCCTGCGGTTACAACCCGTTCCATTGCCGACGGGCGCTTACGACCTCTGCCAGTGGGCCCGCTCAGCGCTCAGCGGCCGCTCACCCTTGGAACTTCATTAATGCACCTGCTGGCTCGTCGACTCATGCATTCATCTTTGTACTGCGGGAAACAGACATTGCGGCAGCATAATCTGACCATGTTCTGAAGTTTGGTGAGTATAACTTGAATGCTGCTGCCGAGGAGTGGGAGGTCAGCAGATGATATTCATCAGCTTCGACACCTCAGTTCTTCTCGTTTGACTGCCGTAACATTAATTACAATGCAACCTACACAAGATTATAAGGTTCATCCACCTTGGCATACATGCCCTGTCAATCATATGGCTTTACCCTTGCAGTAGTGCATGAGGATGAATGTACCCCACTGATTGATTCTTATTTCTATGTACAGTATCACAGTATTCCCAATAAATATAGCTGGTCAAAATTTTTCTGAGGCAAACCAGAATGTATGGCACACACATACCACAACTAAGCATGTTTTCCATGGTACATGCAACATGTCTCCAGCATGCTCTCCAATAGAACATTGTGCGAGACATATTAGATGTTCCTTACCATGTTCAGAACATGTGACATGTCCAAAAACGTAATCTGTTCCTTGGATGTTCAGACACTGTTCCAAGGCAGAACATCCACTTTTGCCTCCAGTGTCCGTATCTGACGTCTGCTTTCCTTAATGGGGGTCTTTCTAAGAGGTCGGTCACTGCCGATCGGCATATCACGTGCAATGACAAACGAAAAAACGCGTCCCTCCTACAGACGCGTCGCACTGCGTCTCACGGAATTCTGAAACATATAATATGTCTCACACAATGTCTCATTGGAGAATGTCCTGCAGACTTGCTGCATGTTTCACTCTGGAACATTTATTATTTTGCTACTATATTCTGGGCTTATCTCTTGATGCAATATGCTCTGTATAATAAGGATTTCCCATGGCCAAACACATTACATTTCTGGCTGCCGTTAATCTTCAGAACATTGTGAGAAGATGTTAAGTGCTCCTACTCCAAACATACAAGATGTCCTGGGCACCAAGAACATTTGCAGCACATGTAAAATTTTAGTATAATTTTAGTATGTATCATACATGTACTGCAGATGTTCTTGGTGGTCAGGACATCTTGTATGTTTGGAGTAGGAGCACTTAACATCTTCTCACAATGTTCTGAAGATTAACGGCAGCCAGAAATGTAATGTGTTTGGCCATGGGAAATCCTTATTATACAGAGCATATTGCATCAAGAGATAAGCCCAGAATATAGTAGCAAAATAATAAATGTTCCAGAATGAAACATGCAGCAAGTCTGCAGGACATTCTCCAATGAGACATTGTGTGAGACATATTATATGTTCCAGAATGGTACATGCAACATGTCTCCAGCATGCTCTCCAATAGAACATTGTGCGAGACATATTAGATGTTCCTTATCATGTTCAGAACATGTGACATGTCCAAAAACGTAATCTGTTCCTTGGATGTTCAGACACTGTTCCAAGGCAGAACATCCACTTTTGCCCCCAGTGGGATATCCTGAGGTACGAAGGTTGAAGCAGAGTAGCTACACTGCCTTTGGGAGACTAGTATGCACCTCCTCTAGTTCGCCCAGGAATTTCAGAAACGCTGTGAGATTCCATTGGCTTTCTTCTGCGATGGAAATGGTGTGGAAGAGATGCCGGCGAGTGGGGGAGGTCCATGCCCGGCAGACCAAGGCGCAAGAAGCAAGGCTAGCCTTGTGATCGCGTAACTCATCAAAGAATAGGTCCCGTATCTCGGAAGGGACAACAGGGATATCGTTCTGAGGTTGCGCCATACTGCGAGTGAATGCTCCGTGGTTAAAACGTTGACGATGTGGTGGCGATGAAGGGATACTTATTCAGATAGGGGGCCCCAAACATGCCCGGCCAGAAGACGCTGGGAAAATGGCCCTTAGACGCGCAAAGTCATTGGGCGGGCGCGAGCGGGCCGTGAACCGTGCCACGACACTTTGCCCTTTCAGTTGTTAAGCGCTATCCTCGACTTCAACATGCACGCCACAGACTCGGAAAGTATAATATCTATCATCTCCCCACGTAAGCTCCACGATTCTGTCACACAGGTCGACAATCCTAGCCTCGCCTCCTGCCCATGGTCCTATTCCAGCCCTCACAGCGTCCGGGTCAGACCACAGGATGTGGAACGTTTCTTGAACTTCTTGGAAAGCGATCCTCGGCGACACGAATGCGACGCGGTGCAAGAGCTGGAAATATCAAACTTTCCCGTGATGGTCGCTTGTTGTGACTTCGATTCTGTCCTTGTAAAATTTGCCGATGTGACCGAGGTCTCTACGTCGACTTTGTACACTGTCGTTTCCAAGCTGCCTTCGCTCAAAAAAATCTTCCTCGACGAGGTGTCACTATTAGGCGACACTTCCCATGTCTCGGAACGTCCTCGCCCCGTGCTTGATAGCTTTCGCCTCCGATTCGAGGATCCGTCCTGCACCACCTATGGTCTTCTCCAACTCATCGGATTCTTTTCCGAGATTCGCGAGCTGTCCTTCGAGGCACCAAAGGTGGATTTCTATGGACAATTGGGGGAAATGTTGAAGAATGTCTTGAACAAATTCTCTTCGCCTGTTTGGCCTTGGTGGAGCGTACGTGATTCTGAGTCCCCTCCCTTGGCCGTCATACGCGTATTCACACTGAAATTGGGCGAATACGCGGGTTTCTCCCTTGCTCTGCATGCTCTCCTGAAAGTGTCCAGAATCGAGGCCCTCATTATTGTTTCTCATACCAGTCACACTGCGCAACATATCAGAGATCTCGCACAGTTACTCCAGGAAGCCATACCAAGTGTCCAAGACTGGATGTTGGATTTTGATGCCACTGCTCTGGTATTCAAATCTGGTCTGGGTAAGTGTTTCCTTGTGCCACGCTCGCACTCGACTAATTATCCCTGCTCCAGTTCCGAGCGCCACTTGGGACGTCTTGAAGCTTCCCTCACGCACTAGTCTTCGTGAACTCTTCTTTACCGTGTTGTTCTCCCAACACCACGACGTTGCTGCGCCTGTTGACATTAGCGCTTGGATTGTCTACATTGACATACTCTCACTGGCGCCCCAGACTGTTCGACATATCGGCTTTACACTGAAGTTCACCGGCGTATTGGCGGACCAGCTGAGGAATGTGGATTGGAACAGGATGCATGGCGTGTTGCAAGCACTCAAAGGCTTGGAGACGGTGGAGTTCAAGTTCCGCAAACTCGACAACAACGTTGACATGAGTGCACCTGACGTGCACAACAGCTGTGATACCATCAGAAACGCCCTTCCGACGAACAGTTTCACTGTGACTGTCAATAATTCCAAGTAGATATCGATGTCTTCTACGAATATTTGCATAAATAGCATGGCTTGCAATGACGCTCTGGAAGCCGTTTGACGAGTAAAAGCAACAGCCGTCCGTCGACCTTCATCACTCCGTTTTAGTCTAGAGCTTCTGCGATGAAGCGCGAAAGTGGCCGACGTAAATAGTCGATATTCTGATGCATATATAAGAACAAGGTATCTTAACATGAATGATAGTTTCAGGCAAAGTACTGTTCTCACGTCTGCGGCTTCTGAAGCTGAGGTCATACGACCCCGTCCACAGCCGGGTTGAATTTTCATTGCAGAGACCGAAGGCCATTGTCAATGAGGTCGCTATATGCCCCATTTCCCCTAACCATCAACCATGGAGATCGGGTGACGTAGTGAATAAGGGGCAACAGATAACACGAAAGAGATCACACAATGAACATCGGGCCAAACGGCATATCGCACCTAACACACAACAGCCGGGATGATGACATAGAAAAGTGTACTGTACATGGAGATCAGGCCTTGAGCTGCGCCCGAAGGTTCTTCTCAAGGTTGCCCCTGGGGCGGATATACTGCACATAGGCACCATCCCTATCAGAGCGTGTCAGATGCTAAAGCAACGACGACACAGTTACGAAGGCACGTACTGCAGCACACGCTTCTCCTCCTTCAACTTGAGATAGTCCTCGCGGTTGACATTGGTGAAGCCCCACTTGCGCGAGACGATAATCTTCTGGCGGCCGGGAAACTTGTAACGCGCGCGGCGCAGTGCTTCTTGGACAACGGCCGCATTCGCATCTTTACACCGGATGGATAGGATGATCTGGCCGATGTTGACACGGGCAACCGTGCCGTAGGGCTTACCCCAGGCGCCGCGCATGCCAGTTTGCAGACTACAAACAATTTCAGGTTCCAGTTGCAGATAACACTCGAGCGGAAGGACGCACCGATCGGCACCTGCGCAAGACAACATCTTGTTGATGCGGAGAACATGGAAGGGGTGGACGCGGACCCTCAAGTGGAACGAGTCCTTGCCAGAGGTCTTGGTGACGTACTTGTTGGCACAGATACGTGCGGCTTCCAGCGCCTCACTCGAAAGCTGCTCGTATTCATCGGAGACAAGGTGGCAGCAATAAGGGAACTCGTCAACGGATGCGCGCTTGCGGCCAAGATCGAAGATACGAATCTGAAGCGATCGTTATGTGTGTGCACGGAGGAAATGGGGGGGAAAACCGACCTTGGAGTCGGGTACACCACGGTTGTAGCGCGACTTGGGGTAGGGCTTGTTCTTGCAGTAGCGGTAGCAGCGAGCGGGACGGCGACCCATCGTTACAAATCGACTCTATAACTAGAAAGCCAGCAAGTCAGCGTCATCCTAAGCTTCAAGTTTGAATCCACCTCATCCAGCAGCGATCCCGGTTGATTTTGCAGCAGTTTCTACCGGAATCGCTGGCCGGAGAGCGGCAGTAAAACAAATCGGCATACTCACGTAGTTGGAGGGGAAGGATGGTGGGCTCAAAGGTTGGAGACGACGCCTTTTGAGCCGCTGAAGGCGATGACAAACGCACTCGGATGAGTAACCAACTTCGGCTTTCTCCGGGCTGCCAGTCCCGCTATTTCCCAAAGCGGTACATGAGGGCATACTAGATGCCTTCTGTAGCGCTCACTCCTCGTCTTTCTCGGAGTTTCTCCTCTGCGTGTCCCTGGACCTGTCACACATGTAGCGCTGTTGATTAATCTCGGGTCACACGTTCAAGTTGTCTCGGACCCGTGCACTAGCTTGAAACGCCTATCCGAAGGTTTTTTCTCTTCACACAGCTCCTCGTCGTTTACGACGTTCAGGACAGGCTTCTCCTTGCGGCGATTGTCGCTCTGATGAGTTTGCATAACGTAGTATTTGTTCGGCGGCTGTCTATGGACGAGCGCCGATCGTTCATCTCCGAAGACTTTCTGGTTGAGCACCGCATGCGCGACAGGCAGCGTTGGCTTATCGTCGCTGTTCACTTGCCCGCTCCTGTGTGCTGCCATTCATCCACTGCGCGCACAAGACCCGTCGCAAAACGAACGCATTCCAGCCGTCCACGTGTGTCCAGATGACTCTACACTCGTGCCCAAGGGACGCTCTTTCCTCTTCTACACGTCATCCTGTCCCCACGCTGCATCGTGCTTTTCATATATCTCTTCTCTGTCTGCCCGCATTTCTTTTAACGGCCCACTCATTCCCGGTTGTTGGCCACTTAACCCTCAGAAAAGCTCGATGTGAATCAACCCGGGGCCGCGGCCACCCGTGTCCTCCGCTCATCATCGACCTCAGTGCTAGCCTGCTCTCGCGATGTCTTATTACGACGATATCCAGCGTCCGAACAACGTCTATCGGGTGCGCCGCTCCTCAAACGGCCTGCACCAGATGTACCGTTCGGCAGGGGGCGGCTACTACGATGCTCGTGAGTCAGCGGTGCACTGTTCACCGTCCTCCCGCCTTAGGGACGTTCACTTCGGCCCCTCAGCTCCCGAAATGCGGATGGTATACCAGTACAACCAGCCCGCACTGCAACCCCAGATGTTCTATCGTCCACCACCGATGCCATACGGGAGCCGCATTACACGGCAGTACCGTCCTGCGATGTGCTGCGACACGCTCTGCGGTCCGTGCTGTGACTCGTGTTGTCCTTCTTGGTGCGGGTAAGTGACTACTGAATGCGCCTGCGACCATATCGCCCACGCCTTGATCGCAGACCTGGTTGGTGCTGCTGCTGTTGAATTGCCGGCAGGATGATACCCGGTTGCACGAAGACCGTTTCGACGAAAGTTCCAGTTTGGCGTTATCAATCACAATCACAATGCGGGTTGGTTCCTGGGGGAGTGGTGACGTAGAGGTTGCGTATTTGCTCAATTATATCCCATTTATGCGGCAATGAGATATAGCTTAGGGTTTCACTCATCTCTTCCGAAGGATATGCCAAGTCAAACCCACCCTTCAGCAGAGCGGATTGCATTTGCCACATTCTCGGAGATAAAGGGCATGTCGACAGCTAGGGGGGTTGACTTGTTCTCGGTTGAAACACAAAAAGGTCTAAACCGCCAATAGTTGGTACGATGTGACTGCGACTGTCCGCCTCCGTGACTCAGCAGAAAATCCAAGCAGTTGCCCTAGCGAAATATTATCTATCTACCGAGCATTACAACGTTCTCTCCAAGACGAGCGCCGCCGAGCTTTCACCCGCCAACGGTCGAGGGTTTGGGGAGACATCTCGGTACATTGTCGTTCAACCCTCCTGATCTTGATTACCGCACCAGTCGCGTCTCTGCCTTGTTGTTCTACGGGTCCGTCGGGATACACCCTCTGGTTTCAGTGCCTCGACAGCGATGGCAGTGTGTGTGCGACATATGCCGGCACAAGAACGGTGCGCTAGGCTTTTTTCTGAATCGTTTCCAACGTGTCTAACAGTGACATCATTTCGTTGTAGGTAAGCCTCTGCGTGCTCGTGTGTGTGATCTACAGGCGATAGTTTCCAGATGTCGGCCGACGATGCATTGTTTATGGAACACAGAATAATCATTCCACATGACAATGACTTCAAGTTACGACTCACAACTAATCCTGACGCTTGTCTGTTGAACGAAATCATGCCGGAAACTTTGGTCAGGCGAACAGCACGTATACACAAGTAGCTGTGGCGTTATGCTCTTGAGCTAACCCGTCTTTTTGGTCGTATATCAGTCGCAGAGTGGGAATGGAACATTTACCCGCTCAGGCGTCTTTTCGCGAACATTTCGACAGTTATCTCTCGGTACTAGTCTTCAGCGAAATTCAACTCCGATAATGGATCTTTCGCCTACACCATGGCCAGTTTCTGAATACAGCAGTACATATTCCACAATTTCCACCGCGTCCTGGAGACTGCTGGAGACGACGGCGATGACGATGGTTCGGAAGAAGAAATTAGCCATACTGACGGCACAGATGAATATCCTACCGACTACTTCCACGGTCAATCGATCGGCTCCAGTCGGTTTTGCGGCACGTCAAGTGGTGTCGCGTCCGTCCACCAGGTGATTAACCCCAGAAAATACACCACGGGTGCTCGTCAGTCCACCGTGGAGGCTTACCCGCTCAATATACAACTTAACTTCAAGAGATAGGACTTTTGGAACATCAATCCGGTGAGTTGGGGCCTTCGTAGGTAACCCAAGGATCGGATGAGAAGTGTGACGCAACAGCACATAGCAGTAGGGCGACGGCAGCGAAGGGATTGTTCCTCATAGTACGCAGGCCTCTTACGACACTTTTCTTAAAGGTTGGCTGATGCAACAGCGGCGTAAAAACATTAACGTTCTCAAAGTTCAGGTTCACCAAAGAGACAATTGCTAGTTCGTCATCGAGAATCGCTTAAGTGCATTGGAACTTGACACACTGGCCTAGCCGAGGCATCAGACTGGGGACGTATGAACGAATCGGACCTCTGCTTGCTACTGACGGTACTTGGTCGGTGAGAGGTTCTGCCAGAGTCAGATTGTTAATAAGAACTCGCTGACCGCGACTCTGACTCTTCATGAGCTGTGGATGTACTGCGTTGATTGATCTGCTGTCTTCAGCGCATGTCGGGCAAGCGGCACGCACGAGGTTTTCTAAGGACATGAGATGGCCCGAGTCACACACACTCTGCAGAGCAGGAGAGGAAACGAGCTGCGTAGGACGAAACACATAACCTCAGTCATTAAATCGTCAATACGAAAGTAGTAGGCGGAACGAACTAGCGGCCAGAGGTGAAAGTTCCTTTGATAAGTGGTCACCACCCAGGGATCTCATAGCGTTCGTGGAGAAAGCGGAGCGAAAGAGACCAACACTACTTTCTCGATTTCTGAGAATAGATGGGAAAAACTCGGGGAGACCTTCCTGAGCCCAATGGATTCCCTGATTCTAGTTTCAAAAGGTTGGAGTATCAGGATTGACCGCTTTTAGGATGAGTAGTGAATCGACATGGTTAACCGTCGAGCTGAAATCGGACTCGTGATGACGGCAATGATTCTGTGATGTGTGAAGAAACATGGTAGTAAGTTGACCAGTTTGGGAGCTCGGATCTTACCTGCCACAGTTTAGAGATGTCGGGATGTGGGCGGGGACAAAGCCAGGAACTTCGGAAATAGCGGAACCCATTGGGTTCCGTTCAGCTAGTGTCTAGGAACCATGTACCAGCGAGGAGGACATGAGGCTAGTCTCCAAAGGCAGGCTGACACTCTGCTTCAACCTTCGTTCCTCAGGATATCCGTGTCTGGCTGGATGTGTCCTCCCCACTGGCAGGGCGTCGATAATAATGCCCTATAATTTGATGGGTGTTTTGACATCTCAAATTAATCTAGAGACCTTCAGTATGCGGCACACATGCAGTTGAATATGCTCACGTGGGTGATGGTATAGAATGAACTCGCCGACGACAGCGGGTTTACCTCGATATGCCTACAAATTTCGAGCTTCAAGTCAGATCGAGCCCTGACGTTTTCGACAGCGCACACGAGGCAGCAGTCGTTATCGTCGGGCTTACGAATCCTGAGGATGGCGCCGTGTCTTGCACCGATTTCCAGTTTATTCCATACAGCTCCGCGAGGACGCAAAGAAAACAGGAAGAAGAGACGGAGCTTGCTAAGGACGACGCCACCGTGGAAATCTCCATGACGGAAGTCATCACTCTGGCCAGCAGTAGCAAGGCTTTAGAGTCGTCATCGCCTGAGAGTCAGTCGAAGACTATTTCTGCCGCCAAGCCGTCCACGATTCTATCTGGCGCTGAGGACGAGGACTCTGAAGTGAATAGCGAGCTGGGGGAACAGGAGAGAAACCTGGATCGTAAGGGTAAGGGTAACCGCATCCAGGCTTTCGCCCAGCGCGATCTCGTAGCCTTTACTTTCGCTGGTGATCGCGTTGTCCAGGTATATATTGATTTGAAGTCAGCTCGTTCTTGTATGCTTATTTTTCTGTAGGATTTCGCGGAGCAAAAACGGCGCGAGATTCAGGAAGATGCACCGCACGAGGTCGACACTACACTTCCTGGATGGGTAAGTATAATATTAACAGACGATCAACCTCCAGTTAACTGGTCCATGGGTCGTGGGGTGGGGGGTAGGCACCAAGAAAGCACCACGCCTCAAGAAGGTACCAGGGCTAGACCCGTCTTCTCGTGCAGACTACAACAAAGTGCACGTTACTTATTATCTCCCAGAAGCGCGATAAGAAGGCGGCCAAGTAGTTGGTTACAGACCTGCCATCCGTATACCAACCTGCAAGGCGCAGTTTGAGCGCAGCGTCGAGACACCACTGGGTGCTGAGTGGAATACCAGGGTAGCATTTTAACGCGCGACGTTGCCTAGAGTGGTCAAGAAGGTATGTGGTCCGTTCACGAACGCCCTAGTGTAACTCAATGGTGTGTTTCATACCTGGCATGGTCATTTCACCTCTGCAGAAGTTGCTCTGAGTCCTCGTTTACATACTATGGGTGCACTTTCACTGGCTGGTAGAAAATACATTGTCGGTTAGCTTCACGGCGAACATATCGACCTTGGGAAGCGCAGTGACACTATTCTAATATATAGTAACATATGCAGAGTGAGTTCATGACTATGATACAAACACTACATCTATGCTGTGGTTGTTGATGAAGTACAATGATTGCTCCGTTGTTATGTTCGTGTCCGTAAGTATTCGTTAACCGTCTTCTCCCAGGGCCAATGTTACGATCGTGTATGCGTTCGCGAGCACGATGAGGAGCCAAATGCTATATCCAAGGCAGATTGTGAACTTCCCGTTCGAAAAGTCCACCATTTCTTCCTCCACAGCTTCCTTGTCTTCTTCTACTTCTACGCAGGCCTCTTTAAGCTGGACCTCAGCGGGGGCATCATCACTTGATAACGCAGGTATCTCCACAGATGATTTGTCAGGTCGCGGTTTCTTGACGCTCATGATCGACTTCGACGAAGTCAACCAGATGAGGGGAAACGCAACAAAGGGTAGCACGATCGACAACACAACCTGGGAAACTATCAGTAGTGTGCTGATTCCTGCACGACCCAACGCGCTCGCGACGACCATGGAGGGAATCAGACCAAGGCATCGGGTCACCAAACGTCTGGCGACGGGCTAGGAGGGAGGGATTAGACCAGGAGAGTGAAACCACCTGGATCCATATACTCACAGACATCCTCCATCGGATGAATCCTTCAGAGACAGTTTGACCTGCTAGCGTCGCAACAATGGATGAACTTTGACCTGAAGCCAGAAGTGCAAGAGCAAACAAAATTGCAATAGCTGCACAATCAAGCAAACTCAGCCATACCGTGCAAACGTCGAACGACAGTGCACCTACCTTTACCCAGTCGGTCCCGCAGCAACTCATACATATCAAAGAGAGTCACCGGCGAGTTTGAATTCGCCGATTCCGGAGAGTAGTAAACCGCACTCGCAAGGACGAGGATCCTGGACGATGTTCAGCTCATCTCATCAGACACGCTCCACGAAGCAGCACTCACAATGTATTGATCACAACAGCCAGGCCAAGCAAGCTGATGACCATATCCACAATCCCATGGTATAAGTGTGCGCGCACAAAGGGGAGCGGATGATTCTCCCATTCCTCATACGATTTTGGACTAGTAGCGTCGTCCTGCATAGGAGCAACGACTAAATGTTCGCGAAGGGACTTCACGAATACCCATAATTGCGCTCGCCAAAGTCGCAAGGAAGTCATCGACAGCTCACACTTGCGTGTTTCGGCCAGGATGAGAGTATCACTTTCCTTCGATTTGAGTAGCCTATCCTGAGTAGCCATGGCTGAACCAAGAAACAGACTGTGTGGCATTACGGTCGCACCGAGGATACTGACAGCTGATGAGATCTTAGTAGAGCTTCACCATCGGAATTGGACAACAGCACTGACAAGTGTAAAGACCTCCAGGTGTGATCAAGACATGCGAAGGTATAAACCCATCAAAAGCGTGGCCCCAATCCACTCCAGCTTTAGAGATGATTACTGCCATGCAAATTAAAACGGTGAAGACCTGCATTACATGACTCGAACATAAGTGGGACACATTAGTATCAATCCAGTGAGACGACCTACAAGGACTGCGATCAGAAGCTCGAATACTCTAACAGGTTGACCTCGAAGAGGGTCCCTAAAAGCCAGTAGTACCAGCACGTCGGCCGCAGTTACCAGTACGCCGGCCCATTCAGGAAGCTTCGGGAAGAGCAGACACAGCGCGATGGCAGAACCTAATAGCTCAGCGAGGTCGGTACTTATGATGGCCACCTCTGAAAGCAAATACAACGGATAAAGGACGAGCCATCGCCATAAACGAGGATGCTTAGGGCGATCATGCAGTAGCAACCGACAGTGTGAGGCAAGATCTTCCGTCGAACGTCAACCACGGGGCACAGCATCTGAGCGATAGAACTGACCTAGCCCAGTAACACATCCCAATCTTGAAGCGAGAACCTTAACAAGTGTCATCAAAAAAGTGGCCGCGCTAGAGTGCGCGAACATACCTGCATGTAGATTGCAAATAAGCCGGACAATAGCACGACAAAAAGCAGCTTGTATCCATATTCTGAACCGGCCTGGAGATCGACACCCCAGTTACCCCTGTCATGGCAGTTCAGGCGAGTCGTCCGACGCGCACGTCGAACCATCAACAAAATGAAAGGCTCACGGGTCGAAATACGCTACTGAGCATATCAGACCTACGCCAGTATGCTTCCTGGCATGACGAAGGACGATTCCAGCAGCAGAGTAACATCGGAAGAGGATCCGATGGATGACATCGGCCTTCGCGCTCTTCGTCTTGCTGCTCGTCGAGCGAGCCATGCGCCGGAGTGAGAATGATCGTAGTGGTTACTAACAAAAGGACTCCCATAGCACCAACCCCAGCTTTCTATACTCCCATATTGAACCAGAGGAATGGGAGAGACAGCACCGTGGCTGCCATTGCTTTCATCAGCAACACAGGACGCATAACCCTTTTTTCCCGAGGAAATATTTAATTTGGAGAAATGCGTGGAAATCAACAAAGTTATACTGCGGGAAACATGAGGAAAAAACGTGTCCCCGGGTTGCGGTGACCACCGCGGTTACCAGTGACCGCGAATGAGACTCAAAAACCTCGGCGACGAGCTGTCCTGAGTGCCAGATCCTAGCTGTGAGCCTGTCCTGAGGCCCATACAGAGGGCATGCACCACTCACCCCCTCGAGATAGGGGCCGGGATGCCTCCCGATGGGCGTGTAACGGGGTGATGTCACGCGCGCTTGACCGATCGGGCAAGGAGTGACGCGCACTTCCTTGCTGGGGCTTATTGAGTCACAAAATTGGCGGATTTGGCCTTATCAGGTCACAGTCCTGACGACCAAGCGTGTATTGGAGTGGTGACCCTTGCTTCATCACGTGAGGGGTCACCACGTAGAAACGTAGAAACGTAGAAACGTATGAAATTAGCTGACTACGCCAACTACGTGGCTCAGGTACAGAAAAGCACCTCGTCAGTTACAACTAAAGTATGTATGGTAAAGTAAAGTAAAGTAATGCAACAGTAAAGTCCTTCTGCAGCTCTGCTGAAGCTCGCTATTCACCTGTTCTCCTTGAAGTACCTGTAAGCATTCCGAAGTCCCACAGCCATGAAGGTAACCACGCGGCGGTGCGGTACCCCGTGGTATACTATGGGTTACCACTCACTCGGCGGACCCTGTAAGTCGGCAGTTTTCCCATGTATAGAGAGGATTCGGGTCAAATGTTCTAAGCGGGGGAAATTTGACCTGAGAAGATGCACCTACCCTGGATTATTCCCTTATATGGGGACTTTTGGGGGCTGCCGACTTACAGGATTTGCCGAGTGAGTGGTAACCCATACTATCGTTACCCCAGTAATGCAATTGCGATTGCATCTCTGTCACCGTTCCTTCAAATCGAGCCCGTTTTCCTTCGAACCTCTTTGGATCAAATATACAACATATAAGCTACCTTCTGTGTGACTGCCAATTTTTTTCCTGATGTTGTGCGACTCCAAGACCGAACGCAGTGAAGAGACTGATTTGCACGCAAGAGCGCCGAATCGGTCACAGATCGTCACGCTTGCCGACGTGCCGTTCCCTTGTTCTCCCTCTAGTCGGAGTTTTAAATGGCACATTTCACTGTCACGCCTAAGTCCTCCAAACTTGCAATTCAGAAACTTCGCACTCTTCCCCTCCGAGTTTGACTCCCAAGTTGCACAGCCAAGGTATTTGGGACTGTGCACATCTATTGCATATTTTTTTGTGATTTTTAGTGCAGCAAAATGCGGCAAAACGGCGAAATTGCATAACTAGACCAGATTGCAGTACTGGGGTAACGATAGTAGTGCTCTATGTAAAAGAACAAAGCAGTTGTTCCACCGGAAATAAGTTGATGGCCAAATATGGGAATTTTATCCGGGTTTTGGCAGTCCTGTCATGCGTCTTCGAGGTGAGATCTAGCGGGTGACATGAGAGACTGGGTTTCCCAAAATAGCACACAGTCTGGTGAAACAAAACACCCCATATAACTGTGCCATTGACACAGAGTAGCATAACCATCAGACATAGCACAACCCTCGTAGAGAATTGAGTATTGAATATTGAGCTGTGAGGCGGTCGATAGGAGACTACGTGGGAAAGTTGCCGAATATGGTGGTGGAGGGACACTGGATGGACAGACCGCGGATTATATTGTTCTGTAATGGTAACAGCACTTAGACTGACTCATCGGTGGGAGGATTGAATTGCATGCAGGTTAAAGATAGACTACGAACAAGGGATATCCCGACTGCGAATCGGCGGGTCTGCCATCACACTTATCGCAGAATGACAAGACATTATTAGCAAGTCCCGAACTTCTCAATGCCTCTGGCACCAAACCGTCCGAAGAATGTCTCTCCGACGACGATACCCAAGAATATCTAGGTAACGGATTTTCTGGTCAGGCACCACGACGTACCACGATAGCAGACGAGAGCGCACCGCTATAAAGAACCACGCATTCATTACCATGACCTAGAGAAAAAGTAGATGGGTCATCCAAGGTTTACAGCGGAGAGACGGAAGCGCATACAGCAAGCATCAGAAAATACGCGATCGCACTCTGGAAGCCTTCGAGCAAACCACGCGGGAGGTCCGTCCACAGGGAAAATTGCAGCACACCAACGCTGGGTTCGCAGCACTGCTCCTCCCCCGCGAGAATCGCTTTCTTTGAGGCGGCGGCTGCCTGCCAACGAAGGTCGACAGACGCACGAAGAGCGGCGAGGAAGCGGTAGAACGCAGCGAGGAAAAAAAGGCCAACACATGCGGCGAAAGTCGTGCTCGCGTAGCTTGGAGGGGTGTTGTAAAATTCGCTGGAGACAGAGGGCGCATGAGGGGCTTACGAGGGGACCCAAGGCTGAAACCAGAGAGTGTCGTGACCAATATGATAGTGGAACGGTAGCATAGCCATCATGGTCATCGACATGGACGTGGAGTTGTCCATGCTGCGATACAAGTGAATAGGTGAGTCGGATGTTAAGATGTGAGACGAAGAAGAAGAGGCGCCACCTTGTTCCATTCATAGAGTCCATGGGTGCACGGCAGAGTGGATAGTGGGTGAGGAGAGTACGGCTTCAGTGCAGCCCAAGGTGGGAGGGACGTCTGATAACTGCTGCAAACTGTCTTTTTGAATACTGCTGCAAGTCTCAGCGTTTCGCTGGAGGGCACGTGAAGCAGGACCCCGATTACTGCACACCAATACTTTTGAGGATAAGCTGCTTACAATCGCAAATTGGACAAAGCTCAGCAGAAAATCTGACGGGGCGTGCGCAACGTTCCCGCAACTGTCTTGCTAATGTCAGTCGCAGGGACAAGAGAATCACGCACAGGGCGAGAAAATAACACGGGTCCCGGATCCAGGGTAGAGACACGTATAGGCATATGGGTGGGCAGATCCACGGATGAGTCTGTGATACAAAACGACGGGGTGGCATCAGCTAGAAATGTGCGCAAGACTTAGGAGTAGCGAGAGATATCTACAAATATTGTAACCGACCTAGTGTCACGGGTTTGTTGGTGTTCTTGTCTGGTGCTGTTCGCGATGAGTCGTCAACCAATTAGAGCGCAAGCCAATACCAGTCCGACTATTCGTTGACTAAATGCATCACCGCTACAAGCACTGCAGATATAAGACCCAAGTTGGTTTGAATGCAGACTCGTAGAGGGAGCGATCATTGAACAAGGGTCACAAGTCCGGAGCAGAGGAGTCGTGCGCGACGCAACGTGGCAATCGACTGACAGACGGTTAGAAAAGACGAATCCTAGCAATTTCGCACAGAGATGTGTTCTCGACTGAAGCTGGCGAGCACAGAGAGCGTAGGGAGGATCACGTGCTTTGCGGTATTTTCTGGAACCAATCAAAGCGCCGCTGAGTCAATTTTGCGCCAATCGCTCAAGTAAGCGAGAACCTCATTTTCCTCCCTTTCCCTCTTCCCACCACCATCTTACCTTCATCATACTTCAACGTTGACGGCGGACGATGGACGATTGAGCTTTCAACGAGCCTGGCTGTACAACCTGCTACTTTCATCCTGGCGTAGTGCTCCTCCAGAAATACTGTCTCTGTTGCTTCGTCGACGGCCCCATCGACAATTAGAAGATTCTTACGTGTGCTATTTTTTTTCACCTTCCTCATCGTTTCCCCTCATCGTTTCCTCTCATCATACTCCCTCGTGCACATGAGCAGCTGGCAATAATCGATAGCTCATTGCTCCACGCTCTTCATCTATTGGTCCTGCTTATACTGTCGGCGATGCTCAGCGCTGTCAGCCTTATCCGACGCCGGTAGTTTCTCCGCTGCTCTTCATCAAGTTTGCCCTGTCTGGCGACGTCCTCCCACCGCTTGCCACCTCCCTAGGCGGTGTCCTAGGTCCTGCCCTCCGCCGCGGACGGCCCCTCATGTAATTCGTCGCCAGATGATACCCATGCCCTTTGCCCTGGTCGCGCTATAGGTGCCGGCGCTGATGCACAATTGATAGGAACGATTCGTTCTGCTCGGGCCCCGGTGACTCATTTTGCTGAGGAGGTGCCAACCCTCTGAAGAGAACATCTTTGCTCTCTAGGTTGAATTGTACTGTATTCGTCTCAGAAGTCTGGCTTCTGCAATGTTTCTTCGCAACTTGGTATCGGCACGTTCTGGTGAAAGCGCATAGGTAATTGTGTTGTGCTGGAGCGCGACACTAGGGTGGACATCTAAGTGTTCGGAGTCTCGGTGTCAGGGGGCCTACTGTTTTGCGATGCCTTCAAATGGACCACTTATTCGACATCGACAGCATACCTCGCCCCGTATCATCGGAATCCTCACAACCATGCGGTGGCCTCTGCATGATCAACTCGCAATAGCGCACGGTGAATACCTCTACCGCACGATAACTCTAGTAGCACTGATGGCTTCTTCGATAGCGCTTTTCGCCTGCATCGCTGTGCTCTTCACGATGCCAATCGCACTCCTGGCTGCGCGCTATCTCCGGCATGGTCCTCGCTGGTTCCGCATACACGTTATTTTCAATGGCATTACGACCTTCCTTGTGATCCTAGTCTTTGGCCTCGGCATGGGTGCTGTTAGCACGCAGAATTTGGGAACTCAGTTTAACGGTCCCTATTCGGATTTGCATCACAAGCTCGGCCTTACGATATTCATCCTCGTTCTCGCGCAGACCATTCTCGGTATCTTTTCGCACTACTACCCTGGTGGACACATTTCGCGCCGCGTGCACGTCGCGTTTGGTACCATCGTCGCCGCGGGAATGATTTGGGAGACGTGGGAGGGCTTGCACAACGAGTGGGCTGAGATGAGCGTCTCGATGACCGTGACGCCCCAGGGAGTACAGATCGTGTTTTGGGCGGTGTTTATGGTGCTGGCCATTGCGTATGGAGCGGCGGTTGGGCAAGTTGCGCTGCGCAAGGTTGCGGTGCAAACGTATGAGGATGTGAAGTCGGACGAGAAGCTCCCAATTTCTGTACCATGATCGTACGTATACATGCGGATGCGGTTGATGAGTACTTATGATATTCTGTATCGTCGTCGATAGTGGGAACTTATTCTTCTGCAGCTCGTTATGTCATTCTCATTCACTCAGAAAAGACGTCCAGTATTATATGTTCTGTACAATAATAAGTGTATAAGTTACGAGGTGAGTCCATGAGCAGTGAAACGGCTGTCGCAAAATAATCAAAAGCTTAGGTCTCTGTGTAAGTACGTTTCAATTCCACGGTTCCTCCCGAGTGACACGGTTAGTGCCGAACAAGTGTCGCTCCGGGTCCGGATAGCTCCTGTGGGCTAAACACTGAGTGTTGTACAAACTATTTAGAGTGAAAAGGTTGGATCACATTGGAGCACTGGATGCAATTTCCAATAAGTTGGGTGGACTATGCAAAAGTTATTTGAAAGATGGAGTGAATAAGTTTAGTGTAAGTGGCACTGCTTAGGAGAGACTTATCTGAAAGTTATCCTAAAAATGGAAAACTTATTATGAAGTTATTTCTACTTTGAGATAAGTCTCTTGTAAGCAGTGCCACTTACACTAAATTTGTTCACTCTATCTTTCAAATAACATTCACATACTCCCACCAACTTATTGGAAATTGTATCCAGTGGAGGTCTCTTCAGCAACAGGATGGTGCTCAACTTTTTTAGTGTGTTGCCCAAGGAAGATTTAGCGATTTTGAACTTAAACTCAAGCTTAAACTTAACTTAAAGTGTGGGCGTGACATGCGAGGTCACGTGAGGTAGTCGAGGATTATATTGCACCGTCACAGATAGCGATCATATCGACCCGACGATACCCGACGAGCCACGCTCGCTATCTAATGATGACGAACACTCCGAAAATTATGAATCCATGGTTTCTAACATTATGTGTACTGCAGACTTCATGGAAAAAAGCGCGAGACGAAGAGATGAGGAGGCGAGCGACGGCGAAGTTCATAGATCTCCCTTCCGGCGGATCGATAAGATAGTCGCCACAAGGAAAATCACATGCCAGTATTGACCGCGAGCGCTTCCGTGAAGACACTGCAGAAGAAATATCGTAAGCTGGCCGTGACTGCAAATCATTCACCAGCATCTGTAGCGATTGGGCAGCGTGAGCAATCAATAATCTGAGTGGTCATGCTTTTCAACCAATCGATACCTGGGGGTCAGAGTCGGCATAAAGGCTGACGTATGTCGTGGCGGTGTAGCGGCTGCTCGGCGAAAGAACATACATAATACAGAATTCTCACGAAAGTAGCACCACCTCCTTGTTTACATCCATGTCACATCCTGTTGCAGGTACTTCCAGCTTGCAGTCGGACCCACCCCGGAGGAGAAGACAAAGAGCGTGCGACATATGCAGGCACAAAAAAAGTGCGTTCGCTCTCGTTGTACCGATTCCGATCACCTCGTCTAATACTAGTGGCACCAGTACGCTGTACGAAATCTCTCTGACATGACTGGTGTCTGGACTCATCAGCGCGGGACTAGGTGATGGCTCTCAAGTACTGGGAAGACGCTGTTCTCCATGCAAAGCACAGAATCTTCCATGCACCTATACGGACGATGTGAAGGTAGGCCTCGCACCGCCATCTCTTATGCGGTTCCGTTGTTCAATCATATCACCGCAGAAACTATGGCCAGACAATCAGTACGTGTGGAACAAGCACCTGATGTTGTTGTCGACTCACGTGTTTTTGCAGGTCTGTCGTAGAGCTGCAGCAGAAACTGGAGAGAATGGAGAGTCTGCTCGCTCAAGCAAGTAATAAATCTCTGGTGCGCCTTCCGTCACTGACAAGCTAACAAGTTTACAGTTGTCTCCGGGCACCGTGGTTCAGCAGGAATTAGACCAAACCGTAGAAAACAATCAACAGACGAACCCCAACACCAGTTTCTCGACTTCCAGGTTCAGCACACCTTCCGACCAACGGACGAATACCAATTTCCCGACCTCTACGTTCAGCACACCTCCTGAGCTCGATGAGACAGAGTTTCCCGACGAATACGAGGACGCCGATGGAGCTGTCGGTACCATAGGCGAGAAAATAACCAGTATCCTCGACCCCATGCAGAACCTTTCCTTCAGCACCCCTCGCTTCTACGGCCAATCGAGTGGTGTCTTGTCGGTCCACAAGGTGATCAACTCCAGAAACGATTCTGCGCAATCTAGTCCCAGTCCTGAAGGAGATCCGTTCAATCTACGGCTTAATTACAAGAGAGAGAAGTTCTGGAGTGTCGATCCTGTGAGCGTGTGGTTCTCCTGTGATCTTGTTTGCATATCACTGAATGGCATCTGTGGTTCAAGTGGGAGCTTCCAGTCGGCGAGGAAAACGAGTGCAACTATACCTTCCCCGATCATGATCTTCTGATTTCTCTGGTGGACCTTTATTTCGAACACGTCAACGTCTTCACACCGGTTCTGCACCGGCCCACGTTCGAGCGAAGCTTCGCGGAAGGATTACACCTGAAGGACCGGCAGTTTGGAGCTGTGGTGTTGCTCGTGTGCGCTGTCGCGTCCCGATTTTCGCCGGATCCACGAGTTTTATACAATGGCACCAATTCAAGGTACTCAGCTGGTTATAAGTGGTTCCAGGAGGTCCAGATCGTGGATAGACACTCTCTATCGGCGGCTCTGACGCTGTATGAGCTGCAAATGTATTGTGTTAGTCACTCTGCTTGTCTTCTTCGTGGCACGCTCACAAGTCGTTTAGCTTGCTGTCTTCTTCTCGCACTGGACAACCACTCCGCTCGCATGCTGGACTATCGTCGGCATTGGCATTCGGCGCGCGCAGGATGTAGGCGTCCATCGACGCAAGGTGCACCGTGGCAAAGTAGATACGGTTGAAAATGAACTCTGGAAACGGGGATTCTGGTGAGCGTCGTGCAGTTCCCGTTTGGAACGCCCGGCTGAAATCTGCGGACAGGGTTCTTGTCGTCATGGATCGTTACATGAGCTCGGCTCTCGGGCGCCCTTGTGCTATGCAAGATGACGAGTGCGTTCTGAGACGACTATATCATCGCAGAGATGTTTTGCTAACCTGGATCCAGGTTTGATCTGGACTATCCTGTGGAGTGTGATGACGAATTCTGGCTGCAGGATGATCCTGCTCAATGCTTCAAGCAGCCGCCAGGCAGACTCTCTGTCATAACATTCTTTGTGCTTTACGTCAAGCTGCAGCAGATAATAGCAATGGCTCTCCGCACAGTAGTATGCATATCTACGTCCTACCTTCAGTGCAGAGTACTTACAGAACAGATGATGTAGTATTCTATCAACATCCAGGTCAAGGTGCTCCGCCGTTTAGTCGGACCGGATTGGCAGGAAAAGATCGTCGCCGAGCTAGACTCGTCGTTGAACGAGTGGACGGACCTGATACCAGAACAACGTACGTCTCCTTTGTTTGGCTTATAAGTATGCTGGAGATATTGAACACTATCGTGCAGTACGGTGGGACCCGTCCCGGGAGATCAACCTCTTTTTCAACCAGTCAGCAATGCTGTATGCCTCTTACTACCATGCGCAAATCCTGATCCACCGACCGTTCATATCCCCGGCCAAGAGGAATTCATCTTTGGCGTTACCTTCGATCGTGATATGCACCAACGCCGCGCGCTCGGGGAGCCAGGTTGTCGGCCTCCACCGCCAGCGCTCATCGGAGCTGCTGCCATATATCCATGTACGTTTTAACTCCGTCTTCTCCCTGGAGCCTGTTGCTTGACGCCCGCAGATGCCCATCTTCACGAACGGGATCGTCCTGCTCTTGTACATCTGGGGAAACAAACGGTTCGGGTTTCCTGTGGGGGATGTGTCGAGAGACTGGGCAGCCGTCCGCCTCTGCATGGATGCGTTGAGGGCGGAAGAGACACGGTAGGCGCTCAGCAGTCTTGCAGAAGTAGTCACTGAGCACTGAGCTTTTTGTAGATGGCAGGTTGCGGGTCGATTGTGGTGTGTTCTGTTTCCTTTCGTGTGCTGGATTGGGTGGTGATGAGTGCCTTTATAGGGATATCTTACATGAGCTCACTCGGATCATCGAACAGACCGAGCCTGCCTCCCCGGATTTATCTCGCCCTTCGGAAGTGACAGCTTCCCACGTTAGAAATTCTGTGTCGAGCTTCACTGCGCCCTTGTCTGCTGCCAACAATGACGTTGTGGGAGAGGGTGTGCGGGAAGGCCAAGTGCTTCAAGAGCAGAAAAGAGTCCCATTCCAAGACTATCAGCAGAGACGCCCGTCCGATCGGTTAAGCACGATGCCAGCCTCATTCTCGCCGTCCCAGCCACACCGACAGTCCCCGCTCCAGCCGATGAGCGGCGGTGGAGAGGGCACCAAGTTGCACAACCAGATGGACCGCAACTTTGCAAGCGGTGCGTCGGACATGGCGCTCACCGAGAATCAGCCGTTTTACAACCATATGCCGAGCGGGCAATCGTATGCACCACAAGCGTGTAGTACCGCGCAAGACATCCAGACGACGATAGACATGGACTGGTCGGCCATGCAGGGCGTGGAAGGGCTCGACCCGGCGTTCACGGACGATACGATCGAGATGTGGGGCAGCGCGCCGTCGAGCTTTGAGTGCGTTGCACCACAGTGGATGTGTTACATGTTGTACTGATCTGGGATCGCATCTCTCGCAGGCTGGCCGATTGGGACATGTATCTGAGTAATGGGATGGTTGTGACCGATAATCCTCCGCTTGGACCGACTTGGGGGGCCATCCCCCAGTGAGAAACTGACGATGCTTGCGGTTTTCTACCTCTGTCATATAGAGTGACCGGTACGATAATTAATATTGCTCTGCGGATGATTGATGTAATGAGGTACTCGTAGTACTGTAGTAGCCCGGAGATTGAATACATCAGTAGACTCATTGACAATGCTAGACTGGTATGGGTACGGTCACGCGAGGCGCGTAGCTGGACGCGTCTGTCACGCGTTACGCGCGCGGTCGGGCGTCACGCCAGTTATTCAACGCTTCTGTTTACCAGCGTCTCTCTCCTCGGCCACGACAGCCACAGTCATCCTCGAGCACACCGGCTCGACGACGACGACGAAGGCTACGTCGACTACGGGTAGATGCAGATGGAGACCCGACTCCTTCCCAGTAAGTCCCCACCGCTCTCTCGGACAAGAGATATCCTCAGCCGCATCCTGCCAGTTCGCGCCCTGTACACGATCAACGGCACCCCCCAGTACATCCTCGCCAGATCTCTCTCAAAAACATTCGTCGAAATCATCCCTTCCCATCTCCTCTCTTCCGCCCCTTCCCTCAACGTCGTGTATGGCAAGACCGCTCTTCGTCCCTGCCTCGATGCCATATGCCGCTCCAGGTTCGTGCTTTCTGCACTGTCCTCACTTCTTCTTCTCATACTCTTACAGCCCAGAGCTTGTCCCAGACCGCTCCCGCGACTTTTCCGTATATGTTCTTGACCCTCTCGAGTCATCTAATGTTCCCCCCTCTTCCCCACCTCATCACCAGTCTGGCGGTGTGGCCATCGGCCTCGGCCTCATGTCCTGGACTCTCCAGGGCAACGACTCTGACGTGACGGTCACAGGCACTCTCATTGGTGACGGGATACGTGAAGAGGCCCTCGAAGTCATATTCGCTCTGCGTGAGGTGAGTCTTAACCGACTGCCGAGATATTCTGCGAGACATATGCAGTCCTGAGTACGGTAATCAAGCGCAGGACAGATGCTCGCCATCTCTGAGGCGGACTCTACTCTGATATTTTGACCTCGTTTTGCTGGTTTCTGGTATTCCCTGTAGCTGTACTAATGCTTGCTCAACGCAGACCACTCATGCACCGAAACCCAAACATATCACATGGTCCAACATCATCAGCCCCAAGTCTAAGCCACAGCCCAGCCGCAAATCTGAGCCACGGTCTTCCCAGAAGTCAGAGGCGCAGCCTTCACTATTTACCACAGCTCCTCTCAACCGGCCCGCCTTCAGCAGGTTAACATCCGCTACATCCTCCAGCTCGCTTCCAGCCGCGACCAACGCGCTCCAGGTCTCTGCCGTCGAAAGTGCGTCAACCGTCGCCGCCGCCGTCTCGCCAATGTCCGCTGTGCCCGATGCACCGACACCTCCGGACGCTCCCTTCCCGGCTCAGGCCCTGCATGCGCTTTTCGCTGCCCTCGCCAGCCCGCACACAAACCCGGCACTCCTCGCCGCACTTTCCACCATAGACGCCTCGGTAAACCCTCAGGACCCTTCCATGTCTACCTCGTCGCAACCGAACCCCACACTTATTGAGGCTCTTAGCAGACTCCTCTCGTCGACATCATCAATTGCTCCCTCGGCCACGAGCACATATCCGCCTCATTCAACTCCCTCAAGCACCCCCGCAAAGCTATCCGAAGACGACGATGTAATCGTACTCGACAAGGAGAATGTCGACCCGACCGCCTTCCGCCGCAAACGAGCGCTCACGCTCACCGACAAACAACCCCCACCCGGCCCCATTCCTGCGCTCAGCTCTCCGTTGGCCCATTACACACATCACACCAGCATCAACGGTGTCACAAACGTCCCCTTCATCTCAGCCTCGCTACCGATGCGCGCCCCGGGCGTCCCGTCTGGGCAGCGCAACCTGAAGCGCACGCTCAGCGAGGTCATGGACGAGCGCGAGCGAGCCCGCGAATCAGAGCAGCGCAAGCGTGTGCTGAGCAGCTGCGGCGGCGGGAACGGCGTCGTGCCTCCAGCAGTGTACTCGTCACCGGGAGAGCCTCTCTTAGCAGCGTACGGGCACGGCGCGAACGAGACGCACGCGATGTCAGATCCTGGAGTTGAGTTCAGCGCTGCTGCATCGACGTTTACGTCGACCTCATTACCTGCCTCGGAATCGCGCTCGTCAAGTAGATTCAAGCGGTCGCGCACGGAGACCGGCCCCTTGACCTCCCCCTCACGCTTGATCAAGCGCTCTGCAACGGATAACGCTGTGCCCCCGGCCCCACGCAAGCCGTACGTCGTCCCGGAGTGGGCGCGCACAACGACCGCGACGCGGCCACGGTTGGCCAGCGGTGCACTAGCAGACGAGAGCGTACGGCGGGAGGAATCGACCAAGAGCCGAGCCAAGGGGAAGCGGAGGGCGAAGAAGGAGAGCCCCAAAGACAAGACTCCGGCGAAAGGGAAGGCGAAGGCGAAGACAGCATCGGGCTCTTCGCCAGATGGGGGCGCGCGGCAGAGACATTCGGCGAGAAACAGTGAAGCGGCTTCGACGTCTGCGAGTACTCCGGCCGGCCGGGGGGCGGCCGCGAGATCGGAGAGCAGCAAGGCGCAGAGCCAAGGGCCTCCTCCCCTCCCCGTCGTCGCCATCGCGGACACCACGATATTCTCGCTCTTCACGGCACGACAGTCTGGACGGTCCACACTGTCCTCTCCATCCTCCTCGACGCCCCTCCATTCTCATTTGGCCTTTCCCTCCCAGGCCTCCACGTCCACAACCGCGGCACCCGAGCCGCCATCCACGCCGCGGCGCGTGAAACTAACGGGGACGGGTACGCCCTCCACCCCAGACGCGGACGATAGGGAGATGTTTGGCTCATCGCTCTTTACACCCGAGCCCCCGCGCACACCCGCGAGACGGCGCTCAGGGACGACGCTGTTTTCGCCGCTCCGCCGGTGGCCGCAGACCCGGAGTAACGACGCGGAAGTGCAGGAGGATCGGGACGCGCTGCCAGACCGCTCTGACAGGGATGATGATCTCGACCTCCCCTCGAGCTCACTACCTGTTGCGAGCAGCGACGCGGACGTTGACCCTTGGCCGTCGGATGAGGACCATGACGGAGTGAAAGATGAGACGGTGATGCATGCGAGGCCACGAAGGTGGACGGGCCTACCCCCATCTTCACCACTGCCACCTTCTAGCCCAATCCTTTCGCCGGAAGATGACTGGAGGCTGGAGGAGGAGAACGAACTCGCCGCAGACCCCGAGGCAGATGTGGACGCTGAGGCTGAGGGACCTACGGAGCAGCATTCGCAAGCGCAACTGTCGCAGTACGCAGAATTAACATCACTGGACGAAACGCCGCAGTCTGAAGCACACGGGGACCCTACGTCACTCTTTACCTTCCCTTCTTCAACCGCAGATCCTTTTTCGGACACATCCCTCGGCCTTGATTCCTTCTCTCTGTCGAGTACCGCCCATGCACCTTTCTGCGACCCGGCGTTCGACTTCCCGGACATATTCTCAGATGCACTCGACCCGCCGTCATCAGCGTCAGCAGGGACCTCCACGTCCCAGCCCGCGGTAACGTCAGAACTGGACGCACTCTTCGCGGATCCGGGGATGCACAATGGCCTTGTCGATATGGACTTTGGTGAGTTTTGGGAGAGCGTACGCCCGCTGATGGACGCGGGACCCGGCGTGTCCCAGATGCACGCAGGTACGACTGACACTACGGACACGCTCGGTGTGGATGCACTTTCTGGAAGCAGCGGTGCTGCTGGTGATGGGCTGCTTACGCCTCAAGACCAGTTTGAAGTGGGGGCCGATCCTGCACGGCTGGCAGAAGATATGCAGTCGCTGTTTAGTGGTTGTTTGGTGTAGATATTATTCTCTTGGCCATAAAATTTATATGCTACTGCAATAATCAACCACCATACGGCGGGATTCTTGATAGTGATCGCTCGTCAAACGTTCAAGTGGAGGACGCTCCGTACAGAGCGAAATCGGCGGCGAACGCTTTGGAATTTCCGCGATGACTAACACGATGTGAATTGTGAAGCATATGAGAGTACAGTGTATCAGGGGGCAGGAAAGCAAAACGGGATAATAATGCCAGAGATTGGGCTAAGACCTGAAAATCCCAGGCAAGCAAAGCTTCGAGCAGGGCAACCATTTGCTGCAGCTTTATAGATACAACAGGAGCTATTTCGTTTGTTCCTTGGACAGCCCGCGTGTCATTCCCGGCTGAAGTTCCATCTTCTGCGCACGTGACCAGAGGAGCTCCCCCAACTGTTCATTGCGAAGGCGTACAAGAACTGTCGTGAATTGGAAGGCCTGAAGAAGATCTGCGAGGCCAAAGAAACAAATATTACACTGAAGGATACAAATTTTCTTAAGGACAGAGCGAATAAATCAGCTGGTCATGATGACTATGTTGACGGCCATGAAAATGGATGGTCTGGCTGCCAAAAAAAACGAGCACGTCGCCCACCTTCGTTTGTGAGCGCAACCAAGACTTATAGTTCATCCGCGCTGGTGTTTCTTACATTCTACGGCCATCATGAGATGGAATCTTCCGCTTACTGATCGGGACCAGGTCGCTGATCGAGGTGTTCAGACTTGTCGACTTCGTACCACTAGCCAACCTTATACTAGTGGATGTACCCTTTCTGATCCAAGCCACTGCAGGACAAAAGAACGGAATACTTGAAGAGGCTGGGTGTGTGACCGTGACATTGTGACGTGTCGCGACAGAGTCACGTGGTGTTACACGCTGGCGTCGAAGTACGTTCATAACTCAAGACTCAGTACTCAAGACCGAGGTAGCGAAAATATGTTTGAGCCAAACTCTGACAGCGACAGACGACGGAGGCGTTACAAGCTTCGTGTGGTGGCACATTGCTCAGCGAGCCTGATCTGGGCTCAACGCCCCAGTTTTCTCTCGTGAACGTGATCAGCCGAGCTTCCTTCGCGGTTCCTCTGATATCGCAGCCCATTGCCTTGTTACGTGCTATTTGCATTTCATTTCGTTGACATTAACCGGGGTGTGTCTTGAAGAGCATCATTCAGGCCCTCTGCCCGTTTCTGTTCTCTATCGCATGCCAGACGCGCTGCCCTCAAATCGGCGCTCATGCTTCAGCCCCCGTGCCTCAGGACTGGCGTCGTGCTGGGATTATTACGCAGGTACGTGTGGTTGTGTACAGACGATCAGCGTTAAATCAAATCGCAGAACGATCGCCCGCCACAGCGGTACGGGCAACGAGCTCGGCTCCGGGAACAACGTTCGACTGCGTCCATCACTGCGACGATGCGTGTGTACGTTGTCTCACCCATTGAGTTCACCAGCACGCTGGAGTTCATAGGATCCATGGGCCCCTCCACGCTGCGTCCATTTCCGCCACCTGCGATTTGCAATGCTTGCACGCCTCCGCCACTTCCCTGTCAAAAGTACATGTGCATGGTATTCCGTTTCACCCACCTCGTCGTTTGCGTTCCACGCTAACCACAGGCACTCGTCAGACGATGTGTGTTTGCCCTGGTGTCCTTGGTTAATGCAACAGTAGTTGACATCGTATCGATTGCCGCAGATCCCTCGTGCCTCGGGATACCAAGACGGTTTGTACCACGTTTGTGATATGTATTGCATGATTGTACAGATACTTATCGTTTTCGCCACGCCTCATCTTCTTTCAGTTCCGTACATTGCGCTCGCTTCTCTGTCATTCCTTCTATTATCACAATCTACAGGCGGTCTATAGAAGGCAATGATCAGAATCATCGATGGTAGACAGCAATGAGCGGGGAAAGGATACGCACTGACGTTCCCGAGGTCCGTGCACGCTTCCTTGACGCGGGCGGAGAGCGTCTTCTCGCCCTCACGTACCCACACACGTGGATCGTAGTACTGTCGACGTGTTAGTTGGAACTATGGTCGGAAAGAGACTGTGGGCACCTTCTTGTTGGGCTTGTCTGCGCCCTCGGGGTTGCCGACCTGCGTCTGGAGGTAGCCAGACTTGTTCTGGATGAAGTCCTGGAAGCGCGAGATATCATGAGCGCAACGCAAAACTGAAGTAGACTATATGCGCACTCTAATGCCAGAGAGATAGGCGAACTGCGTGTCTACGTGCAGTAGGCGTGAGTACGGACGATGCTGCACGGGCGTGTGCGGCTCACCGGTGTCGACGTTCATCTTGACGACGCCGTTCTGGACGCCAGTCTTGATATCCTCCTTGGTGGAACCGGAGCCGCCGTGGAACACCAGGAAGCTAGTGGGGGGCAGCCGTCAGCGAACGCGACGCAACGCAAGCGGGAGGCAGGACTCACAGCGGCTTCTTCTTCGCGAGCTTCTGTTCAGCGTATAGCTGGTGCTTCTGGAGCAGCTCGGGGTGGAGGCGGACGTTGCCGGGCTTGTACACGCCGTGAACGTTGCCAAAGGCGGCGGCAATGCTGAAATTGGGGCCGACGGCGGAGAGGCCGGTGTAGACGTCCCAGATGTCCTCGGGCTGGGTGTAGAGCTTGCTGTTGTCTACGCCGGTGTTATCGACGCCGTCCTCTTCACCGCCGGTGATGCCGATCTCCATCTCGAGCCAGAGGCCGATGGGGGCCATGCGCTTGAAATAGCGGACGCAGGTGGCGATGTTGTCCGCCTTGGACTCTTCGGAGAGGTCGAGCATGTGGGAGGAGAAGAGCGGCTCCTGGTGGTGCTTGAAATACTCTTCGTCGGCGGCGAGCATGCCGTCGAACCAGGGAAGGAGCTTGTGGGCGCAGTGGTCCGAGTGGAGTACAACGGGGCTGAGAGAGCATCGGCAATTAACAGAGAAGCGAGATAGACGCGCGGGGGACGTACACGCCGTAGTCCTTGGCGACGACGCGGACATGGTGGGCGGCAGCGACAGCGCCAGCGATGGAGGCCTGCTGCTTGTCGTTGGGGAGGCCCTTGCCTGCAAAGTAGGCAGCGCCGCCCTGAGAAACCTGGATGATGATGGGGGACTTGATGTCCCTTGACGAGCAGGTGAGCGATGCGCAGGTGGGAAAAGGAGAGGGGAGGACGGACCGGGCAGCCTCGAGAACAGCGTTGGCGGTTGATGAGGAAGTGACGTTCTGGGGTGATGGGTGAGGGAGAAGGATGGTGAGGAAGCACGGAGGGGCTTACGATAGCCTGGCGTTGATTGGTTGGTGGATTGAATGGGAATGGCACACAGAAGTGACAACACTCACGGGGATGGCAAACTAGAACAAGGTGGATGAGCAGGAACGCCAAGAGAGGGACAAGGGAGACAAACCTGATTTTCCTTTGCATACTGGAAGAGCTTGCGGACGTTGTCGCCGGTAAGGACACCAGCCTGGGGCATCAATCAGGATGTGGACAGGGAAGAAGGGAGGAAGGTAAACGGACGGGAACAATATCGAGGACACCCATGGCGACGAAGGAGAGATAGAGAGTGGGGGGGAGGAGAGGGAGATGCGGACCCGCTACTTCATCGATGCGTAGTATCACGTGATCCGAGTCCCGAGCCCGTCTCTCCGCTCTGCACTTCCCCAACGAGTTCCACAGCTCGCGTTCGCAGAGTCACCTTGCATGGTGTGTTCGGCTGTGAATATCGCGTAGCTGCGGGAGCGAAAGAGGAGAGCGGGCGGGACAGGGATGTTCGGAGAAGACGTAGAAGGAGAGGCGTACGGGCGCGATGGGCAGCGAAGAGGGCAACCATGAAGAGCTCGCTAGGCGACGATCAGAGGTCGGCACTTGGCGCTGGCAGCATCGCCAGGGTTAGAGACGACCCGGCCCAGCGACGCGCGACAGCACTCTGCGTCTCTGCCTTGTTCTAACAACACTACAATCCATTGGATGCTAACTGCATTCGACCGGATGCCAACATGCAACTGGACGCTGACAATCGACTGGATGCTGACATTCGGCTGTAGGCACATCCGAAACAGACGGAGTCCGCAGAGACCCCGCGCACGCATTGACAAAGTTTGCGCGTGCCGGGGTCTTTGTGGATGCGATGGAAGTAGCCCGATATGGAACACTAGGAACAGATTTAGGGTCCGCGCAAGTGCGCTGTCTCTCCCTCTTGGCCTCCTGCTCCCTCCCTCATCCTCGGTTCTCTCCTCGTCGTCCTCCCCGCCGTCCTCGCCGGCCTCGCCTCTCTCGCTGTCGTCTGTATGCTGCTCGTCACAGACTTGCTCGTCGTTGGCCAACCTTAAATTTTCTCTTTTCCCCGTCTTCGACTCCTAAGATGCCCTTCGAGCGGTATCTCCAGGCGCCGTCCTCGTCCTCCCAGCACCGTCGCTCCTATGACAATTATCCCGTCGCCCATCCCGACCCGTCTTTCGGCATCGACGCCTCGACCTTCTCGTCCAATGTCCAGTTCCAGGTCCCCCGCATGATGAACCCTGCTCCCACCCTCGCTCCCGGTGGTGGTGCAGAGGTTCTTCCCCCCGGGCTCCTTCCCTCCTCCGGCCCCATCTCCTCCTGGTTCCCCGCCGCCGGTTATCGTTCCCCGGACGACTCGTGAGCTCCCCGCTCTCTGCTCTACTCTACGCTAATTTTCATCTCTCGCAGTTCCCCCTCCTGCTCTGCATCCCCCGTATATCGTAGCCACCCATCGCTGACTGCTCCAGCCTATTCCCTCCCCCCAGATCCACACTCCTACCGCCACCCCGACTTTACCGACTCTCCCGTGAACTCCCCTCCCGGTTCTATTCCCTCCTCCTCCTCCGCCCCGTACGCCTTCCCTCTCCAGAATCCTCCTCCCGCTGACATCCTCATCTCCCCCGATTCCCACATCCACCTCGATGCCCAGCTCTTACTCCGTGCTCACCTCTCCATTCCATCCTCTTCTCTCCCCCTCTCCATCCCCTCGGCCATGGGCCTTCCCGTTTATTCCGCTTCCGGCTTCGATTTCCTCTCCATCCTCAGCCGTGTAGCCAACCGTCCACACCCCAAGGTCCTTCTCGGTCCCGTAGACCTCACCTGCTCCTTTGTCGTCGTCGACGTCCGTCGCTACGACTCCCCCATCGGTGCGTTCCTCCCTCTTTCCGCTTCCCACTTTTCTAACCCCGAGTCCCCCAGTGTACGCCTCCCCCACTTTTTTCAAACTCACCGGCTACGACGAACACGAGGTCTTGGGCAGGAACTGCCGCTTTCTCCAGTCTCCCGATGGCCGCCTCCAGCGTGGCGAGCAGCGTCTTCATACTGCCCCCGAGGCCGTCGGCCTCCTCAAACGCTGTCTCGTCGCCGACAAAGAGTGCCAAACCAGCATCACCAACTACAAGAAGGGCGGGGCCGCCTTCATCAACCTCGTCACCGTCATTCCCATCCCAGGCGGCGTCAATAACGCTCCCGCAGAGGCAGACGACGTCGCCTACCACGTCGGCTTCCAAATCGACCTCACGGAGCAGCCCAACGCCATTCTCGAGAAGCTCCGCGACGGTAGCTACATCGTCGACTACAGCCGCAAGCCGCATGCCCCCCCCCTCCTCGGAAACCCTTCTGGGTCCCGCAACTGGCGATCCAACTCGATATCCATGAGCGGCGTGTCTACGGAACTGCGCACCCTCTTGGCAGACCCCGCCTTTCTCCAGTCGATCTCGGTCACCACTTCCACCACCGCCTCCTGCCCACCTTCCGGCGAGAAGCTCGACGTATACGACGGCAACAAGCCGCTGCATATGTTCCTCCTCGAGTGTGCCCCCGACTTTATCCACGTCGTTTCCCTCAAGGGCGCCTTCCTCTACGTCGCTCCAGCCGTCCGCAGCGTCCTCGGCTATGCCCCAGACGACCTCGTCGGTCGCGCCGTCTCCGATTTCTGCCACCCTGCCGACGTCGTCCCCCTCATGCGCGAGCTCAAGGAGTCTTCCATTACTCCCGGTCCAGGAAGCAGCCACCTAATCGCCGCACCGTCAGACGCAGGCCCCCGCAACGTCGACCTCCTTTTCCGCATGCGCGCCCAGTCGGGCCACTTTGTCTGGGTCGAGTGCCGAGGTCGCCTCCACGTCGAGCCCGGCAAGGGTCGCAAAGCCATCATCCTTTCCGGCCGCCTCCGCAGCATGCCCCGCCTTGACTGGGATCCTGTCGACCGCGCCGGTGGCCTCGCCGCGTCCGCGCGCAGTCCCGGCGACGACTCGCGCAAGGAACGCGAGCACGAATTTTGGGCGCTCCTCAGCACCAACGGCACCTGCCTCTTTGTCGGCGCTGCCGTGCATGACGTGCTCGGCTGGGGCGCGGGCGAAGTCATCGGCAGGGCTCTCGGCGATTTTATCGGCGGTGCTACTACGGCGGATGCGCGCCGGGCGTTGGAGGACGAGCTCGCGCGCGCGCTCTCTCCGGCTCTCCCCCGTCCCGAGGTGCACCACCGCGGCGTGTCGTGCGAGATGATGCGCAAGGATGGCGTGCAGGTCGTCGTGCACATCACTCTTTTCCGCTCGCAGGACAACAGCGATGTGCTCGCGCCCGACGACGCGTGGCAGGGCGCGGTGGCCGTTCCACACGCCCCGCCGTGCCCCGTGGTCTGCCAGGTGAAGCTGTTCGACGCGCCGTCCGATGGACCGCCGGCGGCGGCGGCGGGGGGTATCTTGCACCCACTGACGGACAGCGTGTTCGACGAGCTGCACATCGCGCGCGGGAGCAGCTGGCAGTACGAGCTGCAGCAGCTCAAGTTTGCGAACCAGCGCATAAAAGAGGAAGTCGCCGCGCTGGAGGCCAGCCTCTGCTCTAAAACACGCCAACGTCCCTTTTCGCAGAGTACCTCGCGGGCAAACCCTGCCCACGAGCAGCAACAGCAGCAGTCGCAGCAGCAACAACAGCGAGAGCAATACGCGCATCATCCGGAGCTACTGCCCGATAATACCAACAATTGGAGCACGCCATATGTGCAGTACCCAGTAAACCTCGCCCCGTTGCAGCCGTCGCAAACGTTGAAGCGGTCATGGCACGCGATAGACGGGGCACCCACCTGAGTTGTTCATCAGATACCCTTACTCTCTTCTCAACACGAGGGATTATACGTGTTTGCACGTCGTTCGCAACTCGAGCGCGCTAGATGCCGTTTCATGAGTCGTGGCTTGCAGCGCCAGGGTTCGTACAGGTTGTAGTACTATTACATGCTCTTCGTACAGTGGTAAATACAGTGGCGGACGTTTGTCACGTATGCGATGCGGTGCGTGATGCAAGCAATGCAGTCAAATATTTAGATGGCATGTCCTTCCCCGCGCGAGCTTACGGGAGAGGTTCCCGATTGCTCGAAAGCCGGTTAAGGTGGATATAGACATCGGTACCGAACCCGTCCATGGATATCAAGCGTAAATCCCCACCGAAATATCTCGCGTACTGCAAAGGTTATTCAGTCTCGCACGCGCTCAAGTGGGCAACGTTTTATACGCACCAATCTCGACAGCGGCAAGCCGTACCCAAAGCCGGCCATGGGCGCTTTGAAATCGCTCGCCTGGAAGTCCTGGTCGATGTTTTGGCCCTCCATGGTCGTGTACATGTACGTCCAGATGAGGGGAATGGCGCTCCTGGGTATCCCACCGCCCTCGTCCGAGATCTTGATCGTAATGTCCTCCTTACCCTCGACGACGACGACTTTGATGGTCGGGTACAACTCGCTCTCGTGCCCAAAGCGTTCGACGACCGCGCGCAGCGAGTTCTTGAGCAGCTCGAAGCAGATGTGCGACAGGTGGCCGGGCACGTACGCAAAGTGCAGGTCTTTGGGGCAGATGAGCTGCACTGGCGGGCCCCTGAACATTGCGTAATGCTCTTCACAGACGAAGCTGACGGAGAGGTCAGTAAGACCGCAGCGCAAATTGAGCGGAGATGACCGACCGGGCGTTTTCAATTGCTTCCTGCACTATGTCGTGCACGTTCTGAATAATGGCATCGGTGTCAGCCGCGTGTAGTGGGAAGAGTCGTCGTCCCGCTCACAGATCTTGTGCAAATGATGCCCACGTAGTCGGGATGTGGTTGAAGAGTATTCAACGCGATATCTGGCGGCGAGTAAGTAGGTGAGACAGAGCGTCAGCCAGCATGCGTGGACATACGCTGCCCGATCAAAAACCGGATGCCTATACGCGAGAGGTAAAACCGATCCAGCCAGTGCTGGACATCGAGATTGATGTTCCGCGCATTCTGACTGCGTTTCCACTCGAGCACACCCTGCGCCACGGTGGTCACCGTGGGGTCGTGCCGCTTCTTGATGATTTCCAAGGTTTTTGTGATCCGCCGGTTGTAATCCCGCACCTCCGGTGGCCACTGAATTCCGGACGTATCGTAATAATACCTGGGCCGGATTCAACGATCGAGAAGACGGGGATACGAGTCTCGCGCACCTTCTTTCGATGGGTATGCGCATCTTCTGGGAATTTCCGTTTCCATTTCCGTTGCCATCCGCGCGGGAAGTAGAGGAGATGCCCAAGCCCAAGCCCATGCCGGAGGGCATGCCGGCGTAGTCCTCGGTGAAGAAAGGAAGGGAAGGATTGGGGGTGGACTCGGGTAGGGCGAAGTGGTCGGTGGCCGGAGCTGTGAGTGCCTCGCGTACGTGGCCAGGCAGAGATATTGAAGGGAAGCTAATGAGCTCCTGCAGGCGGAAATGAGCGTGTGCTAGGGTGGCAGGACGGAGGAGAGACGGACCTCGAAGGACTGGGCATACCAGTCCTTGACCTTGTTGATGGAGGGCATGGCGCTGAGGTTGTGGGGCAACTGGTCGAGCTCTTTGCAGCGGTGGGCCAAGCGGACGGGCAGCTCCTCTGTGCGGGGGAGGTGAGAGCGAAAAGGGGTGCCGGGGTAGGAGATACATACCGAGGATGAACTGGCTGGCTCTGAGGAGAGTTCCCTGGCTAGGATTCTGGCCGAAGAGGACCATCTGTTGGAGAGAGACTAGGGTCGTTGACTGCGGTGCTCTTGACTGGAGGGGAGAGCAGGGACTGACCTCCGGTCTGTGGAAAGGAGGCAAAGTGGTGGATCTTGTCCCAGAGGCCTGGGGTGATGCGGAACATGGTGGTGAGAGCGAGAGCACGGTGGCATGTACAGCAGTGGGCAGGGCGTGAGCAGAGACGAGTCAGAGCCGCTTCACCGGGATCAGTCGAGAGCACACTCGAGATCGCTTTAATGTTCCCCGCCCCCGCACCCGTCGAATTCACGTGCGCACAAGTAACTACCGTGCATTACACCAAGTATTACACAAACTATATGTACTCTAGCTACCCAGCCTTGCGTCCTTGTACACTGACAGGATGATGCAGCCCATGCGGATGCACCTCGCCAGATCCACGCCCCACCTTTCGTCCTAGCTCGCCCGAGCGATCAAGTTCAGACCACAAGTGATCACTCGAAATGGTCGGAGCAGCTACATGTCTTCTTGCTGCTTTTATCACGGACCACACACCGGTACCTGTCGTTCATCGTTAGTACTATGCATCTCATGCTCGTCACTCGGCTACACCTTCCGAGTCATCTGCATCCTGCACGACCTTGTCTTGAATTTCGTTCACGATGTGCCCATTCTGGCCGTCAGTTCGACGACGTTCACAGATATCTGCACCTATATTCACCCGGTGGTTTGCTCTCTGATCTACGCATGAACCACGCCCGATTCACTAAGTAGAGACCTTGCTCACCAATTCGCCCTCTTCGCCCCACTGCTTGAAAACGCCGGAGATGTCATCCAAGCTCGTCTGAAGACACTTGAAGAGGAGTTCCCATGCTTCGTTCACTATGCCCGAGATGACTTCAAGGGCTCGACGCCATTGTGGACCATCTTCACATAGTGACTGCAGCCAGCAGGACCCATGTTTGCGACACACGACAGGCCCGTCTTGACGCCCTCGGTCGCAATCCGTCTAAGCAAAGGCATCACCTTGTCCAAAACCCCCTTGTCCCCGCTCGGTGAAATGGATGACCCTCGGCGTGCAGACTGATAATAAATAACCAGAGACACCCATGGAGATGTACGAGACCCCGCGCGGCTGGAGCTCCTTCCCGCGACGTTCAGTGTGCTCGCACCAATTCGCACCATCCAAGATGATGTCTCCCATGGTGAGGTGCTCTCGACTCTGCTCGAAAATTTGTCTGCCGCGCCACCATGTGGAACGCTGAGGACCAACAGCTTGGGTGCCTTGCCGCCGCCGAGATTGTTGATGAAGTTGCGGTAGTCCTTGTATATAGACTTGCTGGTGGTGTTTGGGATCTAGTCCGTGACACCATACGGTGGAAAGGTTGTCTACGTTCTCCCCTTTGACATCAAGCGCGGATATTACTCTGAGACCGTTCTCGGTAAAGCGCATGGCCATGTTAAAGCCTGTAGAGCGCACACCGATTATGCTGATCTTGAGTGCGAGGACATGAGGAAGCTGCAAGTGTACGGGGATGATTGGGCACACCTTATCGAAGGGGATAATCATGGAAGAGGATACTTGGGCGAGAACCAGTGCTATTGGTCGGGTTTTGTATTCTGGACGCTGGCAGGAGAACAACATGTTGAGGAGCAAGCAGGACGCGTGACGTCATCCGTGACTACGCGGTCTCGTGCATAATTTAGTCAGTTACGCGGGTATATACAGCAGTTTTGGCAGACTTCATTCATACTCGAGCAATTAGCTTCCGTGTCCCATTTGCCCCATCACATTCACTGCGTCCTGGTTCGGGTGACCTCCTCGTATATGAGAACTACCAGTCGCGTCAGCGGTGCGAAGAGCTGCCGGAGTCTGATACCTACCTTTCAGATCTTCCTTTCCAAGAGGACCGCCATTGTCGAAGTCGAAGAATGATGGATCAAGAGGTTCCGCTGTTGGCTCATCCTGAGGGTCATGATAGGCCTATTCATAGTCGCTGGTTTCATATCGCGACATCGCTAGTCATCGGGGTTGATAACAAACCTCCAAGTAAGGATGCTTCAGAGCTTCTTCGACTTCTATCCTTCTCTTTGGACTGAATGTAAGGCATTTCTCCATCAGATCAATGGCCTGGCAAATTCGATCAGCAACAACTCAAAGAAAAGTCACTGCCATGGACACACCAGAGGATTGGCAGTCGGGAACAACGTGCCAAACGGTTTCTTTTTTCTGAAGGGCAACGCGCGAATATATTCCCGAGACCGCGGAGAAGTAATCGCGTAGAAGTCGTCTAGTGACGGCGTGCCAAGGATGTCAAGAATTATCGACAGTTGATGATGATCTACATCCGTAGGCAAGTCCGTCAGCGAGCGTACGAAGCTATACCAACATCCTAGCATACAGTCTCTTCCAGGAAAGAGTGGCTTTCCACTCAGCATCTCAGCAAGAACACATCCTACACTCCAGATGTCGATAGCTCTCGTGTATTCTTTGAACGTGAGCATAACTTCAGGTGCCCTGTACCATCTACGCGAGCACCCCGAGAGTCATTCGTGCATAATAATGTGAGGTCGGAGAGACCACGGTAGAAGCGTCAGGAGAACCTTTAATCAATATGCATCCAGCGGATCGACCAGACAATAAGCTACCTCGTGGCAACATACTCCGTCATGAATGTACTGCTGTCATTTGCGACATTCGGTGGAGGTCGTGCTGAGCGCGCAAGTCCAAAGTCACACAGCTACGAGATTCATCAGTGTGGAGCCAACCCAGCCATCAACACTGGTCTACGAGGCATTCCATGCGCGTACGTAGCAACCATTCAATCTTGACGCAGTAGCAAAAACGTACCTTAAGGTCGCAATTGGCATTCAAGAGCAAGTTTGATGGTTTGAGGTCCCGATGGAGAACGTCCGCAGAATGCAGCGCTTTCAGGGCTCGAAGGGTCTGGCGAATGTATAATGAGATGCGGACCAGTCGATGACCAACTTGAGGTGGTGTACTAGATAAAGCTGCCTCTCGCAGCATTGCAGGAACGGCGAGGACACACCTGATAAACGAAATACTGACAATGATCGTCACTTAACTCTTGCGTGCGTATGACACGGTGAAGATCGGTCTCCATCAACTCTTGCACCAGGTAGACTTCTTTAAAGTCGTCCAGACTCGGTGGGCGGAGGATATCGAGGATGGAGATAATATTTTCGTGGTGGAAGTGGCGTAGCAGTTTGATCTCTCGTAACGTGCGCATGCAGAACATCGAATGATCAAACGGCGTTATACGCTTGATGGCGACCTTGCGCTGTGACGGTAAGTGAAGAGCTGAACTATGACATTGTCTGATCGGCATACAGTAAGACACAGACGCGGGGGGGGGCACATACCAGACGATACCATAGGCACCCTCGCCGATCACGTCCAGGACATGGTAGTTACTGCCGACTTCAAAATTGGTCATACGTTCGTCCATGTCGGTGGCCTAGTCGCAAACGAAATTATGTTCAAAAGGAAAGATAACCAAGCCGAGTGATACGGTGTTGACAGAGAGCTCGAATATGCCCGTCTCCTGCTGGATGTAACAAAAAGCGATTCCAACACCGCGACGGTCGTCGGAGCCGAAACTTCGAAAAGATAATTTGAATCCCTAAAAAAAGAAAATATTCCAATGGGCGTTGGAAGTGCCTTATTTGGGCGACCATCGTCCGCGGTCTGCACCCAGCCTCAGTCTGTAGCTCTCCCTCTCAATCACCCTCCCTTGTAATCATTCTCTTGTATCAATCTGCATTTGCACCTCTTTCTCTACGATGTCTCCCTCGGATGCTAACAAAGACCACGAATCTCGCTCTGACTCCGCGAGGGAAGTCGACAGAGAAAAAGAGAGGGAAAAGGACAAGGGAACCAAGGTCAAAGGACCTTCCAAAAGTATGTGGCCTCTCCTTCGCTTTGCTCTTCTGCATATTGAGCCTCCCCTGGTTGCTATCAGCCAAGGATCTCTCCCATGTACCCTGTAAATTTTTCAAGGTCGGGTCCTGTACGGCCGGTTCATCTTGTCCGTTCTCACACAACATCCTGGAGCCTGGACAACAGAAAGAGATTTGTGCGTGGTTTGTCAAAGGCAACTGCAAGTTCGGACACAAGTGTGCTTTGGCGCACATTCTTCCCGGTCAGAGCATGTCCATGGACAGGAAGAATAAAAAGGCCGCCCAGCTCGCTGCGAATGCTTCTAATGCCGGCGGCGGAACTGGTCGGGACGGATCGAAAGGTGGTGGACGGCAGAAGGGTGCTACTCATGGTGGTGGAGGCGGTGGCTCGCAGACTCGTAATACCCTATTATCAGGATCTACCGCGCCGACCCGCACGCTATCGGGCGCCTCTCGTTCCACCATTCCAATGACACTGAAGGCGACTCTCTCTCCACCGACCCCTGCTCCCCCGGTGAAGGATACAGATTTCGTCTCGTTTGGTTTGCCGGACGAAACCAACCCTCTCCCGAGCGCGCCTGCGCAAGGGAAATCTTCAACGGTACAGACTCCATCCGAGCCTCCACCCAGTACCCACGACACACCACAAGAAGTCACACCCAAAGCGCAAGGTTCACCAAATCCGGACGATTCAGTGCCGTCACCCATTCCGACAAGCACCCCTACAGCCCCGCGGCGTGTCGGCGACACTCAGCGTGTAGCTCCCAATAACGTGGACTTTGGCCCGATCGGTTCTCCTCCTCGTCCTTCTCCTAGTAATCGAACGTCTCGCGTTAATGGCTTCTCACCAGGAACATCTCCACATGGCCCAGGCATTTCGAGCTCGCCGTTTTCCGCACCTGGGACCCAGTCTGCATTTGCAGTTTACGACAGTGACGATACATCACTTGGCTTCACAGCCAGGTCCGGCTTGTCCGCCTCCCTTGGGGCGATGATGAACAGGACTAGCGATAGAAGCTATGCGCACAATCGCCCAAGCGGGCTTGTGCAAGCTGTTGCCAGTGAGGTAGTCGTAGAAGATGAGGACCTCGAGGAGTTCTTGCCTAGCTCACTGACAGACCTTCTCACTCCGGAAGAACGGTCGAGACGTTTCTCGCGTACTAATGGTACGCGTCCGACTGTCTCAGGTGTTGAAAGAGACATGGCTGCGGGACATCGTCCAGTTACCGAAGGGCATCATCGGTACTCCCGCTCGGTGCCTGCGCCTTCGTTACTCCAGGACCTCAAATCTATCTGGGCGGATGACGGTGCTGCCGGCGTAGGCTCTCCCGGGGTAGGCGGTTCAGCCCTGAGCGGCACTGGCAGTGGTCTGGGAAATGGTACTCCCAGCTCGTTCCAATCTAATTCGGGCCTTGTAGGGAGACCCTCAGGAGAAGATATACTCTCCCCTTCGAATGCTTCCGCCGCTTTCTTACCCGGGCTCCATTATAATTACCTCAATTCGACAGCTCAGCATGCCAATCTACTATCTGGCACACCGTCCGTGTATCCTTCCACCAATGTATCCCACAACATGTATTCCGGTGCCTACGGAGCTGGTCTCAATGGTGGTACGCTCTCGCCACCTCGCACTGACGCATTCGGTAGCCGCCCATCATTTGATACCCCCTCCTCTGACCTGTACTTTACTCCAGTATCGCATCGCCGTGCCCCAGGTCGCCCTATACCTGGCGGAAATGACGCTTGTGCACCGGATGTAGACGATCGGCGGAATGCCCTCTCTCCCTCCGCTCGGGCATTACAGTCTCACGCTCCAGGCCAAAGTCTGCCCCAGGGTCTCGCTGCGGGGTACTCTAGAATCCACGCACTACCACCTCCTATCATCGCATCTCCCTCGACTTCGGGCGCATTCAATGTCGGCCAGGGCGGATATTCACCAAATGCAAGGGTACTCGGCCATTCGCAGAGTGCATCTGGTGACTGGCATAGTGCGTCGTCAAGTGCGGTGGGTGCGCTGGATCACGCACCAGTGTCCCAAGTCGCCGCTCAGACCACTACGAGCGCCATGGGAGGTTTGGAAGCTATGTTTTCGCGTCTGTCGTACTCGGCTGCCACATCGCGTACGTTGATTCTCCTTGTGCTCTCTGCGCGCGCGTGTCTCACAAGCAATTGAGCAGGTGGAGGCGGGGCGCCAGCTGGCATCGGCTCGCGCAATCCGAGCGGACGGGGATATGCTGGCCAAGGCTCGCTGAGCCCGTTGAGTGGCCCGGTACTCACAGGTGACGATGACGATCTCTTCAGTATGGACGGTTGAGAGGTTACGATGTGAAAAGAACCGTTGTGTCTCATCGTTGTGTGTTGGGACATACTTACATACCATATTGTATTGCTGCAACGCTTGGTTACTTAAAAAACTCGATAGAAGCAAGAGATGAGATCTGCGATCGAGATTTATTTATATCTTCTCTCGGATATGTCCGGTGGTGCGAGAAACTTATTCCCTTTCTCCCAATTCTGAGTCTGCTCAGCCTCCTTCACATATGTCCTCTACACACACCTCCTTACCTGCGGCCAAGAAAAGGAAAGTCTCTGGTTCGGATGATGTTACTTCTCCTATTAGACAATTGGAGACCCAACTCACTTCCGCCTTGTCTACCAACTCTTCGTTAAACCAGCTCGCAGATCTACTCGACATAGTATGGAGCACCCAAGATGCCGCACTCCTGGGAAAGGCCATTTACGCGATGTACAGAGTATTTGTTACCATCATCACCAATGGTTTACTTTTCGGTCGCGAGGATGTTGGCCAGGATACTAAACTGGTGCGCTCATGGCTCTCGGAAAAGCTCCATGCCTATGTAGATTTTGTGGCTGCTTTGATGAGCGATGAGGACCTGACACTGCGGGTATGCTTGTGCATATATCTCATGCTACTAAAAGGCTAATCTGTAGGCCAAGACTTCCGCTCTCGAGATATTACTCTCACTGCAAAAACACCTTTCCACTTCGTTGACCAGACAGTCAATTGCCAGAAACCCTCAACCTCAATTCCACGTCCTCCATTTCAGGAAGATTGTTCATTCGCTTCTGCTTTGTCCGCCGTCACCACGCACACCGGCACTCTCAAAAAATCAGGGAGTAGAAGCGCAATCTCCCGTAACCATGTTGGATCCGGATGTGAAGAAGCTGTACGCAGATAAGTGGATGTCCGTCTATGACGACATTCGATGGTTTTTTTTGCGTGAAGCAACGTGAGTTCTCGCTCTCCGTCATATATTTTCGCTAAGCGCCCGTCGTAGTACTTTATTAGGCAACGTCTCTCGAGAGCAGCAGACGACCGCCGCCAGTAATATGTTGTCCATGTTGGAGACTATCAACACTTTTCCGACGACTTCCTTCGAGCTCAACACCTGGTGGGTAGATGAACTCGGAGTAAATCCGCCAACTGGCAATCGTTCCAAGTTGGAATTTAACCAGATAGTAGAAGAGTCTGAGAAAGGTGCTGACGAGGAAGACGATTGGCGCAAGTACTTTGACGATCCACCTGCGGACACAGATGAAATCAAGTGCAGGAGCAGGACTGCTCGATTACATACACTGACTCTACACCAGTCTCTACATTCTCTGGCCTCCCATAGAGCTGTTTTTACTCGCGCCTGGCTTACCCTTCTTCCTCTTTTATCCCTTAATGCGTCGGAGCCCAGCAGGACACTTGTTCTGAGAGTCTTGAACATGTTGCATCGAAGAGTGCTCCCCCACCTCACAAAGGCGATACTCGTCATGGATTGGGTTGGTTCGTGCGTTGATTATGGTTCGCCACGTCTCCTGCTACTTATTCAATGATCGTTTCTCTGATTTCTCATTCTTAGGTGGTGCTGTTGGCCTCCTCGCACTCAATGCACTATTTGTATTAATGAAGGAATATAATCTGTGGGTGTCGCAATCCGTCTTCAGCTCCTTACCAAATTCTCTACGTCGCTGACGGTGTCCGTGTCCCAGTGATTACCCATTGTTCTATAATCGTCTCTACGGCTTTCTCGATCGAGATGTGCTGCACCTCAAGCATCGTGCACGATTTTTCAGATTGACGGAGTTGTTCCTTAGCTCCACGTGCGTTGATCGTGTCGCTTCATATACCGAATGTAATCTCAAGTTTCCTGTGTTCAGACATTTACCCGCCGTTCTGGTTGCATCGTTTGTGAAGCGCCTTGCCCGACTCTCTCTTGATGCATCTCCATCAGCCATCGTGATGATTATCCCCTTCATATACAACCTTCTTCGAAAACACCCGGCGCTCATGTGTATGATACATCGCGTTGAGGATGATATGAATGCAGGTCAGTCTCAGCAATTCGGCTGGATGGTGTGACTAAGCTGCGGACAGATTCGTTCGACGCGCGCGAATCAAATCCGACGCTCACAAATGCGTTAAACTCTTCTCTGTGGGAACTGCATGCGCAGAAAGATCATTATCACGCCGTTGTATCTACCTTGGCGTGCATTTTTGAAGAGGCGTTCACGAGACCGACGTACGCAATGGAGGATTTCTTGGATCATACTTACAACACGGTACGTCCTACACGCAATACGGTATGTCAAGAATGGCTGATATGGTGTATAAAGTTGTACGATGCCGAAGCTAAAAGGAGAATACGAAAGGACCCAGTGGTGGAGGACGAGATTGGTAGATTTACAGGGCAGATAGAAGATCTGTGGACATAATGTGCATGATGCTCCAGCGGGATTACCTACGCATTGTCCAGACGTTCGCAGCAATGGCATCGCATACTGCTTGACAACCTCGAGAATGATGGTTCACATCGCATCCTCGTCCTCCTCGTCCCCAGATACTTCTGCATTCTCCTGGCCAGCCTTCGCCATGAGCTGCGCCAGATCTTGCTCTTCCGTTTCAGAAATTGCTTTTGGCTAGCAACTTATCAACAATAGCTCTGATTGAAATTTTCGAGACTCACCTTCATCTTTACAACGAGAGATCCGCCATTCTTCTCTATGTTCAATTGAATGGACTCGATCGCACGCTCCAAACGATCCACAGCAGCATACTACTCATGAAGATGGTCAGAAGGAAGTAAGGAGGCAGAAGGGCTATCCGCACCTTATCTGTTGCATTCGTACTCAAAACGTATAATGGAGGAGCCACCAGTTTCGCTTTGATAGGAACAGCGTCGTTACTTTCCTGTTCGCCTGCACGCAGGGCCTTCTTGATAGCATCGATACCAGCCGGAGTATAACAAGTAACTTCGATATCTGCACGAAGCTTGATCGGCTGTGGTGTCAGTCGTCGTGCAATAGTATTCATGAGGATTGTCATGGTGGAAGATTGTACCGGATGCGGCAAAGAGGAGAAAACGGCTTCTTGCTCACTACGCGGTACAGGATCGTCAGCAGGCCGTGAAACAGCGAACAACAGATGTATGGCACTGACGTCAAAGCTAATTTGAACGCGTCGTAAGGGTGTCCATATTTTTTCCCCAGCGGCCAAGCAATCTGCTCGTAGAGTTGCTCCAAACGCTCTTCCTCGTTCGATTCTGCCTGTTCGGGTCCATCAGCGGTTAGAGAGGGCAACTTCGAGGCGACATGACGCATTATCGAGGCAACAGTCTTCGATTTCATGTACCGTTCTTCACACTTGGTGATATCCTCAGGAGATACACGGCGTTTGGACAAATCAATGTAGCCTGTGGTGTATAATACACCAAGTCAGTACGGATCATAAGAAACGGGAGTGCACTAACCCTTCTCCTTATCTACCCTGAGAACGACCACAACCTCATTCCTTCCGACACGGATCAGCTTCTGAATTGATCTAATGCGCCTGCGAGACAACTCGGAGAGTAGAATCATGCCTTCAATATTGTCATATTCGAGCTGCGACGCGTCAGTAACAATTCTGAGCTTCCTGCCAGGCAACATACAAGTTTGACATACGCTCCCATTTCTGCTATCTGCCGAACTTGGACCATGACTAGTTCATCTACCTCAGGATACCGCTGGTCGTAGTATCGCATGTTATTTAATTGCTGCGAATGTGGAAGGGGAGTGGAGTTTGGCTGGGAGTCTCCTTATAGTGGTAGGGTAGTTAGGTCCTAGCGGAGTTTGAATAACCTAACCTACCGGCGCGGGCGGCCCCGCGTCATGTGCCTACTCAATGCGGCAGGCAACCTGCCCCAAATGGCATTTCTGATGTAAGCACATACCTAAGGTTGGGCACTGCACACGGCTACTCAAATTACTGTACTATTTCGACCACTCCGGTGGTCACGCATAACACGAAGGTCATCTGCGCTGATGAGGTGCCTTTTTATACCTGAGCCACGTAGTTGGCATAGTCAGCTAATCTCATCTAGTGCAGAGCACGGGTAAACCCCCGGGTATCCCGAGGTGTACCCGTACTCGTACCCGCGAGGGTACGCTACCCGCACTTGCGGGTACGGGTTATCACGGGTTTCAGTACCCTGCGGGTATCCCAGTCCTTATCACCATTCAAAATATATTCATTAATCTACTGGCATGCACAAGGGGAATTATATGAAACTTGAGATGACTGTGTGAACGCACCGGTGAGCTCGTAAATGGCGATGCAGATGGCCATCACTGTTGCCATCTTTGTACCTTGCACTGCCTGTGAGTGTGTTCATTCTCTCTTCGTCGCATCGCTGGTACAAGCATGTGGGCATGGACAAGGGTGTGAGGGCATGAGAAGGGGCTTGTGTGGGGAGAAGGGGCCTGTGTGGGGAGGACCCACGAGAGGGTACAGGGAGGGTGCACAAGAGGGTATAGGGAGGGCAGGCGCAGGGAGGATGGGCATGAGGGCGCAAAGAGGGTGAGCATGAGTGCACAGAGAGGACGGGCACGAGTGCGCAGAGAGGGCGGGTGTGACAGTGCAGAGAGGGTGGGAGCGACAGCGCAGAGAGGGTGGGAGCGATGGCACAGAGAGGGTGGGTGCGATGGTGCAGAGAGGGTGGGCACAACAGCACAGAGAGGGTGGGTGCGACAGCGCAGAGAGGGGGGGCATGACAGCATTGAGCACCAAGCATACACGGGAAGACAGGTGAGCATTGGGAACGTACCTTGCAGATGTCAGAAGCGTCGAGGGCCATGGTCGAGTCATTGGTGAGGATGGGGTGAGAAGAGAGGAAGGAGGAGGAGGAGGAGGAAAAGAGACGGTCAGCATCAGAGAAGGTGGGCACAATGGCACAGAGAGGGCGGGCACGAGATGCATGCCATGCTGCGACGTGGCATGCATCATTGATGCGCATAGTGGGCACGATGTGGCGTGACGAGCATGCCATGCAGCCAGGTGGCGCGCGGTTCATGTGCGTGTTGTAAGGTGATGTGGCAGGGGCATGCAGCGCACGGCTTGTTGGGCATGCTGGAGCTGACGAGGTGGGGCGGGTATACTGAGCACCTGTGAGTATGGATCATCACGCATTTGCGGTGATGTGACTGTGCGAAGTGTGGTGTTATGAGGAGATGGAGAATGAGCAGGTGCAGGCGCATCTGCAGGCCAGCCTCTTGTTGTTCCTGTTCCTGCCTGCCTATTCTCCTTTGCGGTCTCGCGATCCTCTTTGCACGATCGTGATGTGCAAGCACATGTTGGCAATGAATTCAGGCAGTAAACGCAACACCCGAGAGAGTCTCACCATGACGTGCATAGGGTGAACCCCAGCCATGGGTATACTATGGGTCACATGGGTCACAAGATCATGACCCGTACCCGTACCCGCTATTACCCATACCCGTGACCTGCGTGGGTTACACAGACCTGTGCCCTGCACTAATCTCATCTGTTTCACTATTTTATCTGCGCCACAATTTGGTTGATGTCACAGATGCCCGCCAGCTGTGACAAGTGGTTCAGCGGGAGAGCAGAATTTGCTTTTTTTGAAGCCTGCGGCACTCAGGCAGAAAGCTACAAGTCTACTTTATTTGTTTGTGTCCAAAATAGCATCACAATGACACCAGACTGCCGTACTGTACCATTTGTTTGTCATGCACTTCCACTTGTGACCTTTCCAAACCTTCAATGCCCAGCACACAAATCATCTCCTGCATTTCTGAAGACCCTGCATTGAGTCCTTTGAAGCCGGCAACACCAACATCATTATCAGAATCTGAAGCAGTATCGTCACCTCCGTTTAAAGATTTTGATGTCATCATGTCCGTGACAACCTTACTGAGTGAGACACTTGTGTCATCATCATGCACAATGTCAGTAAATGCATCTTCTACAGCATCAGTGTCCTTCAGAGTCTGGCTAGCTCCTCTCGTAATCTTGATATAGAATTCTTGATTGGTGACTGCTAAATTGTTCAGTTCCTGCCGAGCTTCAACACTGCATAGGAGAGACAAAACCTGCCCACTGTGTGGCACATCTCCCAGGCCTGTGGAGATATTGATTAGCATGCTGTGCTCCCAAAAGTAAGTATTCACACCTTTAGTACCAAATCAGGTTTGCTAACTGCCCTGAATCCATTCACCATCCACTCCACTGAGTGATCTCGCATCACCCCAATTGTCTTGTCCAAGATCACATTTTCCGGGGTGATACCATGTTCGAGCTGATGCAGTGTCTCGTCAATCAGGTGAGCATGAGCATTGCATCGTAATGCATGTTTGAGTGGATGCTGAATGCCGACATCGTAAGGTTGGAAGAGGCCTGTGCATCCAGTGGGAACAAATATGATTATGATTCATTCAAACTCAAACTTTACCCAGCCTCTGAATCATCAATGTATGGTCTGTGCATTGTTCTACGGAATTCTGACAATGCACAGACCATACATTGATGATCCAAAGGCATTATTAATTATGCAAGCCAAGATGCACCAGGTGCTTCTGGAAGTAAGGAACGAGAATCTCCATAACATATGTTCGCATCATCTCTTGAGTTGACCAGTACATGCTCATTTTGGACACCATGGAGTGAAAGCCTAGGCGTACAGCTTCATCATACAAAGGAGCATCACACACCTATCAGCCAATATATACCTAAATGTCCATATAACCGAGGTGGAATATTTTGTGTAAATTTCCATAAAACTGAGTGTTAGCCAAGAATATAATATAGGATGGAGATATAGAGTTGGCCAAGATAAGTAGGCTATATAGGCTAAGTCGCATATTTGGGAGTTAGCCAAGGGAACTGCAGTTTAAAGTCTATATAGGTTGTCAGACATTTTGGGGTCGCCCACCATTTCTCTATATAGATTGTAGCTGAAATAGTGTCATTGGCCAAGAGTCATAAAATTCCAATCCTATATAGAGTTCACAGACAGTTGGGCTTGGCTGAGTGGACCTATATAGAATCTTTGTGTAAATGGTCCACTTGGCCAAGACATATGAAATTTTGATCCTATATAGCATTTTTTAAAATTTAGCCGTGGCCAAGGGTACCCTATATAGATTTTTGTGGAAATAATGCCTGCGGCCAAGGGTCAAGAAATTTGCATTCTATATAGGATTGTCTGAAATTTGGCCTCGGCTAAAGATATCCTATATAGATTTTTGTTGAAATGGTGGCCTCGGCCGAAAGTCATCAAATTTCAACCTATATAGAGATATCTGAATTTTGGCCTTGGCTAAATATACAATATAGTTCTTGCAGAAATGTTGACCTTGGCTGAAGGTAGTAGAATTTCTATTCTATATAGGGTCTTCTGAACTTTGGCATTAGCCGAGGATGCCCTATATAGGGTTTTTGAAAATATTGGTCTCAGTCGAGACTCTTGAAATTTGTATCCTATATAGGTTTCTCCGCACTTTGGCTTCAGCCGAGTAGTATCCTCTGTTTGTTTTAATCAGAAAGGGCAAAATTCCCTTCACACATAGGAGTTTTGAAGCTAAGGCCGTCACCAAGTGTATATATACAGGTTTTGTCACATGTGATGCCATTGGCTATAATGAGTCAGGTCAGACCACCTTCAGAGTTTGTGTAAGAGTTGGGCAGTTCTTTGCTGTCACATTGTGAGACCAATATCCTTCATATTAAATGATTCAGAGCCACTGAATTTAATCTAAGAGCCAGATTACATCCATCAATTAAACTAATTGCGAAGTATCTGCTAGAACCTCTGGCGCACTATATACTGGGGAGTCATCAGTGCAAGATATGTCCCATATTCTACCTATGAGGTTTTGTTAATCTTTAACACCTCAAATACTGCCAAGTGCATATAGTGTGCTATACATATCCTTCACCTCCCTCCCATGCATCACAGCTATGTTTTAAAACTCTTCCCCAGATTTCTATCAATGTTCCAGGGCAGTAACCCAGCTCCATTTGCAGATCATCCAATTGAAGCACTGCCCATTTATGAATACCCACACTGGCCAATAAATCAAGGCATGCATGTCAGGCTTTGCTATCACAATGAGGAATTGTCTGTTGATTCACAATAATCTCCATTGCTGTGAAATTTGAGGGTCACCATTGAACATTCTCATGCATCTGCTGTAGAACATTCTCATGCTGAATCTTCAACTTGCTAGAGACACCTGCAAAATAGAGTGGCCGGTTTATCAGGCATAAAGTTGCGTTCAGCAACTGCTTAACAAATGAGGTCCTCTTCAGCCAATTACCGACCGGTTCATTTCGTAATGAGACAGATGAAATGAGATTTGTCTGAAGCATGCATGCTCTTCTCACATCATATAAATGTGGCAATGATGTCCAAACTCACATTATGTCCTTGTGCAAACCATCCAGCAGAGATGTCTAGAGAACCTGGGTTGAACTGTCCACTGGGGGCTGCAATTACAATTTCTGAGGTATGAAGGAATCGTTCTTTATGGGATAGAGCTTCTGCCAGATTCTGAGGGACATGTCAAACTGCCCCTATGCGTGAGAACAACTTTTTAATATAAATTTGTATGCATAGGCTGCACCTAGTCCTGGGTTAGGTCTAGAGTTTAACTACAAACTTTGTAGTGCCTGTTCTTACTGTACTACAGCTTGCATACAGTTGGTCTTACAAAGTGATTATAGTGGAAACCAACACAACTTGCACAAATAGTGATCAATAGAAGTACCACAGCAGTCACAGAGGACCAATGCATCATAGTTAGTGAAATTATAGAAGCACATACTAATCCCAACATATACAAAGTAGTATCATTGAAATCTGTGAAGGAAATGGAGCATGATGCTCTCTTGAACTAAGTAAATTTGAGTAAAACTGGCCGAAATATTTTAGTTTTGGATTAGAATGCTCAGTGTGAAGTGCAGAAAAATTGTATAAATGTCATAAAAATTTGAGAATGACTCAAAAATGTACATGAACATGCTAGATATAGTGTCTTATTTTTAACAAGCAGTGCACATTGTTTTTTTTTCTTGAAGAAACAAGGAGAAGTGAGAGAAAACAGAGAAAATGGATTCTAGCACTCCAGCAAGTGATCCTGATGTTCTGAGAGTAACACTGTAAGATTCAGCTTCAACATTTTCTCAGAATGGCTATTGGGTTTATCCAAATCCGAGCAGAATTAAGTGAACTATAAGCCTGACAAGTTTGGCTAGATGTGTGGAAACAAGTGCTTTGAGCCAAAATGGATTGTAGCACTGCAGAAAGTGATTCCTATGTACTATCATATTGAGCTCAAAAAACTGGTCAGAATGCCTGCTTGGTTCATCAAAATCCAAGTAGAATTGAGTGAGCTACAGGCCTCGCAAGTCTGGCTAAAAGTGTGAGAACCAGTTGCAAGAGACTTGTCTAAATTGATTAAGTTTTGAGCGGACAATGAAAAAAGTGTCGATGTGATCTAAAAAATCAAGCGCATCGACACTTTTTTTCGTTCTCAGCGCTCTGGTGGCTGAAGAATTACTAAATGCAGAAAAATGTTCAAAGTCAGCATTTCTGTTTCTGGACTAAAGAGCCATTTACCAGGTATACCCGAGACCACTATAGCTTGGCTTCCAGGTTATTAGCTTCATTAGTAACTGTTGTAAGGCAGCTTTTAAGCACTATAGGCTCGGAGTTTTGGTATAAATACAGGTTATGACAACTATAAGGCCTTTACAACACAAACTAGATGACATATCAGAATATTATGAGGCCCTTATAAACTGATTCTAGAGGGTGTACTAGAATTCAATAAACAGTATAATAAGGCATTGTAGGAGGCTTACTAAGGGTTACTATACAATATGCTAGAAGCCAATATATCCCTTTGTAGGCTACTGTAAGGCCCCTACCAATGGATACTAAGTGGTATACTAGACTATTGTAAGCATCTTATAAACTGATACTAGATATCTAAC